AGTACCTTTATTTAAGGTTAAATACCTAGACGTTAGTCGAATAACTTTAAGAAGTACTAACTACTAGTACTACTAATTATCTAGCTTATACCTAGGACTAGCTTAATTAATACGGCTAAGAGCTTATTAATTAGAAGCCTCTTATAGTAGCCTTTACGTAATCGTAAGTTAGCGTTAGAAGTAATAGTCTAAGGGTAGTAAGAGATACTTAGGTAAGAAGTAAGACTACTTCTAGGTCTTATAGCGTAAGTAAGGGCCGTCTTCTAAGTAGACCGCCTCTTCTAGAAGGAAAAGGACTCTTATAAGAGTTTTAGCGTCGATAGTTAGGCTTAGTATCTTCTAGAGAGCGCTAGACTTAGACACCTTTATAGAATAAACCTTAAGTAATAAATAATCTTAAGAGTATACCTATAACTCCCTTTTACGATTCCGGATTTAGTAGTAGCTTTAGTAGTAGCTTTAGTACCTCGGGTACTATCGCTACTCTACTTAAAAGTCCCTATATCTCCTAATAGCTAGTATAGAGATCCTCGATATATAATAATAGTATTTATAGTGCATAGCTACTATTAAGTAGTATACCTTAGTTATTAGTGTTACGAACTTTATAATTATCGCCTATCTAAAAGCTACTCTCTAAAGTATAGCTAAACTAGTAGAGTATAGAGCGTATAAAGACCTAATGAATAGGTAAGAAATAGCTCTCTATCGAGCCTCGCCGCTTATTAAAGCGTTAATAGATATAGAGTTAGGGTCGGTTAAAGCTATAGCTAAGGATAGTTAAGGATAACTAAGGCTATAGGTGCTATTACGTCCTTAGTACGTTCTATTACGTCTAAATACGTCTAAACACGTTTAAACACGTCCCTATTACGTTCTATTACTTAACTATTACGTCCTATTATGAAACTTTTACGTTAACTATTAGAAACCCTAAAAACCCCCTATAAGTATATATATTAAACATTAAGTTTAATATTTTCGCTATAGCGTTAGGTTAGCGTAGTAGTTATAATAGCTAACCTATCGGGTCTCCGGATTCGGTAGTATTAAGGGTCCATGGTTTAACTCTTAGCGAGGTCGATTCTTTCGCACTTAGTTAAGGTTAGGCGTAGTAGTAGGGTCGTAGTAGGGTAGTTCTACTAGCTAGAGTTAATCTAGTACGTAGTCTATAGACGTTAAGGCTCCGGCTTATTATAAACCGAATATATTAGCTAAACCCGTAAGGTGTCTCGTATATAGGAAGTTTATAATAAGCCGTAAAGACTACCCCTAGGTAGAAGGGTAGGGAAACTATTTACTATTTTATTTTTAAGATTATTTAAGTTATTCTAGTTACTTATTTATTACTCTTTTAGTTTCGTTACTTAAGATAAATAAGGCTATAGGTCCTACTAGATATCTAAGCTAGCATTAATTATTAGAGCTATTATTAGGTAATTATCTAGATTATCTAGCGCGAATTTAGGACTAGTAGCTCGTCCTATATCTTTATTTCTAACTATAGAGCTCTAATCCTCTTTATCTACGATAATATCTAGATTTAACATATAGATACCTAAGAAAAATTCGTCTATACGCTTATTAAAGTAGGTAATAGCTACTCTTAGTATATTAGCCCCTACTTAGTTAATATTAGGTAGCTTAAATAAAGTAAGACGGCGGCCTTCTATATATAATACGCTAGAATAGGCTAATATCTCTCGACCTAGAGAATAGTTATTACTAGAAAGATCCGTAGCTATATAGGTAGCATTAACACGAATCCCTATAGAGTCCTCTAGTATACGATACTAATTATGCTACTAGTTAATAAGAGGTAAATAGTAAGAGAGGTACGTCTTAAAATCGAAAGTCGAGTTTACTTATTCCTTTATCTAAGTCTTAACTATAAGATTTAATAGCTCTCCGTAATAGTTAATTACTTACTAGGAATCCTCGAGGCCTCGAGTATTAACTAGTCCGCTAGCGAGGATAGCCCTATAGATAACGTTATTAGATCTTATACCTTTCTATAAGAGCTAGACTATAAATAGTATCTCTCGAGTATAGTTAGTACCGCCTATACCGAGGTATTAGACTATAGACCGATTAAAATAACGCTTAACCTATCTAATATTACTATACTTATAGGTAAAGAGTATGTTCTTAATAGGTAAAACATCCTATAGAAAACGAATAAGTAAAAGAAACTCCTTATCTAGAGGAGTGTTTACTAGTAGGTATCTATTACTATAGGCCTACGTAGTAAAGGTAGTGTTACATATCTAAGTAATAAACCCTATAGTATCCTCTAGTTAGTAGCTCTTTAGGTAAGTATTAATCTAAGATATATCTAATATATTAACGCCTTTAGCCTCTAGCTAGACTAGTAGGAGAGTAACGATACGAGCATTCTAGGCCTAGAATACTACTTCTTTAAGCTCGTAAAAGGTGCTTAATCTAGCGGTACCTTAATAATCTTTTAATATTATATATTATAAGCTAGGCTAGCTATAACGCTATTATTAGTAGGACCTATATATGCCTTCTAGATAGCCTAAAGCCGGTTCTACGCCTAGTAAAAGATAGAGACTACTAGCTATAACTACTTTCGACGCTCGAAAGTAGACTTATTCTCTTCTCTATTAAGCTAAATAGAAGTAGAAAGTTTAATAGTCTTTTATTCGCTATAGAGAAGCTATAGTCGTTTATCGTAATGTTTATCGTCTTGAGGAATACTAAATTAGTCGTAGAAGATAGTAGTATAGATTATATTAGTACCTTCGATTATACCCTTATTAAAATATAAAGGAAATAGTATATAGTACACTATTTTTACTATAGGGAGATGCTTAGTATAGAGGAAGTTCTAAATAGGTCCTTAAGGAGTACTAGCTTTACTCTAACTAGGATACTTAGATATAGTAAATGTCTCCTCTAGCGTATAAGTAATCTAGTACTAATATAAAGATTCCTAATCGCTATTATTATAAACTCCTAGTACTAAAGGGATGTCCCTATACGTTAGCCTTATAGAGTAGTCGATATAGTTCTATTTTAGGCCTTACTTAGGAATAAACGGATTAATATAGACGTGCCCTATAGTAGCTACTTTCTACTCTAGTTTTATAGACATTATCTAATACTATTAGCCTTTAGTATAGTCGATATTATTATACTAGATCTATGCTTAGGGATATTATCCTAGTAGACGAAGTTTTATCTTCTAACTAATTAACTCCTAGAACTAAGATATAGATTAATATAAGTTACTCGCCTTTAAGTCTAATATAATCCTATTACGGTCTTCGAAAAGGGTATAATAAGAGGTAGAATAGCTAATAGAGTAGAGAAACTCTTATCTATACTTCCTTAGACCCTAGTACGCTATATTATTACTAACTAGATAAGTAAAGTAGTTCGATATGTTATAGGCGGCTATATTACATAAATTGCTAATTAGTATAGTAATTCGTATATCCCTCTTTACTAGATTAGAGACTAGGTTTTTAGAAGAAGTTATAATAGCTAAAAGAAAGTTAAATAGTAGGTATTATCTATCTTTAATATCCTAGATAGTAGTACGAAGATTAGGCGGCGTATTATAGTCCTATTTTCTAAAGTATATAGATTCGCTAATTAAGGCTTACATCTCTTTATAAGCTTACTTAATGGTTATACTATTAAGCGGCACTCTAGCTTAAGTAAATATATCTTCGATATTAAGAGACTTAGATAGCTAAATATAAATACGTTTACTCTATTCCTTTATACTTAGTATACCGGTCCCTAGCTCTTCTAGTTCGGCGGTTATACGATATAGTATAAACTCTATAGGACTAATGTTATATTCTTCGTATATATAGTAGGTAATATTATTTACTTTCTAACGTTTTATCTTTCTTACTCGGGGTTAAGATAGAGGTTAGACGGGAATAGAGGGAGGAGGTAGTTATGCTGTCGCCGATATAGTAGTAGTCTTTTAGCGCGTCGCTACCCTTTATATTAGTATTAGATAAAAGCGTAGAGCTTTAATAAGCTATATATAGATTTATAGACGGCTACGAGTAATAGTGCATATAGGCGATGCTAAAAACGACTCTACTAACAAATTCTGGTCGGCCCCTCTATAAACACCCCATGTTTCCTCCCAGACTGCGTAGCAGAATTCAAGAATTCACGGTTACGTGCTGCCCAGTCTGGGTGAACCGAGGCAAGAGGCGACGCTTCACCATGTCAGGGTCATCACTAAGGCATCAGCCGTCCAGTGACGAGGCTTCGGATTCTACCTTGTGTTCAATAGATGGATTGGGAACAACACGAGCACTACGACTGCTTGGTCTTCTCTTGCAGAGTGTGCAGACTGGCAAAAGACCAGAATCGCGAAGGTCGAGAGACTATGCCAAGAGTGAGCAAAGTCTTATCTGATCTTACGACTCGTACTTGCCGATCTCGGTCATCACCCGGAATTGTCCGTTATCTGTTATCAATCGTGCAATCTGCCCGCCCAATCAAACTCAATTTGGAAAATTTTCATCTGCCCATCTGATTAGATTTCTCTCCTTCACAGTGTGCTAGCCAAGTGCATGCAAGCATTCCCAAGTCGCATCAAGACTTTTTTGACTGACAATTTCTATCGAAGCTCACATGTCTTGAATTCGCCCAAACTGGCTACTTCCACACAATGCACTCTGACTATCTCGACTTGAGACTGTACACAGCATCAAAGAGATACATTTTCCGCCTGGTTCGTGGCGCTCTTCTTGCAGACTAGCTCGGGCCCGTGTCCATACCATCGTTGTTACCTCGACGCGCTCCCCCAAGAATTGTCCGTGTCGAACGCCATAGCATGGCGAGACGAGTCTGGTACCCACATTCAACCAGCGGGCTGTCCGGAAGTAAATATTTGGTGCACAACGTGACACAGACCTCTGTGGGTATATATTCAACATGATCCGCTTGTCTTATCTGATCTTCTCATCACCACCCCTTCCCTCTCACCGATCTTCACACCTTCCATGTCTCGCTTCTTGCCGATTCTGCTTCTGCCTGCGCTAGGCGCTTTGGCTCAGAGCCCTTCCTATGATTACATCGTTGCTGGGGCAGGACCAGCTGGCATCATCGTTGCTGAGAGACTTGCAGAAAGTGGCGCTAGCGTTATCCTACTTGAACGCGGTAACGCATCGACATACAGTTCTGGAGGCCGCGACATCCTATCATGGAACGACACCCTCACACAGTATGATGTTCCTGGTGTCCGACACTACATCAAGACCAGCTTCTCAGACACGAGCGAATACTGCACAGATACTCCTGGCAATGCAGGATGCATCCTCGGGGGTGGTACCATGGTCAACCAGCTTGCCTACGTGCCGCCGCAGAATGTAGACTTTGACGACAAATGGCCTGTCGGCTGGAGATGGAACGATGTTGCCAGTGCAGCGGAGAAAGTTCATTCACGCAATCCTGGTACCACCAATCCTTCTGCAGATGGTATTCACTACGATCAAACATCATACGATGTGTTCGCCAACTTCTTCAAGACGCAAGGTTACACTCCTGCTGATGCCATTGCCGAGCCCAATCTCAAGCACAATGTCTACAGTCATGCGCCCTACAATGTCAAGGACGGTCTTGTCGCGGGTCCCGTCTTGACATACCTTCCGTTAGCACAAGCGCTGCCCAACTTCAAACTCCAACTCCATACTAAGGTCATCCGCGCTGTCAGAAATGGTTCTGCTGTATCTGGCGTCGAGGTTGAGGTTGATGGTCAACGTCAAATTATCAATGTCAATGCTGGCGGGAGAGTCATTCTCGCATCTGGCGTTTTCTCTACACCTCGCATCCTGTTCAACAGCGGCATTGGACCAAACGATCAACTCCAGATTGTCGCGGGCAATACCACCACAAATGTCACTCTCCCACCGAGCTCAGACTGGATCAATTTGCCAGTCGGTCAAGGTATTAAGGATCACATGATTGTGACTCTCAACTTTAACACTACCCAGCCTGTTGACTTCCTTGACACATCCTACTTCATCAGCCCTTCATCAAACATCACGGATATGTACAGTCATGGCAACGGTATTCTTACTCAAGGCTACCAGCGTTTCACATTCTGGACTTCCAACACCACATCTGATGGCAGCGTCCGCTTCTTCCAAGGCACATGCTACGCAAGCGGCCAGAATACAGTATCAATGAAGCTCTATCTCACCCATGGACTTACCTCGAGCGGAGCCATCGGCATCACCGCAGCTGGAAACACTGTCTACACCGTCAAGCCGTATCAGAACACTGCCGAGGACAAGTATGCTATTGCTTCATTCATCGACAATCTGCTTGTCCAGACTCGCAAGCCAGACTCTGTTCTGATCTACGCTGGTGCCTCTACCGACAGTGGAGCCTCTCTGTCCAAGGTCTATACAGGCGGTAGTCACTGGGTATCTACTGCCAGGATGGGAATCGATGACGGTCGCATCAACAATGGCACATCGGTCGTCGATCTTGACACCAGAGTCTACGGTACCGACAACCTCTTTGTTGTCGACGCTTCGATGCACCCCGATCTCCCTACTGGTAACTTGCAGGCTTCTGTGCAGATTGTCGCTGAAGCAGCAGCTGCCAAAATTCTTGCTCTACCCAAAAGGTCCTCTTCCACTTCTCAATCTGCCAGTTCGACTTCCTCGAGCTCGGGCAGACCGTCCTCTGTCGACACTTCCTCAAGCACATCTGTTCAATTGTCTGCATCAGTTGCGAGCACACTCGCTACTTCTGCACACAGCTCATCCGCCTCGTCAGCATCATCAACTTCTTCCTCCATCACACCAAACCCCACCAACCCAACTTGCCCACTGTCGAACAGCACAACCTTCACTGCTAAGAGTGGCGCTGTTTTCATGATCGAGTGCTACTTGGACCGTGCCGGTCATGACATGGCATCTGTTGATGTGCCTACCAATCGCATTGCCGACTGTATCAACAAGTGCGATGCTCTGCCTGGATGTGTTGACATCTCCATGTCTGGCACCGCTTGTTACATGAAGAAAGCTATCGGGGACAGGATTGTGCAGAGCAAGTACATTCGAGGCGCTCGTCTTATCTCGAAAGCTCCGTCAGCTTAGACCTGGATCGGTGGAGATGGATGTTCCTGGAACCATGACAAGATCGCACATAGTGTTAAGTATGTAGACTGACATGACTAAACGATTCTATACATTGATTTGCTTCAACTTTGTTGGTGCCTTGAATCACAAAGTATCTGCGTCATTCAGGGAAATAACTTCAGTCCAGATCTCCCAATGCGTGCTGTTTCCAAACCCATCAGGACTCTGTTCGGCCATCATAGCCGAGACATCCACACAACGACTAAAGAACGCAGATACTTGCGGATCACCAACTTGTCTGACTTGACTCAAATCCGGTCCGCATCCACATATCCGAAGCCGCTCTGTTACGGAGCCCGGACTGTTATGTACTGATAGCCGGGTCGACTCGTGTTGGAACGTTTCCAGCTCGATCACACGACGAGAAACAGCAGTAAGGACTTTCGCGTCGAATGGTCCGTCGGTACCGCATTGCTCTAGCAACCGGATTGCCGCTGATCGAATACCGAGATTTCTGCACTTCATGGCTGCAAACGAAAGTGGCTGTACGAGTCCAAGATCGGCCGAGAAAACAAGTCTGTCTCTATGGAGGGAGACTTGATCTTCTTGAGACATTACGGAATCTGCATCTTCGACGATGATTTTGAAAAGCTCGGTATATGTATCGTATATACATTCCTCAGGGCAGAGAATCGTGGCCAGTCTGATCAAGCACGAATGACATTGCATCCGTAAGATGAGCAATCGCTTCTTGTCCTGTGATGAACTTTGCCCCAGAGCTAGACTGAGCGCGTGTGTGACGGACATGATGTTTGCAATCTGACGCCCATGATCAACGTCAATACCTTGAGGATGAAACTGTATCGGCATGTACTTGAGATTCGATGCTCTATTCAGAAACTCGTACGCGGAATGCAATATGCTAAGAGCTTGTACCTCTTGACTCTTTACCCCGGGAAAGAAGAATTATCAGAAGTTCTTGGGCTTGGAAGACGAGGCGGCAACTCGGTTGCATAGCTCGAAACGCTAATGTCCAGAGACACTGCAGCTATGTCGATAACATCGACTATAGAGAATCCCAAGCCCTCCGACAAGTCACCCCCGGAGTGATGGCGTGATTGCTGGAAACTTGTTGACCAGAATGTAATAGAGCCAAAGCCCCCTGCAGGTGAGCGAGTGCTTGAACATGGCGATTCAAGAGCAGATCGGTCATCATCAAGAGGAAACACATGCAAGCTATGTTCAGAATCTCTGTCGGTCTTGCCACCAAGTCATGCTGTATTTGTCGAATGGCGCGGCCGTAATACTTGCTCACAATCGAGAAGCGATCGTCCGTGTTGTCTCGCCTATGCATCACCGCTGTGCCTAACACGACACAGGCAGCGTGGGCTCCCAGGTCGGCGTGAGCGATCTGAGGCAGAAACTGTTTCCAGAACTGATCCGTCAATCCGGAGAAACCATACAGCTCATGGCACAGAAATTGACGACCCAGGCTGAAGAACTCTAATGTCTCTCCTCGAGACTGGATGCCAGATGGGGAAAGGACTTGAGAAATTGTGTTCATCGATACAGGCACTGACTCTTCATGAAGCTGCGGTTCCTGGCGATGCCAAGTACTGTAGCCTCCACAAGACCGACCACTTCTGATGCATTTGGTGCAGTCTGGGCGAGTTTCGTCGCACCGAATCTTTCGCTTCCTGTGGATTTTACTATCAACAAAGTGGGCTTAAAACGAATGGTATGTTACTTACTTGCAAGTATAGCATCCATTGCGTGACTGCTGCTTTACCAGAACGCGGGTCCGCTTGGGCTCGGTCCTTGACTTCTGTTGGACCATGCTACTTATTTAGTTTGCCAAGCATGAGACAAAAGATGTTGATCGAGGTGGCAATGGGTAGACAAAATGCACTCAACGTTAGATTTGCAGTATACAGATGCCTGTCATCGCAATTGTTTTCAGACGCGAACGCTGAGTCAAAGTTCTTGGTGTCGAAAACATGTATGAAGGATGCGAGTTTTGACGCTTGAAAGTCAAAGACCGAGCGCACTGTCCACAACGCCACAATCCTTTGGCCCAAACTCTAAGACCGAACCTGCGACTCCACATAACCTGGTCCTGTAGTTGAAAACTTGACAAGGACAGACGAACCTCAGACCTCCATGATGAATGTTGGTCGCCTGGTTCGTACGTTCGCTGATCGCTTCGGGAACGAGATGAACCCAAAGACCGAGCGGACAGCTTGGCTTTACTTCTCACAGCCAGCCAGCATGAAACTACATAAAGACCATCAACGCTGGGGGCAAGCATACTCAATGATCACTCACATCTGAACATCATGTTCAAAATGCCAACCAACAAGCTCGTTCTCTACACGACACTAGCAATCAATGCTATGATGCTTATCATATCTATTGCCTTGCTGACCGTGAGCGCGGTAAGTAATCGTCACATGAGTCTCAATTGTGATGCAAGCTGACTTCTTTCGAAAGTACTGGACAACTCGTCCGGGACCGCATGTTTACTACAGCACCTTTTGGACAATATCTGCCAGTACTTGTTTGATTTTCCAGACTGCAGAGTTTTCAAGCGTTGTACTCTTCAACCACTGGCACGGACATGTATACAATATCTTTCGAATGGTTCACCTAACAACTTGCGGATTGACCGGTCTCATCACCTTTGTCTGTCATATCATTGCATCCAAATCAGATACCGCAGCCATCGACTTCCTCTCATTCTCCCAGGGCTGTATTGGCCTGGCATACTACTGGTTCATCGTTCTTCGCAGAACACAGGATCAAGCCGAGGAGACCAGTCCCATTAATCTGTCACACCTCCCGGGACCCCCTATTGAAATTAGGTCGTTTCATGACATCTACAAATGAGGTTGAGGAAGTGCCAAGCAAAAGACGACTACGACGGACCTGCGCGAGTCGAGCCTTGACAAGCTTGAACATCTTGCTTCTGGTAATACATGCCTGCGTACTTGTTCTACTCACCTATGGCTCGGTCCAGTTGGCATTGCTCTACCGATACAGGAATCCGTAAGTACATACCGGCCGTTCGCTATTATACTATAAACTGATCATCACAAGTGGCACGGTCGTAAAAATCTCGCTGCCCACCGGCCAAGCAACGAACGTCAATCACTTTTGCACGAGTGTCGAACATTCTGCTGGCCCAATTATCTGGTTCGAGGCTGATGCCGCGCACGGCGTCTTGGATTTCATCGGCGTGCAGACAATCCTTGCTCGGGATTACAACCGAAGCTCTTGTTCGTACGACCCGCCAGACTTTGGTTGGTCCGAAAACCTTCCCTCTTCACTCGACGACTTTTATTCCTACTTCACACCCCTTCTCAAGGCATTGGGACAGCAAGTCGAACCCAGAGTTTTGGTCGGATGGGGAGACGGGGCGCATAATGCCCTTATGCACGCCATCGAACATCAAAACGTCACCAATGCATTGGTCCTCATGGATTTAAGTCCAGATGGTATAGAATGGTTTGATGCACAGCGTGCGAACCACTGGACGGAGAAACAGATGCTCGAGTATCGGCAGACAGATCTCACGAGTCGCATCAATCTGGTCCAACTGATCCTTGGTGTAGCGATCCCGTGGTAAGTTTATAAGGCTCTGCTCCAGGGTGACCGCGCTGACTTGAATACCATAGGGGCTTGCTGCCAGTGTTTATCCCTGCAAACTCGACAGGCTATTTCGATGCATCGCTCTACTCGATGTACAACGCACAATCGAGGAAGGAAAACATGTGGGCCAATCAGTATTTTGGCTTGAAGCAGATGGCGGCGAAGCCAATCAACGATTATCTCGTCAACACTACCGCCCCTGGACGCATGGACGTCAAAGCCCTCATGACGTACAATGCAGGAACAGATCCAGCGAGCGATGAGTTTTGTCGCCAAGAAAAGTTTGGTATGTTGAGCCATATTGCAGGCAAGAATGTCACGGACGAAGTCATCTGGTGTGCCGAAGCTGGCTGCTCGCTGAGCTTCCCAGTCAACATGCCTTCTTGGACTGCACATTCGTTGATGGCTTTGGGAATCTAGAGCACCTGGAGATGATCATTTCCACACATGCACTATGTATATAGAAACGTTTACTCAGTTACAAAGATTTCGACTCCACGCAAGGATTGCTTCAGGCCCTGCTGCGAGCTGAGAGATACCTCGAAGTCACTTTCTGAAAGCATTTCAACAACGGGTCCAGATGAATGTAGCTATGATATCCCAGCTGGATATCGACTCACTATACCATCCTCAGGATATCAAGCATTGCGAGGACCCAGCCAAGTAACGCAAGTGCAGTAGGGGCACAGCAATCTCTAAATTTGAAACCATCATCGTCAGCTGAACGCATGAGCGAGCTGCGAGTCACAGTCGCGACCATATACATATAGGTCAAAGGCAACTACCTGCATGCGCAAGGCTGGGAAGTTCTGTAGCTTGGTGTGCGTTCCTGCTGAGTGGTTCGACCAATTGCCAACGGCTTCCTCCACAGCTCCAAAGCGCGAACCAGCTCCTCAACACTCAAGGCTGACCCTCCAACTCCTGCGTTGACAGCGGCGAATTTTGTTGAGAGCCATGCGCGAGTCGTCTGGCCACTGCAGGAACCCGTAGCTTACATGAGCGAGACGCATTGTGGGATGCGGCGCTAACATGAATCGCACAAGCGGTATGCAGCAGATGCGTAATGACGCCGACTCCATGCACCTCAGACGCATGCATATCGAGCCGCTCCAAAAGACACCCTATTGTGTCCCAGACTCAGGAGAATGCTGCTGCATGTTGATGTGAAAAATCGATCTTTGACAATGACATCCTCGAATACGGTCGCGAAAGTGCAGCGACTTGACGACTATGGTGATTTCACCTTTCATCACAACACAAGAACATTTCGATATCTTACCGAGCAATAGTTCGCATCTCCAGAGCGGGCCGTTGGCTCAAATCGAAGATCTAACACATTTCAGAGCGCGATATTCGGGCTTCGAAGCTGGTCCTGCTGCTTTCAGCTCCAGCCATATCCGAAGCATAGGGAACATCAACGGTCACTTTATCCTAAGCTGGCATGCGACAGTCAGATTCCCAGTATCCCGGTATGCGAAATTCTCAGGTGCATGAGTAGCATGCACTCTCAAACGGATCCTTATTACTGCCGACCACTATTTGGATCTACATGCAGTTCTCGGCAATAAGGAGTTTCCCAACTCTCAAGTGGCTCTAGATTGCTGCTGTCTCCAGATTGATCTATAGCATGCACCTTGAGCATCCTCTTTCTGAGGTCAATCGATACCAGATTCGACGCATCTCAAGATGCAAAGAGACTTCCTTTTGTCCGGGCTACAAATGCATAGCAGTTGTGCTTGCCGGTCGTGCGTTGCTATACCAATGTACCTACGATCATGTGGGCGCTGGTGGATCCCCTGCTTTCTTCCCCTTGATACTGCTCCAGAGCTGGACTCCGGATGGTTGGACCGCCATTCTTGACCGTTGGTCTGCGCGAACTCATCGCGTTCCCCAGAAGCTGGAAAACTGTCTGTGGTTCCTGCATCTTAGTCAGTCGGTGGTGGGAGGTCCACAGCTGAAGGCGCGATCCAGGAGACCGATTTTTGCTGTCAAAGGTCCCAGTCATGATATAAAAGGTGATCCTCCACCTCGACATACACAACGCATCCAGCATCCAGCATTCAACATCCGACCTTCCCACACTCGTTATATCGCGACCATGAGATCTTCTAAGATCCTTTCCCTCTTTCTGTTCTTTCTTGCATTCATCTTCCAAGTTGAAGGGTCCCCGTCACTCCTTGCGAGAAAGAATAATGGATGCTCCAAAGATAATATTGCAACCTTCAACCGTGTAGTTACACACAAACAATACTTCTGCAACTGGTGGCTCTCCGCGTATGATCCCGTCCATTGGTACTCTCAAAGTCGTTGTGTCTAATCCGGATTCAGTTCTCGCACCAGATCTCCCTTCATCGAGTTGCTGGCTTCCGAAGTGACCGCAGTCTGCTACTGCATCGGTACCCCTGCCACAAATGGCAAGCAACCTGCTGCTACTGGAACCACCTCGTACAATGGATATCCTCTTCAAGAATGCAGAGCTTTACTCTCGGCTGAGTTCAGTGAGCCGTGGAACTTCTGTTCATTCTATACCAGATCGTCAGTAGTCATTTTCCAGCCCTTGAAAACATGCTTACACCAGCAACAGGACCAGAACCTCGTCCCCATTCAAATCGTTCAGCGTCCCCCAGCTTCTGTCACTCTGCGATTGTATCGACGGCACATCCAGCCCGACAAGTTCATCTAGCAGCTCGAAGAAGCCCAAAACCACAAGTTCATCTACGAGCTCCAGAAATTCCGAATCTAAGAGTTTCTCAGTCACGACTAGCAAATCCTCGATTACAGACTTCCCTATCAAGACAACCACTTCTGGTTCTTCGACTAGCTCTGTCGTCGATACCACCTCCATGAGCACTGGAACTTTCAGTGGCCTCAACTCAACCAGCATATTGTCGAGCATCAATAGCACAACCATGACATCAAGTGCTTCGTCCATGAACTCTGCCATCACCAGTAGCACATCGGCAAGCTTCACGGGCAGCGTCACATTCAACAGCTCCACCAGTGCTCTTTATAGCAATGGAACCAACAGTACCGTGCCCCTTGGCCCTACTGCATCTTCGAGCATCTCTTCTTCGACCTTCGTCCCTGTTAATGTCACTAGTAGCGTTTCTCTGAGTACCATGACACTGATTCCTACGGGTTCCTCGGGCAGATTTCCTACAAGCTCAGGCACTAGCGGCGCTCCTTACGGCAACAGCACAAGCAGTGTTCCTACTGTCGGACCGACAACACCTATTTTCCCTGGAAACTCCTCGTCTATCAACAACACCAGCAGTGTGACTTCGTTCATCGGTCTGCCTACAGGCATCATCGATCCCAGCTCAGGCCCTTCTTTCTCGAGCTATTCCATCAGTGGTGCTCCATATGGCAATGGCACAAGCAGCACGAGCCCCGTTGGTCCAACTGGCGTATCTTCCACGGCCTTCAGCACCACCAACAACACTGTTATCATCCCTTCGAGTACCGTAAATTCTACCTCGTCTCTGGCTTCGACTGGGTTCCCCTCAAGCATCAGCAGTAGTGGAGCACCATACGGGAATGGTACCAGCAGCATGCCTACACTGAATCCGACCGCACCTCCGACTTCCAGTTCCTCGAACATCAGTAACGCCGTGTCTACCAACGGCACCATCAGTGTTCCAACGAGCAGCACCAACTCTTCTTCCATAGCTTCGAGTGGTTTCTCATCTACCATCTCGAGCAGCGGAGCGCCTTATGGGAACAGTACTAGCAGTGCACCACAAGTCGGTCCCACAGCGCCTCTGACTACCGGTTCTTCGTCCCTGTCCTCAAGTGGTGCCGTTACCAACAGCAGTGCATCCATAGTCTCGACACCCTCGCCCGTACCTTCGAGCGGGATCAGCTCAAGCATCATTCCTAGTGGCGCACCATATGGTAACTCAAGCAGTACCTCTTTATCTTCTGGCCCTACAGCACCTCTCACAAGTGATGCTTCATCCACTTCCAGTCTCTCGTCTTCTGCAGCCTCTGTGGGCAACGGCACAAGCACTTTCCTTCCAAGCTCAACCTTCTCTGTCGGTCCTGTTAATGCTACCTCGACTGGAAGCTCTAATGGCACTACAACGCAATCAGCCTCGACGACTGTCTCGCAGAGCTCAACCAACGCAACTGTCACTGGTGCGATCACTACGAGTGCTTCTTCCAGTAGCTCCACCAGTCAAAGCACGACAAGTTCATCCAGCCTGTCTTCTTCAAGTGCGACGTCAAGTCAATCTAGCACACCCAGTCAAGGATCAATCCGCACTGGATCTCGAGTCTTTGTCGATAGGTCCGTCCCGGCCTATGGCAACCTGGCACTTGAGGCCACGCAGGATGGACAGAACCAGTATGCGAACATCTATACTCGCAAACAGCGTCCAACACTCAGCTACACATTCAACGAGACTTCAGGATATCTCTACCTTGGTCAGAGCAAGAACGTCCTGAGCTACGCAATCCCCAGCTTCCGTTCGGACTCTGTACAGCTGGCCACTCTTTCTGAAGATTACCTGACCACATACCCACAGTCTTGGAGCCCGCTCAAATGTAGTGTCTCGGCCTCGGGTGCTCTTTCTTGTTCGGCTACCTCCACTGCTACAAGATTCCGCCCAAGCAGGACTTACTCGGTGTTTGTTGTGGTGCCACGAGAAGGTCAAGCTGCTGCTGACATCTACCTTTATGCTGCCAACAAGATCGACGGTCGTCCTCTTGGTGCTACTCAAGTTACTTTTGACGTTTCCACGGATGGCCAGGGCTGGTAGACTGCCAAATGATGAATCGACGGTCATTCACTCACGAGAAAAGATGAACCAGAAAATTCGCTATGAGATGTCTTTTGAGTTTTGTTTCTTCGTTTGGATTCTGTCTGAACTTTTATGCTTCATTGAGAGTAAGGGCTTAATCTTTGTCCTTGCAATGTTCGCACTCGCTTTCTTGTTGTTCCTTTCTATATATATGTAGCTTTGCAACACAAATCAAAATTCCGTTCCACTGAATGTAATAGATCTCGTTCTATCCTTGGCAAGATGCATTAGCTGATCTCCATGTATCCACCTCTGTACATCATGTAAGACCCAGATGAATTCCATTCTGGAATTACCATCAACTCGATAACCAGGCGCAATGCCAACCGCTGCCTGTCTTGTACTTCATAACACCATGACGAGTCAGCTGCGTTCGGAAAGGCATCATCATTATAGCCAGAGTGCGATCATTGCAAGAAGCAACCCTAAGGTAGTTGATATCTTAAGCCCAGTCGCCTCACCCTGGAACTCCAAAGGCGAGGATGTCACGGAGCGCGAAGGTGATGAAGTTTGAGTCGCGAGATCCGGAGTCTGCGTGCTTGGGAGTTCTGTGGTACGACTAGGCGAATCATGAGACTGGCTGACTTGTGTACCAGTGACAGGCACAACGGCATCTGGTAGTGTGCTCTCGTCACTGGTCGCTGCATCAGATGAGGCCGACTCTACCAACGAGGTGTGTTCTGATGTTGTCGTCGTCGGGATGGTCAAACTTGAATGTGATGAGAGTGTTTGCGCCGTTGCATCCGCGGCGGATTCTGGAATCGGAGAAGAGGATCCTAGATCTGTCGTTTCCGCATTAATGCTCTGCGCTTCCGTAACAGAAGGCACTGCGGTCCTGATCTCTGAGGTCAAGACGATCGTTGTAAGATCTGAAGATACTGGATTTGACGCTTGCGTGCCGCTAAGATGGTCCGCGACTGCAGTTGCTGTCGAAACGACCTGTGCCGTAGACGTTTGCCCGAGTTGAGAATGTTCGACTTCTGCCGGCCAGGCAGGACTGGTGCTGGCTATGATCGCGCTCGTGGCAGTCTCCCACGCAACCACAGGTGTCAAGACTGTAGATCCGGGCAATAATGCTCGGGGCGGGTCCCTAGAGAGGTACGAGTAAGTAGATTGTGAGATGACAAACTGCTTGGATAGCAACATACCAAACGCCGTCCACCTGTATTTGACATCCTGATGTGCTAAAAATGCTGTTTGCCCAGTCTGTCATCGTTGCTGGAGGAAGGATGTAAGGACGATAATCGGGACCTATCGTAAGCGGAGGGCCGAATGCTGTAGGATCTGCCAATCACATCAGTTTCCTGGCTAACTTATCGCATTGATCAACGACATGACTTACAGTATTCGTCCCAGCCGAATGCAGATTCTCCTGAGAAGTACGCCACTGCAGGAACTTGCTGATAGCAATCGTTACCGGGCTCATCTTGGATCCAATACTCGGAGCTGTTTGCAGGTTGACACTTGTAGTTGAGATCTTGATACTGAAAGGGTTCATGATCGTATAGAGCTCGAGCACCTCGTGCAGATAGGACTTCAGATGCGGGAACGACGACGACGGTACTCACCACTGTAGTGTAGCACTGATCTTGGCGTGAAACACTGGCCAAATAAATACCAACACTTGGCGAGGTAATTGTGACACCGCCAGTGACGAATGTGTTTGGTCCGTCACCAGTTCTTGGAAGCCCCAGTGTTTGGACTGAGCTAGCGCAGATGTCGCCAGAGCCATTCAGGGTTCGGACCGGCCAGTACAAGAGCCTAGCAGAGCTGGCACGTAGATAGCACAACGAACAAGTGTGACCGGCTGAGTCTGTCGCATACGTTAAGGTTGTACTACTGGTACTGGAAATGTTGCAAATAGGTTGATACGATGCATAGACCAGTGAAGAGTTCTTTTCGTAAAGTGCTTGACAATCGTCATTCGAAATAGTGCATGGAGCCTGTGGTGTTGGATAAGGAGGAGTGTTGTACACATATTGTGTGACATTATAAGCGCTCATTGTGAATTGACCTGATGTGCCTAGTATTGTTGAAAGTGAGGTGGAGCCTGCGAACCCCACGACTCGAGGATGACCGTCGCATAACGTTGTCAATGAGGATGCTTTATAGGAAGGAATGACTTCGGTAGCCCAGGCAGGCTGTTTGTATGTTTCTGTCGTGACATAATACGAACTGTGCGCATAAGACCAGTCCGTGGAGGCACTGGCCCAAGACGCCAGGGTCCGAGCACATTGCTCCGCAAGCATCATACCAGTTGGCTCGACGGAGGGTACAGATGTGTTGTCGATAGCTTGTCTTCTGCCGAGTCCATCTCGGTAATGATTCCTTGGGGGTATCGCATGCCCGGACTGTGACGTTGTAGTCTCGTGGGCAGCGACGACGCCTAGAAGAAATACCTGCGCGAGCGACTGTAACATTCCGGAATGAACAGACCTCTCAAAGGCAGACGCAGGGACATAAGAACGACTTGCACCTGCGTCGATCGCTTACTTGGCACTGACGTGCGAAGGATTCGAATCCTACAGCCGGCATCCTTATCCGAATTGCGCCCCTGAACGAAGGTTTAAATAAAGCATCAAGAAGCTTTTTGGCAATGTCCCAGCTGAGCTTATGTTGCCAACATGCCGTGCCAATCAGATCTACTCCAACAACGATTTGATCTATCCGTTTTCAAACTGAGAAGTCGCCAATGATATGGACCAAAGCTCTATACTTTCCCAACGTGATTTCCATTCTGTCGCGTACAATGAAGCGTGCAATAAGACAAAGTCTCGACTTGCATTCGTACTCGTGGGACCCGTCTTCATGTGGACAATTTTCGCTGTGAACCATGGATGCGATCGAACAAACCCAAGCCTTTGTTCACCAAGAGGCTACTAAATAAACCATCATCAAGCAGCCAATCAACAAGGCACCACAATTGAAAACTCTGTCAGACTCAATGGTGATGTCAAGATTGTGCTCCAGGATATCGCGATTGATGGAAGCTCCAGACACCCTGTCCTACCTATTAACCCCACTGCTCGGTACCTCTTCACTGATATTCCCCACGAGGCCTTGTCGCACGTGGTAACGAGCTTGCCTGAATCAAGAATAGACCATTACCGAATCCTCGTCTACCACGTCGGTGAGAACACTGACGGCTTGTCCAATCTCACAAGGGTTACTTGCGAGGGGGCTGCTCCAAGTGTGATCACATGTCAGACCAGTGGGGGTGGCGCAACGGCCTGCGAGCCTTCAATTTTCCGCGGATGTTGTTGACCTTTTTCCCGACGATGCCCAAACTACTATTCTCCTACCAGACTGGGAGTTACTGCAGAGAAGTGCCATTTGACATGTCAACTCCGCATGAGACGGCCCCAACGGAGAATCATGCATCGGCGGTACCCCCTGCTCGCTCTGCCCGCCCAGGCGCGAAACGGATGACATTGAGTTGCGAAAATTGCCAAAGGCGGAAGACTCGGGTTTGTTTCCACGGATGTGTTGCGAATCTGATCTTCCCTGACTCCGCGTGNAAGTGCGATGCTCGACAACCCTCTTGTGCGAACTGCGAGGCTCTTGGTCTGCGATGCTCGACGAGAACGCCCAAGCGCAAGCGTGGTCGTCATGCAAAAGTCACCGAGCATTTGAGCTCTCAAGCCAGTCAAGAGGCCCCGACGCGCATTAGAAGTCCTGCCAACGTACATGACACGGAAGAGTACCTCAATGTCAACGTCGATGATACTTCGGAATTGTTGACCTCTCATTCGCACGATATTGACGACATCCGGGACAATGGAGAATCTAACATCCTGAGCCCTTCGTCCAGCACTCATCGCTATCAATCATACAATTCTCTTCTTGCCACACCACAGCCGGTCTGGAATGTCTGGGACGATATTACTCCTGGAGCTGTCATCGAACACTCTCCAGTATTTGTGCCAGATCTTGGTGTAAAGCCACTTTTCGATGCTTTGTCGCAAGGCCTGGCAGCTGCCGGCATTACAGAAGGTCAACTCGGGTACGTGGCCTCTTGTGTCGAGCTATTCTTTCGCAAGATCTACCCAACATATCCAGTGGTGTATCGTCCAATCCTGGACGAGGCCATTAAGCAGCTTGAACTGGGGTTGTTCGATCTCGACCACAGGACGTTCGCTTTGCTGACTGCCACATGCTCTTATACACTAGCTGTGTTACCAGTCACCACGTCATCCAACTCCTGGCCAGCAGCTACAGTCTTCTACCGCTTGTCGCGTGCAGCACTTGCCCAATACACCGAAGATGACATCGAAAACCCCGATCATACCTCTCTCGTCATACGAATGTTCCAGTCCGGATGGGCACACGTTGCTGGCAAACGCAAAACATCATGGAATATGTTAGGCGAGTGTATTCGTCTGGCGCAGGCGATGCGACTACATGATGAGAGCATCTATGCACGTATGTCTCATCTGGAAGGTCAGATGTGTCGACGAGCTTTCTGGACACTCTACACTGGTGATAAATCCTCTGCAGTACTTGGTGGGCATCCAGTCTGCTTGGGAGAAGCTATCTTCCGAGGTGTTGTTCCCGTGGGTTATCCTGAACCCCTAGGTGATCAAGATGTTGTCTTCGTCGAGACGAATGCAGGCGAAACCAGGCAAATGAATATGTTGACGGGTTTCAATGCCAATCAAGATCTTTGGCGAACTGCCGAACGCTTGCTTGACTTTGACCTTTCCCATCTGAACAGTTCGATCAACAGTCAGGACGAACCAAACAGATCGCAAAGGTTACTAGACTCATACTTGTCAGAGTTCCATGCTTGTCTTGACACCCTACCAGAATGTCTCTCATTCTACACAAGTTTCTCACCAACCGCAGAGAATTTCAGGTTCCAAGGCGAGACGACCTCACACTTTTCATCAGAAGCCATGGCGATCCAACGTATAAATCTTCAGGTTTCACATTTGTGCTTGAAGATGTTGATCACTCGTCGTATACACGAGTCGCAATCTGCCACTGGCTCAAGCTGGAATGGGCAGGAGGAACTTCGCAAGACAACGAGTCTACAAATCGCGGATACCCTTTGTATTGCCAGAGATTTGCTTTACATCATACACACTTCCAGCATTGAGTTGATCAGACTCAACGGAGAAGCTTGTGTGGAGAAGATCCGATTGATCGGGGCTTCTTTGTTAGAGCTGATTGCTAAAAATCCTGACATACCAACTCACAGCGTACTGAGGCGATACCAAGAGTTGTTCCCGCACATTCTGGCACGTCTCGATAGCAAAGCTTCCGAGGTTGCGGAGAGTTAGACAAAAGCGGTGCTGCTGACGAACTTTGCTATTTTCCGACGCACAGACTTGTCAAATCGGGCTCGCCGTGCTCATTGGTTGTGCTGCTATTTTCCGCTTGTGAGTACTGTTGACACTAACATTTGATCCGTATTCATGGTCAACACCAACATCCGTCACCTCCGATGGCTTGAGGAAAGAATGATCTCCGGCTAGTCATTGCCGTGCGACTCCTAGGCCAGAAGCACGGGGACAATAGACATTCCTTACTTTGTTACTTAAACCGCTTGTCTTCGCTTTTGCTGTCATCTCGAAGTCGTCCTTTGAACGCCACACCCGCTACGATGTTCTTGTCGGAAGAAGCTTCCAATATAGCGCACAATACTGCCCCAGTATATGAAGATGATGTAGAGGATTTGCAACTTCCTGCGACTTTCCAATGGGGTGCTGCAACCGCTGCATATCAGGTGGAAGGTGCGGTCGCTACTGACGGCAGAGGAAAAACAATCTGGGACGAGTTTTCTCATCTCCAACCCACCCGTACGAACGGCGAAAATGGTGATGTGGCATGCGACCATTACAATCGGATGCAAGACGATGTCGACCTTCTGAGGTCCTATGGAGTCGATTGCTATCGCTTTTCGATCTGCTGGTCACGTATCATTCCCTTGGGAGGTCGCGATGACGCTATCAACCCTGCTGGCATCGCCTTCTACAACAATCTGATTGACTCTTTGATCGCTAGAGGCATCAAACCCGTCGTCACGCTTTATCACTGGGACTTACCACTGGCACTGCAAGAGAGATATGGCGGGATGTTGGATACCGCTGAGTTCCAGGCCGATTTCGTACATTACGCAAGACTCTGCTTCCACTACTTTGGCGACCGTGTACAGCAGTGGATTACGTTCAACGAGCCTTTCATAATATCGGTCTATGGATTCCAGAGCGGTGTTCTTGCTCCCGGTCACAGCACGAAAAACGGCAATGACTCGTCGACTGAGCCATTCAGGGTCGGTCACAGCATTATTCTGGCTCATGCAGCAGCAGTCGAGCTATACATGCGAGACTTCCACTCTATGCAGAAAGGTTCAATTTCTATCGTTCTGAACGGCGATTACTACGAACCATACGATGCACAAAACGCCGCGGATGTCGCAGCCGCGCAACGCAGGATGGAGTTCTACATCGGCTGGTTCGCGGATCCGGTATATCTTGGGTCCGACTATCCCGCATGTATGAGGGAACAGCTAGGACCAAGGCTACCAAAGTTCTCGCCCGAGGAGCATGCTCTGCTGGCCCGAACCGCACAATTCAATACCTTCTACGGCATGAATCACTACACATCGCAGTTTGCACGGGGTAGAACCACTCCACCAAGTGCCGACGACTACACCGGCAACGTCGAAGAACTGCCGTACAACAGCGAAGGTAAGGAGATTGGTCCGGTTTCAGGAGTTGCATGGCTGCGCGTCACACCACTGCAATTCCGCAAACTGCTCAACTGGATCTGGAAGCGTTTTTCAAGAACCATCTTCGTGACTGAGAATGGTTGTCCTTGTCCTGGTGAACATGATATGGATGTCGATCAAGCCGTAAATGATCACTTCCGTATTCGATACTTTGGCCTGTATCTGGACGCCATTGCATGTGCAATCGCAGAGGATGGTGTCGACATTGGAGGGTACTATGCTTGGTCTCTGATGGACAACTTTGGTATGTTTGTTCAAGCTGTTCCGATATCGAACCTTATATTAACAGTTTGTTGCNNAGAATGGTCAGCAGGCTATGATATCCGTTTCGGCATTACACACGTGGATTTTGCTACACAAGCTCGTACGCCCAAGAAGTCGGCTATGTATCTGCGACGCACATTTGAACAGAGAAGAGGCATAACCACACAAGACAAGTTGGAGAAATTTGACAACATCGTAAAGACTAAAGCTGTCGTGGTGAACGTGGAGGACCTGGCATGTGCTGGTATTCAAGAGGTTGTCATTTGAATGAAGATATAGTCCTGTAAAAATATATCGCTTTACCCTGATGACCAGAAGAGACAATTCGATGTTGTTGGTGGTTGTACATGCCTCGTGATACTGAGAGCGTGATTTGTTGGTGAATCAAGCTCACACAGCCACAAGCACGTGGTAGAATTCTAGCATTCTACGCTGACTGTACTTCTTAAGTTTGATTGTGATCTGCGAGTTGCATTTGGTCTGATTATGATTGGGTTCATTTCTGGCTGACTCCGATAGTATTCTACTGATCTATCAAGATCTTAGATAACTCCCACATGCTGATTCGCTCGAAGGTCGCCGCAGAGGGCTCTGTGCTGTCAACGAAACAGCTAACACCAGTACAGTCCCCATCGTCTGCATACAGCATGAAACTCATTGCAAAACGGTCGTTGGCAAAGACTTCGACCACATTTCCATCGCAGAATATCCTAAAGTTGAGTTGCTCCATTGATTCCTGGCCATTCTTGCGAAGCTTGAACAAAGTAAACCTACCCTTCAAGATGTCTTTGATGACCTTTGGATCGTGGTTGCTGGTTGACCGATCTACGACGATTGCCTCGCGGGCTGCGTCGAAGTAGATCGTGGTTCTCTGAGAGTCAGGCGTGTTGTGCTGGATATGGAAGCCAACCTTGGCTCCAGATGTCGACGATAGTGTCACGACAGCTTCAAGCTCCCAATGCAATCCGTGGAACAGTAAGTGTGGGCTTGCCTCGCAATTTACTGAAGACCAAGACTGACCGCTGCTCTTGCGGAGAAGATGCAAATCACGATATGGTCGAATGCCCATCGTGTGCACTGACTGTGTGTCGGCATGATCACCAGAGGTCGTACTGATCTCTTCGATATGATTCAGTGNGTTTTTGAGAGTGCCGACGACGTTGGATATCGACAACAGAGAGATCTCTCGTGGCAGAGAAAGCATACCACGCCAACCTTTCTCCTCGCAATGCGCTAGGGTGACGTCCTCTTCTTTGATCCATCCCCACAGAATTCTCGCTCCAGAGACAGGATGTCGATACTGGCTTGGTGCATAGAAGCAACCGTGGTCCAGCAGGCCTCCAAAGTCGTAATTCATCTTGGGATTGTCTGATCCCGCAAGAGTCCCGGACATCCACAAGCAATAGCCAACAAAGTTGTCATTGTCCTTGTGTCCAGNGCTTTTGGCACCTTCACATCCAAGAATGAAGAAATCGCGTGATGCAACATCATTTGACAGGGTCATGAAGGCTGCGCACTCCCAATTGACACCAAGATCCCATTGATCAGATGGGTCAAATCTCGAGGGGAGTTGCAAGATGGGTCCAAGATAATTCCATTTGAGAAGGTTGGTCGGGCTGACCTCATACAAGAATACAGCTCCGCCAAAGTTCTTGATACCGCCCGAGATGACTCCATAAAGGCTTTGGGTATTCCTGATTTTGTTGAGACTGTCCCACCGAGCTAGATAGGGATCTCGGAAACCTGTGACCGTGACCCCCTCAGGCTCGCCGAGCAGAATTGGATTTCCGTCGCCCTTGCGCCATGTTTGACCTCCATCTTCGGAGGCTGCATAAGCAAGGCCAGCCGAATTGCGTTGATTCTCAATAGTCCAATTGATAGGCAGGTGGCAAGCTGAGGTGTAGAGCACTGTGAGCGACTCGTCCTGGCCTTGTGGTCCAGTGGGCCAAAAACAACCCGTAAAGATACCCTCTTTGTCGTAAGGTTGATCTGGTTTGAATACTGGCTCAGGGTTGGGCTGTCTCCAGCGAAGTCCATCGGAGCTTGTCAAGTGCCCCCATGTGATGTTACCCCAATCGCATGAGTCAGGATTCCCNNTGCAAGTTTCATCAGTGACGAAGTCAACAAGTACGTGTGTATAGAACTGACATTGATAGAAGAGATGATAAGTGCCTGTAGACACATCGAAGCCTGGAGCGCAAGGATCATTAAGCCAACCTTTGGGAGCTCTAAAGTGAAAGATCGGATCTGTGTGACGAAGAGAAGTTGCAGGAGCCATCACGACTTTGTTTCTGCTCAGCTGACAATCGCAGCCGGATTTGGCTCGTCATATACAGACTTGTTTGTTGCGGTTGTAAGACTACAAGGGTTGCAGAGCTGGGGTGCTCCTTCGGTTGATGGTGGTACGTGCGTCGGAAGATAGCAGGCGCGACCAAAACTCCGTGATCGGAAAATTGTCAATAAGGGTATGCGTGCCGGCACTTGACGGAAAATTGATTTCGCCCCGTGGGGAAGATGAACGATCTGTGGGAGTCAGTCGACGACGAACACACCTACGAGTACCAGCCACCAACTGTCGACGGTATATCTCAATCAGGTATAAAGACATGAGACCTTCCCCGTACTGATCAGCTATCACAACCCCACAAAGATCAGCACTCCAGGCGAAAGTCATCAACCAAACACAATGGACTCGGCCGACCTCACGAAGACTATCAGCCATGCGGACGAGTGTGAAGTGTCTAACGTCGATGCGGATGGCAAGATTCAAGGCGGGCTTGAGGGCTTGACCATCAATGATGTCCTNCCCAAGCTTGATCGTCCTTGGTATCGCGTCCCGCATCTCCTCCACCTCAACATCGTCATTCTTGCGGTTCTACTAACTCCGACCACCAACGGCTACGATGGTAGTATGATGAACGGGGTCCAGACATTACCTGTCTGGCAGAAGGGTAAGTCCAAAATTTGATATCGACGTACTTGGCTGTCCACTGACACATCTTTTCCAGACTTCAACTACCCCAAGGGCGGCACGCTCGGTCTTCTCAGCACCATCAACACCATCGGCTTCATCTGTGCGTTGCCTTTCACTGGATGGATTGCCGATTCTCTCGGCCGCAAACGTCCAGTCCAAATTGGTAACATCATCATGATTGCTGGCGCTATCATCCAATCTTGCGCAAAGGACATTGCTATGTTCATTGCTGCTCGCTTCTTGCTGGGCTTCGGTTTGTCGATTGCTTCTGTCGCTGCTCCGGCTCTGGTTGCAGAATTGACATACCCGACCCATCGCGGCAAGATGACTGCTCTGTACAACACAAACTGGTTCGTGGGTGCGATCATCGCCGGTGAGTTCCAATACACAGACGACCCACAATGAGATACTGACGTGATGGATCANGCATGGAGTACCTTTGGCACCTTCCATATCAACAACTCATGGTCATGGCGTATCCCTTCGCTGTTGCAATGTGCACCTTCTGTCATCCAGCTTATCCTCAGCATCTGGCTGCCCGAGTCGCCTCGCTGGCTCATCCACAAAGATCGTAGAGAAGAAGCCATTCAAGTCCTTGCCAAGCACCATGCTGGTGGTGATCTGCAAAGTCCACTTGTACTCTTTGAGATTTCCGAGATTTCCGCTGCAATCAAGGCAGAAGAGGCTCAGAAGCAGACCAAATACTCTGCCTTCTTCAAGTCGCGTGGAAACCGCCACCGTCTTTTCGTCATCATTGTCTTGGGCATCATGCAGCAGGCCTCGGGAAATACGCTCATCTCGTACTACCTCCACCTTATCCTCAAGCAAATTGGCATAACCAGCGGTACGGCCCAGAACGGCATCAATGGCGGTCTTCAAATTTTCAACTACATTGCGGCCTTGTCTGGTGCTACTCTGGTCGACAGACTTGGTCGCCGCACCCTGATTCTCATCGGTCTTGCTGGAATGTTCGTGTCGTACCTTCTGTGTGAGTCAAATTGATCCTCGTGAACAGCGATAGATTTACTAACAAGTCATGCAGGGACGGTCCTCTCTGCCATCAACGAAAATCAAGGCTATAAGCACCACAGTCTTGGAGTCGGTGTCGTGATCTTGATCTTCTCCTTCAACTTCTTCTACGCCATCAGTCTGACGCCCATCCCCTTCCTCTACCTGACCGAAGTACTGCCCTACAGTTTGCGCGCCAAGGGCATGATGATTTCGTCCTTCTCGGGCATTGCCATTGGAGTCATGCTTGGCTTTGTCAACCCTGTGGCGCTGGAGAACATTGGCTGGAAGTACTACATCGTTTCGGTGGTACTGCTCATTGTCTGGATCATTTGTGCTTGGTTCTGGTTCCCGGAGACCAAAGACAGAAGTTTGGAGAAGATCGCTCAGGTGTTCGATGGAGAGAATGCCTTGTTGGGAGAGATTGATAAGGAGGCTGCCAATGTACAGACCGAGGTCATCATGGCAAAGCATTGAGTGGTTCGTGTTCGAGTTGATGTTTTGTGTCATCTGATAGCTTAGTAGATCGCTGCATGCTAGATTTGCGTGCGCAGCATTGATTCAACCAGTTTCTAGCAAGAACGTTCGAGTTCACCTGTGCCATGTGACGAATGACAAACGCAGATACAGCCGGTTGGTGGAAGTGATTTTGATCATATGCAGAACAAGTACCATCGCTTGTGCGAAACTCCATAGCTGGACCGAGCTGAGCGAATTCTCGACGATCAACTTTCGAATTCTTGCACCACACCAATGGCATTGAGGAAATCGCGCATAATCACACCTGTTTTCGAGCTTGTAAATGCTTCCAANNTCATCGATCTGAAAGCTGGGGAGTTTTTGCGTCCTGTCGTCGCGAAGTATCGAAGTGCAGTACTAATCGGGAACACTGCAGCATGAGCGGCCCAAAGGCCAATACCCGGTTCGAAATACTGTCCAGCCACCTGCGCGATGTTTAGTGCTGGCAGCTCTGGGCTGACCCAGTCAGGTAGGGGCGGTGCCGTCTCTCCGTGCGAGCAAGTGTTCAGAAACGTCTGGACTTGCGAACGAAATTTCCGCAGAGAGCCGTAAAAGATGTTGCACATGGCCCAATACTGTGTGCAGGTGGNAAAGAAGCCATACCCGTGAAGCCGGCAGACATCATACAAGGAACCTCTTTCTTGGGCAACTCCTGACTGAGGACTTCGTGGACTAGAAGAAGAGGATTGTCTCGCGTAGCATAACATCAAGACTTCAATCTCCCATCCTTCTAGTGCATAGCAGACATCCAGCGCTTTCTGCATAAGAGAAATCCCGAGATCGATATGCTGTTGACGATCAGACTCGTTAATGATAGCTCCTATATCTTGGAAGCAATCAAACTCCTGGAGAAGTTGCGGGACGGGATTGATCAAGCCGTATAGCTCATCTCTCATGTTCAGCTTGGGTATGGACCATCCAAGCTGAGTGAAGATATTCGGTCTACGACTTGTGAGACCATGAATGATAGCTGTCATGCGTGTACCATCGTACAGATCAACGCCTATACCAGATAGATGTCTTTCTCGTCCCCGAAGCTGAACAAGACGACAAGTCCCGTTGACGTGCATTCGCCAGTCAGCTATCTGGTTACGTTGTGGAATTATTGGCGAAGGCTCAGAGGATATACGTTGGAGCATCTCGAAGAGGATAAGAAGCCGACAACACCCGAGCACACGATCATCACACGCTGTGGTGGGATCTTGCAGCGCAATGTTAGTCTGCTTGAGTGCTTGCGCATACAACCACGCTGCACGCATGACTAGCGCACGATCGTCATTCATCCACCCAAGCCCTGCTAAGGCGCAAGCTTGCAAAGCTTTCTTCACGTCGGTGTCTCGTTCTGCCAGCTTTCGAATACTTGGTATCCACGGTGCCGATAGGATGCCGCCGATACTCCCGTCCAGTGCAGGATCTTCTTGAGGGAGATAGTTTGTCCAGAAGTATTCATCCATGACAAGCATGAAACATGTTCTGGTGAGTGAGTCGGCCGAACGCGACATCAGGGAATTTGTTGGACTCGATCCACTTTCCTGGCCAACAAAGACAAATTTCTTTTCTTCGAATGTGCAAGCGATTTTGAGTCGCTGGCATCGTGTGCATGTTGGCTTCTTTAAATCGCATCCCTTCTTCTTGGCCCTGCAATTGACACATCCTCGTGTGGTGCGAACGCCCTGCATGGCTTACAGTTGGATGGAATCCCTGTAACAGATGTTAAGGATAGTGCTCGTCGACGTTAAGAATTCAAGTCTGATTCCTCGTGCGCTTGATTCTATCGCGAGGTTCCAGCGCATGATTTTGTCGCTGGCAAAGAAATATGAAGGTTGATCTGTTTAGCCACTTCACTGCGGCATTCTTATGATCAATCGACTTCACCAACCGGAGACGTCAAGGTGACTTGGTAGTTTGTTGCGACAAAATTGAAGGATGGAGGAAATGTGACACGAGAAAACATGATGAGGCGCAGTAGATGAACCTAATCCTTTCGACGGCATTTGCGACAGACTGATCCTCCGAACGCGCAGAATGTATGACAGGAATCTTGAAAGGCTGGGCGCCGCGACGGTGGAAGACGGTCGACTGAACGAGGACATCCGCCACATCAGCGTTTTCTGAGCTCTAAGCCTCTTACTACTACTTAGTAGGACCTTACTACTAGTAACGCTTATATTACTACCCTTAAGGCTACTATCTAGTAGCTTCTTAACGCTTATACTAACTAAGAAACAACGATAACAATTTATAAGAGAGGATATAGAGTTTTACTTTTAATAATACCTCTAGAGGTATAGTGTTTAATAACTTTAAGCCTTAATTAGCATAAATTTATATACCTACCTAGTAGCATTTTCTTTAATCCTAAGTTATACTAGAATCTTACTAGAATTACTCTAAATTAAGAATCTCTAAGAATTAATTAGAGGTAAATTATAAATAGAAAATATTAATCTAGAAGTTTTAGATAGGGTTACGCTTCTAATAGCCTAAATCGACCCGATTTTAACTAAGTTAAACTAGTTAATAGAAAGGAGTTTATACTACGTTAAATTTAAAAGGTTATCTTCTAAATAGGAAAGTAGAGCTTATATCTACCTATCTCTATATAGCTTATTAATCCCTTTTCTACTATAGCTCTTAGAGTTCTTACTAGAGGCGTTATATCTAGGTCTCCTACTAATACTCTTCTTATTCTTACTTATAAGCTATAGATAGCTTAATAGTTAGTCCTAAGAGAGAGTTTAGATTAGTTATACTATATAAGAAATACTTATTATACTTCTAAGTAATCTTATTATAAATAAATTAGCTAACTTTATACTTATAGGACTAGAAAGCTATTATAGTAGCTTAAGAGAAGTATACTAAATTAGTCTAAATTCGCTACTAAATTAGCTAGTTAAACCTTATTTAATAATGTATTATCTCTTAGAAGACGCTAAGGCTAGTAAGAGACTCTACTATATATTAGTAAGATATAATAATTTCTAAATCACTCTAAATTACACTAAAATTACACCGAATTAAGAATCTCCTAATCTTTAGATATTTCTTTTACCCTTATTTATTTATAAAGTCTTCTTAAAGTGTAGTATCTACCTATATTATAGGTCTATACTATACTAATTATATATTAAGTATATTATCCTAAGCCTACTTATAAGCTAGTAGTTACTATATATAACCACTCTATAGTTTATCTAATTTATAGAGGTATAGTTAAAGCCCTAATCGTTTATACTTAGTAATAGTAGTATATAGAGTCTAATAAGCTAGTATATATATTCTAAATTTGTCTTTAAATGCTTAACTATTAATATTATTAAAGTTATCTAGATAACTAGGGTAGAGGGTATAGAAATAAGTATAATAAACTCTAAAATATAAGCTAGTAGATACTTATAGATATTAAAGCCTTATAGGTTATCTAAGAAGGGTTTAATTAGCTTAAAAGGCACCTTATACCTATACTCTATACCTTTATACTTCTCTAGAACTTAATATAATAAAAGGGTATACTATTAATAGTATATAGCCGACTTAGTTACTTTCGAAGCTTATAGGAATTCTAATAGAAGGCGAACTCTAACGACTTAGTCCTAATAATTAGCATATATACTATAAGAAATATAATCCTATTAATATAGGAATCCTTATTATACTAGTTATTACTTAATAGCTCTTTAAAATAGCATCTCTAAGAGGCTAAGGTTAATTTTATCTAATAGCCCTACTAAACTTCGATATATTAGTTCTACTTACTAGTTCTATAGTAAAAGTAATCCTTAAAGGTGAGCTTATTAAGGCTTATCTTAAATAGGTTAAGGCTAAGCTTATAATAGCTATTAGCTATAAAGGGTGTCTTAGCTCCTTAATCGGCTTAAATCTAAAGAGATATAAGGTTACTATTAGTAAGAAATGTTATATACTACTTAAAAATAGAGATAGCGCTATAGCTAGTAATACTAACATAGATCTAGATAATAAACCTTAAGAACTAGTTAATTATAGTATATATCTAGATACCCTAGTACTCTAGTTTATAATAAGTATCTATCGACTAGATATAGTTTAGGCTAGGTATAATTATTATGCCTTATTAGACTCTAGATTTCTTTATATATATAGCGATTCCCTCTAGGTTAATCTAGCGAGCGATTTAATAGACTCTATCTCTTCTAATAATATAGTATTAGGGATACTTATAGTAAACATAGTTATATAGGTAGTTCTAGCTAAAGTTATATACTCTAACCTTATTATACTTATTAATAAGTACCTCTATAATAACATCCTTAAGCTAGTAAGGGTCCTTAATCTTCTTAAGTAGTTAGAGTCTCTATTAAAAGTCGTATAGTACCTATATACTAATGTTCTAGCCTATATAAGTAAGTATACTTACTATCTCTTTATTAGTTAATTAGTAGTTAAAGTATAGCGTAATAATAATATTAGTTATCTAACTAAGCTCTAGATCTTACTTTCTTAAGTTAGGGTAGTATAGCTATATACTCTAGTCCTAAAGGCGATATTCTAGTATATATCGAGTAATAGTAATATTATACTTAGTATATAGAATATAAAGGATAGCGTTAATAGTATAGTTATAGCTACTATTAAAGAGTATATAGATAATGTCCTTATAGGGCGTAAAATTGATTAAAGAAGGAGCTATAAGGGAAGGGAGGCGAGGTATAAGGATCTAATAGTAAGTTTTAGGTAAAAATTTGCTATAACCTAGTTAGAAGTTTAATATACCTAAGGAATAAATGGTTAACTTATAGAATTAGTAGTGAATCACACTAAATTAAGCCTCTAGAGATTCTCGCGAGGGGGTAAAGCGTCTTTGCGGCGGGAGTAAATAAAGCCGAAGCTAATTCTTGGCGATGTGGCGGATAACCTCGTTCAGTCGACCGTCTGGAATTATTTGGCCGCGAAATCCTTCGAGAGTCCACAGCGTCTAACCGCTTTGGGAGGGACTCTGCGCTCGCCGACATCATCGTCGCAATGTCCCTCTGCGATCGCGACTGCCTGCTGACAACAGCTCCTGCATCTCGATTTGCATGCCATTTCGCACGATGATTCTTATAGGGCACCGTCGCAGAGTTCCCCCCGATTGGGTATAGCCTGCTACGTCGCAGCAACGACCGCTGTTATGCATGCTTCTTCTGCTGCGAGCTGACGAACTTTTGTTAGAGAGTCAAGTGTTATATAGGACCACAAACATGTCTATAAGTATGCGTGAAACCCACTCGACTGCTACATACATCCACTTCTCATCCCAGCTTGACCAACAATATATTCTCAGACGACACCCAATTCATTGACTCATCTCCAATCTTGTCAGATATGGCATTGAGTTCAACCCAATCTGACAAACTTGCCAATGGCTTTGTCCGTTGTATGCGTCGCGTGTACAACCCGCTGGGTTTCTCCAAAGGATACAATGCCGTCCTTGGTGAGCATCGACAGCTACACTGCTGGTTAGACCACTGCTCATGATCANNTTTAGCATTCCTTGCACTTGGGTACCTCTTGGGTTTCACCCTCGCCAGATTGCAATACCTGTCATTCAACGGGGTATTCTGCAATCCAAACTCCTCCGGCGGTACTGGAGCCGCTCCTGGAGAATGCTACTACTGGCTGCAAGTACCCTTCAAGATCGGTGGGTCGACTGTTCAGCGCTTCGTCCGAATCAATACTGACAATCAGAAAGGCATGAAGCTTCATTTGTACACCATCTTACCGGCTTCACTGCTCGTCATCCTCCAGTTCATTCCTGTGATTCGACACAAGATCATCTTGTTCCACCGCATGAACGGCTATGCTATAGTCATACTTTCACTTGTTAGCAATGCTGGAACGATCATAATCACCAAACACGCTTTCGGAGGTGACTTTGCGACACAGACCTGGACCGGAGCTATGGTGATACTCACCACTGTAGGATACATCATGGCCTGGGTCAACATCAAGTTACTTCAGATCGACCAACACCGAGCTTGGATGTTGCGAGTATGGGCATGGGTGGGGCGACCATTTTGCTCTGCGGTGTACAATGTACTGATATCGTGCAGNTTCTCGACCATCATCACAATCCGAATCATCATGATCATCTCGGCACAGATCATTAGCATGAGCAGAAATTGGTAAGCCATACCAACCACGAATGCCGAGACTACGAACACATCTGACAGTCTCTTCCAGNNGTACACTGTTCGAACGTGTGCTCAGGTTGCATTCGCTTTAGGACAGAACGACACCCTTGTCGCTTATCCACAATGCATCGACTACTTCAATGGCAATGCACCAAACCTTCCAGTCATTGTCACTGCCGACTTTGCGAGCGACAATTCCATGGAGCTTTCTGCCGCACTCGGAATTCCTTTCGGAGCAGCGGGGTGGCTTGCCTTATTATTGCACACTTTCGCTATCGAGACATACGTAAGTTGATCAGATATACTGAATCATGAAACAGACACTGACCAAGATGGAACANNGCTTCGCCTCACACCCAAAGAGTCCAATCGCTTGCGCCAAGTCTCGTATGAACGTCAGCTCGAGAGAGGTATGTCCAGGCCTGGATACGCGGGATTGGTTCCTGAGAGATTCGGAGACGCAGAGCCATTCCAGCCCGCCTCGCGCAAGGAAGAAATGGCTAAGGAAGTGGCTGGTCACATGTCCGCAGATTCGAACAGTGATATACTCGGCGTTGAGCGAGCATGGGTCAAGTAGTCCACATAGTTCAGTGATCGTTGGTTCACCTTGCCCCATGCCAGAGACATGAGCTGCAGAAGGGCCTAGAGTTGATAGACGATTGAATCATTTTGCTTATCATCCTCATTCACATAGAGATTGACGTGAAGAACCGTCAATTGATATATCCAAGATTGTTGCAATTGATGGCTAATCAATTGTCGCGGTAGGGACAACCCTGTGCTTGCGCAACCCATTGGCTTAATCTTTTGCACCTTACTGTTGGAAGCAGTCCAAGATATATTCAAAGGTTCAATCACATCAATATCATCGATATCCAGTCAAGGCTGGATAATCGTTGCAGTTCATACGTACATTGTGCGGCCATGTCCGATGGACGTCCTCCAGACATGGTAGTGGGAGGGTGTAGCGGCCCCATCGGGTATTGCGGAACCACGACTTTTGAGCCAAAAGCGGGCAACTCAACTTCGCACGCCTTGAGAGTTCTACAGCCGCGATCGGATTCGTTGCCCGAAAGGCGGAGATGCACAATGATTCACCCAGATAGAGGAGTACCGAGGATAGGGCTCCGAGAAAGATTCGAGTCATCAAAGATGCAAGTTTTTCTATATCTTGCGCTTGGACGGTGTCGTTTAGAGGAATTCAGCATCGATTCATGAACGATTGAACATACGCGACCAATACCGGAGCGACCATGACGTCCTACGAACCCAAGAACAATCACGCCCACGAGAGCATTTCGAGTTTCAAGGATATCGAACATGAGCAAGAGCGAGGATCATACAAGTCGGAAGACCTTCACACAGTTGAACCGATAGCAGGAGAACCACCGCTGGCCAACACCTTCTCACACGACCCCGCCGTATCGATACGAAGCGTTGAGCCTGCTCCTGATGGCGGACTACAAGCCTGGACTCAAGTTGCCATGGCTCATTTGACCGTCTTCAGCACGTGGGGCTGGGTTACGAGTTATGGTGTGTTCCAGGAGTACTACAGGACTTCCTTAGGCCTGGATCCCTCGGCCATCTCTTGGATCGGCAGTGTTCAGATCTTTCTACTCTTCTTCCTGGGAACATTCAGTGGCCGCGCGCTTGATGCTGGTCTCTTCCGTCCCGTCTACCTTGCAGGAACAGCGATGCAGCTACTGGGCATCTTCTCGATGTCAGCAGCGACCAAATACTGGCAGCTTTTCCTGTCGCAAGGGTTGTGCATCGGCATTGCCGGCGGACTGCAGTTCTGCCCTGTCATGTCGCTAGTCAGCACCTACTTTGTGAAGAAGCGTTCATTCGCCATTGGCTTTGTCACAATTGGGTCTTGTACAGGCGGCATCGTCTTCCCCATTGTGGTGCAACAACTTCTTCCACGCATTGGCTTCCCCTGGACCGTCCGCGTATGTGGCTTCCTCATGCTGTTTACAAATATCCTGTGTAACCTCGTCTTTCGTACAAGACTGCCACCTCGCAAAGCAGGACCCATTATAGAGTGGTCATCATTCAAGGAACCAACCTATGTGCTGTACTGCGCAGGAATGTTCTTCAACTTCTGGGGATTATATTTTGCGTTCTTCTATGTCGGTAGCTATGGTCGCAACGTCATCGGCATGAACTATAACGACTCGATCGATCTCCTTCTGACAATGGTCGGTGTTGGTTTTCTCTGGCGATTGCTACCAAATTACTTAAGTGATCGTCTTGGGGCTATCAATGTCATGTTGCCGTTCACTATTCTTTGTGGCATTATGATGTTCGCTTGGGTCGGAGTCCATTCAAAAGCATCGTTGTTCGTCTTTGCTGCTATCTATGGCTCTGGTTCAGCTGGGCTGCAGTCCATGTTCCCTGCTGGTCTGTCCAGCCTGACGACTGATTTGAAGAAGACTGGTGTCAGGCTTGGGATGGGCTTTACGATAGTATCTTTCGCTTGCTTGACTGGGCCACCTCTAGCTGGTGCCCTCATCTCTCATGACCATGGCCATTACTTGCCTGCGCAAGTATGGGCTGGCACATCATTTCTCCTAGGTGCATCGCTCCTATTTGCCGCACGCACGGCGAAGGTTGGGTTGCACCTTAGGCAAAAGTTTGAGTCAATTGTGTTTCAACAGCAATTTTTAACGTCAGTCTATAGAATATCGTAATGATCTATTTGCACCTCACAGAATGCTGTCTTGCATCTAGTGCTCATGCTCGAAGTCCCTAAACACAACCTCATCGTTCTCTTCATCAGAGACAGCGAAAACCCCGATGACCGGGCCGACAAAGTCTGCATTCGACAATTCTGCCGTGTCAACTACACCAAGAGTTTTCGTCACGCCTTCTTCTTCCTCGTACTGGAACACAAGCTGATTTTCGGTGTAATCGACCAACAATTTGATATCAGAGGATTCGCTTGAGATCTCCTCCTGATCATGTCTGCTGATCTTCTTTCCGTTGTTGACAACTTCGAAGCAGATGATTTTGTCGCCACTATTGTAGTAGATACGTGTGTACCGATGTTCGTCCTTGTAGATCACAAGACCTGCGCGAGAAGATCCTGTTTCTGGCAGTACGAGAGTCACTGCAGCGGTTCCATCGAGCCTTCTCTGACGCTTGCCAACGAACGAGACAGGCTGTTTCCATTGAGAGATATCTGCCTGGCTTGGAGTCAGGCGGATGGTCGAGCCTTCGATCTTGTGGTGTTGGAGATTGGCATCGCGGATATAGAGCCAGTCCAAACCAGTCTTGTTCGTTTTGACCACCTCGTTCTTGAACTTGTGTGATGAGGTTGCCTCAACTGTGTCAAGTCTTGGCCATTCACCTTGCTCCCAATGTCCAGTGACCAAGAACGACTCGCGGCCCATATGGAATCTTGAGCCCTGCATGCGCATGCCTAAACAGACGCCCCACCACTGATCGTCCTTATCCTGGAACATGTCGCAGTGCCCAGTGCAATGGACGTAGTTATCTGTACCAGCGGCAGTAAGGATCGGGTTCTTCTCGTTCGCTTCGTAGGGACCCCATATATTTTCCGATCTTGCGACAGTAATCATGTGGTCCTTGAAGGTTCCGCCTTCAGAGATGAGCAGATAGTAGAAGCCATCTTTCTTGTAGATGTGAGGACCTTCTGGGTATATGCCTCCAGTTCCCTTCCAAACAGTCTTTTCTTCTGACAACTTCTTGCCAGTGGACAGATCAGCTTCGAACAGGCTTATTGTGGTCATGGGACCAGGTCCATGCGAGCCACATATAAATGCTGTACCATCTTCGTCCCAGAAGATAGATGGGTCGATGCCATCGAAGTCGAAGTAGACTGGATCTGACCAGTTGTCTGACCAGATATCGTCGGTCTCGATGATGAAGTTCTCGGGTTTGTCGCCAGCATTTTCAGGATGAAGGACATTGGTGTTGATGATGTATGTCTTTCCTGATTTCGAATCGTGTCTGATCGTTGGTGCGAACAGCCCGCCTGTGGCTAGCATGACGGTGCCATCATCTTGAGGCTCAAGCTTTGTATCTGACAGGCGCAACGAGAGTTGGGATTGGCGATTGATCGCATTGCNCTAGATGATCTCAGCAAATTTGTTGTTGTCATGTTTGGCTGGGAACTTACTGATCAGTGTCCAGTTGACAAGGTCTTTGGATGCATATATGGGAAGGCCAGGAAACAAGTGGAAAGTTGAGTTGACAAGGAAGAAGGTATCGCCAATCCGAGTAACGGATGGATCTGGAGCAAATCCTGGAATGATTGGGTTGATTGTGGTCATGATGTCGGAAAAAGGCAGGTGAACCAAGAAAAGAGAAGACAACAAGACCTGATTTCTTGTGTCAGAGCTGATGTAAAGTCTACTTACGAGGGGTCTTGCTCTTTGGTATGTGGCTCTCCGGATAAAGGTCGAGCTGTCGCGATGCCCCGCGTTGTGGCACAGTTGGCATGAGTTTAGCCAGCTTGGCCGACATCTTGCATTTAGGCAGGAGCACGACCGGGCACGATTCAGAACTCTACACAACGGTCGATACAACAGTCATCTGCGAGTCGCGCCGAAAGGGGTCGCATGCTGGAAAGTCGAGAGTCGAGACAACAATTCCCCGCATGGTTCATGTCCCCCGCATTTCCTCCCGTCGCCCCCACATTCCCGGACGACACTCCACTGCGAGCCTGCGACATGTGATCGACCGATGAATACGAGCACTAACAACTCTCGAGGGGTTGCATTTCCAGCACGCATCTAGACCACAAGCTGCATTGCTGAGCCCATGTCGCTCCTAGTGTGCAGCGGTCTGTCGTCCTATGGCTCAGCGATTTCCCTGCACTGCATTGATGTCTCGACTGGTCATACCAAAAGCACAAGACCATGCCGCATCACAAGCCCGTGAGGGGCAGCTCCAAGCCATGGCTGCTATACCAAGATCCTTCAGCCCTCTTGGCACACTACAACGGCCACCAACACTGCGAGACTTTCGCTTTCCAAGATCATGGCAATCCGGAGCGATGGATCGAATATTAGCCTGTGCTGCTTGCCAAGTTCTGGTCACACTGTATCTTGAGTGAGTTCAAGACTGGTATGTACGAGAAGGCAGAATAGACTCGGCCGAGTCGTGGGGTCCCCAGAACCCAGGTTGTAAACAGTATGCATCCTTCCTCTCTGGACCCGGACATCTTTTAGCCTGTTGAATGCATGGTATCGAGCATCTATATCAGCTCGTTGGATCCCCCAGTCGCTTTGGTTAACCGCAATCCACACTGGTATACCATTTTTGATATACCATTTTCTCAACCACCATCATGTCTCGCTTCCCCAAACCACGCAAACTGGCTGTACCAGTCAAGCCTCCTAAGGGTCACTTCTTCTTCGCCGGTCACACCATCGAGCGTGTCAAATGGTGGACGTCAGGACCCATGAGGAAGCTGTATTTCCTCTTGGTGGTCATGGTATGTTCAAATATCATCTCGGACAAGTTCAGGACTTACTTGAGAGCTAGATCATGACCAATACTGCAAACGGTTTTGGTAAGTAAGACAAATCTACGGATATCATAGGTCCACCAACATCAGATGGTCCCAATACCGATCAGGTGGCTTTTCGACTGCTATTTGTATCATCCGCATATGAGAACCATGCTAACTGTACCCTTTTAGACGGCTCAATGATGAACGGCCTGCAATCGTACGTCAAATAATGAAGGTACAAACACTACGACTTGTGGCGGCGTTTGTCTCAACCTGTGGGAGTAATTTCTGGATGTGTTTCTCGATCAAACACCACTCAGAACAGCGCCTTGCAGCGTGCATTCGCTCAGCTGAGTCGTAGTGTCCTCGCATCCAACGTTTGTTAACTTGCTGATTTTTGCAGGCTGTCATACTGGCAAGAATACTTCAAGTATCCTAGTGGAAGTATCCTCGGCTTGTTCAACGCATCGATGAGTCTAGGATCTTTGATCGGTCTTTTCTTTGTGCCTTACATCATTGATCTGTTTGGTCGTCGATCTGGTATCCTAATTGGGTCCCTCATCATGTGTCTGGGTGTCGGTCTCCAGGCTGGCGCCGCCAACTTCGGAATGTTCGTCTCGGCGCGACTCTTGATTGGCTTCGGCGACTGTATTGTGCTGGGCTCTGCTCCTCTACTCATTACGGAGCTTGCGCCTCCTCAAGATCGTGCCGTCCTGGTCACTCTATCTGGTGCATCTTACCACTCTGGCGCTTTCATTGCAAGTACGTCGTCCCAAAGCACAGACACACCAATAGCTCTGGCGAGGTGAGTCAACTTCACGAGGAGTTCTCGGAGAGGATGTCTGGATGAGACATTCATCAGGACGACATCTCGTGAAGTTGAGCTCATCCGTCTAGGCTAGCGGTGACGCCTGGCAGCCGACCATTGTTCTCGATGTCTAAGTAACCTCTTCTCTCTAGGTTGGGTCACATACGCCACCTTGAAGATCCCTAGCGAGTGGTCCTGGCGTTTGCCATCTCTACTCCAGTGTACCTTCTCCATCATCATCTCCATTGCCATCTTCTTCACACCTGAGTCTCCTCGATGGTTGATCAGTAAGGATCGTTCTGAAGAAGCATTGGCCATTCTTGCCAAGTATCACTCGATGTCCGGTGACCGCGACGACAAGCTTGTCCAGCTTGAGTACAACGAGATTGTTGCTGCCATCAAGATGGATCAAGAAGCAGATCGTACCGGCTGGCTCGACCTGTTCAAGACTCCAGGAAACAGAAAGCGTATCGGTATCATTACTGCCATTGGTTTCTTTTCGCAGTGGTAAGTCTAGAACCATCTCCCCAAGGGAACCATGAACTGACTAGATAGGTCTGGCAACGGTATCATCTCATACTATCTCTCAACTGTGAGTCTAGGGTGCTGCGCCAGTCGCAGTCTCGCGAGTATGGTTGTTCTGACAGTTCCCAGATCATGAAGGATATCGGCATTACCTCCGCAAGCACCCAACTCGGTATCAACGGTGGCATGAAGTCCTGCTCGCTTGTGACCAACATTGGTATGTCATTCGCTGCCGACAAGCTTGGAAGAAGACCCATGTACTTGATCTCCACCATCGGTACGTTCGTGGTGTTCAACATCGCGACCATAGTAGCCGCTCGATACGCCGCGACACCTCAGAGTTCTCTCGGTGCCGCATTTGTTGCCATGCTGTTTATATATGGCTTCTTCTACGATTTCAAGTATGCAACAGCTCTGGGATGATGTCAAGAAAGCTGCTAATATCGATCATAGGAACGGTCTCATGGCTACGTATACCACCGAGATCATGCCTTACGGTCTTCGTGCCAAGGGTTTCACATGGCTCAACTTCTGCGTCACGCTCTCTCTGTTCTTCAGTACGTCAAAGCTCGTAGTACCCATCATCGACATCTACTGACAGTTATCTCAGACCAGTACATCAACGCTATCGCCCTCAAGGCACTCAAGTGGAAGTACTACATCTGCTACTGCGTCTTCCTCGCCTTTGAGGTTGCTGTCATCTATCTATTCCTCGTCGAGACTCGCTATACACCGCTCGAAGAAATTGCAAAGTTCTTTGATGGTGAAGACAGAACCCTCGATGTCGCTGCTGTCGCCAACGAACAGGTTAAGCATGATGAGGATGGTGACGTGAAGGAAAAGGGTTTGACTGTGCAGCAAGTCGAGATTATTGAGAAGGTCTGATTGTGACGATACATGAGCTCAAGATGAGCTATTAAGATTGGTTTTTGTGTACCTGATGGGAAGGTAGTATGCTTAGTCGAGCTGTATAAATTCAACCGCAACAAACATCTGGTTCCATATGCCGTCTACTTGAGACTGCTGTTTGCAGGTAGGCAACCAAGTTTGTTCTTGCTCACCCAGCTCTAGCAAGATTCCGTATGTGCAATGCAGAATGGTTGTCAAGTTGGCCGAGAGGTGGTTGGCTTTGAGCTTCTTGGAATTCCGACAATTCCCCGTAGGTCAATCTACAAGAAACATCCGCCAGATTGCATCACGCCAGACACGACAGAACACCCACAGAATCCGCAGGTGATGACAGTGCATTTGTTGAACACGTCTATCTTCTCGTCGAAATTTGTGACTGGTCTGCGTGCTGATAGGTTCCTTCTCCAAACACTCCTGCTCCATGATCACCGATACAGATCTCAAGCGCACGTAGGACAGTTTCTCAACAATGACGTCCGCCAGATTACCTCCTCACTGTCGCCTTGTCAACATTGGTACTCACTCTTTGGCTCTTTACACACATGGTCCTGAGCCTAGTAGCCCCAACGATCCGGTGGCACTCTTCATCTCAGGCGTGGCCAGTGACGCACTGAACTGGCAAGCCGTGGTGCGCCAACTGTCTCCTTCGCTGCGCAGCTACACTTACGACCGTTCTGGTTACAACAACTCAGAGCTGTCGCCACTGGCACCTACAGCTGAGAATGTGGTGATCGAACTTTTGCTTCTGATTGAGAAAGCGACCATCGTCAACCCGCTGATCTTGGTCGGACACTCCTGGGCTGGCGTGTTGATACATGAATTTATCGCTCTAGAAGGTATTGCGCAGATCGCAGGCTTGGTGCTTGTGGACGCAAATTATGAGACTGCGCCTCAAGTACTGAACGTCAATGATCCGATTCTCTGGACGATGGCCGCTGGCGTATAGCCCTATTCCGCTTGGGGCGTCGAGGCTAATCATAAACTGACGGCTGACGAGTGGGCTGCCTTCCGCGCCGTCGAGTCGACCGATAAGTACAGAGCCATCGCACAGAAAGAAGACGAGCAATACTTCTCCAGCTTCGAGACACTGCGCAGGAAGGAGTTGGTCAATTCACAGCCACTGCTTGGTGACAAATCTGTATTTATGATTGGCGGTATGCGCAGCAGAAATTGGTCTGGCTTGTACGAGGCAGGTGTGACTTGAGGCAATAGCAGTGAGGAACAAAGAGTACACGTCAGGAACATGATCGCCAGTATGGACAAGAAGAACGAGGGTTTGATGAAGGAGTTCTAGAAGCTTTCGACAAAGAGCGAGTTGGTGTTTGCAAAGGAAAGTGGCCACTTTGTTCAGATGACCCAACCAGAGGTCGTTGTGGATGGAGTTCAATGGGTACTACAAATTCGGAGGGCACAGTTCCATGGAGATCCGTGAAATACTTCGGATGATACACCATCAGTCGCCGATGCTTTCTGAGTCATGGGACAGACGCGATGAAGCAGACGCGGAGTTTCCGAATCCTGAGCACAGTTTCCATCCTTCGAAGGATCGGAGGATTCAGGGTCCAGGCTGCCAACTCAGAACTTCATGGTCACGTTGTGGAGTTGCAGCCAATTGGCGAACGCTTGTCGCATCATCTTTTCCTTGATCGGCAGGTGGATATTCATCTATTTCCGGATTAATCTATAGTCAGACGGCATCTGCTTTAGCCTTGCATTCCTTTGGGCGTTATATGGCTCCTGCAAATGCTGGTCTGGGGCTACATAAGGGAAGGAAGTCCCCAGCACTTGCATACAGCGACACACCAATTCCCAAAAGCTTCACCATGTCATCTACCACGACCACAGAGCAGAGCTTCCAATGGCCCGTCAAGACTTCCGAGTTTCAGAATCATGCAGTAGACTCGACAAGATGGAACAACTTTCCCTTCCGAGATGACGATGTCATTATCGTCAGTTGGGGCAAGTCTGGCACAACCTGGATGCAACAAATCCTCTCTCAACTCATCTTCAGGGGTTCCGAGAATGCGCCTATCCATGAAGCATCACCTTGGTTAGACCTTCGACCCCTACCCGAAGGATTTGCTGTCGGCTTGCTCGAAGCTCAGACCCATCGTCGCTTTATCAAGACGCATTCACCAATCGAGAACCTTGTCTACAGCCAAAAGGCCAAATACATCTTCTGTGCTCGCGATGGAAGGGACGTCATCTGGAGCATGCACAACCATCTGTTTAATGCTACGCCGGCATTCTATGAGATGATGAACGATACACCAGGTCGCGTTGGCCATGCCGCGGAAAGGCCACCAGCGGACGTCAGGGAATATTTCCTTGACGTGCTCGAAAATGATGATAGAGCAACATTGACTTATCCCTTCTGGAATGTCATTCGTGGCTGGTACGCTGCAAAGAACACGCCCAACTTACTCCTTGTCCACTTCAACGACTTGAAGAAGGATCTCAAGGGCGAGATTCAGAGAATCGCGAAGTTCTTGGACATTGAATTGACCCAAGAGATGCTGGCTGAGATTACCGGACACTGCACCTTCGATTACATGAAAGCGAACGCCAAGAAGGTGAGTCCCGAGCAGGCTGCATGGATGTGGGAGAAGGGTGCGGACACTTTCATCAACAAGGGAAGCAACGGCAGATGGAGGGATGTGCTCACTGAGGATGATATCAAGCTTTACGAAGACAAGGCAAGGTCAGAACTTGGAGAGGAATGTGCAAGATGGCTTGCTGAGGGTGGAAGAGTGCAGCCATACTAGTTGAAGTCGAAGCTATAGCAAGATAGGCTCTCACAGTCGACAATGCGATCAGTTCTTCGCGCTTTCCAGATCAAAGTCTTACTCATCCTTCGATTCTTCCTTAAGTTCCAGCTCTGCTTCTCCATCATCTTCTTCTTCTTCAGCACCGCTGGCTTCAGCTTCTTCAGTCTTTGCGAGGACTCGCTTGGTGATGGCAAGCAACTTTGATCCTGCACCTTTGTCGTCGCCATACTTGTTCAGACCCCATTCAGCTTCCTCGACTGCCTTTTGGGCATGGAACAGGCAGTCTTCAAGACCATGGGCGAGTATCTACTTACTAGTCAGCTTTGTACTACATGTGAATAAGAACACCACTGACCATGTGAGCGTAGGCTCTGTAGAGCACTGGCAAATTTCCAAACGAGAGGAGCTTGTGAGCCAATTTCTCGGCCTCCTCGTGGTTTCCTTTGTCGACGAAGTCAATCATTTTGTCGTGCATTTGACCATATTGAGCCTGCAGATTTTCGTAAGGCTTTATAAGAGGGAAGGCGGGTGCACGGGCTTGCTGGTTGATGCTCTCAGGTGCGTCCTTGTTGATATTGTCCTGGGTTTCCGGAGAGGAAGTCGCGGTGGTGTCATCAACGGGCTGCATGCACTCCTTCTTCTCTGACATGGCGGCGGTTCGGTTGAAAGGTTGGTGAGACATTGTAGAATGAAGCTGCTTGTTGAGTCGAGATGTGGAGTGCAGGTGTGGAAGTGCAAAGGAAGTGGGCAGCAGTGAGTACGAGGAAAGTGCGCTTTCACTTGTGCATGTGTGCATTACTCCGACCGGTAGGCACGTTCACGACATCGACCCTTCCCTTCTGAGAATGGTCGTTTGTCTGCGCACTACACACGAGCTCGGTCAAAAACCCCTTCACTTCTGCCATGATTCAAACTATCCTTTCTACTTGCAAACTTCTTCATTCGCCACTCTGACTTCTTGGTCTCGACCTGTCACTTTCTCTTCTTCTCAACCCGCTTCTTACATACTCTGCTCTGTCTTCGTAGATATTGTTACTTTATCCGATCGGCGATCTGCCGTGCCTCTCAATATCAGCAGAGTTCGGTCTGGATCCGAGTCTGAGGGTCTTGAGGTATGCTGTCGGACCACCCTTTTGAAGACAATGCTCTTTCTGGCGAGATGTTCTGCTTCCGCATCGCGAGCGGGAAGGTGGGCTAAGTGGGTTCCCTCGCTCGAATAGTGTAAGATGGTTAGTCTGTCGAATCACCCTTGTCTGCTCGATCGACGCACCAGCATCGAAGCAGACTATTCTTCCTTCAATCCATTCGCAGGATACGGATACTCGAAGACTTCAAATTCGATTGGCGTTTCGACATCGAGTGCGATCTTTCCATATCTTTGCCAGGCGGTGCGTTCTGTCTAGGCGGCAACATCACCTCTTCGCGAGTCCCCTCATACCAATGATATATCGACTCTCCCTCCTTGATCCCAAAGCGATAGCGATGCCCCGCCGTCAGTGGCTTATCTGGACGAGTTGCCAAGATCAGAGGAGCAGTGAAGTCAGCCGGCTGTCCAGGTACTAGAGTTCGAAAGTATTCGTCGTGGATTCCATGAGCACTTAATGTGCTAGGTCCATGAGCCAGCAGCTACGGAACTCATTTCCAGATCTTCGATCCCATTACCATGAGCAACATATCGCTACCGAACGGCTGGATCACCTCATGCACTTCCAGGCGCGGATCAACCTCTGTGACGATGGTCTTCCAATATTCGATCCTGGCTACTAAAGAACTGCATCGTTGTCAGGTCTCGGACACGGAGTGATTACTAAGTACAAATCAACCCCTTGTACGAATTGCTTGTCAAATAAACTGTGAAGCTGACACTCGATCCTCGCTACCAGGTTTGTATCCAAGATGACATCAGTCAGCGCAACCGTGATACAGTCGACTTGTCCATCACCACCGCCAGAGTCAACAAGAGGAGGAGATACAGAAAAGAGCAGGTAGGAAACCAGTGTATACTCACTCGTTCTCCCTTGACGGCGCACTTGAGCGTTTATCTTTGAAGGATGTCAGCATGTGCTCGCTACCCGTGACCCTGACCACTGGCCTGGGGACGCTAGATTTTTGCCGGTTGAGCATCTCCAGTGGTGGATGAGGAATTAGAATAGCTGTAGAAATGCATAGTATCGTTCCAAGATGGATGTGTCCCAGAGAAAGTGTAGCAGAGGAATCACTCTCACTAGCACAAAAAGCCTCCACTATTGATTTTCTGCACTACACCAGTGCAAACTTTCCAATTCCCATGCCAAGAAGAGCACAAACAGAGAAGTGTGGAAAGAGAAAGAGAGATTTCATACAAAGAACCAATTAGGCTACGCACATCAAAAACACCACTTCCCATCGTTCATAGCATCAGATAATCAACCAAATCATAGCACCAATCCAACTCGCCAACACCAAAATCGTCAAAATCACAGCACCAGCCTTATCAGCCTGCGTAATCTTGCTCATCTTCGTCGGATCATTATCGCCACTACTCCCCGCAGCATCATCTCCCGTACTCGTGCCTCCAGTCTTGTTAGTCAGTGGCCCTTGCACCTTGGTGATCAGATTACTTTGAATAACCTCCAGAGCGCACAATTGTTGGCCAACGCCCCAGGTATTGTCCCAGGTGACGGTGGGGTTGGAGGTGTTGGAGAACCATTTTGTGCCGCAGGTGACGCCGTCTGTGCCGCCTGAACAGGAGGCTGCGGCTGCTGTGGCGGAGGCGGCTAGGTATGGTGCTATGAGGTCGGAGAGGAAGGGGGCTACTTTTGTGGAAGCTGCCATCCAGCGCGCTAGGTAGGCTTTGAAGCTGTTTGCCTCAATGTCAGTAAGTGGATACTAGTGGAGGAAGGGCAAAGGGGAGGAACTCACGTNGTGTTGGTCGACGTTGCAGTTGCCGCCGGGTTCGCAAGCGACCTCGTACATGACCTTGTTGTCTGTGAAAAACACATGTGTCGCATTCCACAATCCCATGGTTCTGTCTCTCCAAATCTGCTCGCCGGTGATGTTCCACATAGTCGCTGCGCCCAGAAGGAAAATACCAGCATTGTACGTCCATTGGATCTTCGAGGGGTCCGTGCAATTGGTAGTCGTGTCTGCTCCGTCGTAAACGTAGTAATCATCCGTCATGAGTCCAGATCCTTCCATCCAATCCCAAGCTTTAATCGCCCAATCCGAGTAAGTGGTGTTGCCAGTATACATAGCCAACCTCGCGCCCAGATTAAAAAACCCACCATTGGAAATGGAGTTTTTGTAATTGTATCCATTGTTAAAGGTGAAAATCTGCCAACGCAAACCTCCATTGCAAGTCTTGGTATCCCACCTCAAAGCCTGCGAGTTAAACGTCGCTTGAGCCAGAGCCAACCATTGCGGTTTTCCCTTTGGAGGGTTTGGAAAGTTTACTTCTGCGGCCGACATGGCTGCCATGCCCCAGAAGGCTTGATCGTCGTTTCCTTCGCTCTTTGTCTGGTTTTCGGGCATGTAGTCTGCGGTGGGGCCGGCTTGGAAAATCATGGCGTTGGTGGTGGCTTCGTTGTAGGAGGTGTCGCCTGTGTAGTACCAGTAGTCGACGAGGGAGCCGAACATGGCGCCGGCGTGCCACCAGTAGTAGGGCCAGGGTAGGAGTCCAATGGTTTGGCCTGTTTCGTTGCCGTGGTAGTATTTCATCATGCCGTAGGCGACGGTGGAAGCTGCGGANNTTTGATGGATGCTGTGGAGGCGGTATTAGTATGCTCTTGTTTTTGTCTCTTTTGAGATTGGCTGCAGGAATAGCACACCTTCATCGCTGAGATCCAGTTCGATGGCTTGACTGGGCAGTACAAGCGAGGCTATAGACAAGCCCAAGGAAATAAGGCTTGTCGTGCGCATAATGGGCGTAAATTATTCCTCCCAGTTGGCGAGTCGTCCAGAGTACAAAATTGAGAAAGAAACACAGTCGTCTCGTGTTGTTGAGGGTTCGTATGTTTTGTGTTGTGCAAGTAGAGATCGACAGGAATAGAACAGCTTCAACGGTGTCTCAGAAGGATCAATGGGATTCTTTCTTGGGTGTAAATTTGTGGCGGAGTTGACGGAGACGCAGAAAAAATGAATGGACGCTACAATATTGTAGCCAGGTAAGGAACGTGGAGTAGCAAAAGGAAGAATGGAAGAAACCTAACATCAAGAGGAGTGCAGGGCACCGACCTCATTAACTACTGCTACCAGCTTTCAATGTTATTTCGGTGCCTGCATGCGACCGTTGACAAGGAGTGGGAGGCTTGTTGCAGCGGTCGAAGGCACTCTTATACGAAGTGCACGGACGCCGTGCCCCACAGGTTCCTTCTGCTTTTGGGAATCCAGCCGTGTTTGGTGCGATTATTTATTAATCTGTCTCGTGTCATGGTCGTATGGTTCCTCGGAGGATTTGATTAGTTGGATCGAAGTCGCAGTCGTGAAATGTAAATTCTGATACTTGGTACCAAGATACAACAATGTCCTTGTGCAGAGGGAGAATGAAGACGGATAATGGTCAACGGGCGAACCGCATACTAAGATTGCGAGAAATCGATGTCAACAGGAACGGATAGACCTGAGCCCCCTTGAGTAAATGAGCTCGACCATGAATCAGAGATCAGATGGGTCGTTGTAGGAGCTCTTCCAGCTCGTAATACGAGATCTGACAGTGAAAAGAGGATGATGGTAAGAAGAGATATGGTTGTAAAAGATCAAATTCGAAATTGCTTGGAAGCAAATGGGGTATCATAAGGTAGGAAGAAAACAAGATGACGCAGCTGAAACAACAGACACAGGCGCATCTACGGGTCAAGAACGATAAGATCCGGAACGGGTGGACCGACGCCTCTGAGCAAAACCAAAGTATTGCCCGTCTTGACAGCAGCACCCAGCTTCTCACCGAAATCAAGCAGTCGTCCACCTTCAACATGGAAGACGCGTAACTTGTCTGCTTCACCGTCTACACGGTTGTTGAGATTCTCGACTTGTAGTGAGGTGGCAGCCATATCGAGGATCCTACCAATGCTCCACTCGGACGAATAGAAGAATTGACCAGTGGGGTGTTTGGCCTTTGTTGTGTCTGCTGATGCCTCGACGTTGATGTAGATGCGCTTTTCCATGGGTACCTTGGAATCACCCTTGGCATTCTTCTTCAGGTCGGCAGTGGCACGAACTCGTTGAGCAGCAGTGAGAGGCTTGGCTGATGATGTCGAGGGTTTGGTGTTGGAAGTAGAGGTTGTGGCGGCCGTCATGTTCTTCTGCTTGGCCTGACCCCAAGCTCGCAGTTTGGCCAGAGCATTCAACCCTTTCTCCTTGTTCGCACGAGCTCCTATAGGAGTGAGCTTGGCGCAGTCGTGAGACTCTCTTAGACGATGTTTTAAGCAGTAGCTGCGATTGCAGGAATCGCATTCGACGCCGGGTACGAGAGCGGTGTTGATCAGTGTCTTGCACGAGGGCTCGGAGCATTGCGATTCGTGTGTGAGAACCGAAGGCTTGGGCGAAGGAGTGTAGGTGGATCGTTGTTGGGCGGCGCGTGCTCTTGCCCAAGCACCAGCATTGGGACATGAATGCGCTGTCTCTGATCGGTGGTCCAGACAGAATTTGCTGATGCCTGTCAGTGGCAGAGACAGAAAAGCGAACAGAAGAAAACTTACCCNCTTGCAACTCTCACACTTGAAAGGGAGAAAGTCGAGTTGATGACAGAAGGTCATCTGGCAATGAGCGCCAATGGCTTCGACGTCGGCAGTAGCCATTTTGGTATAGCTGTGTTCTGATGACGGATCCGGAGTAGATGAGGACGACATGATGGATTATATACAGCAGTCGCCCCTGGACTCGAGCAGTTGCTGAGGCAAGCACCTGCTTACGACAGCGACAGGCTTGGAAGGCGCGGCGGCGAGGCTCAGGGAAGCTTCGGGAATCGCATGTGAAACTCCGTCAGCTCGGGGAAGCTGCGACTTTCTATCCTGTCAGCCACTTTTTCTCCTCCAAAACAGCAGGTGCAGGGCCTTCTTTCATTTAAAAGCACCAAGTGCAGGCCAACACTCACAATCGCGTCCATTAAGAAAGCTGCTGCTGCCGTAACTGGCAAAATGCACTCGGCCTTGACGTACCAGCCAATCGCCCGGTGCTCGGTATGTCGCACCACTCCCGGTAGGTACTAGTAAATACTAAATCGCCATCAANNGGTCACCAAGGCACGTGCTGCTACTCTCCAATTGCCCCATGGTCCTGTGCCTTTGCCCATCTTCATGCCTGTAGCAACCCAGGCTTCGCTCAAGGGCTTGACCCCTCATCAACTAGAAGAGACTAGCTGTCGCTTGTGCCTGAACAACACTTATCATCTGTGATCGCCTTCGACCCCTGTAACAATCCCCTGCACTGTCTAATCATCTATACAGNNCGGTCTCAAACCCGGCCAGGCTACACTTGACGCTGTCGGTGGTGCTCATAAGCTACAATCATGGCCACACAACATCCTGACAGATAGTGGAGGGTACCTATACCTCAACCTCGACCACTCTCTCAAACTCAGACTCACACATGCAGTNTTCCAAATGGTTTCGCTACTCGAACTCGCCACGGTCACCGAAGAAGGCGTCCGCTTCTTGAGCCCTCACGATCGCTCTCCCATGCTCTTGACGCCTGAACACTCCATCTCGCTCCAAAACAGCATTGGCTCAGACATCATGATGCAACTCGACGATGTCATAGCCACCACCTCACCCGACCACGCCCGCATCAAAGAAGCCATGTATCGCAGTATCCGTTGGCTGGACCGCTGCATCGCCGCCCACAAGAAGCCAGAATCCCAAAACCTGTTTTGCATCATCCAAGGAGGTTTGGATTTGGAATTGCGCAAAGAATGCTGTAAAGAGATGGTTGCAAGAGATACTCCGGGAATTGCTATCGGAGGTCTTTCTGGCGGTGAAGCTAAAGAGGAGTATTGCAAGGTTGTTGGCACGTGTACGGATATGCTGCCACCAAACAAACCACGCTATGTCATGGGAGTCGGTTATCCTGAAGATCTGGTCGTTTCTGTTGCTTTGGGAGCAGACATGTTTGATTGTGTCTGGCCTACGAGAACAGCAGTGAGTTACACTGACTCCCCATCGTCCAACTTTAGCTGACCGCCACACAGNCGCTTCGGCAATGCCATCACCTCGACTGGTGTCCTAAACCTCCGCCACGCCTCCTACGCCGACGACTTTTCCGCCGTAGATCCAGATTGCAAATGCACAATCTGCCGTCCTGCCTCTGAAGGCGGACTCGGTCTCACACGCGCCTACATCCACCACGTTGCCGCCAAAGAAACAGCAGGTGCACATCTGCTCAGCATACACAACGTACACTATCTCCTCGACCTCATGCGCCGCATCCGAGAAGCCATTATCGCAGACACATATCCCGCCTTNTTGCGCACTTACTTTGCGACTTTGTATGCAGGGGACAAGGCCAAATATCCTACTTGGGTTGTCGATGCTCTAAGAGGTGTAAATGTAGATTTACTACAGGACTAGAGTCGCAACTTCCAGAAATCATCGAAGAAAATGAAAAGTCGGATTCAAAGAAGTTCGTAAACTCATGTCTAATCACACCCATCTTCCCAAACCTAAACCATATCCCCAAGCCTTCTACTCTCATCCATTCTTTCACTCACCCATCACGCTTCCCGACCTCCCCAAAAACTTCCTCAATACATCCCTTTTCCGCCAAAATAATACTATCATGATCAGTATCAGGCACCGTCTTTGCCACAAACTCTATCTCTTTCTGCGTGTCTCCTTGCCTCCAACAATCTTCAAAGTATTGCTGTCCACCTTTTCCAATCATGACGTCTGAAGAGGAGAAGTAGACGTGGAAGCTGAGTTTGCGAGGTTTGGTGGAAGAGGAGGCAGAAGGTGAATTGGTGGAAGAGGCAGAAGAGGCAGAGGCAGAAGGGGACGGATCAATACCATAACCCATCTTCAACGCATCAATCGCCTTTGGCAATGAGGAATAAACACCCCAATCCTTTGCGTCTTGTTGCATACATAGTGTTGCATCTGCTGATATAGCACTGTCATTTCATTCCATCAGTATGCAAAATCTCCCCAAGTTCCCCAAAAATCCCGAATCCCACAAATTCCAAGTCAGAAAAGAAAAGGGGAAACTTACCTCGTNATCCTCACATCTCTGCCACTTTCCCTGTAATTTCTCTACTTCTCTTCTTGTCGAGACATTCATCCCAAACGTCGTTGAACAAGTTTGTTCATCCAACGCCTCACCAACTCCAAGTTTTGCGGCGGAAAAGGAAATAGAAGGTGCGATATACCCAGCCACAAACCCTTGAATGTGATGGAGATTCCCTACCCAAGAAGTAGGGAGTTTATCTACGACTTGCATCAGAGGAGCTGAGGAGTGTTTGGGATGGACCCATGGTGCTGTGATTCTCGTTAGTTCAAACCTAACACAAGGGGGTTCTGGACTTAATGCTGGGAAAAGTGAATAGAAACACTTACCAAAACAAGCCACAAAAGGCCTCCTAGGATGCAAGAAATGCGACAACTTGACCACAGTATTGATAGCATATATCGTGCCTGCAGAATGCGATACCACAGCCACATGTTTGACATTCAAATACCCCAGCACAGCAGGAACAGCTTCCAACCATGTGGTCACTCTTTGATCCACAGGGACTGGAGTTGAGCCTCCAAACCCTGGTCTNNGCATTTCCCAAAACCTGTGTATCAGTAACCTATCTTTGCTATCACAGATTCTGGAAGATAGAATCACAGCTTACCGATCAATGATCAACACTCTAACTCCGCACCTCTTTGCTACTTCCTCAAATCCAAACATCAGATACCTAGCAGCACCCATAGGATGGCAAAACAAAATCACCGGCAATGCATCATTGTCGAAATTCGTGCTTGTCGCAAAAGTTACGCGTGATTTGGGGTGCGAAGAGGTGGCTGGAAGATAAATGCTGCGGTGGAAGCAGATGTTGCTGCAAAAGGTTATTGCATTGGTTGTTGGGGTCGTGGTTGTTGACTTTGGGGTTGCGGTTGAAGGTGTTGTGGTTGAGGGCGTTGTCACGCTTGCTGTTGTGGACGTCATTGTCGACGAAGCTTGCGATTTAACGTTCGGTGTGCTAAGACAGTGCACACCTGTGGTGTGCTTTCGGCGCAAGCAGAAGGAAGTAAGATTATTCTTGTTGAGATATTATGTATGATGGTTGTGTACGCTTCAAAACATGCCGTCAGCTCGCAAGCACGTGTAGGTGGACTGGCTGTGTCAGCCCCTTCCTTTGCGAATCCTTCTGGAATCCTTCGCGGCCCCCAAGCCCGCCGACTATGGGGCAGTCTGCTCTATTTGACATCTGTCTTCAGGTATAATATAATCATGCGCCAGGTGATTCTCCGTTTTTCTACATTCCAAACACGACATTCTTCAAGCCGTGCTCTTTGGCCAATTCAATCCAATCCACTTCGTCTGCACTCCCGCCGTCAATTTCCCGCTTTGCTTGCTGCCTGACGACAAGTTCAAGAAGATGTCGCACTCGTGCTACAGCACCGGAAAGACCTGCGTGCTCCATCTCCTTCAACATGATAAGTGCTGCCGCTTTTTCGGCTGGAAGTTTTGTTGCTGCTCCAGCCAAAAAGAGTCCAGAAGCCAAATGATGATTTTCTTTATCATTGAAATTGAAGCTCTGGCGCACTGTGTCGATGATGTATGTGCAGTGATGAGCGTCTTCGGTGGCAAATGCATCTCCATCAAGCCTTTGATATGGGTACATGCTTGTATGCAGATGCAACTGGAGTATTGAGTACTGCAATCGTGCGAAATTGTAAGTCCCCCTGATAATTCCCAGATCGCTGTCGTCCTCGCGCGATTCAATGTCAGCTGGACAATTCGCGTGCCACAGCTCCGCTTGTCGGCTTGTCAAATCGTAGATGAATTTCTGTCGTTCTTGTAATCCAACATGTCGGTCTTTGAATGTGTTTCGAAGCTTCAACGATGCCTGGCTCTGTTCGGCAAACATCTCGAATGTAATCAAAGACAGTTTGTGAGTTTGTAGAAAGACCTCCATGGCTTCCGGTGTTGACAGCACCTTTCGTTGACTCGGCGAGATGGGCCATACTGGTAATGAACGACCATTATCCAGAAATGCGCGGGTATAATGACCCGCCTCGGGGTTTCCAGCAAGACCTGCTTGTGCATCCAGTAGAAGGACATACCATGATAGGTACGCTTGTAATCGACCGACTGTAGTTCCAGCTGGTGCTTGCGCCAAACAGGCAAGTTTGCGCAGGTGCAAAGACCATGAACTACGATCCTCAGGCCATCGTTGAGATGCACAGGCAACATCATACATCAAAAGAATGAAATGCAGAANAAAGACAGCTTCACAATTGGCAGAAGCCGGCATTGTGCGGCAAGCCGTGATTGCTCGATCGTAGTGCTGGAAAGAACCAGCTATGAGTTCCGGGCGATTCTTCATGCCACTGTTGAGAAGTGTGATGGCACAAATTGCGTGTCGAAGCGGAAGAAACTGCTTTGCGGAGGAGAGCAGAACATTCCCATTGTCCTCGATGTTCAATTTGAAGCGGACAGCCATCGGCATGATCTTGCGACAAACAGTCCTGTCGAACAGCAAAGGATGTATGGCATTGTCACGTGCTCTTGTTCCGTAGTTTGTTATATCCAATGGAATGCGAGAGGTCTGAATCAGCTCGATTGATTGCGTGTCCGAATCGTCGGACGAAGAGTCAGATGCCGGCCTTGAATCCAGATTACTGACTGATTTTGGTGATTGAGGTTCCGAGGGTACGATTGTTGCAGCCAAGTCGCCCGAAGATGAATTGACAAACATCAAGGGTCTCGAGATTTCTCCGGAGCAGTTTGTCGCGTGGTTCGGCTTGCTGTCACGACTCGTTCGATGCGGGTCTTTGCCAAGTATCACATACTGCTTGCCAACAGTACGACTGCTGTCGATGAATTTCCATTCTCGAGTCCAGTCGCATTGGCGGTTCAGACGCGAACAAGAACCACATCTGCCAATGTCGTCGCGGGCTTCATCACACTTCACCTTCCTTTGCCGACAGGTACGGCATCCAGTATACGATCGTTGAGCAATCGTCGCTTGCGATGTTTCCATGCTGTCATGTTTCTGGACGCGTGTTGGCGACTTGATTTGTGCCGAGTTGGAAGAAAAGACAGCTACATGATCTTTGAATGGAAAAGAGAAAAGTGATGACAACTGAGAGATTAATGAGAAAGCCAAAACAGCATCCAGAACAAGGAAAGGACCGAGGCTTGCCGACAGGCCGATTCACGTGGCTACATACGGCAATGATGCAGGGCAAAGCGCGTCAGAGCGGGCAGGCACGGCGGGGTCTGAGCTGCCCGGGCAGCAGCTGCCTATTAAATGTTTACGCGGAGCCGCAATACACACTGGGTAATGTCAGTTCTCGACATGAAAGCTCTCTGTACCGTTTGCCCTGCAAGTATAAGTCATTCATACGAATTGAATAACACATCTCTACACTTGACACATGTCAGATCACTCGGGAACGGCATTCGCTTAGCACCGTTGCAAAAAGACTGACGGAATAGTTTCAAAGACGTTCCGTGGTTCCAGTAAATGTCGTGTTTCACCTTTGGCTGAGCGCCGCACGGAGTCTCGTAACTCTAATGCCGTTTGTCTATGACTGTATATACATAGCTACACGTACAGAATCATTGTTTGTCGCACTTGCAACTGCTCCACCAGCCGGTTTAATGATGCGCAATGCTAGCAGGAAGGCATTGCGAAGTATACGATGAGCTACAAGGAGTAGCCTTGTCAAATGGTCCAAAAACAAGGCTGTATGCGAACACCCTACCTAACATTTTCGCTTGATCATCAAATTCGCATGTGAAAAGGGGTCTTTTCTCAACAACCAAAGAACGTAAATAGCAGAGGATCATTTGGGTCGGTGCGATGCCGGAGCCTTCTACTCTACAAGGCAAGTATTGATACCCAGGTCGCAAATACGAACGATGAACAAGAGCTAGCAAATGCTTCAGTCCAATTGGCCATACATGCTCGACCCCATCTCGTGCAACCTGGACACTGCTCGCCCAATTGCGAACCCCACATCGGTCTCTCCGGCACCTCCAGTGGCTAAACTTGCCTCTGCTAGACCAGTCGCCGACCACTCCGTATCGCCAGAGACGAAAGTGCTCATCATGCTTGAACTACTGCCTCCACCCTTTTGACGCTCAGTTTNGAGGCCTCCTGACTTCCGCATCAAGCGTTGCCGCTCGTTTTCGACTATTTCGGCAAAGGCATCGTCGATTGTTGCATTGGATGAAATGATGACTCTAGTACCAGACTCGTATGCCAAGTCAATGAGGGTGATGAAGCGGCGAACAAAGTCTAGCTCCGAAAGTCGAAAGCGTCGAAGACCACTTAGGTAAATGGTTCTGGTCTTTCGACATAAGGCGTGGTAGTCTGCTGCGCCGAGCTTGGCCTCGCAGAGCTGTGCAAATGTCGAAGAAACGATGAGTTTGCTTTCATCATTGTCGGTTGGTGTAGCATTGACGACCAGTTTCCTCCCCATCATCACCGAAATCTCGTAAGGTTTGGGTTCTGCACCATTCGTTGCAGCATCAAGACTTTGCTGAAATTCTTCAAGGTTGGTAAAGAAGACCTTTTGCCCATTTCCCTCTGTGTCCTTGCCCAACAGGCGATAATCTTGCGTTCCTCCCAAAGCCCAGGTCTCGCATCTGTACTTCAACATAGCGATGAACGGCAGAAACAGTTCTCTGTTCAGTCCATCTTCGTATAATTTCTCCGGCTCTCGATTCGAGGTCGCGACCATCACACCGCCCGCCGCCCAGAATGCACCCATCAATCGTTGCAATATCATCGCATCAGCTATATCGGTGACTTGAAATTCGTCAAAACACAAGACCCTACTTTCGCTGTGGATTTGGCGGCCAATGAGAGGTAATGGGTCGGAAGAGCCATAGCGAGATGACGAGGACCGTGCGACGTGTAGCCGAGAGTGCACATCTAGCATGAACTCGTGGAAATGGGCTCGGCGACGTGAGATGTGTGATGGCAGAGTAGATGTGAAAAGTGATGCCAGATATGATTTTCCTGTCCCGACCGAGCCGTGGATGTATAAGCCGGTAGGTGTGGAAGCGGTGTCAGCGTCAAGACCATGCTGTATCGTGGACAATCGGCTGATCAGGGCCGCTTGTGATGGATTCTGAGACAAACGACCGCGCTTGAGAAGGGCATGGTATGCACCGTCAAGAGGTGTGGTTGTCAAGGATGGCATGTTAGGCATGCAAGGCACGGAGGTCAAGGATGCGGGTGTCCGATTTGTGTCACGATGCGCTCAAAGACTTGGCAAAAATCATGCTCTTCGTTCTTCAGTACCTTGACCAGACTGGAGCTTTTCGAGACAAGGATGTGTCAATTCTGAGAGCGCCGAACAGCAATGGTTTGTAACCTGCTGTGTCAGTTGTGTATTGTCTGTAGTGTTGGATCTCCAACTCTGCTGTGAGTGTTCGATGTTCGGTGTGTCCGGGTAAAATCAATGAGGTCACCTTGTGTTATCGAACGTTCGAACATCTTCATGCAGCAGATGTGACCCTGTTCGCATTGCATAGTCAAACTCAAGTCTTAGAACAAGTCCATAAGTGGCAGGCTGGCCACTTAACGATCGAGACATAGGGTCTTGAGGAAGTTAGATCGATTCTGTGATAAAGGAGTCTGAAGGGGTTGTAAAAGAAGTACAATGGTAGAAGATCCGCGCGAAAGGCTGTAGACGTGAGATCGCGCTTGCGGTGTTGGTCAACCGGCAACATCTCAACGTTAGAATTTCAGACCTGAGCACGATTACATGTTGAGATCAAGCATATCTATTGCCAGCAATGGGTTTTGCAACAGAATGGATTGTGAAAGAGCAATGTTGCATGCCAGAATCGTGGCTAGTCTCTGTTACTTCCCACTGAACCCCTTTCAAGTGTGCTTCAGTGTCACTAGTTGGTGGATGACAAGCTGCACTGATGATTGCGCTGCAAGACGCTCCAAACGGTAGATCCTCTTGCAAAGGCAGTGTGGCAACCATATACGCTGCCATGATGATAGCCCCAAACACCAAGATCAAGACGAAACAGCTGAATGAAGAGAAGCCAGAGGCTACGAAAGCTTAGTCAGTATCACGTTCTCCCGTTGCGGACTGTACGTCGATCTGTACAAGAAAAAGAGTTTGCGATATCAGCCAACGAANGGATCCGCTTGCCATCGTCAAAGGTATAGCCCATTTGTAAGGAAGCTGCAGGAAGTACGTGCAGCGTTGAGCCTGTTCTGGGTGTGATACTCGTAGTCCTTTCCGCTGAGATGCCATTGAATTCCACTCTTGTGCCAATGCCATGCTAGTGAAGATGCCGTTGAGATTGAAGTATGTGAAAGAGAGGAGCAATTGTGGTATGTTAGTTAGCCAGGCATTCAGCAAAATACTTGCTGTGTTGAAGGGCGATTTGACAAGCGTCTTCTGTGAATTGGTACCCCATGCCGCAAAAGTGTCTGCGGTACCGTCACTGTAGCCAATGAGCAGTGCCCCACCGAAGCTAGAGGCAACCAGCATGGTATTGCACCACCAAAGCATTCGAGGGCTTGTCATAGCTGAACCCATACAATGTCGCTGGGGTTTCCAAACATAGCCCTCTGCGACCGGAGTCCCTCTGGCGATTGGACCTGGCGAATCATCATTGTCCTTGTCAATCTCTGCTATCCCAAGCATGATGGATTTACTCGCGGTACTCAGGCCTTTGGTGTTGGGATCCGGACAAGCCAAAAAGAGGCAAGAGCGTCTCCGCACGTGACAAGGTAGGAAGAGCCATCGATCAAACCAATTTTCAACACGACCGACCCCATGACAATCGCTTTCACCAGATTCGCCACAATAACGATAAGCATAAAATGAAGGCTGAGTTGTACCGCGTTCTGGCCACTTGCTGGACTAGCAAAAGCGTGAACAGCGTGGACGTGATATCCTTGAGCGGTTGCGAGCCAATCTTCTCCGGAATTGGATATGTTGAGATATCTCATATCTGAGACTGCCCACGGAGGCTGTGGCCAGGATGTGTTCATCGATATCGTGATCCGATCAGACAGCCCAGTCAAGCCTGTGGTAGTACCAACTGCATCAAACGCAATGTACAGATCGGTGTAATCGTAGACAAATTGCGTACCAAAGGCTGTCATCCACTGAGCGTTGGTTAAATTGGATACTTCTCTGGACGAATTCAGTGTCAGATAGTCCACGGATTGCCAATTAACAAATCCTGCGTCGTACTCATAAGCGATTGTGTATTTGAAAAAAGCAGCATTGTAGCTAATCACGTTAATGCCAGTCTTGGTGCTCAGCGTAAGTACTCACAAGAAATGCAATGGGACTGAAGACGCTGCGAGTGCAAACCAGAGGGCGAGTCTCTTTCTGTTGATGTGTCTGAGATTGCGAGTGCTCAAGAGACCGATATCTAGCCACTGTCCTTGATTGTGGGCTGCATCAACCTCTGGTCTAGTGGGTGAGCTCAGGATCTGCATGGTATGACTGCTAGAGCTCAGCAGTACCGTACTGAGGATGTTGATCAGGAGGTGATATGCAGTGCTTATTGTCGCTATTGAATCCTGTTCACCACGTGCAAGGGTAGCAATCCCGTCTTGGAAGCCTCCATAACGTACTGCGGCGACGAGCAGAAGTATCAAGTTGATCAAGAAAACAAGACAAGATGCGAGACATCCTGTCAGTACTCCAATGCGCCAACCCTCAAGGTCACCAAAGTTTCTGCGAACTTGTTTGCGGTATTGATATCCGATAATGTCTAACAATTCACGAGATAGGGTCAGAATCGTCTTTGCGATGGTTGACGCCCTCTTGCCGCGAGACGGGACATTTTGAATCGTGGAGAGAGAGTCAGGATCCTGCAAACTATTGGACAAGATCTGATCAAAGGTCAGTACAAAAGTATGAGCGTGCGCACCCAAAATACTCGCGCATCTCGATGCCAGGATCGTATGCCGTGTTCGGCACAAGTAGAGTTGTGCCGCTCGAAGACGGAAATCTGAACATTGTTCGCTCCATGGTATCAGACACTTGTAGGAATGCGGAGACAACAAGGCGGAGCTTCAGCAGTATACATGTGCCTGTCGAGCTGCAGGTCCGGAGATTCGTGCCGTCTCATACTTGCGGCGAGTCCGAAGAATGAAAGCTGACTGCTTCATGGGCTGCAATGGATCTGTAGGTACTCGCCAGAAGAAGTAATCCTCAGCCGCACACCATGCAGCCACGAGCAGTGGCGGGCTGTGGTTGTAGCACATGCCGCCTTTTCTAATCTCATGGAGGCCAACCTTGAGGCGCATCTCTCGGATTTGTGTGGTAAAACCTACCGTGAGCCGATAATCTTTCGATCCCATGACTGATATGGGTCTGCTATTTTGATGTGGAGTGCAGAAGTGCGCAGAAAATGTGATCGAAAGTTGCTGTTCTTGGGAGTTGGAGCCGCCAGGAGAAGCGCGTGCTTCCGAAATCTTGGCGCAGGAAATGCTTGGCGTGGGGGTCGCGAACTTTGTTAATTATGTGATCGACCAATTTAACCTCGAGGTAACAACATCTTACCATGCTATCGCGAACGCGCTTTCCGACATGCTGTGCAAAGAGACGGCCGTAACATAGTTGAACATCAGCAGGAATCTCGACGATGTAGTCCGCGGCTCTGAACGCGCGGCATGCGGGAATATGCATATGCATATGTAATTCTCTGATAGAACGTCCTCAACAGGGGCAAAGAACAATGTCTGGCACGATCCTTCACCAGTCGCTTGGTTACTTTATACAAGATCCCTTCTTATACACACTCGAGCTGAGCTTGGTGTTCGTACCGGCCCAACAAGGGTTTCAACTCTGTTCAGATGAAGATCTTGCCTTGCAACGGTCACTTCACGCTTCTCACGATCGATCAGCACGATGTCGTTTATCGCTTGGGTCGGCGAACAGAAACAACACATGTTCGGGCGGAGCCACCCGAGAATTCGCGAATGGCTCACAAAAAAAGGTGGACGCGTCCAAAGCGTAACTCCGATATTACGACGGCCAGCAAGCAGACAGAGGAAACGTTCTTGGAGCCTATCGCCTCTGACTGACCCACTTGCGATTCAGGGAGTCGCAGCTGATTCAAGATTATGACATGTGTTGTTTTGATTGCTGGGTGCCGCAGCTTTCAGCAAATAGTTATGTGAATTCTTGAGTCTCAAGCACGAGAAATCTTTCACAAATTATCTCTCGTTCTTGAACAATGCCCTTCGTTCAATTCACGCTACCCTCTGACAATCAACACGACATCGATCCAGCCTGGTTCGACAAACAGAAACAACGCTTTGTAGAGAAGAACAACCCGACTCTTCGCAATTGGCTCATCGAGCAGGTGGACGCTCTCAAAGCTTTTCATGATGGCGACTTGAGTGCGGACGCAGCTGCAGCTATTATGAGACACCCCATCTCTACCTCATCTGTACCCGACTTGGGAAGTTACTCCGACGAAGCTAAGGGAGTTGGTGCACTATGGAAGATCTTTGTTGCCGCTTTGATTGAATGGCCATCCACACGCACACCCGCTTTGTTTGCACTACTGGATGCTATAGCTGATACGCCAGAGAAGATTCACAAGGGCGAAGCTACCGACGAAGAAGGCCCTTGGAGNTGGCGAAGCTTCCATGGGTTTTCCATATATTGGCCAGATTACCATCAGCCAGGTCAAATCTGCCGTCAATGCTCAGACGAAGCAGAGCTCGCCTTGGCAAGACGCCTGTATCTGAGAATCAGAGACCTCGAAGCGCAGTTGATAGCGAAGCGTGTCATAGGCTTGGGCATGAGAAGAAACCAGTACATCATCCTAGCTCTCGAGAAGAACATCGACGATAGCGACAGGCAAATCGCCACCAACGAGGCCACAGCCTACGAACAAGTCAAGCTTGACTTCCACATTCCTGCCATCTCTTTCTTGTTCAAACATGATGCCCGCGATATATACGATCGTGTTGTCCGCGACGAACTCAGAGATTGGGCACCAGCTCAACTGCTGCCAGAGGTAGCAAAAACTTTCGAGACTNNGGGGCAGAGCGCTGGTCTTTCTGGAAACGACGATTGGATGAGTTGGCTCAAGGGAAGGAAGGTGGTGATGTAGCTGTCGCTGCGAGATCAGCTTCAGAGTCGATGACGTTATGCGAGGCGGAATGAAGCGTACTGGTATACTGCACGTATTAAGCTTTCACCAACCAATCTTGAAGAAGTGCGTTGGAAGCGCTCTGTCCATCCCATCATCGTCATCGGACGTGGCCTGCGGAATGCCTCTGTCTTGTGACGATTGCCATAAACCATCCAATTCACACGGTCCTTCCTGGGTTTCCGAACTGTCCCCTGCCACTGCAACTTGTTGCTCTGCTGGATCACCCGGATCTTCATACCACCAGTCTGCAGATTCCTGGAGAAGATTCCAGTCCATACCTTCCAAGCTTGGATACTGGTATGCAGCGCTTTGTAAACCTTGAGCAGCCACGAATGTCTGTTGCTGACCGAAGCTTGTTGATAACGATTGGGGTCCCGGTCGGACGTTGGCCGATGGTTCTTGAGGTTTGCTAGCAGAAGACAGAGGTGGTGCGAAGTCCATCCGCCGTGGTGCCACCAAAGATTGTACACCAGTCGTTCGTGACAATAGCCCAGGGATTCCCCCGAACCAGCGGGCTTCTTCTGGCATCATGGATTGTGAGAGACTGGAGGGGTTGCGAGAGTGGGAGACTTCTTGAGAAGGAGTGGGTGCCGAGTTTCGCCGTATTTGATACTGCTCTTCTGGACTTGCGACAAGGGATCCCTCAGCACTCGGCGAGTCGTTCTGGTGTTCTTCGTTCTCAGGTTTGGCGACGCTGGTTTGAGCTCTGTCGTCGTTTGAGGACTCTAGTAGACCCAAAACTGCGAGTATTTCGTGTAAAAGCGGATTTCCATCGCGCTCCATGAGTCTTGGGCCCGGCCATGCGTTGGCAGCAATCAGTCTGTAATACATGGTGTGCACCGCGACTTCGAGCTTGTGCTGCTGTGCCTCGAGTGCTCGCACATAGCTTCAAACAGTCAGCGTTCGTGCAATCTATCAGGCGGATGAATGTTCTCACTGCTCAGGGAACATCTTTCGTTGTGACCTCTGAAAGTTTCCAAAATGACATACAGCATCAGCCAGTCTGCAATTGGTACATGGTACGCCACCAGAGCATCTTGCTTTCTTCAAACGACATCGAGCACATGCTTTGGATGCTCTCGACTTCGATCTGTCGTTGTGGTCTTCGGGTGAGCGCCCCTGTGTGGTTGACATCTCGACAATGTTTGAATGTGGAAGTCAATGCCACGATTGATCTGTACATTCCTTCTAAAAAGATGACCGAAATGTGTTTATATGAACCATCGATGTGGCCCCAGCCGAATCCGAGCAGGCGGTGACGTCCTAGCCATGTATGGAGCTTGAGCATGCACTGTTATTAGTAGCTAGTCAGCGTCGACTGCCATCAAACGCCTAACTCTTGCTCGATCACCCGTAGGATTTTCGTGGATCTGCCTGGCATAACCCCGCCTGCAGCAAACTACTCATGTTCCCGATGCATATCTACTCGCCTGTCATAGGTCGTAAAATCGCGCGACCGTTCGATTGAAAGATCGCTCGCTAGGAGCATGCCGAACGCTTGTCTCAACGCTGCAAAAGGAAGTGTTCCGAATTCTCCCGCGCCCTTTCGAGTCGCTATAGGAATACGCGGCATGGGACTTGTGGCTGCTCGAACCTTTACCAACTCAAAATTGTGTGGGGATCTGGTTCAAACATGGAGCTTAAGTCGAACAAACTATACAGAGACTACGCAATCGGCCGGCTGGCGCATACACGATGCAACATTTTCAACCCTTCAAACCACAAATAGTGAGACCTTTAATATTCACCTTGAAAGTGAGCTTTTCTCTTTGTCATCCACCATGAACGACAGCTTGGAGTCCACCATGAACGACAGCTTGGAGAACCCCTCTGCTTTCGAGCTTTTTTGCATCAATTGGGACTTTGCTCCCAGCGAGAAGCCAACAACAATGCTTACCCCAAGCATCTCTCTGGAAGCTCTCACGAAGCCTCAGCGGGCGGAAATCAGGGTGCAGAATCCGAAAATGCATCTCCCGCAGGGACCTACGCCACTTTCTGATTGCCCTGTATCAGATCTTGCTATACACTCAAAGAAAAACCATGTTGTATCAGTGAGACAATGCGCTTCTCCCTCAAGCAGTCCGGAATCCGTCAGACAACAAAAGATCATGACGTCGCCGCCAAAAAACAAACGAAAGTTGGCAGACATTGACACCAAGCATGAGGAAAGCGACTCAGAGGAGCACAATCGACTCAACAAGCACCGCGCTGTGAATCGCAAGACAGCAGCCAAAGCGCGACAGCGAGACAAAGTACAGACGGCAGCATTGGAGAAATTCTTCGAAGACGAATCCGCAAGAAATCCGATCCTCAAGCGGACCATCGTGTCTCTACACGAGGAGCTCTACAATCTACAGATGGAAGCACTTGGCCATGTCAATTGCAACTGTGCCGAGATCCAGACATACAACCGAAACAGAGCTCGCAAAATTTCGCAATGTTGGGAGCTGGGCCAGAGCGTTTGACCAAAGCCAGAATGATATAATTGAGGATGGGAAATCTCGCTGGCAAGGAACGACGACATATCCCGAAGCCTCGTCAGCTTCCTGAGGCTCACAGAATTAGCAACAATCATCGAACCTCCGAGCACTTCTCGCTACCATTGAGAGCTTCGCGCGAACAACCGGGAACCCGTAGGATCCCCTCCGGAAGGAGATCCGAAGTGAATGCAGTGACCGAATTGGGCAACGGCGACTGACGGTTCCCGATCTCTTCCGAAGTCCGCAGTATTCCGATTCTTTTCGACCTCTTTCTCTCTATCTAGCTTCCTACTTAGATGGTCGATCGTGCAGAATCATCATTATTGGCTACACTTGTTCATCGTACCAGAAGTGCATCGCCAACAAAGTTGAGCGACGCTCCCTGTTCTGGCCACATCGCTGACACGTCAGCTTTACATATTCAAGGAAGATCATGCATGGCAAGATGATCAAGATAGACATACTTCTAAACCTCCGAGGACGTTGGGTGGGATACTGTCAAACCAGCAGACACAGAAGGGCCGAATGTCGACGAAGCGTTCGATGATTTGCACGTGTCAAGGCCAAACATCTGAATGAATGTACACATGTTGTTCAAGGAAGCTTCCCTGGATAGGATACTCCTTGAACTTCCGTTCCGACTCGCTCTCGTCTTCAGTGATGGTTTGCTCATGCAGATGCACTTCGACGCCAATATTCTATACCACGCCATGACCTGATGTCGTCCTTGTCTAGCGTCCTGGCACCTGGTCAAGGTCTCTTGTGCTTCGGTATCCTCCAGTACGCACTTGATATCCATCTCAGCTATTTTCAGAGCATCTCTGTCGCGAATTTGGCTCCCCAGAGCAGTGCCACATTCCTCGACTTTTTCAGTACAAGATTTCTGGTCGAAGCATAAGTTCAGTGCTGCGATGATTTAATGAGAGATCATGTCGGCAATTGTCGTTCTCTTCAGACCAATACTCGGGACGAGTGCGTCCACCGATCAGGAATTTACCTCATGTTACCTTAGAGTAGGTAGCTGCGTGCGCGAGATGGCAGGGACAGGGCACCCTCAAGGGAAGATTGGTGATAAGAGCTTTGCTCTAGGGTGTTTTGCTGGTAAAGTCAATGGTGTGCAAATTTAGCAGATGGGACATTGGTGCTTCATTGAAAATCAAGCTTCAATGAACCTTCTGAGGTGATGACAGAGTTCTCAATCTAATTTAAGAACCGAATTTGCACATCGTGTTGTACGTCCTCTCACTAGTTTTCGATCCCGAGATGAACATTCCGTCAACACGCTCAGATTCTTGATCGATTTATAGATCAATCCTTCGGCCCAAGTGCTCGTGGATCAAGACTCGTTTCTGAGCTTCGTGCTGCATACACCAGGAAATCATCATGCCGAATAGTGCACTTGCCAAATTATCTTTCCTTCAAGTGCCGTGACCTACCGAGAGGCCGTTGGGCGATCCCAGAACGCTCACGATCATTGACAGATCTCGCGTGTTCGGGTCTCGGACGGTTGCCGTTGAGCCTTGCGTACGTGTGGCAGGATGACTGTATTGTGAGCTGCAGTCTGCACGACCCAAGCAAGAAAATCAGACTCATAAGTGGACCGAGGAAAACTTTGAGGGATTCTGGATCCGGCATCTGAATTGCCGGGCAAGGTTGTCTCGCCAGGTTTAGGAGGGCAGAATGATTAGGGCACAAATTGTAGTCAATTGTTTGGTGTCCATGACAGAGGCGGTTGGCCGCGTTGGAATTTCTTGGTCTTGCAATTGCGCCGTCGTAGCATATTACGCAACGAGTTTGGGTGAAGCAGTGCGGAAGGACGTACATAGTTGTTGATGATGATCGCCCAGAAAGATCAAACGACAGTATAGACTTTGATCGCGCCACTGATTATGGCGAAACAACATGACAATTCGTGCGGACGCACTGAAGCCTCCTGACCAGTCAGCGCAAAGTAACGTGTCAGTCTATGTTACAAGTCTCATGGACCGTTCAATGCTTACGACGTATCCTGAAGCATGCTTGTAGATTTGGTCTTTGCCGTCGACACCACAGAACCAGTGAGGGTTCCGCGACACTTCTTTCTTCTACAAAGACAAGCCGCCGTACGCCGTGATCATAATATACCAAACAGCTCCAAATTCCTTAGGTCCCTTCCCAAAGTCTTTGCGGCACCTCCATCCGAGACTCTGCCACTGTATGATTGTATACAATGCCCCTAGTGTTTAACGAGGGATCATTGATGACTAGTGCTTTAGAAAGACCAGCAAAACCGTGGGACGACCAGTCTTCATTACATCAAGGTCGGGGAATCTTTGAGAACTGCGGCATCCGGATCATCGTGGCACATCTGCGCTTTACATGTCAATGCTGCCTTCCAAAACGCCATCTGAGCTCGAAGCCTTCGCAGCTTAGTGTATCGGGTGAATGTCTTCTCCAAGCCGCTGCTCCTCCAGTGATCACTACTTTGGTTCCAAGATGCCTGCTGCAGCTTGTGGATTAGCACAGTGCAAGATTCCATTGTTTGGTCTGCGCCATAGCTGCTTTGGAACCATCTACCCACTGGCTGTTAGTCTTATGCAGATAGTCCGCTTTACTAAATTCCTCGTTCCTAATGTCCTAGCGTCTCTAATAACGATCGTTCCTTCATAATGCCAATGATCTGCCAAACTTTCTTTAAGAGTAGTCTGGGTCGTGAACGTCCGTCGTTTTCTCTAGCGTAGATATCTTTAAAAGTTACTGTCCGGGAGATGCGCAAGTGCACAACGCAAGGACATGTAACCTCAGTTTCCTCTGGCGTATATCGAGATGTCGAGTTGAAAGGAACGATTTATCACAGATCATTGTAAACTCTTAGGACGGCTATTAGGAGACATGGAGTGAGTATATTTTGGTAATTCACCCCTGCTCTGCTTCTTACCCTTATTCCTCTTCTCACACATGCTTCTCTTCTGGTACGGTCGAGCCCTAAATCGACTCGACTTTAGGGGGGCGAGGGGACTTGAGAGTGTGTTCGACCTTAAAAGCATGGACGTCGAAGACGTCATCGAGACCTTTCGTCAACTAGTCGCTAGGTATTGCATACTAGTGCTTGTCCCAGCTTCGGCAGCCTTAGCCTTCTGCTTAGCCTCAGCCTCCTACTCGGCCTTTAGTTTAGCGATCTTGTTCTTGTGCGATAGTTAGTATATGTGGGAAAAATCAATTATCAATTACTATTAGCTTGAAAACAAGCTTAGATGAAAAGGGATACAAATCAGGCTTAACGGTATCCTTAAACATATTCGTGGTAAGCAGATGTTTAGACCGTAGCAGCTACTCTAACCAAACTCTCAGCGAGTGGAAGTAACGATGATATGAGGTACGGGAAAGGTTCTATTTTGCCTGTTTCTCGATCTTTTGACTTAGAGTCGGAGATTTTACGACCATGAAACTAGAGTATATAGACGGTACTATACTCGAATTGCATAGATATGTGGAGCAAGATGCAAAGGACCTTGTGTGCTGTCCTCGTAGGCAAAGAACTATATCTCTAAGAAACAGTGTTGCCCGATTACTACAGCACTGCAAAAGAACCAGCGCTACCATTAGTAGTAGTAGTATTCTTCCCAATCTCTTCTAAGTCTCTTTCTTCGACTGCATCTATCCATTCTAGTAATCCATATATACATCCGCCAGCTACCCATACACACCCTCAAATCTCTGCATAACCCAACTAACACCAAAGACAAACACAACCATGACCAAACCTCAAACACCCAAAATTTGTAAGTACTCTTTTAGTGGCGATCTTGCACGTCGCAATGCTCTAACACGTATACAACCAATCCTCGCTGAGAAGTCGTCAAACTCTAAAAGAGGAAAAGCAAAAGCAGAAGTAGAAAGAGCTGATGTCGTTCGAAGTTGACCTTTGAGTTCCACGTGGAAATCACCAGTCACATGTTGTTGTACTCAAACGACCTCACCTCGAAGCCTGTTGATGACACATTTACAGAAATGATGAAATCTTTTCTTCTCAAGCACATCGAGACTTCTCTTGCATAGGACCAGTTGATGAGGTAATCATATTGTACTTTTGTTCCATATCCCCTTCCGTGGGGCTCGGGGTTCCGCAGAACATGAACCTGCCCACGGCTAATCTTTCGTGAAGGCCGTAAGGCGAGACTCATGTTTGCTTGGAGCCACTTGTTCCTCTCGACCCAGTAATCCGCCCATTGTGTATAGCACGTAGCGGAACAACCATCACAGCTTCACAAAGTGAAGCCACGATGGAATAGCAACTGCCTGTAGCAACGGACGAAGGTAAACACAACTGAACGAGCCTGTCACTTCCTCCTTCCTCTCTTCGGCCTTCTCTACCGCATCCACATATACCATCACGAATCAAACCACAATGGCAACCCCTCTCGCCACAATTGCAACCTCATCCAGCGTTGTCATGGGCCCCATCTCTTCTCCTGCTTTGGGCTCTGGCACTGCCATCCCCTCAACCATTATGATCCCGGCGGGCACGACGACCACGGTCCCGGCCACTGGCCCACCCACCTCCATCATCCTCACCTGCCCCGGCCCTACCCCATTCACTTTCAAGGGGTGGATATACAGCGTGTTTGCAGTTGCCGTCGGCTTGATGCTCTGCAGATTGATCTGGGACCTCGTTTCCGGCCTGTGGTGTGCCCTGATCCTCTGGATCTTGCCCCGTCTGCCACAAAGAGGGCAACGTGCTCTGATTGCCGTTGTGCGCTTTGTGTTGTGGCCTCGTGCTCAGATACAGCTGGCAATCAGAATGAGCCACGACTTTAGGAAGCTATGCTCGGTCATTATTGGCCTGGTTTTGGGTCTGGTCATCGGAGCTGGGATTACCTTGCTCTTTTCCCAAGGATATGACAAATCAGCAAGATTGTCAAAACAACATCCATTCGAAAAGTCATGCACACAAGCAACAACAATGAAACTCGATTATGTACAGAAACAACAGAAAAGAAAAACGCCGCAATGCCCTAATGGAACACACATCTTCGCACAACCTCACGAATCCCAACCAACCCACTCCCTCCCAACAACCCTCCAAACCCTGACTTCTCCACTCCTCAAATCTCCAAGTCTGAAACTCTCCATCCTGGTCTTCTGTTTCTCTCTACCTTGCTCCCAAGCACGAACTTTCTTCTTGGTACCATCCCAATCAACAACAACAGCAACATGAGAAGTAACACCCATACCCACATCCATAGCATACGATTTATGCATGGCGCCGTGTTTACCTTGAAGCTTGGCATTGCGCAGGGTAATGATATCGCCAGGACGTATTTCGTCGAATTGCTGCACGGAGGCGTTGGCGAGGTTGGCATACACAAGGGCGCCGTAGGCTCTAGTGCCTACAGGTCTGAGTGCGTCGGAAAAGGGTTTGAGGAGGTCGAGCACAAGAGCGTTGGGGCTGCCGTCACCAACCACATGATCCTNTTTGGCAGCTGCGGCTTCGGACATGCGGGCGCCGTACTTCTGCCATGCGGTTTCCAGTTGATCTTGACGGAGACGTGNGGGAGGTGGTTCGTGTCTCTGCTCAAAGGATACTTCTTGAGGGTTTTGGCCATCGTAGCGGGCGGTGATGACGGTTTGGCTGTAGTCGATGAATAGAACGTAAATGTCTTTTGCGATTGCCGTTCTGCCACCGCGTCTTTGTGTTACGTTTTCCTCGACTTCGAACAAAACATCGCTTCGGTTTTGGAAGACTGGCGGAGGAGTGTTGGGTTGTGCCCACCAGAGGGAAGATTCTGCCAGGTCGACATCTGTAGCAATGTGCCCATCTCCAGAGGGTCTGCCAACATCCATGCTACGACGCATGTTCATTGACGGACGGCTGACGTCCAGTGATTGGCGAGACTGGTGAGTTGCCGTTCGAGCCATTTGTGGTGGTTGAGAAGGAGGCAAAGGAGCAGCACGATCTTGATCGACTGGAGGTGGTGGAGGTGGACGGTCCATTGACGGACGAGCAGGCGGTGCGTCGTACATGTCATCCGAGCTGTCGTCTACATACTCCTGCTGGATGGGAACTGGAGCTGGGGCAGTGGGTGGAGGTGGTGGCACAGCACGAATTGGAAGAGCACGAGGAGGTTCTTGATAGTCTTCTTCGTCGTCTTCCCCATACTGTTGTTGGGCAGGCGCATGGACTGGAACAGGTGGAGGAGCAACACGAGGAGCATCAATTGAGGCTCTGGTCGGTGGCGGAGGTTGAGTTGGAGGTGGAGGAGGAACGGCACGAGGAGCAGGAGCAGGAGCAGGAGCAGGAGCAGGCACATCTGGCTCATCGAGGCTCGAATCTCTGACATGCGACTTTAGGGCATCCTTGTGGTTGACACCCGAAGCGATGTCGGTATCGTAGTCGCCTTCGTATTCACTTTCACCTTCATCGGGCTCGCCCAGAGGAGCGCTCGGGATGATTGGAGGAAGTTGAGGAGCACCGGCTGGCGGAGGTGGAGGAGGAGCACGAGCTTGGGGAGGAGTTGCCAAAGTGCCAGGGATGGGAGGAATGCGACTTTGTCTCCTGTCAGAGGCAGGAGTGACAGGTGAGGTAGGCGACATGGCATCTATGCTGCCAAAGGTCGAAGCACGCTTTGTCGATCCCATAGAAGGTGAGCGGTTGGCCTCTGGTCTGGAAACGGGTGGAGGAGCGCCTCGAGACACATCTGTTGACTGTCTTATAGGAGCCAGAGAGCGTTCGTCATCCGATTCTTCGCCTTCGGTGGGGTCCATCTGCGTGTCTACCGGAGGTGGAGGTGGAGGTACAGGTCGGCCTACAATTGTGTCAGACAAGGCGTTGCGATAAAGAAGTTGATAACACTCACTCTCAGGGACTGGAGGGGCAGGCACAGGACGAGCGCCAGGAACCGGCGGTGGAGGAGCGCGTTCGCTAGTTGGGGATGNCTAGAGGACGTTCTATCGATCGATCAGTTTCTTGTTTCGAGTGTCGTTTGTTTCAGCTTACTCACCTTGCGGGATTGGGGGCACACGGTGTACAGGCTCGATGTGTGGTGGTGGCTGAGGCTTGACATCCTCAACGTCTGGCACAGTCAAAGGGTCTCTCTCGCTCGTGATCGATGTGTCATGCTCAGCTTCCTTCTCAACTGCGAGCTGTCTGTCTTCAACCTCGGGACTACGTGCTGTCTGCATGCCAGGCATGACTGGCACACGAGGTGCTTGAGCAGGAGCAGGCGCGGCTGCCTCATCGTGCTCAGGCTTGGGCTCCTTGGTCTTCTTGGGCTTGGGAGGAGCAGGTGCCATCATACCAGGCATGCCAGCAGGGGCTCCGAACATGCCTGCCATGCCCATGCCACCACTCATCTTGGCCATACGTTCTCTCAACTCCATACGACGGCGAGTCTCTGCATCCATCTCATCCTCTTCGCTCTCATCATCTTCGGTTGTGTCTTGTTGTTCGCCAACATCTGCTTCTTGAACTGGAGCTGCCGGTGCGCGTTGAGATTGCATCGACTTTCTGGCGGGTTGTGTCGAGTCGCTGTCAATGTCGTTCTCTTCTGTGACATCTCCAGCTCCAGACATGTCGGCATCGTTGGAGTCGCTCAAGACCTCGTCTCCAGCAGTAGGCAATGCGGGTTCACGGGACACCCCACGAGCAGAAGCGCCACGAGTACGTTCGCGATCGCGAGGTTGATCCAGGGATTGGCGAACCTGACGTTCTGCTGGTTCTGCTTGGACCGCATCATCCTCTTCTTCAGCGGCTGGCACATGTGCTTGCGGAATTGGAGGTGGAGCAGCAGCAGCAGNCAGACTCTGTGGATTCATCTGTGTTCTTCTTGACGGGCTTCTTGGGCTTTGNNGTTTGTCGCTGACATCTGCTCTTCGGGCTGCTTGCTCCATTTGCTGCTTCTGCAACATGGCAATTCTCTCCTTCAAACTCTGAGGCTTGGGTTGATCCTCCTCCTCTTCGCCAGTGGGGGATTGAGGATGGTCTGAAGGCAACAAACCAGCCTTTGCGGCATTCTCATCTGCTTGAGCTTGCTCTTTCTGGATGTCTGGATCCTCTTCTCTTCGGTAAACCTTCTGTACTGGCTCGGCCTTGGGTGGAGGNNGAATGTATGCGTTCTTGCTCGGAGGAGGTGCGACGAACGGCTTCTTGATGAAGGTAGGAGCGGCGGGTTTGAAGGGAGCCACAGGAGCTGCTCCTGCGTTGTTGAATGCGGCGATACGGTCTCTGAACGAACTCGGCTTGCTGCTCACAGGTGGAGGCTCTTTCTTAGGAGGCTCGGCCTTGGCAGGTTCTGAGGGAGCTGGCTTGGGTGCGGGTGGAGGAGNACTTGATTGTTTCGCGAGCAACTACCGGCTCTGCTTGAGGAGGCGGTGATCTGGCAGTTTCCTGAGCTGGTGGAGGAGGAGCAGTGTGTCTCACAGGTGGAGGAGAGAGGTCGCGAGGAGGAAGCGGGGCTGGAGCAGCTTCAGGCTCGACGACTGACTTTGATTGAGCAGGGACAGGTGGTGGCTCGGCAAAGCTGTCATCATCATCGCCGTCCTCATCAGCTTCCTCGGGGAAGTGACCAGGGCCAGGTTCGGGTANNCAGGAGGTTGTGGAGGAGGAGAGCGGACCTCGGAAGTAGGGCGTCTGGCGGGTCGTGAAGGGATCTCTGGCTCGTAGCGCTCGACGAAATTCTTGGGGAACAGACCGGCGTGCTTGTTGCCCGAAGCATCGGTGTACTCGCCCTCGTACCAGTCGGCGTCTTCCAGAGCTATGACGGTGATGATCTGGCCTTCGGGGAAGGGNNGGAGGTCGTCTTCGTGGGGGCTCGCATATTCGTAGACGGCCTTGACCTTGAATGGCGGCGCTGACATGGCGGTGGAGCTACCTGTCGCTTGTGAGACTTGTGAGAGGAAGGGGGAGGTCTTGTGTACTAGTAGCTGTCTTGGGACCAGGTCCAGCCTCTTGGTCGGACGGACTGGCCGGCGTCTGTTGTTTCCGTCTGCGAGCGCTTCGTCATGTGTCTTGGCGTGAACGAGACTCTCCACGTCTCAGATCTGGAAGCCACAACACTCAACGCCACAACCAGCCACACTTGCCTTCAACCTCCGACATAATTTTATATCACCTCGTTGCCGCCATCTTTCCATACCATCTCACAAAAACATCAACATCTGGATTATTTCATCCCAAAAGGACATCAAAAAAACTCAGGATTTCACTTCAAAAACCTTCACAATGTCAACCGCACAACCACAACCAAAATCAATACTNAAAAAAACCTCTTCTCACACATCTTCCTCACTGGACACTTCACTACCCCCCAACACCAACCTCAAAATACATCCAAAATCAGATATCGAGCGCAAACGTCTAGAGACAGCAATCCAACACGCCCACCTAATCCAAGAACAAAAGTCCATCCTCGTGCAAAACCTAAACGCCATAGAAGAACTCTCCGACTACCCTTTAGGCAGCTCTGCCACTGCTTCCGAGACTGCTACTTTCTTGGAGTATATGCTATCATTCCAACCTTCAGATTATGATGCATTGATAGAAGAAAGACACGTTAATGGAAGGTGTGGGTACACATTATGTGCCCTTGCGCCCCGAAAAGCAGCTCCAAAAGCCCCTTGGCTAAAATCCAAAGGGCAAGAAAACTGGTGTTCGGAAGCTTGTGCGAAAAAAGCTTTGTATATCAAAGCCCAGTTGTCAGAAACGCCGGCTTGGGAACGCAGGGCAGGAGATCGCAATCCTTTGGTGTTGTATGGGTCTTCCTCTTCCTCCTCTGCATCACAAGCATCACCACAACTCCAACTTCCAGTACGCTCAAAACCTACTCCCACCGCCAACCAAGACCTAGCGTACGAAAGAGGCGAGATCGACACAGTGGCGAATGCAAAGATGGACAAAGTGATCAAAGCCCAAATTCACGAAAACAGCAGCGCTATGGCTTCGGTGATGCCACCTACGCAAACGAGGTTTGCAGATAGCGATGTGCATGACTTGATAGAAGGCTATCGACCGCGGGGTGTGCAGCGAGGAAACCTGATCACCGTCAAATCTGAAGATGGAGATGCAGATAGTGATTGATGGGGAGGAATGATTGAAGAATGCTGGTTTGCCTTCTTGACGATTTGTGTATTATCAAAATTCGAGTTCATGCAATTTACATTGCTTCAAAGCTCTGAACAGAGTTATTTGATTCATGCACTTAATGGACCATAATACGTTGTGTCTGTCCAAAATATCCAAAATATCGCCAAGTCTTACTTGTTAACCATACCACCCTGTCCATAATTTTAGCATATGGCATAGAAGTACGTATACTTCCAGCATCAAGAGCAGTCTCTCAACCGGTCGTTTGCATTGACCTCTGTAGAAACACTGCTCAATGTCATATTGCAATTGTATAATCTAGTGACGCTACCATGCCATACTTTGGGTCAGAAGTACAAACCATCATTTATAGAAAAAGAGCATGGCACCACTATATACCAGCCACGTCGCAAACATAATTACACAAGCAGAACATGCGTCCAGCACGATGAGAGAAGACAAGGACGGAAAAAATGATCATTACGGCTCAAAAGTATCTGCAATGACGACAAGAAAAGAACAACAAAAGTGGTATCAAGAAACGCAAAGTGCGCGCAGAAAACCCAGAACAAGAAAACAGGGAATAATCATCAAAGTCCACCGACTGACACTTCGAACACCCATCCGCCCTCCCCCTCCTCATTCCATTTCTCCCCCTCCTCATCCCATTCAATCCTCATCAACAACCACCTTCTTGGTCATACTCTCAACAACCTTGGTATAGAACTTGACAGCATGATTCCTCGGGAAGCAAATCTCTTCTGTGAGGTAATCAGGCAATATATCCATCAAATCCGCATCTCTGTTGGCATCCAAAAGAGGTTCGTATGCAAACTCGGTATCTTCGTAACTAAGTCCTGATGGTGTTTTTGGATTCGTGATGGCCTCGTCGGTAGCAATGGTCAAGTGGAAGTGTAATGCTGAAAACTTCTGTCAGTAGAGAAATTGGAAATGAAGAGGAAAGAATCAAAACTTACTGCCGTTGCGACCGGTCTGAATGCAGCTGTATTCGTCTTCACCGTCTTTGCGTTTTACGCTTGTGATGATCAAGCCTGTCAAGTCGCGGTACAACTCTTCCTTCAATGCATTTTCCTTGACACTTTCCGCGCTTGCGCCATGAGACTTTCCGTGTTCAATCTTCTTGACTGCAGATCCAGGTATTTTATCTGTTGCTGCGTTCGACTTTCTCGCGGCTTCGAGTTTCGCGGTCAATGCCTTGGACTCGTTCTGCGATTCTGTGAGACTGATTGTGGTGGCTTTGTGCTCTTCTTTCAGTTTTTCGTTTTCTGCTGTCAGAGATGCGACTTGGGATTGGAGTTTCGCAGACTCGGTGACGGTTGCTGAGGATGTTTTGCGGATCTCGGCGAGTTCTTTTTCAAGGATGCGATCAAGTCGTTCGCGTCTGGGAATAACATGGTCAGTCTAGGCTTCCAGGATGTCAAGAACAGAACTCACCCTTTGCTTTCTGGTCTGTTGCCTTCTTCAAACGCTCAAAGTTTGCCTCTGCAGCCTTTGGACCCAGCTCAATCACCGAGTCGTACTTCATTCGCATTTCGTCGTACTTTTTGGTCATGTCTGCCAATCTACGGTTTGCTTCTGACTCTGCGATTCTTCTTTCTGTGTCGCTGGCACTGCGACCTCGTGAGTATGTGCCTGGTTGTCTTGATGTTGAGCGAGCACGTGAGTAGATAGCACCAGGAGCAGCTTGTCTTTGTATTGAAGCTGAGCGTTGCCGTGAGTGTGTCTTTGGCGGTTGTGGTGCAGTCAAGGGCTCTCTGTCAATATCCATAAGATCGGCTGGAGGCTCTTCTTCGACGACGGACTGTTCAATCTCTTCATGTTCAGGCTGTGTTTCTGGGATGATCGGGGTGGGCTCAGGAGAGGGTGCGCGCTTTGACTTGGTCTTTGGCTTTGCGACTGGCTTATCCTGGTCAAGTTGGGCATCTGTCGTCTTGGGCTTGGTGGACTTTGTGGACTTCTTCGGTGGAGCGGGCGCAGGTTCAGGTTCTGGTTCAGGGACAGTCTCCGGTTCAGGAGCAGGTGCAAGATTCTTTGCGACGACATCCTTCTTCAAGACTCTTTTCCTCTGCTTTGGCTTTGGCGCAGGCTCCATAGCGGGCTCTTGTTCATCGGCGTCGCTAGCATCCGGTGGATCAACAGGCTCCTTCGCAGCTTTTGATTTGGTGGTCGTCTTCTTGGTTGCAGTTGTGGTGGCCTTCTTGACGGGTTTCTTGACGACAGTGCGGTTGATCTTGGGAGGAGCAGGTCGCGAGTTTTCCTGATCAGAAGCGCCAATCTCGTCCTCGGAGCCAGAAGCAGGTGGCTTGGTAGCGACAGATTTGGAAGGCATGATGGGCGATGCGAATGCAATCCCAAGCGGCAGTCGCGAAATGCAAGGCGAGCGATTGTTTTGTTTACGGCAAGCACGAGCACGCGCGCCCCGCAAGTCTGAAAGCACAAAGCACCTTTCTCGAAGCCCAATTCAAGACATCGACTCTGTCAAGAGAGAGTCCTTCTACTCCATCTACCACTTTATTCTTGATCGCATACAACTTTACATGAAGATATACGTTTTACGGCCTCTCTCTAACCCCAAGACCCTATGTCCCAAGGTAAAGCAGGAAGAATGGACTCGAGTGCAACCAAGTCACATGACCCAAATCTTGGCATTTGCGGCGATCGGAAGAGACGCTGGATTTCTGAATGAAGCATTCGGTCGTCGAATTGCAGCAGCGGGCAATTGTCGCAGTCATGTCAAAGGCCATCAACTCGCCCACGGGCAGGCTCCTGCGCAACTCGCGTCTCTTCTCTCTACCGCCACCTCTTCCCGCCGCTCCCATCCCCAGCTCGACCGCCGGCCAGATCCTGCGCACTTCTGACACGGCCACACAGCCCTACCCTACCTACCAGGCCATCTCGGCTCCTGCTTCGTCACGATCCCGTGGAGACTGGGGCTTGAAGCGTCCTCTTCCCGACAGAGCCATTCCCAAGAACACTCCGCATCTCCGTATCAAGGCCATCGACACTCTCGAGCACATCACCGATTTCGAATCCGCCGCCGATCACACCCAGTCGCTAGCAAAATGGCAGGACATGAACATTCCACTCTCGCTCCCACCCAATGCTCGCACTGGCATTGTCTCCACATCCTACAAGTCACGCCCTAGTGCTTTCACCAACGACTACGATAACACTACTCTGCAACCTCATGGATCCGAAGAAACCACCTTCACCGCCGAGCGCGCTCTCCGTGAAAGAAACCGCCAGTCAACTACCACCGCACGATGGAAGACCCAGGGCCCTCACCTTACCAGCTTGACCGAGGCCGAGTTTGATCGTTACCTCATGAACCTCGTCCGCCAGCACAAGTCCGAGTTCCGCAAGTTCCTCGAGGCTGTCAAGATGGACAAGAAGCGCAAGCATCAAGAAGCTCTGATGCGCGATCACGCAGACCCCAACACCTTTGAGATCGAGTTGCAACTCAGGAGTCGCATGGAGAAGGGCGAGCTGGACGAGTGGATCAAGGAACTGCGCGACAACCACCACGACTTGAGCTCTGAACTGTCAACCTTGGTCCGCGAGTTCTTCGACTTGCCTGCCTTCCCCTCTGCTTCTGCCAGACAGAACAACACCAACGCCCTCGCCAATGAGATTGCTGTCAGGACAAGGAATGACGCTGGACCACCTTCTACCCACCCCTCAGCTGGTCTGTCTTACTTGCTTACTAGCGCCATTGTCAACAACCACCCCAAGTACGGTCCTCAAAGTGATCGTGAACCCGTCGAGGCTCGTGTCTTACGGACAAAGGAGGGTAACCGCAGCAGAGACACCAAGGCTGATGTTGGTCTCGGTGGTTTCGTCACATCGATCCAGCCTGGATCAATCCCCGGCCAGAGCCGTTTCAAGGATACTGGTAGAGGACAGAGAGAAGCCCCTGGACCTCTCCACCGCCTTGACTTGTCTCTTACAGGTGGTAACAAGGTCTGGCTGCAACCAAGATCTGCTTATGTCGATGAGGCAGGCCGTATTAGACTGGATGTTGGTGAGGCCAGCAGCCAACAGGTGGACATCAAGATGGGCAAGGAGATCAAGGAGGAGCAGCCAACTTACACGAGTATTCCTGGCAGTCAGATGCAGCGCCTTGACGGTGGGCACTTTAGACCGGCGAGATATGGCACTGCATTGCCAGATGAGAGATTGCGCCAACAGCAGCGTCCCAAGCCTTTTGAGCGCAACAACACTGACTACAAGTCTGGTTTGGAACAGATTGAGGCATTGGCCAAGGGCACTCAGCAGAAGCCGTGAGTTTAGTGAGACGGGGAGACTGTATAGATATGTACAAATATTCAAAATTTCTTATGCACTTATGAGATTCAATACATTGTTACATTCGAGGAAAGATATGTCACCTAGTGAAGGAGCATGCTTGTGAGGTCAAGGAGAGAGAGGTAGACGTGGACCGTGCACTTCTCCAGTGCCAAGCAATTAGCCGAACAGCAGCAACACTTTCCAACCAGCGCAAATCCGCAACTTCCTTCTCTCTGAAGCTGCGCCGCGAACACTTTTACATCTTCGACAACCTCCTCTTCCGCCAAACACACATACCGCAAAAATGGGTCGCGTTCGTACCAAGACTGTCAAGAAGTCCGCCAAGGTCATCATTGAGCGTTACTACCCCAAGTTGACTCTCGACTTCGAGACCAACAAGCGCATCTGCGATGAGATTGCCATTATTGCCTCCAAGCGCCTGCGCAACAAGGTACGACCACTCACTCTGAACTCTAGAATACACTCTAGAGTTGTCACCAACAAGAGCGCAAGAACTGATGTTTTTGCTTCATCANNGATCGCCGGTTACACCACTCACTTGATGAAGCGTATCCAGCGTGGTCCCGTCCGCGGTATCTCGTTCAAGCTCCAGGAAGAGGAGCGCGAGCGCAAGGACCAGTACGTCCCCGAGGTCTCTGCCCTCGACTTCACCCAGAACTCCGAGTCTGGCATGCTCGACGTCGACCAGGACACCAAGGACCTCCTCAAGTCCCTCGGCGTAAGTTTTGATTCTTTCAACCGTCACACAACACTCAATCAGCAACTAACAACATCCTCANNGTTCGACGCCATCAACGTCAACGTCGTCCCCGTCGCCCAGCAGCAGGTTGCCGAGCGTCCTCGCCGCTTCGGCGACCGCCTCCCGCAACTAAGCGCTTGCTCTCTTGCGGCCTCGGAAAAGTTCTTGACAAAATTGGCGGGAGTTCTACATGGCGCATTAGTCTTGTTAGGTTCGGGTTTTCTTCCAATGCAAAATCTGCTCCCCCTCTGCACAACCAGGTGTCGCTGATTCTTGTTCCGACAAGATGATGCTTGATTGCCATTCATCCACAACTTTTTATCTTTAGGGCTACGAGATCATGGCAGAAGAGTCTACGGGTAGTGCTGAGACTTGCTTCTGTTGTTGATTCTCGCGGCTGGCTGAGATTGCGACTTGCAAGAGAAAACCCCTTCTTGCTTGTTCGCGAACTCAGCCACATGTGACTTTCCCTCGTGTGTGATTGTGTTCCTGTGACTCTAAATGCCACCTAGTAGGTGATTGATGCTGTCCCTGTCAGTCGCATTCTGCTCCAGTGTGTTGTCTGTTCTTGACTGTGTCTTCGAAAAGTTCCTATCAGTGGTCTTCAGCCAGTCATCGTTTCATAAAGCGTCAAACACTGCACGCGTGTCATCAGGCTATTCGTAACCTATCGCCTAGAAGCCAAATACGCATGGTCTTCTTTATGGATTTTGGCTCAGCACGCGATAACTCGTTGCGTCGCTGCCTGTCTGCCGCGACACGAGTATTCAGTTTAATGCTGCGGAATATCTGACTGCTTGCCTGATAAGGTAGGTCTGATTGTCGTGCCTCTGGCATCACGAACCCAGAGTGAACTCTTTAACATCCTCCCCGTATGCTGAAGTATATGACTCCCACCCATACTCTGACTATAGCCAAGAGCAGAATCTAGACTACAAAAGGCATAGTTGGTTGCGAAAACAAGGCGTATCCACAGAGACTCGTCGACAACTCATCGCTTCTTAGTAGATGTTGTCTTGTTTCCTATTGCTATAGCACACGCATTACATATTTTTGCACATGGGGAGGATGTATTCTTCCGAGATGGTGCTGCATTCATCGATGTCGAGGTTTGCTGTAATAGCAATGACTCGGTGGACCCAACTGCCATGTGTCATCCTTCGAAGGCAACAGAACAGATCGCAAAGTCTCGATTCAGATCCTTCAAAGGTGTTCACATTCAAAAACAGTCATACTTGGTCATTACTTGTCTACGTATGCTTTCAAAGGTATCATATACATAAATTCCACCAAGTCGTGTGTTAATCTTTGCATCTTCTATTCTCTTTCCACATCTCCATCGCCATTCCAAAAAATCATGATAACCGGTCTGCTGTCTTTTGTTGTTTTCGTCTTGAGTTTTGCTCTTTTGAGTAATGGTCAGATCAGCAATGAAAAATGTCCTATTAGGTGTGTTCTCATTGTTTCTACCCTCTTTCCGACTCGAGTTCGGATCTGTGTCCCTCTTTTCTTCTCGTCTTTACCTCCCCGTGTACTAGAGTCTGTAACTTCCACCATCTCCCGACTATAACTACGAGCAAAATGTAGGCTATGAAAAGACACAATGTATTGAAAGTAGAGGCGTGTCCACTGAGAGTCGACGAGTTATTGCTTCTCTGTGGACAATGTCCTGTTTCTGATACTATTGTGCATGTTTTATAGTTGTACACTTTACATACATTTCGTACACCCTAACCCCCCTGAGGTTACCCTTAACACTTTATTTGCTAACACCTGACCCCTTAGTCCAACCCTCTCTCCTCAAGAATACATCATCCGCTTCCATGAAGGCTGTACCTGGTCCCACCATCTCGATTATCTGGCTGATACTGTGCCTTCTCTGTGGACTACTGGCTTTTAAAGCCAACCACATCTTCAATGGCTATACAGCTAGCATACCTAAACATGTTCTACCATATATCTCTGCCAACCCTAACGTCTGGGCTATCTCTGATACTGCATACATCTACATACCTGGAAACAAAACTGCCATCATCAAGGAAGATCAAGACAGACTTGCGACAAATGCAGCAGAAGAAGAAGAATCAAGGAGGTATACAGCACAACAACCACAGTGGGTGGGAAAACACCTTATCGTGGGATTACGCGAGAGTGGCGATGTGGAAGAACATCTGGGTTCTTTGCCTGTGGAGCTGCAGAATCGTATCGAACAATTGATTCCAGAGATTAATGGATATGCTTTACCTGCTGCTCTTTTTCCTTCCCTCGTCCTCTTGGGACCAGATGATGGATACTCTGCGCAAAGACCGCAATGTAGGATTCATCGTTTCCAAACCACGAGGCTTCTTTTCGCAGCTTGAACAGAGAAGTAATCCTGCTGAGGGGCACTGCTTTAAACTGGGCTGTATGGATGCGCAGCATTGTCGTTACGCCATCTAGGATATGAAAGCCTCCACAAACCCATGGTTGCAAATTCGCTCAGAGATGAAGTTTTGTTTGAGAAAACCCAAATGAGAAAACCCAAAGACACAGTGGCGTTCGGCAGAAGGAGGCGTATAAATAAAAGGTCACATTGTGGTTATTCAGTGGGTGACATTGAGAGAATACTTGGAACCGTCATACAGCGAGTAGTCTGTTGAGAATAGGTCTCTTGATTACCACTTTTGACGTGATTGGAGTGTAGAAGATGTTCGATTCTCTCATAGTATATCGTCCCACGACAAATGTTCTGCGCCGGCTTGAGTGGTTGGTGCTCCACAGCACCAAGTGTTCTCGAGACCTGTCTCAGCTATATTCTCATGCTCTCCCCCCTCTCCGTGGCGTAACTGCCTTTTCTCGCTCTACTGGTTTAGTTCTTCAACCATAGCGTAAGGTGGGTTCTTCTGATACCCGTTGTTGCTAAATTTGTTGACTGTGCTTGAAGGGAAGCCACCAATAATGTTGTCATCAGCATTCTTAATCACGAGCTGTTTGGCCTGAGCCGGTGAGATGATTCCCTCGAAGCTCATCCACACAGCTATGATTCCGGCCACGTGTGGTGCTGCTTGCGAGGTTCCGCCAACAGTGTTGGTCCCTCCGAACTTCCTATAGAATGAGCATTTATTAGTATAACTCCTCTTCGTGAGGCTGAGCAGATTTGCTGCAGCAACAACCTCCGGTGAGGGGTCCCACCAGTGATACATACCAGGCAGACTTGATACCCGCTCCTGGAGCGATTATATCGACAGGGGCTCCATAACTCGAGGTATAATGCTTCTTGTACAAGTCATTAGATGCTGCGACAGTAATGACATTTTGTATTTAGCAGGATATCTGTTGACCGACTTTGACCCGAGATCGTCGTTAGTGTTACCTGCAGAGGCGACCATGATCATACCGGCGGCGTAAGCACTATTCACAGCATCGCGGAAGTCCGCATCATTCTCTACTTGGAATGACATGTTGATGACAGAGCCTTTAAAAGAGTTTTTCTCAGACTGACGACGCTTGTGCCTTGCCAAAGCATCCTCGACTGCATTAGTGGCTGCGTATACGTTTGTGAATCCTTTCTGGTTGGCGATTTTCTGAGAGATGATGTTACACTTTTTGCAACGCCATATGTGGTACCGCCAGCGATTCCGGCGACATGAGTTCCATGCCCACTGAAGTCCTGTCGAGGCGTGAGGGTCAATCGTCTGAGTCAAGCCTCTATGTTTCTACATTTCACTTACTGTGGTCCCCTCAGCTGCAACATAATTGGCCAGGGTATGGGCCCTGCCTCCAAATTCGAAATGCGAGACATCCACGCCAGTATCAAGAATATACACGTCGACCAGGCTGCCAGCATTATCCAGGTAGTGGTATTCACGAGGAGGGTATTGTTGTGCCTCAGAAATATAAGCGAGATTGTAGTCCACATTGGCCTGACTAGATCGTCTATGCAAGATGTTGGATGGATTACTGAGGTTTGCCACGGACGAAGTGATTATCTGGCGCAGTGTTAATCTATCCATTGTCTGGGTGATATAGTGATACTCGTATCGAGTCGCTAATTCAGAGTACACTTACCTCAGGGGTCGTCACATTGTTGTGCCCTTCTGTGGTCTCGGTGTCCCACATGGGAATATATCCCCAACGGTTCTGCGAGACTCTGCGAACATTCGGATCGCTTCGAATGAGAGGCAAGAGTTCTTCGGGGATGGTCGCGGTGTAGCCATTGAACACGTGTACCAGCTCGCGAGCGCCTGGAAGAATCTGCTGAAGCAGATCGAAGTGATCTTTCAGCCTGTAACCATCGTTGAATCTGACGAGATACTCGTTGGGTATGAGGCTAGCCTGTGTAAGCAGCGTTTCGAAGTAGTCGTTGCGTTGATGTACTCACGGGTACTCCTCGTCTGCGAAAGCTACATTTCCACTGAGAACCAATCCAAGAAAGAAGAGGTAAAGACGGTAGAAAGATAGCATGGTCACTTGGAATGAAATTTGATGGTGAATGAAATGTGATGCTGAATGAATGAACAACCCTGGGACGAGGATCCATGATTTTATATTCCTCGATCCCTACTTCCCAAAGTACTTGGTCGATGTGATCCAAGAGGCAATGGATCCACTGCCCACCAAAGAGAAATGCGTTATGACATATGATCATACGATCACACTCCTTCGATGCTACTGTCACTCCTCGGGCAAGGTGATGTTGACGATCTCTTTGGGCGGGTTGGACGAGAACTTAATGACGACCAAACTCACATGCTGATCTTATGTCTATCCACAATGTAGTGGATATGTATACTTGGCGGGTCGAAGGTGTGAACATCGAATGATCATCCGTCGTTCGTGAAAGGCGAAGCACACGATTCACCATGAGGCTTCACTGAGAACCTCGCGCGTTGCAACTTCTTGAATGAACGGCCGTAAGTATTGTGGCCGAAGAAGTATCGAGGTTCACGACGTCCAGATCCACTAAGCCTCTGAATAAGATATCGCTGATTACATAGCTTGGCAGCGAAAATCCTTCGGTGATAAGATTCCAAGCATCCACATGGTGCCTAATGCACACGGCTTTCGTGTTTTGAAGACTCATGGCCTGCATGTAAGTAAATCCTTCCGCGGCGCGCATTCTACACCGATTCACTTCAAGCAACGCAGTGGCCTGATTGTCGCATTGAAGATCTTAGCGCAGGTTCGGTGCAGTAAGCTGCTGTGCTAAGGTTGAAGTGAGGGATAAGAGCAAGGATGACCCTGTAGTACAAGGGACATATTCTGCTCCTTCTCTTTTTCGAGTGCTCGTCATGCAACCATACAAAATACTACTGGCAGCTTCCGCCAATTACGTCGCATCTGTCACAGCTACAACCATACACGGGTATGGTCTGCCAGACTGTGACCCAGCCAGTGTACCCGAGAATCATACTTTCGAATCAAACACAGGCTGCACCCTTTGGTCATCACATCAGATTAATTCCATGAGGCCAGTGAACCTTGGTTCTGGATGCCAGTTGATCATGTGGGAGGATCAAATATGCCAGGAAGAGATCCAAGACTATTACGCGGTCAACTCGAAATTTGAGAGTATGTTTCATCAAGCTAATATTTGTTGTTCCGCTAATGATGGACTAGGTGGAAGGTGCTTCTCTACAGACGGAATTGGTCCGATTGAAGCTTTCAGCGTAATGGGATGCCAGTGAGTTTGGCCATCTGGAGGTTTGACCATGAGGTTCATACCATATGTGGAGATTGGGTGTAATTATTTCAGACCTGAATACGTTATATCTCCTACATCGATCAGTCAAATCTCATCTATGATGGTGAAGTTCTGACCTCATGAATAACAATATCATCCGCGTTGTACGATTTTGGATATTCACCCTCGACCTCATCGTAGAAGATGCCTTGTCTTTCACGCGCTGGATACACTGCAGTGACTCTATGATCACGCCTGATCAAAGGCAAGTAGTGCCTCTCCTGGTTCTGGTCGTCGAAGATGACACCATAAGAACGCGAGAGAACGAAGTTGACTTCGAAATCGTGTCCAACAGTCGAGAGATGCGTTTGCTTTGCAGAGCTATCTATAAAGAAGATTCTCCAGGCGAGCGGAATTTTGCTGATTGTGTTACTCAAACACATCATCTTCTCAAATTCCAAAGACTTACATGGCATTGTCATCGGTAGTCCAGACTTCTGGATCTTGACCCTGCAGGGTTAGCCACAATCTCTCGGTCTGATATAGGTCAAGATCATCGTCCTCCAGCCCAAGGTGTCCGGTCACAGAGAAAAACCCACGAGGTTTCTGCACCACAAATCCAACCAGGTGATCTTGACGGATGGCAGCCAGAACGTTTTCATCGTCATCGGATACTGGCATGGCATATCCATTGATTGACGATATATGTTGCTCTATGTGGATACTCCTGTTGACAAAGACAAGATGTTCTTCGAGAGTGTGGCCCTCTCTCAGCCCGATGATCCATGTCTGCGGGACGTCAAAAGCGAGTGCGAGGGCACACAGACTTAGTAAGTGAGTGAGGAGAAAGGTGCGCATCAAGGTGAAAGAGTTGTATATCTGTTTGAGTTGAGTAATTTCGGTCGGCAGAAGCTCAACATGCAGCTACGCCGAGCGGCGGAGTAGAGGCAGACAAATACGTGAGAGAAATACTGATCACGTCGGGATTTGCCGGGTTTGTGCCGCGGAGGGCTAGCGTCGTGCCATTACTCAACATCAAACCGCTTTGGAGATAATGCACACAAGCAAGTCATGTCCTACACGTCTCTCCCTCACTGTTCGTCCATGGTGTCGTCTTGTCAAGCCGTTTTGTGGAGCAAGAGCTTGGCGTTACTCATCAGCGTCGTCCGTTGTCGGTCGCCGTTCGTATCCCCAGATCATACTGGTTGATACCAGCTTGGTATGTTTGAACTGATCAGGATCTATGCCGACGCTTTGGCAGCCAGGAAAGTCGTGCAATGTTTCGCTTGGCTTCGATACCTTGATGGATGACAATACCCTTTGTACAGCTGGTTCAAGCGGTTGATCGTTCTCGGGACCACTTGATGATCACGAGCCAGTACCTTGCGATGCACATGCTCGAACGTGCGGGGTCTGTAGAAGTCCGAGGGGTCGGGCAGCGAGGCCGAACCGAGACTGTGCGGCTCGGTTCGGTTCGGTCAAATCTGCTGCAAAGCAAGCATCAACGTCCTCGTTGTCCCGATCTAGTGTGTTGATGAGCTCGGAATACAGTAAGATCGTTTGCACATCAAAGGACTCTCCACGCTTCGGGTCGGAATGACAGCGAAGCCCTCCAAGGTGGAAGCTCATGATGGCGGCGCAATGCTTTCCACATATATCCTCCTGCGTTCTTGAGTGAGACCACAGATTTTGATAAATGCAAAGACAGATCGGCCTCATCTGAGCCCCAAGACATCCTCCATCGCTGACACAACAAGAATCACCATGTCGACTCAAACATCAACACAGACCTCCGAAGTGGAGCAGCTCCGCTTGAAGGCTAGTAACAGCCCAATCAACGACTGGCAGACCGATCTTGCCAGAGACGGATATGCTGTCGTGAAAGGTGCTGTCGCCAAGGAAAAGGCTGCACAATATGCCGAGCGCATGTATGAATACCTCGAAGGCTTGTAAGTTGAATATCAATCTATCCAGTCTGCGATCATGCACATGACTGACTCCGTGTTCAGTGGCCTTGGTTTTGACAGAAATGATCGCTCCACATGGACCGCTGAGCACCTCCCTGAGATCAACAACAAGGGCATGTGTCTCGATTACGCCGTCGCTCACGAAGACTTTGTTTGGGACATTCGATCAGAGCCTGGTGTTGTCGGAGCATTCGAACAATGGCTGAAGACCCAAGACTTGATTGTCTCTTTCGATGCTGTCAACTTTGGGTTGACTGGTCGCAAGGACTTGGCCCCCAACACACCATGGCCTCACCAAGATCAAGATCCCACAAAGAACGGCTTCCGCTGCTTGCAAGGTCTTGTCAACATCCTTCCCAATGGACCCAACGATGGAGGTCTCATTGTGTGCAAAGGTGCTCATCTTCACAGCGAGCAGTTTCACCGCGAGGTTGGTTTTCCGGAGAAGGAACGCAACGAGCACATTCCTGCCTGGAATCCTGAATGGTACGGCTTTACCGACAACGGCATAAGATGGTTCGAGGAGAAGGGCCTTGGATGGGTCAAGGTTTCTGCAGAGCCGGGTGACCTCTTACTCTGGGACTCCAGGACACCACACTACAACCTGAGCTCCACCACGGACCAAAATCGCTTTTGTGTGTACACTTGCTACATGCCCGTTGCCGATGCAAGTCAGGAGGATCTGAAACGCAAGAAGATTGCCTTTGAGGGTTGGTTTGGCACCACACACTGTAAGTTCTCCACGGTCCTGCAACACTATTGACGCGGGAGTATTGACAAAAAATGTGTTCTAGGGCCAAATTGTCGCGTCATGGGACGTAATCAAGCGAAGAGAAATGGCGAGCCTGACCCTCACAACAGGACTGAACCTGTGAAGAAACCTCAATTGAGTGAGCGTGCATATCGTCTGACAGGCATTCCGTACATCGAGGCGTGAAGATTGAGTTCAGAAGCAATAATTCGATGACAATGGCTGGGTTATAATTTCTTCATGTAACAAGGTCCAACTTTGTATTCCGGTAGTTTAACCAAGTACATTCGCTACCAGAATTCATAAACTTTTTGTTGAGAGGGTCTTCAGTATCAGAACCGCGCGTTCTCTGATGCAGGGTTTGTCTTGGTCGCTTGTGTGACAATGTGAGAACTTGCACTGGTTGTACTAGCTGGAATTATGAAAGGGTGCCTGAGATCTCAGTGTGGCTCATCAAAGGACAAGTGCGGGATGCCCATCAAGTGCTCAATGTCCATACCCTCGAACGCCTCAGCATCGAAAGCAAAGTCGCCGACGTACAAGCGCGGGAAGAGAGTATCCCATTCGTCTGATAGATTCGAGTCTTGCATATGAGTCAGATGTGTAGTACTGGGATTGCAATCGTGGCCTGTAGACCCTAGCTCTGGATCGAGCTGTGTCTGATTGGTCTGTGGTGAAGCTCTCCTTGTTGGTCCCCTTAAATTTGTTATACCATGTGAAGACAGCGTATCACGAGACGCAAATTGTTTCAAGGTCTTCAAGAGTGTATAGAATCCAGGATTTTGTCCATCCGCGGTGTATCTTTGTTCAACTGCCTCCGCGGCCGAGTAGATCAAGCCAAGGTCTGAGCGAGCAAACCACGAGGTCGCGTTCTTCAAAGTGTTGATAGACAACACATAGATGGCCATCAAAGGTCCAGTCATTGTCTGCAGCCTTGAATGCTTTGTAATGTCTCGGGTCTGTAGAAACGCAGTAATGATGGCTCTTGCAGAGCTGGCACAGATAGACTCGCTTGATGCTAAGCGGCTTGCATTGGCCTTACCCAAATCGTAACGAGCAAGGTTTGCTTGGTGTATATCCTTGTCCATCAACAATGCAGCTCGATGAAGATTGATCATGGTTGTGTGGAACTGGATACTCAGAAATGCTCGAGGAAGAGACACTTTCGGGTCATCGATCGTCATGTTTCCATCGCAGCGTAGTTGTGCAGGAAGATTGTTCTGCCACTGGACCAGACGCTGGTCCAAGAAAGACTGTGCTTCTAGCACTGCAGAAATGGTCGGCAGTTTCGGCGTGCATAAGTGCCTACTTATACTCCCTTGTATAGAGCCAAGATCAAGTAGAGCCTGTAGAGGTGCCAGGTCTTGTAGATTCGTAGTCTGGAGATCCCTTGATTGGTCGATATCCTCATCTTGTACCTGCGGCGGGCGGCCAGTTTCTAGGCACATCATACGATCAAGACAATAAGCGCTCCACCAGGTATGGACGCCCAGTCTTACAGCCTCCGTTTGCTCTCGGTCAAGATTGCCGTACCCGTTCAGTTTTCTATGCAGGCCGAGGGTATGTAATATGCGAATGGCTTGTCCCAGCGCTTGTGAGCCGGCACCGTCCTTGTTGCGCCCTCGCAAGGCCAAGCAGATGAGCAGTAAGGCTTGAGCAGATTGCAAATAGGGTTGAGAAACAAGGTAAGCATACAAAGAGTATGCTGCCGTGACAAGGTCAAGTCCTTGATCAGTCTGGCCAAGAGAGTCGGCTCCGATGGCTAGACAAGCGTAGACAGTCGCAATTAGTGGCCTCTGACGCACCGGCAGAGTCCTCAAGTCTTNTTGAAACATAAACTGTATGGCTGAAATGACGCTTTCTCTCGAGACAATCGGGAATAAGACCCTGACGCCTGAGCAGAATGCAGCAAGATATTCTTGCCATCTCGTAGGTATTGCAGGCATATAGACATCTGGTGGTAAGTCCATCTCCTCGCAAAATCTCATACCATGTTGGAAAGAACTTGTGAGGCCTGTGGGAGCAACGTGGAAGGTCATATCCAGCCACTGTGAGAATACCTGCAGACTCGTGGACCCAAGATACTTCCGTTCAGTAGCGCTTACTGAATTTACAGCAAAACCAGGACTTTGACCATTGTCCATTACACCAGACGGGATGATAGAATCGCCCGATGGCTCTGGAAAAAGATCACCTTGAGTGTCTGATCTATGCACAAGACCACTGATTGCCATCCGGGAGCCCGAGATACTGCTCAAGTCAGAATTCGGTGGCGTACCCGAGTGTGAGGTAATACTCCGAGAAGCATCCACATTGCTTGCTGAATAATTCACTGCCGCATCTGCAGATGGAAGTGGTTGAGCGGAGAGGCCGGGTTGGATCGCGAGACCAGTACCAGCTCTACGACGAGCATAAGCGGTGACTTGGTCAGGATTGTTCGGGTCGGTAGTGATACACTCGGCTCCCGCTCGAACGCAGTTGGAACATGATGGTTGAAGCTCGTCACAACGGACTTTTCGAGAACGACATTTGTTACACGCTCGGGAAAGACGAACGCGTTTCTGAGGTCGGTTCGCGACATCCGAAGACATGAGTATGCCAATAAGTTGCTGTCCACAGTCCGTATCAGAGTGTGCTTCAATACTGCTAGCCGTACATATCAAAGTCCCATATTATCGGGATCGATCGTGCAAACGCAACGGACTGCACTCCACCGGACGAAGAATGACTTGGAGAGGATGAAAAGTGGCTCGGGTCGTCGTATAGCGAGAAGCGGGGTAACTCCATGCTGCTGATTGGCCATAGAAGATTTGCCGACGTTTATCCTTCGGGTTCCTTCCCCTGAGCTTCTCTTTCTGCAACGACTTCCAGTTCTGTTCGCACTTCGGTTCGGCGTGAGTTGCTCGGTTCGGGACAACTTCTCTCTTTTGCAATTCTTCACCACCTCAAACTTCACTCGGCAATCTCATCCGACGCTTCAGCTTGTGGCTTATGCATCAAGTTGACCATGATTGGCCTTAGAATTGATGGGGCCCCGTGGGGTGATCTATCCTCCACTTGATTCTTTCACACCCTCTTCTGGCCCACTGTCCTGTGGAGAGAGCCCGCGAGCCCAGTCCGGCCGGTCTATAATACCCTGGTACTGACCTGAATCCCCGCATCTGCAACAGCTCAGTCTTATACCACCAGCCTTCCTTGACGAGATCCCTCTCGCTGTACAGCACCCGAATCCATCATGACATCTCAGATAGACCACGATAAGGCAACTATGGTAGCGGACCACCTGGAAATTCCTGAGAAGGGGTTTTCAGATCATGAACAGCCCTCGAATGGTGATCTTCAACTCATCAATACCACTGGTGAAATCAGAAGAATCCCAATTCCGTCTAGCGACCCGAATGACCCTCTGAACTACTCCAAGTGGAGAAAATTGGGTATCTTAATCTGCTGCTGCTGGTTCTCCATCTTCTCGCTTGTCCTTGTTGGTAGTCTGGGACCTATCCTCGGTGTCTTCATTGGCCTTTACGCCCCTGCTGGAAAAACTGTCCAAGAGGTCGTCAACCTCACCACCTATCCTAGCTTGGTCATGGCATTTGGTAGGCGTTGAATCCAACCATTGCAGAAAACATACACTGACAGTCTCCATNNAGGCAGTTTCCTCATCCTTNNCCCCCTGTCCATGATGTTTGGTCGACGACCCATCTTCTTAGCATGTTCTATTCTTCTGATCGGATCTACGTTTGGCGCTGGTGCCAGCAACTCATACAATACTCATATGGCTTGTCGTATCCTCCAGGGTGTAGCAGCCGGTGCGACCGAGTCTGTATTGCCTTTGATTATCACCGATATGTCCTTCGTAGACGAGCGTGGTCTATACTTTGGCATCTACTGGGGCACTCAAAACCTGATCAATACCGTCTTCGGCATCAGCTCTTCCTACCTCGTCGCCGCCACATCTTGGAGATACTTCTATTGGGTCCTCGGTATCTTTGCTGCTGGTGGTATAGTGGCTGCCTTGTTCTTGTTGAGTGAAACAAGATATACCAGATCGCCTGCTTCGATGAATGGTCAGGTCATCTTCACTGACGAGTGGGGCGTGACTCATTTCCTTACCGATGCCGAAGCTCGTGAACGTGTGGGAGCTGTTCAACAATCAGACAGTCAAGAACATCGTCAGAAGACGTATCTGGAACATCTCAATCCTATCAGTGGTGTTGCGCCTAACGCTCTCCAACTAGGCCTCGGAGCGGAAGTCAAGATGCTACAAGCCTTGAGTTCTCCAGGTGTCATCTATGCCATTTTGGTGTCCTCGATTGTGCTTGGTACTGGTATCGCCATGTCGCTTGTTTATGCTTCGATCCTCACAACCGAATTCCACTGGTCCGAGAAGTCAGTCGGACTTGTCAATGTTGGTATTCTGCCTGCCTCTCTTGCAGCCATGTTCTACGCTGGCTACATTGGAGACAAAATGAATCTCTGGCTTGCCAAGCGTCGTGACGGCGTACACGTTCCCGAAGACACCCTCATACAGCTGATCTTACCATTCCTTGTCGGCGCCATTGGAATTATTATATTCGCTGTCACAGCAAACGATCCGGAAACCCATTCTGCTTGGGGCATTATCATGGGATGGACACTCTACGAATTTGGCTTCATCGTCGTGTTGATCACGACCACCCACTTCGGCTCTGAAGCTTTTCCCAAGAATCCTGGACCAGCTCTCGTTGTTGTCATCGGAAGCAAAAACATCATCTCCTTTGGCGCGTCTTTCGGTATCGTGCCCATGGTCCATGCTTACAACTACTTGACCGCTTTCATGATTTTGTTCGGTATTTACGTTGGCATCTTTTTGCTTGGTATTCCCGTCTACTTCTTCAATCACAAGTGGAGAGCCTGGATGGCCAGGGAGAAGTGAACAAGAGAATGATAATTATCTATTTTAGCTGCAAAGTCATCGATGTTTCAACAGATTTGAGAAACCTCGTACAAGAATAATCATATCTACCGCGAAATGACATCTGCACAGAAGAAGTTGTGTCAGAAGCGCTCTGCGCGTCGATGCGCGGTGGAATTCCTTGAGATCCAAGCCTACCTGATCTGCGTCAAGACAGCCTTGCGACCATGCATACTTCCGATACGTGAAGACACAAGCATTAATCTGCTTATATTCAGTTCTGCTTCAACATTGACGCGACATTGGGGAGATGTAATTTCTTGCTCAGATGGACTTTCACATGTTTCCCACAATCAGAACAGCCCCGCGAATCCATGCAGACTCGGTAATTAAAGCAGATTGTCTCTGGGGGCCCCATGCGCGGCACAGCAGCCTGCTGTGGGGTGAAGACTGGTTACCGGTCAGCTCCAGCCGGACAGGCATGCGTGACCCGACATATCTGGCCCCGACGCGGCGACGCCTTGTGTGGCAAACCCCCTTCGCCGAATACGTAAGCGTGCTGCAAGTCAGGCGCCAACTTGTGGGTGATAAGTCTCCAGTCTGAAGCGCTGGTGTCTGTACCTTTTCTTCAGTCGCTCACCATGGTTTTTGTATCTTCACATCGACGTGCCCGATATTTTTTCTTCAACAGCTTCGGATATTCTTCACAGACGTGTCACTGGTATGCGCATAAACTGCAGTGCAAAGCGTCGCGACTCGAAGAGCTCGCCAGGCTGGTCGTGTCATGTCGACCTTTGAACGCGAAAGCATCCGCATCACTTTCTATAAGAACCTCACCAGATGGAGGACCACGCCCCAATGCAACCTCGAGGGACATGACGATCAGTGTGGTTGTCTAAAACCTTTCATCAGGATCGTACCGTTGAAGGAATGGATGAAAGAGAAGGACTTTACATTGGGCAAATGCAACGGCGAATTGCTCTTTGACGAGGTTGATCCTTATAAGACGCGGCCTCACCCTTCCGCGGAAACCATTCTCAAGAAGAGTACCCTCGTCTTCAGCTGGTTGGTGAAAGCAGAATATGGACGACTCATTCACATTTTCCATCGTGCCAAGTTCGACGATGACAAGCTTCGAGATGTTAAGTGTCGCCTGATCAAGGACACCGATTTGCAGGATGAATATGAGCAGCATATCAGGGATCACAGGGATTCTGTCAGTTTCAAGAAGCTGACAAAGGATTTGGAGGCTTTGAGATGGGAATTCTGCCCTTACACTCTCGACGAAGGACTCGACAATGAAGCTTTCGGCACCAAGCTCATTATGCCTTTCTCTGAGCAATGGGCGGTCACTGGGCAAGGTGCTACATCGGTCGTATGTCTTGCCATTATCAACAAAGAGTTCGTGTCCGAGNNAAAATTCGGCGGTCTTTGGGTCACGCCTCAGAGTCCCCAGGTCATGATGGATTGGTGAGCAAGATTTGACTACAATCAGGGAAGAACATAACCTGACCATCCGCAGTACTACCAGTTGGCGGTCAAACGAATCATGGCCGCTGGACGTGAGACATATAGCCAAGAAAGATGGGCTTTCAAAGGAATTCACAACAAGGGAGGTATGTTGCGTTGCTTCGGATCCTACAGCACTATGGTCTCAACAACCAAGTGGTACAACATTCTACTTGAACCCGCCGACGAAAACATGCATGAATTCTTCGCCTCTTTTNNGGACCCCCCTCAGCTGTCAAGCGAGATCTACTCAGAATGGGATGAGATTTGCAAGATTGCAGCGGCCATCGAGACCCTTCATAACTTTGATTACGAGGGAGCACCATGGTCAGGGTATGTCAGTTCATTACGATCAGCCGGGATATCTCTGATTCTTCTATATAGATGGCACGGTGATATCAAGCCCCGAAACATACTACGCGTTGGCAAAGAATGGAAGCTTGCTGATTATGGCTTTACTGTTTTCCACGAAAAGTCTCAAGAGCGCTTTCCGAAGGCAAAGCTGAAAGAACGTACTGAAACTTGGGGTCAGTCACATATCTTCAGATCAAGGTTCATCGCTCACTGACATTGTGCAGGGGCACCTGAGACAACTCGCCATGATGAGGATCTTCTTCAAACCATCGATACATGGTCCTTCGGTTGTGTCTTGTCCATCGTAGCAACATGGATGGTCAAGGACATCAAAGGAGTGCTTGAATATCAAGAATACAGGTCCCAGAATCGCCCATCTGATGCTTTCCACCACGACAATAGTGTTCTGCCAGAAATCAGAACATGGCACGAGCATTTGAAACAGCTTGTGCGCAAATCTGATAACATCACAGAACAGATACTAGACCTAGTCGATCACTCTTTGTTACTGATGGAGCCCAGAAATCGCCTCACTTCAAGTGAGCTGTGGGCAAAACTGCAAGAGATTCTCTACACGGCGAAACAATCTTTACAGAAAGAAGTTCCTATGNNGAAGGGGGGATTGTCTAAGGCCTTGCAATGTATAAGAGATCATCCCGAACGGATTGATTTGTACAACAGTGCAGCCTCCGACGGAAACGATGGGACCATCCCAATTGCTTTGCCGCCGACGATATCCCGTCTTCCACACACCAATCCAGTCGAACGACCCGGTACGTTGCATCCGCCTATACGTGTTGCGCAAACACAGGTATCAGATTCGAGGCCCATTCCGTCTTTTCAGAGAGTCCAGTCATCAAGTACTGTGTCGCGTGGGCACATACCACTACCATCTCCAGAACAAACAGTAGTCACCTTACCTCATCCTAGGGTGAGTTTTTCGAACTCATTCAGTGGCTTGCAATCAGAATCTCTTCAACGCATCACCACTATCGATACCGCAGAGACTTCGGCCATAGTTTCCGGACATAGACCGAGTGATGCGGGTGCATCGGAGATATCGCAACACGAAACACTGTCGACAAATGGAAATTCAAGCGCAGATAATCATCGTTCCTCCATTTCGACGCTTGGTTCACCTGTTCCAACGCTCGCTGGCGATCTTGATACGGCTACCATGAATCATGTATGGAAATCAGTCCAGACAGTAGACAAAGATGCACTTGCTCTGAGCGTACATCTGGACCGCAGGGACTTTTGGATAGCCCGGCGGACCGATGAGGATGGATGTACACCAATCATGGTCGCCGCNGAAAAGAACCATCTGGCCGCAGTGAACCTCTTGATCGAACACTCGGACCTGTCACTGTGTGATCGAGGCCAGAAGACGGTACTCCATCACCTGGTTGAAGGTCAGTACGGCAGAGGCGAAACCCATGAGTTTCTGGAGACACTGAGATGTATTCTGGGTCACCAACATTCTCGCGAAGGCAGATTCGGCTGGATCAATCAGACGGATAATCTGCATCACACGTGTTTATTCTTGTGTGTGCGAATGGACATGCCAAAGGCAACAAAGGCATTGCTTCGGGAAGGAGCAATGATCGATGGTATGAACATTGAACCACAATATCTACCACTTGCGGAAGCAGTGAGACTTGGGAAAGAACATATAATTCGTGTTATGTTGAAAGAAGATCTTTCTCTGTGGGAGAAAGGCGTCTCAGCACCGCTGCGCGAGGTCCTCGAAAAGAACAAAGGGAAGGTTCCTGGTATCTGGAAAGACATGAAGGCCAAGATGGGTGAAGCAAAACCGCAGAAGATATCGCGATCGAGATGGCCCAGCATAGGGAGGAAAAAATTTGAGCCCATTCATTGGGAATCCAGGGATAGTAATGTTTAGTGTCGAATTCTCACGTTTGCGACTGAGTCTCTCTCCGCAACAATTTTACTTTCTTTCTAGCATGCTCTCAACTTATCGTGTGGGCCGGCGGCATTTGCAACATCTCATGAGCTCCGGAGCCCCCTTCCGAAGCATTATCGGAATCTTCCTCCAGATTCAAGCGCTTTTCCTGCCAATGCTCAAAACTCGGTCCCCATTCCAACTTCCAAATTCTGTTCCATGTAGTCTCGACCTGATAATGTATGTACTCCATCGTGGATGCACCGAACACAAACTGTAACCGGACAACGTTAGCTCAAGTATACCTTTAGTGAGAGACGACTCTGAGTCAATACATACATTCATGTCTTCGAGCTCAACCGCTCTTTCTGGGTATCGCATAAAAAGCCAAACCAGGATCGCTGCGGTGAAATCGAGTGCGGCAAATGATCCAAGCAGCAGCAAATGTTGATTGTTCTGCGTAGATTCGCTAAGTCTCCTCTGATATTGAGGTACCGCCATAGCAAGGGCACCTGCAAAACTGAGGTTGATGGCGACTGCCAGAGACATACCGACTTCGCGATACTCCTGGGGATATACTTCCGAAGAATACATGAATGGTATAACCTAGAGATCAGAGTCAGAGCCCACGTTACATACTGATGTCATAAGACTTACTCCTGCTCCGGGACTATAAAGGGCCGCGTAGATTATGATTAGTGTGATCGCTGCACCTGTGCTCTTGGTATCCAGGTAGTGTCCTGTTAGAAGAAGAAAAGGCAGCATCGAAAGCAGCGATGTGAGAAGGAGAGCGCGGCGTCCTATTCTATCGATGAGAAAGTAGGCAAATGGTGAGAATACTGCATTGCTCGCTGCGAACCTGGAGAAAAAGGTTGATTAGGCTATATCATCTGGTGTCGAGCTATGTGACTTACCCAAGAGCCATTGCAAGGGTACGTGTTGGCGTGGACGCGTTAGTAGAGTTGTCGAGTACGGTCGTAGCCAGAAACGCAAATATGTTGATGCCCGAGAACTGTCTGGGCTACATCAGTATACTGCTGAAGCCAAATCAGGGTGGCGTAAAACGTACTGTGAAATCATAACCACACTAGATGCTACAACAGCACGCCTGTTGCGCCCGTCTCGAAACAGCCCAAATATCTTCGAAAAGAACTCATGTACTCGGTAAAAGAACTCATGAGATCCCCAATCTGACTTCTCATAAGGTTTTGTGTCCTTATCAAGATCTCGTGAGAGGCTGGCTGTCGTGACCTCATCTCCTGACGATAGAAGGGCTTCGACACTTGACTGAATATAAATCATGAATAGATCACCTAAGTTGAGGGTTAGTCTCATTCCTCTGCTCATGTTAATCAGTCTTCTACTCACGAGCAGCTTGTAAGGGAGTTGCTCTCAACTCCAGAAACCCAAGGTATGCCTTGCTATACTGTTGTTTTCGCATCAACCAACGAGGTGACCTATACGACAAGGTAAGTAGAACCCTGAACATGAGGAACTAGCTTTGCATACTCTGGAATCACATAACAGAGACACAAGAGAGGGACCGCTGGGACAAACCCGATGCCAATCTGCCATCTCCAATGTCCTTCGAAGATCAGATTGGTCACGGCACCGAGAAATATGCCTATCGCTACAAAAGTCTGCCATGATACCAATAGCCTTCCTCGAAGCTTTGGCGGAGCGACTTCACTCTCAATCACTGGTACTCTAAGGTGGGTCAGCGAATACATGTAGCTGCCATCACAGTGAAAAGTTGAAACTCACACAGAAGCCTTTGCGCCCATACCTACACCTTGAATGAGGCGGCACACGAGTAGTTGAGACCTGAAATCACTCCGATCAGCAGAGCGAATGCCAAACATGAAGGTGACTCACCATGTTCTACAGTAAGCAGACCCAATCGGAGCCGCGAAAGAGCATATAGCGGCAAAGAATAGTGCAGTACGCCTGGATAGGTTAACCTGATTCTTTGCGGCAGAGTTTCTCAACACTCACCTTCCATATACGTAAGTGATCGGATCAGATACCCATGCTCCGAGAACACTTGCCGCAAAGTATGGCATAGCGTTGACGATGCTACATCCAGTTAGCTTGTGGTATCTGAAGCTTTTCTGCCCACGATGTGTACCCAAAATATCGAAGTCCGTTGCCGATAAATTCGGTTGGTTCGTTGTCAATCTTGTTCGCAATCTTTAACTCTTGAGGCCATTCGAGATTGGCTCCGACGATACTCTCTTGACTCCAGCCTCTTTGCAACATGTCAGTATATAGTGTTCGAAACTCCGATCAGAATTGGGTACTCACTGTACGATAGCTGCTATTGCGCAAGTGAATAGCAATACTCTCAGAGCCTTGGTCAAAGACCTCAATTCACCAGCTTCTTCTGAGTCGAGTTCTTTCTGAATCTTAGACGGCAGCTCGGGATAGTATGTCTTCAGTGTCTCCCGGCTTTTTGCTAAACGTGCTCCCTTTGCAGCGTCTCAAGGTCGACGACCTCTTCTAACCCTTTGTCTTGTGAAAGTTCTCAGCGTGCTTGAGCAGAGTCGCATCATCCATTGCTAACAGGGGGCTGATGATGCTGAATCATGTGGATCAGTTTCGTTGCATCGGAGAACAGCCAAACATCCAGACTTACAAGCCATATTGGGCGTTTCGACTGATTCGTTCATCGACTCTGTTTGTGAAAGTTTTCTAGTCATGGTAAGTGCTCCTTCAGTCTGGTGGTTTTGTCAGAAACGATACCTGACGTCGGTTGCGGATCATCTTGAATTGAAGCAGAAAACGTTCTGATTCAACACGGTCGACAAAATGGATGTGTGCGTTGTCCCACAGAAATATTTTCCCAGGTGAGACTGCTCAACTAGAAGATAGTCGTGGCAGTGTGTCGAATAAGGCTCTGGTGGCTCGGCACTCGGTAGAAATTTCGGGCAAGTAACTTCATGCATTGCTCTGCCTGATTGAATGGTACAAAGCCTTGCAATCCGAACTATTCTAGTCAAATACCAGGCTGCATTGCATGTGAACTATCCTAATCGGGTCCTATGCAGCGGTACGATATTGCATCGACTGATCGTGGGGAAGCCAACCAAAAGTCTCGCTGATCTGCAGCTAAGCGCCATCTTCAGTCTGCGAAATCGTGCTGGTGACAAGAAACCGCAACTCGATGATCTACTATCTTCATGAAAGAGCACGCCCACGATATGGTCTCGACAGGCTCGAGTCCTAACTCATTCTGACACAGCCTTTTCCGACCCAACAACCAGTTGCTGCAGCCTTTCTTGCTTGGCAACATCATGTACAGCACGCACCTCGCCACCCAAGCATAATCAGAATGCATAACAACACCCCCATGTTTTCCTGCACGCTGATCTATGCCCATTACGTGCAAAGGTCTAGAAATTATCCCCACACCATACGATACAGGATGTATAGTCCTGCCCCCACCTCGCGGATCGATTAATGGAGCTTTGAGATCCTCTCAACTCCAGACTAATACCTTCTTCTTGCGATACATGGACAGACATGGCATTTCCTCGCATCAGGCGCAGGTCAACTCATCTGATCGAAAGACAACAAGAGTTGTTTCCGTCCTACAACCTTGACTGGGACACACTTCGAGGGTTTTTGGAACAGATCTATCCCAGTGATTGGACAGCCTGGAGAGAACGCCGAGTGAGTTTCGTTCATCCGATGCACGGTTTCATTTTTAGCAGTTCTATCAGGCTGACTCTGATCGTGGGGACTTAGGTCGGAGATCAATGGCAATTCGAAGTTCCACGCAGGCTTACACGGGTAACAAGGCTCGAGCTTTGATGTGTCTGAGTAGAGTTCTAACATGGACAGGACGAGAGAGAGGAACTCATCCGCCGTCGGGACGAAGGATAATCTCCAACTTCCTCACAGCCACCACCGAACTCAGCTGAGGACAGGATGAGCCAAGAGGGCTATGCGATCAGGTGAGCACACCACCTTTATGCATCATGCATCAACTGACTTGGCGATGCCCGCCAGGCTGGGGCTTCGTCCTTGGAATGCTGAAGGCTTGACTATGAGCTTGTGTTTACGTACACGTGGCTGAGCATTACGCGATCTTCCCACAGGCAGATTTTCAGGCTCTACTGCCTCAACTGCGTCTTCTTCCTATCTCTGTGTCTCTTTACAAACATATATATACATAGATCAGTGTAAATGCACCAGTCGTCAGCGTCCACACAATAGTCTCTCAAAACAGCAAAACACAATGCAGCAGTCTTCACCAAATCAATTCGTACAGTCATGCAGAGACTATATACAGTATCCGCGCAATCTGGTGTCTCATCTGACCAAAGCCTACCCATGGGAGCTTGAACAACACGAGAGAAATCTCGCGGATTTGCGCCCGAGACTCTGTCTGAAGAGTGAAAAACAAGTCTGCCTGCCCATTCTCGACATATATCACACACTGGAACATGGCAATGGTGGGTCCGATGGATCGACATGGTCGCATAAGGGATGAACTAACTTCGAAGATTTTCGAAAATGCGACATCGAATCATCCTCGCAGTTACAGAAGTTTTTGGAGAACAGTGTCGACTTCCAGCGCTCTTCAGTCCAGGAGCAGAAAGTACAACACCCGAGATGTCGTTTCATGTATGCTCAACTTCATTCGAACTCGGCGGATAATTGACGTTCACATCCAGATGTGTATACGCTGAACATTCTCGCGCTCGACTACGCTTGACTTGCGAAATGCTTACACGGATCCTGACTTATCACCAAGTGATGCCAGGATATCTTGACTTTCTTCATGCTTTTGGTGCCCAAGACAATCCCCAGGCACAGTACTTCGCGGGATTCTACCAACAGACCATGCTTGGAGACAATGCTCAGATCCCGAAGATGTTTGGCCGCAGTTGGCGTCAGTACCAAATTTGTTACAATCTCAGAGGAGTGACACCCAAGAGGGATTCTCATGGCGATATATCGGAATGGTCTGTTCGGCAAGCCGCCATACATCATCAGTTTGATGTTGTCTATGGTACTGCATTGTGGATTGTCACTAAGGGACGGCAAGATCTACTCGAGAGATTCGAGCAGTTTACAAAAAGTTCGTCCGGACGATTTTTCGATAGTCTGCAAGCTTGCTTCCAGACAAGCATGCAGACTCATCGCATGTTTTGTCACTGGGCAGCAGAAGACTGGCGGCAGTACATTGACTGGTTGGAAGATGGTCTCGAGTCCAATGTAAGCTCAGAAAACCACTGCAAGAATACTCAGACCTGATGGAAGCATCGATAGACTTCTTTGGCTCTCTACGGGTCACAAGATTCGAAACTGTCCCGCGAAACATACGAGCCTAGACATCTGCAAGAGATACAGATGTGGAAAGAAAAGACAAGCCAGGCAAAAACACTGCTGGAGTCAAATGCTGATGTTATGGCTGCCCTCCGAGCATACTATGTCACACTTCTGGACAACGAAGACTTCCCTCTGAGAACAGAATGCCGGAGAGGCATACAGAACTTCGCAGCGGACGTCGAAAGTAATGTCGTTTGGATCAAGATGCAGGTACGCCGGCTTGATCTGCTTGCCGAAATCATAGGTGATAGNAAAGAACTTAGTATGTTCGATCATACACTGAACTGCAGGAAACAGTATACCTGACCATCCTAGGTTGCCCAACATTTTCAGAACCAGGTCGCAGAGAGGACTGAAAAGCTAAACCACAATCTGGAAAAGGAGGCAGTTGTGATGCGTATAATCACCATTGTCACCCTTGTCTATCTACCTGCAACATTTGTCTCGGTAAGTCGACCGTGTGAAGTTCGGCATAGCTGGATTCTTACGATTGCATTCAGANNCTTTTTCAGCACGGATGTCGTACATTACCAGGCTTCGGGTGACTCCGGATCGGAGACGAGCTACTCGCATCTTGCCATGATGCGGTGGCTACAGGTCACGCTCCCGTTGACCTTCGTAACAATAATCGGTGCTTGGATGGCATTCAAGACTGCGACTATCTCTCGCAAGGGCGTGGAGATGAAGAACAATCTGATGGTACACAAGAACAAAGCGACTGCGAGATGGCGGGGCGGTGAGGATCTCGAACTCGGAAAGGTGTCGTTTTCGACTTGAGCGACATAGTCAAAGTGTACGCACAGTTCGCAAGAGATCAGTAACTCTTCTACTCCAGAAGTCCGTTCAATGTGGACAGAGTTCTGCTGCGACCTGGCAGAAGGGCAGTCTCTGTCGAGGAAATATTCATGTGAATGATCAAGGCTGATGAGGATCTGATTCTGATAAATCCAAAAAGCGGCTGACATTGACGACTAATCAATCCGATTGTGTTGGTCTCACAACCACTTACCGTGACTTACATCCTCTCAAACACGTTGAGCCCTCAAGGACAATTCCCAGATCATCCATTGAGAGACATTTTGTACCGGCATCCGACCGCGACACTTGTTATTGTTCCAGACCTCTCCGCATTGGCACCATTGTCGTTCAAGAAGAAGGAGATGAGGTTGTGGTGAGCTTCGAGGTTGGTTATTTCGTCGGCTAAAATAGCCAGCCAAGAACGATCGTTCGCGCCGACGGCCAACAAAAAGAAACTTTACTCGATGATAAGTGTCAAGCAAACTTTTCTTGGGCACTTCCGCAGCGATATCAACATCGTATTCTCCCTCAGTATGCGAAGCTGACAGACCGACAGGCGAAGTCTCAAGGACGCTATCAGGTGTGGTTATGACAGTCGTTCACCCCGTATCGTTATCCCACATACCCCGTCAAAAGCCGGCATCGGATCTTATCGTATGAACATCATTTGCTGCTTTTGTTCTCTTATCACCACAATGTTGCAGTTGAGAACTCTTTCTGCAGCCAGAACGTACAGGTTCTCGGAACGAATTGGAATGCAAGATAACAGCGTCGCATAAGTATGGAGCTCAAAGGAGCATATGCTGCCCATTACAGCGATTCATTTCTATCTCATCCTGATAAGTTCTGTCCTGCCAAAGATGGATTCCGAACGCTACAATGAAGCAGAAGAGAGGAAGTCGCTGGACAGCATCAACAAGGACAATGTCTCTATCACACAGACCGGCTTCATCACCACTCTCGATGCCAAGAAGGAAAGAGCAGTGGTATGGAAGCTAGACTTGCATCTCCTGCCTCTTCTCGCTGTCATGTATCTCTTCAACTCTCTGGACAAGTCCAACATGGGCAATGCCAAAACTGCCGGTCTGGCCAAGGATCTCGGTCTCAAGGGTCACCAATACAACCTCATCTTGTCGATCTTCTACGTGCCGTACGTGCTCACTGCACCCTTCCTCGCTGCATTGGGAAAGAAGTATGGTCCCAGCAGAGTCTTGCCGTGCATGATGTTCGGCTTTGGTACCTGCACACTTCTTGTCGTCGCTGTGCAGAACTTCGGAGGTCTCATGGCGATTCGCTGGTTTTTGGGTATGTGCGAGAGTGCCTTCTTCCCTCTCGTCATCTATTACCAAACAATGTATGTATCTTCTTTGCGCAATGCGCACATGCTCGAGCAATCGTGCTGACGATATGATAGGTTCTATCGTAGAGGCGAACTTGCCCGTAGACTCGCCATCTTTTACGCCGCACAATCTATCGCCAGTGCTTTCTCTGGCCTCCTCTCATTCGGTGTCTTCCACATCCATGGCGGTGCTTTGAAGAACTGGCGCTACCTGTTTATCATTGAGGGAGCTGCCACTATGATTGTCTCGGTCATCGCTTTCTGGTACCTACCTCTCTCGGCTGCCGATGCCCATTTCTTGACTCCCGAGGAGAGAGAAATTGCCGTCCACCGTATCCAAGTTGACAGTTCGTCTGTCGTCAACGAGGAGTTCAAGCTGGGCAGAGCTCTTACCATCTTCAAACATCCCAGTACATGGGCTTTCTTGCTTATTGAAATTTGCTTGGGTGTACCTTTGCAGGGTGTCCAGCTCTTCCTCCCTCAAATTGTGCAGCGATTGGTAAGTCGCCTGAATCTCCGACATTCGTGTCGTCAGTACTGATATCTGTGTTAGGGTTATGGAACCATCAAGACTAATCTTTACACCGTCGCTCCCAATATCACCGGCGCAGTCATGTTGCTCATTCTGGGTTTCTCTTCTGATCTCACTCGTTGGAGGTTCCCCTTCATCGCTCTTGGATTCTTCTTCACCTTCTGTGGTTTCATCATCTATGCAGCTATTGACGTTAAGCATTCGTTGACTGTAGCTTACTTTGCTACTTTCATGATGACCTGGGGAACATCAGCACCTTCGGTCCTTCTCGACGTCTGGTACTGCAACAACATCGCAGACGAAAACAAGAGAGCTGTTCTGACTTCCATCGCCGTGCCGATGGCCAACATTATGGGTGTTTTGGCGTCGAACATTTTCCTGCCGCAGCAAGCGCCGAAGTACATGACTGCCCTTGTTACCACTGCTACTTTTGGTGGTACTGGTATCGTGTTGACTCTCTTGCTTGGTCTGTGGATGATCTACGATAACCGTCGTCGCGACAGAGCGCAAGGTGTCAATCTGAGAGCTGCCGACGTGCCGACTGAGAAATTGGGCGATGGACCTGCTGCTGATGAGTTCAGATGGTTCTACTAGATTGATGGGACGAATGGTATAATGATAATTATGATGGGAACGACAGGATGGAAGAAAGCTACGGTACGACAAAACTATGTACAATTGAGGTATTCGATTGATTTTCAGAGATTCGGTTTTCCTGGAAGTTACTTCTAGTCAGTAGGTCCAAGCAAGATATCGTACTTCAACTCCAGCCCAGCTTTCTCATCTCCNNCTTGCCGAGGCTCGAATTTTACGACTAGAGAATCTTTGACTGCGAAGACCGAATCATTATTCAGATACTTGGACTCTGCGTCGAAGATCTGTGTCGTGATTGGTTTGTAACCTTGTTTGATGACCTGCAGTCCATCCACGTTAACTTCCGATGAAATCCTGACACAAAGAGCACTTACAATTATATGAATGTGAGCAGGTCTAAAAGGATGTCTATCCAACTTCTTCAACAGCTCTCCCGCAGGTCCGTCATCAGGGACTGGATAAGGTGTAGGTCGTATGCAATAAAAGCCATAACTTCCATCCTTGCCAGTCCTGAATTTCCCACGCAGGTTGTGTTCTTGCTGTGCAGGATCCTGTTGCTCGTACAACCCATTGGTGGATGCTTGCCAGACGTCAACTTCCGCTCCGTCCACAGGTTGCTTGGTTACGGCATCATATACCACGCCATGCATGTATGCGACTTCTGCATCTTTCGGCGTATCGAACGATATGGTATCACCCATATTTCGCAACGGAGCATCATGGCGGAAGAACGGGCCAAGAATTGCACTCTGTGTGACTGCATCTTTGGCGTCGGCAGCAGCTTTGAAGGTGATTTCATCGACCAGGCTTTCGAGACCGATGACATCGCAAAGAAGCTGACCTTCATTGCGGCGGTCGGTAGACATCTGGCCAGCGCGGTTGATCATATCTACACCTGCCATCCACTCGTCTACTGTAAGATCGACTTCTCGGGCAAAGTCGTGGACGTGCTTGATCAAAGAGGTCATTACTTTGCGGAGGCGAGGGTCTGTGCCGGGACCGATGGAAGAAATGACATGGTTTGTGAAGTTCGGGTCATATCGACCAGCGCCATTGAGGGTGTCTTTCGGCCCCAGTGGTTTGTTTGGATTGATGGTTGCTGACATGATTGTGATACAGGTTCTTGCTATGTTTGGGCGAGATATGAGCTTGCGCCGACCGTCGTGGATTATGCTTACAAATCCGCTTTGCGGTCAGGTTTTGGTGTGTCCTTGTGTTATAGTAAGTCTCTCGGAACACTCATGAGGGGCTCGCGTGATCCTCATATCGACTTCCATGAGACCACTTCCGCCGTCTTTAAGCTCGGTAAGTCAAGTCTGCCCTCATCGGATAGCGTGATTTGAGGTTTGACTCTCGGAATGTCTCGTTCCGACAAGAAGAGTGTCCACATCACATCCGATAAAAGCCTAGATTGCTTTGGAGTGGCTTCCGGGCATACTTTCTTGGTTCCTATAGGAAATGCCACCTGACAACAATCAGAGTGGTTTGTGGACATGGCTGTCTGGTCGCACTAGACGATCCCTGCGACGCTGGTTAGTAATTGCACCTCTGTGATTGGCGGGGCGATGATCTACAGGGTCGACTGTGCCCTATATAGCAGGGTGATACCCCCAACAAGCCATCGCAAGGTGAAAATCATGATTGTGGGACAACGAACAGATATAAAGAATGTTTGAACTTACCAAATTGTTCGAATGATAGTCTTCTTTGTGCTGATAACTTCCGGACAGGTTCGATGCACGGATGCTTCCGTATTGGCACAATTTTGTTTTGAGCAGGTCTTTTCCATGAAAGTCGGCAGCGCACGCACTATTTTGAGTGCTTGTCTGCGAGCTAATACAACCTTCCGACCAAAGTGTGTATTTGCGTATATACTGCTTTGCAAAATGCATCAACGACTTTCTGCGCATACAAAGCGGACATGAAGATAGTCTAGGATGATATACCGATGGTTGTCTGGTGTTGACGGTCAACCTCGGCATGAAATTGTGCTGTATGCATATGTCTTGGCATTCGGAAGTCGACCAAGATTTGCTCGTGGCGCCTCCACTTTTGCTCGAGTCAACGACAAGCGGGGGTGAGACAAGCACTTTGCGTTTGCACCTTCCGAAGCATCTCATCGCGGTCAACTTCTATTCTCGTTTCGATTTGAAGGAAGCAGTTCTGGAGTGATTGGTCTTGACCGCAGGGAAAGTACAATGCCTCGACCGATAGTCGCACCTGACAAAAGACGTCGTATCGCCCAAGCCTGCGACAATTGCAAGCGCAGAAAGGAAAGATGCGATGGCAGCCGACCGTGCAGCATCTGCATCCGACGACGAAGGGAATCCGAATGCCAGTTTTCCGAAACCCCTGCTAGATTGCTGAGGGGTCCCCGGCATCACATTGCCAGCGATGGAAGTCCCGCAAGTATCAATCAGACTTCCCCTTCAGTCAACGCGTCAAGGATTCGTGGTGCGAGCGACGCGCCGCCACCACCTCAGCAAGCAAACAATGGCGTACGATCGAGTATCCCGAGTCTGGGTGCCGTTTCCGATCCTTCGCCAGTCAGCATCACGTTGTCTGGAAACCTGAGCGATACGAGTCAGGCCGAGATGGCCATTGATCGCATCTTGAATGCCAGTGTTGACGAGCGGGGCGCGAGGGCTAACATAGAATCTCACTCTCGACCTGAGTCTGTGGCCCCGGTACCCAGATTGGCAAGGTTGCTACGCGATACTCATGGCAAGTTCATGTATCTTGGCGACTCTGCTAGTCTGTCTTTCGTACAAAGCGTCAGACGTATGGTTCTATCTGCCATCGGTGAATGTGACTTCACGAACGACCCTCTACGCCATCAGATCGTCGAGTCAACACCTCAAAATGCCATGCAATTACCAGATATGTCGCCCTTGCAATTGGACCTCGAGGACTGTAAGCGCTTGTCACGGCATTATCTTCTTGCAACCAGCGGACTCATTGAGATATTTGACGTGCCTACTTACTTTCGCTATCTGGATCAATGGGTAGTCGACAAGGCTCGTGATAACGATCTCAAGTCTTCCATATTTTATCTGGTACTTGCTATTGGCGCACAAGTCTCGTCACCAGACGGTGATCAAACACTTGCTGAGAAATACTTTAATCGCGGTCGACATATGGCTGTCATGTCTCTTACTGACGCACCAAGCCTCCTGACAATACAAGCCCATCTTTGCATCACAATGTACATGCTAGGAGCGTGTAGAAGGAACGCCGCTTTCATGCAGTTTGGTATTGCTGTCAGAGCTGCATTCGCTTTAGGCATGCACAAAAGCAGCACACATACGTTGTTTGACGATACAGAAGCAGGGGCCAGACGAAGAATCTGGAAGAGTGTTCGCGTACTCGATATCTTCCTTAGTGCGTCGCTTGGCAGGCCTCCAGCCACATCCGATTTGTCAATGGATAGAGACAAGGATATTCCCGAGGAGGTAGCACAAGTGACTTCCACAGATCCTTTCTCGACCAAGGTGCTGGCTCTTTGCGACATCTTCGAGCGTATCGTCATTGACGTCTACATGAAGAAAGCAGTCTCTACTCGCCTTGCGGACTCGATCTCAGGCCAGTACAGAGATTGGACCAGCGATCTGCCAGAATCTCTACAACTGGCAAATCTCGACTCGAACGAGGATGATTCAGAGGCATTGACCAAGGCTCTGGCTGCTAGTCACATCATCAGCGCTTACCACTGGTCCATCATCTTACTCACTCGACCATTCTTGACTTTCCAAATCATCAAAGACATGAGCAGAGCTGGTCAGAATCTGGAGACCAATGACCAGGTTGAGCAATCCTCAATCAAGACATACGCGGACGCATGTGTAGACTCATCTCTAAGGAGTCTCAACATCGCATCAACACTCATGCAATACTCGTCACTTCCACACAGATTACCTTTCATCATAAACTCCGTCTGCAATGCCTCTCTAGTCCTCGGAGCCGCCACCTTTGCCGACCAAGACAAGTTCCTTCCTCTCGAAGATGGCTTGNNGAAACAAGGAATGCAGATTTTGAATCACTTTGCACAGTGGGATCCTCATGCTGCTCGTTACGCGCAAATCATCACGTATCTGCAAGACGCCACGAAACAGTACATCCGTCGACGCAGCGAGAAATCTTTGGAGTCTCGCCGCAGCAATGTCACTAGGCTTTTTGGCACGATTGGTCAACAAGTGGCTGGTGCCGCCGAAGAGACTGTACAAGGACAACCTATCGGTCTTGCACCTCCCACCAACGATATCAGCACTGCCAACCCAGTACAGTCTGTCAACATCGACCCATCATTATACACACGACCGGCACTGATGACGGATCTGTATTCTATGGTAAACACCCCAGGAAGTCTGCCTGGCCTGATAGAAGGCGCCTTCTATGCACAACCACAACCTGTGCCTGGAGTCATGGCCGATGGCTCAGGTTACCAAGACGATTCTTACTACTTCCTGGACCAAGACTTATCCATGTTTGGATTCTGCTGAAGCGGCGAGCCGAAGTTGCTTTTGAGGACAACTGCTGGCACTAGGTCCAGGTTCACAAAAGGCTAAGACCACTGCATCTCGTCTTTGAGAGTCTACTTGCAGTTATAAGAATCCGAACATGCTCGCTCTGTTATTCTTCATCTACACCGCTATGCTAATGTCTCAACAACAATGTTGTCAGGACCGTTGCTGGAATGCTAAACACTACTAGTGGGAATCAGAGGACTCTTTGTGTAGGGTCTCGGAACGCATCCCTCGGTGCTCTTTTCCTCGGAACCGTCGTACCAAATTACAATGTGGTGTCATCATCGAATGGTTCCGCTATTGAGAGCTCCTCGTTCGTGGTCTCCTCAGGCAGACTTCTCCCTCTCGTTATGTACAGAGATGGTTAATATTGAACACCCGACACCCAAAAGCCTTCTTCGCCGTCAAAGTGACCTTTGTGTCCCAAAATCTGGCTCTAGTGAACCATGAGGCCTTAAAACTATCGCAAAGCCTCCATGTCGATGTGAATGGCACGGTTTCGCATGGGGTGAGACAGCAGAGGAACACAATATGACCGTTCGTTTGTACAGCATGATCCAACAGGCACAAGATGGCGCATGGTCAGTCAGTTGCAGTCCAGCCAGCCCGGGTGTACGCAGAGGGATCAGACGCGAGATGCAGTATCAAGAACAAACCTGGAGAGTCATCACTAAATTGCACTTAAGACAAAGCAGCGAAGGCAACGACGAAGCAGTGTTTAGGACAGTCAATACAGACGACAGGACTGTAGATAGCTCACAGAAATCAACCAACCAAGCAGCCAATCTGTGAGTTAGGATCTCTCTTGATACAAGTCTTTCGGTGTACAACCCTTTTCGTTAGCCGCTTGGTCCCACGCCTCGGCCACAATATCGTACCCTTTTAGACCTTGTAAAAGCGCCTCATTCTGATTCTGTGCAGCAGCCAGATAGTGCAAGGGCGTATTCCCGTAAACATCCTTGCTCACAAGCTGCTCTATTCCTCCATCAATCTTTTCAAGCAGGAGCATCACCACCTCCGTCTGCAGAAGATGTCGGCGCTGCACGGCATCTCTGGGTTCAAGATGCTCAACGGGCTTGTTGGGGAATGCGACACAGTCATGGACGCATCCCTGTACTCTAGGATCAACGAGGTAGGATTTGATATCTGAATCTGCGGCCGGGAGGCAGGCAATGTGTAACAATGAGTGTTTCAATGCGGATACGCCCGCGGAAGCAAGCGATATTTGCATGGCGATTCGTCTGACTAATTGGCTGTCAAGCGTGGCTACCGCTAGATGGAGGCTCGATACTTGGCAGTAGGTTGTGCGGCGCGAAAAGTCTGCGCGAGGGTCTGCGGAAAGTATGTCGACCGGGGAGGGGTGGACTGACTTCCAGATGATAGAGTATTGCAGTGGACTCGTGGCGCAGGCAGGTGTGACCAAAGGAATTACATTGGGCGAGAAGCCTAAGGAAAGCAGGTGTTTGATCATTTCAGTCTGGCCTGCATGGATGGCTGCGTGGAGTGGCGTTATGGCAGAGAGTGCGGAGCACGTGGGGCTACTACTCACGGAAGATCCAGTTGAATACGCGTCGTTTAGCCAAAACGACGGATCCGCACCCTTGGACAGCAGTAGATCAAAGATCTGGACGAGCCCATGCCCCGCCGCTACTGTGAGGGAAGTGACTGGCGTGTTTCCTTGTTCTCGATACCGGCTTCCGGGAACCTCCTCGTCCACAGACATCTGAGCGTGCGGAGAATGTCTACCGCACCAAAACGGCCAGGTACCGTCACAATCCTTCCTTTCGGATAGCTCCTGTGCAGTGATAGCTGTCTGTTCAGAAGAGTCCTGCAGCCAAGCCAGCTTTGTCGTTTCGCTCATATCCTCGACGAGTTGCTGTGAAACCTCGTCCTCCAAAGAAAACCTGCGAGAATGCTGCATAGCGTAATCAACCATGTCACCGATTGCGACTCCGTTCGGATCTGCGCCGGCATCTAGCAACAGGCGAACATTTTCGATGATGTTGTGCTTGATAGCACATAAGAGTGGAGTCTCGATCCACTCCCCAGACTCGGTCATCGACGGAGTATGCAGATCATACCCTGTTCCTGCAATCAGGTCATGCAATCGTCTCGTGTCAGGATTGGCAGCAGCATGGTAAATCGCCGTATCCTTATAGCCCATCGTGATTTGAAGACGAACGGCAGTATGACTTCCCAATGTATCAGTCGAAGAGATCAGCAAGAAAATTTATGACGGACTTCTGACTCGAATAGAAGCAATTTTGAATGTGAAAGATATATAGGAAGTTAAGTGGCATACATAGACTCCACGAAATATGTATCTCTTCATTGCTTGGCGGCCTCATGTGACCACATCTCGATATATATATATTTGCATAACGGAGCGAATTGCCACCGATTTGTCATGAGACCTCCTGCGTTAAGACCTTTGAGAATTCTTTGCACATCAGAACACGACAACATCCGCTGTTCGAAAGCTCATATTGATAGGCAGACCATGGTCACAGATACATCCCAGTGAAGCCCTGATATATCTCTGGCGATCATCTCGATACCACATTGTAGTGCTGCTCAAGCCAGATTGTCAAATCAAGGGGGTGGAGTATGCGGGAAGGTTGACATATCCGCAAGAGTCTGTCCAGCTGGCACAAAATTATGGCTGTTTCCTTCGCGGGTTGTCCATTCAACTCCGTTCCACCAGGAATATGCATCCGCGCTCAAGATCCCGCGATCGAAAAGCGCTGTCGTAAAGTCCATCAGCCGCTGAACACAATTCTGGTTGTTTATGGGCAAGTTGCCAGCACCGATATTGTTCGGATTTCCTGCCAGCAATGCCGCCAGCGGACCTTGCTGCCCAGGCTGCCCGGGCCGCTGGCGGCCACGGAAGCAATTGAAGATGCCAGTTCGTTGATTGATCTGACGATTACGCAACTGACGGAAGTCGGCTACCCAATCGCCCGTTGGGTTTGTGAGCGCAGTGTTCTGAAACACCGTACGGGCGTGATAGACATTCATATCGGTGATGGCGGGATGAGCTACACCGTTAATCTCGATAAGGCCGGCGGTGTGGAAATGGAAGACGGCGAAGATGTCAGCAGGATCTTCCTGAAGCTCGGGATGTCCTCGAATATCAAAGACAACTTCCATCTCAACGTCTTGGAAGGGACCATCAGCTGGGACAGCGTGATAGGCCAGTTGGGCCTGGTAAAGCAATGGAATCGTTTGGTCAATGACAGCTTGCATAATGCGCCCTGTAGTAATGCGAGTAGTTCCACTACTGGAAGCTCCGTCATTATCGTTCTCTTGGGTGAATCTTCTCTTGTACAGCCACTTGAGCTGAGAAGGCCCCAAAAACCAATCGTAGGAGCGGCCGATCAAACCACGACGCGATGGAGTGCTTAATCCAGGTGTCTCGCACAATAGGAGCTCGGCATCCTCGACACATTCAACCTCAGGCTCTGCTTCGCTGCCTTCGCACAAGGCTTGGACTGCCAAACCTTCGAGGTCTTGTTCCGAGTCCATCAAGTCCAAGTAGTCGTTGAAACGGGTCGTGTTGAGACCATCATCCCCCACACCTCATCAAACACAGACATGTACTGCTGTTGTAGATATGATCCCTCGTGGCGCGAGTTGAGAAGCACCGAGATTGCTGCAAACAGGTCCCCTGATGTATCACGGCTCTCCAGTCCACGTGCCGCGACATCACGCTTGTACGGGTATTGTTCTTTTGCGGAGCAGGGAAGGTTGTCGTGAACATTCTTGAGTTCGTCGCGGAACTTGGACACGTAGCCATCGTTGACAGTTGATGGTGGGTCGCAGCACAAGGTTCTCGTACCACCCCAGAAGCAGGCGTCATCAGTGGCAACAAGCTGCTTGTCGGCGGGACACCGGCCATCACACTTTCCTCTTCCCTCCGTAGACTCTCCATGTGAATACCATTCACAGTTATTGTAAGGTGATGGATCCGTACAGCACAATCGTTTTGTATTACTCTTGATGGCCTCGAAATCGCAAGGTTGCTGGTTGTCGCCCAAGTAGGAGGTTGCAATCTCTTTCGGATGGTCTGAGGGACAACTGTTGTCGTTTCTGCACACCGGAGCTGTACCTTTCCACACGCACTTGGATCTCGCCTCATCCGATTTTGAGTTGGTGCAGCAGAGGACCTTGTGTCCTGAAGAACAACCGCCAGTGTCGTAAGTCAACTCGAGGTCTCCATTGTCGCAATGTCCTTTGATACCGCAAGTTGGAGCACTCCCTTTCCACCTACAAGTCGGCATGTCGTTGGTCGGGCAGCAGTATGTACGCTTTTGACCTTTAGGACATGCGTGGCCAATATTGACGTCCTGCGGCTTGCCATTGATCTGTTGAACGGCACCAAAACCAGATGCAAAGGGACAGGTAGGGTTTTCGCTACACTCCGAGATGAAACATGCCTGACTGTTGTCGCCCGTGCCTTTGTTGGTCAATGACAATTGTTTGCGACCAGTTTTGGCGTTTAGCGCATCGGTTGCTGCGCCACCCGTGTCTTGAGAGACGGCCCATACCAGGGTTCCACCCAGGCAGTGCTTGTTGGCGTAATCAATCTTCATCGCCAGTGTTTCCTTGTCGTCATACGAAACCCACTGGTTACCCCATACCGCATACTTGACTGCTGCGTCTTTGTCAAGAGTGACTTTGGCACCGGCTGCAATCACGTCGGTGATCTCATCATATGAGAGTGTGCCAACACTGCCTGTGCATGGTCCTGCACTGCCACCTCCGGAGAAAGTACATCCCGGTGAGGAGCATTCCGGATCTGAAAGTGTGAAGCCTGGAAACAGCCGTCAGCTCATTTCATCCTGTCTGGTATTCTGTTGTGACAAACGAAAGGATACATACTTCTTCCATAATATCCAAGGCCCAGGACTACTTGGGCCGGATCAATGTCATTTCGCCACAGAAGGTTTAGTGATTCGTTGATTTCTGTCAAGTTCGTGTGTGGTTGGACAATGGGGCCTAAAGATTTTATGGTACCGTCCCATGTGCCGTGGATGTCGTACGTCTTTTTACTTGTCAGCAGTGAATTGAGTCGAGAGGAAGGGCGTAGGGCTGGTGGTTACCATAATATTGAACCAGTCGATAGTCTTGGCGATGTTTTGGATATCGAAATGCCGCATATACCAATAGCTTGAAGGGATAGTGATCGATACTCCATACTTGTGTCCAGAAGCTCCTAAAGCCTGTCTCAAGTTCTGAAGGAAGGTGACGTAGTTGTCGTAATCATCCGGGCTCCCGCCTCGATCATCAGCGACAGGGTATTCCCAGTCTATATCTACGCCGTCGAAGCTGTAAGTCTGCATAAACGACAGCAAAGAGGCGAAGAATGCCTTTGAGCACTATCCGATGCAGCCAACTTGGAGAATGTGTTGTAAGTAGGTTGATCGGGGTCGTTCATGCTCCATCCTCCGACACTGATCCAGACTTCGAGGCCGGGCTGGAAATCTTTGAGGCCAGTTACCCTCTTGTACAGAGGAACCTGGTCCGCAGCCATAGGCGCTATCTTGTAGCTGCTTGGATCGACGAAGGCAAAGGCAAAATTGATGTGGGTATAAGCTCCAGCGGGAATGTCTTCAGGCTCCATTGTGTCACAAGAGCGTGTAAGACTCCAGCCCTCGTAGTAGCCCACCGACCGCTGGTTTGATGAAGTCCCGCTGCAGGATGGCTGCTTCACGGTTTTATCGCCGCAAAAGTCCTTTGTGGTCTAGGAATTTGAGTCAGAATGCAATCAGATTGGAGGTCTCATTTGACTTACACCACAAAACCCGTACTCACTGCAACAAACTTTAAGAGGACACTCGTTCTTGGTTGAATACTTCGGATCCCAACCTGGATTGCATTCTGCTTTCTCCTGGCAAGACGACGTGCAGTTTCCAGGACCGCAAAACGTAGGACCTTGACGACGTCGTTTAGCACGAATTGAGAAGACGTGAGGTGGTGACTTACCTAAACCGCAATACCCCTGGCCAGTAGCAGGATCCAAAGCACCACAGCATCCAGAAGCACATGGCTTAGATGCACTGCAGCCATAGTCTTGGGCATTGACAAGTAGAAAGAACGGAAGGCAGACAAGGATTGAACATAGTCTAAGCATCTTAACGCAAAGCTTTCGGAAGTGGGTGTCGAGTCTGAACGAAACAAAAGTCGGACTTGAGGGAGGAGACAAAGAGAGATAATGTTCTTAAGTGGTTCTACTTACAAACACGAACATCTCCTCAACGATAATTAACCGCATCAATCTCAGGCTTGTAGCTTGCATGATGCTTCAAATGACCTGTATATTGACTCCAGCCCGTCCATAATCCTGCAGAAGCATGAGGTGGTGCTTACAGCTGTCTATCCATAACGGTGAACTTGAGGATGAGCGAGGCTGTGGGCTTCGATGCTACTTGGTCCTTGCAGACTTGCAGCAGACTGTCATATCCGCCGAATCATTTATCCCCTCATGACCAGCGATATTCGATCTAGTCTATGGTGCAAATCCTACACAAGAGTGGATCAATTATCCTGGGTTGCACTGAGTTGAAGGATTGCAACCTCAATATGCTGGGAGGAACTTGGCAGGTCAGGAGATCTATGCGCGAGAAATACGGAACATGTGGAAATTTGGTTGGATAGTACTCGAGTAGTAACAGTAGCGAGAAGAAGAGTCAGATCGACACGAGTCAGGTGATTAAACGTGGGAACGGAAGAGGTGCTGGTGGATGCCTTAACAAATTGGAACACACGTCACAAGATAGCAGATCTAAGGAAATGAGGTCGAACCATCTCCGACCGTGTTTGCTTGCTTGTTCTAGCACATAAGCAAGGACAAGGCTGTTGGAGATTGAAAATGCAACCTGGGCCGCCTGTAGACCGGTCTGTCAGGGTCTGAGCCGCTTACTTAGATCAACATGTCATGCAACTTGAGTTTCAAATATAGATCCATCTAACAAGGTGATTTGTCCTGCGTTAGTGGTTTGATCGACGGATTGATGTTGCATGTGCCCAGGATTGCCAAGTCTTATATAGAGGCATGCTGGGCGGACCCGCGCCGTGCCGTGCGGGACGTTATGCGTCATGCAGGATAAGGGGACCGATGATCAACATGTCGGGGCAGTACATTCCATGTGACCATGTCTCAAGTTCCACCTTTCCAGCTGCATGCGTAGGGGGTCAAGCGATAGGACATTATCTCTAGTCCCTCCGATCATGTCACCAAATCAAGTCCTTGTCATTTCGAACTTGTAAAGTCCTTTTCATATATGCCTGTAGTAAGTCCGAATAGTAGAAGGATCGAAGGATTTAGCGTTCATATGCGTGAGGGGCGTGCTAGTCACATGCATAGGTGCAAGCGAATCGTGGTTATTGGCCACTGGTAACTATCCTTTTCGGGTTGACAAGTTCAGCCTACCAATTCTGCGCTGATTTCTAGTAGCATAACTAAATCTTCCTCCCAGGCCAATATCTATCGTCTCTCATTTCGTTGGCTTCTGTACTGCTTCAACCATGGCACCGGAACGCTTCTCGTTCGTTTTCTCTGCATTTCTTACGCTTATATCACTTTGTAGAGCTCAAATTCAGATTACACTTCCTGGCGATTCGTTTGACAATCCCCTTTCTGCGGCATGCATCAGCGCTCTTGGAACCACGATCGACTGCGACAGGATGTTCACATACTACCCGAATTCTGACTATCAAGGTCCATTCGACAATGTCACAGCTCAGGATCAGTTCTGCTCACAAACCTGCTCCTCCTCTCTGAGATCATATCACGAATCCGTCACGGAAGCCTGCAAAGACCAACCAGATCCTTACGAAGGCATTCCCGCAGTGTACGGTGGTGACCGGCTTTGGGCATATCAGAATCGCACATGCCTCAAAGATCCTGCTACTGGCGATTTTTGCAACAGTAAGCCGCCCTGCTGCTCGTGCGATATACGTTGAGGACTGATCTAGTGGAATAGACATTATCGCCGAATGGTCAGCGACCTTGCCGGATTACGACATTACGCTGGACCAGATCCCAAAGCAGTATCTTTGTTCTGACTGCTATTTGTCTTTACTCAGGACAATTCAGAGCACGCCCTACTCGAACTATGACGAGAACATGGCCGAGTCTTATGCAAGCGCGCAGAAGAGTAAGTTTCGTTTAAACCCATCATCGTGATCCGAATTAATGTTTATAAGTTTGCGGCGTCAAATTCCCGACGGAAGTGCAGCCATGGCCTGCAAACGCGACAGCCTATCGTCCACCAGGTACTGGCGAGCTATTGAATAATGAGACCGCCGAGACCACCTGCTTCTCGGGCAAAACTATTACAGTCAAATCTGGCGATAACTGTCAAGCGTTGTCTCAGGTAAATAGTGTCTCCACCGGGGCTCTAAGGGCGATCAATGGTATCTTTCCTGACTGCAGTAACTTGATAGCTGGCGCAGATCTTTGTCTTCCGCAGACTTGCCCAACATACCAGGTCCAATCCGGCGACACATGCGCCTCCATCGTCGGCACTAGCGGCACTCAGATATCCGATCTGATCTCATATAACCCCACGCTCAATGATGATTGCAGCAACCTCATTGCTGGAGAGATACTGTGCATATCTCCCCCTGCAGGAACCTATACCCCTATGACCATCTCCAATGTTGTCGCCACCCAGACTGGCCAATTTGCAACTACCACAGCCAGCCCACCCGGTTCCAGGGCCTCAGGAACGACCACAAAGTGCGGACGATGGTACCAGGTGAAGGTGAGTTCTGATGGATCACTCGACATATGAAACACCCAATAACGATGTAAAACAGGATGGTGATACTTGCGAGAAAGTGTCTCTGGCCCAAACCATTGCTTTGTCCCTGTTCAAGCAAATCAATCCATCCATCGATGCCGATTGTCATAATCTGCTTCTAGGCGTCTACTATTGTACACTGCCGACCTCTGATTGGAATGTGGATTCCACGCCTACAACCCAGAGTACAACACAAGCGCCTCCCGGCCCAACCGCGTCTGGGACCATCAACAGTTGCTATACGTGGTATACCATACAATCAGGTGACGGTTGCTACTTGGTCGAGGAGATGCATAGCATCACCGACGCCCAATTTCGCGCTTGGAACCCTAGCATTGACGACAATTGTTACAATCTCATCTTGGGCAATGCGTAAGTCATCGCTTTCTGATAGAGATAGCAGATACAAGTACTGATACATTATGTTTTACAGATACTGTGTCGGCGCTGCTGCACCATCATCCTCGAGCTCTGCCCCAAAGACAACTTCCGGTTGAAGTCTACAGCACCTGCATCTGGAAGGTTACAGATCTGTCTTGAAATGTGATAGAGCTTCGAACTTATAGACAGTATAAAACATGTACCCTTACTGCACCTCCCTCGTCATGGCCCCTACCCCTGCCTCCTCAAAAACCCTAGGACATACCCCCGCTTAGCCCTTACCACCTAAGCAGATTTGATACTCCCTCTTAGGGATTCTAGCACTGGCTCCTATGCCTTGATAATCTCAACAGTCGCGGCAAGGCCTCTCATACCCAGCTCCCGTCCCTTACTGTCGATGGTTCTCTAGATATGGTCCATCTTGATACTCCCTGTTAGACATCGATCGTACTGTAGTTTCTACAGCTATGCTTACATACCATAGCACCCGGGAAGGTAGTTTTTGAGAATCTCTTATAGAGATAGTGGAGAGTGCGAAAGAGCACGCGCACACTTCACTGTCTCATCCAAACGGCAGATAAATCGTATTGAGCAAAAGATTACACAGCTCTATATTATTATAGCTACACCGTTGTACCTGGTGAGTTCTGAGTCGCAGATTGTCTTCTGGACTTCCAGCTCAACCAAGTCCATATCCGTTTTAAGTATCTGACACCCGTCTTCGACGTCAGAAACATGTACAGGAATGGAACGATTGTCCATGGCACATACGACCACCAAGCCACAAATTCCAGAACCAAGCAGACCGCAACCGTCAGCAGCTGTAGAGACCATCTCCACCGCCCCTCGCCTTTTCTGTAGGCACTCACCGTGCGCACAATGCCTATGATGCCGGAGATGGGATAGCTCGTTATGATGTATACGAAACCAAACATGTCCATGCCCGCAACACCCCAGTTTCTATGCGGGTAGCGGCGGTAGAAGAAATAGAAGTGGGAGCCTAAATAGCGACTGAAGTAGTAAACGGCGAGCAATCCAATGACATAGCAGGCGCAGAACACCACAAAGAGAGCACGCCAGTGCCGACGGTGGACCTCATATTGCTGCGATGCTAATCTGAACCAGGGGCCCACTATCAAAGGAAGCAGGATGACTCCTACCGTCAACGGTAGAGATATCTCAAGGTATTGGGACATAGTCCAGTAGTGTTGCGATGGCTCAGACGGGTCGACGTTGGCAGTGACTGTCGAGGTCGGCGTTGAGGTCATGCTTGCAGTTGAAGTAGTAGTTGTGACTGTAGTCGTACGGGGTGGGAACAGCGGCTCCTTGACATTCATACCAAAGATCGACTACCAATCATTGTCAGCATTCCGCCGGCTCAATAAGAGTATGTTAGACCTACCGCAACAAAAGACAGTGGTATAAAGAAAGCGGCGGCGATTGTGAGGATCAGGGCTCTTTGCCCCTGAGCCAGGCCCATTTGTTCGTTGATTTGTTCCCTTGCGGTTGATAGAGTCGTTTCTAGTGCCTCAAATTTCATGATCAGAAAGCCGAAGTCGTCATGGAGGCTTGAGAAGGTCTTGATCGCCATCGCTTCATCTAGCCCTCCACTTTTCTTACAGCAGAAGTCAACCATATCTACAGTCGATCGAGCTGCATCGACGACAGTCTTGCCATGCTCCAAGTTCAAGATAGCAAGACGGCGACAATCATCCAGATGAATGAGATATTGGATTTTACTCCTGGTAGGCATACGTCGGCCTCTATAAGTCTATGTTGTAAATCAGCGTGCTGGCAGCAAAAGATCAGACCTGGAGAGCAGTACCATTTCCGTCACCTTGTACATCATATCATCAACAAGCTTAGAGGAGTCTTCAACCATCCATTTGAAGAGTATAGCAAGGACCCGAAGCTTTTCGTGATCTGCGTTCCATGTGTGTTGCGTTTGAGTGCTTTTGACGAACGCGTCCTCGGTCCTCAGAAATCGCGGCATCAGCTCTGGCGGGTCGGCGATAACAAGGAGTCGATGTGCAGACGATGCGCTCGTTTGAGGATTTGAGCTCGGAGGCGGTATGACGACTGTTACTGAATTGTAGCAAACACTTGGTATCCGATCCAGATGGGGTTGCCACACGTATACATATAGATCGTTCGTATACTTCAAGAGCTCGCTTTGCCAATGTAGACTGTACGTCTTCTCGGTATCGTTAGCGAGAACGCCGATACTTTTGGGTAGCTTCTTTGATGGTAGTTGATCGCTAGTAAGCTGTAGTGCGATAGGTTCTTTGGTACTTTGTAAATCCCACGCTGCTTCAATATGTTGAGTTATAACTCGGGCAGGTGCTAGTTGTAGATCCTGTTGGCAGCCCCGAAATGTTTCCATCGCACTGTGCCAGAAGGAGAACTTGTCCTGGTTGGTTTCACGGTTCAGTGTCAGGAAACTGAGCATCTTGAGTTAGCGAGATCGCAGGAGAGGTGAAGCGGATCCTACCAGATCTGTAAGGCTCCATCCATAGATGCNTGAATGTAGTGCCTCTTCGAGATAAAGTTCCAGATACTTTTCTACCGAAATCCCGTCGGGTGCATTGAGCGAGTCCCAGATCCCCTGCTTGTGAATCAGTTCTGGCGCGACAGTACCTGGCTTGAGCGTCATGAGCTTGACTCGGGTTGCGATCAAGGTTCTGCCAGACTTGTCTTTGAAATATCCATACTGTCTCCGCAGAATGGCCTCGTTGAAGCCATTGACCTCGTGAAGATACTCCATGGTTAGACAGCACTCTTACAAGCTAGTCGGAGAGGACGAAGGGTAAGTTATGCGCGAGTTGGAACATCAAGCGCAACCTGTGGGTGGGAGAGCGGCATTGAATAAGGCGCCAACCTGAAGTAGCCTGTCAATGACCTTATGCGGAGTGTGCGCAGTCGGCAAGTCCGAAAAATTGGCCCCCAAAAATGTATCTCAGCCGCGTTGAGGCGATGATTGATTGCCTCTTTCGAGATATGGGGCTGCAGAAATGGCTGCTAATCATGGAAAACCTCGCATTGATCGTGCATCAAGCAGCCAATCAGACCACGTCTCCAGCCGCTGGGAGACATCGAGCCTTGTCCGACATCCTCGTGTGCTGAGGTATGTAATGTGTGTAGATGTAGAAATACACAATACTGATGGGAAATAGCATAGTGTCCGCTGAGAAGCGATAGATCATCAGCACTCTGTGGACATGCCGATGTGTTTAGAAAAGACTGTGCTTTTCTATAGCGTATACTCTGCTCTTTGCGTAGTCGGAGTACGATGATTCGGATGGAAGTTACGGACTCTGGCGCAGGAGCAGTGGTCTTTGGTTAACCTGGTACTTGGATACACGCTGAGCCTGCGAATGCGTGAAGCACGGGTTCCAGATAACGGGGCTGGTTGTGGCGCGGTGATGAGAAGCAGGCTGAACTAATGTTGATGGCTGATGGCGAGAGGTGGGAGCGAACAGTTTTTCGGCGATGCGAGCTTCGCCCCTTCTCAACGAACGAGAACACTGCTTGAGATCATGCGGAAGGTGTCGTGCCTTCTCGAAGCCCGTGCCTTTTACCTTCCTTCCCCAATCACACAAATTATTGTGTACTATAAAAAGACACGATCGATGTCAGAAACGGAGATGTAGCGAAAGAGAGTCAGGGAGATATCGTCTCTCCGTGGACCCTACTTTATTTCTCTTTGGTATCCTGTATATCTACAGTTACACCATTTACGTACTTCAGCGAACGAGATGAAAGGAAATCTGGGATTGCCATCTCTCTTGAGCATCGACCATTGACATCTTGATGCTGCGGGCTCATGACGAGAATAGGGTATCATGGATGTACATGTTGCTGCCATGGATCATGGAACACTGAATCGTATCTCGAAGGTAGACGTTATGTATGCATTGAAATTCATGATAGTCTTGCAAATCGCCTACGTGTGTTTGGTCTCTGTTCAAGCAGCCTTGGCTAGAGCAATGTTCTCAACATGTTGCGCACCTTGGTAGTTCTTCCTCTCGTGCTCCATGATAGCATCAACCTTCTTCGCACTCGCACTTTGCTCGTCGAACTTGTAGCTGAGCCACTCCTTGGCCAACCTCCTTGCAACCTCGACACCGACTACTCTCTCGCCCATACACAGAACCTGAGCATTGTTGCTCAATATCGCCCTCTCGACAGAGAAACTGTCGTGAGCGGTGACGGCACGAATGCCAGGGACCTTGTTTGCTGAAATGGCGACACCAAGACCAGTTCCGCAGATTAGGAGTGCGCGGTCGGCCTTACCTTCTGCTACGAGCTTTGCAGCATCGACGGCAGGGTGTGGGTAGGCAGTCTTGTCGTCGCTGCTGTTGACACCGACGTCGATGACCTTGTCGACGCGAGAGTCTTTCTCGAAGTCTTCCTTGATCTTGTTCTTGTAGCCGCAGCCAGCGTCGTCGCAGCCAATGGCGATGGTGAAGGGTTTGTTGGACATTGTCTCTTCGTTTTCAAGTCGTAGGAGCTAGGGATCACAGCTGACTAGTATCGTAGCCGACGGTAGCTGGACAGTGGGAAGGCTCGATATCGAGAGTGATGGAGTCGCCTTGTTTGGTCTTTTGTTCAGCACCGTTGGTCTCTACGGTGTACGGATTTGTGGTGAGAGTAGTGGTATGCGAAGTTTCGTGCGGTGTGTCGTGAGTGACGGTCTTGGTCTCGCCGGTCTTGTTATCGTGAATCTGCTCGTGGAGATGTTCAGCGTCGGTGGTAAAGGACGACGAGATCTGGATGCGCTTCTTGGAGGGAGTCGAGGATGACATTTTGAGTTCGGCAGGAGGAAGGAGGGTATTTGTATGGCAGTAAGCACGTTGCTGGTGCTATTGGTTGACGGCGGTTGGCCGACCGAGAGCTCGCTGCAGCTGAGGGGTCGTCTCTGCTGTGTCGGCGACAACTGCGAGATGGAACGAAGGCGGGGCTAAATTCCTCGGATTCCCCTTTTCGGTCATGTCCGTCATCGCTCCTTCCTCTCCATAATCCCCGCCCACCCCCAATTTTACCCATGGGGCAACTTCCCACCTTGAGATCCCGAGAGACGGCTGTTGGGACCGGTCTCTGTTGAAATTCAACTGCAGAGGACATGCTTGGGGAGCCGCACTCTTCCTCATAAAATCAACACTTCTGTCTGCCCGTTCTCACCCTTCAATCGCCCCCAGGGACATGTTTGTCGCTTCCTCAGCCTTGAAGGCTATCCCTGGATCGACGTTTCCATCCCCACAAAGGGCACGAGACCACATCGCACTTTCTAGCAATCTATTCAAAGGATCGAGATCATGATGCCGTATGCCAATCCTCTTTTCTTTTGGTCTCGTAGGTATCCTTCAGTAATCTCTTTCTTCTCCTTCCGTCTACTTCATTTCAACACGTCTGCGTCAGCCTGAGACTCTCAGCCTTGCCAGCAATTTACCCAGTCACGATCGTTCCTGCACCTGCGGACCTGCATGTCAAGGCGCGCTAGCACATCACTCCACCACCCCAATACAAGCACTCAACAGCTCACCTGCGGCCACCTGCTTCTAAATTTCACGCCCTTTGTGCGCTGTGCGACGACACTTCTTTCCTCTTTCTCTCAACACAGACTGCAGGCAGTTGCGCGCGTTTGTCCTTAGCTTTCTTCCACTTTCATTGATTCTTTCCTTCACTCTCACTTCTCATGATACGTTAAAAGACTGCTTGCGCATCAAACTTCTTCCTTCTTTCCATCTGCAAAACAAGTCCTTCTCACCTTCCTCAATCCACCCGACGTTCCACAAAAGAAGTCACTCCGGTTTAGACGCTCCTTCCTTCTTGACTAGACCATCAGCCACAATCACACCTACCATCAACAACAATGTTCCGCCTCAAGAGTCTTGACGCCACTACTTCAGCCATCATCAACCCTCCACCTAAGCCACACCCCAAGCCAGGCATGCCGCTTGTCGATTCCAGCCTTGCTGAGTTCATTGCTGGCCAACCTCAAGGCTTCACTCATGTCGCCGTCGCTGCAGCCGTCTTTCACGAGGATCGTCTTCTTCTGGTCCAACGCGCTGAAACTGACAGCTACCCTGGCCATTGGGAGCTGCCTGGCGGATCGGCTGACCCTACCGACAAATCCATCAGCGAATCGGTCGGTCGCGAGCTGTTTGAGGAGACTGGTCTTCGCATGAAGCGCATCCTCTCCGAGGTCCTCCCACCCACAACCTTCTCGACCGGCTGGGGCAAGCGTCAAAAGACATGGCTCAAGGTCAGCTTTGTGGTCGAAGTCACTGCAGAGTCCAAGGCACGGATTGAGCATGAGGTCGAGATGCAAGGAAGCCAGGAACTCACACGCAAGGATAGCGTCATTGCCGTGGACCCTCCTGCCATCAAGCTTCACGACAAGGAACATCAGAAGTATGTGTGGATCTCAGCTGAAGAGGTCATCAAGAACAGAGTGTCGATGCCCGGTGAGAACGCCATGGAGTTCATCTCGACAGACAGCGTGTCAACCATCCTGGACGCATTCCGCTTGAACAAGCACATCCAGAAGGCTGAGATTGCCGAAGCACTGCAGCTGACCGAAAAGAAGAATGGAGAGACCTGAGCATTTGACGATGCAGCGCGAGGGGCCAAGACGGGTTGCTAATAAAAGACAACGGAGTTACGGGGTTTGGCAGATTCTGATTTTGAATGCTTGCACAAAAGCGTGAAGATAGAAGGAAAGCTCAGAAACTGAGCACGGTTTGCTCCCAGGTTGGCGTTCTTGGAAGATGGCAGCAATGAGGCGAATGTACGATAGGCGTGAATCAAGACTACAGAATTGGCAACACAAGCACAAGAAGATTTATTAACAGATCCGCACATGTATCGTGATGTTTGCCGTACAGATGCAACGTGTGGATTTTGCACACACAGCGTGGCGATCCAGATCACCAGATACTTAATTTGGCAACGCTGCATGATTTTCGGATATCGAAAGACATATTTTCGGCAAGGTACAGCATAAATCGATCCATGACGATTTGGCTGCTGCGACAGACAGGAGATGTTCTGGATAGAGTAGTGAACAAGGTTGATGGAATAAACTAAAACGGGATGGCCCGCTCAAGATGATAGATGGCTGGACCAGTGGGAAAAGGTGGAGGAGAATTGCTGACGGCAAGCAGCAAATCGAACCTCGGCACAAAGCGGAGAGGGTTTCGATGGAGCAAGCACGAAGAACAGAAGCCGCAGTGTGTTGCAACAAGAATTAGGTCGAGTCGCATGCTTGATAGCCGGCCGTAAACAGAGAGGTCATAGAAAAACAATTCGCAGACTCGGAAGAAAGGACGTGGGTTGTTGAGGCTTCTGGTTTCCTTTGCTCTTTCCCACTTTCGTGCTTTCCTTTCACATGCGACTCGGACTCGCTCCAAGCTTGCCCTGACCATCGTTTTCTTCACGACCTACGCGAAACTCCCCAAGCTCGGCACGTCACCCGTGTGGACATGAGCAGCGCTACAAGACTGGTATAACGACGTTCTCATGGCCGACCGCCTCTCTGCCGGCGCGATGTCTGCTCCACCACCTCCACCGCAGCCAGCATCAGTCCACCAGTCGCAATCTACACAACACGCCACACCGCAGCATGCTCAGCATCAAGCATCTCCGACTGGCGGGAGTCAACAAGGAGGCTCTGCTACGAGTTTTCGGAGGTATGCGACTTGAAATACTGGTATAGTCCTTTGGCCCGAAACTGACGCGACTCTGGCAGACAACGCGCTTCGAGAGCTTGCGAGGTGAGACCAAATCCCCATGCTTGGTTGAGACAATACTGACTGTCGACAATAGACTTGCCATGCGCGAAAGGTCCGCTCCAACAAAACGTCCCCTGTCCATCTTTGGACATGCTTCTGACGCGTTTCTTAGGTGCGCTGTGATGCCGCTAGCCTCGGTGTGCCTTGCACCAACTGCGTCGCTTTCAACATCGAGTGCAGGATCCCATCTCCCAAACGAAAGAAGACGTCCTCCAAGCAGAAAGAATCAAACAGGTGCGCCGTTCGCCCGCCTCTCCAATCAAGACGCGCCTAACACTTTGGCAGTGACCGCGAAGACAGCAGCAGCATAGTCCAGCCCTCACCTGCCACCCACGAGATTGTTGCACGATCAGATGTCGCCAGCCAGGCTCCGATGCCTATGCCCCAGCTACCTCCTCGAAATGGTGTCGACTACTCTGCCGCTAGTGGCATGCCGCCCACCACCCTCTCGGAGAAATATCAAGAACAACAGCAGATTCACGATGCAACCTGGAGTCAGTACATGAAGCCCAAGTTTGCTCGCGCCCCCATCAAAGAGGCTGGACGTGTCGCATATCTGGGCGAGTCATCCAACCTGTCTCTGCTCGTGCACGACAAACATGGCAACTCGGACGTCGTACACTATCCTCTGCCTGAGAATGTGCGTGGTCCTCGGGCACGCATGAACGAACTTGACGAACTCGAATTGCGCATTTTGCATGAGCGCGGAGCATTCTTGCTTCCCCCGCGCCAGTTGTGCGACGAGCTGGTCGATGCTTTCTTCACCTGGATTGCCCCTGTCGTACCTGTGATTGATCGCAACAAATTCATGCGCCGCTACAGAGATCCCAAGAACCCTCCTTCGTTACTCCTGCTGCAAGCGATTCTCCTGGCTGGATCACGCGTGTGCACGAATGCACAACTCATGGACGCCAATGGCTCTACGACTCCGGCTGCCATGACCTTCTACAAACGAGCCAAGGCATTGTACGATGCCAATTATGAAGATGACCGTATTACCATTGTCCAAGCCGTCATCCTGATGGGCTGGTATTGGGAGGGCCCAGAGGGTAAGATGCGAGACAGATTCCGCGTCGCCAGTGAGTACCAATCTGACATTGCTTCAGATGTAACCAAAAACGTGTTCTATTGGAGCAGAGTGGCTGTCGTGATCGCTCAAGGCTCTGGAATGCACAGAAGGTGAGGTTGTGGACTCATTATCATGTCTTCTGTTGTTGACTCGTGTGCNAGTGTCGAAAAGTCTCAACTCAGCCAACAGGACAAGCGTCTCTGGAAGCGCATCTGGTGGACGCTATTCACGCGAGATCGCTCTGTGGCAGTGGCTCTCGGTCGCCCTTGCGGTATCAACATCGAAGACTCGGATGTCGAGATGATCTCGGAAGACGACTTTATCGAGGACGAAACAGATCCAGCGCCTGAATATCCTCTCAACCCGGTACACATTCATTTCTTCCTGAATTACGTCAAACTCTGCGAAATCATGGGGTTGGTTCTGTCGCAAAACTACTCGGTCGCTTCGCAGAGACGCGGCCGCAACAATGCGATTGACCTGACTCATTGTGATATGGCTCTGGCCGACTGGCTTCAAAACTGCCCCAAGGAGNNAGTCTATTGGGAGAAGAGTCGACATCATTTCTGGTCTGCTCTTCTCCACTCCAATTACTAGTACGTTGCTTGAACCCTGTGTTTCTCCCTACATGCTGACATGAGTAGCACCACACTTTGTCTTCTGCACCGCGCTCACATGCCTCCTGCTGGCTCATCACCAGAGGCGAATCGGTCAAATGGCTTCCCGGACGACATGACTTATCCATCAAAGAACATCGCCTATCAAGCAGCTGGCATGATCACTTCTATCATCGAGGCCCTGACGGACCACAATGAGCTTCAATTCACGCCCGCCTTCATGTGAGAAGTCCGATCAAACTTGGTCTACCCTGTACTGACCTCTGTCCCAGCNGTCTATTCTCTCTTCTCTGCACTCATCATGCATGTCTATCAAATGCGGTCATCCAACCTGTCCATTGTCCACATCACCCGGCAGCGCTTGACGACTTGTATGAACGCACTCAAGGATGTATCTCGAGTTTGGCTTGTGGCTAAGATGGTACACACCCTCTTTGACTCTATCCTCGGCAATAAGGTGCTGGAGGAGCGTCTACAGAAGGCCGCTGGTAAACGCCACGCAAAGTCAAAGAATATGCAACCCACCAAGAACCCACTCTCACGGAGCAACAGCGATCTACAGAAGCGCAAATTTGACGAGATGGAGTTTGGCTACAGCGGGGGTCCACCAGCTGCTCAAATGTCCTATGAACGCTCAAGACCACAATCTCCTGTCAATCCTCCTCGAGAACCCCAGCCGATATCAGGGCTTCCAGGCAATAATGCAAGCCCTTCGCTGCGTCAAGACGCCTTTATGGGCACTTCTCGAACCAACACACGTCCAACCACGCCATTCAACACATACTCATATCCTGGCACACCACCAGACCTCTTCCTTCACACTCGCACATCGCCCAACATTTCTCAAGACTTATGGCAAAACTACCAACCAGATCAACTATTCCCACCAGACACCACTGGCATGTTTCCGACCGAAAGTCCTGCACAGCAAACAACCATGGTAGATCCAGCTCTACCAGGAGCAGCAGGACCCCCTCCACAACAAACTTACGCTAACACGGCTCAACCGCCTCATTATCAGCAACCAGCTGCACCAGTAGGACTCGGGAACGGCATGATGAATTCTGGTCCAGCACAACAACAGCACCAGTACCCCGCGCAACATTTACAGCACCCATACGGACAGATGCCAGACAACGGCGAACATCAGCATCGAACAAGCATGGATGATACATGGAGCAACAACAGTGGTTCTACTGGAGGTGGCCCTATCGTGCCAACCACGTTGAATGTCGGCGACTGGTTCGAATTCTTCGGCATTCCGAACGGAGACATTTCTGCACTGCATGCGCAACAGTTTTGATGCTCCAAGCGTTCCTCTTGCTTTGTCTTGTATTTTAGCGTCTGCCTACTGTTCATGTCTATTGTTCGCTTTGTTGTCACGGGTTATCTGTCAGGAGGAAGCTATGCGGCCGTCGTTGCTGCATTGTTCAGGAAGCCTACGAAGAAAGCAATGTATGTTTTATGTGCTGGGACGTTAGACTCTTGTGCCTGGCGGCTGCAGCGTGTGGTCCGGCTTGAGGAATCGAGAGTCCCAGTATGAATGCCACAAAACAGAGATACCCTGTAGCTTTATGAGACCTTTTCTTTTAAGTCCATACGATTGTCACCTGCTTTCGAGCATTTCTTCAACCGTAGAGCTTGCGACGAATAACTTCGGGATTGGGAAGGAGCGAAGTGTCGTGTTACCTACAAAGGCAGATTGTCTGACATCTGTCAGCATCACATCAACATCAACATTCTCAACATCAACTTTCATTGCCGCGCCATCTTCGCGCGTTGAATTCACGTGGTTTCGTTCTTCTTCGTTATGAACTGGACAAGGTTCCACCCACCTTGATTTCTTGTTACACGCTTCGGATACGCTTCGAGGCAGATATGCTTTCCAGCACAGACTACCTCAGCTCAGCTCAGCTCACACCACCGCACCAAAATTTCCTCCAAGATGCCTGTTCTCTCTTTCCTTCGACCCTTTGGATCTCGTCCTTCGACTTAAGATGCATTTCCTAACACTATATCTCTGCATTTCCATCGTGCTAAACATCGTTTTTCACATCGAGGAGATCATTTTTGACCTTCGCATCCTCATCATCGATATCCGCATCCTTATCATCGACATTCGCATGTTCCGGTCACGACGAACATGGCTGACCAGTGCTAGAGCCGACAGTAGCTCATTCTTTGACGATCCACCTCCTTCTTATACCGAAGCTTGTCAAGTTACAATCTTGCAAGATGCTTCTCCGTACACTGTAGCTTGTCAACCCCCGATTCCACACAACGCTTCTCCAGTACAGAGACTGCAAAGCTTTATTGCATGGCGGCTTACGACTGAATACCGACTCGAAACTGGAACGCTCAGACTCGACAGAGAGCAGGAGTACTTTTTAGGGCTGTGCAAGAAGTACTGTATGTTGTTGGGCATGCAAATCAAGTCGAAGAAGGAGGTTATGATAGCGAAGGAAGAACTCACACGAGATGTGTTTAAGCCAGCACGGATGCTGAATATCCCTGCAGGTAAGCGCACACATGTTCCTCTCATGTGGCACGCAAACAAAGATCACAAAGCTGGTATTGAGGTTTTGTCGCAGATGTCATGGAAGGGTTTCTCTTCTTTACACGCTTCTTTGTACATGAAGACGGACCATCGACGCCCCTTGAAGTTTCTGTCATCACCTATCCACAAGCTGTGGTCCTACGCATCGCAATCGACTACACTGTGATAATAGATGCTGCGGTGACGGGTTTGAACCCATATCTTGCTTCTAATCTCAAGAAGGAATGTCTTGCCCTGCATCGACATCTCTTCCCATGGTACCTCGATTTACAAACCATCAGCCACGAATACGATAGACAACAGGAAGGGGATTACGGAGAACCATCTGCAACAAGAAGCTCGGAAGCTTCAGCCGCTGTGAAGAACAACAAAGGCACCATCAGGAAACTTTTCCGTCGCATCGCCACCGCAAGCAACAAACAATTCATCCCAAACAAGAAACGAGACGGATCTTCTGGGTCTGATCATGCACCATACAGCGAAGACTCCTATACCGAATACTATGATTCTGACCTCTCTGAGACCTCGCCGTTGATACCAGATCAGCCAAGCATCCACCTCAAGTACTGAAAACATAGCTTCTGGCCGAGCGTAACTCTTCTCGCTCGCGAGAGCTGGCGTCCCTGCAGTGTCCTCGCCGATCCCAGATACTCGCATAACCTCCGCGTGTCACGCGACGACCTGTCGACATGGCGCGACAAGCGAAAACCTACTTCTTTTCGGCCTAGATGTGTCAAGGTCAAGCGTAGAGGGTTTGCGTGCGGTCTGCCCAACAGGATACACATTGCCGGGATGCAGTGGAGGAATCCTGATGGCGGGGCGCCAAAGATGCAATATTTGGATAACAGCGATGGCCTTTCCGAAATCGACGATGACATCTCTTCATGCTGAAAGGCTGACATGAAGATGAAGTGACTCATGTTTTGAGCTCTTGTACACCCTACCTCTCTGTTGTGCTTGACGAAACCTCCTGACCTCGTCTACGAGTACCATGCCAGTCATCTCCTGAATGTCGACAAGGGAATAAACATTTGTGACGGCAGTCAATCATGGGAGCATAGTGTTGTCGGCTGCGGAGCGAGATGCAATGGTTTTTTTGTACTTGACCTGGCGTCGCTTTCTGGCTCTGCTGATCTTGGTAATGGTGTTGTCGCCATCGTCAAAGAGTTGTCTGTAAGCTTCTTGATTTTGTTGGCAGCCAGTGCGGTTCTGACTAGAGCTGTGTTCTCACACACCTCGACACGCTCTGCGGCTTCTCTGGCAAGGGCGAACAAGAGCAGCTCTTGGAGGGCGGATGACTGCTTTGAAGTCGTCTCTCCGGGGCGAGTTCAACGGTCCATTCTCTCGTTTGCAGAGTCTGCTTATGTTGCGCTTTGCTGTATGCGCCAGCAGCAAGAGCAGTGCAAAGAAAACTTCTCAGAGGCCATGTCGCTGGAACGTCTGCAGGAGCTCTTGGGCATCTCGGAGAATGTGTATATGTCCCCCAAGCACCCAAACACCACCTACTTCAGCTGTGAGGAAGTGGATCAGCATCGTCCGCTCTACGCACCTCGCCAGTTAGAGGTTGTCGCTCTGACGGGCAAGCTCGATGCCACACATTTCCGGTTGGCTGCACAGAAACTTTCGCTCGGTCCACTTCCGGTTCCGCTTTTTATCTCGTCTCTTCCTGCCCACCTGTCATCTCCATATGACGAGTTAAAGCACGAAAAACTCGCAGATCTCGTGCTCGAGAAGCAGGGTGAGTGGGGAGGTACTAGCACTTTATTGACCTGGTGTGGCATGTAGAGCTACTCTTCGAGTGACTGCAGCCATACAAGATAGTCGAAACCAGATCCTGCGACTCAAGGAGAGACTTGGCCAAAGCTGAGGCATTTTGAACGCCGTCTAAGGAGGATACGGTCACCAGGATGCGTTGCAGGTCCTCTGATGCCTTTGTGCATGGATCATCTTCATAGATCTCATGTACACAGCTGTCTTGACAGTCCAATCGGTATCGAGGCCAGATGGGATGACCTTAAACGCCTTGGTCTTCTCCAGTAGGCATTTGTTTGCGGCTCTTTGCTTACCGTCCTGTGCTGGTGGGGCATCAAGAGGCTTAGACACTTCCTTGCTCTCTTTTCGTTGGGATCATTTGTTGAGCTTGGTGGTGCGACCTTGACCAACCATGAGCTCTTCTGGGTGATGCTAGAGAGGTACTCGGGCACGCCCAGATTCCAGGCGTCGTTGCATCTGCGGCAAATGAGCATGGTACCAAGATGTTTCTGGAAGATAACGAACTCTTTTCTTGCCTCGGTTCCACAGAGAACAATCAATAAAAATGAATTCAAGCACGAAGAACTTAAAAGATTTCCTGCTCGAGAAACGGATAAGTGAAGAGGCACTAGCACTTTATTGACCTGGTTTTAACGAACTGTGGCTGTGACTAACAAGTTTGGCCACCTCGACTAGCTATGGGCTTTTGGAGGTAATGCCCACCAAACGCCTGAGGACACCGAGAGCCCAAGCTTCGTTACATCTGCGATGAATTAGCATGGTATGGAAACAGATAGGAAGGGACAACGAACGATTTTCTCCTGTCAGTACCAGAGACAAGGACCAGAATACTAGGATTGAAAGCATGAGAGAGCCACGACAAGACTTCACCAATGCGCAGGAATCTTTCAATCGTTGTGCGTGAGTCGTTAAACTTTCACTCGCCGAAGACGCTAGGAGCAGCTTGCTCGATGACCTATCTACGTACGCTAGCGCGTATGAGTGGACCATTATGGTTTGTTGCTGCCTCATAATCGAGGTGCAGGTCGGATGTCTCGTCAATTGTCTTGTCGACGTGCAGCTAAAGGAGATCTGCTGTGGTGACAAACGTGACTAGCGACCGGTACTTAGCTACAAGTGTGGCTGCCTCGACATGGATGAGATGATCAAGAGCCGAAGACAGGTCATAGAAGGCGTGGTCAGGTTGCTTCGCAATCTTGTTTGCAGCAATGGCAGCTCTGATCAAGATTGCGTTCGCACGCATGTCGATGGCGAGCGCAGCGACGTGGTCAGCGGCGGTCCTGGAGAAGACAAACAAGAGTAGCTCCTATAGGGCGGCTGACTGCTTTGATGTAACATTGTCGCCGAAGGCTCTCATGCGTTTGGCAGCCACCATATTCTAGGTGCTATCATGATCTAATGGGGTTACTTTATCGACCGTCGTTTTCTCGAAAGGGCACTTGTTAGGCCCCCTTAAAGCCTTTTCCTTCTTCTTGTCCTTCTTCTCTTTCTAGATCTTCTCTTCCAAGTTCGGAGTTTCGTCGTCATCGTCTACGATGAAGCCGGCTAGGTCGATGAGCTTCTTAGTGTCTTTACCCCCAGGTTGTGGACGCTGCTTGCACTCACGACGAGAAGTGACTAGAATCTTGAGCTGCTCGTCCAAGGCGCCTCCTTCGTCTTTTGTTGCAGGCGCAACAAGATCTCACGGAGTGTTGTGGGGATCGTCTCATTCAGAGTTTTCTACTCTGAATAGTCGAGGCCCGGGGCTTCTGGAGATTCGGCATCTCTGGCAAGACCTTCTGAAGTCGTTGATGAGCTCCACGTGGGTCGTGTCATTTACGGTTATTGTCCGTGATGTGAGTCAATCATGGGAGCGAGGCTCTGCGGTTTGCGGAGTGAAACGCAATAACTTTGTTGTGATTGACCTGGCTTCCCTAGGTGCGTTCCTTCTGTAGTTTTGCCTTCTCTCGTTTCTCCGTAGCTCACGTACAGGCGACTGATCATTGACGATGGAGAAGTCTGCATCGATGCAGTACATGCCGAAAGTCTTAGTGATGGACATAGCCATGTCGAGAGCGCTGTTGATGCCGGCTGGGCCCCAGATGTGATCCAGTATACTTATGACCTGGGCTGGCCATGTTGGAGGCGTCTGTGTTTTTGGATTGTCTAGGACCGTTGAGACAATGTCTCGCCAGATGGTACGCCAGTTACTGCCTTGACTAGAAGGAGTAAGCGGAATTAGTATTCGGAGTTGCTTTTGGACAGGAGCTGGAGAGACAATGGCTGTTGTGCTTTAGAATCTCTAAGGCATGCATTGCTAAGGAAGACCCCGAAACCGTCGAGAGCAATTGGGCATTGTTCATGGCTTAAGTCAGTCGGAGAATCGCCTGTGCAAGCCCGCCTCATGATTCATGAAGACTCGCAGTACGATCAAGAAATTGGTCAACAAGGCCTCCTGCTCAGAGAAGCTCAAAGGCTCACACCCCAAAGAAGGAGTTCGAGTATCCAGTTGAACAAACTTGATGATGGCGAGTTTGAAGAGATCCAGGAAAGCGAGGAAGATCAGGATGAGGGATGGAAGAGAGTGCCGACGATGAGAACGACCGGGCGGCAGCTAGTCAAGGTGGAAGGACCGATCGAGAAAACACCAGCGAGTGAAAGGCGGCCGAGCAGCAGTCAACACGAAGCCCAATATTGATGAACAACGAAGGTTCAATGACTGGTGTCCAAGTAGCTTTAGTCTAGTGGTTTAAGACACCTCAGCACTGCTGTAAATTACCGTCGAGCTCCGGTTGAGTCCTAGATACACCATCCACAGAGCCAGGGGGTACGGTAATTCAGATTGGGCACTTGAGGAGACGTGAGTTCGATTCTCACAAGCTACAGTTTTGATGTTTTGACTTTTACTTTTGTCAAAATTTGGGAACCAGGCACACTGAGCGTGATGTGTGTAAGATTTGGTCATCCTCGCTTTTGATGGAGGGAAATGCACATCCTAAACGATGCAGACACGTAGAAGGTGTGTGGTGGTCTAGCTACTTCATTCTGGGTCCTTTGGAACTTATATCGAATATGCATCATCCATGCGACCCATCCGAGACGACGGCCAGAGAGCTCTACGTCTGCGCGTCACACAATAGGGATTTGATAACATACTCACCAACAAGGATGTAACCAGGTTGTCTTGGTTGATACTACTGTCAACAGAGCTTCAGAGCATTCCTGGGCTGTCGAAAGATCAGTCCGCATTGGCGAGGTCCTCTTCGAGCTACAGCGGTGGAACGTTATCTCCTGTAGTGAGTAGTTGCTATCAATCTCTCAATCAAGCGTTAGTTGGCACACACATGTTTGGAGCAAAACAGCACTGGAACGCATCTCTCCATATGATTATCAACTCGGCCGTATCCCCTTGACCTGGACATTACACAATTGGAGAAAATCACAGCAGTTTTTTACATATGAGAAGGAAAGACACAAAGAAGGCATGAAATTCATCTAAACTGCTGAACTAATAGGCGCTTCAAGCTCTTGTACCCCCAATCTCATCATTGTGCTTGACGAAACTTTCTGAACTCGTCAACGAGCTCCACAGCAGTCATTTCCTGCATGATAGAGGCCGAGCTTCCTCTCGATCCTCCCATCTTGACGACAGCAGGAATGGGAGAAGTAGACTTGAGGAGGGCCATGACTGGGGCCACTAGGTCACGAGTTATGCTTGAGGTAGTGACAACAACCTGACATTCAGGCAGTCTCTCGTGCAGGATCTGGAGAAACGAGCCAAAAGATGCGTTCTGAGAACAGATGTGGAAGTCGTCGATTGCCAAGTAACGGACCTCGGACAGGTTGAAACGGCCACGCTCAATGAGATTGAGTAAGCTGTCAGTAGTGCCGATTGCTGCGGCGGGCCACTCGCCCAGCGCATTTAAGTCGGGTTGAGTTGACGCATCGCCAACGAACGTGGCACAAGAGCTGCCATGGAACTCGAGAAGGAGTTCCCAAGAAGGCACCTGCCTCTCTGGCAGCCTGAGCGGAGGGCATGACCATCAAGACCAGTGGCTTGACTGCTGAAGATGGGGCACTCGTGGTGGTTGAGTTGTCGCCAGAAGGCATAGTGGAGAAGACCTCAGCAACTAGAAGAGAGTCAAAGATGGTAGAAGTCTGAGATCCACCATCTGAGTTCCTCATGACGACAGCGAAGCCAGCAAGACATAGGAGGGTGGTCTTGCCGGCCGGGAGGTGAGACACGATGATTTTGTTGTAGTTTGATCGAATTCCCTTTTTGATCTTGAGGAATCGAAGAACGTTCTTCTGCGAGCGAAGCAATCTCTCGAAGCCAGCGCGTCTCAAAGCGGTGACGGCGAGTTCTGGCAGACCATCAACGGATTCGAAAGCGTGCGCCTCTTGGGTCGAGGGTTGTGCGCCAGTCTCGCGAGCAGTCAGAGAGCTGAGTATTTTGTCAAAAGGTGTATGCAACGAGATGGACAATTCACTTACTTGTGTTGGAGAGAGTTAGAGACCATGCGATGAGGTGGAGGAGGATCAATGCCTTCAGGTGGTGCAGGCACGATGCCATCGCTAGGTTGCTACAGCCAATTAGCATATTGCTGAGCAGCTACCAGTGTGAAGACTTGCAAGACTCATGCTTGGACAAGAACGCTTGATGGATGGATATTGGTGCTGTGTCGATGCGATGAAGTTGTGTTGCAGTCATGCATCGAAGTGGTTAAGAGGATTGGTTGAGGGAAGAAGCGCGGTTGACGCACTCGAGAGACTGGCAGTGAGGAGTGCAAACGTACAAACACAAACAGTTGGACGCCACACGGCATTCACTTCTACTGGCTTTCACATCTCCCCATGTCTCGTTAACGCAGCTAAGAAAGCACAATCTGTCGGACACGGGGAGAAATGACGAGGGGGGAAACAGAGTTGTGTAATAAAATGGGAGCAAAGGAAGGAAGGAAACAAGTGAAGAAGGAAGTCCAAACAAACAAACATGAGGCAAACTGTTTAGCTTCGGTCACACTCCCTACTAGCATCACACAACCATGACCATTTTCTTATCTTTGTTTTACCTTTGTTACTGCAAGAAAGTACTCCTCGGTCTTCCAAGATGACCAACACGAACAGCATGCCAACAGAGTCTAACACGCTCCTAAGATTTGACCCAGCTGACGATGAGATGTCTCCAAGTGGGTTTCTGTCTGCCGTATAGCTGACCGCTGCTGATACATCGTCAGATCTGGACATCTGTCGAAATTTTCCCGGACCAGCCAAAAGGCATCAAGCAGCAATCTAACAGATTCAAATACCTTGTCGTGACCTTGGTTACAATGGCAACACAGCACAAGTCGAAGGAAGGAACTCTGACCCCTAAAATCTCCAAGGCTCTTCTTAATGTCTCCGAGATACCACTGTTTGACAAGTCCACAAAGAGAAAGAATCAAGAGACAACATCGACTCATCCCAAGAAAGCAAAAACACACCTGTCGAAGTCATGCACGCGACCAACATCACAGCTCTCGGCCAACTTGGCAAAGATCCATGCCTGTAATGACTTTCCAGATATATTTGCGGTCTTTCATCAGACCTTGGTTAATGAATGCTCGAGTCCATTTTAGTATTTTTTTTCTCTGACCCAAGAAGCACACAAATAGCCTGGCTCTGTCGAATTTGTTGCAGCCGTTGGTTGGTTCTTGGTGCATGCTTTTTTTGCTGCTTACCAGGTCTCCGTCCTTGGGACATAGTTCTTGTTAACTCTTTGTGATGATCCGTGTATTGAAAGTATATGTTGAGAGTCACTCTCAGAGTGTTGTGTGATCTTTGTTATTGAGAGTTTGGAAAGAGATAGAGAGGGCTGAGCTTCATGTTCATATACTCTGGCTCAAGGAATATCTAAGCTTTCTGCTTGGTTCTATACAGGCACCTGCTTGAGATCTTCCGTTGTGTGCTACAGGTACGAGTTTCATCACAGGCATCAGTGACTAACTCTGTATTCTTAGGTATAGTACTTACATCATAGGAGTCTTTTACAGAAGAGGACAAAGAACACCAGCTGCAAAGCATTATACATGCCAAACATTGGGTCATTGTCTGGTATCCTCGTGAATGGATTTGAAGTATCCAGCAACAACCTGATTGCTAGAATGTTCTGGTCCAACTCCATCGTGTTATAATGCTTTACCGAACGCGATATCTGAACTTACTACCAACACGATCACAACACAACACCCACAATCAACCGATCAAGCTGACCTCAAATACCCATCGCAGCGTGTCGAAAGCCACTTGGCATCATCAACTCCACAATGCCATCTCCCAGGAGTAAGTACCAACGACTCCTCTGATAACGATGCACTGACTCCTTCCTAGATAGCAGATTCATGGAGAGTTTCGACGACGAAGAGTCAGATCCGCCCTCTTCAGAGTCACGGGCATCAGCACCTTCTCCTGAGGGTCCGCCTGATTCAAACTTGGAGCAGCTCGCGCAGGACTTCTCTGCTATACGGCTTAGTAGCGCTCCTCGTTCTTCGAACCAGCAACAGCAAGGAGGAACAATGCAGCCTCAGGCATTGACACAGACTCAGAAGCCGACACGGGGTCACGCACCTAGTACTGATCAGAATGATGACTCAAGCACCGGGGTTGCCGAGACATCCTCTGAGGAACTAGAGACTGCGATCGATGAGCATCAAGAGTTCAACCCTGAAGCGCCTTTGGAGAAGGAAACAACCAGTGTTCCAGATACTGAGCAAGGTGAGTCAACCATCTGCCATGCGCAGCACAAGCTCGCCATCTGCGCCAGACATTCCGAGGTAGGCTGTCGGAAGACACAATGTTGGTGAAAGCCAGACTCATGTCGATTGAAAGAGAGTGATGGACCACGTTTTTCGTACTGGTGATTGGCTCCGGAAGCATCGTGTCTTTCGACAGCCCTACTTTAGCATTTCGCAAGGAGGAAACTGGGCTTCCGTAGTGCAGTTACTGTGCCGCTGGTCTCTCACCATGTTGACCCTGACAGAGATGAGACTGACTTTCGTGTAGATACTGATCAGCACGAACGCCACGACGCAGCTCAAGAATCATCGGCCAGGATTGCGAACGTATTTCTGCATCAGCTCTTCGATGAAGTCCTCAGGGAACAAAGCATCACGCCCGAGGAGATGCACCACGCCTCCAAACACATCCAAGCCAATGTTGGCAAGCTTGAACAAGACCTCGAACACTTTGCAGAACAACGACTTCAAGTGTCCGCTAAGCTGCAGAAATGGTTTGCGATTCATCATCGCGATGGCACATGGGATATCAAAAATCCTTGCCTCAAGTGTTTGCTGCTCTTCAACAAGATCGACCAGCTTTACTTCGCGGCCTGTGCTGATATCAGAGATATGATGACGGTGCTTGAGAAAGGTCTGAGGGCGTCTGCATTACTTTACAAGGTCATGAACAAGGGTCAAACACAAGCCCAAACTCTGGGTGAATTTTGTGCGCCGCTGCTACGGAATTTGGAGTCGGCCGAGTGTATGCTGCAAGCTCTGGAGGACGATGCCGAGAAGCGGAAGGGTTGGCCACAAGTGCTTTCAAGCGAACAATACTCTGCAACAGCCTCGCAACCTGAAAATGATGAGAATCAGAACCACTCAGAGGGAGACAATGCTAAGACTGAGGTCATTACCGATTCAACAGCTATCACCGTCTCCCGTGTCAACTGGGCCTTTGGCGATGAAGTTCATGTTCTTGAGCGCTTCCAGCACATGGCGGGACTAAAAGATGGTGAGGTCAAGTTCGCCATACATCCCAACGGTGATCTCTCGGCTCAGCAGTGGTTCCAGTCTGGTGGTCAGTGGTTCAACATTGGTCATCATTCCAGGTCCCTCATGCGTATTGAGGGTAGTCTTGCCTCGCATCGTTTGAGAGAAGAGGTGGAGCTGCGCGTTCATGGTCTCCCTCAGAATAGCCTTGGGTACTTCAAGGCAGTTGCGAGGCAACATGAGGCATTCACGATGAAGCTGCCATTTGGCCTAGAAGAGCTTCAAGCTTGTCTGACCAATGGCTCTGTCAACCGTGCTGGGCAAGAGATGGCAAACACTTCATCAGCTATCGAAACTGCAACCCGATTGGAGGCTGAGCCTGGTAATGCTGAGACAGCGGATGAAGACAACACCGATGATGCCAAGTCGAAACAGGTGAAGAGCAAAAGAGCAAGTCGAAGAAACAGAAGAAGAAGAAGGGTAGACGGTGAAGGAGTTGCATCTCGAAGGCCAGGATCATGGCCAACATACCCGTCAGAAGACACAGGACTTTCGCAGTAAGTAGCGTTGATCAAGAAGGTGTAAGTTCTCTCGCTGGTAATGACCCTGAACTGGAAACAATGCTGCAATTCTATAATTTCACATCAGCAGACCTACGTGCCAGAGAAGAAAGATAGCCAAAGGAGAGTGCACGCCATGCTGGGGAAGATCGGAAGTTGGAGATGCCCAGCACTCGAAACAACCATGCATGCATAACAAGGCAAACGAACAGGGCCGCGTGACCTGCAGTACCAACATTCTAGGACTATGAATCCGACTACCCGGCATGATATCTGTAGAGGATGAGAAAAATGCAATGATTTTCTGCGAACGTAAGCACTCGATCAATGATAAAGATTCCGGAGGGTTTGTAGCTGTTAGGTAGCGATCGGCTGCGATATGGGAGATCCTGTCTCAAAAGCTGAGAGCGTTCCGCGGTAAGCCTATAAAGCAAATCGCTGTGATTTGACCAGATTTGCAGCACATGCGAACGCGCAATTTGACCTAGGAAAATGCAATGTGATATACGTCAGCTGCAAAGGCTCATGACCAGAACAGTGTCGCATTCTTGTATGACCATGAAAATCTTCTTGTTAGGCGTCCATCTGACAGGGCAACGATCGATGTTATAGCACGATCGAGCGAAGAGGCTGACAACGGCGTCGTTATGGTTTGGCCACGGGGTGTCCAAAACCCCTTTGGTTTGCGCTGTCTAAAACGAGTCAAACTGCCGAATACCGTTGGACGCGTCGGATGTGGAAAAGAATTGCAATTTGTGTACGCTAAAAGGTACGGTGTGGTTTTGAGATTCTTCTCCTGACACGGTGAAGCAAGCATGAACATTGTGCTGCACATCGACTCTGCTTGGACGAAAAATGACTGGCAAGGCGAGAAGTCGAGACAGGCATTTCATTGAAGTGGTTGCGCCTCGTCCGTTGTCGAGAAGCAGGAGGTCGAGACTAGACTGGACAGGGTCGCAAGCCACAAAAATGGCAGGCGATGACGAGAGCTTTCGGAGGTTTGGCAGCGCCCATCAATGCACCAACCTCTACCCGCAACCTTCCCGAGTCGATGGAAGGTCGTGTCGAAATGAGGTCAACTGGACATGCAGGTTCTTTTAGAGATGGAGAATACGGGGCCTGGAAAAGAATGAGGATTTGCAGAATGAAGGAGGCTCAATCTGAGAAGCGAAATAGAAGGCCATCTCCCCGTGCGCGCGACATGGAAGGAGTAGCAAGCTGTCGGGACTAGAGGCAGTGGCGCGCCAAAGTTTAAGCCCATGCGGAAGTGCTGTTGGGTTTTACTAAAGCTCCTCCTGATTGGAGACCTGAAAGTCGCAACAGAATCCTGAAAAAGGGAGCAAGAGTGGGACGAAAAGCAGCTGAATGTTGATCAGGTAGCATATATCTTGCAGTAGAATAAAAGAACCAAGGCGGAGGGGTTTCTTTGTTCTCGTTGTCGCAATTGTCTTGCAGTAAGTCAGAGGACCCCTGCAGGCATCAGTAGGGCGGCGCACAGACGTTATAGACGTTATTCGACGAACACCCAGCGGAGACGTGTGAAGCTGACTTCTGAGCGGTGGGCGCGATTCCTGAGCTGTCTGTCTCTCTCGCTCTCGTCTGGCTCTCCTCTCCAAGGCCGTCGTCCTCGTCGCTCCTCCTTCAAAATCAAGCATCGCCGACGACAACGCAGCGCGTCGATCGACAGAGTGCAGCCGTGTTTTTCTGGCTACCCACACCCCGAGCCTCCGGGACGCATCCATCGTGCATCCTTGTTTGACAGACGTTTGGGCTACAAAGTCGCGGCTTCTTTTGCGCCAGTGAGACAGCACAGTCAGCACCCCTCTTGGACACTCGACACGACATTTCTTTCTTCGCATCTGCCAGTCTATCATCTTGGATATTGCTGGCCAATAGATCAATTTCCGCCTACTCAGTTAGCGTCATCTGCCTGTTGCTTGACCTGGTGCTACTCGACTACCCTCGTGACACGCGCCCTTTGACGGCCACGAACGAACGCCCCTCCTCGCCAACCAAGTTTCCTGCTCAGACATCCTCCCGCTGGTGTATGCTCGACAATCTCTCCACTCCCGTCACCCTTCCCGGCCGTCGTGCCGTCGCTGCCACTCTCGAGTCGACTTGATCCAGCGAAACCGCCGCCATGGATCCTAATGCCTTTATGGTGGGAGGTGGCATGCAGATGCAGCAAAGACCACAGCCCCAAAATGACCAACACACAAACGAACTCCTGGCTAGGATCGTACAAGAATTGAACAAGAATCCCATACACACAGGATGGCAGGCTGGCTTCGACCTTCGTACTCGTGCTGTGTGCATTCTCAACCTGTGAGTCTCGCCACTCCTTGTAATGCCGTGTTTGTATGACTGACACACGCCTGGACAGNNAGTTAAAGCACTACGTCTGCTGAACAATGCCAGCGACTTGGCCAGCGCCGTCCAAGTCGCAATGCGCTTCGAGAGTCAAATTATCGCTAACAGTCCCTCCGAGGTCCGTCCATGTTCTATTCCTACATCTTTCCCGATCCCACATGCTGACTTCTGGAACAGNGACCAGTGGATGGCAGGCATCAAGCAAAAGCTGAACGAGATCAGTCAGGCACACCAACAAGCGCGCATGAAAGCACAGCAACAACAGCAACAAGCCATGGGAATGCAGATGCAGCCCAGTCGCTCACATCAAGGCGAGATGGCACCACAAATGTCCATGGCGCCGCAGATGATGGGCCAGATGAATATGCAACCACACATGCAGCAGCCTCAACAACAACCGCCACCCCAGCAGCAGCCGCAACAACCACAACAACAGATGGCTCAGAACCAGCAGGCTCAGACTTACAGCCCGGAGGAGCAAAAGCAAATAACCAACCTTGCACGCAGCATGATAACTTCCGTCCCTGAAGACCAAAGAAACCTCATGCGTCAGCGCATATTGGCCACTATACCTCCACAGCAGAGGGAACACTACCAGCGCCAAGGGATTGACCCTCTTGCCAAACATTTCCAGCAGCTCGCAATGAANAAGTTTAATGCTTCGAGGAGGCCTCAACAGGCTGGTGGTCCCATCGACTTCTCGTCTTTTGCCGGCCAACAGGCTGATGCCATGAAGATGGCCGACCAAGGTCAGCTCGTCGTGCCAGCCAGTAACAACAACATGGGCATGGATCCCGCAGCCACCAACATGGCCAACATGGGTCAGATGAACATGCCGCCTGCCATGCAAAACAACCAGCAGCAGATCCAGAATATGATGGCCCAGAGACAACAGCAGACACAGGCCCAAATGCGCAACACTCAGATGCAGCAACAGGCCCAGGCTCAAGCCCAAGCTCGTAGCGCTGCTCAGCAACAAGCCCAGCAACAGATGCTCAGGGGGCAGCCCGGTGGCCTCAATACCACTCAGCCTCTTCAGCAAAGCCCTGCCATGTCGATGCTCAACCGTCCCATGGTCCCACCTGGTCAACCCTCTCAAACGCCTCCTCAAACTCGTCCTCAGCCCACTCCTCAACCTAATCAGCAGATGAACCCTCAGATGATGGCTCAGTTCAGCCAACAGATTGCGAACAACCCTGGTCTATTCCCTACTCCCAAACCAGATCTACAGATTCCCCCGGGTGTGCAGCTTCCACCGCAGTTGAGAGCCAAACTCGAGGGAATGCCACCTGATCAACAGCATCAGATTCTACAAAGAATTCGCGACTCGCAGAAAACGCCGCAGTCAAATCAAGCACAACAAGCACAACAGATGATGATGAACGGTCTGAATCCCGGAGCACTCATGGGCCAGCAACTACCGAACGGTGGTATGGGTATGCCCCAACAAGTTCCCTTGAATCCTCAGCAGATGGCTATGGGTATGCCCGGAGCTCCAAATCACCAACAGATGCAGCAGCGGCTTTTGATGCAACGGCAGCGTGAGATGGACGCAAGGCCTTTCCCTCCACGGGTCTTGAACGAGATATGTTCAGTACCGCCGAATGTCAAAACATGGGGTCAACTGAAGGAATTCGTGCAACAAAACCAACAGAATCTGCCTCCAGATATGCTCGAAAAGGTTCGTCGCTTCCAGTCGATCGTCATACAAAAGCAGCAGCAGCAGGCTGCAATGGCCAACGCCAATGGAACACCTGGAAATCAGATGCCTGGCCAGCTACCGCAAGGCGCTGTGCCTAACCACCCAACAATGGCCGGTAGCCAAGCTCCTCCTGCCCAAATGGTACCACAACCATCTCAAATGGGTCCAGGGGCAGGTATGCCCAACATGAACGCAAATCCCCAGAATCTCGGCAACATGGGCAACATAACCATGCCTCCAGTTACAGAGCAAGAATTACAAGCTTTCAAAGCGAGGATCCCCGCAGCTCAGAACTGGTCGCACGAGCAGCTTCGAAAGAACTTCATGCAGTGGAAGTACCAACAGATGCAGAAGCAGAATCCTGCCATGNNGCTCAACAAGCTANNTGAATGCGATGAGACAAGCTCAGCAGCTGCAAACACCTGGCATGCCTCAAAATCCTATGGCACCTCAAGTGCCCCAGATGGTGCTCAATCTGCCGCCATGGTGCCTCAATTGTCTCAAAAACAGCATGCGAACATGCAACCGCAAAACACACCAGCGAACAAGAAGGGTCAGAAGCGCCAAGGTACAAATGATGATGTTGTCGAGATCCCCAACCCCAACCAGTCACCCCAAAGGCCTGCAGTCAACAACGCTCAACAGCAGAAGAACCAGAAGCCAACTATGCAGCTCGATCCTGAGCAGCTCAAAAACATGCACCCTGACAAGATCAAACAAATGGCTCCTGAACAGCGTGCTGTTATGCAACAGTCAATGCAACAACTTCAACAGAAAATGCAAATGGATGCTCTGAAGAGAGCACAGTCCTCAACTAACCAGAACCAGAAGAATTTGGAGGCATCTCAAGCTCAAGCTGCACAAATGTCGCAAGCTCAACGCGAGCAGTTGCAAGCCCAAGGCGGTCCCCAGCCAGCGCAAGTCTCGCAGCTCAAGGTTCAGCAGCAGAGAGCCAGGTTGGCCGCCATAACTTCGGAGACACAGGCCGCCTATCGCAAGGGTCCTCCTCAGGAGGTGACTGACGCCAGCTTCAACGAGACGGTTTCGAAGTTGAATGGTTGTCGAGACATGATTGTGAAGCTGGATAAGATGCTGCCCACTGCCATGACATTCGTCAACGACAAGATAGTACGTCAGATCTGCCTCGAGAGGGCTAAGCTTCTTGGTGAGATGAACTTGGATGGCAAGATTAACGACTATCTCTCGCTGTCGATACAGCAAATCGGCGAGGCCGAGTCGAGGATTCGTCAGTTCATCATGCAGTGTTTGCAGCACATCCAGAAGTTGAAGACGACTTCTTCGCCGGAGCAAGCGCAGCAAAATACAGATCAAGCGAAGCCTCCAACAGCACAACTGGCAGCTACTGCGGCTATGGCAAGAACAGCATCCAAGAGTGGAGACCGATCGAAACCTCCTCCGGCGCCTACATCGGCCGTGCCTCCTCCTTTCCCTGTCAGTCATCCATCCCCCCACGGTGTACCCGTCTATGACGGCAGTATTCAAGGACTTACCCCTGATAAGCTACAACTCCCTGCCAATAAGCGCAGAAAGACTGGCCAGCCTGGTAGTTCGGCTTCGACTCCCGCAAACGCAGGCACAACCCCTGGCAGCATGCCTAGCCCCAACATCAAGATGCAAAGTCCTGATGACAAGAGGAAACAAATGCAGCCCAAGGTTGAACCTCCACGAGGTCCGGAGAAGAAGTTCAAGTGCGCAGATGAGTACTGCGAGTTCCATGTTACCGGTTTCGAGAAAGAAGAAGAGCTTCAGGCACACACAGCCGAAGCACACAAGCAGATTGAGAATCCTCTTGACTTCTTCCTTGAGAACGCGGCTGCAGCGTTTGAGCTCGACATGGATGGAAACGAGAAGGCACACCAAATCGATAGCAAGCCAGTTCTTGTCGGTGCTAAAACATCTGCACTGGGACCAAACACTATCAAGAAGGAGGCGCTCAAGGTTGATGGACAAAATCCTGCTAAGACTATCAAGGCAGGCACGCCTTCTCCATTCATCAAGCCAGGGACGCCACCGACCGCTGCCCGTACACTTCAAGGGCAGAAGAGACCAGCACAAGACGGCGAGCCAATTTCGGCATCGCCCAAGAAGAAGACCATGCTTGACACTATGATGGAGAAGGCTGGTGTTGCTATGCCGCCAACTGAGAAGCCCACTGTGCATGAGGATCGTAAGCAATCTTCGACATCTCCTAACATGTGGAACAACAATGATGCCGATGACAACTTCATGAGGTCGGTTCGTGAGAGTCTGAATGGTCTCGATGATGGGCTACAATACTCGGACTTGGACTGGCCCATTGACCCCTCACCTGATTTGACACCCTCGAGTTCCAATTCTGGCACTTCAGCGGCAACCTCTAACTTTACCGACATCAGCGAGCACGACCGTCTCAAGATCATGTTCGAGAGCGATCCCTTCGGTCTCGGTTCTGGAATACAATTCGATATGGGCGATGACCTTGGCATGGGTATTATGGGTATCCAATCTACATTTGACAACAANAAGGAAGGTCAGGACAAAGCCACACCACCACCTGACGTTAGTTGGGACGCCCTGTTTGGGCCCAACGCTGGCATGGATAGGAACGATACCAACTGGGACAAAGATCCCTTTGGCAACAGCATTTTTGACGGCGTTACCTTCTCCGACATTTAGGATCCGTTATGGAAGGAAGGAGTTTCTTTTTTTTCTTTTGAGGGTGGAAACACACATTTGATGCATCTTCGAGCGTGGAGTTTTTTTGCCTTTTTCCCTCTACACCAGGCGAGGGACCTGTCGTGGTTTTGTTTCTTGTGATTCCCAACAAGTAGTTAAGCGCATTGGTTTCAACTTGAGTTTTCTGTTTTCAACGCACTGCTTTTCAGCTTTTTGACGGTATATATTCTTTCTCCATCGTACAAAGACTCCCACGTGAATCTATGAGAATGCATGATGTTCTTGAAACACAGCGATATCCGTCTCTACCGACAATCCCTGAGGCCCGAGGTCTATTAGGGATGCAAACATATAAATTCACGATTATATTCATGTTATGCGTCTATCCATGAAGAGCCTCTTTCTTATTAGCTCTCAGGAAACGTGACTCTCAGTTGAGATCAATCCTGCATTGGTTTTGTGGTAAGAGCACACTTAAACAATGGCGACCTTCTATAAATGAGCTGCAGAAACACGCTACTGTTTCTGACTGAGAACGCCTGACTATGTAAGCTTTGGGTCACCACCACACTATCATGATTATCCTACAGATGTTTCTGCAAATCTATGCTGGTGATGGAGAACAGTGACTCTGTACCTCCCCGTGTGCTAAAGGATGTAACTTCCACTGTACTCCGACTATAGCCGAGAGCAAAAACCACACTATAAAAAGGCACAATTGTGTTCGAAGTAGAGGCGTGTCCACAGAGAGCCGACAAATTGCTGCTTCTCAGTGGAACTGTCTTGTTTCCTGTTACTATTGTGCATTTTTATAGCTACACGCGTTACATACTTCTGCACACGAGGAGGTTGGACAATGGCGGCCTCTTAGAGAAACGCTATCGTTTCTGACTGGAAACCCGCCTGACTATGTAAGCTTTGGGTCACCACCACTATCATGATTATCCACAGATGTTTCTGCAAATCTATGCTGGTGATGGAGGACAACAAGAGTGACTCTAGAGTATCGATCAGGGATCCTGATGACAGAGCAACTCTATCCGATACGGCAGTTCTATGCGAGCCGAAGTGGCGGATAAAGAAACGAGAACGATAAGCACCCTGATCAACGTCGCAGCGGGGTGTCCGACAGATAGGCAAGCGATGGCCGACCGCAACGACCAAATGGGCAGCCGTCGCCGACGACGATAGGCATATCTAGAGGTAGGTACGACTTACTCGTACATTCCCAGACTTCTTCAATTCACCATTTCCTTCGTCTCTGCAAGCCACAAGCTTCACAATACACATACGGACGTTCGTCCTTGCTATACCACACCCTTAGAACATACAACCCACAATCGCAATAATGGCACCCTCCGCCGTCTCGGCCCCCGAGCCTACAACCACCACAATGGCCATCAAACCCACCAAACCAACCAACCCCGGCCTCGAAGTCGAAAAGAAAGAAAAGACACCCCTCGAAGCCATCAGCCAAGGCGTCTGCCTCCCCGGCATCCCAAAATATGTCTCTTTCGACGCCCACCGCCGCGACATGTTACAGCACATGGCGGGCGCCTTCCGCGTCTTCGCCCGCAAAGGCTACACCGAAGGCATGAGCGGCCACATCTCCGTCCGCGACCCCGAAAACATACATACCTTCTGGACAAACCCTCTCGGCAAGCATTTCGGGCTTCTCAAAGCTTCAGACATGATTTTGGTGGATTATGAGGGGAAGGCGATTGGTGGGAATATGTCTAGGCCCGCTAATGCGGCGGGCTTTTTGATTCATTCGGCGGTGCATAAGGCGAGGCCTGATGTTATTGCTGCGTGTCATACGCATTCGCCTTATGGAAAGGCTTGGAGCACTTTTGCCAGGCCGTTGGAGATGTTGAATCAGGATGTTTGTTACTTTTATGGCGAGGCTCAGGCTGTCTACAAGGAGTTTGGCGGTATTGTGTTCAACGAAGAGGAAGGTATCAAGCTTGCCAATGCTCTGGGACCAAAGGGCAAAGGCATGATTTTGAGAAACCATGGCTTGTTGACTGTAGGAAACACAGTCGATGAAGCTGCCTACCTGTATACTTTGATGGAGAGGAGCTGCGAGGTACAGCTGCTTGCTGAGGCGGCGTGTGCCAGCGGCATCCAGAAGGTCATTGTGCCTGACGAATCTGCCGAGTATACCTACAAGATGGCCAGCGACCCTGATGCTCTTTACGAAGAGTTCCAGCCTGACTTGGAGTATGAGGATGCCATGACCAATGGCGACTTCAGGAACTAAGAGCTTTGCATAGTAGTTGGTATGTAGTTCATCTTTACGAATTTATGGTTTTCTTTTATGGCATTTGAGCCCCTCTACCATGACCAGAATGGGGTTACATCCTATTACATGTCTACAATGGTCATCTTGACTGCTCACCTGAGTGAGAGTCAGTCTCAACTTTCGATGGAGGACTTGAGCAAGGATTGTGTTTCGATTATGCTATGACCTCAGACATTTTCTTATTGACGAATTATGGTCACCATCTTGCGTGGTGAGCCCCTTGCTACGGTAACACAACCTGGTTCGCTTCCAGATTCGTACGATATCAAGCAAGCCACCGGTTAAGGCCAACGTGCTTCAGAAGCGACCTTTCTTCTGCTCTCCACAAACCCCTTCACTTGCATGTGCGCCTCCGGTTTGACGAGCATGTTTCTGTTCTCATTTCTCTTGCAGGTCTGGAATAGGCTTGATGTGCAGCATCTCCTTGCACTTATGGTTGTGTCCCAAGTCCACCCTTCATGTGCGTGAGCTGCTTCGTTCGCGCTTTCTCTTGGTAGGTGGCTGCTGTACAGCGCACTCCTTGCTAGGACCAGGAGCAGGCCTGTGTCTAGGATAAAGAAATTCCTTAACCAATTTGTGTCTTATGGCTCTGTCCTGTTCTTCTTCCTCAAGTGCTGTATCTTCTTCGGGATTGTAGTTTTCTTCGCCTTCCCTGCGCAGAATGGTAATGCTACCGTCGTCATGGGTAACCATGTTGTTGGGACCCGTCTGGGCAAGAGCCTCTTTGCGAATTCTCTTCGCACGGTGTCCGCAAGCGACAAAGTCCTCAGGATTAGGAGGGTCTAGCATCCAGCAGACCACGAAAGTGCGTAACAAGCTGAACTCAAGATCTAAGCGAGCTGCTCGGATCTCTTTGGCCATCAACTTCAGCTGTTCGACTGTTGGAATGTAGATCTCTTCGAGATCTGGCCACAGGCTCTATATGCACGTCAATATCCATCAATTCGTGTTTTCGTGCGTGGATACGCTTACTTGGAACTCCTGAAGGCCTTCTTGATAATCGTTACCACAGACATATCCTTGTTCCCAGTTGAAGATTCCGAAGAGTGTAGAAGGCCACTTGCCCTCGAAGTGGTCCAGGTAATAGCCTCTAGTGTATGAACNGCTAGGAAGACGAAGTCAGCCTTCAAATAACCAAATTGCACTTATCGAGAAGGTGCATCTTACGTAGGGGATGTTATCAACATTCGATCCATTGGGTACGTTGGCTGTAACAACATCGAGGACTGAGCTTTGCTCCATAACGGGACCAAGCTGGCGAGAGACCAAACCATGTACATATGCTGCCAGGTCAATGAACTGCTGGGATGACATGCTTCTTCGATTTCCGATCTTGTCTTTCCAGAGAACCAAGAAAGAGCGCAGCATTCTTGAGTCCAGAAGCACGTTGCCAGTACGAAGGGCGGCTGACAGGTCAATGATGTCCTGGGAAGCAAAGCGCTCTGCTACAAGGTCTGGCCATAGTTTNNCTGGAGATTTTAGCACGATGGACATCAAGCTGTAGTCTGTCATGCCACTCACCTCAATCTCGCGGACAGCCTCGAGAGCAAGATCTTTGGCAAAATCCTGATCGATGGCGATGAGTTTGCGGAGGGTAGCGTTGGGGGCCTGACGGCTGGTTTGGTCGTCGTTGCTGAGCTCGGTAACAGTGGGAGGTTGCGCCATGATTGATGTCTGCAGCGCGTTGATTGAGTGGTATATACATAAACAAGAGTTGGCAAAACCTACAGTGCACCGATCGGACTAGACGCAGTTCGCTTCCGAAGACGAGAGGCGGCAAAGGTTGTCCGGGATGAGCAGAGATGGCTGTGAACAAAGCTGAGAAACAAAACAATCAAGTGAAAGGGTCTTCTGGTAGATCGTTCACAGTCTGGAAGTGACGACTACAAGTGTGCTTTCCCTCGAAAGAAGTAAATCTCAACTGCTTCTATAAAAACCCACACAGTGGCTGCCGTTTCTGTTCGTCACTTGAGTGTATTGAAATCCTCATCAATCCTTTGAGGAAAAAAAAAAAGAACAAACCACTCACCCTCAGAGTCGAACCCAGCACATCCCTTACTAGGCCATATATTCAGCTCAAGTTCTCTTTATTACTGTAATCGGTTGAGTGGTGTAACGGCTAGTACAATCCCGATTCAGAATAAACACTCTCTGCCTTGTACGTCTTAATTCATGTTTGCCAGATGACCGACATCTGGGGGCCAAGATCAAGGACCGCTAAAGGGAGGGTTTTTCCATAAGAGCTCAGCTCTGGTTTTTTTGCTGTTTTGGTTTTGGTCAGATCGGACGGTGGCTTTTGTGGCTTCTTGATTGTGACCAGATGTTATGTGGCAGGATGTTGGTTTGAAATGCAGAGCCACTTGATCCAAGAAGATACTGTAGTCAACGATCGCTGTGTCTGTTGTTTTTGCCATACACTACTTCAGCAAGCAGTGTTGTTTCTGAGTTGAATACGGACGATGTGTCTCAAGCAAGGCTCTTTGCATGAGTTTATCACAGCCACTATCGAGTGACTCTGGTCAAGCACCTTCTTAACAAACAATAGGTCTGCTTGGTCCCCTTCTCAGGTTCTTACATATTTGGCCTGTTCGAATCGAGGTTATCTAGGCTATCCCAATTAGACCGCAGACATATACGTGTAAAGAAGCGTCAGCATAGAGGACATATCTTGCCACCAGTTAGCCGAGTTGCAGGCTCAATCCCATGTGCTCAGCATCATCATAGTATAGCCATCAAAATGCACAGTAATCTTCATATTGGAGACATGGCCAGTGAAACGCCCTGCTGTGATGATCTCTCTGTGGTAGCCCTTCCTCCATACAAAATATTGTGCATTTTTACAGCTGAAAACAATTGACTGTCGCTATTGAAGAGACGCAGTTATTAGCACACCAGGGTCAATGTACTGGTATCCATAGGCACACAAGGGCCAGGGAACCAAGACAAAAAGCGATCGTGATCGAGAGAAAACCCACCTACAGACCATACCTACCTCGGAACACCAATTTCTCATACTTGCACGACAGCCCTCAACACCCATTGCTCTTGTTTACGGTCAGGCGGCAAACAATTCAGGACATGAGGTTGCGACAGCTGCCACACAAGAAAGTGGTGCCGAAGTCTAACCACCAAACAACCTCCACACCGGTGTTTTGAGCGGCAAGCAAAGACGAAATTAAAAGACATTTTCTCACGTGTGCCAATGGCGGTGAAAAAATGCAGGAGATTGCAACATTCGCTACTCCCTTTTGTTCTTTTCAAACTTTTCAATCGGTCGATTGATGGAATAAGATAGTAAGGAAGAGAGAGGCACAGAAGTGCTGAAGCCCAACTTCAACATCGGCAAATCGTAGACAGAGAAGAAGAAAAAAAGATAAAAGAAAATTCCACAAGAAGCTCACCCGATAAGGTTGTGGAGGTGGCTACTTGGGGAAGGAGATCTCGTGTAACCTTGCGACTTCAGGCAACCAGGCACGTGGTCAGCAACTGTCATAGTGACATTCGATGGTTGTTGTCTGACAGACTGACGGCTGTGACTCTGAGAAGATCAGTCAGCAAATAGTCAGGTCCTTGGAAGGACGGGAGTCAGCAAACATCTTCGGGTCAAGTTGAGAGTCACTCTGACGATGCTCAATCCTTGTGGTTCGTCATCACCGCACCTTCGGGATCGAGCTCCGTATCTCAACGAGTCTCACCAGTGTTGGAGTAGCTAACAAAATGCAAAGAAGTGTTCAGTGGGCAAGTTTGACCATTGGAAGCTGATGTGAAGTTGCCCTTGGGATGAGTTGCTCGCCGACAGGATAGATATTGGTCACAGTCAGGTATCACAGAGTCATAGGCAAAGAAGAGTATTTGAAGGCATAAATGACATTATTTGCCCATCCAAAGGACTGGCAACCCATGATAGGGAATTGTAGGTAGAGTCATATCTAAAAGTTTGCAACAAGACGCGTCTAGAGCGATCGTGATGAACCCAAAGTCAGGAAAGAGGAGAAGACACGGATGCTACCAAAATATACAGTATGATCGCTGAAAGGCGAGAAAGAAAAGCAAAAACGACAAGATTGTCTCACGACGGGGTATCTCTTCATGCAGCGCCAGCGGAGGCAGAAGGCTCAAAGACCTTTGTGGGTTGGAAACCAGCACGAACGACACGCTGGCCGTTCGAGTCCTTGGCGATGAAGGCATCCTTGTTCTCCTGCTGGGCCTTCTTCCAGATCTCAACCTCCATACCACCACGAATGACACCAACTCTCATGGTTGAGAGCAAGTTGTGGGCAGCGTTGGAGTGGAAGTAGACACCACCATTGAACATGGCGGTGGCATCCTTGCCAATACCAGAGCGGATCATGGCCTTACCACCAGGGTGGTCGTTGACGAAGTTCGACTCACCAAGATCGTGGACAATGCCAGCAACGCTCAGGAGCTGGCGACCGTTCTTGCATTGCTCGACGTAGTCGTCCCACTCCATGACGGGCAGAGACTCGAGGGGNNGAGTGCCCCAGTCGAGCTCAGCACGCTTGCGGTCAATCTTCTTCTGGAGCTGCTGAACACGGCCCTTCTCAATCTCGTTGGAGCGGAACTGCTTGAGGTCGTAGGCGAGGCCGAGCTGCTTCCAGGTCCAGATGGACCACTTGGTGGGGTCGTACTGGTGCCACTCGATGGCGTTGCGGTAGTCGGAGGGGAACTCGTGGTGGAAGTTGTGGTAGCCCTCACCAAGGGTGACGATGGCGGTAATGACGTGGTCACGAGGAGAGTTGCGGTCGTCGAAAGGCTGGTCACCGAGCCAGTGGGCAAGGGAGTTGACACAGAAGGTGGCCTGCTGGACGAAGAAGATACGGAGGATACCGGCATAGATGAAACCACCGAGGTAGTCACCCCAGCCGATACCGGCAACGAGAGTAGGGAAGATGAGGCCCATGAAGAAAACGACCTTGAGGTAGTTCTTGTGCTGCCAGACAACGACAGGGTCATCGTTGAGATCAGAGATGTCGGTACGGCCAATTCTCTTGGGGTTCTGCTTCATGAGCATCCAGCCGAAGTGAGAGTAGAGAAGACCCTTGCGAACCGAGTAGGGGTCCTTCTCGGTGTCGGTGTAACGGTGGTGAGCGCGGTGGTCGCGGGCCCACCATCTGATGGAGCCCTCAACGGCACCACCACCAACAGCGGCAAGGAAAATCTTGAGAGGAAGAGTAGCCTGGTATGAGGTGTGTGCCCACAGACGGTGGTAGCCGGCAGTGATACCGAGACCAGTTGCGAAGTAGTAAGCAACTGCCCAGATGGCAGTCTTGAGGTAAAGAGGAGTCCAGTAAGCCTGAACAAGACCAATGAGAGGAATGCCAACGATCAGGAAGACGTTGAGCCAGTTGACGTGCTTGTACCAGTTGGCCTTGGTCAAGGGCGTGTCGGTGATGTGAGGCCTGGAGATTGGTTAGTATGCTGTTAATGGACGCAGTTGGTTCGCGTTGACTCACTTCTTGGGGTCGTAAGACTTGTTACGGTTGGGCTCGTCCTTGGAGGCCATGGGAGAGCCCTGCTTGACGAAGTCAGGGTCGACAGCCATCATGCCGGCGGCAGGCTGGTGCGAAGGCATGTTGCACGAGTCTTGAGAAACAAGTGCAGTGAATGCGAGAGTCTCCTTCGAACAAAAGAGTGTCGAGGGGTAGGATTGGTGTGGGTGGAGAGCACTGGAAAGAGAGAAAGGAAACTGTGCTGGCGGGCTCAAGTTTTTGAACCAAGGCGAGCTTCGGACAAATATGGCATGGCCTGATAGACGAGGCGAATACTGTGGGGAACCTACTCGCCCCTCTGGCCAGAATTCACCGTCTTTCGCGCGACTGTTGGGCTGCCCCCAACCAATTCATACGCTGGATTGCATCACCTTGCCACTTTATTGGGATGCACAGTCGTGACACAACTCCCGTGCTGCACTCTGTACCTGCATTAACCTGTCTGCACAACTGTCTGATCACTCCGCTGCTCCGACCGTCTGCTCGTTCAATCACCACCAACATCAATCCTCACAAAGGACCCTGAGACACTCACATTCCACCGCCAGCTGGCCAATTTTTCGCCACCAGGACTTTTGGCTTTACCGATGGCACGCGAAACATCCGGCCTGCCTTGCCGATCTGTTCACCATTCTAGAAAGCTGTCCCCGAAGCCCGTGCTAATCCCGAGGTCCATCGTTGGAAACACGTAAAATCAACTCGAGTAGAAGCCTCCAGACGCTGTCCATCTTTCTTTGCTTCTTTGCGTTCTTTCCAATTCAGCCGAGCACAAGTCCAACTGTTGTTTCCTTCAGCCATCTTCGAGCCAATCTCCTTGTCTCCGCGTCGAGCCTCAACTTTAGATTGCTAGCGATGTCTGAGATCTGGTTAAGTTCTGGTGGTGCTGACCTGCCAAGCATCATCTCGTGCGGAGGCTAGCGTCAGTTGAACAAAAGGCGTGTCACCTCATGCTTTCTTTCCCAGCTGATGCCCGTTGATGACTCTAGACACGCGCGCCATCTGACGCCTGTCTGGTCCTGCCTCTTGCGCGTCTTATGCAGAGATATGCCCTCATCATTCCCAATGCCCCTTCATCGTCATGTTGGTGCGCGACTCAGCCCTGTATTGTCTTGATCCACCTGTTCCCAGATATTGAGGGTCCTCGCGGTTACTCCCGGCATACATGAAACTAGGCTGTGTTCCCAAAGCGGTAGTGGTTGCGAGCCAATGATGGCCGTTGCTATCGAGCTGCCTTGTTCCACCTGCCGCCGTTATCCATGTCCTATCCCCAGATCTTGTGTCATGCAAGCAAGAGCTCAACGTACAATTTTCTAGTGAGCGATTATGCATCCTGCCCAACAACCACTCAAAGATGTACTCACGTTGGACACACGGGTTCCGCATTGGCTATTGATCCTTTCAACAAGAAGCAAACCCCTCAGATGTACCAATTGTTCAGACAGGCCACGCATATTTATCGTTGGCCCACCTCTGAACCATATGCATGACGGTTTATCAGCGCTTCCCCATACACGATCCAAGGATGGGCATACTGGGGTTGGTCGACGAACCTCATCCTATGCATCTGATATTGGACATTCTTGGATGTCATCAGGTTGTTGCATCTCACCATATTGTCTCTGACGAAACGTATCCAGACACACAAATCTCTCGGACTCGACTCCTGCTTACTCTTGCTATCTGTCTTTCATCTGATCTTCACATGCAAATCCTCGTACTCGATCTGGTTGTTCAACGCTTTCTCAATCGTTCGAGTATTACTTGGGCTCGAGATAACAGAACTACGTGCCTCAGGAACATAATCGCGACCAATGAGCTTCTTTCGATATCGCCCATCCATATCGAACCCATCACCCGACCGCATCGTCGACTCGTTACGCTCGTGTCTTTTGAGGTCCTGCAATTGCAGCGAGGACAATGGTAATCCCGCAACTCTCAACAGCAGAGCCAACACATCTTGATTTTCCACATTCAAGCTGATACAGAAACGGACTTGTCCAGATTGTTCTCTGTGGACGTCACAATCTTGACTCAATATCCAAACATCGTATGGCAACCTTCTTACGCACCCCCTTGGCTCTATCGGCAGTGAGCATCGTGCTCGTGCCTTGCACCCCGCGAGGAACGAAACGCTTGCAACCGCTATATCTCGTCGCTACCTCTTCTATCCGCGTGGATTCGACATCTCCTTGTGCACCGTTTCTAGAGAGGCTGGCATGAGCATGAAGTGAGTAGTGTTTCAAGCTCTCGTACTCCCTACCCCTTCATTGTGTTAGACGAACCTCCTGAACTCGTCGGTGAGCTCCACGTTGATCGTCTCTCGCGTGTTGTTCAAAGGAATCACCCATGATGTCAGTCAATTATAGGAGCGAGCTCTTGCGGACCGTGGAGTGAGACGCAATGACTTTGTTGTACTTGACCTGCCGTCCTTCTTTTGAACTTGTGTCCTCTGCGCCATATCCTCGTCAATGCGTCGTGGTCAATAGCAACTCCTGACTTTTCCGCGTCGGTCTGTAGTTCTTCCGCAAACTTGAGACGCATGTTGTTTCTGATTGAATGTTGGGGGTGCGTTGCCATAGCGCTTCCTTCAGGAGCGTATGGGATGTAAGCCCAGTGGGATGTGATGGGTCAGTTGCGAAATCAGGATAGATGTCCGCCCATATATTGAGGGAGACCTGTCTCAATGCTGGGATATCGCTACGGGTGCCGGTGGAAGTATTCATCTGGAATGCAAACAAATACCACAGTGAAGCGACACAGCAGTCGGCGGTGTGCCTTCTCGTATTGATGACAAGTGTCATTATACCACAACACTCATTGGGCAGAAGTCAGCATAGTAGTGCAGACGAAGGATGTCATAGCAGACGTTGTACAGGTGAGAGAATGAAAGACATTGATAATTGGTTTGACTAGACTACTACAACGAGCAGTGTCTCACGCTCTCGTAGCGTTCCACATCTTCATTACGCCTGAAGAGATCCTTAACCTCGTGTAGGATCTGTCCAGAAATGGAGCTGCTTTTCTCCAAATCCTGTGACTCGTATTGATGGAGGCCTGTGTGTAGGAGTGCTTTCCTGTTCTATGTGGGTCAGCGGCTCTGAACAAGAAACTACCACATTTGCACAGCCAACTCGCGAGCTTCTAAAGTTTCAGCATCGGTCTGTTCAACGAAACATATAGATAGCCAAGGAATGGTGCATATAACAACATGGACAAGGGATATGAAGGTCTGGTCAGCGGCCATCGCCGCGAGGGCTTAAATGGTCCAGATCAACAAGGAGATCGTGTCAGGGATGAGAAGAGACGTTCAAAGTACAGTGAGAAGGCGGATACTGTCAACGAGCGTCGTCGCAGAAACGCCCAGGCGGAGAGAGAAAGGGTCGCTGCGCTTACACCTGCGCAACGTGGCTTCTGAAGTAGATGACAAGGTCTGTGAACCAGATATAACCTTTCCTCTTCCCTCCACGCCTTCTCACCATGAGAATTTCTTCAGAGGGTTGACTTCTGTATTGACAACCAGAGATCATACATCCCTGAGAGCAGGACTATGGACCTGATCATCTCCTCTTTCGAGCTAGATGATGGCGACAACGACTGTTCTACCTCAGGGGTGCGGCTGGCCCTTGGTACTGATAGAGTCATAACCAGCTTTCTTGCACTGAGGATACCTGACTACATCCTTTGTGGTGGTGAACAACATCTTGACGAGCGGGGGGTTCATGTTCTTGCGGGGATATATTCTTCAAGTTGCAGGGTATACTGCTGTCATGATAGCGAGCATGTTTTGGTGGTATCTTGTGTCGAAGAAAGAGATCTCTTTGCTTGCCCCTTATCGATGACAGCTTGGTCTACGACGGCTTTAATCTTCTCTACTACTTGAAATCGTTCTTCCTAGCTGAATCTGATCATTCTCCGTCTTCTTCTGCTGACAGTTTTTCGACGTATATCACCGTGTATGCCTATCTATCTGCTTTGCGTCTTGCCTTGCGCTTTTCTTAAAGACAGCCCAGTTCTCCTCGTCTTCAATAGTGACCTATCACTCGACGTCTGCGATATTGACCTAGTGTTCGACGTTTGCAACTCTACTTCAGGCATGACTACTGTATGTTCCGCGTTGTAGAAGTCATGGGGAGCAGCGTTGATGTTCTGTGAAAGGTCAAACAGGATCAAGAAATGCAGATTTTGCAAATACCAGTAACAGTTTATGTACATTTGGTCAATGTGAGAGGCACTGGCGTTTTGAAGAATGTATACAAATAAGCATCCAACAACATGAGAACACGAGCATGTCTATCTCTGTAGACGCAACGAGTACATCTGTGTAGACGGCAATAACACTGTTTCTTAGCAAGTCCTAAGCCTGTATGGTTCACCAACACAGATATCAAATGATGAAACCAGCGAGTGATGTAAAAAGCGTTGCTATTGACCATTTCTCATCGAGGAGGATTTTGCACATGCTCAAGAGATCTTTCTCCAAGAGATCACACACTAACTACAGCTCCCACACCTTCCTCAACTATATACAAGGAACAACCCTCACCAAATCACCTTCCTTATCTACTACTTACTAACAACTATTTAAGAGCTTCTTCCAGCGATCCTTCCATGTGTCGATCCGCTCATGCTCCGAGGTCCAGTAGCCAAAGGAGCTCGGTTCTATCTCGTCAGAGCAAGGAACAACGCCCTCAAGATCCAGCCACGCCCCTAAGTCATATCCACAGTACAGTCCAAAAGGGAGAGCAAGAGGTCAGTGACCCTCGATTCCTCCTCCCTCTCTCTGGGGTACCTCACTCTCGCAAGATATATTCTGAATCAAGCAGTGTGTTGGGGAGCATAAGTCACTATTTAGAGTCACGGACCTGGTTTCTTTCCTGCGGGACAATGATAACTGTCTGCTGCACAGCAGACTCAGGAGCAGCAGCTGAAGAGACAGCGGTTTCCAAAGCCATCTTGATGGTGTGAATGAAGTTGCTGTAAAGCAGGAGTTTAGTGCATGGTGACATTGATGATGATGACAACGGATAGCAGATTTCGACGATAGTTGTAGAGCGGTATAAATAGCGCTTTGGGTAGATTCAGTGAAAGTGGGGAGAGTTGGGCCGATTGCAGCTTCTTCTTTTGATATATCGTGTTCAAGGTTTATTCGTTACGCTCATCATACCTTCCTCATGCTGTATGTTTACTCCTTGGACTGCTCCTTCTCCACATCATCGATGATCTCTCTCAAGCTCTTCGCGCTCTGCTCAAACTCCTTCTTCTCGCTGTCATTGAGCTTCAATGGAATCTGTCTGACAATACCCTTTCTGCCAATGACCACCGGCATTGAGAGACAGACGTTCAAGTCGTCCTGGTAGTGACTGATAGGTCTGACATTGCATTCGTCAAAGAGGATCGATTTGCAGATTGAAGAAGTCACGCCGCCAATGCCGTAAGCTGTGGCGCCCTTTGCGTCTGAGATTGATGCGGCCTTCTTCTTGGTGTCTTCTGCGATTGCAGCCGTGTCGATCGAGGCATCCGGGAAAGCGGACTCGAGAGGGACACCACCGACTGATGCGTGAGACCATGCGACNNCTGTCGTGAAATTAGCAAAGAGACTTTGGAGAGATATTGTTTCACGACTTACCATTTGCGAATCACCATGCTCACCCAGCACATATGCGTTGATAGAGCTAGCAGCAACACCGCACTTCTGGGCAAGGATACCACGAAGGCGAGCACTATCAAGGAAGGTACCACTTCCGATCACTTGAGACTTTGGCAGTCCTGAGAACTTCTGAGCGAAGTAGGTTAAAATGTCCACGGGGTTTGTGACCAGAAGAATGATAGTGTCCTCGCGGAAGGGCTTCATGTCCTCAATTGCTGAGCCCAGGATCTTGAGGTTACGGCCGACGAGATCGGTACGGCTCTCTCNCTATGCTTTGGTCAATATCGCAGTCTCATAGGTGATTGACAATGGCATTGTTTCAAGCTTACCCTTCTTCTGTGCAGCACCAGCAGTAATGACGACGATATCACATTGCCCAGCTTCCTTGTGTGTACCAGCGCGTACCAGAGTACTAGTATCGCCATGGAAAGTAGCATCAGAAAGATCCTGTACTTGAGCATCCCGGACCTCCTCCTTGGGATCGACAAGCAAGATCTCTCCAGCAACAGGGTTCAAGATCAGCGAGTAGGCGATTGTGGAACCGACCTCTCCAGATCCAAGAATGGCGATCTTCGAGGTCATTGACTTTTGCGACATTGTTCTGATTGATTGTGTGAAAATTGTGTGATTAGGTCTTGAAGCGTGCCTCTGTTGAGCGTTCGAGAGACTGTTAATAGGTGAGGTGAAGTGGTAAGTTGAGGTTATGAAGGTTGCTCTGGAGCTGCGAGATACTGTCGCAGAAAGAGAGGGTGACAGAGCAGGACGAACAAACAGTCCACCAGATCGAGAAGCTACGCGTAACGTCATTTTGATCGTGTTCAACAAATTTAGGAGAAGGTCCTCTCGAGAAACGCGTTGCAGATGTTGTTGAATTGGAAGTTAATGACGTAAACGTAGGTCATCAAGGTGTTCCAAACAAAACCCGTCTAATACAAATTCGCAACACGATGCCATCCAGCAGTGGAATATCGAATGACATTCCGATAGTTCTACTCGCATAGTATGACAACCTTGTCACAAACATGAAAAATCATGTCTGTCGAGAGTCAATCGGCATCACCAGAGGTCGGTTTCGTTGAAAAGGACCGTATCACGTAATCGATTCATGCCTATGTTAGGAAACATTACCATGGTTTGGAGCAGCTAGTTGAGACGATGACACTGAATCAGATAGACAGTCAAAGTGAAAGCAATGAAATTCGTACTATTCATACCCCGGATATCATGTACTGCTAGGTGAGGTCCGTCCATAAAACAAAGAGAATATTAAAAAGGCAACTTTTTGGTCGCAGAAGAATTCTAAGTATCATGATCCAACTCATTTCGGCAGGCCGATGCTGTTCCAAGCGCCGTGCATTGAGCCTGTTTCCTCGTCACGACGAGTTGAGTGAATAGCGTACGAAGTTTCCACACGAACGCCATCGTCTACATCGTATGGGTGGTTTTGACTGCGATTGCTCCTTGTGTATACCATCTTTTCTGTCGAAGCATTGCTCTCAATATCGAAAGTGTCCGAGACTGGGGTTCTGCCCTCGAGTTCATACTCATTGACAGTACCTGACTTGTCAATCTCGCTGGGGAGCTTTGTGCCTTTGAATGACTTGTTGTTGGCATGAGCTGAGTGTAGATTGTGGCCAGATCTACCATATCCTGATCCTCTCCCGGTGTTGTTGGGGTCGTAAGGGCCTGGCAGCCAGAATGCTCTGCTGAGGATGGGACGGAGAATAGGCACATTGATAGTGAAGATACCGATGAACGTTTCGCGAACACCCTGTGACATAGTTAGTATGATTCTTTCGTGAGACGATATATCACCACATACCCATCCGTTAATGTTGGCGGCAGAGGGTGCTGCATCAAGAGATAGGACAACACGAACGATAGCGGCAACGATGACGAACAATCCTGATGAAAGGATAACTGCAATCGTGATCTTCTTCTTCAGGGGCATCTTCAACTGCCAGAGCATTGGAATTGGAACCGAAAGAATGGCTGCGTCGGTGAGGATGTTGGGAATAGCGACAGCAAGGAAGTTTTGCGGTCTGAAAGCACACTTCCATGGAGGCGCGGGTACGACTTGCCAGTTCATGTGGGTNNGCTAAAATAGAGTTAGACAGAATGTTTCAACCTGTAAATCAGGAAGTACTTACGGGAAGCAACCAAAGATGAGCACAAACCAGACGACAACATAGCTGATACCAGTAAACCACATGAGGTACTTGATCAGCTTGTTGTGGAAAGAGCCCAGCGTCAGACGCTTGTAGAAAAACAACATAGTGAATTTCATGGACCAGATTAATGCGGGATAACTGCACCATGCAGTGTACTCCAACTTGGATCCATAGATCACGCGATCAATGTCGGCTTGAGTGGCAGTCTCGAGCCATTTCTCGGTAACCTCAGAGCTTTCGCCAGTGTAGTGAACGAGATGCACGGTGACAGCATCGACTGTGTTGAATATCATCACACCGACACAGAAAAGGTCGTCCCAGTAAAGACCTCTGAACCCGACAGTTCGTAGACGGACTGCATAACGAGCAAGGATGATGAACATAGAGATGGCATAGAGAGCCTAGAGCTGTGTCAGTTGAGCTGTACATTGGTGATTTATTGCATAAGACCTTACCCAAACCTCCTGCAGAATCGGATCGAGGGCCATGATGATAGACGTCTACCCCAGAGAGGGTTCAAGACGGGCCTCTGACAAGAGTGGTATTGAGTTCAATGGACAACACAAAAGCCAACACTTCCCCAGGAAAGAAAGACAAGAGGACAGCAAGAAGGATAGATTTGTGGCGGAAGGCACATTTTAGCGACGAGAGGATTCGAGCCGTAGTTAAAGTGGAAAAGCATGATGCAAAGCCGTCTCAGACTGTCATTCGTAGAGTTGAACTCTAAAGGCAGCCCTGAAGATAGTTGCGAGTCAATAGGGCGACGGTCAAGCCGACTCTCAGACTTGAAACGGCTAGGTATTGCCCGTTTATAGAAGCGAGATCTGTCAGCTCTCTTCTTCTAGAAGGAAAGTAGACAACCGACACTGAGAATGACTCGCTGTATATGAATCTACCTTGATGCAAGTGAGCAAGTGGGTAAATACGGTGCAATGAAGATGTTCACGCAATTTGATGGTTCAACCAGGTACCGAGATAGAATTCAGCCACAAGCCAGGGTTGATCAGCCTTCAGGTATGCGCAGTGTCTGGAGTGAGACTCAGCTTTCGGGTACCTGGATGCTGGTCGCCTTTCAGCCCTGATTGGGCAATACAAGCTGTTATTTCGCTTTGTGTGGGACAAGATCGGAACGAGGCATGGATGGCGGAAGCTGCAATTCCGCAGCAGTAAATGGGCAAACGGGGTCGCAGAAACCCGGCTGGACGATTTGGGTTCGGAAAGGCGCTTCTAGAAGAGCAGATTGCATTTGCACCTCCACCGTTGTCCTAGAACGTTGTCGGCGGAACGGTAAGAAGGCTCCAGGCAGTTGGATCAGCTCGCGCTATCGAAGTACGAGTATTGTACATAGATCTCGTCCATTGATCCGCGAGCCTCACACAAAAGGTCGTAGATCTTGACTGACCATAGCATAGATACATCGGATCGGATTGACAAAATTAAGGCTGACGCCCAGTGTGGCTAGTGATCAATGATACGACCACGTGTGCGTACCACATGTTAGTAGCGAGGGCTAAGAAAGTCAAAGCTATGGCGAATAGTTTGGCTGGTCGGAGGAGATGATGGCAAGAGTCAAAAGACGGGCAGACAGGGCAAAAACGTATCTACAGACGAGTGATGGAGGTCCTGACTCGCCATCTGCAAATTCGTCTTCATCGTAACGTGTATCGTTAAAGTTTCCATCGGCAGTCTTCAACGCGGGACGGCATTTGAGGTGAACACACCAGATGGTACGGACTGGGACTCATGCGAGACTGCCAGTATCAATTTTGAGAGAACCGCGTTCAACGTGTAGGCAAATCGAGTATGCCCTATCGAGAACTCGATAAGCAGTATCGTCTACAAATCATGCGCTGAACCAATGCGGCAAGATCGAATTGACCATGACTCTTGAACAAGCCATGCTCGGGATACGACAATACGACAAGCTGCCGCTTTGACGACCAGATTAAATCGTGTAAGAAGCAAGGGCAAGCGAGACCTTTTCATGCCCGTCCGAGGTGATGCCTTTTCACGGCAGTATACAAGAGGCTTGGCAGACGATTGCGGGGGAAGGTGGAGATTCTGTAGAGCATCAAGATTGCACAGCTGGTAGGGCTGACTCGATGCTGTGACCATCTTGAGCTGCACTGCTGCAGTAGACTGCCGCCGTCTGTCAGCACCTCCAGTCCAACAACATGGCTGCGCTCAACCGTCCCCGCGTCTTCCTCGAGATCAGCATCGGGAACGAACCTGCAGGCCGCTTGACCATCGAGCTCTTTGCTGATCAGACTCCAAAGACATGTGAGAAGTACGAAATCCCTCGAGCTTCCTTCTTGTATACACTTGCGCTGACTCTGACGACNAGCTTCCGCGCTCTCTGCGCAGGCTCGCACAAAAACCTCAGCTATGCCCTCAGTCCCTTCCACCGCATCATTGACGAATTCATGGTACAAGGCGGAGACATAACCCGCGGCGATGGCACAGGCGGCGATAGCATCTACGGCGGCGACTTTGAAGACGAGAACCTAGGTTGGCGCGACATGGATGCTGCCGGTCTGGTGTGCATGGCCAACCGTGGAAAGGCCACCAACAGCAGTCAATTCTTCATAACCCTCGACGAGTGCCCGCATCTGAACAACAAACACACCATATTCGGTCGCTTGGTTGGAGGCGAAGACACTCTCGCTCGCATGGCCAAGGTCCAGGTCGACAAGGATGACAAACCCCTCGAGCCTGTTCTGATCGCACGCTGTGGAGAACTTGAGCGCAGGAAGAAAGCTCCCGCCGCATCGCCCGAACCAGCTAGCAAAGACAGAGGCCGACGGGACAGACGCGGAAGCTCTGCATCACTCTCGCGCTCTCCCTCCCTGCGACCTAAGAGGAGTCAGCCAGTACGAAGACAGAGCGACCACGTAATCGACGAGACTCTGCGCGGTAGAGTACGCGCAAGATCCGACGACGAAGACGTAGAGTCGTCTGCAAAGAGCGTGCTGTCGAGTCAGATTCACAGAGCCCAGACAGCAGGTACAAGCGGAAACGCAGCCCCAGTCCGTCGCGAGGATACGAGAGGAAAAAGNGCCAGTCGCGAGTCGAGTCGAAGTCCGGTAGACTCACGTCGGCGAAGAAGAAGTCTGCCGAACCAGTACTACGATCATGATGCGCCAAGCAGATCGAATGATAATGACCGCAGACGACACAGAGACAACGATCGGTACCGACCTGGCAATGCTAACAGGCATTACGACAGAGACGGCGGAAGAAGAGGTGGAAGAAACTCATACCGCCCACCAAGGCAGGAAGAAGGACGTTTGGGTGGAGATTCATACGGCAGCGCTGGCGCAGGAGCGGGTGAGGAGAGCACCGTCAAGTTCAAAGGCAGAGGCCATATGAAGTTCAGGGAACCGGATAGGCGCTGGTAACGATCATGCATGACGTGAAATGAAAACACCGATATACCACACTGCTTCTGTTCTCTACAAGCGACCTTGCTCTCTTCCAGCGGCTCTGAGGCCACCGTCTCCATCAACGAGTACACACCAACCTTCTCCGCCTCTACCTCCATCTCCACCTACCGCTGCGCCTGGGAACTCTCTCTTTGCATAGTCGAGAATGTCATCGTTGAAGCTGCCTGGCTGGAGCCATACGGCTCTTATACCTGCCTCCTTGGCCTCTTGCAACAGTTTCTTGGTAACTGCGGGAGGTGTGATGACGCTCAAACCAGTCTCCTCTGGTTGTTGTAGAGCTGAAGGCGAAGGCACAGTGTCGTAGTCCTTAGAGGCGACAGAGACGCTTGGTCGTGACGGGTTGAGCGGTGTGACGGGTAAAGAGCGCTGAAGATACCATGCAAACACTACACAGTGTTAGTGGAGGTTGTGCGGACAGAAGGTACATGACAACATACCTCTGTGGCCAAACTTGGAGGGGTCGCTGCTTGCGCCTGCAACGGCAAAGCGAGGGCTGGCGAGGAAGTTCTTGACGGCGTTCATGTCTTGGTTGGTCATTGTTACTGGTCTACAAAGATGTCAAGAAAGGAAGATATGAACGTGAAGTGATTGAGGGACCGCGGACTTTGGAGTTAAGCTTGTGCCGAGGTATGAGCTGCTTTGAAGCTTTTGTTCTCTCCACGACCAAGTCAGACTGTCAATGGTACGACCCTGCTCAGCATATAATCCGTGGATATCAGCACAAATACATGCTCCAGGGCTACCATCTGTCACATGGGGGCATTCCGAGAGACCATTGATAGGATACGAATACAATTAGACAGCTCCGTGTGAGTATGGTGGAGATGGTCAGTCAATATTATTCTCGTTCAAGCTCCAGCATGTTCAAGTAAGGAAGCACCGCACTGTCTCGAGATGATTACAGACAAGCACAAGAAATGGCAGAAAATCGAGTTATTCCCTCACAAACAAGCTGCTTCACACAGTCTATATGGTTGTTGCAAGCGCTATAAGTGAACTGGAGAAAATAGGCAAAAGGCAGGCACAGTTGCCGAATCGGGGAGTATGTTGATGAGTGCCGCATGGCAACGGGCCTGAAGCGTACTGGGCCGCCTAATGGCCGCAGCGCAGATTCGACACAAACACATCAAACGACTCCTTTATACTGGTGGGGGTCCAAGAGACGCAGACAGCCTCACGTATATCCCCTCAATCGCAAAAATCACAGCCTTATCCATCCAGAAGGAACCAGACAAAGACAAGAACACATAACCAAAAATGGTGAGTCGATCTGTTTACTCCGGGCCAGACCCTGCATGGAGACCCGAAAGTCAAGATGCAGCCAACCAAAACTCGCCAATCGCCCTGTTTTGTGTCGGTTGATAACTCCCGTCCTTTGAACAACACACCACAACAACGGCCATTCCACTTTTCTTCACCTCATCTCTCTCCTGCAAACCAGCACCTCCACAGCGCAACGTCGCATACAGATCAAGACTAAGAAAATGGATCAGGCCAACACAACAAACTACAAGGAGGCTTTCGCTCTCTTCGACAAGCGCGGTAACGGCCGTGTTCAAATCGAGTCCCTGGGCGACCTCCTTCGCGCGTGCGGCCAGAATCCTACCCTCGCTGAGATCAGCGACCTCGAGAAGAGCATTGGCGGAGANCTGTGAGTTCCTGCAGAGGAACAATTGGACAAGAGGCACGGCGACTGACATACACAACCAGTCGACTTCGACTCATTCTCAAAAGTCCTCAACCGCGCCGGTGGTTTCCGTGACCCTGGTGAGCCCGAGGAGTACTGCCGCGGTTTCCAGGTCTTCGACAAGGACATGACTGGCTTCATTGGTGTCGGTCAACTCAGATACAGTACGACTGCCCCTAAAGACGACGATTGCCAAGAACAAGACACTAACACATACACAGTTCTGACCAACTTGGGCGAGAAGATGAGTGACGATGAGGTCGACGAGCTGCTCAAGGCCGTTGACACCAGCAGCGGTGAGATCAACTACGTTGGTAAGCAGACTTCAGACAACCACCTCAAGTGCATATTCGCATGAACTAACACCCACTCTACAGACCTCGTCAAGACCGTCCTCGCAAACTAAGCACCCTTTCTACTCTATACCCACACCTTTTAACTTTCTCGAAACAAAACAATCTTGGCGCTTTGGCACGGGATATGAAGCATGGATGGCGTTTATTCTGTTTTACTCTGTTTAATTCTGGGACGAGAATTATTTAAGTCGCGGCCCTTTGAAAGACGCGACCGAGATCTGTACAGCGGCAATTCTACCTTGATGGGGCTTCTCAATCACGCCCGTCTATAACCCATCCAGAGGTTTCTATTCTGTGTAATAACGTGAGATCAAATGTCAGACCCGGGGTGCTATAATGAAGACTCATTCGAGAACTTCTGGGCGTCCTTCTGAATCTCCTCTGCTAGCCAGCGAGCCTCTTTCTCCATCTCTTCCATGCTTCTAGGCTTCCTCTTGTCATCCTCGACCTTGGGGAACTTGCCTTTCCTCACACCCTCCTCTTCCCTCTGATGTTTACCCACATCTCCCTCGTCACCTTCCAGCTGTTCGTAGATCTTGTCACCACCACCTTGCGCATCCATGTCACCGTCGCTTCTGGGGATCAGATGCGCATGCACATGCGGCACGCTCTGTCCTGCAGCCTCGCCATCTTGTATCGCTATGTTGCATGCCGAGGCATTGTAAACGCGCTTCAGTGTCCGCGACGCCAATTGCACTGTACTGAACAGATCAGTGACTTCGTGGGCGCTGAGTTGATCGATGTGTTGGACGCGACGCAAAGGGCAGACCAGAATATGGCCTGGCAATAAGGGTTTGAGGTTTACGAGGCAGAAGGATAGAGGTGTTTTGTAGAAGACCTGNNTGTTCGTGTTTAGACTTGGACTGGAGGAGTAATTGTGTTGGTCTTGACTGACTTGGGAGGTTACAGTGAAGGGGCCGAATTGGATGGCCTTTGCTAGTGATGAAGGAGGCATCTCTGCCTGGATATCAGAGCTCATTGATCTTTGGTGTTGTGTACAGTGATTTGTTGCTGTGGAGGGTGTTTCTGGAGATTTGACTTGCGACGCGAGACGTCACTGCCACTTTCTTTTGCGCGAAACTATTCCTCTACCATTGACTTTGTACCACGAACTCAGTGGCTTCATGCTGTTCAATATGTCGCCTACAGTTCTGCCTCTGATGTGCTCGTCTCGTCTTAAGAATGTAGTCTCCATTCAACAGGAGCATCGATAGATAAATGGTATGTGGGTACTGCAAACTATGTACCGACATATAATTGTGCTTCTCATCCTACAAACCCAATTGGAACTCCAAGCTCTTTTGTGGTGTGATTGCTGAGCTTGAAGTCATAGTGTTGTCGTTTGCTCCTCCTTTGTCTGCACGCTCGAGGCTCAAAGGGTCCCTCATCAGAGCTGTGCCTATATCTCAAGCTCAGAATCCACTTCAATTCCTTCTTCTCATCCCAACCTCCACTCAAGACTCCAGCACAACTGCTACCAACCATCTCAAAAGTCAAGCTTAACATGTCTTCCAACAACTCTTCTACCTCGAGCTCTGGCTCCAACTCCACTTCCAGCGGCAGCGGCTCTTCGTACGAGGTCACCTCCAGCGGCACCAACGACCAGGGCAACCACTACTGCTCGCGCGATTACGGTTCCAGTGCTGCCAACGACAACTCCTACCACTATTCCAACACGTGAGTACAGTACATACATCTTCCAAAATTCGAGAAACAATACTAATATGAGAGAGCAGCGATGGCTCGTACTACTACAGCAACCCCAATGGCTCGACCTACTACAACTAGGGCTCTGGCTACTCTAACTACACCCCTTCTCAGGGCAAGTAGATGGCAAGCTGTCATGATATCGTTCTTGGCGAGTGCCTAGTTTAGCCTGCCGCTCTACGGTCGAGAGGCAACAAATATGATTAGACGAGATATGATATGATGCAAAGGCTTCGGCAAATGCAAAACATGTTCGCCTTGCAAGAAACGTTTCTTTCCCTTCCGTGAAAAAGTGGTCGCGTGGCATACTTATGACAATTGACAGACAACCGTTCGCCCTTGTATTGAACTGTATTGATCCCCGTTGAGCCTCAAGCGAGATGTAGATTTGCAGATCTGATCGGTTTGCACCCTTAAGCATCACACAGAAGACCAACACTGACAAATCGCATCGCTTGCGTAGCTACTTCTCAAGCACCAAAATGCCATGCGCAAAAAGCGGTTCGCTTCTTTATCCCAAAGATGGCCCCAGAAAAAACATGGAAATTCGCGACAACGTCTTTTTGCAACAACGGCCCAAGGGGGTTTCAAACCATGTTCACGCCTCGAACCTGGCGATCGGATATCTCTTGCCCATAACTATACAGTTGATATGCATTGATGCTTTTAACTCTTTGAAGATCTGTTATAGCCTCTGAGAAGCGAATCGCTCTGCAGAAGTTAGTTTGCACCTCCGTTAACCCTAAACGTAATGGCAGTTGTGGAAGTAGGTCTCACAGATGGAAGTTTGATATTGCTCTTTATTATGACGAGGGTTTCCTCCACTCGATTGCCTTGATTCCCCTTTCGTTCTTGTTGTGTTGCTTACGTCTCTTCATGCTGGAATCAACGTAACAGGGAACAGCAACAATGGTCTCACCGGATGTTGCAAAGTACAATCTACATCCTATTGCGATCATCGTACTGCCAATCCCACTGGTTATCTTGTCGAGTATTGCGATCTCACTACGGTTATGGGTTCGATGCTGCCTTGTTCGATCTTTTGGTCGTGACGATGTTTTCTTGATACTCGCTCATGTAAGAAGAGAGCATTTGTTGCTGTGGATGCAAGAGTCATACTGACAGATTCTCTGCAGNATATGTTTTCTCGCTGCTTGTGGGATATTCATGGCAATTGGTGTAACAGAGTACGATCAAGGACTCGAGCCCATCATTAAGCTCGCAGGAGTATGTATTTGCTCTTTTCTTTTCTCATCTCTTCCTCTTCTAGTTTCCAAGGCAGAAGCACTGATTGAAACAACATCTTTACAGCTCAGTGTTCTCGGCATCGCAACCTACCTCATCAACCAATGCTTNTTCAAGCTCTCCATGGCTTTCTTCTTCCTCCGCATCTGTGATCGCCCCGTCCATCGCTGGATCATAATTTCCAGTGTCAGCATCTTCATCATCTTCAACCTGGCCCTTCTCAGCATCTCACTAGGTCAATGCGGCAACATAGCAACCATCGATATGAATAACCCACACTGTCTATCTTGGTCTATCCTAGGTCCTCTGAACTACTTCATCGCAGCCCTAAACGCAACAGTAGATTGGATATTCGCCATCTTGGCTATTTACATCGTCTCTGGATTAAACCTCTCTCCTCACTCTAAAGTTTCTGTGTACTTTATTATCTTGCTGGCTTCCTTGGGGAGTATAGTGAGTGTAGTTCGCATACCATATATCGACGGTTTACGTCTCAACGCCTCCTACTACTCGCGCAAAAACGACGTTATAGCCTATACCTCACTCATCGAATCCGCTATTGGTATAATCGTGGCTTCCATGTCAGTAATGCGACCACTAGCCGCTCGCCTAGCACAAAAAGCCAAAGTTGCATTGTCGAGTGGGAGGACAAGTCGATCCAGCCAAAGAAAACAAACACCACAGAAAATAGAGTTGCCGAATATGGAGAGCAAGGGCGTGGAAGTGAAGTTATATCAAGCATTGCCGGATCCTACGCCTACGTATTTGGAAGTGGACTCGGCGACTGGGATGGAGATGGATTATTTGAGTGTTAAGGATGTGAGTTTGGATGTGGAAAGGGGTTGGCGAGGATGCAGCAGAAGGAGTGGAGGACTTGAAGAGGATGAAAAGGAAACCTGAGAATGAACATCAAAAACACGACATCTGTCGCCCTTCGGAGGTTCACAGAGACCCTGGCTACTGGAGGCTGGGGAGCATCAGGCACCACGCTACCGCTACAAACTGCCGGATACGAATTGTCTTCTCTATCCTGCATCGCCACCGTGGCTCCCAGCAAGGATACGCAGCTCGGGAGGATGGACACAGGGATCAACAAGAGCAGAGGATGAAGACCAGGCCAACTCGAGAGGAAGGAGCGGGTCCTCGCTCCCTTCCACCTCTACCCAGCAAAGGCATGCAGAACAACAACCATTCAGTCTTACTGCACAACTCGCACCAAGACCACCAAAATAAAGACCAGATCGAACAGCAATAGTCAAGACAAAAGCAGAGAGCGACTATGACACCAGCCAAAGCGACATAAACACAAATCACAAAACACCCTCCCACCTCCAACCCACAAACCAGCAAAACAAATCCCCGCTACCAAGGCTCAGTCGTACAAAGCCTATTCAGCAGGGGAGAAAGCCACCAGAAACACTGGTTTCGTTTCAGAATAGAGGTCTAAAGTCCGACTGCGAGAATCGAACCGAAGACCTTTCCAGCGGGGGTCGCCAACACTTTGTGCTGGCGCAAGACCGCTGGGCCAACCACCGCTTGTCGGTTAAAGCGATGGTGGCTGGTGGGAGAGAGGCAATGATGCTGGTATATAAAGGAGGTGGATGAGTAAGTGGGTGGGTAGGTGGTTGGGTACTTATCGATGTGATGTTGGTTTGTTTCTCATTACTGATGATTCGATGCGGTGGTTCATGTATCTTCACGATCAAGGAACATGTTTACGGCACGAGCTAGATGGATCAGGTCCTGAGCGATAATGGATAGACAGCAAAAGCTTTGGAAGGTGATCTTTATTTCTACCAAAACAGCGAACAAGGCTAGCAATGCACTAAATGCTTTTTGGAGGTCCCTATCTTTTCCTCAATCAGCAAGAACATTTTTCATGAGACGCTCTCCAAAAATTCTATATACGTCGAAAGAGAAGCAGCTGGTTCAAAGGAAGGAGCGATGGAACAGCAACATCTACCCAGCGAAACGGAATCTCGCAGCTTCCAATCTACCAAGGCCTTCTCTAGGTGCAACGTTCCTTCTCCTGTAAGAGTTGGTGAAATCTTGCAAGAGCGTGCGAATCTTGCGTGTATCTCCAGATTGAATGCGTTGCTCGATGTTGCGCAGCAGTCTCTCCTGTTCTTGCGGGCTGATGGATCCAGCAGGAAGCATGGAGACTGTGCTCGCCGTCCAGGTTGCGGTTACCTCCGGCATCAACTGGAACATGGCAAGCAATACTCCAGAAGCATCTGGGAAGCAATCGGCAGGGAACGTGTACATCATGCCTGTCATCAGACGTTGTACCAGCACCTCGCCTTGCTGAGATGTGAGTGTTTTGACAGCGTTTTGAATTTCTGGTGGATTGAGGCGGCGATTAGGGTCCTCGCTGAAAGTTGAGATGGGTGCATTCTCGCCGCCGTAAGCGAGGAAGTCACGCAGGAAATGAAGGGTTGCTAGAATTGGCTCGTCCTTGAGGAGTGTGAGCGAGGTGGAAGCAGCAGACAGAATAGTTGGTGTCAGCTCATTTGCAATGAACTGGCGTGAGTGGTAGGCCTGCACGTCTACACAGAGGCGGAAGAAGTCTTCGATGACGTCTGGTAGTTGCTCAGGAGGCAAGTCGTTGAGCGCACGCANAAAGGTAGTGGCTTGTTGTACGTAGAAGTTGAAGATTGCTTGTGTGGTCTCAGGGCTGACACCCTCTGACTCGTCGGTAAATTCACGGACGATCGAGTCTGTGGCCCAGAGGAAGCAACCTTGTCTTGAGGCGGCGAATCCAGATGCCAGCTTCTCCGCCAAGCTGGGAAGAAGCGGCGCGGTATGTGTGCGGTAGGAGAGCACAATGTAACGCCAGCATCTACAGACGCGCTCAAGAATGGGAGCGAAGTTGGAGAAGTTGTCGGCAATAGCGGCCAGAACAGGGAATATCTCCTGGCAGTATTGCACAGCAGGGTGCGGCTCGCCAGGTCTAATCTCTGGTTGAATCCATTGCACGAAGATAGTAATGAGGTTAAGGTGGTCAGCCAGGGCTAGCTTTTCCTTTTCGCCGGTGGCAGATTGAGCCATGTCCATCAAACGCTTGACGACAGGATCGCAGCACATCTTGAAAGAAACATAGAGTTGATCAACGGGCTGTTTTGAGAGCACCGACGCCATACCCTCAGTAATTTCTTCTTGACTTGATGGTGGTAATCTGTTGATGACAGTTTCGTAGAAGGTCTGAAGTTGGTTGGCGAAGCCCTTGAGGAGTTCAGCGCAGTCGTTGCAGAAGAATCTGAAGGATAGAGCAGCAGCAGTGACGACCTCCTTGGAAGGATGATCAAATGCAGCCATGATGAAATTGAGCTGAGCTTCGAGAGTGTCAGGGTGTTGAGCAGTCCACTCAGTGTATCTTCCAAGAGCCATGACAGCCTGGAAGCGGACCTTTTCTTGATCCGGGATCTGGACAATCAAAGGCACCAATCTGGGCAGCATGATGTTCTCATCCGGAGGAACCATACGACCCATGGCGCGCATACTGAACAGAGGAGCCTCGAGCTTCTGCCACTCGGGGACATTTCCCGCGCTCGCTTGCGGACCATACGTGTTGACCCACTCCTCAATCTTAACATATGACTTTTGAAGACACTCAGTGACGCCAATAACCTCACAACAGTCCTTCAAAACGTCACCCATCTGGTGGCGGAACTCACGGAATCTCTCCTCCTGTTCGCGATCGCCATCGAAAAGGTCATTGTCGTTGCCACTCTCAGGCTTGGGGAACTCGAGGTGCCCAATCATGATGTCGACCAAGTTCAGATAGATGTCGACGAACTGCATGCGAGCCTGCATATAGCGTTCCAGAGTGATGTACTGCTTGAGTTCGTACCAGAAGATGAAAGTGCTACTAATGGCTTCCTTCTCGGTATCTCTAGCAGCGCATTCCAGTACAGCCTCAACCAGACCACGGAACTCCTCAGGCAGACGAGCGATGAGAACGACCCAAGCCTCACCAGCCTCTGCGAAGATGCGTGTAAGACCCTTGAGCATCTCAAAGTCTTCTGCCTCGGCAGCTTGTGCAATCTTGGGTCGGACGGACATGACTCTGGGGTATACTGTCTTGATGATGGCCATGCATTCGTCAACGTCTCTTGTCTCTCTGAAGATGGCGCAAAGAGTCTCGACACTGGACTCNNCAAAGGATACGTCGGCCTCCAAAGCATTCATGACAACATCCAACAGAGGCGAGTTGACAATATCGTTCAGGGGGACTTCTCTGATCCATGATGTGATGCACTCCATGAGTTGGGGGTTCTTTGAGGCAGCGTCTGATGACTGTGCGTACTGATTGAGCAGTGTGAGGACTTGGTTGCCGTTCTCCTCCAACAACTCGACCGTTCTATCCCTGAGCTCATCTTCTGTAAGGTTTATCTTTCTTCCTTCTGTGACCTCCTCGGGCAGGACGTGCAAGAACTCCAGGACGCAAGCGATGCCATGAGGGTCGTTGCCGAGAGTGGAAACGACGAGCTGTAGTACATCCTTCCACTCGAGCATCTGGATAGCGAGGTTGGCGAGACAGACGCATAGTTGTGTGCGAATGGGCTTGGGGCCTTGGCTGAATTGGGCAAGTAGCGATAGGAGAGTGTTGCGCAATTCGGGCAGGGATTCGCGAGGCAGCTGGTGGAAGTCGAAGATGATTTTGCCCTTGAGGGTAGTTGCGGCGAAGAGCTTCGACTCGGTAGTGGCTTCAGGAGAGTTCAGGATCATGAAAGTTGTGTTCCATGCTTCGTTCTGGTATGGTTAGTGGGGTGTTGAAGTGTGCCATGTGCCGGGTGATTCGCATACAGATTTCTGGAATTGTTCGAGGAACTCGTGTGCCTGGCCCTNTTGTGAACGATCGACGTTGGATTGCATAGTCTGAAGAGCAGCCAGTACTGGCGCAAAGGCCTGGGTGCCGTTGGCGGCCATGGTGGGATGTGCTGTAGTGGGCGGCTTGCACAGGATGAGCAGCGGTGGTGACTTGTGGTAGAAGGATGGACGAACAGGGCGTGGCTGGGTGGGAGGATTAATATGAGTTGCAAACAGAATAAGCAGTGGACAATGAATAGACAAAAGAGCGAGTTTGTTGATTTGGTTTGGGCTGCTCCAGCTTTCTTTGGCCGCAATTGACACTGACGCAGAAACACTTTTTGTCCGTGCGCCTGCTTCACCTGGAGGCTTCGGTCTTGGTCGCTCTTGCCCTTGCTGCGCCGCTGCTGCTGCTGTTGCGACGAGACCGTGTCGCATCCACTTCATCACCACGACTCACTCTCATCCGACACTTGCCAATACCCCGTTTCACTGTAAACTCCATTACAGCCGACTGTAACTTGCAACTTCGACCCTACACGCAACACCAAACTACCAGACAAGATGGAGAGACGCGGACGCGGAGGTGGTGGAAAGGTGCTGCTGCCGCCAATCAACTACATTTTCAAGCTTCTTCAGACCCGCGCAAAGGTCTCGATATGGTTGTTCGAACAGCTGGGCATCCGCATTGAGGGTACCATCAGAGTGCGTTATGCTGCCACCCTGCTTCGTCTGCGCGCATACTGATCAAATACGCAGGGTTTCGATGAATTCATGAACCTGGTCGTCGACGATGCCATTGAGGTCAAGCAACCCACAAAGACCGACCCTGAAGAGTCGAGAAGAAGCCTCGGTATGTCTAGGTCTGCTGTGCGACATGTGCTGGCTTATGCGCTAACCTGTACTNNCTTAGGCCAAATCCTCCTCAAGGGCGACAACGTTGCTCTCATCCAGAGTCTATGAGTTTGACGACTTTCTTTTCTTCACGAATGCCTAGAGCAGCCAGAGTTGCTCTGCATCTTCGCCATGCACCATGAGCGTCTCGCCATCATCTCAAGCCCTCACCAATCTGGCCTCTGACCCGCCATCTCCGAGCACCACCGCATCCACCTTCCAGTCCCATGGATCAATCGGCAGACGATATTGAGAAGGAAGCATTTGCTCAGCAAGCGCAAACCCCACTAGGATACCAAGAGGTTAGAGAGGGGATATTCTATGAAAAATGCTAAAAAGGCGTCGGTACATACCCAAAAACGGTTTCTTTCTGTTCTGTCCATCTGCTGTTTGTGCCGAACAATACCGCGTGAGGAAGTTGTCGTAGTAACCTTTGCCATGACCCAGACGATTCAGATCTTGGTCAAAGGCCATGCAGGGCATGAGAATCACGTCTAGACCTGCTGCATCAGGAGCTGGTGAGTCTCCATCACTTACGCCTTGCCCTCCGAATGAGTTTGCACGATCTGAGACAGTCTCCTTGGGTATTGATGGAATACCCCACTTGTCAGGCAGGAGCGAAGCATAGTCTTCTTCATCGGTTAACTGCAGCATATCCATGATGGAGGTGGGCAAATTATCTTGACGAGGCTGCTTAGGCTTGTAGATGTACGGCACAAAGACATGCTTTCCCGAGCTCAGAGCATGCTTGGTAAGATCTCTGGTGTTGATCTCGCCAGAAGGCATTGACATGAAGATGCTGATCGAACGAGCATTTTTGTACTCTGGCAGTGACAAGAGCGAGTTTGTGGCATTGACGGCTTACGGAATGTCAGTCTGACTATGGGAGACATAGCGCAACTACATGAAGAACGGACATTGACGTTGGACGTGATCGGATGGCAGCGAAGATAGGAGGCCGTGCAGTTTCTTTCTTATAGCCTTCTTGTCCGATAGTTGAGACTCGGCGCCCAGATCTAGAGTGGTCGACGACATTTGAGACGAGAGACTTCTTGTAGCAATTCTGAGTGTATTGACAGTCGTTGGTCTTGAGAAGGCATGCAGCATGTTCACCTGCAATGATGGCTGTGTTTCAGATGGGGAAGGAGCTATTTCGGGCAGGGGCTCGCTGGGCTTCTCCTTCTCCGTGTTTTGGGCGCGCCAAGCGCGTCGTCGTCCTTGAGGCTTGGATTGTTGCGATAGCCATTCGCTCAACCTTGTTTTCCAGCCAATTATTCTGTTTGCCTTCTTCGACAATAACACACGACCAACCCATCTCCTGGTCGACTTGATCTGCGCCTACCAACGACGAACAAACCTAGAACGCAGAGTGCCACAGACATGAGACTCCCTTCAGCATACGCCCTGACGGCGACGCTCGCCTTTGGCAGCGTCGCTTCGGCCTAACTCAGCCTGGTCGGCACATGGTCAACAAAGTCCAACAAGACCTTGACTGGCNNCCCGTATGTTATATCCTGTCATTACGCCCTGTCGAATGATCGCTAACAATCACCGAAGGGCTTCTTCGACCCTGTTAGCGACACCTTGATCGAGCCCTCGCGACCGGGCATCTCCTACTCCTTTACATCCGACGGGTTTTACGAAGAAGCCTACTACCGCGCCATTTCAAATCCTACCGATCCCTCATGTCCCGGCGCCATCATGCAATGGCAACATGGTAGCTACGTGATCGGCAGCGACGGTTCCATTACCATGACACCCATCGCCGTCGATGGCCGCCAACTGCTTTCTCAGCCCTGCCAGGGCAGCCACTCAATTTACACGCGCTACAACACCACTGAACACATGAAGGTATGCCATATATCACGTCTGGCCCTGATTCGGAAACAACAAGACTAACAAGAAGGAAAGGCATACCGCGTATACACCGACCCCTACCACAACATTCCCCGCCTGGACCTCACCGAGTTCGACGGCAAGATCATGCAGCCAATGTACCTTGTCTACTCTCCTCCCCAAATGCTGCCCACCCAAACCCTCAACCCTACCCTTGACGCTGCCGGCGCCACAGCCACCTCAACCTCCAAAGCAAAGCGTGATATTCCCAGAGAGGTACCCACGAATTTCAAGACTGGTGTTCAGAGCCAGGTCATGAACCCTGACCGCTGGTGGTGGATGGGTTTGACCTTCACTGGTATTGGTGGTTTGCTTTACTTCGGTCCCAGAAGAATGTAAGAGATTGGACGGGAACCAATTTACATATCACGGAGTTGGTTTTATGATACAGGGCTTTTTTTTTATCAGGAAGGAACGAGAAGGACACACGATACACCACTTCTCTGTCACGGCAGTTTTGAAGCATTTTCTCGGTTGTAAATGGTTATATGGGCGTTCGTTTTTCTGTTTGTCTTTGCGTCAAGACGATGTCCAAGGGGTCGAGCTCACGCTGCTTGAGGTTCGTTTACGTGTAATTATGGGATGCTGGGGCTTTGGAAAATTGACATAAATTGATCTCCTATTAACTTCTCTTTCTTCTCCAAATATGCAAATCTGATGCTGAGATATCCAGTAAGTGGGCTCTCCGGTAGATGAGCCTGTGCAAAGAAAAGGAGCAAGAATAGAGATATAGAGTATGCTCTGGACCTCCCTTCATGAGGAGGAATATCCCTTCCCACACCCGTTCCACGAGAAAAGGTCGACAAGATGTCGCAGCTCCTCTGTCGTCTCCAAATGCTGTCGAGTATCCTTTCTCGCCGGCAATGTTTCGTACTCACAGTGCGAGCTGCTTCTTTCGTCAAAGCCACGTTGTCGACTTTTTTCTTCCTCACTTGTTCCTTTCCTCCCCTGAACTTTCTCTGCATCTTCCCCCCTTACCACTTGACTGGTCTGCTCTTCCTGCTCAACACCCTCAACATCTCCTTTTGCTGTTCTCTCTCCTTTTCCCCATCCTTTCTACCTTGCCTCTCCCAGATCTTCTCTTCTCTGACCATCATATCGTAAAACCCCTTATCCCATCCCTCACACTTGAGTCCCAAGCACCAGAACCTTATTCCAGGCATCTCAGCCCCAGTATCTGGTGCCTCGAATGCGTCGATGATGTTTTGGGGACGCAAAAACGAGGTCTTGAGGTGCGTGTCCCGAAACCAGGTTTCGTGGTCTTGCATGTGGGATGTTAGGGCTGATGACGCGGCATCGCAGGACATGTGGGAAGGTAGAGGACCGGAGTATGTGGGAGGGGGACAGAGATGGGTTTGTAAGATCTCTGTTACCCATTTTGGTCGTGTTGAGGAGGTGAGTTGGTTTGCCCAGTGGGTCTTGAGGATGGGAGGGATAACCGAAGAGCAACGTTCGATATCGAGACGGTCAGAGCGGAGATAGGAGTACATCCCACAATAGATGTACTTTTCTCCCTTCTTGAGGAACAGAGNGGCATTTTGCATAGACTCAGGCTTTGGAGTCTCTGGATTGTTTTCTTCGGGAAGACGTAGGATTGGGGTTAGCAAACTGCCGTGGCTGCCTGGAGTCAAGGGGGCAAGTGGCTCGGTGTTGTCTTCGAGAAGATAGAAGCCACGACCAGGCAGGAGGGAGAGTTCTANATGGGGGATGCTGTAGAAAGAGGTAAGCCATCTCGATCCTCCAAGGTGGGTGAGGATGAATTTGCGCTCGAAGTAGTGCATTTCTTGAGATGGGGGAATGGTTTGAAGTTCGTCTTCAGGCAATGGGGGAAGATCTCTGAGGTAGGAGGGTTGCCAGGTTTGAGTGTTTGTGTCTGGTAGGGAAACGTTCTCATCTTTCTTCTCAGATGGCAAGTCTTCCTTGGCTTCATCTTGCTTCTCTAGTGGCACATCCTCCTTGAGCTCATCTTGGTTTTCTGACGACAAGTCCTTCTTAGGCTCATCTCGCTTGTCTGACATCGCCTCTTCTTTAGGCTCATCATGATCCCAGAGTGTCAAGGCAGCTGGAGTAGCCTTGGGTGATTCCAGCTTTCTTGCCTTTCTTCTTGACTTTGATTTCTTTGTTTTGTTCGTCTTCATGGAGGGTAGTAGTGTTTCTTCCTTAGTTGTGATATCGAGTTCAACTTCGGGAAGTTTTGGAGTTTCGACATTTTGTGCAGCAACGTATCTGCGATGAGGTGGCAGTCTTTTAGGTGGCACTTGTGTCTCTTGATCCACGTTCTTAACCTTAGGACTCTCGGGGGTGATGCTCGGAGCCGATTCTTCCTTCACGGTATCGTCCTTGGGTCCCTCTCTCACCGTGACGTCCTTGGATTCCTCTCTTACCGTGACGTCCTTTGGTTTCTCTCCCACGGTAGCATCATATGCTGGAACCAAGTCTTCTGATGTTTTGGCTTGCTGAGCAGCGTACTTTTGATGCGGTGCCATCTTTCGAACTTGCAGCTCTGGAGCTGCTTCGATCTTGACTGGGCTGAAGTTGCTCTCGGACGGTTCTTCAATCTTGATTGAGACTGCTGAGGAGGCAGTCTTCAAAGGTTCGGGACTGGGAGATGCATGGATCTTTGGGGACCATAGCGGAGCTGTGTTGTCAAAGGTCCAAGTTGTGTTTTGGACGATGTCGGGCTTCTGAGCGACGAATGGATCGATCGTTGCATCTGGGGTTTTGCTCCTTCTCGAAGGCGTTGCGACCTTACTGTGAGGCGGAGCATTCCACTCCAGTGGTTCGTCTGGTAGCTGAGCTACATAGGCATCCCAGTCGGCTTTGAAGACATCATCATCTGATTGGTTGATTGCCTTGGACTTATCCTCCACTGGGACTTCAGGAGTTTCCGGCAGCTTGTTGTCGACTTCGCTTGACTGTGTAGGCTGTGCGTGTGTAGGCTGTGCGTCCTCCCTCAACTTCTTGGCCCATGCCTCTGCATCCTCTGCTTCAAGCAGATATGCAGCACCACCACGATTGACCCTGCTGCGAAGAGTCTTGGCCAAAGCTTCCATCTGTTCTGCTCCTTTGAGAGAAACTTCTTCAAAAGTCGTGTTGCCAGAAAGAGAAACACCAGCATAGATACGCATCAAATTGACATTCTTCATGGCTGATTCGAGTTTCTGCTCCTGGGTTCGCGGCTCCAATTGGATTCGACGAGTACAGTCTTCATTGTCCCTAATATCTTGTCGGGCTTGGAAGTCGAGAAGCTGAAGGCGGAGAGAGGAGTTGTCGTACGAGAGCGATCGCTGAACATGCTGCATTTTCTGAACCTGATTCTGAAGATGTTGGAGTGACTGCGAAGTCTGCACGGCTCGGAAGTGAGCGTTCAGCCCATCTTGGAACTGTTGTTGCTCGAGGACGCCGATGCGATCCTCGACTCGGCGGATCATGGCTGTGTCGGCATGGGCTAGTTGTGGGTTGTGAGGCATGTAGTTGTGAGGAACCATTGCGTGCATGGAGGTTGCCAGCGGCTGATTCATGAATCTTGGATTGTATGGGTTCCAAGTACTGCCGAGAAGGTGGTCTGTCATGCCAGGCGACTGCACTCCTGAGTCCATGGTTGTGCTGGTGAGGGAAGTGTAGAAGGTGTGGAAGATGGTTGACGGGAGGAAGGGGTGTGAGTTGTAGAAGAGTTGGATGCAGATTGAAGATGGAAGGTATATATAGGATAGTGGAAGACAGTGTGAGAGCAAGCGGAAGTTGCGGAGTGTGAGTGAGAGGCAGAGGTACGTCGGAAGAGGAAGGAGACGAAGGACTGAAAGCAGTGGAGAGTATAAGAGCCCAAAGGACTGGGAAAGGTGAGCTGAGTGGGTGTGATGATCGATGCAGTGGAGAGGTCTACTGTGAGACTGTCCTCGACCAAGATAGCTTAGCTAGCAGCCGCAGTGAAGTGTGATTGCAACGACTAGCGACGTTCCAGTCTCAATACGAGAGGCTTTGACACAGCTGTCTAACCGTCATATAAGTGACACTTCCGATCGGTGTTTGACGGAAGACTGTGTATGTCGTCGGAGGTTGGTGGTTGCAAAAATTGTGGAGTGAAGCTTGATAGTAAAGTAGCCAGCAAGAAGTCTTTTGTATGAGGACGAGACCCGGTGATATGCAGCGTCGACAGTCGACGGAAAGAAATATAAAAAGGAAAATCGAGCATACCATCCAGACTTACTTTCTATACTTGCAGTCTTGCATTCTGAGGTGAGAGATGTACTTAACTTTGCCGGCATTCATATCGTCACCTTCGATGCTCTTGTTCAGGCTGTTTCATGTGACTTCTTTCAGCGAACAGGAATACCATCCACAATCCTCAGGGGACAACTTGTACCGGCCGATTACTTGCCTCTCTCTACAACAGTCAGTCGAGCATGAGGTTGACGACATGTTGGACTTGAGCATTCGACCTTTTCATGTGCAAAGTCGTGTCTGAGGAAGTCACATGTCGTAGTAGATAAATAGATGGAGTCGTGTGTTGCGTCGGCCAACGTGGGTTGAGCAGTCAGAACGCGAACAAGCTATTTGCAATTAGCTGGTCCAGCATACCAACCGATAATATCCCGAGCTATAGATCTCGACGAGATAAGTTGGGGTTGGTGACTGTCTGGGTAGTGCAGCTATGCAAGCATGATTTGGGTTGGTTGAATGTTGCAGCTGCTCTTCTGAGAGGCGAAGAATAGTGCAGCAACGATGACATTCCGAACTTCTCGAAGGCCAGGTGGGGCTAAGTCAAGCTGCATATGTCAAAAGGAAGACTGCAGAGCTAGTTTTTGTCCCTGTCGATTAGAAGCAGCGCTATGGCTGCACGCGTTTGTTCCCCGGAGGACCAGCTCAGGTCGGACAAAATGGCTGTCGTGGCATGCTTAGAGTCGTCAATGATTCATGTCGCCAACAGTAGACTGCGATGTTGTATCCTTTAGAGGATCAGATTCGGTTTCGCATGGGATCCAAGATTATCCTTCGAGGTCAGATTGGCGCAACCCCACCTTGTTGCAGGTAGAATAGGGACAAGGACAAGAAACCAACCAGTAGCGAGGCGCGGACGAGAGGTGATTATAACCGAGATGGTGAAAGGGAGCGATGCGCGCATGTCTGCAGGAATAGTTGCAAAAGATGCAAAACTATGGGTTGAGGTTCCTCAGGGCGTTTCAAGGCTTGCGGCACCGACCAACAGATGTCAAAGGTCGACTTGTGTTGATGACAAGCATTAGATCATATCTGACAGCGGTTGATTGCACTTCAGGAGCAATCGAGAACAAAGTCGGTCGAGGTGGCTGGCAGGATGATGGCAGAATTAAGAACAAGCAACATGATTGACCAGCCTCACGATTCAGGATGTTGGCTTCCATTCCATCCGGCTGGGGTGATCATCTGTCTCCACCCACACACCGCGTCGCTTTCCGGTGAAGCTTCTGCGCCCTCATGCAACATGCGCCAGTTGAGGCCAAGGCACGCTGGATGTATTTCAGCCTCCTAATCCCTGTGTAACTTGGTGTGAGGATGCACTGCCTCCTTCTCCCACCAGCACCCGGTCTCTGTCCCCCGCATTGCCTGGAACTAGATTAGACCATGAACCCGCACAATTGTACGACTTGGGTTCGAGAATAGTTCCTCGTACAAGTCTAGCCTGCCTTGGTTTCGTTGTTTGGATGACGGATACATGAGCGAGGGTGCCGCGAACTGTGAATGGTCAGCTCCATCGTTATGCCACAGCTTTTCCCATTCGCCAGTGATAGCAGCCATGCGCTTCACCAAGACATGTCCGACTCTCAACGCGACCTATCCAGACTTGACCCCTCGAGGAAACGCTCTTCTTCTGTCCTTCGAACTTTGCATAGGATTGGTGGCTGGCTGAAGAGGGACGAAGTCGATCCTGCTTTGCCTGATGCTTCGTCCCACCAGGTCCCTCAAAAGCAAGCCTTGAATGACGACCTTGCGCCAACACAAGAATCAGGAAACAATGGCTCAGTACAACAGGATGCAATGCTGGCACCATCGAGGTCGCGGGGCAATAGCTTGCTCGGCCGTACCTTGTCCAAGTCTAAGAAGGTTGTTCCCGAACTGTCACGACAATTCACAACCAAAAGGCAGAATTCCGAAAAGAGAGAAAAACTTCTAGCAATTGAACCCAGTGCTACAGAAAGAAGAGCGGTGAGCGCCGAACGGCGACCTCGAGCAATGAGTCCTGGACACTGTCATTCTCCTCCAGCTACATCACCATCTCGCTCAGCCCCAGATATCAGTACCCCAGGACATATGCGCTTGCTATTCGCCGAAGCTCATGCAGAGGGTTACTTCGACACCAGAACTCTCCCGCCTGGGGACGCCCAGCGTGACCACCCATTTAAGCCTCCTCCCCAAAACATACCGCCTATGTTGGAGGCGGCTGACGAGCCTACGTTTCTGGACGACCGTGATCTGCAAGCTGAGCTCGAATCGACATGGATTCTCAACCTGAGCATGCACTTTCGAGATAAATCTGATCGTGAGAAATTCTTCGTTACATACGCCCAACAACCAAACCGCTGGTGCAGAGTGACCGTATCGTGTGATTACAGAGACGCACCCCCATCATCTCTCGAATCAGACCTCAAATCTCTCAAGTTTCAACGAGACAAGAACCAACGTATATACGAAGCTATCAGAGAGTCTTTGCCTGACATAGAATTCTATGATACGGTCACAAACCTGAAGCTCGAGACAGAGGATGGTCAGCTGCATGTTCATGTCACCGAGGACATCAACGAGGTCATTACATATCCATCGGTAGGGTTTGTCGATGAAGACTGTCGCATGTACCGCGAGAGCGAGCTCGACTTTCAATCACACATATCCGGGTTTGTTTACAAGGTCAGAGTCGGCGATCAGGTCTTGATAAAGAAAGAGATACCAGGCCCAGATACGATTGATGAGTTTTTGTATGAGATTGAGGTGCTCAACGAACTTCGCGGCTCGAAAGGTGTGATCGGGTTCCATGGTTTGGTGGTCGACGACGACGAAAGAATTATCAAAGGATTGCTGATATCTTACGCATCACTTGGTGCTCTCGTTGATGTCATATATGATGACAAGCTGAGCAGTTCGCTGCCATGGCATCGCCGGCAGAGATGGGCTTATCAGATCGTTCAAGGTCTTGCGGAGATTCACGAAGCTGGTTTTGTTCAGGGGGACTTCACATTGTCCAACATTGTCATCAACTCGGAAGACGATGCCAAAATCATCGACATCAATCGTCGTGGTTGTCCGATCGGTTGGGAACCGCCAGAGCTTCTTCGTCTTGTTCGACGAGGTCAAAGNATTAGCATGTTCATCAACGTGAAGAGTGACATATTCCAGCTAGGAATGGTGCTTTGGGCTTTGGCGCAGCAAGATGATGAGCCTGAGCATGTTACAAGAACCAGCTCTGGAGGAATGCCTCGCATCACAGCACAGGATGTGCCGAACTGGTTCGAAGACATTATCGATGCATGCCTGAGCAATCAACCTAGAGATCGGCCGAGCGCAAAAGAGCTGTTGTCAATGTTTCCGCTCTATTCACGGGAGTACGAAAGCAGACGCCGAAGGACTTCTGACCACAGTCTTGCTAGTCATCATTCTCACGAAGAGTTTAACGAACCTACATCCGCCGTTGACTGGAATGCAGTTGAAGAATTCAAACGAGGCCAGCGGAAGCCAGCTGACTTTGCTCCTTCATACCCTACAACAGATCCGTATCAATTCATCAACGCAGCGACATCTACTGAATACAGAATTGACAGCAACGGAAGTTATGTCATACCTCACCGAGGCAGAAGTCTGTCTGGCCATCGTCAAAGGTCGGCAGCTAGTAGCACCACCAGTTTGTCTTTGAGCCAAGGATTGCCAGCATGCGAGTACCTCTGTGATGAGGATATCCCAGGCTTTGGGTACGCCGAAGGCTCACGAGACCATCACACAAACATCATACCACAAAGGCCTTCGGTACCCGATGCTCCGCCATTCCAGTTGGACCCCTTCAACTTGCACGAACAAGCTCGAGACCAATATCAACAACCAGGGAGGCGGGCTTCAAATAGCAATGAAGGCCCTCCACATCCTCCAAGACAGCAACGTGTTTTGTTTGGTCCACCGGTACACCAAGACTCAGGGTTTGATGAGTACATGATTGAAGCCGTTGAGCACGGCCAACCATCGACACGCTCAACTCATAATCTACACCCCTTACTCACAAGCACTGTCGAAGCTCGGAATGATAACAACCAGGAGATGTCAGCCGTGACACAGCAGTCGCAGCTGTTCACAAGCCCTATGACACTGCAATCACAGCCTACACCCTTGACACCTTTTTCATACCAAACACCATCCACTCTCCTATCTTCAGACGCCAGCACACAGAACTTAGACCCGAAGTCACGAAACCCAACAGGATCAGAATAATAACAATTAGCAGAGCTACTTGAGTTAGCCTACCGCAGGTCGGAAGGCAGATGATTTTTTTTTTTTTTGTGGCCATGTAGCGTCTCCTAGCGAGCAATTTCTGGCAGGCTGTTTTATGCGAGCACAAACTGGAGAGCACATTAGGCATTGATTACCTCCTCCCAACGAGGAGCTGTTCTGAAAAGCAATCCTTCCGTCACGATGAGTCTACGAAGGAATGATGCTGGCAGCAGGAGCTTGGTCAAGTGAGGCGGTCTCGGGAAGTATAGTGGAATGCAATGCTTTTCCATCTTGGTTGTCATGGGTATCTATTTTAATCTGTCGTCTTCGACATCATATGCTTCATCTCATTCGTCTAGTTGCTTGCGCCGTACTTCTTCTTGTAGTCCTCCATAGCCTTGAGCTGTTCCTCAGTAGCCTGGCCCTTGACACCTTCAATGACATCGTCGAGGGTCAAGACAGCAAGGACGGGAACACCAGTCTCCTGGCGAACCTGACCGATGGTGCTTGGTCTGTCAGAGCCGTCATCGGGCTTGCCCTCCTTCTCGCTCTGGCTGGGAGTCTTCTCTTGTCTGTCGAGGGCAACAATGATGCCAACGAGCTCGCCACCCTGGCTCTTGATAATACTGATGGCCTCTCTGATGGCAGTGCCGGCAGTCATGACATCGTCAATGACAACGACCTTCTTGCCCTTGAGGCTCTCGCCAACCATCAGACCACCCTCGCCATGGTCCTTGACCTCNNCCTTGCGGTTGTAAACGAAACCGAGGTCGCCATACTTTGCCTCGTCAATGCCAGCAAGCTTCTCGGCAGTGGTGGCGCAGAGAGGAATACCCTTGTAGGCAGGGCCGAAGAGGACGTCGAACTTGAACTCGGGATGGGCGGAGCAATATTCGGCGACAGTACGGGCGTAGGCCTCGCTGATGCCGCGGATGAGCTTGCCCTTGGAGAACAGACCACAGTTGAAGAAGTAGGGCGAGATACGGCCGGACTTGAGGGTAAAGGAGCCAAAGGTCAGGATGTTGGACGAGAGGGTGAGCGAGATGAGGTCGCGCTTGTAGGCGGGGAGAGCTTCTGCGGAAGACATTGGTGGCGGCGGGGTAGCAAAGTGGATAGCAAAGGAATGGTAAAAGGAGGGTTAGGATGCAAATTGGCAACAGGCCAGGCTAGACGCGCGACTATCCACTGCGGCAAATGGTGAGCTGCAAGCAACGGTAAGATGTGACGGACAGGACGAGCGGTGTGCCGGGAAAATTTTGGAGGAGCGCAAAGCGGCGGCTGTTCCTCAATGATGCCCAAACGTTATCGATAGCACCAACAAGCTACGCAGCGAGCGGCTATACAGGGCAGCAATAGGCATATCGGCAGGACTAGAAAGCACAGAGAGCAGTTCATTGAGCATGATATCACGTGGAGACCGATAGCTGTGGCCGTGTTGAGACACCGCAAGTGAAAGATACACACATAGATTCTCGATTCGAGCAGTTTGCCTCCGCCACCGCAGTGCATAGCAAGCAAAAAAAACGACAGTTGGCTCATCATCCGTTACATCATTTTTTTTTCTGCTGGCTCCGCTCGGTGGGCTCCCAACGAAGCTGCAAAAAAAGTGAGAGAGAAAAACTAGCTTGGCGGGGCAACTGAAGCTAGACCCTTTGGCTCGCTTAGTCAGTGCGCCCTCTCACACACACTCAAAAGGCCACCCCTCCCGCACCCTCTTCTCATCACCGTCTTCATACCACGGTTCGTCAAGCAATCGTATCTGGTAAGCTTTGACCTCTTGAGCGGGCTCCACTTTGCTATTTCTTGGATCTGCTCATTCTTTTCTTCCTTCCTCTTTTCTAACCTCTCTTCAGAAAGTTCAACCGTACTTCACTCAATCTTCCATACACAACCGTCAACATGGGGTATGTCTTCCTTCTCTAGCGCTCTGCCATTCTGCGCACTGCTATGTGACACCATCTGACCGCCGCCTGCAGTAAGGAAAAGTCCCACATTAACGTCGTCGTTATCGGCCACGTCGACTCCGGTAAGTCGACCACCACCGGTCACTTGATCTACAAGTGCGGTGGTATCGACAAGCGTACCATCGAGAAGTTCGAGAAGGTAAGCCATCCTCTTCCTTCACCTCATTCCCACTTCAGCGCCTTCTTTTCGACAAGATCGTTGCTTTTTCGCATTTTTCCACCTTGGAGTTGGCTGCTTGGTGGGGTTGAGCTCAGCTTCGCGCTTTGACTCAACTGCGCTCGACGCCCAACTCGCAAAATTTTCACAACACCTCTTCGCCACTCATACCACCCATCAACAACAACAATGTCTGACAGTTTCATAGGAAGCCGCCGAACTCGGCAAGGGTTCCTTCAAGTACGCCTGGGTCCTCGACAAGCTGAAGTCCGAGCGTGAGCGTGGTATCACTATCGATATCGCCCTGTGGAAGTTCGAGACCCCCAAGTACATGGTCACCGTCATCGACGCCCCCGGTCACCGTGATTTCATCAAGAACATGATCACTGGTACCTCCCAGGCTGACTGCGCCATTCTCATCATTGCCGCCGGTACTGGTGAGTTCGAGGCTGGTATCTCCAAGGATGGCCAGACTCGTGAGCACGCCCTTCTCGCCTACACCCTTGGTGTCAAGCAGCTCATCGTTGCCATCAACAAGATGGACACCACCAAGTGGTCTGAGGCCCGTTACCAGGAGATCATCAAGGAGACCTCCGGTTTCATCAAGAAGGTCGGCTACAACCCCAAGCACGTTCCCTTTGTCCCCATCTCGGGCTTCAACGGTGACAACATGATTGAGGTTTCCACCAACTGCCCCTGGTACAAGGGTTGGGAGAAGGAGACCAAGGCCAAGGCCACTGGTAAGACTCTCCTCGAGGCCATTGACGCCATCGACCCTCCTTCCCGCCCTACCGACAAGCCCCTCCGTCTTCCCCTCCAGGATGTCTACAAGATCGGTGGTATTGGCACGGTGCCCGTCGGCCGTGTCGAGACCGGTACCATCAAGGGTGGTATGGTCGTCACCTTCGCCCCCGCTGGTGTCACCACTGAGGTCAAGTCCGTTGAGATGCACCACGAGCAGCTCACCGAGGGTCTTCCNGGTGACAACGTCGGCTTCAACGTCAAGAACGTCTCCGTCAAGGAGATCCGTCGTGGCAACGTTGCCGGTGACTCCAAGAACGANCCCCCCAAGGGTTGCGACTCCTTCAACGCCCAGGTCATCGTCCTGAACCACCCTGGTCAGGTCGGTGCTGGTTACGCACCCGTCCTCGACTGCCACACTGCCCACATCGCCTGCAAGTTCTCCGAGCTTGTTGAGAAGATCGACCGCCGTACCGGCAAGTCCGTTGAGGCCGCNCCCAAGTTCATCAAGTCTGGTGACGCCGCCATCGTCAAGATGGTTCCCTCCAAGCCTATGTGTGTTGAGGCCTTCACTGACTACCCTCCTCTCGGTCGTTTCGCCGTCCGGTATGTTATATTCGACCCTCCTTGACATCATAACTCTTTACTGACTTCCTACAAGNNCGATATGAGACAGACAGTCGCTGTTGGTGTCATCAAGTCGGTCGCCAAGTGTAAGTCTTTTGCTTCCATCATCAATCAATAACATCATACTGACTCTTCCTTCAGCNNCGACAAGCAGGGTGCCGGTAAGGTTACCAAGGCTGCCGTTAAGGCTGGCAAGAAGTAAACGGTTTGACACTTTTGTTCTCAAAAGCTTGTCTCTTCTTTGCTTCAGTGCTCCACTCAAGGTCACATGAGTTCAGCACTTCACTAACGATACCACCTTTTCTCCTGTCACGACCTTGCATGAAACATGATGGCGAGGCAGTTGCTTCGAGGGATCTGGGTTTACGGCTTAGATTAGTTTGCAGCAGCAATTCAAAACTCATTGTTGATCGCACACCACTTCTTTTTGACTTTCCTCTTCTCATTGTTTGCTCTCTTGTGCCTTTTCTCTCCCTTTTGTGATCTTCTGTGTCCCTTCTCGTGCTTCTTGGTCGCTTAGTCTTTCCCGGTTGTCTGTCTTGCTCTTGCGCCTACCGCATCGTTGTAGGCTGTCCTGTCTAAGCTACGCCTACATGTTACCTGGTACCGTTGCGCACTTGCTCCTCCAGGTTTCAAAATCATTGTTGTCGCGCTGCTGTCTGATTGTGATTTTGAGGTGTTCATGGTTGTTTGCGTGGTATTGCGTCTTTCCTCTCGTGTTGTCAAGTACTTCCTGTCAAGCATATCACCCTGACCATTCTCCCGCCACCCCTACAAGGTTCTCTATCTGCTGTTATCGTATTCCTCTTATACGAGATGAGCGGTTAGATATACTGCTTGCCATTGCCCTTTATATTGTCATCGTCGGTTGTTGTGTTGACAGAGCTGCTGGTATATCTCAAATGGTCTGGATTCTGTTGATGAAGCATTTGAAACGTCATGACCTTACAAGACCAAATGTTGACAAAAGCACATAATAGCAGAAATGTCATCGCCATGATAGATGCGTCTATCCAACATGATTTATGCCTATTGAATCCCAAACATATTGCCTTCAACAAAAGGCATGGTTTAAGGATATCGTAGGAAATGGCGGTTTTGAGGCTGAGAGGACGTTCCTGCTCGGCCAAGGCTTCCTCCGCGACACGACCAACATCTGTCGCGTCTTGAGCATCTCAACTCCCAAAAACAGATACCTTCATCGAAAGACGTGAATACCATCGGCCCTACCTGACATCAAGTCACGGTTCCGCGCAGAATCGAAAAACAAATGATTCCCCACGTCCCACCACAATCAACCATGCAAAATCGATTCTTGGTCGAGGTAGGTTCACGCGTCGTGTAACGCCTTGTCTTGAGACGAGCCCAGATGTGCTTGATATGCCCAGAATAGCCAAAGACGCGGCCTTTGCATCATGAGCCCACGACGGGCAACATCGTAAACCTATGGCAAGTACGCGAGCGATGATCGATCTGTTGGCCATCAGCCACCACCTCCTGCGACGAGATGGCATGCGTGGAGAACGTTTACTCATACTGCTAACCGCGACCACCTGTTTCTGCACACAAGGCTTTGGAACCAATGCATTGCTCGCGAGCCTCTGACGCGGCCATACCTACGCCATCTCCACCGTCGCACGGTCTATGGTCTGACGAAGACCTCGAATGTTCGCAAGCTTGTGTATAAAGCATCCTGCAGCCATGAGAATATGTCCAGAACAAACCTCCCCGACCGACCTCTTTACGACATCTCCCTTCGCTCCTCGACAACCTCTCGTATCTCAAGTCTCGATCAGCCATGAGTCACGTCGCTCGTGCAGTCGTAGCTGCAGGTCTCACGGCAGCTGCAAATGCTTCATCTCTCGCCGATGTTTGTACCGTCTCGAACGTCCAGGCCGCTCTGCCTGCCAATGGTACTCTTCTCGGCATCGATCTGATCCCTTCCGCTGTTACCGCAAGCGCTGTCTACAATGCTTCCACTAGCATGGGAGGAGGTATGGGCGGTATGAGTTCTGGCTCCGGAAGCACCTACAGCTACTGCAACGTTACTATTACCTATACTCATACTGGCAAGAACGATGAGGTTGTTGTCAAGTATGCCTTCCCTCAGCCATCCGACTTCAAGATGCGCTTCTACGTTGCTGGTGGAGGTAAGTTTATTAGATCAATGATATCACGCTTCGTTGGCTGATGATTGTCAGGTGGTTTCTCCCTCTCCAGTACCGCAACTGGAGGTCTTGAGTATGGCGCTGTCGGTGGTGCCACTTCTGCTGGATACGATGCTGTAAGTAAGCCGAGGGTACAACACAGGTCGACCGACATCGTATCTCCCTCTTTGCCAAAAGATGTAATCCTACAGCCATAAGAATGCACAATAATATTGGGAGAAAGGACAGTGCTCACTGAGAAGTTACCTTCCATCAGCTCTCAGTGGACACGTCCCTGCTTTCGAAACGATTGTGCCTTTTTATAGTGTGCTCTTTGCTCTTTGCTATAGTTGGAGGACGATGGAGGTTGTAAACCTCAGAACATGGGGATGCATGGTTTCAACAGCAATCAGTGGCCTTTGACAGCTGTTTGTACCATTCACACAAAAGAAACATGCTAATTGTCCGTCTTTTTTTTTTAGTTCGACTACAGCTACGACGAGGTTGCCCTCGCCGGCAATGGATCCATCAACTGGGACGCAACATACATGTTTTCCTACCAGGCTCTAGGCGAGATGACCAAGGTCGGCAAGTATATCACCGAAGGCTTTTACGGCTTGAACAACACCAAGATCTACACCTACTACGAGGGCTGCTCTGACGGCGGTCGTGAGGGTATGAGCCAGGTCCAACGCTTCGGAGATGAATACGATGGAGCCATCACTGGTGCACCTGCCTTCCGCTTTGCTCAGCAACAAGTCCATCACGTCTACCCAGCGGCTGTCGAACATACCATGGACTACTACCCTCCTCCCTGTGCACTGGCCAAAATTGTGAATGCGACCATTGCCGCTTGCGATCCTCTCGATGGACGAACAGATGGCGTCATCTCCCGTACCGATCTCTGCAAATTGCACTTCAATCTGAGTTCCATTATTGGAGAATCTTACTACTGTGCCGCCGAGACTAGCTCGTCCTTGGGTTTCGGGTTCAGCAAGCGTCAGGCTGAGGGTAGTCAAACCAGCACCACTCCCGCACAGAACGGCACTATCACCGCTCAGGATGTTGCAGTCGCTCAAGCTGTCTATGATGGCCTCCACAACTCGAAGGGCGAGCGTGCATACCTCTCTTGGCAGATTGGTTCTGAGCTGTCTGACGCTGATCCGACTTACAACACCAACACCAGCTCCTGGGAGCTCAACATCCCTTCAACTGGCGGCGAGTACGTGACCAAGTTTGTTCAGCTTCTTGACCTCGACAACCTCTCCGATCTTGATGGCGTCACCTACGATACACTCGTTGATTGGATGACCATCGGTATGGTCCGCTACCTTGACAGTCTTCAGACCACTCTTCCCGACCTCACTACCTTCAGAGAGACTGGCGGCAAACTCCTCCACTACCACGGCGAGTCTGACCCCAGTGTTCCTGCTGCTTCTTCGGTCCACTACTGGCAGTCAGTTCGCTCTGTCATGTACGGTCATCTCTCGCAAGAAGAAGCACAGAAAGAGCTACAAGACTGGTATCAGTTTTACCTCATCCCTGGTGCTGCCCACTGCGGAACCAACAGCCTTCAGCCTGGTCCTTACCCCGAGAATAACATGAACATCATGATCGACTGGGTTGAAAATGGCAACAAGCCTTCGCGTCTTAATGCTACCGTCTCGTCGGGCGATTACGAGGGCGAGACTCAGATGCTGTGCCAGTGGCCAAGCCGTCCTCTGTGGCATGGTAACAGCACTTTCGACTGCGTCAACGACAAGGCCTCTATCGACAGCTGGACTTACACCTTCCCTGCTTTCAAGACAGTTGTCTACTAGACAACTGCAAGCAAGCACATGTTCATGCTCTCTCTGTCGAACTGGCCAATGAGTAGAGAATACTCTGAAGCGACAGGTACCAGGATATATAGGTTGACAGACGTTTCAATTGAACTGAAACTAGTACCATTCTTGCCACCCTACTGGGAATCGCAATCAATCCTTTTGGTGTTCTTAGAGCTAGTAGGTGCTTTGAGCCAAATGTTATCACATCAGCTCTCCCGCTTCGAAGCAAGGATACAAGCGAGCTGTACAAATGCACGATTCCTTTTTACAGCAGTCATGTCCAGTGAGATAATGCCAGCCGGATTTTCTCTGTGGATGACACTCACAGGCTCAAAGCTATCGTGCACTGTCATAGCTCATCAGCCCGTGAGAAAACGCAGAGGCTCTCATGACAGCCCAAGTGCACCACACCTCAATGCTCATCCACTGCGGCTGAGAATGCCGTGGTAAATTCGGGCGAAGAAGGTGTCGCACAACAATTTCATTCGCCTCCAACGACACCTCGATCCACCAGAAGGTCACGCAACACTATAGATTTGAGTCCTACCAAGGACGGCACGGAATGGCAAAAGACATGGGCTGCAATCGTCGAGAGACAACCTGTCAACAAAATTACCAACAAGCCTTTCGTTTGGTTGGAGAACTTGACCAAAGTCCCAGTGTTCATGTGGGGCTCATCTCAAGGCGTAAGTTCCGTCATGAGAATGATAGAGGCAATCTATCGCGATTTCGACAACCTCAAGCTCGATGCCATCACCTCGGTCAGCAGCGCGAGATCTTCAGTTCGCACGCTCGAGATGAGATTCAAGCGAATCCTTTCGCTTCCAAAAGCTGCATCCCTCTAGACAGCGGAGCTTCTTCACGAGTACAAGAATATGGCCGACGAATTCGTTTGACATGAACAACAAACCTAAGACCCCTCAACCGAGTTGGCAAAACGTGGGCAAAGAGAGAGAGAAAGAGTCCAACCCAAACAAGGAGACCACAGACTAGGCTCGGTCGAATGTGGTCATGCAGGAAGTCTTCAGACCTATGCACCTAGAGGAGATGACCAAAGAAGAAAGAGATGAAGAGATGGCGAAGCTTAGAACGATGCAGGAATACGCAAGGAACATCGCAAACATGATCGCCATCTTCGGTTGGGGAGTTGTGCCCCTTCTGGCTTGCGCACCATGGAAGTTCGCCGATGTCAGAAACACTGCTGCCCAAGGGTGTCTGCAAGAGCTCGCACATGCAGTGCCGGAGCCACGCAAGATTTGTGACCGCTTGGACAAGAATTTTTATAGCTACGTGAGGATTTCCGGGCAGGTCACTCAGCTACCAAAAGACTGCCTTCAAGGCATGAGGGTTAAGAAGGTAGATCGATTGAGCTATACAATTGCATGTCTTTTCGCTACCCCAGGAGAGAGAGAAGAGCCTGGCGGCATGCTTGATGCAAAGCACTCGTCGCACGCAGGGCGCAGGGAGACGACAACCACAGGACAGAAGGAGGCAAAGGGCAAGAAGGCCTTGAAGGGAAGAAAGAAAGCACTGTTGACCCCACGCCAGGTATACATAGAGTAGCTGGTTCAAGACTCATCATTTCCCATCATTCTCTCACCGTTTCTTTGTACGCACACGTCTCTTGAGCTTCTTTGGCTTGCTTTTTTTCTTCTTTTTCTTCTTCTTTTTTCCCCCTTTTTTCCTTTTTTTTTTTTTTTTTTGGCTGAACTGGGGAGCAGCTGGCGCTTTGATTTCATAGGGGTCGGCTCGTACTCTCCCGAGAGGCCAGGGCTGGTCTCCGGGCTCTTGGTGGCTGCCAAAATGGTCAGAAATATGTCTACAATGGCTTACCAGGGTGTTTGGAGGACTGCTTGGGGGTCTTGTCCAAGTTATCAGCTTGCGACGAAGGAGTCTCGTCGCGAGAATCGGGATAAGTGCTGACAACCAGACGCTGAACGTATTGGACGGCTGACTCCTTCTCTGCCGGAGGAGGTTTAACAGGAGATTCGGTGGGTGCGCGAGGTGGACCTGAGCGGACTTCCCTGGCTGTGTGAGGTGGACCTATTCATACAGAGTAAGCAGCGGAAGATAATCCATGCAGAGTATCCTTACCAGATGGTTCTCGCCTTCATTCCATGGCAGTCTTTGACGTAGCCGTCTTCTTGTACTTGACGTTGACAGCTGAAACTTAATGACTAGGACCACTCGAGTAGACCAAAGCGACGATCTTGTACTTGACCGAGCGCTCTTCACCCGAGATATGCTCGGACTTGAGCTCGACCCCACCTAGGATAGTGTTTGGTTCCTTGAGGTCGCGCAGGTTGTCTTTCTCGCCGGTATTCAAGCCCACGCAAAGGATGTGAGCTGAAAGGTCGAGCATGACCGTCTTCTGACTGAGAGGAAATTCCGAACTGCAATGAGTGCAGGTAGAGAATTCTTCCTTGTGTTTTTGGATGGCACGGTCCTTGATCAAAGAGTTGAGCGTGTGCGGGAATGTGCCTTTTGAGCTTGCTTGGCCATACAGCTCGATAGAGTTGACATCAATATCTTGTGGTGTCTGATGGTATGTCGACTCGGCACACCAAGTGCAAGTCTTCTTCTTGATGGTATTGCAAGAGACGCTGGGCAGTCCTCTTGTTGCAAACTGCCAACCAGTCTCCTGGATTTCCCATGGAGTCTTCTTCAATGTGAGCAGACTGTGCAGTAGTCTGATCGAGAATTGGCTTGAGGTGATGAGCATGTTCTCTTCTCTTGAATGTGGTCCAGTCCACTCGAAGCAGTGAAAGTGTCAAGGATGTTGCAGTGGGCAATTCTGGTGCGTCCGATGCGTCGTACGCCAACCTGCCCAAGCCGTGCACAGAGGCCACGTTTTCATACTGGCTTTGTGCTTCCAACACCACGGACCCAGGTTCAAGCCTTGCTTCCGTGGCAGCGAGATTAGGGAAAAGGATGTACGGCAGTAGTCAGATTAAGTGGTCCGGCACCTTGACACACTCTCCACTCACCGAATAACTCGGGGCCGAAGAATTCGGCGGAGTTCGACAAGCTCGGTTCCAAGAGCACATGTTCGCCCTGCGGGACGAGTATGGCGACGACATCCCAGACGACATGGTCGAGATGGCATGGAGACGACCTCACTTCGATAACGTCGCCTAAAATCAAGGAAGAACCAACTGATGGAACAACCAGTCCGCAAGCCAGGCTGCTGCGGAGAAAGCCAAGGACAAGGCTCGCAAAGCCAGAAGAAGAGAGAAGCAGACGGCCGAGAGCAAGGCAGAGGAGGTCGCATACCATGTCACATGTGCCCAGAACAGAAAAGCCGAGATGAACGAGGAGGAGCTTGCTGAGTTCAGAGAGAAGAACAGACTGAAACAGGCGAAGTCTCGAGCCAAGAAAGGCTTAGCGAATGAGAGGTTACAAGTAAGGCACCAAAGCATGCTGAATTACAGAGTAATGAAGGGTGCAAGAGATCCACAGAGAGTAGCCTTGATGTAGACTCTCTGACGACTCATCTCTGATTCTAGATATGATCGTGCATATCAGTAGATTCTATATGCCGAAGAGGACAGTTGAGAGTCACTCTCGACAAGACACAAACGGCCAGCGATCAGCTGAGGTCAATTGACATGGGCGAAGCAGCACGTCTTAGCAGGATGATTCAAGGATGCAACCTCTGCTCTCTCCGATGACATCTCTGATAATAATTCATCTCAATTCCATTGCTTACCTGAACATAATCGTGTTGCGAGAGCAAGAGCGAAGAAAGATGATGAGCTTGGTTGTCAGGCTACTTCGCGCTTTTTTTTTTTTTATCAAGGCTGTGCCGAGTGTCAAAGATCCAGCATATTCATGTCCCTCTGGACGTCTCCCTCTGTGTCAATATATCTGCATTGTTATAGATGATTATCGTAAGCTGAGGATAGAGAAGTGGTGGCAGAAGTGGGCGCCAAGGCAGCCACGATTACCCCACAATTCGGCCTGGCTTTGCCCTTCCCGTCCCTGCGGACTGTCTCGATCTTTCGAAAAATAATCTCCAGACAAACCACTTTCTTCCATCATACAGCAATCATGGCAACCAAACGTCCTCACAGCGAAGTTCATCCCTCACGTCGAGACCAAGTCCCTGGCCAAGAAAAGAAACGAAAGGTCAACCCGCACCCGCATCGTAAACTCGAGCGCAAGGCCAATCCCGTCAACCCCATCAAGTCGCGCATTCGCAGTTTGAACCGTCTGTTACAACACAAAGAGAATCTTCCTGCCGACGTTCGTCTCAATCATGAGCGAGAGTTGAAGTCCTGCGAGTGGGAACTCGCCCAAGCTGAGAGTCAGCAACGCAANAAAGACCTGATTGGCAAATATCACATGGTGCGCTTCTTTGAGCGACGGAAAGCAGAGCGTCGCCTCAAGAAGCTGGAGAGGAGAGCCAAGGAAGGCGAGGCTGATCTCGACGAGCAAATACACGAGGCCAAGGTTGATCTGAACTACGCCATGTACCACCCTCTCGACATGGTCTACTCGGCACTGTGGCCAACGAAGGGAAAGAAGGACGCCGATGGCAATGAGGTTGAGGTCGAGAAGCAAGGAGACCCAGATATGTGGTTGGTTGTCGAGAAGTGCATGGAAGAAGGCAAGCTTGATGCTCTGAGAAACGGCAAGCTATTGAAGTCTGCTCCTGCTCAACTCGATAACGACGACAGCATTGGCCAGAAGGCATCAAATGCCAGAGCAAAGAAAGAGAAGAAGGACAAGAAGGACAAGGAGAAGAAGGCTGCCCAAAAGCCTGCCAAGAAGGCCGACGAAGACCAGGCCATGGGCGGACAAGACGAAGACGAGGACAGCGAAGGAGGCTTCTTCGAGTAGCGAGTTCTCGACTCAAAAGCATTGCATTCATCTTGGCGCACTGGGTTTGCCGTTTTGTCACGTTCAGCCATTCTACTGTATATACCCATCATTGCAATCTTCAGGTCAACCAAAGCAATTGCCCACTCAAAACATCTCACGATTAGAAAACTTGTGTATACAATTGTGATGTACTCTGCCGGTCGAATGGTGCATGAGATCATACTGAATTGTTGATGTCGTGTCTGTTTGACTGTGCTCGAGCTTGGTGGAGCCGCTGAACTTCGACCTTCACTTCCAAGTCGCACATTACAAACCTGCCATAACAAGCGCACTTGTACCACGAACTTGCCAAATTTGGTAGGCTTCTTTCACTCAGAGCTGACTGCAATCACTCTGAAACTCTTCACCAGCTCAAGCGCATCATTTACTGCGCGAGCTCTCGACCACACGCAACTTCAACCACGCGTGCTTCCCAATCATCTCCTTCACAAACACATCATTTGTCACACCATCAGCAATGACTTCCAAGGCGGAGCGCTTTGCCGCACTGCTGGGCACTTCGTCCAACACTCCTTCTTCTGCCAATGGCGCAGCACACAAGAACGATTTCTGCGAGACTGCTCCCATGGGCATGCAGTTCGTGCCTATCAACGCTGTCTCCAAGTTCCCTTACAAGTACATGAAGAAATCACAAAGCGAGCCTGTTTCCATTCAATTCTTCGCCGGCGGCAAGTTCTGGGAACGTGATTGGGATTTGTAAGTTTTGCTCGATTTCTTTGCTCTTTCTATCAGCGCTCCCAATCCTTCTATGCACTTCTCTCCCTCAAGCAGCATGTTTGCAGGCGCAAGTCAGTTCTCACCACAAATTCTGCAACATGTCCTGTTTGGAGTGGTCTCTTGACTTTCTTCAGGTGGTCGACTTACCGCATGGTGTCCCTATGTGGAACAAAATGATCGCTTTCCGGTCAAAGACTAACACTTGGTAGGTGGTACATTCACTCACCTTACTATCACTCTGAAAGACCCATCATCTTCGTGCCTCTTGCGCAGCTCAAGCAGTTACTCCAGGAGATCGACGGTGCCTACCCGAGCTTTGCGGTTCGCATGCCCAACAACCCCGAAGGTACTCTTGTCTTCCCTTTCGAGTATAGCGAGCACAGACTCCTCAGACCTCACTTCTTGGGCAAGTCATCAAGCAAGGATGACTTCGACCGTCTCAGCAGCTGCGCTCCCCACTTCGGTCGTCTTGCAGATGATGAGACTGAGCCTGAGTATATCTCATACTTCAGACGCGATATGGATGCTGCCCTCGATGCAGGAAAGAACAAAGGCAAATCCAAGGCCGCAAAAGAAGCAAAGCAGGAAGCACGTGTCCTCCAGCAGCATAACATGTACCGCCAGGTCGAACGCACTCAAGTCTCGCTCGGTCTTTCTCCACCATCATCAGCTGACCCTGACCTTGATGTCATCTACATCGCCGTCGATGTTGAGTCCTACGAACGCAACCACAACATCATCACCGAGATCGGTTTCGCTACCTTGGACACCCGCGATTCTAAGGGCATCCCTCATGGTGAGGCTGGCAAGGACTGGCACAAATTTATCCGCGCTCGCCACTTCCGCATCAATGAGTACAAGCACTACGTCAACTCCGAGTTTGTCCGTGGCTGTCCTGACCAATTTGAATTCGGCGAAAGCGAATTCGTCGACTTGAAGGATGTCCCCAGTATGGTTGCTTCCTGCTTCAAGTATCCCTACAGCGCGAGGAATGCCAGAGACGCCACAGAAGATGTTCAAGAGAAGCGCAACATCATCTTCCTCGGTCACGACACCAAGCAGGACGTCGCCTACCTTCACAAACTCGGCTACGATCCCAACAATCTGGCCAACGTGACCTTTCAGGACACTGTTGCCATGTGGCGCGCTATCACTAAAGAGCAGTCTGCTCGTGGTCTAGCTCACATCATGTATGCCCTTGAGCTCGAGTCTTGGAACACACACAACGCCGGCAATGATGCTGTCTACACCGTGCAGGCCATGATCGGTATGTGCATCAAGGATCTGGAGAAGAAGGCTGCCAATGAGGAAGACGATGGCGGTGTTAGTCTGCTGCCTGAGAAGAAGATGGATGTCGAAAAGGAGATCAAGGAGATCACTAAGAAGTTCGTTGAATGGGACATGTAAACATACAAAGCAGGCCCGGTCGTGAGATGGAGAACGTGTACAAAAGAAGACGAGGAGAACGGGTCGCTTGCTTTTGCTAGCTACATAAAACAAGATCGACCAAGTCAATACACTTTAGTGCCGTCTCTTCTTCAAGGTGCAAAGTTAGAAAAGTGCATTAAACACACGGGAAATGAATATCTTCGAAGTTCAATCGTCCGTCAGATCAACTGGTATCGCTGTTTCTCCAGGTGTCGAATTGCCGTTAACAGATGGAGATTTTTGCACTCCCATGGCTAAGAGTCGAGCCGCATCCAGCCATTCAGCAGTTGATGGCTTCGCTTTCTTTCCTGAAGTCTGATCATCATCACCAGACGCGCGCTTCTTGCCCTTTTCTTTGATCTGTTTAATATCATCCTCGGAGCTTTTGGTCATGTCTAGACCCAACACCTCTCTGTGCTTGAAGAACTGCCAACACAGTGCACGTACCCTCAAGGTCTTACCCTCACCTGCACCTCTTTTCTCCAGGAACTTTGTCAGGTCTGGCCTCGCGATTTGGCCTAAGGCCAGTCTGAATTGATCAATCGACCAGATACCATTGCGAGTGAAGCGCTTTATACATGCGCGAATCTGATCGCAGTCGAGGTCTATGGCCAGTGGACATCTTGTCTCTTCTTCATAGGGAGAATTCGTTGCCCCTGGTTTCACAACGGATTTGAAGACGCCTTCGAAATCGGTGTCGAAATGTCCATGGTTCCCTCGTTGAGTCAGATCGAGATCGTCGTCAGGAATACTGTTGAGCAATTCCTCTTGTTGCATGATGTTCTGGGCTTCGAGTATGGACTTTGGCTTTGGCTTGTGAGTAGTCATTATTTTCTCGAGACGCTCTTCTTCTTCTGTTTCTTTGTGGCGTTCTTCCTCTTTTGATGCGGATATGAAGGCGGAATATGCTGCTATCTCTGATGGGCTGAGGTCGAAAAATACTGCTGTACGGGCGTCCTGTTTCTTGTTTTCTTCCAATTCTGAACTGATGTAGTCCATGATGGTGTCGCGGACGAAGTGGTTGGGTACATCTGTGAGCTTATGATCGCGTCCTAAGCGGCCACCGAATACTTTGCCTCCCTCAGGTCCACCATACATAACGGAGGCAGGCCGCTTGTCGTCGCCTAATGCATCGCCGTATATGATATTTGCCTGTACCATGCCTTCTGTTCTGTCGCTCATACCGATTGCTGATGCTAGGTCATCGACAAGCTGCTGGTTAGACTTGGCCTCTTCCTATAACAATATCAGAGGNNTCAAACGCCTTGAGGGCTTAAGAGGATAGATAGCACATACAGCTTTGGAAGTCGAGAAAGGCGTAACAGGATCCTTATTGGGATTGATAGCTTCCCTTTCCCAGTCCGGGTTCTTCTTCACAAGATATACATCTTCCACGATTTTCTTGTACATTTCTGTCCGGCGGTCTTCGGGTTGCTTTGCAACTTGTTNTTCGATTTCTCGTACCAGAACATAGCGAGAGACGTCTGCGAACGTATGTTCGCTACCATCAGAACGATAGTGTGATGTGCTTGGGTCAATGACACCACCACGGTGGTCTGGTAGTTTGAAATACTCCATTGCTACAACGAAGTATGCGAACTCGTCAACCTCTTTGTCGGACATGTCTGTGTACTNTTTCATGTTCTCAATCATCAGACGGTTCATCCTCTCATTGTATGGGTACCGTCAATGAGTTCATCAAGCTCACCGCTTTCCGCTAGTTCATTGCGGAGGGGGCCAATAGGTATGAGAACCATCTCGAAATCTGTTTTCTGAAACGAATCGATGATGTGTATGCGTATCCTGTGATAATAGAACCCAAGATGGAGCACGCGTTGCACACGTCTATTTATGCAGGGCAAGAACAACCTTGCACATTTCTACGTCATGCTTAGCGCCGATCATTCACGACTTCACACCTTGTTGATAGCTGGAGGAAACAACGAACATGGAACACTCACCTAAAACTACTGATTCTTCGGCAAATGCAAGAAGGTGTGGACAGCGAGAGTGGCTCTGCCGATTTTGCCCCAGTGTCAGAGTGTCACGCTCATAGCTCTGATGGAATACACGAACTTCTTCAGATTGGAGAAGTGTCCATGGAGAGCCGTCAAATGACCGACTTCCACCTCACCGAGTGCTAAATCCTGCAACTTCCTTCGCACCCCGACTATCGAAGAGCAAAGTTCACACCATAGAAAGACACAGCTGTTTCTGAAAGCCGAGTTGTGTCCCTAGAGAGCTGATAAATTGTCGCTTCTCAGTAGCACTATCCGGGTCTCTGGTAGCATTGTGTATTTTTACAGCTGTACGCGCTTATACTCTAGCACACGGGGAGGCAGTGGATGTTGTTGGCCACTGAAGAGTGGTGCATTTCTCGAGCTCAGACATTGCTTTAACCCGTTCTCGTTGCTTCCACTTTTCGGTTCCGACAGATGTATACCTCGCCACGCAGCTGACAGTGACAGCAAGTTCGACTGACCCTGCTTGTGCATCTAGGTAGCTGCTGTCCATGTGCAAAGTAGGCGGGGCGCAGACAGATACCTGATTATGACTTGCTGCCACTTCGGACCTTGTCGGCCGAGATGCTCGGACATCGAAGAAATCTATCGTATGGATATCGCACACGCGAGGGAATCAGGCAGCACTCACAGACTACCGCTACCAGACTGCTATCTCGTCAGACCACATTGTTGTACTTTTTTGTGTGACGAAGTAGGTAGGTTCTGGATATAAAAGGAGTCGAGGTAGGCGCCATCAATTTCTACAATCCTCGAGCTCTTTCCTTCCTCCTCAAACGAGTACTACATTGAGTCGTGCTATTTACAACTTTCATTTTGCCGTCACCTCAGCCTCAAAACAACAATAGGATGATCGAATCACAGCAAACATCGGTGCGGACTCCACGTCTCTGCTGTCCAGAGCCTAGTCCGACATGGGCAGCCACCGACCTCTACACCCTCTCTCACCTCAACTCTTCGACCGCACATAACAGTGCTATCTTGAAAAGCACGCTCGACAACTCGGCAGACCAGGGTCTACCTGACATCTACTCCTCTCGTGCCTTTGCCAAGTTTCTTGCTCTTCAAGCCAAAGCCATCGACGCAAAGCACTTTCTTGAGGTTGGCACTCTGGGAGGCTTTGCCAGCATCTGGCTTGCTTCTGAGAATCCTAACCTCAAGGTCACGACTCTAGAGTACAACCCTCACCATGCCGAAGTGGCTAAAGAGAACATCGCTCATGCCGGGCTCTCTGACCGTATCACAGTCCATGTGGGACCTGCTTTAGAGACACTTCCTACCGTCCTTTCCGACATCGATACTGGAAAATTGCCCAAGCTCGACATGGTCTATGTCGATGCAGATAAGCAGAACAACTGGAACTACGTCAATGCTGCTATCAGTGGATGCAGAAAGGGAGCTGTTATCATCGTGGACAATGTCGTTCAAGGTGGACAAATTGCCAGTGGGGACGATCTCTCCGACAAGCCAGAGTATGTTACGGGAGCTAGAAAGGTGATTGAGAATGTGGGCAAGGATGAAAGGGTCACTGCTACCGTTATCCAGACTGTGGGAGAGGGCAGTCATGATGGCTTCCTCTTTGCTGTCGTCCGGTGAAACTATTCCTTGTTCATCTGCCTTTTCTTTGCATTTCCTCCACCATCCAGTCTTTACGGTCTATTCCATATTTACTCTCTTCTCTCTTTTTCTTTTCCGTTGACGGCTTTATGACTTGTTATCAGCTTCAATCAGTACTTAATCAGATTCTTTCTGCTTTTCGCACTCTCTTTCGATTTAGATACAGGTGACACTCTGCTGCCATGCTTCTAAGTGGTATGGCTGTAGTCGAATCCGGGTGTAGTTGGTTTTCGAGAGTCACTCTGCGAAGGTAGTTTGTGAGAGTCGTTCGCCCAGAGTCACTCTGAACGACTGTTCGGGGTCTGATGGACGAGAAATCTTGACTATTTTATGGATATAACTTGTTGGTGCTCTGCAGACTGTCGATAGATGTAAAGGACTAGCCCTCCCTCCTCCCCCCTAAGGACCCCAAGAAGATCAAGAAGATTAAGAAGGCTATGAAGAATTTCATGGCCAAGGCCAACTCTAGAAGCAAGGCTAAGGCAAGAGCACATTGTTTCTTTGTTATTCTTCCCACTCCTAGATTAGCCAAATGTGTGTAGCTGGAGGAATACACGATCCTGTTCGGTAATCGAGTGAAATTCACTGAGAGCTATCAGCTCGACGGCTCTCCCTCGGGCGTATGTTCGACTCCAGACTCCTTCGTGTATTCTATCAGCTCCTATGGATCTTTGAATCAAACTGGGAGTGCCAAAGCAAGGTCACACCAAGGGTTGGCCCCTTTCCAGCTCTCCGCGGTCACATGTTTGGTGAGAAAACAATCATGTATTTTGACAATGCAATGTTGGTCGTTGTTGCTGTGGGGGTTGAACGAGCCTCACCCAGCACACGCAACAAGAGGCATGAAGCTGGCAGCTCATGCTTGGTATACGAACATGTGAACTACTCACGAAGACACTTCGATACACTCTCATATTCGAATATGTTTTGATACAAGTTTTGTATTTGCAAAGAAGTTAAGGTCGCGAGACCATTCTTTTGTAATCTACATATATAAAAGCGAGACCAACCTCTCCGGAAACATGGTGTTTCCGGCAGAGTCGACTCGAGCCTTTGAAGAAGAGCCTTGCCTCGTTTGTTATAGGCATCCGTCGTACCGTTCGTGTTTTTGCTTGCAAATGAGAGATAGCCTCGACTCCTTGAAAATGCGTTGAGATAGCAAGCCAAACCAAGCAATGTGGACAAAAGAGAAAAAGAAGAAAGAGCAAGAACAAAGAGACCCACGGGACTTCATGTCAGCTAACGCCAGCAGAGGCGTAAGCTTGCCTCTCTTCACCCATCCATCTATCTAGTTTTATTTTTGTTTTTGGCAGAACTCCATCGTCCTTCTATGCACCGACTCCAGAAAAGGGAAAAGCGTAAGGAATGCGTGAACTGGGATGTAGGACAGGCTGCCGTCCTACTCCCGAACTTTTGTTCATGAAATAAGAAACCATCGATCGCGTTATTGCATCGAGGTGAGAAAGATTGCCTGACTGTTGTTATATCATGCAAACTTCATCGAGAAAATAAATAAGTTCCAGGATCATTGATCTTCACAAATCCAGTGAAAGTATGCTTGTACGGAGGATGTGTCGTTGGGCTCATCGTATCGTATCTGTCCGAACACCTGCTATTGGGCTGTCTGCCTCTCCCATGGGCTTGAAAAGCAGTTTCATGTCGAGTGTAAGGTCTCCGACTCCATAAGTATCGTCAATATCACCGACAGAACCAGTATCCAGTCCGCCTTGTGTGTTTTCGTTGGCGACAAAGCCTTTGATCTTCTTCAGCAAACCCATAATCTGCAAGAAGCGAAGATCTGGCGGTGCTGTCCACTCTGAGGCCTTTGTTGAGCGCAACAGAGATTGACCAAGGTAGAAGAAATGGATTCCATNCCGGGAGAAACCAAAACGGCGATAACCAATACCGTTTTGTGGATATTGAATAGCTATGTCCATATCCCAGATTGACTTCCACTTGCTCATGGCGAGCTGAATAGACTTGAGGACGGGTTGGATCTGTGCATTGTGGGCCTGCGGCGTGTCACCAGGAGTGCCAATTTTGCCATTGCTATCTGAAGCAATCCAATCGTTGTGTCCAAGTGGAGTTCCAGGACCACTTGCTGTAGCACCATGGCCAAACTGACCCGTGATGTTCTGCAAGAAGCTTGATCGCTGGAACTTGCAGATCTGAACAAGAAGCGCATGGATGAGGATGAACTTGGAGTAGATGTTGGTGGATCGTGAGGCGAAAGTGTAATTGGGCTCCATCAGACCTCTCATAGCGCTTCTCATGTCGGGCTGGCGAGGTCGTTGACTGCCGCAAACGTTGTGAACCAGCTTAGATGGGCCACTGAGACCAAGCGCGTCGCGACATTCTTGTTCAGTCCTGGCCTCCCACGCAGCGTCGTCGCAGGGTAACGGCAAGCGGAATTCCAATGGATCGAACTTAGGCTCGTTGTTGAAGTACATAACAAGAGCAGCGTCAAGTAGGAATAGGGTAAAGGCGACTCTGCTGCGTTTCTCCTGTGCGATCCAGGAAGACCAAGTCCATGTCAGAAGGGCATCTTGAGATATCGGACCGGGTTGATGGAGGACACTGTAAGTAGCTTGTCCAGGTACTGCAGGAGAGATAACCATTCGGCGAGCGATTTCGACCACACTGTCAAAGTTCTTCCTAGCGTCTGCACGCTGGCTTGGGGTGCCATGCCAGCAAAACAATACCTTGAGCATGTACAAAGCTTGAAGCTCTTCAATATCGGATTCGAGTGAGCCTAGAGGTTGGTTACCCTCTGGGACGACGCCCCTAATGACGTTGTGGACTCTTGAAGCGTTCTTGACAGCGTCTTTGACGAGTTCCATCATTCTTCGAACTTGGTACAGGTCTCGCTTTTCGGAGTAAACGGCGCCGATACAGATGATGGTCAGCACAAGGCCATCGTTGGCTTTGAGGATTTCGAAGGTGGGCATGTGGATGATCGGCCAATGACCCTGGAAGCTGGTGAATTTCTCGATGAAGTGCTTGATGTTTTCAACAGTCAAGCACTTTCTCATCTCGTCGCAAGCGTCATCGCTTGGGGATGTTCTGTTCGAAAGTACGTACGTCAGCAATGCATTGGCCTTGGCCTGCAATGGATCGCTTTGCACGAGATCCATGTTCCAGTTTGGAAAACCAGACAGGTGGTGCGCACCTGAATCTTCGCCGAAGCCCGACGGATGTGAGTAGAGTCCACCAAAGAACTGCTGCTCGTTGCTGTGCTCGTTCGACGAGTTGTAGCTGTGACCTTCCATACCACCCTCGGTCTTGACGGGCATCTGCGGCTGACTTGGATGGGACTGTGTCATGAAGCCATCGTGAGCGTGTTGAGGTGCGAACATGGACCAGTCGGGGACGCCGTTGGGTTGGCGGTTTTCGCTGATGGGAGCGGGCTGATGAGTATAGCCGTTTGGTGCCTGCTCTTCGGCTTTGACGCCTGAAGGATAAAACTGGCCCCCATTGGCCATCTGGAAGCTATAGCTTGGCGGCATGGGGTTCGAGGCTGAGTGGGGACGCATGCCGCTGTAAGGAACGCCATTGGGATAACCTGCAGAAGCGATTGAGTATTGATCACGGTTTAGCTTCCCCAATCTATGCATACCTGTGAGGCTGCCTCTGCCATCACTAGTCATTGCACCCGGGTGGATGAGGCTGTTAGCACGAGACGAGCGATTCGAGAGGGAGGCTACGCTTGAAGCGTATGAAGAGCCCTCTCCGTTGACGGTAGGGCTGTTGGTAACACCATTCAAGGCAGTTCCGTTAGCATAACTAACACCTGCAGCCTCAGCGAGACCCGCGAGAGCTACTGGTTCGGTGCTGCTGATAGACATGCGGTTAGACCCGTTGGTGTTCCTGCGTTGATGAGCGAGATGGTTTGCGCCTGTAGGGTTACCACGACGAATCGAGCACTTCTGGAAATGGCGCTTCAGTATATCGCTACGCGAGAATGTGTCCTTGCACAGGTGGCACATGTATGGTCGGTCTCCAGNTGTCTGTATCTTGTCAATTCTCGACCTCTCAACCGACGAAAAGCGCAATAACTCACGGCGCAGTAAATGTCTTTTCAAGTGTTTGGCATGGAGATATGTCTTGTTGCAGTGTGGGCAGGGGAACTTTCCATCTGCATCCTTGGCTGGAATCATTGACTTGCTTGTGGCAGCAGCTGCGGTACCGGGTGTAGGAGCAGCTGCACGGCCAGGTGCACTAGGCAGGATGCCACGTCTTCCCTGGGATCCTACGACGTGGGTAGGCTCTGACTCATGGTTCTGCATGTATGGCTGAGCGCCTACGAGTCCGGATGCGCCGAAGCTAGGCAGCGTCGACAAACCATTGTACGAAGTCTGGGGTTGAAGTGGGCGCAAGTCGGGTAGGCGGGCCTGAGCAGGGGTCTGAGCAGCGCTCGTAGCGGTAGAGGCAGGGGGCAGGGTGGATTGTGATGTCGAGAAAGGAATGTAAGTAGACGAGGGTGGCAGCATTGAACCAGTGGTCGCCGGCGACGATTGGTGCTGCTGTTGCTGCTGCGAGAAGGCGTGCAGACCGTTGGCTCCCATGGACGAAGTAGTAGGGGTATGAACAGTAGTGGGGGTCTGAGGATGGCTACCAGAGGCGTTGTACAAGGAGGGAAGCTGACCAAAGTTGGCGGCTTGGGTGTGCAGAGGAGGCAGCGTCTGGTTGTGGCTGTGGTTGTCGCGCGACGAGTCTTGCTGCGATGGGCCCTGCTGCTGCTGAGCCTGTTGCTGCTGAGCTTGTTGTTGCTGAGCTTGTTGTTGCTGAGCCTGTTGTTGCTGGTGCTGAGGATGCTGCGGGTGTTGCTGCTGCTGCTGATGGGAATAGCTCGAGAAGGGCGCGAAGTTGGCGGGCTGAGGCATATAGGCGGTGGAGGGGTACTGGTTCTCCATAGTGAAGGAAGGTGCCAATGATGTCGTGGTTTGGGAAATAATGGGGCCCTCAGGGCGAGAGCATCTGGCGGGCACAAAAACGCGGATGTGGAGCAGGTCAGTTACGAGGTTGCCAGACAGAAGCGTGTAGAGTAGGCAAGAGCGACCAGTTGTCAAGACTCAAGCCAGACCAAGCTCCAAACACGGAAAGGACAAGGCAATCAAAAGTCGAGTAGAAGGAGTGGGCAGCTCGAGGGCAATGCGTTACTCCAATGCGGTGCGTCGAGGAAAACGGCCGCGCAAAATCTGTTGCCGAAAAGTCCGTTTTGTGCAAAGATAGCTGCCAAGCGCGTGTCGCAAATCTGAAAAAGCTTGCCGTCCGTTCGAGTAGGTACGAAAGCCTGCTGAAGCTAACCTCAAGGACGTCCACGAAAGAACTTGTCTATATCTCTGTAAGAACGCGCCCTGACGCGATAGATGCTGGAGTTGCTTTGAACTGACGATGATGCTGATGTGCCTTGAATAATCGGTGCACGGGCTGGCTGATGGATTAGATCCGTGTGGACCAGGAACCCGAGCGGTGGATCTGATCTGTCAAGCACACGAGGGGTCTCAATACAAGAGAAAGCGGGTCGCTTGTTGACTTCTAATTGCTCTAGAGTGGACGAGGAAGGAGAAACGAAAGCCTTCCGCAGATTGCCAGTGATGACAAACAGTACAGACTCGCAAGCTGCTCGCGCAAAGCGATTGGGAACCTTTCACTAATCGAATGATGAGCTCGAGGAAGTCTCAACGCCTCAGAAGCACGGCTTCGGAAGCGCGCCATAACCACTTTTAGCACCACGTCATTCGACAAGCCCTCCTCTTGCTATATCGCACCTTTCCTAAACAGTCGCCAAGTCGTTGCATCTCCCGGCTTTGACTTTGGTGGCTTTCCACTCTTTGTGGCCGTCAGCTCTCGGTCTCGGAGCCTCTTGAGCACGTTGTGCCAGAAGCAGATCCTGTCTATCAACTTTCTTTCTGTCTCGCAATCGACCCATCTCTCTATGCAGGTGTGCATTCTACGCCACAAAGCAGAAGTTCTGTAGTTATCAATGTTCTCGCGGCTGCGCTTGCAACATGAGAGCCTGAGCCGCTCTTGGCTTCGGATAAAATGACCGCGCGATTTTCTTACGACAACGTCCGAAGCAGTTCGGCTCGAGCATTTGCTCTATCCGACAGCTTCCGCCTTCAAACCGGTCTGGTTCGGTGCTAACATGCATAAACCGCTTGTTCGGGCTCTTGGCATTTTGTTATCAAATGCCGTCTCATTCGCATTTCAATTTGTGAACACAAAGGGTCACAGTCTGCCTGCTCGTAAAATCTTTCTCTTCTCAACATGACTTTTACCAAGCCCTGAGCAGATCCAAACTACTCGATCAACCCTGTCAGGTCAGGTCAAACCTAAATCAATCACCTGCATTGGTGCTTAAGCGATGGCAGGTGCGCCGAACAACAGCCATGGTTTTTTGACTCATGGTCTACAAGACGGTCCTTGCCATTTTGACCTGCCTGACCAAACACTTTCGGATTCAGGTTTACGCCATCACAAGGATGCTGGCATAGAAGGGTAACCAATCGACATGCGAGAACATTGGCGACGCTGGCATCGATCTGCACTGCAACAAACCCTTGATATGTTTCCTTGACTCGTGAAGGGCCCGCTGGTTTGCAGAGCGGAATCGGTGGTGCCGCGCCGGCGGCCCTCGTCCTTGCGCCAGAACAAGCATAATCAGCTAGTTCGCTTCTTAAGTGCGCCATGACCGTGCCTCGAGATATTCCCGAGAGCTTTCCCTTTTCGAGTAAGCCGTGTCTCTTAGAACTTCCCTCGCCGACGGGAGGAGCCAGGTGAATCGCTAATTCACACAGCAGGGAAACGAATCCCTCCTTTGGTGCACAGTATCCCAAGAGCCTCCGCTGTATGGCCGACGCTTGATACCCAAGCTTACCGCCACGGGGTCACAGTACGGGGTGAGCGCGCTGCCGACTTGACGTCCCGAGCGACCTTTCACATTTCTTTGTCGACTCGCGTTTTAGCCGGGCGGCCCGCACGTGAACAATCAACATCACGGCCAACTCCCCGATCTGAGCGTTGTTGACCTATCTGCTTGCTCCCGGATCAAGACAAGTGACACTTTTGCTGCGCCTACCAGGCACGAGACGTGGTGAGAGCCCGAGTATGATCGTGCTCAAATCCTCCTCCGAGCATCTTGTTCAATACTGCAACGTTACATCTGTTTACTAATATCAAGCTCACGCCAGAAAGCATGACACCAAATGGCTTGTGGCCTTCTTAGGTTTCGCTATCGTTGAATGTATGTCGGAGGAAGTCGGAATTAGTATGCACCTGCCCTGCTTGGTATGGACAAGATGGCATGTCGGACATGTCCAGCCATCTCGAATTCAGATACTCAGAAGCTCTTGGGCATTTTCGCAAGTTGCACAAAAATTTGCCTTACGAAAGGTATATGATCAGTCGTTTATGAAACGTCGGCGTCCTCAGATGTCGAGAGCACCTTGACATTAAACGGAGGCGCTTCTGGGCATGGAACTCCAGATGATTATCTCTACACCAGGCTATGGTGAAGCATTGATCGCAACCAAAGAAAAGAGTTCATACTATGCATCACATTCGTCTAGCAAGACAGGTGGTTGGGAAGCCATCTCCGAGACCATTTATCCAGCCACTCTGCGAGTCACGGAGGTGTGTTGGCAGTGTTGCATCGAGTCTTCGTCCACCTTCTCTGCTGTTCGTTCCATTATTCAGTAGTACAGTACCCGGGCTCGGATTTGTTATTGGGCAAGTCAATGGCTGTCTAGAGCAGAACGGGAGAGCCCTCGAGACGGATACATTTCCGGAACCGGCCCGTAATACGCATCTCTGCTAACGGCCAGTGAATTCTAAAAGCCTGGAGCACACCATTGATGTTCAGGCACAGCGAGCGGCTGGCTGAAAAGCGAGCTGGACTCTGCTGACTCTGAGCATATCACTCGACAGCCACATGGCAACAACAGCGGTCGACACTCGTCGTTGGAATGTTCTTTCCAGCAGATTTCCGTCAGATACTTTGGGCTCGGTCAAGCTCATGCAGGAGAAGGTTTGAACAGGCGTTCATTTCGTGACAGCATACGAGGCCCGTTCGGCGTGTTTGGCCTGACTGAGGAATCGATCTTGAGCCCCCTGGACAAATCATTTTTGGCAAATGCACGTCTTCCACGGAGCCAAGACAGCTTGCATATTTATGCCGGCAGGCAATTGTTGATTGCAAAGCACGATGCATTATCAAGGACGTCAGACGTAGACTCTAACAGGTTCTTCGCATCAAAAGGAAAGCAATTGCCGTGCTTACCAGCCTCTCAAATCAGATTATGGCGCGCGAAGACCACGGAGCTGCAAGAGGAAACTCTGAACCGACATGAACGACATGACAAGGTGCACGTCATAGCCTGATACCGTAGACTACCCTGGTGTATTTATCTTGCTATTCTGGGCATGCTGCGCGGATGGGATGCAAAGGGGGTTCTGATTCGTACACAACTTGCTCGCAGAAGGCACCGTAAGCAGTGATAATCAACAGTGCTAGCTTAGCAAAAGTATAACCTCAGATCTGGCAGTTCCTACCGTAGCATCTTCGTTCGATCTCAATCACTCAAGTTGAGCAGCTTGCAAATAACTTGAGATCGGTCGTCAAAGGCCTCGTGCAGTGCCGTGTCTATCATCCTACAAGCTCGAGAACAGAATCTGAAGCACCAACATCCCAGAGATCGCATACACACGGATTTTTGGGACGTGACTATCTACTTTTAAGCCGATCAAATCAGAGACACAGAGACAATTGCAATCAACTAAGTGGATCAGATGTACAACGTCGTTAGAGCTGCACGTGTAGAGTAATAGATGTGAGCAGGGTCATCCGGGCGACATGTGAAAATCGAAGTGATTGGTGAGCAGATCAAGCTTGAAGCCGGGACGCCAGCGTTGACTGCTGCATGTTCATTCAAACGTTCTGATCGGTACCTAAGACATTGAGAAGAGTCGTTGGTCCCTCCCAAAATGCTTCTCGCAAGAGGATGAACAGAGACAAGTTGTTATCGCAAATCACAAATTACCCAAAAGTGGAGCGGGTAGATCCGCAGCGCAGAGCCTCATCCATGGTGGAGGCAAGGTCAGCAAAGCTCCGCAATTGAAAATGTTCAAGCTCCACTGTTGATGTTTCTGCCACGAGCAATTCTTCCTTCAACTATCCGGTTCATCTCAATTCACCACAAGCCATCACTCGTGTCCACTTCCAATCTCGTACGTCAATACATGTCAGCAGCGAAAAGAGTCAAGATGTCAGGCCCTCTCATCGGAACCCACAGCGGCCACTTCCACGCCGACGAGGCATTGGCCGTCTACCTGTTGCGCTTGCTTCCCACCTACTCCAACAGCACTCTCGTCCGTACCCGCGATCCCGAAAAGCTCGCTCCCTGCCACACCGTCGTCGATGTCGGTGGTGTCTACGATGATGAGGCCAAGCGCTACGACCACCACCAGCGCGAGTTCACCACCACCTTCCCCAACCACTCCACCAAGCTCTCTTCCGCTGGTCTCGTCTACATGCACTACGGCAAGGACATCATCTGTGCGTGCACCGGTCTCGCCAAGGACTCGTCCGATGCCGAGTTGCTCTACCAAAAGCTCTATGATGATTTTATCGAGGCCTTCGACGCCAACGACAACGGTGTCTCTGCCTACGACCCCAATGCCCTCCGCAAGGCTGGTATTGAGAAGAAGTTCTCCGACCGTGGCTTCAGCATCGCCTCAGTCGTCAACCGTCTCAACTACTCGCATCCCGCTCCCGTTGCTGTAGCCAAGCACTCCCTCAGCACTGAGGCTGTCAGCACCGAAGGCGGTATCTCCGTTCCTTTGACCTCTGACGGTACCACAAAATCTCCTGCCGAGGCACAGGCTGAGGAGGACGAGCGTTTCCTCAAGGCTTCCCAGTTCTGCGGCGACCAGTTCATTTCTGAACTCATGGACAAGTACCACTCATGGTTGCCTGCCCGCGCCGTCGTCAAGCAGGCCTTTGGTGACCGCTTCAAGTACGACGACAAGGGTCGCATCATGGTTGTTCCCCACCGTCCCGAGGGCTGTCCCTGGGCCGACCACCTCTACGCTCTTGAGAAGGAGACCTCGACCGAGGGTTCCGTCCTCTACGTCCTGTTCGCCGAGAGCGGCGAGGCCGACAGCAAGTGGCGTATCCGCTCTGTCAGCCGCGAGTCTGGCAGCTTCGAGAACCGCAAGGACATGCCCGATGCCTGGAAGGGTGTCAGAGATGAGGAGCTGAGCAAGGTTTCTGGTGTTCCCGGCGGTGTCTTTGTGCACGCCTCAGGCTTCATTGGTGGCAACAAGACCTTTGAGGGTGTTCTTGAGATGGCCAAGAAGTCGGCTGACGCATAAAGAAATGAATTGGATGATGAAACCACAAAAGGAGAAAAAGGAACCATTGGCAAGGCGTTGATTTCGGAAATGGGTCTTTTTGTTGCTATTCCGATACCCGGGATCTTTGTATATAGTTGTACAATCTATGTGACATGCTGTCACGTCTTTTTCATTCTGCTTACTGCTTCCGTCCCTCCCATGTCACAACGTCTGTCGTTTCCTAGCTATAAAAAGGCAGAATAAGCTTAGCAAACAGGGTAGCTTCCACTGAGACTACTGAATATTCAGGCTCTCTGTGGTGTCATCTTGTTTTCTAAAACAACTGTGCATTTTTATGGCTTCATGACATGACTACTGGTTGGCGTGGAGAGGCCTGATACTTAGATGCCCAAGCATCAACTACATTTGAACCACTTCCCTTTGTCGTGCTTTGTCTGGTTTTTATCTCATGCTGCCAATCCGTATATCCTATTCCTGTACCGACAAAGGCAAGTGTATCAACGAAGAACTACGTCGACATTAGCCCGGCCTTTTTCAAATGTAGTTACTCAGCATTCGGTCTGACTTCCATGCTCATTTACTATGCAAAAGATACTCGTGAGTTACATCCGTAGCTTCTACTAACTTTTGGATACTACGAGCGTGTCGATGGAGAGCCATGTCGACGTCGACCCGGCAGTCGGTTGTCGTAAAAACTACTCTTTCCTTGAGAAAATCGTGACTCTTGCTTTGCGTCCATAGCCTCTAACACCGGCCGACACTACGAGCGTACACCGGAGAGCTATGTCGACGACGACCTGACTGTCGAATGTCGGTCGCCGTCATCGTCCCCGAAACACAGTCTCGTGTGTTCGTCCTCGTAGGTAGCGGAGAAGGTCAAATCCTCGTCGCTGAAGCTGGCGTCGGTGAAGCAGAAGCTGGAGGCCTGTTTGGAATGGTTCTCTGACATATGGGAGTTGATTTTATAGGATCTTGCTCCATATGAATAACGTGTGCATTTTCGACGTCGATATAGTCCCTGTTAACACGCTCGCCTAGTAGATAAGATGAGTGAAATACACTCACCTGAAAGCATAACTGAGAAGACAGACCATAGCTGGACTGACTACAGTTACATCTGAATTGTTGCGGCTCCTTCTTCTCATGATGAACATATTTCACACGCTTGTGTAGTGCCTACCTTACAGATTGTGAGACGTTCTGTCACATAAATGTCGCCATCAGCAACTTCCCTGGAAGCCTCTTGCTGACTGATTTGCCTTTCTGGCATCTACTTCATTCCTCGTCTCTTCTCAGCATCTACTTTCATCCTTCTTCCCAAAGAAATGCGAATCTACTATGAACTACATACACTTGCCGTTACATCAGACAGTAGACAGAAGGCAGCAGATCTTCATACAGCCAGCACTATACCGCTCCGCCGTTCATACATTTGTCATGGAGCATAGTAACTAAATCACAGACCGGCTTGAGACAAGTATCAGTAAGGAAGAGTAGCATATACTGAGACAAAAGAAACATAATATGCAATGATTATCCACCGAAGCTTCGCTTCTTCATAGCCCTCGCTGCCGCATCATAGCCAAGCAACTTGAAATTGGGCCCTAAGTACTCATTTACAGTAAGTCTTCCATCAGATATATCACTATCCTCAGAACAGCTGATGATCCAGCTGTAGGTAGACTCGTTGAACTCGGCAACATTCATCTTTGGCTCGAGGAAGAAGGAAGCCAATCCGAATCTGCTAAGATCGGAAAAGAAGGCACGCAATCTGTGAGAATAGCTCAGAACTGTCCTTAGTTGTGGCGACCAAAGGAAGTATGGGCAGGGAAGATATAGCTTATTCTGGATGTTCTTTCAGATGTTTGTTTGTTGATCTCGTCGAGAAAGGTGATGCGAGGAACAGAGAGAGCGCCGTCGAAGAAGGTCCTTGCAAATTGAAGAAGCGAGTAGAGTGAACACGATCGAGGAAGTTGCCTGGATAGCAGGAGCTGCTCATGTCAACGTCCGGCGAGTTATATGCCAGAGGTGTGGGAGGAAGCGAACGAGTATCATTAGAAACAGAACCAACGCCATTAATGTCTGGCTTCCCAGTAAGCTCGCCTGAAGAGGACTTTGACGCAGGTCGAGTCTGCGTCGTGGTAGTTGGCAAGGTCTGAGCAGAGATTAGCTCTTGAGCAGGCTCCATCGAAGCAGAACCCGATTTTGCGGTTGGATTCGACTTGTGGCCGGGAAGGTAGAACAGTCAGTCGCTCTTTCTGGCTAGGAGCTTTGTCCTTACGACTCACCCAATTGACGCGTTCGCATGCAAGAACGAGCTCCATTCTTACTTATTAGAGAGTGATGTGACGCTCGTTCCTTCCTTCTCATGTCCCAACGCCCGTCACGCAGCATTTGCTAGAACGCACGATTTCTTCTATTGAGAGTATTGCGTGTTTGGAGTCTCCAAAGACTTACCTTACTCTCAGAAGACAACTGTACATTTTGATAGTTTCACAGAACTAGCGCAGGTTCTTGTGAGAGAAAGAGATACTGTGTAGATAGATAAAACTCATTGATTCATACCAGAAGAAAGAAATATACTCGGGGTATCTCAATTGTCGTAAACCTCATTGTACAGCAAGCAAAAGCCCACACCTTCCTGTATTCCTTAGCCCATAGCATCCCCCACCATGTCTCCATAAGAAACTACTTATCCTTTTCCTCTCGTGCGTCTAGTAGTCATCCGAGGCTTTACAACCTCCTCTTCGCTTTCCTCGTCTTCTTCCATCTCTTCGCCGGCACCATCGTCCTCGGTATGTGAGAAGTATGGACTCTTAATCTCTTTCTTGATACCATTCTTCTTACGTGGTGATATGACAACACGAGGCGAAGAGTTGCGTCTCTTGATCGACTTTTGAGGTGCAGAATCCTCAGATGCGTCTGTGAGATCGGACAAAGAGGATGAATGAGCTTCTTCATCATCTTCATTCTCGTGCTCTTCTTCTTCGGACTCAGAGATAATAGCTTTGCTCTTTCTAGCAGGACGTTTTGGCGTTGGCTTAGAAACAGCTTTTGCCTTGGCTTTGGGTGCTGCTTTTGGCTTCGCATTTGGTTTAGCAGTAGCTGTAGAAGCACGAGGATTGCGATGTTGAGGTGGGAGTTCTTCGGCGTCCATGTCTTCCTCGCTCTCTTCTTCCTCTTTCACAGGCTCAGCATCAGATGATTGAGCTTGACGGCTTGCGGCTGCCAGAGACATTGGCGCAAAGTGCGAGCTAGTGACTGGTTTCTTCTCTTCTTCTGCATCGTCCTCATCGAGTAGAAAGCCACCACCTATCTCGATGTCGGCGTCTTCTGCTTTGGTATCGTCCTCATCTTCATCTTCAGGCATGAAACCGCCACCACCAAGACTAAGGTCTGTGTCTTCCTCTTTGGTGTCCTGGGGTTTCTCGTCTTCTTCATCTTCGGAAACCAAGAAGCCGCCACCCATAGTCATCTCATCTCTGGGCGTTTTCTTCTTCTTTTGCTTGTCGCGATTCACGAATGGGTTGACCTCGTCAATCTCGTTCGGTCGACCAGCATAATCTGACCTGATACGTTCGACGATACGCAAGCCCATAAGGAATTTGCGCCACAAATGCAGATTAGTAGCCTGCCTCTTGACGTCTTCTTTACGTTTGCGTTCGGCTTCCTCAACTTCCCAAGCGTCAATGACAGCGTCTTCATTCTCGGCAGCCACGACCACACCAGTGATGATGGGAACTGCGCGCTGCTTGCCGAACTCAAAACCTGTGCATGCTTCGGCATAGTCGATGTTGAGTTTTCTGCAGATTCTGGCAGTGCTGCGAAGGGGAATATGGACAGCACCTTTGGGTATCATCGACGGTACATACACGTCAATATTGTTGTATGCATTTTTAGGAATGATACCATTCTCAATTGGTGGTGGAATGATCCATTCAGTTTGGTCGATGCCGTACAGGCCTTGTTTGAGCTTCTCGCCAGTCTCGCGTTCAGCTTCTTCCATTTCACGCTTACGCATGAGGGTGACCGCTCGCACGGGGACCATCTTGAGAGGTTGCTCCCCAAGCTTGATTTGTCGACCTTCTTTATGCCATGACTCAACAGTCTTGCAGTTCACAACGTCAGCTCGCCTGTATACAGGTTCTGACTTTTCCTTGTCGCCCTTGCCAGAGGTGAATGTCCTGACTTGCTTTGCATCAGGAAGGATGGCTTCTTCACGACGAAGATGGCGTTCAAGAACAAATTCAGCACTTTGTTTGTACCATTGCAATGACTCTGTCGCGACCTTGGCCTTNNCCTCTGCCGCCGGCTTGAAAGGTTTGAGATCTGTAGACTCTTCAATGTCGTCTGCTGCAGTACGCTTATTGTGAGGGCGGACAAAAGGTGACATGATACGCTTGAAGAAATCATAGTCTTCAGTCTTGATGACCTTGCCACGCTTATTGAGAACAGGTATTTTCTCGACGGGCATACGGAAACCTTTAGTACGCCCAGGCAATTGGTGCTTCTTGAGGTAGCGCACAGTGACATCCTTGCAAGTTGTGTCTTGGTTGTGAGCGATAACATAACAGATGACCTGTTTAGCTTGATCGGCACGCTTGCCTCGAGGTTCGAAGGTAGATAACAATTCTTGGTTGCTAGCAACAGTGGACAGGACGATAGAGTCGACTGGAATGTAAGTGTTCGACACTGGAGACAGTACCTCTGTCCAGTAATGAGGGTATGCCAGGTCGCGGTCGTATTTCTTCGTGTTCTTTGGTGGAGGTGCGGGTGTAATGTCGATTACTGAAGCATCGTCATCGTCGTCGGCGTCTGATGGTACACTTGAGAGCTCACTAGACTCGTCTTTGACCACAGCGCTTTGAGATTTTCGAGTAGACTTCCGAGCAGGCTTCTCGATCTTGGGTGGCTTCTTTGCTTTCGCTTTTGATTTGGGTTTGGGAGATTCAGCAGCACTCTCCTCGTCAGAGATCTCGACAGGGTTGGTGGATGTAGTTTGCGGCTGCTTCTTGATCTCTCCATCCTCGACTTTCGTCCAGCCGAAGCCAGTGGGCTGCAGACTGGCGACCATTCTAGACTCAATGCCGATGGCTCTGATCAGAGCAGTAAACAGCTGGGCGCCAACATCTCGCGAGCCTCGGCATTCTTTTGCGCACTTGCGAAACTCGTCGATGTTCTCGATGCGTTCGCCATGGCGTTCGAAGTTGGACTTGTTCTTTGCCCATGCCTTGATCTCATAGGTGATGAGTCTTTGCGGCAGGTAGCCTTGCTTGCGTATACCAGGAGCAGTGACGTTGAAGCGCTTTCTCCAGTAGGCAGTCAAGACTTTGAGCAGTCTAAGCAGAGGGTCTCCACTGCTGAGGTTGGGCACGCCAGGCTCGAGTCTATCAGCGTCTTGTCCCCAATCCCGTCCCTTGTTGTTTCCCTTGCTCTTTCCTTTCTGCTTCTTCTTGGGTGGAGGCTGCTTCATGCCCATATTGATCTTCCAGCGATCGATCTCGTCTTTAACACCTTGGCTCAGACTGTCAAGCAGGATCTTGTGTAGTTCGGCGTCGTTGAGCCATGAGTTACGGACGGCGTTGTGGAAGAGTAGAGTTTGGACGTGGATACAATGTGCTCGGATGCGGGCCTGGCGTTCTCTCTTGGAAGGACCCTTCTTAGCCTTTGCTTGCTGCTCAGCGGCGGCGATGGCCTGGACACTTCCGTCCTCGTTGATGGAGATGTTGATGTCTTGGATGGCACTGTCGTCGTCGACCTTGTCTTCCCTGAGCAGGAATGGCGTCTTCCCAGTCCATATCCTCTCCATCTTCCTGCTCTTTTGGTGCTTGTTGCATGGGCACATCTTNNCGAAGTCGTGGTCGTCGTCCTCGGAAGACGAGGCATCGTCGTCGTCATTGTCGTCGCTATCGCCTTTGCCAACGCTTTCAAAGAAGTTCTTAGCCTCTTCGGCTGTTGCCTTGGTGTTCAGAGTATCGATTGCATCAAAGACACTGCTCTTAGGCTTGGTGGGCTTGGTGGGTTTTTTGTCGACGGAAGCTTTCTTGCCACGGGCAGTCTCTCTTCGTTTGGCAGGAGGGGCTTCAGGCGAGGGCGAGCGCCTCTTGCGCGGAACGAACGGAGGCATCTATCTCATCAATTTCATCAAGGAGGAACAATGCTGAGACTTTGGAAATGCAAAGAGCATGTGCAGAGACAGATCAATAATGTTTCCACTTTGGTGCTGGTACCTGCAGCTCATCGACGTCATGCAACACGTTCGCAACACGACAGACGCGACGACAAAATTTATTTGGAAAAAGAAAACAATCATTCCATCCACCTTGACGACATTATTGACATGGCTGGTCATGAATTTGCTCATGCAGACGCCATAGCAGATTGTGTTCTTGCTGCCTTTGATGCGCTGCCAGCACATCGCAAACCGCGACTGCCTTCCTCAGGCCTCAAAGCAGGCCGTAGAGAATGGGTTCCATTAGCAGGCATTGTCCTTGAGAACAGCCACGGTGCTTTGACATGTGCCGCCCTGGCTACTGGCATGAAATGCTTACCTCGTGATAAGATACAAAGTCTGAATGGCAATGTCGTACACGATAGCCATGCTGAGATTCTGGCTTTGCGAGCCTTCAACCGCTTCCTTCTTGATCAGTCAGACTTGCTGTGTGCTGATCCTTCTGCTGACAATATCCTGCGACCAACTTCCGCAGAAAAGCCCTTCGCAATCGATCCCCACATCACTATCCATATGTACTGTAGCGAGGCTCCTTGCGGTGACGCCAGTATGGAACTTACCATGGCTCAACAGGACGATCAATCTCCTTGGACTGCGACAACTGAAGTTGAACCCGACGAACTGTTTGGAAGAGGTTACTTTGGCACTCTAGGCGTAGTACGGCGGAAACCTGCTCGGCCAGACGCTCCTCCGACCTTATCCAAGTCATGCTCTGACAAGCTGGCCCTCAAGCAATACACGTCTGTCCTTTCTGTTGTCAGCTCTCTATTGATACATCCGGAGAATGCATACATTCATACTCTTGTCATGCCTCAGAGTCAATTGGTCTCTGAAGCTTGTGATCGAGCTTTTGGTCGCGATGGACGTCTGTCAGCGTTGCAAAGTGTATCCTCTGGCCCTTTCGCCTTTCGTCCTTTTACTGTCCGTCCAACTACGCGCGAGTTCTCCTTCAGTCGTCGTATAGCGGACCCATCTACCACTTCGATTGTACCGTCGAACATCTCTTCTCTGACACATGGTCCCAAACAAGAGACTCTTATCAATGGCACGCTTCAANNGGGGAGAAAGCAAGGCGATCCGAGAGGAGCTTCTGCCGTCTCCAGACGCTCAATGTGGGTTCTGGCTCTCAAGGTTGCCGCTTCACTGGCACAACCTGCTCTTGTTGCTGCTCTCAGTGCGAAGTCTTACGCACATGTCAAAGCCAGCAAGATGCTGTCTGACCGAGAAGCTGCTAAGCAAACCGCCAGAGACTTGTCTTTACAAGGCTGGAAGAGAAACGCGGGTGATGATGAGTGGTCATTATCGGCCACAAGATCTCCTGCCTAACTAGATGGAACCGAAAGTCCCCTCTAGAACGGAACTGAATGTTTCAAAGGACTTTGTCTGTTTTGTCAACTCTGAAGCAAGCGAAGTAGGCCATAAACTCTACTCTAGGCCACCTCCTGAACGTCCATGGTTTATATGGCATGGTATGTCGTTTAAGCTACGATGTTACGATTCTACTTCACTTTCACAGCACACAAAGTCCGTCCTCAAAATGATTGTGCATCGAAACAACCTGATTTTAGATCTGATGGATCTAGGCCCGAGGTGGCACAAAATCGATCCACACCTTCCTTAGTATTGGCCATCCAAAGTAAAGGTGCCTGTCTTTGTGATCAAGTACTCGTTGACCGCAACATCCTTACCTGACTCCTTTCCATAGCCACTTTCCTTGATACCTCCAAATGGACTCTCTGCGGCAGACGAGTTGCCTACATCCCGAAATTAGCAATTGCATCTCCTCTCGAAAGTCAGAAGAAACTCACCAGTATTGATACCAATCATACCAGCTTCAAGATTCTCAAACAATCTCCAAGTCCTGTCAATATTCTTGGTAAAGAAGTAACTAGCCAACCCCATACTGGTGTTGTTCGCCCTCTCCACCGCCTCTTCCTCAGTGTCAAAAGGAAACATTGCAAGCACAGGTGCAAAAGTCTCTTCATTCGCAATCAACATCTCCGCATTCGCATCTCCGATAATCGCAGGTTCGAAGAAGTAACCTTCTGCATCTTTGTTTCTTTGGCCACTGCCGAGTAGCAATTTGCCTCCATGAGAGACCGCGTCTTTGACTTGCGATTCGGCTTTGTCGAGGCCGCGGGAGGTGGTTACAGGGCCGAGGGTTGTTTTGGACTCGCTGCCGTGGCCCATCACGAGGCCTTTGGTCTTTTGGACTATGAGCTCGGTGAAGTCTTTGTAGATTGATTTTTGGACGTAGACGCGGTTGGCGGTTATGCAGGCTTGGCCTGCGTGGCGCCATTTGAGGGCCATGAGTGCNNTGTGGATGTGTCGTTAGTTGTGATGCTACCAAGACTGGTTAGGAGATAACGTACCATTGGCTGCTTGTTCCAGGTCTGCATCTTCGAACACGAGGAAGGGGCAATTGCCTCCAAGTTCGAGTGTCACTTTCTTCAACCCATCAGAACAGATTTTGGCTACCAGTTTGCCAACACGAGTGCTGCCTGTGAAGGTGACCTTCTTCACAAACTCATGTCGGCACAAGGTTCCAGACAACGATGGAGTGTTGTCGAGACTGGTGGTCAAAACATTGAACACACCAGGAGGGAAGCCTGCTTGAAGAGCCAGGTAGCCCAAAGTCAAGACGGAGAAAGGTGTCTCTGGCGATGGCTTGACGATCATAGTGCAACCTGCTGCCAGAGCTGCTCCAGCTTTACGGAGGATCATTGCGATGGGGAAGTTCCATGGTGTCAGTGCTACCGCAACACCGATGGGCTGCTTAATGGTAAAGACACGACGACCTGGTGCTGCGGGTGTAGAGACCGTTCCTTGGATTCTTTCAGCCTCTCCTGCAAACCNACCTGTATCAAGTCAACAACGTATCTCCAAAACGCCAACATAGCACCAAACCCACCAAGTAAATCCTAGAGCATAGTCGAGCTCTCCCTGACTCTCAGCGATGGGTTTGCCAGTCTCATAGGTTACGATCTTCGCAATGTCGTCTCTGTGCTCTCGAATGAGTGCATCCCACTTCAAAAGCCATTGTGCCCGAGTTCTAGGGTTGACCTTGCGATAAGACTCAAAAGCCGTCTGAGCAGCTTGGACAGTCTTGTCTACATCCTCAGGTCCATTATCAGGAGCACTAGCCCAAGTTTTGCCAGTACCAGGATCNNTGTTTCTCAGACGTCAATATGCATGGATCTTTTGCATCACCCTACATAATGGCTCCATACCGACAACATCAAACCGCTTTTTGGATTGGGCGTCTACCCACTCGCCATTGACGAGAGAATGATCGCGGAATATATCCTTGTTGTTTAACTGGTTGGATGGGGTGTTTTAGTATGCTACGTCAGCAATCGGGGGTCTTGGTTGCAATCGCTTTACTTTGAAGGGTAGCTCCGACGCCATGGCTATATCACACTTTTTGACTACGGTTGTGCAGGCAATTGCTTTTTTTTCCTTCCTTCCTTTGTTTCTTTTCCTCTGGTCAGATAAGACGCCAATATACGATTAGATAGCAGAAAGGAGCAAGGGAACAAGAAATAAAGAATGAATGATGCGCATATCTCTCACGACATTGTGCATTTTTGAGGGGTTGGTTTTGTTGCTCCCTCGGGATCTCAGAAAAGGCGGGGTCGAGAGCTTCCACCCTGGTGGGCATGAGGAGAGCTCCAGCAGCTGTCAAAAGCATATCTTCAACCTTGCTTCTGTAACAGTAGTACAGAGTACATACTATTGTTATCACCAGCCTCTGGCGTGCGTGGCTGGCCGCGTGCATCTGTTTACGATTTCGTCTTTGCAAACGGGTGGGATTGAAGAAAAAAAGTTCTCACGGCGTAAATCGTCATCGAAGGAAGGTGCATATGTTCTATACGAGCCGTCCTTCCACCCGAATGCTTGGTTTGAAGGGAGGTGTGGTACATGGTGACTTTGGTAAAAACTGTTGTATTGTGTGAAGTAGGGGTAAAGATACGTCTTTGTGAGATTGACAGAACCACCCTTGGGAGGTGTCACAACAGACAGTGTGGATGTTGATAGAGAGCGTCGGTTTTGTTGACTGCTATATAAATATCATCTCTTCATAACCTCACCATCACGAGACAGATTTTGCTTACCACTTGCGCTTTCTTACCTTTTCGATAGACTACATTGCATATTGTCGAGTCTGTCGATGGTTTGTAGCTCAATCCACTCTCTTGCTGTCTTCCACAAGACATGATGCTCGTGTAGCCCTGTCTTCGCGAGACTCTCTTATACATGGCTCTCGTCGCAGATCTGAGTGCTAACATACTCGTCTGCATGACGCAGGCTCTCGACGCGTTGATTTGAAGCAGCATGTTGTGAGCATGCTGAAACTGACAGCCTAGCATATACAGCAGAACAATGAAATATAGATAGGCGTCTCGTGAGTCCAATTCAAGAATCGATAGGAGGAAGGTCGGAGTTTAAGAAGGAGCAACTCGAAGTTACAATGCCTAAGCAAAATCGCTTGTTGTTTCTGCCAGCAATTAAGCATTGAGACATCGTAGTCGTGTGTCGGTCATGACCGAACTCTTCCAGGGTGACTTTTGAGCCGAGCATGCCGGGCATCTACAACCCGAGCGGCTGCTTCATGGCTCCGGAAGCCGTAGTTGATATAATGAGTCAACAGGTACAGATGGATTCGGATATGTTACGGACGAACAAACAAGTCGGACAAATTGCCATTCGCACCGTGAAGTTTGACCAACACTTTCAACGACCGGCATAAACGGATGTTGAAATTTTGTTTATGGTGTAAACACCACAACAGCAACGAGCAGATGAAGGGTCTAACCACATATGCTTATCTCACCAGGGTCAAATCTCGGTGTTCGAGAGGGACATGTTTTCCAGAAATGGGCCTTGAGAGGTTTTGGAAGCTCTCATCAAACATCTCAAGCCTGATAAGACGGGTGAATTCTCGGAGACTTTCGGCGGCAGTACGAGACGTCGCAAGCAGCTGACAGTCTTACGAATCTCCAAACCATGAGAAGTGAGGGAAGTAAGATGCTTAAAAGCATTTGGACGACGCAAGTATAATCATCATCATTAACATCCCTTGGTCTTTATGTCCATGGTATTACCGAAAGTTGCTTGGTCGGTTGTTGATGCCGCAAGTCCCGTCGTTCCTGCCTTTTTCTAGCGGTTCTTTGCGAAAGGCAAAAGACAGACATTGAAACGACACGTCGTTTTAATCCCGGTGTTGGGCCGGCGGATCTATCGCTTGTCGCGGCTAATCAGTTCAATAGTCTCTGCTTGGTGTTCTGTTCAAGAATAGTTAGGTTTTCGTTAGAGTGGTATAAGTGGGTGATGGAAGCCAAGCGAAGAGAATTGAAGTGGGATTCTTGGTCGATTCGTGTTGATTCCAATTTGGTGGCTGGCGATGAGCGGCGATCAACAGGACAAAAGAACCAAGAAAACAAAACATCAAAAGGCTCGCATCCTTCTGACCCATCTTGATCGGACAAGCACGGTCAGACTCGCCGATTCTCAAACCGGACTTGTTTGAACGCACTATTGGCTGTATACGGGGTCGACTCCAGGTTATGTTCGGACCTCCTCAGAAGGATTGTGTTCGTGCTTGTCTTCGGGACTCCAGTATGACGCAGTTTCATCCTGTCCTCGCTTCAAATCAACCATTGCTTCATGTGCAATCGGTGGTTGGCTAGAAGCGCCATCGGAATGGGCGATTGATGAGTGTAAGCGCCTTATGCAGGTACAGCTAGTCATAAATCGATAGTCGTATATCAAACACGAGAAATCTCAGTAGTGTCATGCATGTGTGATATATATGACAGCGGCAGATTTTAAGCATTGGGTTAGTCAGGTACCAGAGTGGAGCTCATGGTTGCTTGTCAGGGTCATGAGCGCAACACATAACCAGAGATCACGACAGGGCATTTTCAACGTCAAGGAGGAAACACAATCACATTCTTGTGGAGAGATTGGTTAACGTAAGGCGAAAATTGGGATTACGGCATGCGGAGGTGGACCAATGTCCCCCAGGTATGATTGATAGTATGTGCCATGGTTCATGACAGGTGCACGTTTTGAGCCTGAGCATAACCGTAATGAACGACAGCAGTGCGCAAGGAGATCATTATGGGGAGCGGGGTATAACTTGATGCAAGATATGTAGCAGGAAGGTGAAGGCCATGTGTCTGTCAAAAGTAAGAAGGAAGAAAGAGGTCTTTATATGTGTCCCGCCTAAGGCGGTTCTGTCGGAGAAGAAGGTTCGGTAAACTTCACANNTGCACATTAAACCTCTTACCCACGGGGACATCCAACGTGGTCACATTGTTGTGTTTTGAGTCAATGAGTAAACAAAAACATCGTTGCTCTGGCTGCTATGGCTCGCGTGTCCTTTGACTGGTATAATGAGATCGTGCACTGTAGGCGTCTCCCCTTGGGGGCTGTTAATCTTAATTCAACCAAAGACGGTGAATTAGTTCTGGCACCGACCCCAGAGACAAGAACATGGAGAAAGTCCAGGAGAACGCGATCGGTGAAGACGTCATATGANTATGAGCTTTCCAGAGAAGCGGTAAACAAACACGAGACTCTAGAGCAAGTTCAGTCCGTTGCGATGCGATTCAGACCTTCGATGATCTTCTTTTCGCTAGATGAACTGTTTGATGAGAGACTCCACCTGGAGCCCCCGTGGAAGCATCCACCTGTCAACCCAGATCTCCAGGAGAAGCGTCCAGGGGCAAAAGGTCATGAGCCTGCAAACGTCGGGCTATACCATCGTGATACCGAGACCATCTATGATTATCTCTCCTAACAAACGGGCGTGGAGTAGAGAGTTCCATGTTGGATCTGATTGTTTGGAATACCGGTCACGTATTGAGATAAGACTAGATGGACGTTGGTGATACGCAGGTGCCATGCGAATAGTCTGTGCGGGCGTTGGAAATTGCGACTCTGCTGCTTCAGTTGACTCTCTATCAAACAATCACGAATCATTCTTGGATATTCTATGAGGACGGTGAGCTGGGCAACATTATGGTCGAACAAGTCAAGCAATTGGCAGAATCGACGTTACAACGTCTGACTCGGTGTCGATAGCAGGGACAAGCCTCGAAGGGGGGAGTGAGGTCGAGATTTCCTACAGGTCGTATATGATTGGTCGAATGGTGCATTCGGCCCGTTGGAATACCTGAGAAGGGACCCGAAGAAGGGTTTATCCCACCCGACTGGCAGGCGAACTTTGCACGAAAGCCGGCTTCTACGTCGTTGTTGACTATGCCGAATGCCGACAGGTGGCTGGAAAAAGATGCGTCCATGTGCGACATTTTTTGCTGCTTTACCAAGACACGAACGGAGGATATCCGCGGCCAAGAGTACCTACAATACAATGACGAAAAAGGCTTTGGCCGGGCATAGACGGAGAAGAGAGAATATTAGGGAATAACAGTCTTGAACGTATCGGAAGCACCGTCGGAGGTGTTTTAACAACGGCCAACGAAGAACGAGGTTAGAATGTTGTGCATTTGGCGGTCTTGGACAAACATCAGACTCGACTAGACCCTCAGCTCTCAACACATGGCTGGCATCAGTTGCATGCTACGGCGTGGAAGAGAGTTTGAAGCCTTGTTCGCTGTTCGAGAGATGTGTTTCAAAGAAGTGCTAGCGTCTGAAAATGTTGGGGGCCCAGTCTTGTCGGACCACACAAAGGCTGGAGGAACAGGGCGGCGGTTGTTGGCATGGCACCTATCCAGTCTGGGCTTGGTTGCGAGAAGAAAGCTAATTTCCGTATTTTTGCGGGAGCACCCGTGGGATACACTTGGACACTCCGAGCACGATGGTAACAGTGTGAGAGATGTTCTAGCTTACCAGTTGCGACTATCAATTCTTGTCGGAGAGCGGTCAGTGGCAAGGTGAGGAAGCGTGACAGGAACGTGGCCAGCATAAGGCGAGCTAGGTGGTGCTGTCATGACCTCCTGGGGGTCAAATGTAAAGATAGGCAATATGAGCAAACGATTTGATGGCCGTTCGATAAACGGGCGAATGACTGACAATGGTATTATTTACCCCAAAGAAGGAGAGCAGAAGCGCAGAGAAGCAGATTGGGGGAACAACCGCCGACGAACTGCTTTTTCGGTGGGGACGTCATGATGGTCGCAGAGCAGGGGACAGCTACTTTGTTTTACTGGGAGTTGCATGCAAGATGGCTAGCGACGGCAGGCTCGCAGCGAATCACGATGGTAAAGAGATGGCGGCGAGGTTGGGGAGTGGAAGCGGCATCATCATGTCGCATTATGTCACGGAATATGCAGAGAATGCGATAGGCGACAGCTGCCATGATGAGTGAGGCATCCTGATGGCGGAACTAGGTAGCATGTCGTGTGCTCTGGTGCTGAGAGGTTCGAGGCAGGACGCTGTTGCAAATNNTGACAATTTGACAGGCCCAGCGGCGGCCGTTACCGCTTGCGGCAAAGGACAACGGTATTGGAAGCAATTTAGAGATGTTTGGGCGTTAGGCGGGCCAGTCGCACAGCTAGCGAGGGTCCGGTTAGCACGGCTGGGTGGGATTACGTCGGTGCGCTTCGATCGGCCTGGGATTGGGGTGGAGCTTGTTGGAGCGAGCGACGCTTGGGACTCTCTGGCCCTGGGTTTGTGTTGATGTCCGGGCCAAAAAATGCCTCACCAAAGCAACGCAGGCCAACGCTTCAGTGAGTCGCCAAATTACCTTCACTGAGGCACGCCGTCCAGCCCACCCAGCGAATTGCAAGTGCAAGCTGACGCACAGGCCGCCAGAACGGCAGATTCGGCCACGGAAAATACAATCGCACGCTGGTCAGCCTTCCTTCAAAAGAGCTCGTCCATCCCCATTCCTCACTTTCTTCTTCCGCTCACGCAGGTGCTCACCCAGTCGACCGACCCCCACTCCTTCACCCATCGACCGCGGTCTGCCAGTGCAGCATCAGCAACATGTCGGAAACCAACCCCCCTCGTGTGTCCTTCAGCGACAAGGACCTCGAGAACGGTGCNCCCAACAACGACCGCGCCGCCTCCCGCAAGTGGTCTACCGCNCCCAGTGCCATCGAGGACCTCGACGAGTACACTGCTCTCCAGAAGTACATCTCCACTTACCGCGACCCCAAGGAGAAGGCTGCCGAGGAGGCCGATGGCGAGGGTGCCACCAGCAAGCCCAAGAAGTCTTGGCAGTTCTGGAAGAAGGGCAGCACCGCTGGTGGCTCTGGCGATGAGATGACCGTCCCCGAGGACTGGCTCGAGGCCGACATCAGACAAGGTATCTCGAACCACGACGTCGAGTCCCGCCGCAAGAAGTTCGGCTTCAACGAAATCTCCTCCGATAAGGAGAACCTCTTCATTAAATTCTTGTCATTCTTTACTGGCCCTATTCTTTATGGTACGTCTCATTAATCTTTTGCTTTTGCTGCCGATCTGGCTTGGGGCGGCTTGCACTAGCTCCTCCAATGCCATTTCCCCCGCAATTCCGCAAGCCTAATCCGCAAAAACCAAAACACGCCGCTAACCAATCATCTGCANGTTATGGAACTTGCTGTCCTTCTCGCAGCAGGTCTGCGTGATTGGATCGATTTCGGTGTCATCATCGGTATTCTCATGCTCAACGCCATTGTCGGTTGGTACCAGGAGAAGCAGGCTGCCGATGTCGTCGCCTCGCTCAAGGGTGATATCGCCATGAGAACCACTGTCGTCCGCAATGGTCAGGAGCAGAACATCCTCGCCCGTGAGCTCGTCCCCGGTGACATTGTCATCATCGAGGAGGGTTCTACCGTTCCCGGAGACGCCCGTCTTATCTGTGACTACGATGCCCCTGAGGACTTCGCCAAGTACAAGGAGCTCCGTGAGCAGCACGCCTTGAACCCCGAGGAGGACCCCGCTGGCTCTGAGGAGGGTGAGGGTGAGGAGACCGGTATCGCCCACCAGGGCCACCCCATCGTCGCCACTGACCAGTCTGCCATTACCGGTGAATCTCTCGCTGTCGACAAGTACATGGGCGACGTCGTCTACTACACCACTGGTTGCAAGCGCGGAAAGGCCTACGCCGTCCTCGTCACCTCTGCCAAGCACTCTTTCGTCGGTCGCACTGCTACTCTCGTCGCTGGTGCCAAGGACCAAGGTCACTTCAAGGCTATCATGGACTCTATCGGTACGGCTCTTCTCGTCCTCGTCATGTTCTTCATTCTCCTGTCCTGGATCGGTGGTTTCTTCCGCAACCTTGGCCTCGCTACCCCCGAATGGTCTGAGAACACTCTCCTCAAGTACGCTCTTATCCTCNNCCTGATTGTTGGTGTCCCCGTCGGTCTTCCCGTCGTTACCACCACCACTCTCGCCGTCGGTGCCGCCTACCTCGCCGAGCAGCAGGCTATCGTCCAGAAGCTCACTGCCATCGAGTCCCTCGCTGGTGTTGACATTCTCTGCTCTGACAAGACCGGTACTCTCACTGCCAACCAGCTTTCTATTCGTGAGCCTTTCGTCGCCGAGGGCCAGGACGTCAACTGGATGATGGCCGTCGCCGCTCTCGCCTCTTCCCACAACATCAAGTCCCTCGACCCCATCGACAAGGTTACCATCCTTACCCTCAAGCGTTACCCCAAGGCTCGTGAGATACTCAAGGATGAGTGGAAGACCGAGAAGTTCACTCCTTTCGACCCCGTCTCCAAGCGTATCACTGCTATCTGCACTCTCCGTGGTGACACCTACACTTGCGCCAAGGGTGCCCCCAAGGCTGTTCTTAACCTGACCGACTGCGACAAGNNGGAGACCGCCGACCTCTTCAGAGACAAGGCTACCGAGTTCGCCCGCCGTGGTTTCCGCTCTCTCGGTGTTGCCTACAAGAAGAACGACGAGCCCTGGATCCTCCTCGGTATGCTTTCCATGTTCGACCCTCCCCGTGAGGACACTGCCCAGACCATCATCGAGGCTCAGCAGCTTGGTGTTCCCGTCAAGATGCTTACTGGTGACGCTATCGCTATTGCCAAGGAGACTTGCAAGATGCTTGCTCTCGGTACCAAGGTTTACAACTCTACTAAGCTCATCCACGGTGGTCTCTCCGGTGCTGCCCAGCACGATCTCGTCGAGAAGGCTGATGGTTTCGCTGAGGTCTTCCCCGAGCACAAGTACCAGGTCGTCGAAATGCTCCAACAGCGTGGTCACTTGACTGCCATGACTGGTGACGGTGTCAACGACGCTCCTTCGCTCAAGAAGTCTGACTGTGGTATCGCTGTCGAGGGTTCCACTGAGGCTGCCCAGGCTGCCGCCGATATCGTCTTCCTTGCTCCCGGTCTCTCTACCATCGTCTACGCCATCAAGACTGCCCGCCAGATCTTCCAGCGTATGAAGGCTTACATTCAGTACCGTATCGCTCTGTGCTTGCACTTGGAACTCTACCTCGTCACCTCCATGATCATCATCAACGAGACCATCCGTGTCGACCTCATCGTCTTCATCGCCCTGTTCGCTGATTTGGCCACCGTCGCCATTGCCTACGATAACGCTCACTCCGAGCAGCGTCCCGTCGAGTGGCAGCTTCCCAAGATTTGGATCATCTCCGTCATCCTCGGTGTTCTTCTTGCCACCGGTACCTGGATCGTCCGTGGTACTCTCTTCCTTGAGCGTGGTGGTATTGTCCAGAACTTCGGTTCCGTCCAGGAGATTCTCTTCCTTGAGGTTGCCCTTACTGAGAACTGGCTCATCTTCGTTACCCGTGGTGGCAAGACCTTCCCCAACTGGCAGCTCATCCTCGCCATCCTCGGTGTTGACGCTCTCGCCACTATCTTCTGTCTCTTCGGTTGGTTGTCCGGCGACCCCCAGAACACTTCCNNCCCTCCTTCCGCCTTCTTCAAGAACGAGCGTCTCGATGGCTGGACCGACATTGTCACCGTCGTTGTCGTCTGGGCTTACTCCATTGGTGTTACCATCATCATCGCCATTGTTTACTTCCTCCTTAACCAGATCACTTGGCTCAACAACCTTGGTCGCAAGGACCGTAACATGCACGACACCAAGATGGAGAACATCATCGCTGCTCTCTCCAAGATCGCCCTCGTTCACGAGAGNGATGATGCCACCGGTGGTGACCGCTGGCTCCTTGCCGCCAAGACTGAGGACGATGATGAGGATTAGATCATGCTTTGATGCTCACTTCATGCGCTGGAGTTTTTATTAATTTTTCTTTTCCTTTTCTTCTAAATACATGTGTCTATAACACGCCCTCTGCTTGTAGAATAACGCGGAGTAATACCCAAACAAAAAGATTTCTAAAAAAATTGTTACTTTCCACTGTGCTTCTGTGATTGTTTTGACAGTTTTAATAATAATTTCCTCACAAACAAAGCCAGTCGTTGATCAAATTTTACAAAGTCATGGTCAGCAACGTTCAGTGTCCACTTCGGTGCAATTGCGATCAACNNCAAAAACTGACAAGGGAACCTTGATCCTTTGGCGATGGGGCATCGAATCGACCACCCGTCAGAAAAATGAAACACAGCGACGAAAAATTTTCGCCGTTCCTTTGTCGGCGACGGCGAGTCGGCGTTTCGCAATTTGCTTGGNCTGTTCTGCCGCAAGAGCTCGACGAGCCGACCAATCTTGTCTCTCCGCGACACGACTTGTTGTTACGAAACAAGAATTAGAGGTGTCCCGCACAAGAATTGATAAAAGGGTGTGCGGTGGATGGGCCCCGTGGAGAGGCAGGCCAGAACGACATCAGCCCCGTGGAGTTATTTGTGGGCTGCTCACGGTCTTACTTCGTAGCCTTTCGACGAGAGATCATGTCGACCTCCAAGCAGCAGGGTCGAGCCCGAAACATGACACGATTGATGTGCCCTGCTTTTCTTCCACACGGGAAGACGTGCAATCGGCCTGCAGGGCTTCGTACCAAAGATCGGCCAGACCGACGTTCGCGAGGCACACGAGCTTCACTGTTCGTATGTTCCAAAACTTTCATCGAAACCGCTCTTCTCGTCGAGTTTCAATACCAATGGTGGAACTCTAAGTTGTTTAACCAGATTGAGTTGATCAAAAATCAAATGGTCAGTCGAGGGTTTAACCACCCACAGCCGCGAAACTATGCAAAACTTGACACACGACAGTAGCAGCCAAGTCCCCAGACCGGTCACTTTTCGTCCCAAGCAAGTTACAGATCGTTCTTGGTTGCTTGTCAGTCTTGTTATTTGAAGTTGTCTTGTCATTTAGGCTTGGCCTTTATTCTGGTTCAAGACGAGGTATTTTCTGACAAAGTCTTGGTATTCTGGCTTGAGTTTTGGACTGCCCAGACTCTTTGTTACGGACGCAGAGGCGTCTCGGGGAGACTACTGCAAAGAATGGTCATAACAAAAACACGGGCCGACGCCCAGAAGCCATGTGAGAGGGTGAGAGCCCCAACCACCCACAAAAACCATGTCCAGCTTGGGGCTTGAGCTTTTGACTTTTGTGACTCCATTCCCGGACATAACTCTATGGGTTTTGTTACAACTTTTGGAGGTGTCTCTTGGCTGGGCGCTGCTGCCGCATGCGAAGCCAAAAGATGCCAATATATCGCCTAGACATTTCGAAACCCGCATCCCCAACCTCTCCTCTCCGCAAGTATCCGCGATACACTTTTTCCCTCATGCATGGGCATGCGAAACGAGTAATGGGACATGCGTCAACTCCAACCTCGTCCTCCACCTTTGTGTGATCTACCGGACATTGTTGGGGATGCGGAGAGGTTGGTATGGCGGCCGAAGGGAAAGGTTCTTGGCTGCGACTGACAAGAGTCTTGGAGGTGTCGCTCCCGACCTCACTTCATTTCTCGCACGCACGAGGTTGGCCTTCGTGCTTTCAAGTCCTTGCTTGACTTTCTTGTCGTGGTCTTGTCGTGGGTATCACAATTCCCTGCTCCAGTGCACCTGCATCGCGTTTCGGTCTCAAGCGCCTGTCAAAACGCAGGTGACTGACTTGGCAGATGGCTGTGATCACGAACAATATCTGCTAAACAGGAGTAAAGATTAAGTACACAGAAAGAGTGGTTTAGACAACATCACCTCTTATTACATGATCATATGCTCTGATGTCTGTCTTGAGGACAAACCACAATGCACTGAGAAGTGAGTGTCGACATGCGACAGGCACACGACCACTGTTCTTACCAACAACAAGCCCATACGCGCCAGAGACAGCCAGAGAGGACCACAAGGTTACAGATGCCACCTGTGTCTGTTTGTTGTCAAGAATTGTGTGGAGATGGCACTTATCGTCTCTCTCGCTCCTTCAACTCGATTACCAACCACGGCCAGCGACTCATCAGAGAACTTGACACTCTTGATGGCAGGTAGCGCATGCGGACTGATCACCTTTGTTGAGCCACCAGGAGCACAAGCTCTTCGCAGATCAAGCATTCCTTCGCTGGGGCAGCATACACCAATCCCCAATCAACACCCCGAGTATAGGGCCTGGCAACCTACTTCGTGGCAGGTGCATGCTGCTACTGAGATACATGATTGGATCTCAAATCTGTGGAACGACCATTGGATCCAGGACTGCTACGACTATGATCTTGTTGAGACGATGACTGCGCCATCCCCATCATCACGTAAGTTGCCAGGAGATTGCGACACCATCACGATCGTCCTCCTATCGAGATTATCGATGTTGTGAATTGCGATCGAAAGACAGGAACTTGCGGAGTTGTTTCAATTGAGTGTGATGGTCTTGAAGTGGTAGGTCCACCTGCGGCTGCTTTGATTGGCTACACATGGTCACGTACTCCACAAGTCCCCACGGTGTTGACTTTAACACTTATCATGCCATCCATGTAAATCAGCTCTCCTCTCCTGTAGGTTAGCCATGTAAGCCGTGTTGGGACTCAGATTTCCTTGTCGTTCATGATGTAGAAAAGCCCAAGGATCGCACTTTCCGTTCTTACCTCTTTTCATACTCTTTCATCAAAGCGGAAAGAACAACCATGGCGAACAATTTTATGATAAAGCTCCTTATTCTCTTCTTTGGGTACCTAAACTTCTTCGGTGCCGATGCCCAGATCTCCAAGAAGCCGGATGCTGCTTCTTCAGCCATCCAACAAGGCGGATATCAAGCCAGCACTCTTCTTACCTCCGTCATCAACAAGGCCGACATTACCCTTCACGATGTCAACACCCCCGATACTCAACCAGACTTTGCCGAGATGGACAACGATGAAGTCCTCTCCGACGTCGAAGAGGATGATGACGACGATGAACTCATGAATGCCAACTCCACCAACTCTGGAGACGTTGCCGTGAGCAGCGCTTCCAAAGGAGGCAAGCGACTGAAAGCTAAATTTTCCGCTACCGCAAAGCCGATTGCGAGAAGAAGAGACGACCCAAAAGTGGCAAGAAGTTGAAGGAGGGAAAGTGCCACAAATTGCACAAGCGCCACTTCAACTCTTTTGACTTCTGCTTGGGCAAGCAGAAGAAAGACAAGAAAGACAAAGATGAAGACGATGACGACGAATCAGAGACCCCGTCGGGATGCAGAGTGATCATCTTTTCGACAAAAAGTGCAAAGATGAAGCTTCGAGCACCGCTGAGGAATCTTGCAAGGATATCGGCGAGGAAGGAGCTGACGATGACGACGACAAGGACGACGAAGACGACGACGACAAGAAGTTGCACGCCAGAGACCTGATGGGAAAGAAGGGCAAAGGTCCAAAGTATAAGAGTGCAAAGTTCATCTGCGACGGCGTCGACACTTCTGAAAACACTACAAGGACCGAGACCGAGGACGATTATTCCGCTACAACCGCTGTCTCTTCACAAACCATCCGTGTCGCCGATCCTACTGGTTCGTCTTCAAAGTCCTTCGTTCCGTCTTCTATAGCCGCCACTGGATCAACAAAATCGGCCACTCACCATTCGTCAAAGACTGGGTCTGGAAAAACGACTACCACCAGCGCACCAACCGACGAGAAAGACTCCGATGACGATGACGACGATGATGATGACAAAGAGGACGAAAAGGAAGACGACGACAAAGAGGATGAAAAGGAAGATGATGACGAGGACAAAACATCCAGCACTTCCGCAACCCAGACCACCAAGACCAAGAAACACAAGTCCAAGTCCCACAAGTCGAAGACGCACACCAAGACTAAGAAACACAGCCACACAAAGACACAGAGCGTCACTACAGAGTCTGCACAGGCTACCAGCGACAGCCCAGGTATATGAGGCTTTGCTGCCTCCTCTTTGGTATCTCCTCCAACCATACATACCACTCTTTTGATTTCGTATGGCAAAACTCCAACACTCTTTCAGTATTCGCGCTCAGAGACATCCATACTTGACATCCACCACGGACACTGCAGTTTTGGATCCTTTGGTCCTATACAGCAATTATGAGCAAAAGACAATAAAAGCAAAGAGATAGCCAGCATAATCAAGATAAGAAGTTACCCATGATCACCCCTTTACCTCATGTCATATCTTCGTCATAATAGAAGCCAGTGATCGATCATCATGAGCATCACTATATGAGTCCCTCTTCTGAAAACATTGGAGTCCTTCATTCAAGTAAGTATGATATTATCCCATGCTATGGTAACTAGATCATCTATATATCTCATCAGAGGAACCTCACACTACTGGCATTAGACGTCGAAGCCGCCAACACACCCTTAGGCACACCTCGATCTCGTGTCATATCCTCAGCAGCCACATCTTCCCACGCATCATCATCGACATGCTGATTTTTCACAGCATCAGGTTCTTCAAGTGTAGCCATGGAGCTACTAATCCTATTCCCTGCTTCCACTTGTACCAAACTCTTTCGTCCGCGCATGTGTCTCGCACCACTGAAACTGTCATTGCTGACTAATTTGCTCAGCCGGTCTTCGCTTTTGTTTTCTTTGTCATCATCCGAAGAAGACGAGGTCTTTAGTCTCTGCTTACGGCCTTTGATGCCTGATGCACTGACACCAGTAAGTGTGACTCGCACTGGCGATGGAGATCTCGAAGCCAAGTTTCCAGAGCTATTGCGGTTGAGTCTTTCGGCCCATCTGCGCCGTGCAGCTTCGCGGCTGTTGCTGGTGGTGCGGAGCACAATGCTTGGTGGAGGCGTGGGCGAGGCTTCTCCTGGCCGTACCCACGTGTGTTGATGGCGTGGCAATTCCATCTCGACGGCGTATTCGGCGTATTGGGTTGCTGCTCTTGCGTCTAAGTTGTCGCGCGAGAGTGTGCTGCTGGTGTCGGTGGTTGTCCAGTTGTCTGCTGTGTTTGCTGGAGGCAAGGTTAGGCTGTTGTTGGTGCCACGAACGGGAGATGGTGTTATGGCTCGTGGGAGACCGGGTGGGAAGACATGTGGGCCTGAGACTAAGCGGCGAGGGTTGCGAGCTGGAGGCTCGAGGAGTGATGAGGAAGTGGTTTGTCGGCGTACGCTTGGGCTACCCTTGATGGAGCCGAGATTGCTGTAGAGTCCCATGTTTGAGGAACGCCTCGATGAAGCGAATAGCACTGGACTCATGACACCGCTGCTCGCACGACTGCGGATGAATGATTGTCGTTTCTCAGCTAGAGGCCTACGGTCTACAACGCTTTCAGTCTGGCTGACTAGACGAATGCTACGACGTTTTTCTGCTTCTGTCAGAGATCGTCGCTTGTCTGTGGTTGCGATCAATGCTGAGTTCCTGTTGGAGTTCGACTCAGGATAGTCTGATGGCTTGGTCGAGAGTATGCTTGTCCCATGTGTATTGAGGGAACCTCGGCTACTTCGGTCTCTGGTGATAGAGAAGGTGCTACTCAGCCGGCTCTTTCTGTTTGGGCGATGTATCACAGTGCCCCTCGTTGTGATGCCCAGATCCGGATGCCAGCTCTTGATCAATCTCGACGCACGCTTGCTGGGAGAAAGCCTTCCGAATTCTGATAATCTTTGGCGAGAATCTCGACTATTTCGCCTTGCTAATTCTGTAGCTGCAGAATAGCTATGGTGTGGCGTATGCGTTGTACCTGATGCCCTGCCCCAGACTGGAATATTTGAATCTGCCTGTATCGCTGCTTCCCCATCTCCAAGCGAACTAACTACAGACAGCTTGCTTTGGCGAGCATCTCTTCCAAGGAATTGTCGTGGTTTGATGGGTGGTTGCATTGCCGTTGACAAATCGACCTCCAATTGAGGAGGCTCATCTGGTGAGTGCTTGACGGGCGATCCAACATATTTTTCTTCGTCCTGATTTCTTTCTGCGACCATAGGCTCTTGATCGCCGTAGGGCACCACGGGCCTGACCGCACTTTTCTCTATCTTCTTGCGAGGTTGTTTTCTTCGCCGGCGGCAACATAACATCGCGACAGCAAAGAACAGAGCTAGAACTGCCAGACAGCCAATGACAATGCCCACTATGATACCAGCTGTCATGCTCTTATCCTTCGAGTTCGCAGGTGGAGCTGTGGTGGAGGGCAATGTAGTCGAGGTCGGGCTCGGTGTAGTGCTCGAACTCGTACGAGAGGTTGCTACCGTGGTGACTGCTTTCAAGTTGATGTAGAATGTTTGAGTTTCCGACTTTGAATCTGAAGAAGCAGTCAAGGTAATTTTGTTCGATGAAGCCTTGGCTGTGGTAGGCGGAGTGCCCTGAAGCTGGCGTTTGCTGGCATCATATTGCAACCAGGACGAGGCTGAACCGACATCAACGCTAAGATTCATATTGCTCTGAATTAACAATGACGGAGCGAAGATGTAGCTGAATGCTCTTCCGGCTGTTGCAGTCAGATTTCCAACTTCATCGTCGAAAAGCGATGCATTTGCTGTCCGAAGCAAGATGTTTTTGATTGCCGTATCTCCAAACGTATCTGTGACAGTGATGGATATGCTTTNTGATTCGAAGCCTTGCGGGGGTATTCCTGTCAACTCAAGGGAGCTGTTGTGGAAAGTGAGCCAATCTGGGGCCTCTGCAACGACCTTCTGCAGTTGACTACTTGTGACTTGTTTGCCATTGATGCGTAGCTGGTCTATAAAAGGCCCCAGCATAACTTTTGCTCCTGGCGCAACCGTAGTGTTCTCTGCTTGAGGGCTGAACGCTAGCTGATTGCTGCTAATGAGCAAGCTGAATGTTGTTGTCGCTCCTGCAAAGCCAGCCACATCCGACGCAATGAAGTCGACACCGTATGTTTGAGACCCGGTCACTAATACAGGAGTCATGCCCCAGAATGTCAGAGAGCTGCTGTCGAATTTCAGCCAGGATGGAAGTGGTGTTCGATCGGGCATTGTAGCATAGTAAGACTGAATAGTGCCCGGATCGCCAAACAGATGATTCGAGAACGTGATCGCAAAGGCGGTGGATGGTTGCAAGATCAAGGTTGTTGGTCCTGACAAGGGCCCTGATCTTGCAAGATCAGCTGAAATATTGCCTGTCAGAGCCGGGGCGCTATTGCTTGCTACCACCAGAGTACAACTCATAGCAACCGAGCCGTCATGGCCGGTTGCCACGATTCTGAAAGTATTCGGACCGGTATTGCCCTGACCAGGTGTGCCATATAGAGTCCGTGTCGTGCTCTCCAGATTCAACCAAGCAGGTGCACCCGCCAGGCTATAAACTAACGCACTGCCATCGCCAGGGACGAATGTCGTAGGGGCCAGCTGAAAGACGTAGGCTTCGTTCGCTCGTGCGAGGGTCGGTACTTGCGAGTTGAAGGGAAATGCGACTTGTGGCAAGGCCGATACCAGCGCGTGAAAGAGTACCGAGCAGAGTAAGCCGCGCATCGTGCTACTGGCTTCTGCGTTTAGCTCCAGACCGTAGCAGTCTGCGCGTGGATACGAACAGCGTTTGACGATAGTTGCAGGTCAAAATTTGTTGCGCAGAAAGCGATACTCTGGCCGCACGAGAGAGGAACAATTTGCATCCCTTCATCGACTACCCGTACAGCCACCACACACGCTTCTGACGCGAGAAGACGTGTATAGCGATTGCATTTTGAGGTGGCCTTGCCTTCTGGTTGGAGGAATGATTTTCTGAAGAATGAACGAGGGTGGGCTGGAATCTGTGTGCTGGGAAGCAAGGGATCGTGTTAGTGACACCACACATACAGACCTTCTTGACAGAGACGCCTCCCACTCAATCATTCAAGTGTTATGTTCAGAGACCAGAATCAACTCATCAATATCATGAATTTGTGATGGTTGGTATTTTTGTGTTTCGTTTGGCTCAAATCGGGAGTCGATATGACTTGAACGTGACATGTCAAGGCCATTGTTCTCGTATCGATACCATCCCGAGACACATGCCTACCTGGCTGAGGAATGTTGTCCATGTGTACCTGGTATACCAAGTGTGAAGAATACAGGTCGACTACTCGAATAGCACCACGATATCGCAGATGTCAGCATTCAAGAAGCACTTGTGATGCCCGGACTGCGAGTGAACATCATTGCATCTCAAGACCATGCTCGTATATAACATCGTCTGATAGTCAAGTGCCAAAAGTAAGCAGAACAGAAGTCGACAAAGTGCTTGACCGGCAGTCGCAAGCTTCCACAGCAAAAAGGTCTAGAAGCAAACAGCCACGGCAACTCTAGCCTCCACTTTCCACCTCCCACCTCTGCCATCCCAAAAACTTACCGATGGCAAACATATCCCCCTTCACCACACACGCCATATTCCCATCAAAATTATCACAATGACATTATCCGACGACGAAAGAGATGGTGTCTTCGACATTGACGAAGAACTCGTGCCAGTGCGAGAGCTCAAGCAAGCTGGCGTTATGGAAGTGGATTTTGAGGGTTTGTTAAAGACACCCCTGAGGTTGGAAGAAGATCTTAAGAAGGGGTGTGGTGGGATGTTGTGGCCTGCTGGTATGGTCATGGCAAAGTATTTGATCAGACAGGATAAAGATCTTTTCAAGGATAAGACGGTGTAAGTGTGATGCCAAGACATGATGGCACATGTGGATAGTTATGCTGACAAGGGTCTTAGAGTCGAATTGGGTGCTGGAGGTGGTTTGGTCGGGTGAGTTATATCAAATCTGATCTAGAAGATCGAATTGGCTGACAGGCACGTTTCTTTGTTGATAGTNCTTGCTGTCGCTCTGGGCTTTCAACTCGACCATCCTCTACATCTCACAGATCAAATCCCCATGCTCGGCTTAATGCAACGCAACATCGCACTCAACAACCTCCAAGACCAAGTCAAAGCATCGATATACGACTGGGGCGAGTCTGTTCCGGAAGGTATACCTCAACGCCCAGATGTCATTCTAGCAGCCGAATGCGTCTACTTCGAGCCTGCATTCCCTCTTTTGCAACAGACCATGAAGGACCTCATTGGACCAAACACAATCTGCTATTTCTGCTTCAAGAAGCGCAGACGAGCAGACATGAACTTTGTCAAGGTCATGAAGAAGATGTTTATGGTCGAGCCTGTTGAAGATGATCCTGACAAACCGACGTGGTCGAGAGAGAATCTTCATTTGTAAGTTCAACGTGAGAAGAATCCGAAGCTTTACTAACGTCGTCAAAGCTTCAAGGTCACTCTGAAGCAGAAGAAGGCATGAGCACTACACTGGCCGAGAACGGCAATCAGGGGGGTTGCAAGATAATTACTCGCACCTGCCAGACCCAGGATCATCGGTACCAAACAGCATATCGCCATGGCTGGGGAGCATAAATCGATCAGCAGGGACACTGAGGCCGGTCGACGATTGTCCTTGGGAAAGAACCAACAACGAAGTACAACCAAACATAGCATACACAGGAAAGTACAAAGCAAAAGAGTATAGTATTCATATCAACATACATTCTCCCATCGCACATCATAAACATCATAAAGCATCCATCCAAAGCCATAAACCAGTCTCACTCATTCCCATACACCCTCCCCTCTCCAAAACCTCAAACCTCAATCTCACTCCTCTCCCCCTCATCCCCATCTTCTCTACCCAAACTCCTCTTCTGCCTCCTCCTCTTAATAGCCGCAATCTTCACACTCCTTTTCTTGCCACACCTGGTACACCTACACCTCAACCCCCTCTCACAAACCCTCTCTTTCTCTATCCTCCTACTCCCCACCTCCCCCCTCGGCAACCTCAAAAACCTCCTATCTTGCATTTCCTCAACAACACCAGGGGTTGCGAAAATTGTTGGTGAGGGGTGTGAGTGTGATGTTTGGTGTTTGTGGTCCTGTGGTCATGAGGACGATATCTGAAGTTGAAGGTGACAGGGGTTTTGGTGGTAGAGTTGGTTGCTGTGGTTGGATGAAAGTTGGTTTTGTGTTGTTGCTGTTGCTGTTGCTGCTGGAGATACAAGATTGTAAAAATTGCAACAGGTTTGTGCGGTAAATGGCTGGGTTGATGATGAAGCAATTGTCGTGGTGTGAGATGTGCGGGTGTACGATATCGATTGGCATAATTTCTTTGTTTCGTTCTTTTCGAGCAATTGGATTTCTTTTTGAAGATGGCAGTGTTGTAAGGAGTTGATGAAGAAGGTTGGTGATTTCTGCTCTCGCGAGGTATGAGATGGCCTTATGGCGTTCAGAGGAATGAAGCGGTCGTAGTATGGAGCAACCGAAGCTTGCTAAACAATGCTGATATACTTCCGGGTCGCCGTTTATGTGTGGGATCTGTAATCAGAAAAAGATACAAGAAGTGTTCATGAAGGTTGTAACCAAAGGAGATACTGATGACAACAATTGAGATGCTGGAGATGCGAAAGTAGTGGTAGGACAGGAGCGGTGAGCCTCAAAATTTGGCAGGCACCAAAACAACTACTCGATTTACCGAAACATCGTCATCACCGCTTCTCTACCTTGGAAGCAAGAAACGGTCTGTGTTTGAAACTTGATACAAAAACATAGGGTATAGAAGAACATAAAGAGAGAAAAAAAAAGGATGGAGACAGAAAAGTGACTTTCGCACGCCGAGAAGTCAAAATTGCTCCAACCGGAAAGTATCAAACTCCTGGACGCCTTCGCTCGACAAAACAGTAAACCCCATCATGGTCCTCAAAAGGTTGCCTTATGCCTGGCCTCATGAAGCTCTCGAATATATGGAAAATAATTAAGAGGTCACATAAGACCTCCCAAAACCAGTCGACTTAGACCGCCAATCTCTGAGCGGACTTCGCGACGAGTGGTGTCGCCGAGTTCCTGGGTAGCATTCTGCACAAGCACTTTGCGCAAAATCTTGTCTGCTTTGCCAAAGGCTTCACCGACACCAGGTCCGATCGACTCTGCATTTGGCAGAAGCTGAACGATTCCAGAATATGTGTCGATAAGAATATCCGCCAGTGTTGCAAAAGCGGTATGGAAGTCTGGATCAAAGGGCAGAGAAGGCGTTTGCAGGTGTGTGAATTCTGGCAGGTTTCCAGACGATATGGGAGGCATGGGCAAAGAATCTAGTTGAGCACTCTCGACCGACTCGGACAAGGTTTCGATGGCAGCACTGCTAGCTCTGCGACCTTTGACACCGCGCATGCCGCTTTTAAACATAGCGCCCATTCGACCGCGTGCACCGACTGAAGCGTCAGGGTTGTTGAGCTGTTGGTAAGTATCATACTCTGATAGCAGAGCAGCGAGAGATCGTAGGTATTCGAGAGGGTTATCGGCGTTCAGGTCAAGNNGGAGTGGAGGTATCGAGGTGCCGAGAAGGACGTAGTTGGAAGCGCGACGACCGAGCTTGGAATATTGCATAGACGGTAATTGGTTGAGGTTCGAGGGAGTGTAGAGGAGAGTGTTGAAGTAGTAGATGTGACCTTCGTGNNCCTGGGGTATGTCAGTGTTGGGTATCTCATGAGTAGACTAGGCATAGGCATACACTTTGCGCAGATACTCCAGAGTGGCTATTCGCTTGCGACAAGTAGCATGGATGTGGGTCAAGAGAGCGGCAGGTATGGGGACCAGGCTGGTCTGAGGAAGTTGTGACGTGTTGGATGAAATCAAGTTCAGGGAGCTGCCATTGGTCGCATATGAAGCCAACGAGGGACGGTCAGTCTCTGAGCGTTTGAGACCATGGCTGAAGGGAGTGGCGAGCATGGAGAAGGGGGTCTTTGGGACGGGGTCAGCAATGCTATGTTGGCGGTCGCGTGTGAAGCTATCCGACGACTTTTGCGGGCTCAAGGTGGTGTTGAAGGGCGGCTTGACCGTGTGAGTAGCATTGGCACTAATAGAGCGGCTTTGACGGTGCAGGCGGATTGGAGAGCGAGATGGAATTGCTATCGACGAGCCTCGGGACTTGTGGTGGTGTATCGACGACAGCGACTCGTGAGAGCGGAGTGATGCGCTGCGCCGAATGTCTCCCTCGGCGCCTGACGAGGGTAGCGATATAACGGATGAGTCTCTGCGGGCGGTGGGTGACAAGTCTTCGGTGGCTAGCGGCGAGATGGGAGTGATTGAGGTGCTCTCCTTGCGGGACGACTTCTTGGTCGAGAATATCGAGGGTTTCCTGCCGAAGATGGAAGCGCTGGGCGCCGGTGACGGTGACGGGTCGGGAGCCATCTTGTTCTTTGTTCTCTAGACCCTTATACTTTTAGACTCTTAGCCCTGCTGAGGTCTAACGTAACTATTCAGGGGTAGGACCCTGTATGCAGTCTTGCATCAAGCAGATCGAGATTCGAGAGGGAGCCTCGTTGACGGTAGGACGGCCGTGCTGCGCTGCAACTACGTGTGCCTTGGAAAGGAGCCAGCCTTCTACGACATAGAACCAGACTTATACCAGTCTTCTTGGCGCGTCAAATTTCCCATGCGAGCAAAGGCGTGGACAAAGGTGCTTGGTTCGCTGAAACACGATGCCCCTAGATGGTGAACGGAACTCGACCCGCCGTCCAAGCGCCAGCACCCCACCGCCAATCTGCCACTGCCCCACCACAACTTGACATTGATGTTGACATTGTTGTCTCTCGACTCTCTCCTCTTGTGCAACACCCAATCCAAGTGACAGACCCATAACCATGTCTTCCACCGAGGTACAAGATGACATGGCATGCCCAACGCGCCTTCGTAAACCTCAGAGACGCTGACCGTCTCGCAGAGCATCCCAGCTCCTGGTAAGTGGCCTGTCGACCCTCAACAAGACGTCCCCATCAGCGACGACCGCATCTGGGTTGATGGTTGCTTCGACTTTGCACACCATGGCCATGCCGGTGCCATGCTTCAGGCTCGTCGTCTGGGAACTGAGCTTCTTGTCGGCGTACATTCAGACGAGGCTATCCTTGAGAACAAGGGGCCTACAGTCATGACTCTGGACGAACGGTGTGCTGCTGTTGACGCCTGTCGCTGGGCCACCAAGTCCATCCCTCACGCCCCTTATGTGACCTCCCTGCCCTGGATCTCTCACTATGGCGCCAAATACGTTGTCCACGGAGACGACATTACCTCAGACGCCAATGGCTATGATTGTTACAGATTCGTCAAGGAGGCTGGCCGCTTCAAGGTCGTCAAACGCACACCCGGTATAAGCACAACCGATCTCGTAGGCCGCATGTTGCTATGCACAAAATCACACTTCATCAAGGACCTCGACGCTCTGCTCGAAGGTCAAGAAGGCCCAGGAGGACCAGAAGAAAGAAAGAGCACAGGAGAAGACATGAAAGAGAGAATCAGAGAGTACGCAACGGATGCATCTGGAAACAAGCCATTGATCGAGGTCTGGAGCTGGCGCTCAGCCCACACAAACCAACAACATTTCCACCAGAACGGCTCATTCCTTAAGAAGGTCAATGGAACTTCACCGCAGCCTGACCAGAAGGTCGTCTATGTTGATGGTGGCTTTGACCTCTTCTCAACTGGCCACATCGAGTTCCTCAAACGAGTCGTCGAGACCGAGGAAAAGGAGGCCAAGCAGAAGGGCTGGAACAAAGACTACAGCCCTATCTATATCGTTGCAGGTGTCCACAGCGATGAAGCCATCAACGACTACAAGGGCATCAACTACCCCATCATGAACATCTTTGAGCGCGGTCTTTGCGTTCTGCAATGCAAGGTAAATTCCATACTAGCAAGACCATCTATAATCTGAAGCTGACAACAACAAACANNGTACATCTCCTCGCTCATCTTCATGGCACCCACAGTCCCTAGCAAAACCTTCCTCGAATCACTTCCCTACACTGTTCAAGCAGTGTACCACGGCCCCACAGTCTCAGCACCCCCGGGCCAAGACTTCTACACCGACGCAAAGGAAATGGGTATCTACAAAGAGATCTCTTCACACCCGTACTCGCATGTGAATGCAGACTCCATCGTGGCCCGTATCCTGAAGAGCAGAGAGTTGTACGAGGAACGCCAGCGCGTCAAGGGAGTCAAAGGCATTGGAGAAGAGGCAGTGCGCAGAAGAGAAGAAATGGAGAGGGAAAAGGCAGAAAAGGACAAAGCCGCCTCTGCATAAGACGAATATGATACACTTTCTGAACGGAGACATAGAATAATATTGCAAGAATCTGACGGTGTGAAAACATTCTCCTCGAGGAGTTCCAAGTTGTACCTGCAGGAACATCATGTTATTTTAGCCATCTCGATCGAAGGGGATGACAGCAGCTCCGTAGACAGTCAGGGACGTGACTGCTGCGGCTACTCTTGAGTGTCGACGCTAGAGTACAGCCAGACATGCTAGATGAGTGTACAGCAGCGTTGTGTCAAGAACAACGAAGCGGTACACGGATGAGAGGAAGCAAAATGTAGTGCTAGAAGTGCTTCTTTCATGGGAGTCGTCTGTACTCTGCACATTGCCAGACAATCTGAACGCAGCTGTTTGACCAAAAATTAGACTAGCAAATAGATATTGCAAAGAATGGAGAAGAAGAAGAAGAAGAAGTTATAGCATTTTTGAGTCAAGACCAAACAAGAGATCAAGCAACTAAGTAAGCTTCTGCTTGATAAAGAAGTTTCTCAAGTGCGAGAGCTGCCAGGCACAAGTGACACCCAGAATGGCAAGCTGAACAAGAGTCCAACGCACAACACGAGCATTGGTGTGCTCGGACATGTTTCTGAACTCGGCCTCACGCTCTCTCTGGAAAACCTGCTCCTTTCTGATATCGCTGAGTCTGGCATTCAAGTCCTTGACTTTGGAGACAATGTCGGTGATCTTGTGCTTGTCGTCGCTCTCGATGCGCGAGGTCTCGCCAATAGCCATGTCGACTTCGAGTTTGATGTTTCCGGCTGAGGAGCCGCCTGCGAGCCAGCCTTGGGCGGAAGGGACGTTGGTGGGAGTAAAGCAGATACGGTGGTCGCCAGAGTCGGCGGCGGAGAAGGTGAAGCGGCCTTGAGAGTTTCCGCGCTGGGAGACGATGCGGTGGTCGTTGTCGAAGATTTCGTCGACGCTGATGTAGAGGCCCATGTCAGGGTTGGCTTCGTATCTGCGGCTTTGCTCGTTCCATTGTGTGGCGGTGTAGTGGCCTGAGTTGAGGTTGTTAGATGGTTGCAAGCAAATAGGAGAAAGAAGATACTCACCAACTACCAGGGTGTCCTTGGGAAGCTCCTCGAAGAAGCACTTTTGGGAGGGGCCGTCAATGTAGAAGTAGAGGGCCTGAGTCGGCAGCAGCAAGGCTGCAAATGCAAGCACCGAGAACAGCATCGAGTGCATCGTGACGGTCGTTATTCGTGAATGACAGGAGAGGACAACACGACAAGATGCTGCCCCCCTAAACACTGAACAGCTGTTGCACCTTCCACCGGTTCAATGCCAAGAACTGTGGAGGCTCGCCGCAACGAAACAAGCAGCAGCACCATCTTCACGCGACAGCCAACAAGATCTCAAAAATATCAGTCTCTCGCGACTTTATACTTACAAATTAATTCACCATGTCGGCACAAGACATGCGCGACATGCTGGGCTTGACGGGCGATGTTGCCCGTCCGCCGCCTCTGAAAAAGCAGAAGACGGTCGAGAAACGCCCACGTACGTCGCACATTTCAATCACTCAATGCGCCGCCTGCTAAACAGATGCAGTCGAAAAGGGAATTGCTCGTGAGGTTTCGGCTCTTATGGGTGAACGCGCTCCTCCAATTGCCATGATTCAAGTTCAACCGAAATACAAACAACGACCCAGACGATCACATCGAGTCGCGCCCTGGGAATGGGCCGCCTTCAACAACCAAGCAAGAGATGACCGTCTTACTTTACATCACTGGCAGCGAAAACACACGCCCAAACCCCGCCCACAAACAGAACAGCAACCGCAAACAGAGTCGGAAGCAGATGTCGAGAAACAGCCAGAGCCAGAACAACAAGAGAAGGACTATCAGTATGCCAAATACAATGTCCACGTCGAGACTCCTTCCTATGATCAGACTCTATACGATGCTCAACTCCAGGATTCGGATTGGACAAAGGAAGAGACGGATTATTTGGTAGAGACGGTCCGAGACTACGGTCAAAAGTGGCCCGTCGTTATTGATCGCTACGAGTACCAGCCTCAACCCACTGAAGACGGTGCAGAAGTGCCAGAACCAAAACCTCGTTCTATGGAAGATCTCAAAGCTCGTTATTACGCCGTCAGCGCAAAAGTCCTGGCCAACCATACCCCCATTTCGTCCATGACTGGTCCGCAATACAATCTATACTCCACCTTGACTTCCTTCAACCCTGTCCAGGAGACGTCACGGAAGAAGCTCGCCGAAGGTCATCTTTATCGCACTCAACTCGAGGTCGACGAGGAGAACGTCTTGCTCGCCGAACTGCAACGCATCATGATCAACCAGCAACAACTCGAAAACGAACGCAAGGAGATCCGCGACAGACTAGAGTACCCATCCACAAGCAATACCGCAGCCGCACAGTACAGCACATCACAGCAACTTGGTCAACTCTTCCAACAACTGTTACAAGCAGACCGCATGAAGAAGGATCGCCGTCTCAAGGCTCTTGCCGATACTCCTGGCGGCGGTCCTCCTACATCCGCACAACTCCAGTCCGCTGCAGGTGCATCTGGCCATCGCGATAGCATCAGCAGTGCCACAGGTGCCCGCAAGGCTGGCGGCCGCGACTCTCTAGCCGGAGGCTCCAGCTCGAGCTTAGATCCTACAGCACGCGCATTGACTCCACACGCCGCCCACCGCTACTTTGTCACTCAACACGACCGTCTCAGCAGTGGTGTGTCCTTTGCCTCTGACCGTCTCCACCGCGCCAGATCCGCAAAATCCATGATCCAGACTGAGAAGATCTCGGCCATTCTCAACCATTTGCGTATCCCTGACATTATTCCTCTGCCTACCCAACGTGTCATTGAAGACTTTGAGAAGTTGATGCAGAAGGTACATGTTTTGTTGGATATGCGCAAGGTTGCAGATAAAGAGGAACAGGAGATCAGGGTCAAGGAGGCTGAAAAGAGGATCAAAGAAGGCAAGGAAGGTGTAAAGCAGGAGGCTGAGGATGTCAAGGTCGGACAGAAAAGAAGTGCAAGCGTGATGAGCAATGATGCTCAGAGTGCTACCAAGAGACCCAAGAATTAAAGGTATCAAGAAGGATAGACTCTTGAGCTCTGATCCAATTCACAATAATGAATATCGATGAACCCCAGATTTCCACCTCATCTTTGATAACGATGCCTTTCTGTGAATGAGATCCTGATCTCAAGAACACTGCGTCTTCCAACCCACTTACATCGAATTGTAGCGGATACCCAGGTGATATCAAGGGTTTAAATAGTCCACACAGCATTCGCCCTCTTCTCGAGATTAACCTGACTGCTTTGACGAAAGACGCCAAAGGCTGGTACATGATCCAAACTTTCTCTTCCCTTCTTTTCGTAGACTGTACTCGTAAGCTGTACAAATGGTTACTCGTGCTTTTCATCAGTGACTTAATGACCTGTCTTCCTTAGGTCTAACTAGAAGATATCTCACCCAACATTGTCGAAACACGCTTACTACTGTCTCATTTAAATCGATTGAATGAGACTACTACGTTCATCTCCCAACTCTCGGCACACTCGAGACATCTTCTCGGCATTCCCACACGCTCACTTCGCGTACATGATCCTTACCGTCCACAATACACTGGTTCTTTGAGATAAAGTTACTATTAGGTCGACGTCGAGTATGCTTTTAGCGACACGCTCGCTCTTTACGGGAGAGTTAGTGGGAAACGGAAGACCTGCACGAGATGCTGTAGATCTATAGTTTGTGGGCGGAAATGATAGTTTTGGGGCAGGTACCGATGTTTCGTTTCTTTGTATTAGCTAGGGTTCATGTGGAAGACAGCGAAGATTAAACGTTCGCTCTGTGTACGGAACATAACTAAGATACGGAATGACTGCACAAAATGCCGTAGATGTGCAGTTCGTAAGTAGAAATGATGGTTTTAGGACAGGTACCGATGTCTTGTGTCTTTCTACTAGCTCGGGCCCATGACGGAGACAATAGACTAGAGGCTCGATGTCTTAGTGATAAAGATGCCGGAGGTACGGAAAGACTGCACGAGGTAAGGAGAGGCAGTAGATCGCAAAGAGGAAGCGAAACCTTGTTTGAGAACCTTCTACTAAGACACGGAAGAACTGCATAGAATGTCTTATTCTATAGTTCATAGGGGAAAAACGATGCTTTCGGGGAATAGGTACCGATGTTTCGTCTCTCTCCATCACCTTGGGTTAATATCGAGTGTGGCAGGGTCTAAGGTTCGGATAAGGTCGTCAGAGGTACGGAAGGACTACATAAGAGACATAGAGATTAAAACACATGGAGGAAGCAACGCTCTGATTTCCTACTGTACCTTCGAAAGCCAGATTGATAATGAGACTTAACATCTTGAGCGGAGAGTTAAAGATTAACGTGGTAAACCCTGCTATAAATCCATCAGCAAGATTCAAAACTCGTATATAGGAGATACCGTGGCTGAGCCCGAAAACAAATATTAGAACCCAAGCAAGAAGCTTGAAAAGAAGTTCTCTAGTATCGGATAGATCGTGTTATTGCAAAGTCGCTTGATCAAACAGAGTGAAAGAAGTTTGCTTCATGCCTCTTCGTCGAGTGTGTTTAGAGTAACTTTGCCAAGATGGTCTCCCAGATCATTGTTTGCGTAAAAAGGAGCGATAGAGTGAGTGATGTTCCGGCGTGTACAGAAGGTTTGGATAGAATGTCTTTCCTTTTGGAGGATATGTTTTACGGCTTAAAGGTCGTGAATGCAACTCGAGTGATCAAGACTTGTTGTACTGTCATTACTCAGAAGTCTTTGATGCACGGTGGGAAGTGCAGTTAAACAAAGGATCTGCATTTGTGATCAGCAACCAAAACCCACCTGCATACTGCTTTTTGTGTCCGGCCTCGACCATCAATCATGGCAATCGTTGGTTGCGATGGTAAGATAAATCGAACGATGTGAAGAGATTTGTCAAAGGGAAAGGGAGGAACAAGTGTGACGAATGAAGAATCTTTGATTGTTGTTTGATTAAGATATGATTTAAATGCAGTTTGCGAAGAACTTTGTGTTGCTTCGAAGGGGGTATATATATGATAAGTGGACATATTCTATCCAAGAGCTGTGCGTCCAGTCGCCAGCGATGGTACTCGAGTGTGACATTGTTGAGAAGATCTCGTCCGTGATTAGTTGACTGTGCAAATGGTTGACGGTCTTCGTGTCCGTCAAGCGATTCTTGTCACACGTCATCCAGCCAACCTGGACCCTGGATGTGTGCGGAAGCGGTTCCGGGGACAGTCGTAAAGAGACTCTGCGATTCAAGTCTTGATTCTGTTCCCGATCAACGAGATCGTGGATGGCTGGTAAATGCAAGCCAGCGTCATCTTTTATGTCAAGTCTTGATCGAACTTTGAAGCTGCATGCTCACAAGCCCGGTATAGACGGATGTTGTCCTGCTCGTGATCATTGCTTCGATGTCCCCAGCTCAAAGGAAGCAATGCTCAGTGCACGCGCTGAGGAAGTTGCGGGTTCTCGTATGATATGATAGATGCAAAGGTGCTTCAAGGAGCAGCATCTGTCTCCGAGACCCAGGCATTTATCCGTGCCCGGTCAACCTTGGAAGAACTAGCCACGCTTGCGGAATCTCGAACTTCCTGAACACGACAGTGTCTGCCGTGCTTATCGAGTTTTCGTACGGCATCTTCGGTCAACGGAGCCACGCGGGTAGATTGTCTGGCTGGTCTGGGCGATTCTTTCTCTGCTTCGGTGGCAGTGTCAAGAAGCCATTGTAATCCGCTGGAGAAGAGCAGAGTACGTTCATCTTTGCAAGCAGGAACGACCGGATTGCTTTGTAGTAGTTGTCTGGCGAGAGCTTTTGTGTCTTTTGAGAGGCCTCGTGTGTTGGTGCTTGGAACGGAATTTGTAGGGTTGATGAGGTTTTGGTGAGAAGGAAAGACATGGCTGTAGCTGCTTGATCGAACGAGATTGGGATGTGTCGAGTCTGTAGAAGATGCCATGCGAGATGTTGATGACTGGGTTGATGACGAAGTGACAGACTCCATTGGTGAGATGCTTGGTGTAGTCATATTGATGGCAGCTTCCTGGTAATCGTTCCAGATGATGGAAATGTTGTGATAGAGCAGACAGAAAGGACAGAGAATATGATGACAGGGAAACCGCGGAGCCTCAGCTCATACAGTACCTACTGAAGACCATGCTTGGTGGCTTGCACATAGGCCACATGCAAGCGCAACATGCAAACATCGCCGATGTCCATCGTCTTTCGTCACAGCACCTTCCCTGTCGTTTCCTGTCCGTCCAAGGTTTCGCATGGTTACCGAAAATCCGCATCGCTCTGACAGGACCTGAAGCTAGGCAGAGAAGAGCTGTGACTAGGTAGCAAGTGGATGGATCCCCGATTGGCAAATGCTCGAATCGAAGATTTCAGGCCGCGATGGGACAAGATCGTCGATATCCGCACGCGCCGCAGAGATTCGTCTACACCTGCCCAAGGCCTCCCTTACCGTCAACGACTTCCCTCTGGCAACGACATACCTGCAATTTCTGGCATCATAGCAATGCTTTCAACTATACCGTAAACAACACAACACAGACTCATTTTCGTATAAGACCTCATAACAATTTACCAGCACCAATTTCCAAGGAATTGAGACAGTGTTGGCGTTTTGGTGCGGGCAGCCGAAGCCCATCATCGATGCAAACTCCCGAAGCTCTGTTTCTTACCTCGCGTACGTCTCCAAGACTCGATAGCTCTTTCTCACCACATCATCCGCTAGACCAACACGGTGCTATATTCCTTAATGGATGACGTTGGAAAACCCATCTTCTTCTGTTTCCTTTTGGTTTGCTTGTAGGGAAACAGGGTTCGGGAGGCTTGGTTTAGACGAACGACTTTACGTGACGTGTTCAACGCTTCAACCATTCTTCTATCATAGAAAGATATCTAGACGAATCGACCTTGGGTCTGCAATCCCAGAGGCTGAAAGACTTTCATCTTATCTATACTCCAGGTAGAGAATCACACCCATACAAACTGCGTGAGCCCAAGGAAACAGAACACGGGAAACCCGAGTCAAGGCACTTACCTATGTCATCACCATAGAGTTCAAAAGACGAGGGCTTCAAAGAGGAGAAAGCCATCTTTTTTGCTTTTGGTTAGAATTCAACAACTCGTCTTCATGAAACGTCAGGAGTCAGAGTCTATCGCGTTGACTCCGGCTTCTGGAGGATCACACTTTCCTCGCTGTAAAAGGCTCGTTGCGGTTTGAGTGACTCTAGCATGGGGCGTGTGTATCCATGACTTCCGGGAAGCAGAGCAGAAACGTCAAGTCAAGTAAAAGTATTCATGAGGAAGAAGTTTTGGTTTGATATGAGAAAGTCCAGCTTTCCATTTTGATTGTCTTCGTCATCTCATCAGTAAGAAAAAAGGTATCTCCATGCTTTTGTTGCTTCCATCCACCAGAAAGAAAAATCCACCAAAATTCCATCCGAAAAGATTGTAAGAAAAGAATTGAAACCCAAACTCCCTTGCCCTCCATAAGACTCCTTTGAAAGATGCGATGTTGTGTTGTGTTTGTTGCAGAAACTCCTTCTTTCTCCTGCAAATCCGAAACTCCTCCTCATGCAAATGCGAAACTCCTCCATGCATCACAAGATATCTCTCCAGTCAAAGATGTGATCCACTCCTCCTGAGATCCTCCTTTCCTTCACAAATCCTCCATTTCAATATTCCTCCAAGGTTGGCAGACCAGAAAGAGACGGCGAACAAGATCATCTGAAGCCGCGACCACGACGAGAGCGAGGAGCTGGTGCTTCATTCCATTCCTCCTGCATTCTTCTTGCGATCTCCTCATCAGCAGCGATTTGAGCAGCAGCAGCGGGTGTAGTGTGGACTGTGGTGGGTTCGGCATCCTCGACGATAGGAGACAGATTGAAGCGACGAGCTGATGATCTGGTAGTGGAAGGATGAGGAGGAGGTATATGTCCGAGACCCTGGCGAAGATATTCAGAGTAGGATAGCCCGCGTCCAGTGGTTGAAGAAGATGTGGTGGTTGAGGTGGGTCTTGTGATTGAAGCAGGTCTGGTGGCTGAAAATGATCTGGTGGTCGAAGAGGATCTGGTGGTAGAAGCAGACTTGGTAGTTGGAGAGGTCTTCTGCTTGCGACGTTCGCGGGCCTTTCTGGCTCTGTCGGCAGTGGTGATAACGGGCTCTTCATCTTCAGATTTCTCCTCGTTCTCCTGCTGGCGTTCGGCTTCCTCACGTTGTTTGGCAAGTTTGGCTTGACGTTGGCGAAGCACATCCTGCCAGTACGCCAAGCTGTTGTGGTCGGGCTCAGGTGTGATGGATGGTGGGATGGCTTCTTCCTCATCGTCGCTGGTGGTGGTGGCGATGGTGGTGGTGGTGGCAGGTCTGTGACGAGTTGATCTTGGGCCAGAGAGGATGTTTGCCGCAGAGAGATCGTAGTAGGCCACATCCTGAGTCGAAGGCAAAGTCGAAGAAGAGGATGCTGCAGCGGTGCGAGGACGTTTGGCAGGGTAAAGGCGAGGTGCAGAGAAGTCGTCGTCGTCCTCATCATCGCTGTCGACATGGATGGCCTTGCGTTTGCCCTGACGCCCAGAGAGGGAGCCCGTCTCAGTGGACTGAGCAGAAGTTGCCGAAGACTTCTTGCCTCTTGCTGGGTTGCTGGAAACCGAAGACGTGGCAGCGGAGGTGCCACGCTTGATACCCTGGCTGAGAGCAGAGGTGGTGAGCCCAGAAGCCCGCTTCTTCTCACCGCGATCCTCAAACCCCGAGGCAGCCCGCAGTCTGCGATTCCACTGAAGCTTCACACCAGAAGCGGTGCGGTTGAAGCCAGCTTCATCCTTCATGCGATTGGCGACCACCTCGAAGCGCTTCTCAGTGCCGGCGATGGCGGCGTACTGTGCCAGGGTGCACACCTCCTTCATGAGTTTGATGCAAGCAGCGTCCTCATCCTCGGACCAGGCGCTTGCTTTGCGAGAGGAGATGGTGGGAGCGGGCGCGACCGAGAGCCTGGCTGGACGCCCGTACTCATCGTCGTCGCCCTCGAACTCCTCATCATCCTCATCTTGCTGCCATTCAGGGGCATCCGCGAGGGGGACACCGTCTGAAGAGGGCCACTCTCCTTGCCCTTCAACAGAACCTGCAGTGTTACCCACAGGTCTCTTCCACGCCGAACGGGCGGGTCGACGATCCTCCTCAGAGTCGGTCTCCTCCTCCTCCTCCGAGACCTCCTCCTCCAGATCGCTGTATTCGAGCTCTTGGCCCCATCCCAACTCGACCGGAGGCTTTTCGGCGTCAAGGACAGGCTTGACGCACTTCAGCCAAAAGGCTTCGCCCCCGTCAGTGAAGGAATGGGCTAAGGAGTCGTAGCCCTCCGCACCTTCCAGCAGGCTGTTCCAATCACCACGGTGAGCCATGGTGGCCTGGGAGCCGGTGCGGGCAGTTGAAGGAGATGGCTCCAGGGGGTTGTCGAAGTTGAAGCCTTCTCCAAGGCCGGTGTCGAGGTTGTCGTACCAACCGTAGACTTCAAAGAACTTTGCCGGGGTGTCGATGCCGGCCTGGAGAAGGATGGTGCGTTTGTCCATTGTTGTTGTTGTTGTGGTGGTGGTTGGCGGTGTGTGATGAAAGGGGTGATGAGACCAGCTCAAGAAATGATGGAGAAATGCAGAGAGAAGAACAACAATGGATGGACAAGAGGGAGAAGAGAGGAAGGAAACGGAGGAAGAGGAACTCAGGGAGGGTAGAAGACCTACCTGGACAATAGCTATACAGGTCTATAGGGGTAATAGACCATACAATGGCGCAAGTGTAACCATTGTCAAAAGCCATTGTGCACAATGACACAGGAAACATCATGAATGAGAAATAGCAGTGATAGAACGAAAAGACAATGACCTGATGAATGAGAAAAGAAAAGGGTATTGTCAGTGTGCAATAGACAATAGCCGCGTGAATGGAAACACAATAGTGGATGTGCTGATTCGGGGTTGAGAGTGAAGGAATCGGATTGGCAGGATCAGGCGCCTGGGTGTCGTAAACAGTAACGACAGGTTCTCAAGCATGATCCAGATAGATGTAATGCAGGGAGAGAAACGGTCTCTGAGATAACATGTTGAATGTTGACAGAGAAGTAGTTGTTGAACGAGAGTAGATTGAGAGATGAAGTGGACAGGAGCCACAAGCCCATGAATAGATGGCGTCTCCGATACGCAAAGTGTATAATGCGTGATTGTAAAAATGCACAGTGCTTTAGGAAACACGACAGCATCCACTGAGACGTGTTGCCTTGTGGGGCTCTCTCTGGACTCACACTGAGACAGGAAAGATTTGTGCATTTTTATAGCACGAAATATTGCCTGCACTCGGCTTGGAGACGAGGCTTTATGTGCGTATGTATATATAATTCACAAGACAGACGTGATAATGCAGGGTTGTAACCTCTACTGATTCCCAACATTTCTAGAGAATCGGAACGATCCTTCCATGCGGGCGCCCAGCAACGGGTAAAAGTCCATCTTCGCACAGCGCGAAAACGACCTTGCTACAAAAAGGCAAAGGACGTCGATAAGTAATGTTGTAAGCTGGCGGTGTTTGTAGAAAACAAAAGGAGAGGGCTGCGAGAAAACAGTTTTGAGGTTCGAGACAGCCGAGGCCCGTGCGTCATGACGGCAGGAGCCGATGATCTGGATGTCGAGCTGGGGGTCAGTTGGCAAGATGGAGGCAGTCGGCGACGTCTCCAGTTGTTGACATTTGGCTATACAGTCCAAAAGGGAAGCTGCGCACCTTGTCCCTATCTATTCACTACAACACACGACGCAGCAATCACCACATAACAGGAATCCACATCAGCCTCCCATCAAAAAGCCATCTTTACAGCCCAGGGGTAGCTTTATCCACACAACATGGCTGCATTCGCGCCCCACGGAGCACCCATCATGGACTACGAAGCCCTGAAAGAGCAATGGAGCGACATCGAGGATAAAGATGGCATCAGATTGAGTTGGAACACCTTCCCTTCGTCGCGCATGGTACGCTGCCCGTCAATCCTGCCACAGAGCTCTCTCTAACAGCTTCACTATACANNGGAAGCCTCGAGACTGGTTGTCCCCATTGGAGCTCTCTACACACCACTCAAGGAGAAGGCCGACACACCACTGCTCCAGTATGAGCCTGTTTCATGCAAGCAGCCCTGCCGTGCTGTCTTGAACCCTTTCTGGTAGGTCACGTTGCGAATTCAATAACAAGACAACATGCTCACCACACGANNCAGCCAAGTCGACATGCGCGCCAGGATATGGATCTGCCCCTTCTGTCTGCAACGCAATGGTCTTCCGCCTCACTACAAGGACATCTCCGAGAATGCCATCCCTCCAGAGCTGCACCCCTCCAGCACCACCATCGAGTACAGACTGGCTAGACCCGCTCCCGTTCCCCCGATCTTCGTCTTCGTTGTCGATACATGTCAAGAGGAGGATAGCTTGAAAGCTCTCAAGGATTCCATCATCATGTCGCTCAGCCTGCTGCCTCCCAATGCTCTTGTCGGTCTGATCACCTACGGAACCATGGCACAGGTCCACGAGCTCGGATACACCGAGTGCGCAAAATCCTACGTCTTCCGCGGTTCCAAGGACTACACTGGCAAGCAGGTCCAGGAGATGCTTGGCCTCATGACTGGTGGTGGCGCAAGACCTGGAATGCCCGCCATGCAGCCCCAACCCGGCCGTCCCGCCCCCGCCGCTCCTATGGGAGCTGCCGCCAGATTTTTGTTGCCCGTTCAGCAATGCGAATTCCAGCTCACAAACGCCCTCGAATCTCTGCANAAGGACCCCTGGCCCGTCGCAAACGACAAGCGTCCTCTGAGATGTACTGGTGTCGCTCTGAGCGTCGCAACAGGCCTTCTCGAGACTTCGTTCCAGAATGCTGGTGGTCGTATCATGCTCTTCACTGGAGGTGCTGCTACCGAAGGCCCTGGTATGGTTGTTGGTCCCGAACTCAAGGAGCCCATCCGTTCCCACCACGACATTGACAAGGACAACATCAAATACTATAAGAAGGCCCTCAAGTTCTACGAAACTCTGGCCAAGAGAACTGCTCACAACGGCCACATCATCGACATTTTTGCCGGATGTCTGGATCAGGTCGGTCTCCTGGAAATGAGAAGTCTGGCAAACTCGACCGGTGGCCACATGATCTTGACCGACAGTTTCACTTCGTCAATGTACAAGCAGTCATTTGCCCGCATCTTCGACAAGGACGCCAACGACAACCTTTTGATGGGTTTCAACGCTTCTCTCGAAGTTTTGACCACAAAGGAACTCAAGGTCACTGGTTTGATAGGACATGCCGTATCCATGAACAAGAAATCGGCCAACGTTGGTGAGACCGAATGCGGTATTGGTAACACTTGCTCATGGAAGATGTGTGGCATCAACCCCAGCTCGAGTTATGGTATTTACTTCGAGATTGCTGGTCAAGGTGGTCCTTCGAACGTGCAACAGGGTCCTCAGAAGGGTCTCATGCAATTCCTCACATACTACCAGCACTCCTCTGGCCAGTTCCACCTTCGTGTCACCACCGTTGGTCGCAACATGAGCGGTCCTTCAGGTGACCCCGCCATTGCCCAATCCTTCGACCAAGAAGCCGCTGCAGTCCTCATGTCTCGTATCGCAGTCTTCAAGGCTGAGGTCGACGATGGTCCGGATGTGCTCCGCTGGGTTGATCGCATGCTTATCAGGTTGTGCTCTCGCTTCGCCGAGTATCGCAAGGACGACCCGTCATCTTTCCGCCTCGAGAAGAACTTCACCCTCTACCCACAATTCATGTTCCACTTGCGTCGTTCGCAATTCTTGCAGGTCTTCAACAACTCACCTGATGAGACTGCATTCTACAGACACGTGCTCAACCACGAGGACGTGTCAAACAGTTTGGTCATGATTCAGCCCACTCTCGACAGTTACAGCTTCGAGCACGAGGGCAGTCAGCCCGTCCTGCTTGACTCTACCAGCATCCAGGATCAGACTATTCTTCTGCTCGACACCTTCTTCCACATTCTCATCTTCCACGGTGAGACAATGGCACAATGGCGCAAGGCTGGTTACCAAGACCAAGAAGGATACGAGAACTTCCGAGAGATGCTCGAGGCGCCCAAGGAGGACGCCAAGGTGAGTCTGATAAATTTACAACTCGAGATTTCATATACTAACAACCATTTCAGNGAACTCATCCAAGACCGTTTCCCTCTACCTCGCTTCATTGTTTGTGACGCTGGTGGTTCTCAAGCACGTTTCCTTCTTTCCAAGCTCAACCCTTCAACAACACATACAACTGGCGCATACGGCGGTGTCAGCCAAACTGCTCAGACCATCTTCACCGATGATGTGTCGCTACAGACCTTTATGGATCACTTGATGAAGTTGGCTGTCAGCGGTAACAGCTAGATGTGGTGCTTAAGCGGTACGATGTGATGAGAGGAAGAGAAGTGTGCGACATCAGTAGTAGAGAGAAGACCAGAAAGATCATTCTCGACAGCGTTTTGAACAAAAAGACTATACCTTTCCAATATCCAAATACCCCTACCAAACGTTTGTTCTTGTCATTGGTTTTCTTGAGCTGTTATATCTACAAAGACGTGGTTCTCAGAGGCCGCCAAAATTGCCTTCCGCCTTGATGTAGGTCAGAAGACATAGAAATTGATGTCTGTAGCACAACCCTCGGCCAGTGGTCAGCAGCGTTATCCTTCTTATGTTTGTACCTTGCGTACATAACAATATGTCGTTTGTCATCGCCTCTTCGTTTCTTTCGGTAAGCAACAAAATGATGAAAGTGAATTTACACTCTTCCATGTCAAACTATGCAGCACTTTGAGTTCTCCGGTCATATTCTACCAATCCTTGGACACCACAGTGGAGATCTGTGGTAGGGGAACCAGGGAAAAGGTTGGGATTCGAGTATGCCAGGGTTTCCCTGACAGAACATTGAGGGCAGAGGGGTAACCCTGTTGCTTCTCCATCACTGTAAGGTAGACCTCGCTGATCGACAACGAACGCTACACCAGGGTCCCCAGGTGCTTTCGTGTGATAGATCTCGTCTTAACACTGATCGTGTAGAAACACGTCCAAACCGATGGTCCGCTCTGGGATGCAGTTGTGCACTTCCACGGTTTCTCGAGATTCGGCCCAACGTGGAAAAGAGAGCCAATATATCGCGGCTGGAAGGAGAACAGGAAGGTAAGCATGTAGAGTCGAGATGAGTGGTTCGTTTGGTATTTCTTTTGGTATCATTACAAAAGGGTGGTCAGGACACAAGTCAAGGTGAAAGCAGATAATATCGCTCAGAAGGAATATCAAAGCAAAAACGCCATCCCCCGAAGGGAAGAAAACTCCTACCCATCAAACAGGGTATGCAGCAAGAAAGGCGACACGAGTCGTCGCGCAAAACAGGAACAAGCCAGTGTCCTGCTCTTGCAATGTGGTGCCTAGTTCTCCAACCAATCCAAGAACTCGGGTGTGAAGTATGAAACGACAATACTCGCGCCAGCACGAAGAATGCCCTCGGTAGCTTCGAAAGCCATGGTCTTCAAGTCAAACACACCAGCCTTTGCGGCAGCGCAGATCATAGCGTATTCACCGCTGACCTGGTATGCGGCGACGGGCAAGTCCTTGCCAATGTCTTTTGCGTCACTGATAATGTCGAGGTATTGAGAGGCGGGCTTGACCATGATGATATCGGCACCTTCGTTGATGTCGCGTACGATTGCTCTGCGGGCGAGACCTCGACCGCCAGGGGGNNGGAGCTGGTAGCATCTNNAGGAGGGTATAGTTAGTACTATGAACAACAGTAAATCATAAGGTTGGGTATGTTACCTTCTGTCACCAAACGACGGTGAGCTGCCAGCAGCATCACGGAAGGGACCGTACAGACAGCCACTGAACTTGGCGGAGTAGGACATGAGGACGACCTTGTGTGCGATGCCGGCCTCAATAAGCTTGAGCTTGATGGCGCGGATACGACCATCGTTCATGTCCGAAGGAGCGACACAGTGGGCGCCGGCCTCAGCGTAGGCCATTGCGACGTCCGAGATGCGATCAACGGAAAGAGCGTTGTTCAAACTGCCATCCTCACGCAGGATGCCGCAGTGACCGTGGCTGGTGTACTCGCACAAACACACATCTGCAGTGATGAAGAGAGAAGGGAAAGCCTTGCGCAGCAGGCGGATGGAAGCGATGACAGGGCCAGTCGGGTCGTCGGCAGAAGTGCCCAGAGAATCTTTTGCGTCGGGGTGGAGCGGTACACCGAACAGAATAACTGATTTGAGGCCCTTTGCAATCAGAGGACGGAGGAAGGGAACGAGCTTGTTCAAGCCACGGCGGTACTGTCCAGGCAATGAAGGAATCAGGGTCTCCTCGTCTGGGTTGTCTGTGATGAACAAGGGGTAGATGAGCATTGACTTGGTCAACTGACGCTCAGCCTGCCAGGCGCGAGCGAGCGGATGGCTGTAACCTCCATGCAGTTGACTTGAAATATCTCCAGTGATGCTGACGCTTGTGGCTGCGGTGCTGGCGTAAGAACGGGCACGAGACATGGTCGACACCTGTCGCGACATAGTCGAGCGCTTGTCGTCGCCGCCGCCATTGCGGTCGCGGTATGTCAGGTCGGATACGAGCGAAGAGAAGGACATGTTGTGCGTTGTCTTGTGGTTTGGTAAGAGCGGATTGCTTGTCGAAGATGTTTTGCCGCGGCGATGATTCGGTAGACGTCACTGGCTTGTTTCGAACCGAGGCCTCTTTGTGAGGTTAGAGAAATAGGTCAATTGGCAACAGCTATCGTTTGAAGTACAAGGATGAGTATCAATATGTCAAGAAGGAAGGCAAAAACAGTCAGAAAGTACAGAGAAAGCACCTGGTACAGTAATTACTTTGTCATCCAAGGCACAGAACCCCCGTGTCATCTCTCATCTAAATGCACCGTCTGCCTCGGCCAATTGAATCACTTGCATTGGTCGACGACGGCAACATCCGCTCGCATTCCGGCTGCTCTATTCCGACCTGTTGCCATCGCCAAGCCATCATCGCCTCCAGGACGTCAGATCATTCTTGTATCATCTTCTGCAATCTTCTACCAGAGGCTCGACTCGTGTGAGTTTCTATTGAATGAACAAGGCGATACTCAAGTCGCAGATTCATTGAGAAGTACAATATCGAGTAACAAAATTCATAAAAGGCTACATACTTATTATTAACAATCTACTGAGTATCCATAATCCTAGCATTCATAACCGACCCCATATAGCTATTCTATCCAACTTCGACAGCTGGCACCTAGTCCTGATGTCTTTAGGCCCGCGCTGCACTTCGTTTGCTGTTTCCATCATTCTGGCAATTTCTGTCCATACAATCTTCAAGGTATCTCCGCTTAGAGGGCAGCAGCGAAACCAAGGGCGGCCACGGCAACTCCGTAGGGTGCGTACTTTCCCGCGGTCTGCATAGCTCCGGGGTTGCTGGTGCTGCTGGAAGTACCGGTGGTGATTGTGTTGGTCGAAGCAGTGGTGGTGACGGCATTTCCGCCAACTCTGCTGGTGGCAGTCACAGTGTTGGTGTCGAGGGTGTTGGTAGTGTAGGCAGAGTCCAAAGTCTGGACAACAGTGTTCAGGTAGGTAGAAGTGCGGGTGTCGAGAGAGTGGGGAAGAGAGGTGGTCTCAACGACAAGACTGCGAGTGGTCGAAACCAAGATGTTGGTGTCGGTGGATGAGACGAGCGAGATACGGGGGTTGAGAGTGGACGAGTCGATGATAACAGTGTTGGTGTTGGTGTTGGTAGCAATTGCAACGCCATCACTGCTGACGGGGGTGCCGTTCACGCAGACAACACCGTTGTCGTTCTGAGGGTCACAAGGACCGTCGTCGTCGGCGAAGCCAACAGCAGCAAGAGCTGCAACAGCGAAGAAGGTCTGGGTGAAACGCATGGTTGCTTTTTGTGTTTGAGGTGGTGGATTGATGAGAAAGTGTAGTAGCGAGAGTGTCTTGGAGTTGTAAAAACTGAGTAATGATGTGAGTTGATATTCAGTCTTGGACAGCAGAAAGCATGGCTCTTATATGCCCAGAAAGGTCCATGTCTTCATCATCGTGGTCATCGCGATCTTGAGTGTGGAATCTCTGCATCGCGAATTTACTGTCTCTCGGACACACCGCCTGACGTTGATCGCCATCATACCGCGGACGTTAAGAAGCATAACATCCTATGCCAAGCATGTAGTTGGAGCAGTAGTGTGTCAATCAAATCAATCAACAATGATGCAACACCATCGAACTTTTGCATGGAAGTTGTCCGCGGCTAAGCGTATATCAACGGTATTACCTGATTTTGAAGCGACTCCTAGCTGTAGAACAAAACTCTAACAACATTTCTTGAAAGCTTAGACATATACCATGATGCTCGTTGCTGCGGTCCATGAGTCAATACCTACCCATGTTCATGGATGGCTGCCAGTAAGTAATCATCTGAAATGAGACATGTGACCAAGCTTGAGTAGAATTCTTTGAAGACAAGCAGCAAGAGCAGCCATGATGGTCTGTTAATATCACACAAACAATATCTCCAATTTCTTCAAACTGGCGGTTCTGTATGTCGGCTGACAGTACATCCTCAGGACAATCTTCATGCCAAGCAACCATACGGTGTCACTCTGCTCCATTTTGGCTTTGCTAGATGTGCTGAGTCGAAGGAGAATTTCTTGGCCAACCACCGGGTGTTAGTGTGTGAACTGGTAGCGTGATATGGCTCCGCGGATGACATGCATCTCGCGAGTATGTCCGCATCTATGCGCACAGAATGTGGACGTGCAAGCTCTACCCATGTGTCAGGAGTAGAAACTAGAGCTGTGATCCGCGGAATGTCGTTGGAAAAGTCCCAGTCGTCAAACTCAATGAACCTCCGGGGCATATCCGCAATGAGTGGGGAGGAGTAATGGGATCCATTTGCAGGAACAAGCTAGACATGTGAGTGTAGCATGAGTCGCGGAGTCATTGTTCATGTCGAGACGACAGACTATTCAGCAGTTGTTATAAGAATCGGCGAACATGATTGAGCGACTGTTGAGCACCTCATTCACTCCGTTTTTGCAAGGAGTGTAATGCTTCGTTTGAATCCCAGAGCCATGCTGTATCCAGAGTCAGGATAGCATATCTGATGAACAAGATGAGGCAATTATATCCGAAACCTTCATCAGGTACAAAGACCATAATCTGATATCAATAGTGTGGCGTCATAGGGACAAAGTTACATACACTCACCATCAACAATCCAGCACCGGGGTCAGTGAGGTGAGCCAGATGGACCTCGGCAGATTTTGGCAGAATCTCGTGGGCATGTCGCACATATGGAAGCAGACCTCTCGCTTGTCTGTGCATGCGTTTATCCCACGGACCTCATGGCATATGCAGGTTTGGGCAGAGATTGTCCCGAAAGCAAGGGCAAGCAAACAATTAATTGGAATCATGTCCCCGATGACGAGAAACACAGGGCATGTCCGTCGATCCGGCCATCGCGAAAAGATACCAGATACTTCATGAGCGATTGCGGAGGCGATCAGGCACGAGGAGTAAGTTCTTCGCAAGTGGAGCGAAGAGGAGCGGACGTTGCCAGTAGCTGAACGTCGAGCCGGGAATAATATCATCGGCACTCCGCGGGTTGAGGCTCAAAAGAGTTTCCTCTGCACTTGGCGCCATGACACGCCCAGGAACACTACGTGTTGCTGATCATGTATCCCACGTGTCTTAAAGATGCTTAGATCCCCAGTCCGGGGCCGTGCGAAGGTGAAGGGTGGGTGTGGTTGTACCGCGACCTGATAGAAATTGCAGTGGATGTTGTTCGTGGAAGACGAGATCGCGTTGCCTACAGCAATCTTTGTTGGCAACGATCAGCCTCCCACGAGTATGAACTCCAAACCTTATTGACATGAATCACGTTTCTTTCATAACAATTGTATGCTGGCACGACCTCACGTCACGCGATGTCGAAACCTTTCGCTTCCAAATGAAAGTAGTCATTTGTGAGCAGTCTCATCGCCTGCAAGATGTATCATTCAGGTCGGGTGATGAGAGGGACCTTCGCTGTAGATGCTCAACAATGGCAACAAAAATTTGAGTTGGACATGAAAGATGTTCAAGCCATACTGTCATTGAAATCAGAAGCTTTATGAGCAAGCGCATCTTGTTCGATCTCAAAGCCTTCGCGCCAAGCGTACCTTCCTCTAGACTAAAAGCCTCTGACCCAAAGGTCTCTACTTCCAGGCCGGAGTCTTTAGGACTCGGGTGCTTTCTAGCTCGGAACCTGTGTGCATGAGCAAAAGCTGCATGCTCTCACATTCAGATATACTGGCCGTGTTGCTTTGCAGCGACTCCTTCTAGACCTAGGCCAACTGGCAGCGATGTCTTACTTGCGGTTCCTTCTATATTCAGTTCGACTGGCCAGAATGCCACTTGCTTCACCTCCCGAAAAGTAACCTCTGCGCCTTTTCTCACTCGTCAGCATTGTCTACCCAGGCTGCGTCTGCGCATAACGAGATGACAAATGCCCAGAGAGGGACCATGAAACAGTCGCCCACTCATGAACTATGTTCGAGACCACCTCGAACACTGGAACTGCAGCGATTGCAACGAGCAAAGACGCACCTACTCAGAACGTACACGGCGGCGATACCATCGTGCAAGACGAACCTAGTCAAGACACCTCCTTTGAAGATAATGCCCGTGCTGTCATCGATCGTGCTATCTGGATACGCTAGACACACAATCAAGAAGTCATCGACCTTAGCTCTAGATGCTGAAGATCACCCTGGCCCTGCTGTTCGTGTCCAGGACAATGTTGTTGTCAAAGAAGTAGGATCTGCTCAAACCACTCACACTGGGATCGTTGTCCGCCGCGCCTGCTACCTGGTATCGTCTCTGACTGCTTTCCCGGACACTGACTGCAATGTTGTCGGGGATGGAGTGATTGAACTTCGCATCTGGAACAACTCGTCGATAAACTACGTCCATGAAAGATGTTGTCGCCATTGCTGCCCCCCTCGAGGCCCTCATGGTACGCTGAACGATTTTTCCCACTTTGCCCTATGAACGGATTAGTTATAGCCAGAGACTCAATTTTGCTCGTCCTTGTACTCACCACATATCCTCATCCACTGGTGCGACGTCCCAGTAAAGAGTGAGCACATACGAAGGGTTGGGCTTCTTGCCTTCCATCTTGATCATGACACAGAGGCAGTCGTCGATTTTGACCGACGGGACCTCATTCCTGAAAGTCTAGGAAAGCCAGAAACCAGAACCTGGTTTTTTTGATCTGAGGCCAAACGAGGTGAAGCTTGAACGTGTTATTGGGGATATCTTTGCCTCGTGCAGGAGCGGTGTTGATCGAGGGCATACTAACAGCATGGGTCATATTGGCTCCCTCTCTGATCATCAGCTGTGCGCCCTCCAGCGTTTGGGCATTGGTCGTGGTCTTTCTCTTCTTTCTGGTGTGCGATGGGGTCTCGTCAGGAGCTTCTTCTGCAACCTCAATGTCCAGCTGCTCTGGCCCATCAAAGCCCCACTGGTGAGGGGGTTTGTCTTTCGTATTCGCCTCTGCGCTGTATCTGTAGATGGAACCTGGCTGAGCCAACTCGGCTGCGAGGATACGCTTGCTGGAATAATTCTTCATGTCGGTGATGGTGGCTGAGATGAGGCGGTTGAGCAGGTCGATGCGAACGTGGTATGGGGCAATATCGTATCTTGCGTTGAGGTCGAGTTTGAGTTCGGCTTTCATCTGTTCAGGAGAGATGGACCCGAAGAGATGCTTCCACATCTGCTGCCCGGCAAAGTATGCGCGGACAAACTGCATGTCAGGCTCAAACTGCTTGCTGCCGTTGTTCGACATCCAGAGCAAGGGTGTATTCCCTTTGCGACACACGAGCCGATCATCTTTTCCAGCATAGATGTCGTATCTTGCGGGATAGAAGGCCGGCTTGCGAAGCGCCTCTCTCATATGGAAGCGAATGGTTCTGACGCCATCGGAGTCAAGCTTGAGGAAACATGCCAATACACGGTTGTTGTATAGCTTTGTTTGATCGCATATGAGACCAAAGCAGGCCTTCACACTTGGCGCCGCGTAGCCAAAGCGAAGTTTTGAGTCGATCTTGACCCAGAAGTTTTCGAGCCCAATCACGCCGCCAACCTTCGCATCGAGAATCGCCGTGATGCTCCACTCGCGTCCTCTGCTTTCAATGCTTCGTTTGCGGTCGATGGATATGACAACTGCACCAGTTTCAGGTTCTTCGATGAATACATCGATCCAACCAAGTAGCACGACAACAATGTCAACACCTTGCTTTACGCCGCAAAGACATGAATAGCACAACATCGCGATCTGCAACAGCATATCGTTAACAACACATTCTTCTTCAGATACAACGCCATTGACCCCCATCCTTTTCCGCTCATGGAGATCACCATCAAGAACGACAGACCGATTCTCGTGCTCGTGCAGCACCCACTCCTTGCGTAGTCACCTGGAGTCCGTCGTGATCTGCTACACGAGTGGTATTGCTCGAACGACTTTCTTGTGGGCTTCGACCTGAAGATTTCCAAGTTCGCCCGCACCAAGCTCGAGCGCGGACTCAAGCTACTTGGCCCCAAGATTACGCCTATGTTGTTTACTCCAATGGCCGGTGTTATCTCATCTCGCCTGCGGATTCACTGCGGCAACTATGAGGATGGCATAACGTTTGCTGCACTTTGTCAATGGGCCGATCTCTTCTACCATGGCCCACTATCTGAGCAGAAGTTCTTGGGCGTGGATGTTGGCTTCGGCAATGGTCCACCACACCCTTCCCACTACCAGATTATTTGGGGCAATGACGAGACTTACGTTCGTGAGGAGGTCGCAATCACGCAAGTGCTCCACGAACTTCGCAAAGAGATGGCCAGACTCTCTACTGACATTGGCCGCATCGCTGATGTGCCTCGTCCCGTCTACAACTGGCTCGTAGACGACAGGAGTACTGAAGAGGGCAGCAGATTGCCAGAGATGAAGGCAAGAGTGTGCATAATGATTGGTGGTGAATTCAAAACGCTTGGCTACGAGGATGCAACTTCTATGTATATGTAGAAGCTGCGAGCAAAGGTTACCTTTCGGAGATTCATTATCCATACATTTATCACATGCTAAACTTGGTAGTGAGGTATCGGCCAAACGGAGTTAGTCAAGCTGCGCCTTCCCTTGCTATTCTACTCTCCTCCCTTTCATCGTCCACATGACGCCTCCCTCACCCACCTCGTAGCAACACAACAGAGTTTCCTCGTCAAACGCGTCTTTACTGCCCTTATCTGATCACTTGATACAGCATCCCTTGGAACGCATTCACGATTCAATAAGAACTAGAAGCTACGTGCATCGACAGGACCCATCAATCACAACACAGTCAAGAAGCTTATCAAGGCGCTGCCGGACATGGAGCTCTTGAAGACATCAATCGAGCGCAGATGCAAGCAAACGCTCAGACGCTGGACCAAGAGGTATGTGGTCTCTTGGGCCTTCTACTGCTCACTTCAACGCTAATCGCGTCACAAGGACTGCCCGCATGGCCGAAGATGGGGAATCCAGTGAAGATGGGGAAGACGACGAGGACGACGAGGACGGTGACACTGAGCTTCCAGCCGCCGTCATGCAGGAACAAGACCAAAAGAGAAAACGAGTGCTATCTTCTGAAGTGCGTTCCAGATCCAACGCCAGTGGAGCGCCCACACCCTCTGCCAGGTCCTCTGCCTCGAGAACGTCTGCTTCAGGCTCTTCGTCTTCCAGGCGCAATGCCGATGTAGCGATTACATCTACTTCCCGACAAAAGGCAAGCAAGGCTTCGGCTTCAGCCTCTTCGTCTTCCAAGCCCAAGACTGGTATGGCAACCACATCCACTTCTGGAGCCAACGCAGGCAAGGAAATTGCTTTAACCTCTTCTTCCTCTGCATCCAAGGCCACGGAGGCAACTGCATCCACTTCCGGATCCAAGGCAGCTACAGCACGCAATCCATCTTCCACATCGGGAGAGTCCAGCACTGGTGCATCACTCACAGCTCCTTCTACATCTGGACAACAGAGCGCCGATGTCTCACATGCCGCCCATTCAACCTCATGGTCACAGCTCCTGAGATTCACAGGCCACACGGCGGCAAGTTCTCACATACAGCTCCTTCCATATCAGGATCAACTGGGCGTTTCTTCACTTCATCTTCTTTCACCGGGCACACCGCAGTCTCCCTCTTCCTTTTCAACACCATCCATCCCGCTTCTTCTTTTTCTTGATTCCATCAAGATGCCGTCTCCACTTCAACATTACAACAAGCCTCTGACTTAGTCTCAGATGCTTTTGGCCAAAACGCAATACACATGGCATAGCGTCGCATCCTCTAATATACAGGCAACCTAACGCTTGTGCCTCACATGCTTCTGCACAAGGAGTCTTCACTCCAGCATTCAAAGCAGTCATCAGTGACATCGACAAGTACAATCTATTTCTTACCTCTGATGGTGCTCACTCTGTCAACAACGCGTCTGCCGCCGACGTTCCCCTGCTGGATGATGACGAGGACGACGCTGAAGGCTTCGCTGGTCGCCTCGACGAGACATGCGCCGACGACATCTTCATGTTCAGCCCCGCCCCTCGCTCTGGCTACAACCAATCTGCCGCTGACGCTTCCCTGCTGGACGGCGGGGATGAGGACCTCCAAGACTTCACAGCCACTGATGGCGGTCTTGTTCACGACTATGACGGAGCTCAGATGACGCACGAGGAGAACCTGCTAAACTGGAGCTCTCCATCAAAGCAGGCAAACCTTGATGAAACGAAGAGTTCAATCTCAAGAGGCATCTAACGACGGACCACCGAGCAAGCGCCAGGGAACAAGCCGCTTTGGTCAACTCGACTACACAGATGCTGTCGACCTCTCGGAATCCGAGTATGAGGATTCCATTGCTGGTGACTCTGCTTCATACTGTATCTCCGACCAAGACGCCGAAAGCGAGTCGAATCTCGACAGCTCTCTTTTGTGCAATTCTGTCGTGCGTGATGAGCCATCAAGGGAGTACCAGAGGGCTAGCCGCCCAGGCCGGCTGGATTATGCAGATGTTCTCAATGTCTCAAGGTCCGAGCTCAAGGATCCCGTTGCCATGGAGGCTGCTTCAGATGCAGCAGCCGAATCAGAGACCAATAATGAGTTGGACATCGTCAGTTCTCCTTCTGGCGATTCTATCGTGGATGAGGCCTCGAGAGAACACAAATGTTTTATGTGCAACAAGGAGTTCACGAGTGCCGAAAGCCTGCAAGTTCACCTTGACACACGTAAGTATTTCTCCTTTCAACCTATGATTGTGTACAGTCAGATAACAATAAGCAGCTCTAGCGGCCCACAATAACCTTCCCCGTGCAATCTACAACAGGGTCACAGCCAGCGCGGACAAGGCTCGGAAGAGTGTTGTGGCCACAAGGCTTGGTAAATCCAAAGACAAAGACTACGGCAGCCCTATCCGAAAGATCTTGTTTCAGACTGCTGCAGACTTCACCGTGGATGATGATGAAGGCGCACGCTTTCAATGTCCAGTCTCGGACTGTGGAAAGATATTCACTGCGGACGACACCCTTGCTATACTATGGAATCGCTGCAACGACAACTTCCATCAGTACGTGCTTTACGAGAAGGATCACTTGCGCTGCGAGGTGGGGTGCAAGAAGGGATTCACCGACATCCTTGCACGACTTTGTCACTATGCAGATTTTCACTATAGGGGGCCAGTCCAGGCGCTTCGTTATCGTTCTGAGTCAGGCTACGGACGGCGCCCGCTGAGTGCTGGCAACAGCCATAACCCCTGGGGTTTAAGAACGTAGAAGGACTGGCAGTTGGTTCATGCACAGGACGTCTACTTTGACCCTGCACCTGTTGCAAAGGACAAGTTGTGTGAGATGGTATTTCGCATCCACTATGATGTGCTGTTTGATGGGTTTGGTGCTAACGCTCGCAAAACCATCCACGCTGGACTTCACTCCAGGCATCGCAACAAGAGCATTTCAAACCTAGACGTCATTGAAGTCATCGAGGTCGAGCCACGGTACGACCCCGTCACATGCACAATAGTGCCACCGCCGATGACTGTCATTCCATTGAGCATTGCGGAGTCCAGCGCAGAATGCAGACAGAGGTTACGAGTACAAGCTCCGTACTCGGAACGATATGAAGACATTCATCACGCTGCCGAGGCATATTGACCCCCTGCTTATCTTGCCAACCAGCGACAAAGCAGTACTCGTAGCCCCTAGCGCGAAGGTCAGCTTGCGCCGGCAAAGAGGCCTGCTAGCTCCTGACATGCTCGTAAGATCGACTACAAGGGGCCGCGGCGGTAAACACTTCATCTGTTTCTTCAGGGACAGCGCCTACCCCTCTCCTATGTCAATCAAGAAACAGAAACGCTTCATTCAGCTCAGCCGCAACTTTATCCGCTTCCTACAGGAGTCTAGGAGGATCCAGCCAGGTGAAGTAGTCTTGTTCACAGTCGTATACCGCGCATACATCAGATCCCACAACATGCCGAGCTTCTACGGCGACAGGGAGCTGGCGATTGAGATGGTGCAAGGGTACTTACAAGCATACAGCAATCGAAACCCTGTGTAAGAGCACCTACTTTCGCCATGTCCGTGGTCCTGCTGAATCTACAGGCGAGGTTGGAGCACAGATTGTATATGCGTTATCTAAACGACAAAGACCCTGTCATCGTCTCGTTTGGGATGAACGGGTTTACATCAAACTGGCAAAGGATGCGTGAGTATATGAAGAGAGTTACGGAGCCCTGCGGAGAGATTGGCTTTGTGGTTTCGCTCCCTTATATCGCTGACTGTGCGGAGGAAAGGGAGGGTTGCCCAGACATCTACAAGGGATTTTGTGTTGTTAGAGGGATTCTGGCGGGATTTAGGTATGAGGAGCAGTACCATTTGCAGTTTGATATCACGCTTTTGTAACATTGCCCAATTTGCCCAGCCTTCCTTTTCTGTTGGCAAGATGGAATTTGAGATCGAGATGGTGAAGAGACTACTTACAAGCGTAAAGTACTGTGGTCTTGTCTGAGAACGTTTCCTCTCATCAGTACTCCAAGTTAAGCAAAGAAGAAAAGTTCGCACCATGAAAATACACTACTTTCATGAACCGAACATTGCCCACTGAGAGAGCATTGGTTGATATGCGATACAATTTCATTATACTTTTCATCTACCGTCTATCTAGAAGACATATCCATTGCCGCCTGTGCCTCCGTAATCCCCTCCTTAAGCGCAACAATAGCACGATCAATATCACCACGCTTAGGATCAGTGACACTAACACCCATATGTCCGAATCGGATATACTGCGTAGCGATCTGCTTGTGCAGACCGCCAGCAAACACCACACCGCGTTGCATAAGCTTAGGCAACACATCGGGAGGAGTCATGCCCTTGGGAAGGTAAATGGCAGTCATGCCGTTGGCTTGGTTCTCGGGCTTGGAGGCGAGTTGCTTGAGACCGAGGTCGGCGATTGCCTTTTTGACTTTTTGGGAGGCAGTGCGGTGGGCGGCGAAGCGGTCGGCCAGGGGCACGGAGGTGATTTGGGTGAGTGTGGTGTGCAGGGCGTGCACGAGCTGAGGCGAGGGAGTAGCAAAGTATGAGGGTTTGCCGGCTTCGTAGTTTTGCATGANCTGCGAACAAGTTAGTGGTGGCATTGAACGAATGATATGATGATACGTACTGGGCATCCAGTTCTTCCACGAGCCAAAGTAAGAGGTTGGGGGAACCTTGCGGCTTTGGAGAGACTTGATGGCACGGCCAGAAGCCATGACGATGCTCAGACCAGCTGGGCATCCAATGGCCTTCTGAGAGGCGGTAATAACACAATCGATTCCCCAGTTGTCGAATTGGATTTCCTCGCAGCCGACACTGCAGACACCATCGACGACGACCAGCGTGTCGGGGCTGACCTTGTGGACGAGCTTGCTGAGAGCTTCAATCTCGCTGAGAACACCAGTAGAAGTATCGACATGGGTGACGGTGATGAGCTTGTATTTCTTCTCCTTCAGGGCCTTCTCGACCTCATCCAGCTGAGGTCGGTCTCCAATGGGGGCCTTGAGCTGGGTAGCCTTGACGCCGTAGGTCTCGAAACAATCGGCGAAGCTGTCGGCAAAGTAGCCAGTGTGCAGAACCAGGACATCGTCACCAGGCTCAGCAAGGTTGGCAGCGACCTGGTCCCATCCAAGGGTACCGGAACCAGAAATGACAAAGGGCTGGGATGCGGGATCTTGGGTCTGGAAGAGCTTGCGGAGCATGGTCAAGGTCTCGCCGAATGTCTTAACAAAGGGTGCGCCAACATGGGATTCACTNNGCGGCCGTCAGTCGTTGCTTGACATGGCGAGCATGTACATGGCGTACCTGAAGTGGCTCATTGACTGCAGAACCTGGTCATCGAACTCGATGGGGCCTGGGATGAGCAGGGCTGGGTGGGGTGGTTGGCTCGACATGTTGGTCTTCTTCTCTTCTTGCACAGCAGGTAGAGGATTGTATGGAACGTCGTCTGGACGGCTGGATTGTCGCTCGTGGGCGTAGGGAGTGTTCAACTCGACTTGAGGTCTCTGGTCAAGATGTCTAGAGATCAGACTCAAGCGGGACTGAGGAGCCATGGCGGGGTTCGCCGGATGAGTTAATGCGGGGATGTGGACGATGTCGCCTCTCCCGATCGTGATTGGCGCTTCTGAATGAGCCTGATATGATCCGTTGGACCGCCTTTATCTGAAAAATTGGTCTGCCGCGAAATTGAGCGCGTCGTCAATGTAGAAAGAAAATGCCCAAAACTCCAATGGGCGGCAAATCGGACATGGAGAGAGTCGACATCGGCGGCTTGCTCTCGGCCCGTTCCCTTCAAATTAACTGCCGGCCACAGGAGACCCCAGCCGTGCATAACATGCTAATCCGACCAAGACCGACCAAACATAGAGAGACACATAAAGACTGAAGACCGACATGGCATAACATCGATGGACCTCAAGCTGGATCCATGACACGAGATTCCTGATTCCTTTCCCGAAGGCTTTGTCATGCAGGAAGATATCCTACCGAATACCCAATTAATGCACTTACTCCACCCATGCTATTTTTCCTCGTGATTACATGACCGCCTCGTCCTGCCAGGTTATCCGTGAGGTGGATTATGAAGTCTCACGAACGACCTTGTCAACAGCCTTGGCAAAGTAATCGACGTTGTTGGTGTTAAGACCAGCCATNNGCCTGCAAATAGTTAGCATCTTTTTAAGCACCAGTTCATGATGATACTTACTGATTCTGCCGTTCTTGGTCATGTAGACGTGGGCATCAGATCTGATCTTAAGGACCTGTTTCTCGGTCAAGCCAGTGAAGCTGAACATGCCGATCTGGTTGATAATGTGATCCCAGTTGCCAGGAGTCTGCAGCTCGTCAAGCTTGCCCTTGAGAGCCTTGCGCATTGAGATGATACGACCGCTCATCTCACGGAGGTTCTCCTCCCACTCGGCGAACAGCTTCTCGTCATTGAGGATGACTGATGCGATACGGGCACCGTATGCGGGAGGGTTGCTGATCTCGGAACGCTGGAGAATAGCCAGCTGGCTGCCAACACGGGTTGCAGTATCAGCAGCATCGGAACCAGGACCGGTGACAAAGTGGAAGCAGCCGGCACGCTCTCCATAAAGACCAAAGTTCTTTGCGTAACTCTGAGCAACGAACATCTCGAAGCCTTGCTCAACAAAGTAACGAATGGCCCAGGCATCCTTTTTCAGGTCGCCAGAGGCAAAACCTTGGTATGCGCAGTCGAAGAAGGGGAACTGAGACTTGCTCTTCATGAGCGAGGCAATCTCCTTCCACTGATCTTGAGTAGGGTCGACACCTGTGGGGTTGTGTGCGCAAGCATGCAGCAGGATGACACTGCCCTCAGGAGCCTGCTCTATTGTCTGGACCATACCCTTGAAGTCAAGGCCCTTGGTCTCGGCCGAGAAGTACGGGTAGTTCTTGATGGGAAGCTTGACATTGGAGAAGATCTGGTTGTGGTTGGCCCATGTAGGGTTGGAGACGTAGATTGTCTTGGCCTCGGAGTTGGAAGGGTTGTAGAACTTGGCCAGGAAAGCGGCGCCCAGGTGGACAGCACCAGTTCCTGAGATGGTCTGAAGAGCGACAGCACGCTTTTCCTTGAGAGCGGGCGAGTCGGCGCCAAAGATCAACTNTTGCGAGGCAGTGGTAAAGTCGGCGAGACCAGCGATTGGTAGGTATTCGTGGTTGAGGTTGGGGTCCTGACGAAGGAGGTCATCGGCNNCTGGATAGATAACAAGTTGATTAGCTTTTGCAATCACAAGCACATGTTCACTTTCTGATATTGAAAAGGTTGAGGAAGAACTGCATAGAGCGATTTTGTTGCGCACCTTCTTCACTACGGGCAGGACCCAGGGCTTTGCGTTGTTGTCTCTGTAGGCTCCAATACCGAGATCGACCTTGTTTGAATCAGTGTCGCGGCGGAAAGCGGCCATCAATCCAAACAAGGGATCTTCAGGTGCCTGAGGCACAATGTTTGCTCCGAAAGATGTGGCCTTCATTGTATTTGTGGTGGACATGTGGGATGTGATCTGTTGGAGGCGAGATTGAGGATCTGAGGGATTAGAAGACGAAACCATTTTTGTCTCCTTTGTCAACCACACCACTGGCGGGGTTTCGATCAAGTAATAATGCGGAGGGAAAGGCGGGCAGGATCCGGATCTTGGCGGTCTACACGAACTCAGCCTGAAAATCGTGTGCGAAATCGGCTGAGTACAAGGTGGACTGATAGTAGGATAATTCTATGATAAAACGAGAGCAAACGAGTATGAGCAGAGGACGAGCTATCAGTAGTATCGTCTACATCATGCCAATATGTGCTTGTACCCTGTCAACAACCTCGGGATCCCCACGTCCTCGTGCTCATCACGACGGTTCCGAGGCTTGATCGGTCCGCTTGCTCGTGCCGCCGGTTTTAACCCACTTTCTGACCAAACGCCGAGCATGCATCGAGTGGCACAGTTGATGAGATATGGTCTTATGCGATCGCATGTGAAGGTGATCCGAGACCTAGAATATCAAATCCCACACGACGAGGAATGCACAGAATGCGCATGTGCTGTGGAATAGGATCCTTGCACCGCTGGGTCGTTCGCTTGCCCGCTTTAGCTCCTTGTTTCCTCTTCCAACGTTTTCTGTCGTGAAGAAAGAATCTTGCACCAGTTGCTCGATGTGCTCGTTCTGCTCCGTTAAATTCGCGACAAGAGTTGATTGTAGTTCTGAAATCTCGATGAGAGATCTCTCCGCCGTGCTGTTTTTGAGGTCAGCAAATTATTCAGGAAGCCGAGATGCGCCATCTACTCACCGGACTTGGTCCAAAGTATCCTGGTAATGCTTCATCATGTCTTGGTTCTCTTGTGCGAAGAGTTGCATCTGTTCAGCGCTCAACTGTGGTTCTGCCCTCTCCTGCCCCTGTGTTGTTGATTTCTCCGAGTCCAGCGCGGCATCGAAGCTGTGAGCAGGAACGCTGCTGCTCTTTGCTTTGTATAGCACACTTTTGCTCTTTTCGACTTCACGCTGTATTCTTATCTCCATCATGGTGCTCTGCAGAGTGCCAGCCTCTCTGAGTTTAGCTTGTAAAAACCAGACGATACTCTCTCTGTGTGCGTTGAGCATCTNTTGCCTAGCCTCTTCCACCTCTTCTTCTGCACTCTTCGCAGTGACGGCTCCTCCGGCCGCCCATCTTCCAATGGCACCAAGACCGCCTTGGTTGCGTTTGCGCAGTGCGATATGAGACGCAGTGTCCTGTCTAACCTGCTCGGTCTGGCTTATGCGCTCGACGGCAGCATGTAACTGTCGCAGCACAGTCTTTGCCTCAGCATCAATCGAAGCCCTTTCGGTGTCGGACAGGTGTCGTTGTGTTGCATCATGAGTGGACTTTTGGTCTGCAGAGTTCTGTCGTTGCGGTCGTCGAGGTGCGGGAGCAGTGGATAGGTAGGAAGGTCTGATGGCGCGGAGATATGCAGTTAAGTCTGCTATACGAGCATTCTTTTGCACGTAAGCTATTGCATATAGCTCGGTCACAGCATCTTGACGTACGATACTGTATGCTTCTTTCAAAAACTCGTCCAGTCGGTCGATTGAGTAGCGATGTGACGTGACCGGCGGCGCATTATGAGCTTTGAGCGCTGTGTTGAACGCTGCCGTGATATCGGCCATGGTGTCCTAGTCTTTGTTGACACGAATGTTGACCTTGGAAGTCAAAGCAGCTTGTCGCATGTGAACTCTCGCCTACGTAGCTCTTTCCCAAACTGACGTTTGTCTTGGCCGGTCGAAGCCCGTACTTTGAAGCCTTCCATCACATCTGTAGCCATCGCGTCACCATCATCATCATGACCGATGCGATCTGCTTCTTCTGTTCCGCATTTCTCACCGGCAACACACCCAACATCCCGAGAGGCGATGTCGGCCAGCGGCAAGTTCATCGATCTGACCCATCGTCCTATCACAAGTCGCCCCAGTATATCAATACGGACTTTACATCACGGAAGCCGGCAGCGAGACATTACCCTGAAGATAGGCATTGTAGGCAGGCAATCTGTAGGTTGTTTTAGGTGGTCACTTTCTTTCTTATCCTCTTTTGACTTCCATACCAATTTCTGCATGTCTCGTCCACCGTCGTTTCGAGAAAGCCATCATGATGAACAGATCCCAAGAGACGAAATTGTGAAATCCACCGGATCAGGAGCCGACCAAGATGTACTCTACAGGCAAGACGAGAAACAAAAGCAAGACCATTCCGAAGAAGCAATAGAGTCTATCTACCATGTTTCGACAACAAGCTCCCATAGCGAAAACGAGGCCGCATCTGTGGAGGACAACGATATGCGGGATGTCGAGTCCAGTGTTGCAGAACCACCATATACTGTATTCACGGCAAGTCAGAAGAGGTTTATCGTTCTGTTAGCAGCTTGCGCTGGGTTCTTTTCTGCTGTAGGTATATCTACCAAGTTCAACCAGGATACATCATTGACTTGCTAGGTGTCTGCAAACATATACTTTCCAGCTCTCAATTCACTGACTGAGGAATTCCACGTCTCCGCGACATTAATCAACCTCACTCTCACTACATACATGATCGCACAAGGCATAGCACCAGCCATCATTGGTGACCTAGCCGATATGGCTGGTAGGCGGCCAGCATACTTTGTATGCTTTGTCATATACATTGGTGCCTGCATAGGCATCGCGCTCTGTCAAGATTACGTTTCTTTGCTCATCTTGAGATGCCTGCAGAGTGCTGGATGCGGTGCTACAATTGCGCTAGGCAGTGGTGTTGTTGCTGATATAGCAACCAGTGCTGAAAGAGGCACGTTCATGGGCTATGTCACTTCTGGTCCGATGGTCGCTCCCGCACTCGGTCCAGTACTTGGAGGCATACTGGCGCAATTCTTGGGCTGGCGATCTATCTTTTGGTTCCTGGTCATTCTTAGCGCCTGCTATCTGGTGCCTTTTCTGATTGCTTTCCCGGAAACTGGTCGCAATGTTGTCGGTAATGGAGCGATCAAACCTCAAAGCTGGAATAGATCGTTGATAAACTATCTCCACGAGCGAAAGGCTGCTAAAGCACCCACCTTGACTCGTACAGTAACCCGCGAAAGCATTCGTCTAGAAGAAGCACGACTGGCCAAGGCCCGAAAGTTGCGAATCCCAAATCCATTGAAGACACTCAAGATAGTCTTCGAGAAAGACACTGGACTTCTGTTGCTCTACAACTCGCTGGTGTATACGGCCTTTTACGACGTAACAGCCAGCATGCCTTATCTCTTTGGCAGGATCTACAACTACAACGACCTTCAGATAGGTCTTTGCTTCATTCCGTTCGGAGTAGGATGTTTGATTGCGCCAATACTAGGTGGCAAAGCTCTTGACTGGAACTTCCGACGTCTAGCTGTCAAACACGGCTTCCCTGTCGACAAGAAGCGGGCAACTGATCTCAAGGATTTTCCTCTCGAGACGGCTCGCATCCAGGTGACATGGCCACTGCTTGTAGTTGGCGACGCGGCCTTGCTTTGCTATGGCTGGGTAATGCACATGGAGACCAATCTAGCAGCGCCATTGGTTTTGCTCTTCTTCATCGGACTTTGCTTGACCGGAGCCTTTAACTGCAACAGTGTTATGTTGATCGACTTGTACCCGCTAAGTCCCTCGACAGCCACAGCGGCGAACAACCTCGTCCGCTGCCTCATGGGAGCAGGTGGCACCGCCATCATCATTATTATGATCGAAAGCATGGGTAGAGGATGGTGTTTTACGTTTGTAGCAGGTGTGGTGTTACTGTTCTCACCTATTCTCTGGGTGCTCGAGAAGTACGGGCAAGGATGGAGGAATGCAAGAGCCCGACGAATGGAGGATTTGGCAGAGAAGAAACAACAGGCTGAACAAGAGAAGGCTGAGGAATTGCAGGCTTACGAAGCTCAAACTGAGAAGTAATACAAAGCACGCCTCTTGGTAAGCTAGAGTCTGCAAAGTACAGTCATGAAATTTTACGATACTTCAAGAACAAGGCAGTGTTTACTAAAAGAACATTGTCGCATCGACTTCCTTCAACATCATGTGTACTGCGTGAACAGGAGTGACATTTAATCAAATGTGGACTTCACGTCAACGATTCAGCACACGCGGAGATAACTTTCAGGCTGCCTCAGGCGAGCAACGAAACGTCATGTACGGTCCTCTACCAGAACACCTTGATGGGCTGTTGTATAGATCCACTCGTCCTTCGGCTGGTCAGCAAGCAGATCAAGCAGAGTTTCAGATGTTGCTTGTTAGAGTTTAGAGTTTGCAGATGGACGAGGAAGAACCGGGACCTTGGCCGAAGCGCTTTCACATGCAAAACGAGTCAGCCGCCGCAAGAAGGGGAGCTGACTGTTGAAGACGACGATTTTGTCTGTTGAATCAGCAGTGGTGTCGTGTGTGGTATCGAATGCAAGGTCTGTGTGAGAGTGATATCGTGGTAGATCTATATCAGGGAAAATCGACGAGTTGCACAAGTGAGATGATGAAAACGAATACCAATGGGGCGTGTCCAGGCGTGTCGAGATCGGCGGACAACGAGGCGCGGGAGTGATTCAAGAAGATTTTTGGTGGCCACAAGCACAAGCCGCGCCAACAAAGACCGAAACTCGCAACGTGAACGCTCTTTTCCCATCGCCCTTCCTGCTCGACTCTTCCTTCAGTAACGAAGCACACGACACCGTTGAACGACTTTCTTTTCTGCTCACGCGACATCTCCATCTGCTATTTCTCCGTCGACGCTCTTCAGCACCGCAATCGTCAAAAAAGTCAAGGACCAACCAAAGGCCCCAACGCTCCCTCCCGTCCGTCGGCGATCAGTCCGCGTCCCGTATATCTAGCATTCTCTCGACCCAGCTCCGTCCTCTCGCTCGCCCAGTCGATTTTCGCAGCAATGAAGTTTTTCGAGTCACAGCATGAGTTTGACTACTCGTGGGAGGAGGTGTCGACTGCAAACTGGCGCAAGTACTGCCCGTGGAATGATAAGAGCACCCACGTTATCGCCGTCGACACTATTTCGCGTCATGTCGACCCGGCCACTGGCATTGTGAGTCTTCTGCTGCAGTTCTCTATTCACACATTCAATTGCTGACTTCCGTACCAGCTCCGTACCGAACGTCTCATCACCTGCAAGCAATCCGCACCAAAGTGGCTCAGTTCATTTTTCGGCGGCCAGGATGTCTCGCAAGTCTACGAAACCTCATACGTCGACCCTACCGCCAAGAAGGTTACAATGTGCAGCATGAACATGACATTCAACGATCTCCTCTCCGTCCGCGAAACCGTCGTTTACCGTCCCTCGCCCGCCGGCCCTACCTCTCGCACAATCTTTCAGCAATCCGCTCAAGTCACTGCCTTCTGCGGTGGTTGGCAAAAGATCAAGAACAGCATTGAGGACTTTACTGTCGAGCGCTTCAAGCAAAATGCCATCAAGGGTCGTGAAGGCTTTGAGGCTGTGCTCGAGATGAGCAGAAAGGTCTTCGCCATGGAGAGAGAACGCCAGCGCCTTGCTGTTGCTGTTGCATAAGTGCAATTTGTGGACTCGGTTCGACTCACCTCATCACTCTTCCCACTGCGTTTCTTCTATTCTTCGACGGTCTTGCATCCCGTCATGCGTTCCAGCGACTGGTGTTTTACGGCGTTTTCCTTTTACACTGGATATACCACATCCTTTTTCGATTTCAAAAGTGCGGGCGTTTCTGGCTTGGTTTCTTCTCCTTTCCATTATACCAACGATACGAGGTCTCCGACGCTAAAAAGTTTTTGTTGTTTCTGTTCCTCTGCTCTAGAGAAATTTGTCTAGATGGTTGGGTTTCCTCTTATCTACCCGCTCTGTTGTATTCTAGCGATCCAACCACACTTCATTTCGAGTTTATAGACGAGGGTTAATGTTGTATCAAAACACGAATAATCTACTTCTTCAATTTTCGATCCGTCTGAGCATATGACTGTTTGTTGACATCTTGGCTGTGCTCCTTGACTGCCTGATATCCTAGCCATGAAACATGACATGTATGATGATCATGGAAGGAACGACGCAGCTTTTAGGATAGGAAGGAGCGATCGAACGTACCTTCCAAGGTCACATGGATAGCCTGACCCAGGAAGGCACGCAATTTAGGTGATGTATGGAAGGAACGATGGGGTTTCCTTCGTGACTTCCTTGTTTCATGTTATTATACAATCACATGATACGAGGACAAGATACCACTGCAGACATAAGGTGCGGTCAAGGCGACGGAGGTTCGTTGCTCGAAAGGCAAAATAGGCTAGAGTAGGAAAGACACTCTTACAGCAATCTCCTTCCATAATCAGGTGTTGGAATTAACACAAAGTGAGACACCTCATCTATAGCAAGAACGCATCGACAGGTCTCCTTGAATCCCATGATCCTACTCGCACTCGATACTGACCAGAGCTCCTTTAGCACTCAGTTTGCATAGGTATAGTTCCTCCTCCCCAAACATCCACATTCCCTCCTTCGAAAAGCAGAAATTGGCCACACAACCTCCCGTCACAATCTTTCCAATCAAAGTACCTTGGGCATTCCATACATGCACACCATCTCCACATCCCGAATACACATTCCCCTCTTCATCACACTTGATCCCATCCGGCACCCCACTATCACAGTACGCAAACGTTTTGCGATTAGCCAACTGCGTGCCATTCTCCACGACATCGAATACATAGATGGTGGCTGGCAATCGCGGGTTCATGGAAAAGTTGTGGCCGTCTTTGGGGCCGGTGTGTGCTTGACATGCGCCTGTATCCGTGACGTACATTTTTGTGTAGTCAGGAGAAAAGCAGAGGCCATTGCACTGCACAAACCCATCTGCCACACACCAGATCTGGTTTGTGCGTGGATTGAAACGGTAGATTTGGGATGGCAAGTCGGGAGAAGGGCGAAAGGCTTGTTCATACCCATACGTAGGGTCTGTAAACCAAATCTCGTCGTTGGAATGGTGGATCACCACATCGTTCACACTGTTAAAAGGTCGGCCTTGGAAATTGTTGATTAGGGTTGCGGAGGTGCTGGAAATTGGGTCTACGAGCACTAGGGCGGAAGGGTTGGTCTTGTCGCCTTGACAGCAGTACAGGATCTTGTCTTTGTAGTTGCAGGCGCCGTTTGCTTGCACTACATTTGTAAAGTTGTCGTCTGTAACTTTGAGAGAGGAGGCGTCGACAGAGTATAATGCGATAGGATCGCAAGTCTGGAAGTTTGCGGTGAAGTAGACGCGGTTGGTGGATTTGATATACACGCCTGCCTCGTGTGCGAATTGGTAGTCTCGGCTTTGGACTTGGGTGATGCTGGGATTGGATCCGAGGAGTTTGGAGAAAGAGTCATCGTAGATACGGAAACCTTTTCCTTGAGAGAGCTGTGTTCCGTAGTTGATGTCTGTGGCCATGCGTCTGAGGTCCACATGAATAGTTTCGGTCTTGAGTTCCAGAGGAGTCATGGATGGTTTGTCTGGCTTGTGGTTGTCGGTTGGGAGTTGACCTGACATGCTGGGCTATGAAGCTTGAACTCGAGATGTTGAATTAAGACACTAGGACATCACGTTCAGCTGTCATTCTGGTTTTGAAGACGTGAGAGTCTCTCTGGTCATCCACTCACACAATTGGCACTCCAAGGGGCTCACAATGTCAATACGGCAGTGTAGTGTATGAGGAATCAAGCGAGCTTTGTAGCTTAATCCACGCGAGGCTCAAACCATGTCGGTATTTGTCGGCCTTCGCGAAGCATTCTATTGAACGCACTTCTCACCGTGTCGGCTTTCCACATTGGTCTATAGCAATAATCCGATCAACGAAATCATATCTATAATCAAAGCTGAAGATCATCCTTGTTTCATGTTCACTGGTATAGACTGATAGTCTCAGCAAATACAGATACCGCGGATGTATCTAAGAGGATGAATGGAACCTCGGCATGTAAGAGCTCTCTCCGCATCGTCTCCGCACTATGAGACCCGCGTGCAACCGCTACCTAGATGGTCAAAGGTCAGACTTGCTACTACAAATAAGCCACCTACTCGAGTGGAGACAAGCATCACACAAAGTCATAGTAAAGAAAGCATACGGCAGACACAACAACCATGGGCAAGAAAACAAAAGCACCATGCTACGTCCTCGGTGTTGGCATGACCAAGTTCATCAAGCCTAGGGGCAAGGTCGACTACACAGAACTCGGCTTCGAAGCTGGCGTCAAGGCCATGTTGGATGCTCAGATCAACTACGATGATGTTGAGCAAGGTATAGCCTGCTACTGCTATGGCGACAGCACCTGTGGTCAGCGTGTCTTCTACCAATTCGGCATGACCCAAATTCCCATCTACAATGTCAACAACAATTGCAGCACTGGTTCGACTGGACTCAACCTTGGCCGTACTATGGTAGCAAACGGAGCTGCCGATTGTGTTCTGGTTATCGGATTTGAGAAGATGTTCCCAGGCTCTCTGCAGAGTTTCTTCCAGGACCGGACCAATCCTACTGGTACAACTGTGGACATGATGAAGGCAACTAGAGGCATCACGAATGCTCCCGGTGCTGCTCAAATGTTCGGTAACGCTGGAAGAGAGTACATGGAGAAGTATGGAGCAAAGAAGGAAGACTTTGCCGAGATCGCAAGAATCAACCATGAACACTCGAAGCGTAATCCGTACTCGCAATTCCAGGATGAATACACTCTGCAGCAAGTCATGGACTCTACATCTATCCACGAACCTCTGACGAAATTGCAATGCTGCCCTACTTCAGACGGAGGTGCCGCTGCAGTCCTGGTGTCTGAGGATTTCTTGAATGCCAGACCACATCTCAGAGAACAAGCAATCCTCATCGCTGGTCAATGCCTTGCCACTGACGCCACTTCCTTGTTCTCGCGCAGCAGCATCGACTTGATGGGATATGAGATGACCAAGAATGCGGCGAAGACTGCTCTAGCCGAGGCAGGTGTTTCTATCAAAGACGTCAAGGTCTGCGAACTTCATGACTGCTTCTCAGCCAATGAGATGATTGTGATTGATGCGCTCGGCCTGAGCGAGCACGGCAAGGCACATGAAATGGTGCGCAAAGGGGACATTACTTACGGCGGAAAGATGGTCATCAACCCTTCAGGAGGACTCATCTCTAAGGGCCATCCACTTGGTGCAACAGGCATTGCACAGTGTGCGGAGCTTGTCTGGCATCTTCGTGGCTGGGCCAATAATCGACTAGTCAAGGGCACGACAGCAGCGCTACAGCACAACCTTGGTCTGGGCGGTGCTGTTGTGGTTACAGTGTACAAGAGAGCGGATGGCAAGACAAATGAGTCTGTGGACTCACAGACAGTCGGACAGAAGAATGGACTCGGATACAACCCAGCAGTTGAGGCCAAGGGATTCAGCAAGAGTCAGGTGAACCAAGTCCGGAGCAAGCAACACAGAAGTGAGTGGGCGCTAGCAGATACTGAGCGCAAGGTGGAGGCGCGATTCTGAGGAAAGGTGGGCCTGCCCACGGTTTATGTCTCATTATGAAATAGCTCAAGCAGAAGGTATCCAAATCATGGTTTATTATGCATCGTGTTGCTTAGACGGCTTGAGGTTGGCCGTCAGCCTCGCCCGAGTTGACCTTCTTGCCAGTCTTCTTGATCTTCTCCAGAACAGTGTTGTAGTCGAGGGAGGGCTCGGTGATAACGGATGCGGTTTGGCTGTCGAGAGAGACATCGAAAGACTTGACACNCTGAAACAGACGTCAGCAACGTGGACGGGTGAGAGAAGAAGGTGGCCACGAACCGTCGAGCTTCTTGAGGACACGCTCAACTGCGCCGGAGCAGCCGCCGCAAGTCATGGTGATGTTGAAGTTGTATGTGTGGTCCGACATGATGTTTTATGAGTTGAAGATGTAGTCGAAATGCTGAGCAGAATGGGGAACTTGGAAGGAGCAAGATCAGGAGTGCAGAGTGTCAGCAAGAAATGGGATTACGAGAGGAGGGATGGCGTGCTATGCTGTGTTTCGGACATTACTTTAGGATAGGAAGGCGCCAAGAGCTTGATTACAGTACACGTTCCAGACCTTCCGGCTCGATATCAGCAGGAGCCTCCCTGCACCTGCCTCAGTTGTAGCTACAGAATGCAGTAGGAGCGATTACGTCGCAACTGGCAGTCAATTCATCCATCAAGTTTTAAGGGCCACTCCTAAAACTGTAGGGCTTGGTGCACTGCAGGGTAACTTTGTCAACCCCGCGGACGACAGAGACAGACGCGCCACATGTTGGGTGGGCTGAGCCACAAGTTTCCCGCATGACGTGAATAGCATCAACAGCCAAAGAACACTTTTGATCTGTTGGGCACCACCAAGCTCCTACGATCTCGTAGGCCGATCCTTCCGCCATGGCTTCGTACGTTCCATCCTACAGTCGCTTCATGTCGTCCGTCCTACTGACATGACCAGGAGCAACATCCTACACCTGCCCTTTCGCCGTACCCACAATGTCTCGATCGCTGAAGCCATCAAGCGCTACATCTCGACCAAATATGACCAACATCCCGACATCTTCACCAACGACCTCGAGCAGATAGACCACCTCAGACATGCCGCCGTCCACGCCCTGGAGCCTCATACTAGCGGCGTTCGCAAGCTTCAGCAATATGCTGCCCAGCTCGTCTGGATGGGCGCCAAATTTCCTGTCGACATTGGCCTGGAATTCATCTGGTACCCTGCTTTGGGCTACAACACGCAAAGACCAATCTCTCAGGATAACATCCGATTCGAACTCGCCAACATTCTCTTCAATCTGGCCGCCATGTACTCCCAACTTGCCATGTCATCCAACAGAAGCACTAGCGACGGCCTGAAAGCTGCCTGCAACTACTTTTGTCTTTCTGCTGGTGTCATCTCCCATCTGAAGACGACTGTAGTCCCAGATATGAGGACCTCTCCACCCGAAGACATGGATACCTCTACAATGGAGAGCTTGGAATACCTTATGCTGGCCCAGGCTCAAGAATGTTTCTGGCAGAAGGCTGTNAAAGATGGACTCAAAGATGCCAGCATCGCAAAGCTCGCTGCTAAGGTCAGCGACTTCTATAATGAAGCTGGTGACTGGGGCATCAAGAGCGATTCTGTCAGTAGCGAATGGATCCACCACATGAACGCCAAGCACCACCACTTCGCTGCTGCTGCTCAATATCGCGCTGCTTGTGACTGTCTTGAGAAGAGAAAATATGGCGAAGAGGTTGCTCGTCTGCGTGATAGTCTAAAGTGTGCCGATGAGGCTTTGCGCGAGACCAAGTACGTCAACAAGGCTGTACAGGATGATGCAAATGGTCTGAGAACAAGAGTGGCAGAAGATCTCAAAAGAGCTGAGAAAGACAACGATATGATCTATCTACTGCCAGTACCGCCAAAGTCTGAGCTTAAAGTGCTCGATAGAGCGAGCATGGTTACTGCCAGAGTGCCCAAGGAAGTCTCGGAACCACTGACTATGCTGGGGGATCATGGAGAGCTCGGCAAACCACTCTTCTCAAAACTTGTTCCATACTCGGTCCATGTCGCAGCTAGCATCTACGTCGACCGTAGAGATCGTCTGGTCAACAACACTATTGTCCAGGAACTCGAGGAACTCACTGTCAGCATACACGATCTCTTGAAATCCCTCGGTCTTCCTGGATCGCTACAGGCTCTTGAGAAACCTCTTGGTCTTCCTCCCAGCGTGGCTAGTCATGCTGAAGAAGTTCGGCAGATGAACGGCATCTACAGGCTCCACAGTGCTATGGCCGATACGGAAAAGTTGAAAAACAGTGACCGCGCTACGTATCAGGAAGGTGTGGAGATGCTTCGATCAGAGTCTTCCGAGGACGATGCTGCGCGCCGAAAGTACGGAACTGACAGGTGGGCAAGACCACCATCAAACGAGGCATCCCGCAAGCTGTACGCACAGGTCACAGAAATTGATGGATATCTCAAACAAGCAGGCAATAGCGACAAGTTGGTGCAGAAGAAGTTGAAGGACAACGAGGCTCTAATACGTCTGCTGGCTGGAACAGATCGCGATCTCGAGGATTATGTTCCGAGCAGTCGACGTGCAACCATGACCACCAAAGTCGAGAGGGAAGCAAACAACCTACGCGCTGTGCTCAATGACATTGCCCGTTTCGAAAACCGTCGCAAGCGAAAAATCGAAAACATCCGAGCAAAGGCAAAGGCAGACGATGTGAATGCCGACCTTCTGCGCGAAGCTGCGCGATTGGAAAGGGAGTACCCCATGCAAACACTTGAAGCGATTCAGTTCGAAAGCTTCTTTGACCAAAGATTGGAGAAGTACACCGCCGACCGTAACGACATCAACGCGGAGAGGACCGAGCAGGACGACTTACTCGAGCGAGTCCAGCAAGCCAACAGCTCATTCACCGTTGCAAGAAAAGGGGACACTTCCACAAAGGACCGTGAACAAGCTTTGCAAAACCTGGAAAATGCATATTTGGCCTACAAAGAAATCATCTCAAACCTTGAAACCGGCCGTAAATTTTATAACGACCTTGCCAGTATTGTCACTCGCTTCCGAGACGATTGCCGGAACTTTGTCTACCAACGTCGCGCGGAAGCCTCAGCTCTTGAGAACGATGTGAGCACTTCCATGGCTCAGATGAGTTTGCAGAATGCCAATCAGACCAATCTACGACAACAGAAGCAGCAGGAGACGTTGATGAACCAACAGCAACCCCGTACGACTCCACGGACAGGGGTACCACTAGCAGCGCCTTTGCCTACCAGAGCCAATGTTGCCCCTCCCCCAGTAGCAGCGACTACGTCGCCCACACCTGGTATGTGGACGCCTGAGATGGGTATACGGTTCGGAGGACCCAGCGCTGCAGCATCGTCGATGGTCAACAACGACGGCGCTCCTCAAAAGCCGACTTCGCGCGACAACAGGTGGGATCCGAGCACGCAGAATATCCAATTCAGGTAGGCGCATGTTGTTTTTCGGCTGTTTTCCGTGACAGGATAAGCGTGCGAAGTCAACTGCTTCCGCTAAAGGCCGGAGAGCATCTACATCAGGACTGGTGGGGGTGAGTATCTATTAGGCATGCGGAGACATCCGATGGGCCCTGCTGCGTTGAGACACAGGCTTGCGGCTTTGTATGGAGCAGCTCAAGCCTCATTAAACCCTACAACAAGACGAGTCATTCTTGTGCCCCAAAGTACAAGCGCATAAGAATACTACTGATCTGGGTTGGAACACATCCTGCTCACAAAACAATCAGAGTGTATGCCAGACTGAATTCTCTTGGTCGCTGCTAATCGCAACCTGGAAAATCCTTCGCCTGTGGTCTTGGTTGCGATATCGAGGAGAGATAACGACAGGAGAATGACTGAGACCGCATCTAAGTCTCACCGTATCCCCGGCACCGGGGCTAGTTACCAGTTACCAGAAAAGTCGAAGTGACATGTACCGAGGTCCTGGGTCATGACATTCGTCTAGTCTTGCCTGGTTCGCCTGGTGAAACGGCGGCTACTCCGATTCTATACAATAGCCAAAGTTCCATTCCCATTCAAGTGCTTTCTGAATGCTTGGCCGTTGTATGAAAGGCATCTTCAATTCATTTCGCCACCTACTGTTGATATTAAGGCCGGCGTTTGCGTGCATATTAAGTCGAACCTAGTGATGCGGCCACAGCTGCGCTATTGCTGTGCTTGGCCACGAGAAAGGCAGGTACTTCTCACGCTAGGATTGAGGATTTCACTCTGCGCGGCGCAAAGCTTTGAGATGGTCAGCGTCTTGCCAAGATACAACGTGGAAGAAACCTTGAGAAAGCCCCATCATATCTGACTCATGATGAACGCAAGGTACAGCAACGTACTTCACGTAGGGCATTGCAATTTGTGGTACATTTGCTATGAGCAGATCCCTGAGCCATGACGGTCCATATGATCCAGGAGCTCCCAGACCTGGACGGTAGACGGATTGTATATCACATTCCCCTTCTCCGTACGATGCTATTCTCTCCGCAGCTCCGAGTAGGATCCAGAAAAGAAACCTCGCAAGGAAGGGTAACCCCTCTTCTGACTTCACAGAATGATCATTGTATCTACGGGCATTACTTCAAACGAGCCAAGGCCCAAGCCACAGTGGAGGGGCGAGGTCACCGACTCGTGGACATTGTGATTCGTGACTGCTTGGCTCAGTTGAACCACACTTCTTGTCGAAGCATTGCGCCTGCCGACACTAGGCTCTTCTACCGGCCAACGCCCCACAAAGTATCCATAGCTTCTGGTTGACACGAACTGAAGGTTACTAATCAGATGTACGACGACTTTTACGAAGACTTCAGCAGGGCGCAGTCTCTGCACAAGTGGAAAAGATACCGATGACAGTGACTGGACGATAACGAATGTTGTAGCAGAGACAGCACAACGGGGACAAGTCCAATCGCCAGACCGAGGCCCTGTCTCCCCCAGGCTCACATTTGAGCCCGAACTCAAACAAGCCTTGAGTGCACGAATCGGTGGCTGAACGGCGGCGACGCGCCGACACCCGAGTGCAAATCACAGCTAAAATTTGCGTCACTCGAAGCCTTCGCTGTTGCGTCTCCGGCGATGCCTAGGCATTTGGAACGCCCTTCCATATCGTACGGAAATCTTCAGCGGACTTAAGATGGAAGAGTCGGCGGATCAGCAGCACGCCAAGCGGTCAATCTTTCGTCTCTGATTCTGCAGCAATTGCAAATCGGCAACTTCGGCGCCCCCAAGCCACTAACACTACACAACCTTTACCCTGTGTCCCCAACTTTTCGCTCGCAATCGAGGTCCAAGGTTGGACTATGCCAAGCTGCATCCGACAACTACGTTTGCGCCCGGGCTGTGGTTCTAACTGCTGTTACGTGCCAAGGGAGAGCGTTGCGTGCCCTTCGAGACTGTCCCATCTTTTGTGTCCATATTTGTCACCGGCGATCGTGCGCTTTGGTAGCATCTCGCGTGTGTGATGTGCAATTCACAGTCGGTCGAGGCTACCCACTCTATGTATCCGTACGCCATGAACTAAATCATGGCCAAGACTTGACATGGACCTGCTCTTATTCCCACAATCTTAGCATCCGTTTGTTCTTATTCAGCATCGTCGAAGGTTGTCCGGAGTCAGTTGCTGTCTCCATAAACTCACCGTCGCGTCCGTCCTGCTGTCAATTTACCTTTTCTGATTACTCTGTCTCTATTCTCGTAACCTTCTCCTTTCAAGCTTGCTCATCTTCCTTTTCTCCAGTCCAATTGCTTCACGTTTCAAGCCTGTTCGTCACAATCACCATTTTCATACCATTGACCTGTTATGCCCCCAAGAACAATCCTCCCAAAAGATGAACAAGGTTCAAGCGACGGATTAGCCAACATGGCGCCTCCAAAGTCGGCGAAGCGAAAAGCCGTTTCTTCTGCTTGTATCCCTTGTCGCAAACGCAAGAGCAAGGTCAGTCGCATTGAACAATCTTGCAACATGTAGAGCTTTACTGATTCAATTGTACAGTGTGATGGAGGTCTTCCTTCCTGTTCCACCTGTATGGCGGTTTACCGAACAGACTGCAGCTACGACCAAGACACAGACCACCGACGCAAAGGCGCACTCCGAAAAGATATAGCATCACTACAGAACAAAAACACCGCCCTCGATGTCGTCATCAATTCTTTGTGTGCTCTGCCAGAACACGAGGCTACTGCATTGTTCCATAGCCTTCGCCGGGGAGAAAGACTCGATTCCCTGGCTGAAGCCATCAATGCTGGAGATACCGAGAAGCTGAGGAACCTCGACACTGAACTTTCTGGGCCCAATGGAACTCCAGGAGCCACGTTCCACTCGCAAGCTCCTTCAACACGAAATGAATCGTCACGCAGTCCGACAGATGGAAAGTGGAACGATGCAGGAAGTCAGAGCGCAGCAGCAGAAGGGTCATCCTCTTGGTTCCGCGTACCTCAAGACGCCGAGTTCGTGGACCATCTGCTCAACCTTTATTTCTCCTGGAGTCATCCATTCTTTTGCTTCTTCTCCAAGGATCACTTCTTGCGGGACATGTCCCGAGGTTCAACCAAGTACTGCAGTGCTATGCTTGTCAACGCTGTGTGCGCAGTCGCTTGCCAATACTCGGATCGACCTGCAGCACGCGAGCGAGCAGGAGACTACTTCTTTAGCGAGGCACAAAGGCTTTCTGAAAACATCGGCGCCTCGGAATTGACGTCTGTCCAAGCTATGGCGGTCATGGCTGTTAGAGAAGGGTCTGCAGGCCGTGATCACATTAGCTATCGCCTCTGTGGAAGAGCTGTACGTCTTGCTATGGAGATGGGCCTGCATCTGGCAGACACTACCGCAGGAGAGCCAAACTTGCGTACCAGCGAGATGGACATTCGGAAACTGACCTTCTGGGGTGTCTTCAATTGCGAGATGATCTGCTGTCTGGCATTGGGCAGGGTATCATCGATACCCAAAAACGCTATTGAAATTGATAAACGTGGGTCACGAGCATCAGGCCACTTTGGACGACGAGCGCTAACATTTTTGCANGCTATGAACTCGGAAAAACTGGATGCGTTGTTCTGGCAACCGTACGAGGACGCCAACTTGCCAGTCAGTCCGAGCGCTGTGCAGCCTATGAAATGCCTGCTATTCCACAGCATCCAGAGTACGCTCTCTGAGATGATCAACGACATCAACCTCAATCTTTATGCACCCAGAGAAAGATTCACACCGCGTCGACTGGCGTCAGCATATCATCAATACCAAACGTGGTACAGTGAGCTGCCTGAGATGTTCCAGCTTCAAAATACAGCCATGCCCCACGTTATTGTGCTTCATATGTACTACCACCAATGCGTACTGCAGTGAGTATCCACGAGGAACCCCACATGGAATCCTGCTAACCACTTTCAGNNCCTTTTCCGACCTTTCATGAAGCTCGACCTTTCAGATATCGGACTCTTTCCGCGGGAGCTAGCGACCTACTGCGCCACCGAGATTTCCAAGCTCATGAATGCGCTCCGCGGAATGTATGGGTTGAGGAGAACGTCGTTGGCCGTTAGCAACATCCTCCTGTCGGCCAGCACAGTCCATCTCATGAACCTTCCCTCCCAAGGTGCAGCTGTGCAGCTCACCCAAGCCATGCGTAAGTTCGCACCCCTGAAGCTATACGAGGACGGGATGCTAACCCCACTTCCAGAGGACTTGGACACAATGTCTGTGAACCACCGTTATGCCTCGTGCTGCCTCGAGGTAATTAACCGACTGGCGAACCAGTGGGGTATCAGATTGCCTGAGGCCACTGCCAACTTAGCACCCTTCCGATCCCCAGTACCCGATCAAGCCATGCCGAACATGTCCCTGTTCTTCACTCAAGCAACACTCAGCAATGAGTCCATGGAATCACTCGTCGCACCAACTCAAAACCTAAGGCACGATTCTGGTAGCATGTTCGAGCCTTCCTTCGCTCCGCATAACATGCCAATCCTGCCGACCAACAGTCAATCATCCTTGGGGGCAACATCGCAACATAGCATGCACTCTACGCCAATGAACACGACTCCGGTCCAGGCACAAACGAACATGTGGTCATCATTCCCCTCTCAACAAATGTCAACACCAATGCAGTTACAACTACCTACGACGGACTATCAGATGATGAACGTCGACTCTTCGGCCTCTTTTGGATACCAGAACTATCAGCAATCCCAATGACTACCTTGGGTGCTCGCTCATTGAGGACCGAGCACCAGCCCGATGATATTGAAGGATAACAGAACGACGAAGTCAGGTGTGGCCTATCTCTCATGATGGCCGGTAATAACGCAGGCTGTTGCGCAATGAGGGAGGCAGATTGTCTTTGAGGCTCATTGCAATGGCTCAGGAAACGATCAGACGTGACCCATGCCATACACATATTTCTTGTACATACAACAACTTTTTAATTACACTACATAGACGACGACCGTCACGAAAACCAAGAAGCATTCATTCTCCATGATCCCTTGTTCGATATGGCATGTTTCTGATGTTCTGCTTGCATCACACAACTACCACGCACACTCGGTAAAAGCAACTTCCTCTTTGAGTTGATTTCTCATCAAACAACTATCATCGCTTAGAGAGTCTGCACCGTCTCTCCACTTGTTTCTTCATGGCTGTCACGAGAGTCTTGGACTCTCTCGATACAAAGGATCGACGCCAATATGCCGTTCGAGCCACTCGTACTCCGTACAGGGTGTAAGAGCAGCATCTTGGCCGTTCGAACAAGGTTTTAGAAAGCCACAAGATCGACAAGACAGACATTCGGGAGGTGATCATCCGGGTTCGCCTTACCCGAGAGCCCTGCCAAGGAGATATGGCCAAGGGAACCACTTTCACGACACGGGCCGCTGTGGCAAAGGACAACCGAGCAGCGGTGTTTTGCATAAGTCCGACCGAGTGCAAAAGGATCTGCATAGAGCTCGGAATCGCATGCCGAGCAAAAAGGCTGGGCAATGTTTGATACAGATATGCAAGTGTTTCAGCTGAGGGCAGGAATTGACGATGAGTACGAGACCGAGAATGGCATCTTGAACTGCCGTGCATTTTGTTTATTCTTGCGGCGTTCAACAAGTTGCATCCTGACTCTTTCCAGTCTCAAGGAAACGCTGAGATTGTCATGGAAGGAGATGTGGTGGAACGAGATTCCTTGAATTTGGCGGTCGTCGCGGGTAGACCGGAGCACAAATGATGACGACACTGTCGAGCTCTCGCGAGCTTCTGCGACTCCGACGTGACGAGATCGACCATTGAAGGTGTCGACCACTTCTCCATCCGCACACAAACAAACATCATAAGCAATGGTTCTCGTTCCGGGTCTGCTGCCGCCTTCGCGCGAGAATTGGGTCATCATCAACAACCTCTGGCAGTTCTTCCCCGTCGTAACCGGCATCCAATGGCTCATCGACTACTACCCCCAGGGCAAGACATCGGTCGAGTCGCGCTTCAATCTGCCTGGAAAATGGGCTTGGGCTATCATGGAAGCTCCAGGCTTCATCACTCTGCTCTACAACATGAATGCGCTGCCCGCTGAGCTTGGTCTGGGTCCTCTGCCTTGGGGCAATTGGGTCATGGCTGCCCTTTACGTACGACTCTCCTTGGTCTCACGACCTCTGATACTCGCAGCTAACATGATCTTTGCANNGTCTATTCACTACGTCTACCGCGCCATTCTCTCGCCGCTCTTCCTCAACCCGAGCATGTCGCCCATCCACCCCTTGGTCTTCGTCTCGGCTCTAGCCTTCAACCTCGTCAATTCGCTCTGTTTGTCCGGCTGGCTCGCTGGCTATGGTCCCACCACCGTCTACGATTGGGCCGGCCGCCTCTACTGGATCGAAGCCGGTCTCGTCATCTGGGGCTGGGCTCTCCTCGGCAACATCTTCCACGACGACGACCTCCGCGAGATCCGGCGTTCTGCTCTGCGTCGCCAGAAGGAGCAAGCCAAGAAAGACAACAAGCCCATCGAGGGTGTGGAGAAATTCTACATGATTCCTAAGAATGGTTTGTTCCATTATGTGCTCTTCCCTCACTACCTTTGCGAGTGGTTTGAGTGGGCTGGCTTCTGGATGATTGGAGGTTTGGCATGTACGCCGGCTAGGGCTTTCCTCTTCAATGAGATTAGCACTATGTTGCCTCGTGCTTTGCAAGGAAGACGTTGGTACATCCAGAAGTTTGGAAAGGATAGAGTTGGTAACCGTAAGGCTGTCATTCCTGGCCTCATCTGATTTGCTGGTATGCGATCACGATTGATGATTTGACTCGGGGGCTTGGGATGACTTACGGCTAGGTCTGTTTTGAGGAGTCTGGTAATTGAGCACGTCGGAGTATAGCGTTGCAAGTAATATAATACTAGTAATCACCATGCTTCATGGCCTGTCAGTCAACTACAGTTTTGGACCGTACATTGCGATCGCAAGCTCTGGAAGGGTCATTGATTGATGTCTCTGTGCCAGCCAAGAAACGCAAAAACATGTGTGCACAAGAGCAACATTACTTTATCAATTGGGGTTGTGGTCTAGTGGTATGACATCTTCTTAGCATTGCTCTTCGAGCAGTCCTGAGTTGGAGAAGGTTCTGGGTTCGATTCCCAGCTACTCCACATTTTGTATGCTGGCTTGTCTGCTAAAGCAGGCATCCATGTCTTTTGGATCGTTGGATTAGTGTAGAGAGTGTGGGGTTGTGGTGTTTTGCTGGGCTGGATGGGAGAATTTGGTATGGTTGGTAGAAAATCACTGGATATGTTGGCGAACCAATTAACAGTGCGATCAAGTCGTATCTCCAAAGCCTTAGATCAATTGGTATTTTGTCAACAGTCAATTGATGTCGACGCCATCTATCTGTGATATTCTTTTGTCATTTAGAAGTTTGTTGCAATTTCTTCCCCCAAAAAGTGTGAAAACAGCCAAGCTTTTGTGTCTCTCTCGAGGCTTCAGAAATCAGTGCCCACAGAAAGCACGCAAATTCCAACAACCGCCATTGCCTAGCAGACAAACCATCACCGGCATACCTAGAGGTGACTTTGTGTGAGTTTGGCGGAGCAGCAAAAAAAGATGATGTGGATGAGAGAGCAAAAGGTTAATGCCGCTTCTGTGGATCGAACACAGTGCCTCCAGAATACTCTTGCGTAAGGTGCGAAGAATGGACAGAAGTTGACTTCAGTCTGGCGCTCTCCCAGATGAGCTAAAGCGGCTTATTGATGTACGAATCGAGCTTGTCAAAAATATATATATTGGTTGAGATGACGATCTAACACGACGCGAGAACGACCTTAGTAAGATGTTTTTTCTCTTCTCTCTTAACATTGACAAGGGCTAGCGAAGTCATTAGTACGTCTGCTCGAGCCGGCATATAAGCTAGCGCTACCCTAAATCTTTCGCGTATCTGTCTGTGATAGAACTAAAAGAGTGAAGATCAACCGTATGGTTATTCTGAAGCCTTCGCTTTTCCATCCATGACAAGTGATTATGGTCGATAACGTGTCAACGCGATTGTATTTCGTCTCAGCGCTCTTATAGAATATCTTATAGACAGTGATAATCTCTGTCGTAGGTTCGGGTAGCATGAAATATGTATGTTGGCCCTTCAATTGCTGAGTCTCTCTTATAACAGGTTGTTGATGATATCACCCTGGCCATATTTACAGTTGGAAGATGAAGAAAAATTTGGATCAGAGATCAGGTTAATCATCAGATACCATGGGAGAGAGCTCCTCAGACATTCTTAGCGTCTGGTGATGCAAAATCGATCGAGGCCGTGAGAGTCTCAACTGAATGATCCTCAAACCCGGTGTCATAGCAAAACATAGGATGCCAATGACCTTAAAGAAGAGTAAGAAGATCGAGTAGCACAATAAAAGAAGAGTCTCGAGGATAAGAGGAAGACAGTACTCTAGAAATTAGCACGAAGATCTTCTTCCTGCTCCTCTAGCGTCTGCTTGGTGCACACCCGTATCGGAATCGAGTGGCGGCCAAGTCTACTCACCTCACTTGCACTCAATCGGTTTATACATCTCACAAGCATATAGTCTTACATATATAACTAGTGTTGGCAAGCAGGTCTTGTTGGTCGATGGGTTTCAGCCGTAGCCCACGTCTACGGCAGCTCCATTAATAAGCCGATGTTGCTGGAGAAACACTACCGACCTTGTCGGTGTTCATACTGGTCAGACCGTCGTCAAGTCTCAGACTTAGATGAACTGGAGCTCGATCGTCCTGTATTCACGTCACCAGCTTATAACTTGATTGCCAGGACAGAGCTGTATCGATTTCCGCCGCGCCTCAAGAAGAGCATTTTAGTGCTAATTAGCCATACACTGGCAGCTCATCGATCAAAAGTGCGCCGATGATAAAGCGACGAAGGGTCGACCAGGTATCTGTAGTCCCAGGAACATCAGAGATGCTCATCAATCTTCTCGCTCTATCCACTTGATCCTCGAGAAACTGCCGAGGCTAGGTGGTGATAGACTGGGCGCAGTTATCTGTCGACAGAAATATCCCGGATTAGTGTTTGTGCCAAATGCTTTCAAGACGTCTTCGAGCGGCGAAGGTATGAGCGTAGAGGATGACATGTGAGCTGGTGGTTTGGTGTGACACAGGCTGATGGATCTGATACCGAAGGACGTACCCCTGAGTTATCGTACTGGAAAGTGGAAAGTGGTTACTTAACGCTGTTCGCTTCTGCTTCGTGATCGAAAATGCAGAACGAACTAAAGCTCGAAGAAGACAAAACAGTGTCCAGACCACAAAGGAAGTGGTAATATATACGAGGAAAAGAGGATAGATAGAGGAGCCAGGTTATATCATGAAATAGAGAATACTATCATGAAGCCTTGCTCTTGTTAATCCATGCGAGCACCTGACAGAAGAGGGACACAGGCAAGAAGACATACGTCGTCAATTTCGGGGATCAAATCTCTCTTCCTGGAAAGTAAACCTAGCTACTCAACGGACGGTGACGCCCCGGGTCCATAATGTTGAGTCCATGTATAAAGTATGAATTCTCTGCAGAACCAACATGGCCATGGTCTATGCGAGCGCAGCGGACACAGACATTGTGTTTGGTGAAATTAGGATCAAACCACTGCTCGTTACAACGATCATGGTCAATGCTATCAGAGCAATGCTTACTCGGGTGAACTCAAGATGAGATTAGGGAAGGAACCAGGACGGTCAGCTGGACCGAACCTTGCATCTACGAGCGACAGGAACAAGTTGAGTCGAGAGGGCAGCACTGCTGGCGGCGATGTTCAGAGCTGGTTCAATCTTATCACAGATCAGTTTGTAAACCCTTCGTGAGTTTTTTGAGTTGAGTGGTATGTTGCAGGTGCACATGTATGGTAGCATGCGTACGCTTCACTGCCTGACGTTTTTGGTTTCTTTTTTTTTTCTTCTGTCAGACAGACCGATTGTGTTTTGGACCCGGTGATGACAGCAAGTGTAAATTACCAGATATGTCGACTGGTAACAGTGCGTAGTTTCCTGGATCCGCGACAAAGTCATAGGGGGTGGTTCGCTCAACTAGACGCGGTCCACAACAGTTCATACACCTTTCGTGGAGATGAATTTCTGTCGGATCGAGGCTCAGCCCAGGTCTTAGTTGTTGGATTCATCAGATGCATGAAACACAGTATGTTCTCGACCGGAGACCAGAATGACAGCCGAGACACAACATTGGATGATCCGATATAGAGACGAATAGGTTGGTGGTTTAGAAGTGGGAAGTGGCTGCGGCCGGCAAGTTGATTCGTGCGCCGCCCAGAAATCTCGCGTCGCCAACGCGTTTCGACAAAGACTTCTCTGTTTGAGGGTTGTCTTCAGTCTCACTCAAGAGCTTCCTGATTCCAAAGACATCGTTTGCGCTTCAGTATTGTGCATCGCATGCTGAGCAACGAGGTCGACGTATTGGATGTTCGGACAAGCAGCGACGTCCGGCAATCTTGACTTCCGCACTTTCCAACCACGTGAACGTCATGCCGGCCTTGATTGCTCGTTCTAACCCTCATTTGGGCTATGCACACTTGCACACTCTGCCAGCTTTAGTCCTCTTTTGCGAATCTCAGAGCGTCAGAATGTCGTTCATGCATAAGACCCACCGATATAGCGTCACGGATTAACCGCCATCTTCAGCCTCGCGACACTACAAGCGATCCTGATCGTTGTCTCGGGTCTTGACATGTACCAAAGACGGGTCCTTGAGCATCTCGTCCATCCACCCGGGACAGATCTGTGTGCTTGGCTTACCAAAGCGGTCGAAGCCCTACACTCAGCTCTTTTCTTTATCCACTCTCATCCTTGCAAGCCGACCAGCAGACCAACCTTAATTGACCGAATCTGGAGATGCAGCCTGCCTTTTATCGATTTGTGCCAATCAGAATTTCGATATGACATATCGGTATGCGCCTGTGATGGTAATCAGGCGAAGATAATCAAGCAAGAGTCGAATTTTTTGGTTCACTACAGCCACTTGTGCATGATCCCGCCTAGTTATGCTCTTCTTCTCGTCAAGTTGTAGTTAGGTCTTGCATCATGGCTGAAGATGGTATTTGTGATATCTTCAGCCCAAGATCAGAAAGAAAAGAGAGATGTTGAGAAGATGTCCCCTCTGCCTTCGAGCCTGGCCTACCACTTGTTTGTACTTCGCAACTCGTTCGAGCGACACGTTATTCGGAAATGGTGCGACGTCCATCCAATACCTCCACCTTCACAGATCAGCGAGCTGGAAGCGCAGATGGAGGTCAAGATGACAGGACCAACTCTACCAGTCCCGCTACCGACGTGATTATACCTTCGACTCTGTTGAATGCTCTCACCTCTGGCCCCTACGACTCGCATATAAACCAGTTCCAGAGTGAGGAACATCGGGACACAAGCAACGATTTCGATGTACGCGAAGTAGCACAGAAACTGCACGAGGAAACAACCCGCATCCTCGCCCGTTCTGCCAGTATCTCTATCGCCGAGCTGGCACGTACGTCAGTATCCAAGCCCGAACCTGACTTCCGCAAGACCAGTCTTGAACCGAACTTTGGTTCAACCTTGAGAAATCGGGGNGCGAGCCCACGTCGAACAGATCAAGCACGGCATGCCCTCTCCACTGTGACAGAAGGAAGAGTTGCGGCGAGCAACGATCCGGCGACCACCAACGACTACTTTGGTAATTACTCCATTGAAACACAGGGTCCTCGAACACATCGGCGTACTTCTTCAGATAGAAGCATCTCAAGGAAAGCTCGCCTGGACGAACCGAGTCCAACCCATCCCAGCCCGTTGCGATCACAGAACAGAACCTACTCGCATGATATAGACGACATCCGGATTAGCACACAAAGATCTCGACGATCTACAGCAGGTGCGTCTCGTAAAGAGAGCATTGTACAACGCTCTGCTTCCATTGTGCTCGACACTGTCGAGAATGTGAAACAGGCCATACGAAGAAGCAGTATTCACGATGTCTACGAAAAGGCAAAGAAGCGAGGTGTTGAGCTACAAAGAAGCAAATTGGTCATGCGGCTCTTCGAGTATACTTTCTACCTCATACTTGTCGCCTTTGTCTACTTTGTTCTCATAGGGCTACCACTTTGGAAAGGCGCCGTATACTGGTTGTATTGGGTATTTAAAAGAAAGTTTGCTGTTCCTGGAACGTGGTATGTTGTAGATACTTCGCAAGGTCTTACTTAACTAACACATGCAGGNGCTGTCACCATCGGCATCGCTTTTATCTACGCTTATACCCCTCTCTTTGTCTTCTTCGAAAAGGATCCGCCGATGCCTCCTGATCTTGACAACATCGATGCCAGTCGAACCCCTGGTGTCCACAATACAGCACTGATGATACCCTGCTACAAGAGCGCCAAGATAATTGGTCCAACTCTAGAAGCAGCCTTGAAGATATTTCCACCTTCACACATTTTTGTCATCGCCAATGGCAACAGTCCAACACCTCTTGATGATACCGAAGTAGTATGTCGCCCGTACGGAGTCAACCACGTCTGGTCGCCAGTCGGCTCCAAGATCGTAGCTCAGTTTGTTGGATGTTACGCCGCTCGTGGCTTCAAAAATGTCCTCCTTATCGATGACGACTGTGCACTTCCGCCAAATTTTCCTATCGTCAGCGACAGGATGACACCAACGATCAAATGTATTGGGTACACAATCAAATCTGTGGGACCAGAGGGATCGCGAGGTACTCTATGTCAACAGGCTCAGGACCTGGAGTATAAGATCAGTGGTATCCAGCGAGCCTTAGCTGGATATGTCGGCAGTGCGACGTTTCCTCATGGAGCCATTTCCCTCTGGGATCGCGCCTTCCTGATTGAAACGTTCTACAAACACCCTGGTTTCAGTGTCTCCGAGGACTGGTTCTTTGGGCATGTGGCTCGACAACTCGGCTCACGAATTACAATGTGTACTTCTGTCTTTATCGAGACCGAAACACCGAGTGCTATCTTCTTCAGCTCTGGAGGTGCACGAGGAGGATTTGGTGAAATGACGATATTCAAACAACGATTCTACCGCTGGAACTTCTTTTTTGTTAATGGCCTTTACTACAACATGGCATATATCCTAGGTTCCTGGAAACTCGGCTTCTGGGAGATCGGAGCAAAAATATTTGTGTTCCAAGAGGTCTATGAGACCTTGTTGTACCTCTTGTCACCATTCGTTCTTCCCATTTCGATCATCGTCCGCCCGGCCTTCTTCGGATACTTGTTTGCAGGCACGTTTGTGCTGTACTTCCTCAACGTTGTGGTCTTCAACGAGTTGCATCTCAGGCTGAAGAGGGAAAGAGTGGGATCCACATGTCTCTACCTCTACTACATGCCCTACAAAGTTGTGCTCACCTTGGTCAATGTAGGCAGCTGCTACTGGTCCCTCTACAAATACGCACAATACTTTGCTCGACGCCACCCAAAAATTGTCGAAGACGAAAAAGCAGTCGATGTAGTGCTGCGAATGGAAGAACAACACGACACTCTAGCCGACCAGGGCCGCCGCATGACCATCACAGCAGTGGGAGCGCAAACCCAAGGCTCAGTCGTGGAACAAACACCCTCAGGCCCCACCGAGCGTAAAATGACAGTCACNCGCCTTGGGCCCCAAACTGGACATCCAGCCAATGTCCCCGTAGCCGAGCAACCCGAGCAATTCACCCCAGCAATCAGACTCCAAGGCGAAAGAGTCAGTTTCAGCTCTAGAAGAAGCAACAGCTCAGCAGCCATCAAGATTGAACGAATCCCCAGCCATAACTCTGAAGGCATTTCGCCAAGTCAACATCCTGAACCTTCTCTTATCCGCACCACCACAGCAGCAACAGAAAAATCAGAAGTGAGGGATGGTGAGCGCCAATCTAGACGTTCGGGAAGTACGCGCTCTGGATCTCGTCATCGCTCTCCAAGTCTGCCTCGCTCGCACACTTCTGCAGACTTTGTATCGCCTGGTTTCGAAGAGTTGATGGATCGATTGGCTGTTATCGAGTCGAGATTAAATCCTCACACCGTATCTGCTGTTGAAGTATCTATAGCTGAGGAAACCGTGCCCATTCCAGCACCGGAAATTAGATTTCCTGTTTACGCTCTTCCGATTGATGAGGAAGAGGAGGAAGAAGAGGAAGGCTATGAATTGTACGATTTGGAAAAATTGGATTCGGGAAAGACTCAAGAGTCGAAGAGTATGGTATAGAAAGCTGGTACGTTGATGTAGCAGACAAAGAATGTGCTGTGCTTAAAAGTAGAATAATGTGATGCCGATGTTGTTGATTTCTTTCCTAAGGGAAGATGAACAGATTGCAGATGTGATTTGTTCGTGAACTTCGTTACTTGCTTAATTTTTGGAAATGAAGAACATATCGCTCCTTCTGTACTTGCGCCTCGCTTCGAAATAAAGATCCAAAAAGTCCAGCTTTCTCATCCTTTTCGTCACATATACCCAATGAAGAAGATTGCAAAACCTAACCGCAAATTCGCAAACATCCCGTAGTTGCTGTTCGGATGCAGAAGATCAACTCATGAAAGCGTTGCCATCATCATAGCAATCTTCCTAGCCTGTCGTCTCTCCTTATCTGCCGCTATAACAACCAAAAGTCAGCCAAGTGATATGAATCAAATTTGCGGTCCACGCAGGAAAAAGACAAAAGGAACACACCGATCACCGCGCAGACCTGACAAGCGCCATCCTACCTTNNTCCGATCCTTTTCCACACGAATGACCTCTCTCTTGGGACTCTTGTCTCGCTCCACGTATTCGACGATTTCTCGGTCTGGGCGGCGTTCTCTGTACTCGACCATCTCGTAGCCGCTTTGTTGTGGTTGGGATAGAATGATCTGGCCGTGGTGGTGGTGTTGTTGGGCTTCACGTTCGAGACGGAGGGCGCGGGCTTCGGCTTCCAGTGCGCGGACTTCGGCGTGAACATCACGACTGTGTTCGCGGTGGCGTTCGGGAAGCACGATGGTCATGGGTTGTTGTTGAGGTGGGGCAGGTCGAGCGGGCTCCTGGATGTAGATAGGAGCAGGGGGTGGAGGAGGCGCTTGCTCTCTGATGTAGATTGGAGCCGGAGGAGGAGCTGGGGAGGNATCACGAATGTAGATGGTTTGTGGTTGAGGTGGAGGAGGAGCGGGTGATGGCTGACGGACTGTACGAGCTGGAGAGCTGCGGCGAGTACGTGAGGAGCGGGCTGGAGAGGGAGCGCGAACGCTGGGAGGGTTGATCCACTCGGTCTTGAGATGCTCAAAGTGCTCATCAGCTGGTGGATCGTCGTAACGGTACGTCTTGGTTTCTGGTTTTGNTCAGCGACTTTGAGATGCGTCAGTAGAGATATTCGACGTACTCGGCTCCTTGTATTGTTCGCTGATGCGAATCACTTCGTCGATATGGTCTTTGTCAAGAGCTCTCTGCACGATGATAAAGTCGTCNNCTGCTCCTTGTCAGCTCAGACTACATGATGACTTTCGGCAGAGGCTTACCTCCTCCTCGAAAGGATAGCCCAGGTTGATGATGGCCTCTTTGCGTACCAGCCTCTTTGGCATGCGAGTCTTTCCCTTCTTGCCGATCTTTGGCGGACTAGGACTGCTGCGACGACTGACTTCGGTAAAACTGCTCTCGCTACTGCTGCTACTGGAACTGCGATTGGTTCGCCCACTACGCTTTGTTGTCGAGCTACGAGCATCGCTCCTTGCCCTATCACGATTTCCACGCCTGCGGTGGACACTCTTTTCGCGCATAATCTCGACATCACGGTATGAGTCCTGAGGAGAGTAGTCTCTGTATCTCACATCCTCGTACTCTTCTTCAACCCAGCGGCCAGGAGGTCCACGTGAGGGTGAGCGACGTCGCGGCAGAGGAATCGGGACACCAGGAGGAATGCGGTATTCGTCTTGCTCGTGTCGACGTAGTGGTCGGCGGTCAAAGGTGTCAAGACTGCTCTGCCTCCTCTGCAGACCTGGTCTGGGGACATTTCTGGTCTCGCGGAACTCGAATTCGCGATCGACAATTGACTTTCTTCTGTAGGGAGCGAGCTGGAGGTCGGCAAGTTCGCGAGGGTCTCTGTCACCAAAGAGCTCACGGTCTGAGCGACGGGGTCTGGCAGGGGGGCCATACTGGTCTTCGGCAAAGGCGTCTCTTTCACGTCGTGGAGGCGGGCCTCTGTCGATTCTCTCCTCTATGCGGATATCTTGGCGACCCGGACGGTCATGTTCGCTGAAGCGGAAAGTCTCGCGTTCTTCAACGGGGGCAGGGGGTCTACGTGAGTAGCGTTCGAAGCGGTCGCGGTCCCATCGTTGGGCTTGAGGTTCTTCTCCGTAGGCGAGGTCGCTGGTAGAATGGCGACCGTACTGCGAGCGGGACATGACGAACGATGTCTCTGACCCTGGCGGGTAGTGGGTAGGTTTGTTTGGTAGAAACGGTTGTGACTTTGCTGGTACTGCGGGGTGGCTGGGGTGTAAGCTTCACAAGTAGAGTAGCCTGACGATTTTTGTAGCAGCTCGTTCCTTTGAGGTTGATGTTCTGTTTCTTGTTTCTGGTGTTCGACTTTTCTCGAGACAAGTCTTGCAGAAGTGAAAAGGCTGCCTCCCTAGAATCAAGAAAGTACGCGACGAGGGAAGGTGCGGTCCAAGCTGCACGTCGGCGCCCAAAAACCAAGGCGCAGCCCAGAACGTCATTCAAACTAAAACACCCAATGGTTGATCTCGTCCAACCTCCTTGCCGTCTCACTTGATCCAATCGCCCTCATGCCTCACTGCCACTCTATGCCTTGTTTCCTGGTCTGCGGATCTCGCCTCCTCTTTCTTTCTTCATGACATTGCACACTTGCATGTCGCACATCCTGTCTTCGCTTGTCTTACTACTCTTCTTCGCTGAGCACATTCTGAGAATGAGCGAGTACGAGCTTCACTCATCTTTCCGCAAATTTGAGGCTATCTATCTTACCTCTCATTCAAGCACCAATCTCTGAAAGTGCATCTAGGTCGTTGGCTTTGTCGGCATACTGGACTTCTTCATCATACCACTCATATGTACGCCCGACGTCTCTTAGTGTCTCCCCAATGGGTCTACACGACCCGAAATCGATAAGTTTCGGCGAACCTTCATGATCAAGCATGATATTTGAAGGATTCACGTCGTTATGGACAAGATGAAGNNGGGAGTGAAGATGATCCAGGGCACTCTTGACGTGCGCAAGGATATTGTTACACCACACTTGATCGAGACGTGACGTTGCAGCAAAGGCTCGTTTGTTTAGGCTTCCAGGATTGAGTCGTTGCATGAGCGATTCTCTGTATCTTGTGAAGCAAAGCCCGGAAATTCTGCCATCGTCTGTCTCGCAGCCAACGTAGTCCGCGATATTGCCATGCGGGTGACTTCTCAGCAACTCGCAGACTTGTGCTTCTCGGAGTAGATCCTGAGCAATTCTGTCACTACCAATCTGGTCGATGTGGTAATAGGAGATGAGAGAAGGTCGTTTGACGTAAAGTGAGCGAGGTGACTTTACTATCTTGAAGTGCTCTTCCGAGTATTGAGGTTGGAAAGCAGCCTTTGGAATCCTGACCACTTTTTCTAGTCTGCTTTGCGTAATCTCAGATGCGTGGATACAGCGATCAGAAATCCGAGCTGTGAAATATTGGTCGTCGAGTTTGTAAACCACAATGGTGAAAATTGGCTCTCCAGGATCGTCTGGGAAACATTCTGAAAATTCGAGTATTTCCATTTCTTCGTTCTGTTACAGACGTTATATTGCAAGAGCACCATTGATGAGTGGAGGAGATGTTTTATAAGTGATCTAGCTGACAAGTGCGCGGCAGGGATGTCACAACATCGAATCTGCGTCCGGGCAGAGGCTCTGAACATTCCTTGATTGCTTCACCACTTCCACAAAAGATTGTATAGACCTCACGAGTTGAGACAGTTTGTACCTCGCAATATTGGTATGTCGACCTTTGCATTTAGCCGTGACCCAGCCGCTCTTTCCTGGCTATATCTTTCCCCGCACACGCATTAATTTTCTTCTGCCACCATTCGCTCCGTGCCTCGTCACTCGAGGCCATCTCAACATCATGCAGTAGTCAGTGTCGTTTGCCCTGCGGGGTTGACGGCTCAAATGGCAGGTCGGGGTGATCGAACGCTGTACTATAAGTATAGACGAACGATATTTGAGGCCAAGTAGTTTCGTTCCCATCTCATCTCAGCTTCATCGTCGAGTAGAATTCGACTCCTATTGCGATCATGCTCTCGAGATCCCCTCTGTTTCTGACGGCATTACTGCCTGTTCTAGTCAGCTGCCAGACTCCTGTAGAGAACAATCCTCTGGGTACAACCAATCTCGTCCACAACGGGAGCTTCGCCCAAGGAACTCCTGGTTGGGAAGTCACGCCACCTGGTTCTGTTCGCAATGGCATACTCTGCGTCGTTGTTCCCGCAAACACTGCTGCGAATGCAAGCTATATTCAGACTACTCAGAACTTTACCCAGGTTAAGAACGACATTTACTACTTGAACTTCACCGCCTCGGCAACTCATGCCACGAACCTCTGGATCCAGACGAATGGCTACGACCCTTCTGCTGGTGGCGCTCCAGTCTCTCCAAATCTTAACACGACTCAAATTCCTTTGACAACATCTGCAGAACCCTTTTCACTCATTTTCTCACCAGCCAATCAGGAGAACAACTCTACATTGACATTCTTCCTCGGTGGAAGCAACTTCACAAACGAGATATGTCTCAGCGATGTATCCTTGCACCGCATCAATCGCCTACCATACTTTCAAGACACTGGAAGATCAATCAAGATCAACCAACAAGGCTATCTACCTAATGGTCCAAAACTCGCTACCGTTGTCTCGAAGAGTAATGCGTCTTTGACGTGGCATCTCCAGGACAATAGTGGTGCATCAGTCGTATCTGGACATACTATCCCATTCGGTAACGACACAGCATCTGGGCTGAATGTCCATACTCTTGATTTCACCAACTATACCAAGCAAGGCACCGCTTTCACTTTGAAGATTGCTGGTAATGATACCAGCTATCCCTTCAGCATCTCAAGTCAGCTATATACGACACTCCGCCAAGACTCGATGCAGTTTTTCTACCAGCAACGTAGCGGTATTGCAATCGACGCTGAACTTGTCGGATCACAGTATGCTCGACCAGCTGGCCATATTAATGTGTTCCCTAATCAGGGCGACATAGTGACACCTTGCCAGTATGAATGGGAGTCGAACGTCACATATCTCGAACCATGGACATGTAACTACACGCTTGACGTATCACAAGGATGGTACGATGCTGGTGATCAAGGCAAATATGTTGTCAATGGAGGTATCTCCACTGCTCAAATTCTGATGGCATACGAGCGATCACTGCACACATCAAACAGCTCATTCAAAGCACTTGGTGATGGGTCGCTAAGAATTCCGGAACGCTCGAATGGCTACCCAGACTTCCTTGACGAAGCTCGTTGGGAAATGGAGTTCATGCTCAAGATGCAAGTACCTGCGAATTCTCCACCACAATTGTTCAATGGCTCATACATCGGTGAGTAATAGTACATGAGACTTTCTTGATTTCTACTAACAAGCGTCNNAGACATGTCAGGGCTTGTTCATCACAAGATGCATGACAATCAGTGGACACAGCTGCCGACTCCCCCAAACCTCGACCCCAAGCGAAGAGAGTTACACCGCCCATCCACAGCTGCAACACTTAACATGGTAGCCGCAGCAGCCATGAGTGCACGACTCTGGGCTCCATTCGATGCTGCATTTGCCCAGCGATGTTTGAATGCCGCTCGCATAGGGTATGCGGCCGCTAAAGCCAACCCTACACTCTATGCTCCAGGCACTGATTGGGACCTCGGTGGCGGTGCATACAGCGACGATGATGTGAGAGATGAGTTCTACTGGGCAGCTGCAGAGATGTACATTACAACTTCCGAGGCCCAGTTCGAGAAGGATGTCATGTCCAATTACTATTACACCGCCAACGCATCCACTCTATTCCCCGAGGGCGGCTTTGGATGGTCGTCTATGCAGTCGATCGCACAGATGGATCTTGCTGCTGTGCCAAACAACATCACTGGGAGAAATGCCATTATCGAGTCTGTTCTGACAGGTGCTGATCAATACATGGCTATCCAGAAAACGCAGCCCACCGATGTCTTTATCACCTCATACCCCTGGGGCAGCAACAGCAATCAACTCAACTGCATCCAAGTCGTCGCAACCGCCTACGATATCTCCCACAATTCCTCATATCGCACATCGGCCCTGTCAGGCATGGACTACATCTTCGGCCGCAACGCAATCTCTCAATCCTACGTTCACGACTACGGCACCAAGACTTCTAGTAACATGCATTCGCGTCTTTATGCTGCTGAACTTAGTCGTCTGATTGTGCAGGATCCGATTGTGCCACCNCCACCAAAGGGAGCTATGGCTGGTGGTGCAAACGAGAGTCCTGCGGATCCTCCTGCTGATGATGTGTTGGTGGGTTGTGTGGGACAGTTTTGCTATGTGGATGATGTGAATAGTTATAGTACCAATGAGGTGGCTATCAATTGGGGTTCTGCTTTGGCTTGGGTTGCTAGTTGGGCCGCTGATCAGTAGACTATAGTCTCTTCGACCTTGTTAATATAGGTAATGTCCGGAAGAGATGTTTGGAACCAAGGTGATAAGTTCGCTCAAGTGCTTGTGAGTCAACCCTAGAAAAGATTCTACGGAGTCAGCTTTAGCAAGATCTCAGAAGAACAAAAGTACGTAAAGACCAAGATAGATACTCAAATTTGGTTTCCTTGTGTATCTCGAATGGCCTCTTGTCATCGGAACTTCTATATTCCAGCAACGGCTAGAGACAGTTAGAAGACACATCTGCCGGCTTTAGAGATAATACAGCGAAGTGGCTCATTTCTAGGGGCGGTTCAGATCAACTCTTTTGAATTTGCACATATCCAAAGGGTAGGTCTTCCGATGGGCGGATGCCAACTGGTTCACAAGGCTGATGGCATTGAGATGGAGACTGTTGCGAACAAAAGTCACCTTTGTCCATCGAGAGGGGTTCTATCTGCGTATCATCCCTATCGCCCCTGATTGCGCGTACAGGTCATGTTATCATAATTTAGTAAAAACAAACATCAGCATGTATATATCTGCATGTTTCTGATCAGTCACCTCGAGCGATGTGAACGCTGTTCGACCCTCCCAACGAATGGTTTGAACGAGGCCAAAGGGGCAGGGTCATAGAGGTCCGAGCTCAGGCACAAACAAGAAGATTAGAGAATCGGCATACACATTCATCTCATCTTACACAACACACAAGATGCAGTCAATCACAGCAAGGAGTCGTCCAGCCCTGAGGAGCGCTCAGCTCTGCTTCCGCTACCGTTATGCCACCGACGCGCCCTCATCGGCACCGCCGCTACTTTTAAAACTCCGCTCCGATCTGAAGACGGCCATGAAGGCCAAAGACACCAACCGCCTCAATGTGCTGCGTGGTCTGCTGGCCGAGGTTACCAACGCCGCAAAGACTGCCCAACCCCTCGACTCAGACTTGAAGCTTCTCAGTCTGTTGCGCAAGCGTTCCTCCGCGGCCGCGCAAGCAGCCAAGGAATTCTCAGACGCCGGAAGAGCAGACTTGACCGAGAAAGAAAATGCTGCCATCAAGGTGTTGGAAGAGTATGCCGGCAGCGTCGAGACTGTCAGCGAGGACTACATCAAGGAGGTTGTGCAGAGCACCATTGACAGCATCAAGGCCGAGGCCCAGGGTGCAAAGGTTGTCATGGGCGATGTGCTCAAGAAGTTGTTGGCTCCTGGTGGCGCTTTCGAGGGCAAGCCTGTCGAGAAATCGCAGGTCGCAAAGGCCGTCAGACAATTCTTGGATGCAAAGTAACCGTCTTGCTTTGACTACGTGGTCCACTATGGTACGTCTTCATACCTCGACGCTGTCCACGCTGATGTTGAAGCTTATTCTTCTCTTTCCAGCTCGCCGATGCCCAGCTGAGCTGCAGAGGAAGGAGCGATCTCGAGCTTTAATTCCGGATATGTACAATTACCTACCGCATCACACAATTGTAAAAATAGTTTCTACGCACTCGCCGTACGCACCTGCCTCGCATGCCACTACTTCCTTGCCGTGACGGGAAGAAGAACTTGTCCGTCTCGTATCTTTTCCTGTTCTGTCTGCATACACGTACACGACTCTTACATTTGGTCCACCCCACAAATCTGAGTCCTCCAATCATGGCCCACTTCTCAGACATACAATGAGACAAGACCTCTATTCTCTTCAGCTGCTACATCTCGACAGTATCTCCCCTCCTACAAGAGACGGCATACAGCCAACTGCGCGAGAGAATCAAGTCTGGTTCACTGGCTTCACCCAACTCCATGGTTCTAAACAAAGGTTGACTGTGTTTTGAGGAGTCCAGAGCAAACCATTCCCGGGCTCTCTTACTTAACAGATATGTGCTATGACGAGTTTCCCCGAGCTGTCTTTGCTACTCCGCACCTTGATCGAGGATGCTCCAATTGAGGACCGGGATTGTGAACCACAAAATCCTTTCGATTGACGAATCGAATGTTGTTCCGGAGAACGGTGCTCGCGATGCGCAAGATGGCCCACCAGGAACACAACGGCCCACGAAGAACAGGCGGGTCGGTTGTGAAGTTTGATGTGATTTTCTTTTGAATCGCATCCATGGCGTCCGATGAGGTCAGTCGTTCTCACATTTACGCTAGGATTCTTTCTGAGCTGACAAAACTCAAGGTTGGTCGACAGAGTCAAACTCAGGGACTCGATCCAATCATAACAGCTCACACAAACACCCGTCGACCATTGACTTCGATTCAAGCCTTCCACATCATCGATACTTCTCACCAGGTGCCGCAACACACCAAAAGTCACTCAACCCTCAGGTTCTCGATTTACGCCTTGCAGATACAACATTTCCGGTCCCACATCTTGAGCCCCAGATTTCGAGCTTTCCCACGTTTCCTCGTACTTATTTTTGTGGTTCCGAGCATCCGATCCGCGGACATGCTGCCCGTGCCTGGACAAGCGTCAGGTACGCGTACGGCCACCATGACGATCGCCTTCAAGGCCGCAGCTTCAAGCAACTCGTCATCTGTCTCGTCATCTTTTGGGCCAATCATCTTCGAGTACCTGAAAATCTTCAATACGATGCCAGTATTCCCGTTCATGCAGTCTCAATTGGCAACTTCCATATATGTCGATGAAGAGAGCCTGAAAAGATGGATCAAACGAAGGACTTGCATATGGGTGTGGCTCTTCGAGGTCACTCAGTATCCACGATGTGGAAAGCATGTCCTCCGCCATTCCTCAATTGACCTTGGCATCACTAAGGATATTCAGCACTCGCACTTTTGATTCTTCCAATTGGTCAAGTCCCTCCCGCTCTCCGACTGAAGGTTCCCCGGATCTTTTGCTTGGTCCAAGCCACCATGCTTGACGCATGCTTAGTGTCATTGGCCAAACCAAATACCTCGTCTACTCCAAAGTCACACACTTGCTAAGTGCCAATCGTAGATGACAAGAATACGAGGGACGCGCACAGTTGCTGCCTTCGCCAAGAAGCCTCTCGAGCTCTGAATATAAGTAGTCTGCCTTTCCTCGAGCAAATCGATTTTCTACAACCACAATCACACCACCTTCGTTCAATCAATTCAAAACATGAAGAGCGTATACTCAACATTGGGCTTTGCCCTCGGTGCCTCTGCTGCATCTCTGGTTGCTCGCGACCAATGCTGCTTCTCCTTGACTGCCGCTGGTGGTAAGAGCGGTGTCGTGGGTCAGCTTGGCGATGGTCAGAACAGAATCGGCCAGACCTCTGGACTTTCTACTGGACAGGCTACCTACTGCATCAACAACGGTGGTTTGACTGATGAGAATGGAAGAGGATGTATGTTCACCCTTCCCTCCGACCTTGTAAGGTCATGCTAATTGTACTTTCGCTTCAAGGCNATCCTCACTCCTCCCACCACGCAGTTCCAATGCGATGTTGGTGCCTCGCCTACCACTGGCTTCGCAGTCAGCTCCAGTGGTGACCTGACCTACAACGGCAACACCCAGTTCTATGCCTGCGCTACTGGCGACAACGGTGGCTACAACATCTACACCACCACCACTAGCGCTCAGACTGGATGTGTTAAGATCACTCTTAACACTGGTGGCAAGTGTGCTGGCTCCAACGGATCTGGTAGCTCTTCTGCTCCCGCATCATCGAAGCCTGCTTCATCTGCTCCTGCCTCTTCGAAGCCTGCTTCGTCTGCCCCTACCTCTTCGAAGCCTGCCTCGTCGGCTCCTGCGTCATCTGCTCCTGCACCTTCGAAGCCTGCTTCCTCTGCCCCTGCTTCGTCGGCTCCTGCACCCTCAAAGCCAGCATCTTCTGCTCCTCCTGCCTCGCAGCCTGCTTCGTCCGCTCCTCCTGCTCCTATGACCGTCACCTCCTACTCGACTTCCTACGTCACTGTCACCAACTGTGCCGCTGGCTGTACACCTGTGCCTAGCGGACCTGCCTCTCAGCCCGCTGGTTCTAAGCCCGCTTCTTCCGGCCCTGCCCCCAGCGCTCCTGCTTCGCAGCCTGCTGGATCCAAGCCTGCCTCTTCTGCCCCTGCACCTAGTGCTCCTGCATCCTCTGCTCCTGCTCCTAAGCCCGCCTCATCTGCACCTGCTGCCAGCGGTACTTCGGGCGGTAACGGAAACGGCAATGGCAATGGAAACGGCAACGCTTGCCAGACTTCCCTCACTGGCGCTTACCAGACCCCTCATGCAATCATCCCCGTCAACAAGAACTCNCCCAGCACTTCCTACGGAACCCAGTACAACGCCTATTTGAGCTCTAGCAACAGCACCGTCTTCAACTTCGATATTCCTTCCAGCTACGCTGGCAAGCAGTGCAGCGTTATCTTCCTGTTCCCTACCAAGGCCCAGCTTGAGACTTCTGACTTCACCATGTCTGGATCTGGCGGTATCAAGTTCGACCAGCTTACTTCCCCTGCTCCCTTGAGCGTCAGCTACGCTACCTGCCCTGCTGTGAAGAGCAACCTCGGCATGGTCGACAACGTTACTCCTGGAAACAGCTACGTTGTCTCTACTGGTGCATGCCAAGCTGGATCTACCGTCTCCATTCTCGCCAGCGCCACTGGCAGCCTCGGTCTTGAGGTAAGTTATACTAAATATCTATCATATTTTACACATACTAACGATAGAAACAGTGGNTTTGAGGACTGGAACCCAAGCCCTATTGGCGTCTTCATCACCTCTTGTTAAAGAGGGATGACTAGAAAACATAGTCCAGTATCAAGTTTTGATGTTGGAACTTTTACGAAAACCTACCCACCTCCTGGTGAGGAATGACGACCCTCTGAGTACAGTATACAGTATATACATAGTCTTTTTCCTTTGTCTACTGTCACTCCTCACCTTGCCTTTCCTTGATGAATTTTCTATCGACCATGCCCGGCACACACTGCGCTGGTCAGACCCCCATTTTCACTCCTTTTTACGACAGATACAACTCAGTCCTGTAAATGTAATCAAAACAATACACTTGCTATTTTGCACTGAAAATATTTGACGTCCTTTGGATATGCCAGGCATATACTGTGCTAGTCGACCTCGCTCGACTTTCTTTGCGCTGATTTTTTTTTTTTTTTTACTCTTTTTCCTTCTATCTTTTTCTTTTCCTCCTTTTTTTTCTGAGTGATTCTTGTGACTATTTAATCTCTTGTCTTTTCTTCTGATTATATACATATGCATCACAGTGTACTGGAGGCAACCCCTAGGACTTCATGGGGTATGTGGCATTCCAGCTGTCAACAGGTAGGGTTTCTAGGAATCGCGAAGGATATTCCACAAATCAAGAGCGTCTTGGCGTGTCGAACAGATGTGCTCTTCTAAACAACCATTCTCAGGGATGGAGTGGGGATGATGGCCAATGATCCTTTCGTTCCTCTTGATCGCCTGTCTCTCTCCTCTAAGGTCGAGCCTGTAAGGCACTATCACAGGACTTCCAGGATGTGACGTGTCCCAGAGAAGACCGCCAGACAAGTAAGTCTTCATCATCTCTCTTGAAAGATGCCTCACAAGATCTATCACATCCCCAGGACGACCTCGCCATACTTCGAGTCCAGTCACTTGTGACAGGCGACCAGCAGTTGGTGTATACGCTGACACGGCATCTGGGCGAAACTTCAAGCCTCATTCTCTGATCAGATCGTTGACTTTCTGCATGTTCACGTAGTTGAGGGGGACATCGTCGACGACGAAATTGGATCCCGCAGTGATTGTTTGGGTATCGGTTAACGTAATCTCAGGCGCCAATTTTCTCTTCTTGTTGGACCGGGACTGTCTCGAGGTGGATGGCCGTACAGGAACTTTCTCTTCGATGGGCACGTCTTTGGAAGGCTTCGCTCTCGAACTACATCTCTGCTGTTGCAAAGGGGGCTCGTCTTCTGAGATATCGGGAACGTAGTCGTCTTCGACATCCTCTGGAGAAGGCGAACGCTTCCCTGCTCAGGGAGGCCGGTTTAGGTGCAGGTGTGGGTGGTATCTTTGCTGGTATGGTGTTTCGAGGATGCTCGTATCCTCCAGTGACGAGAGTGCATGTATGCAACACATGTCATGATTGACGGACAAGAAGTATGTGAGGTTACGAGTGATGGGTACATGTGGCAGAGGGGTACAGCAACAAAGAGATCAAGACGTGTGATTGCTGTCGAGTTGTGGATTTACAGAGATGATACGCCAGAGAAAGGAAACCCGAGACAAGAAAACAGAGCCAAAAATCAAAGACAGAAGACTGAAAACAGTGCAAGGTCTGTCTTGTCGGATTGCGGATTTCCGTAGACTGGACGGAACCAGGAACAGAGTTTTCTGTCTTTGTTGCAGATCTGTTTCCATATCTCAGGAGAGTAGGACTGGTATATTTGGGTGACCTAGTTTGCGTTTATCACTACTTGGTATAGTGAACCGTCGTTGATAACTTTCACTTGTCGCCCTTCGCTGATCATCGAACCTTGTAAAAGACTTTTCACTCGTCTGTTCATCTCCAACTTCTGGAACTTATCAACCTTTATCCACTCACCTATCTACCTCCAAACAACTACCCAACATGGAAGGCAGTCAACCAGGCACGTCCGACGACTTCGCCGCCACTTTCAAAAACATCATAAAGACATATCGCGACCTTGACGCCACCATTGAGGATGACGACGATTTGTTCGATCACCCTCTCTTAGCAAGAGCTACCGAGCAGGCAAAGCAGTTGTTGTGGAAGAGTGAATTGCCAGCTTACTATCGCGCCAGAACCTACATGTTCTTATGCCTGGTGACCGACGACTGGGATACCGCAGAAAAATATCGCACCACTGCCGAGTTTGTTTGGCGAATGGTGCGTACGGGACACCTGTGAGCAGGGGGCACAGGACAAGAAGGTGGAGTCAATGCTGGCGGAGCTTCGCGAGGGCCTTGATCATCTCAAAGTGCTCCAATATGAAACAAAACCCGACTCGTGGTATTACGAGTACGACCCATACGACGAAGAGGATGAGGATGAGGAAGAAGTCGAAGTCGACGAGTAAGAAGAAGAAGACGAAGATGAGGAAATGGAAGTAGCCGAGAAAGAAGAGGGAGTTGACGAAGAAGTGGAAGTCGACAATGCCGAAGTATAGCGCGGCGAGGCACTCTCAGCTACCAAGAACCACACCATCGATACCTACGACGATCACAGTGGTGAGAAGAGTCCTCTTGACGCCATTTAAACAAAACTCAAGGTATCTATTGCCAGCCCGAGAGCCGCGAACGTAGAGTTCAGCTAATCTGAGGGAACAGTTGCCGAGTCAGACATCACCCCAGCTCGGCTGCGACACCGTCTCCTCGACCACACCTCGACTACTCATAAACCCGCCTCGTCAGTTCAGCACTCGCGACAACAGGAGCATACCCAGTCCGAGTCCGGAGCGTGAGTACACTGTCAAAATCAGTGGCTGGCCCGGAGACTGCTCATTTCTACATTACTCCCTGAGATGAGGACGATGTCATCACCCCGTACAACTGCACTCTCCATGGAGTTACCCATCCGAGGCCGGTACCATGAAAAATCTCCCACATCACCCTCTCTGCGTGCACGAATCGGAATCGCTAGAAGTACAACGAGCAACCGCGCATTGTCGCTGTCTTTAACTCCCAGGAAGAATGCTCATGGCCGCTCTCCTGCTACTACCAGCTCACACTCTTCTCGCTTCTCGTCATTGTTCGATCCTTTCCGTAATTAAACTGTCTTTCCTATATCTGTTTCTCGCGCTTATCTCAGCCCTCCAAATTCTAAAGCTTGAGGCTCTTCACCTCCTACCTTTTCAAACAAAGTAACTTCTGCTTCAAGCTCAGCTGCCGATGCTGGTGAACGTGACCACTCTAATACCTTGCAGCAAAGTGAGCGTGACTGCCCTCCCCAGAAAAGTGTGACTGAGCTACGCAAGGTGTTCGACGACTCTGCTTAAGACGGTCTTTGGCGATTCGAAAGCAAAAGCGAAAGCAAAAGTGAAAACAGAAAAAAAGGCAGAGGCGGCAGGTGCATGGGCTCGATATTATCCCAAGCGTGCGCACTCTGGCCATACTCTTGGATTGATGAACAATTCTACTTTTGACGGTTCGCATCATTAAATATGCCGTAGAAAGTTAATGCTATCGTCATGGCGAATTATCGTTCGAGGAAGGAGAATTTGAAGGCTAATGCATTGAGGGCCTCCGTTATGTGGAATACACGAATAGGTATGCACAAATTGGTGTAGTCTACGTAGTTGTTTAAGCTTGCATAGCTATGGTATCATGTTTCCAGAGTCCCTGACTGATACAGTACAGCTGCCATAGTTGTCTTCTGCATTGCTGTCGTCTAGTGACGATACCGTAGATGGAGCAAGCAAAAGGCTTTCGTGGGCACCCTACTTCTTCTTGCTCGAGGCGAGAACAATCACCGTGTGGCTCCTCGAACCGTGTCAACTTTTCTCTAAACTGGTCACTGACCATTCGTCACTTGACCACCATTTGATCAACCACTGAACACGTTACCTCGGTATTTGATATGGACTCTGGCGTTGATAAGGACCGCGACTTTGTGATACTGTGCGATGCAGCCTACCTCATCTTTCCCAAAAACGACCTGGACACCGGAAAGCAGGATGAGAAGCGCATCAGGCTCGTGATTCGAGTCACAGAAGAAGTGCTCAAATATGTCAGTACATCAACATTGTTTTCAGGGGTTTTAGCACTCCTTTGTCATAACATACACATATAGATCTTGATTTTGGTATGTTTCAATCAAAGGAATGAAACTGCTGTCCATTGTCGTAACTATTGGTACGAAAGATCCTTTTCGCTCTGAATCATGACTTGATCTCTATCTGCAGTGAGGCACAATGACACAACCAATGTTGAAAAATGTTGTCAAAATTGAATGGTGGATTTGAGTATTGATTGGTCAGAAAGTCAAGAGATGTAAAGAGTCTGAGCCATCCCTTGGAAAGAGGTAAATGTAAGGAGAAAAGCAAGTGGTTTGCAACCTCAGGTTCGGAGAGAACAGAAAAGCAAGAGTGAAGAGAAGAAAATAAACCAGGAAAGGGAGATGGGTAGAGGACATGTAGACGTCTTAATGCTGGAAACCACAGAGGAAGTCGCTGACGAAGAACTTGGTGGTGTAATGATGGGCACCTCGTTGCGTGGCCCTTCTTCCTCAAGGAGTCAAGTCAGGCGCCCTTGTCATCTCGTTTTGGTATTAGACTGAGAACATGTCAAGATGCTCTAGCAGACTTCAGGCGCTTACGAGTGTGACGCAGACGTTCAAGGGCCTCCGAGCCTGGCATGAAGACTGTATAAAGCATGCTGTTGATGCGCCTCTTTATTTTGAGACGGTCTCTCTTCATATTATAAACCTTTCGCTTGGCTAACTTGTAGAAGACAGTCTTGGACACAGGTGCAAGATCTTTCAGGGTTGATTCTGCGGCGTCAAGAATGCTGGAGATTCTATGATGGATAGACTTATACTGCTCGCGAAACTCTCCAAGATCTGTGATTTCTTGCGTATGCCATGACCCAGCCCACGTGGGTTAGTGAAGCATTGCAGATTTCGACATTGCTCAAGATGCCTTTTGTATTGGAACAGTAGAAACGATTCACCGCACTGAGATGCAGAAGTCGATAAAACCCATGCTCGGACACCAGAATGTTGCGCTTCAGCTGCAACCAAGAGTCATAGAGCTCATCAAACTGATCGGTCTATTGTACGATGTGAGCTCATAGTACCTCAGCAATGAAGGGAGTTGCTTACCGCAGCCTGATTGTTCTCTTCGAGTTTGCATGTGGAATCGCCTGGAGAACTGGTACCAGAGTCATGATTCTTAGTATCATCACCAGAAGTGAGCGACTTGTCGTGGCCATCGGCTGTGTTGTTCTCAAAGGAGTCCGTATCGGCAACGTGGCTGCCCACAGCGGCGGGAGGAGCGGCGTTCCCGTTATGTGTGTTCGTTGTGGAAGACATGTTGATTATGCAGTGATGGTATTTGAGTGTCTGATAAGTGTTGGCACGATATTGGAGATCAATAAAGGACGTTAGTGTGTTTGTTGTTGGTAGAAACTCAGGAGGGGAAGTGGAGCAATTATATAGCGGACATGAAGCGGAATGAAGTGACGAAGAATTGTATTGGGAATGTTGGGAAGGTGAAGAGACAGCGAGTGAGAGGAAGGCACGACTGAGCGTGTGGGATGCAACGGCCGAAGGCAGCTTTGATAACAAGAATAGTGCAAGAACGATGAAATTTCGGACACAATTTTGATCTTTGGTGTGCACAAATGAGTAAAGCAATAGAAATTTGGGAGCAGGCATGTGAAGGACTATCGAGTCGTATCTGTAGACGTTCAGTCTGTTGTCCGTTGCTACCAGTACGATCTGAGCTCGGTGAGAGTCTCGTTCCTAACCCTTTGTGCCGCCCATTCGTAAGCTCCACGGTAGTGATGCGGATAAAACTCATGTAGACCACCAGGTTTCTGAAGATTAACTCCTCTGAATCTTTCACAGACTTCATCTGCCTCTTGTCCAACTTTATCGAGCTGATCAAAGTGTGCCTGCAATTGTGATAAAGTATTGCTGAAATCCCTGTGCGCGGAGTCCGCCTGCGCGAGTGCATGCCCAAACAACCTTAGATGGTTTGCGTCATTGGTATCGAGGATGAGTATACCCGGCTGTTCAGAGAAGTGTCTTGTGAGAAATCTAGCATGCAACATAGAAATCCTGTTTCTGCACCGTCCCAGGCGTCGCGTGAATCGCTTGATTTTCCTCTCGATATGGACAAGTCTGGACCCAATGCGTTTGAGCTCACTAGAACACTCAGTTTTACGACGCTCCTGATCATTGAGACTTGGCTGTTTGGTTGTATCGTTTGTGGTATCGGCGACTTGGTCATCAGTTGAGGTCTGACACAAGTCAGAATTGTGCATTGAGGCCCGGAAGTGAAACATACCATTGGGGGTGACAATTGGGTTTTAAGTGCTTCATCAGGTTCGTCGCCATTGGTGTTCTGGCTTAGAATAGAGTCTGGCAGCGAATTGTGGGAAGGGGCGCCATGATGAGAGCCAAGTCGGTAGCAAACCTGCAGAATGACCAATGATCGCCGGCGACGTCGCTACGTGGTTGATGGAAAGTTGAAGTTGAGACGACTAAAGTAGGGCGACCGGGAAAGTTGAGTGAGAGTGTGGAACCAGAATGAAGAGAGTTGGCGACGTGCTCGAGAAGGGACCAAAGTGTGAAAGTGATGGCGACCAGAAGTATCGTCAAGCTAGTAATCGCAATGAAGCAAACAGCTTAACCGGATACGAATGCGCGATGATCAACTCGAATAATTTATGGCTGATCTTGAGGACAAGAGAGCAGAGATTTCGCCATGGAGCTCTTTGATCACAAAATCGAGATTCATCTGAACATGAACCAGTTTGTCGCGGCGTGCGATGTGCCGGGCCTCGTCAACAGCGTAGTGAAGAACGCGGAGTTTGTCAAGTAAGACGTCGCTAGCCTCGAAGAGGACTTCAAGATGCTCGAAGATGCTCGAAGATAGTCATGGCCCTTCGAGTGTAGGCACCGAAGAATTGTTCCTGCTCAAGCTTCTCGTAGTAGAGTCGGCTTTGTACTCTACGCAAGGTATTCCCGTCGACTTCTAGGATGTCTTGATCGGCGAGTGTTGAGCTTGGGCTGTTGGGATCGCCACGGTGAACATGGTCGTAGATGATGGTCACGCGACGCAGCTCGTACTTCAGCTGATCGTATTCATTTAAGCATTTCTGGAAGGATATCTTGAGGCTTTGCGACTGTTCGCGCAACGAACGAAAGGCTGGGTCGTATTCGTTCTCAACATCAAGTTCCTAGCAAAGGTCAGCTAAATGATCTAAGCTCAGGAGAAGTACAGAGGAGACTAACATCGGGGGATAAGTCCGGAGACGGAGTTCGATTAGTGGTATGGAGGGCAGCGACGTAGCAGGGCGTGTGAGGTTCCCATCCCCATATGGTGAGGACGCCATAGTTGTTGTCAGCCATGCTAGCAACCAGTTGAGACACAAGACAAAGAAGGTAGAAAGAGATTGCAGGAAAGAGAGGACTTGATGGCGCGGTCACGACTACCAAGGAAAGAAAGATTGCCTCGATCAAAGAATCTCTTGTTGACATTCACACATCAGTCCAAGAAACGCCGTATCTGTCGGCGAGGAAACCATTCAGTTTTACGAAAGAACAGTTTGCCAACTTGTTCGTATCCATTGACAGAAGCTCTCGGTCGCATTTTTGTCCAAGGTCAGCATACGATGGCGAGCAAGCACACTTAGGAAATTGAGTCTGCACATATCCGTGTTTGTTTTATCTTCACGCCTGTTTTCAGACCGGATACAAAGATACAGACGAGAAGCTAGTATGGTTACTACCCACATTGGATGTTATTGTTGTTCTGAGTTGTTCTGCAGCTTTCATGGAGGTATGCATCACACAATCTGGCACAAGTGTCAAGACGTGTGAGAACGGCGAAAAAGTCGCAACCAGATTGCATCCGACCACCTTTCGCATTTTGCATCTGCACCTGCCCGAAGCGAAATGATGCGACCATAGAAAATGGAGTAAGAGAAGAGTACACGTTGATCGCCCAGAAGACAGGATGGATGTTTGAGAGTGTGGAAGAGAGGAGGGAAGGTGCATCTTCTTGGCATGCTGAGTCAGCAGACAAGCCAACCTCACCTGCCAAATTCATGTTTGTCGTTCGTTCTTTCTCTCGATCTTCCTACAGTCAGCCCATCTTGAGGCACTCGGCCATGATTGAACCTTTTAATCCGTCGATCTGGGGAATTTTCTTTGTTAACGTGCGTTTGTGAAAGAACCTCTTCTTCGATGTAACACAACACATCTTCTTTCAGCTTCTTGACGGCACATTGACTCAGTTGTTCTTCTCACAAAGCTGTTCTAGTTTTCTGAACATGGGGTACACGCAGAGATCAGAACGAACCCTAAATCCTGAAAAGAGAATAGTTTTCATTGCGGAACCATATCCTGTCGGCGATAAACCAACTCCTCGGCTCAGGCTACCATTTTCATCGCTACCTACTGTTAGAAGCGTCTTGAAGAGATGCAAGATCTCCTACCATCCCTTCTTCTTCTGATGAGTGTGGATTGTGCGAAGACAGCCCAACATCATTCCCTCCACGTTCTGCATAGCATTCTTGATCTGGTTGAGGCCGAGTTTGACCGTCTCAGGCTCGAACTGCTTCAATCCATCGTTCCAGATCTTTGACCACTCCTCGTTCTGCTCCTTCAGACGCTCAAGACAGTCGATGGTGGTTCTGCCAACTCTTTTGAACGACATGTGAAGGTCGTTGCCAAGCTGAAGACGGAGGCAGATGACCTCGAAGAGGACAGCTGAAGTCGCATGGATCGACTGTTCAGGAGTGGTGGCTTGAGGCTCGCGAACTTTCGAGATCTTGTAGATGAGGTGAGGGAGCATTGCATTGCAAGTTCTGATGCTTTGCTGGGTAATCTTTCGGACGATGTGGTTGAAGGATTCGAGAGAGTCTGGGCCAGGTCTTCTGGCGAGGCTTGAGAAGGGACGATATTCTGGACCCTGCAAGACGTCCTGGTTGATCATGTGTGAGTACATCTCCATCGTTGGGTCGCACATACTGCTTACCTGAAAGTCACCACCAATATAGAAAGAGGCATATTCAACGGCGCCGAACTCTTTAGGCACGAGTCTGTGGGTCGCCTGTGTAGCTATATCAGCACGAGTTCGTGTGGAAATCCAGCCTCCAAGGTTGGGCTGCACCGGGGAGATAGGCTATCGCAATGCAAGAACGCAACCGACAAGCAGAGATGTCCACTGAGAGTCGAGAAAGTTTGGTCTCTCAATGGTGACATCTCCTTCATGGATTATCCTTCTGCATTTTAATAACCAGTCCACAACAGGCGATGACCAACGAGATGGCTCTGGAGGATATAGAATCTGAAAACACTTACCATAAACTTGCGGAGCTCCTCCAGAAGATCGTCGTACATGGCCACAGCCTCTGCGATAGGCTCGACGATAAGATCGTCTGCGCCTAACTTGGTAGAGGTACTCATAGCGATCTGTGATGATGAGATCGTTGCGAGCTGGAACTTTGAGTAACACTCAGCTTGCGGAGTGAAAGAATAAGCCTGAGCGGGCGTGTTTGGATGCTTCGAGAACAATCACCAAACATACTCCGTGTAAACAATCACTAACATGACGCGTTTTAGACGCGCTCGATGATGACGGACTCAATTTATTTGCCAACACATCCGGAATATGGACTAAGGAGTTCTACTGACGGTATCTCGTCTTGCGGATGATGATGATGGTAACATCAAAATCTCGTTCATCATCTGCATCAAAGTCATGGAAGGAATGCTCATATTCCGAGGCTTCGAGTTCATCTTCCTCCTCTTCATCAGCGTCGAAGTCGTGGAAGGGCAGTTCTTGTTCAGGTTCTGCCTGAGGCGGCTCTTACTGCTGGCTTCTGCCGCGGCGAGACGGATGCGCAATGGCATAGGGCTCACAGCGTGTCGTGAAGACGGGCTTACTGCGGTCGCTAACCCCGCCAATACGTTCGAGGACTTCGTCACACATCTCTCTAGTCAAGCCACTCGTCAAGTCAGCAATATGCACAGATGTGTATGTGTTTGTTCCGTGTCATGGACGGTATCGAAGGTGCAAAAGCGCATAGAAAAGATAGAGAGTAGATAGGGTGCACTTACCTCAGGTGGCCCCGAGCATCCTTTTCATCAGACCTTGTGAGTAGGTCGTACGGCGGCATCCATGTGCGGTACTCTGGAAATGGATCAGGGTTGACGGTCAGCTGTCTCGTGCGGCCTTGCACACCCTTTGACTCTGTAACATACACGCTATTGCCATTGTCAATTGCGTCTAACCTCTTTTACATGCTATGATACCGGTATTCCGACAATCTGCAATCTGCAATCTGCCTCGAGCTGTATAACCCAAACGAGCAGCCCTTGTAAACCTCAGGACATACCTGTATTTCATCCAGCTCTTGGGAAACAAATGGTAGAGCCGCCAAAACGCCAATCTCGCCATAGTACTGTGTGGTTTGCTCCATATATGGCTGAAGCCTTTTCCAGTTCGAGCTGAACGCATTAAGCCCGAAGGATACGAGGACAGGATCCTTGTTGTTGAGAACAGCATATAGAACTTGGGCTCCAACGTTAGCTGTGAACTCAGCAGGGTAGCGTATGTACCGATTATACGCCTCTTTGCTCATGGTCACAGTGCCATATGCCTCCAAAAGTCCGTCTCCAATTCCATCTCAAACCCCATGTGGCCGAAGAAACTTGGCATGTTGTGGGATATTGTCTCGTTGTAGTATACGACCACAAAGGACACCCTTTCGCCAACTCGAATTCTGGCAGACTGTTGTAGGAACTCGATGAAGTTTTTCCCAAGGGCAAAGAAACGATCTTTTTCCGATCTGTCAAGGGCGAGCCGTCTCCGCTATCTCTAAAGACACAGGTGAAGTGTTTGCCTCGAGGATCGTTTCCATCAGATCTTGAGAGTAGATCGTACGGCGGCATCCATCTACGGTACTCTGGAAACGGATCAGGATTGAGGGTCAAGATGGCTGGCTCATGACAAAATGCCGAAGCGAGGAAGGAGGGATTGACGTGTGTGATGTCGCTGACGAACGCCCGTCGGAGGGCTCGGGGAGAGAGTCTTTGGCCATAGTCTTTCGATGTTTCTTGTGCCATCTGGATGATAGAGCACCATGCGGACTCATAGTCCATCGCAAAAACATCTTTCATGTGACGAGCTCTTCCACCTGAGAATGAGTACACTTTTCCGTCTCTTGTTGTGCACTTGATAGGATCATACTTGGTGAGATCATACCGAGCATTCTTGGTTGAGCCGGGCCTTGGACAGTACAACAGGTTCTCTGCCGGTTTTTGGAGATGGCAGCTAGAGTGATGCCAAAGCCTTGCAAGGGTGTCGGGGAAACCTTTGTTACAACCAAATGCGCAGCGGTTGTGGCCTTCCTCATACAACTTTTGCTCATGGACAGAGGTTCCGCAATGATTCCAGAGGTCGGCAAGGGGTGGCGTTGGGATCGAATTTCTTCGCGCATGCTAGAACAGGACAACAGAAGCGGGCATCCTCGTCGTACTCGGCCGTGAACTTGGATTCCTTGTATTAGGACCTCAAGAGTTGAGCAGCGTCTCTGTGGTCCAGTCGTCGAAACCTGTTCGTCCTTGGACTTCTGCTTAAGGGTCGTTCACATTCGGACGAGACCGAGCTTACTTGTCCTTGATGCGTCGATGGCGCAGGCGGCAGAGAACGTCGCCAACCTTGGCTCTCAATCTGTTTCTTGACGACCAGTGTTCATCTGGAACAGCCACGCGCGAACCGTGGTACCATCACACTCGGCGACTGGAGGAAAGGAGTCCTGGGCGAGCAAGGAGGCGGCGATGTTCTTGACAGAGGCAATTTCGATGCTACGTTGGGACATTGTAGAAGTTTGATCAGAGGTTTGATGGAATCTTGTGATGTGCAATGATGTGCAGTGTGTGATGAGTTGAAGAGTGGAAGAAGAAAGATCAGGTTGGAAGTGAAAAGTAGAAACCTACCTACGTAGTCAGGCGACAGAAGCTGCGCTCAGGCAGACGCTGTCACATGTCATGCAACTTCCACCATCCAAAGATGAAGGCGCGCTTCGGTACACCTGCTGAATTACTGGCGGCTTCGCTTTCGAGACAGATGAGAATGTGAATTGTAGCTACGATAGAAATGGGCATGGATGCCACCGATTAGTTCGAACAAGAGTGAGACCAGCCCGAGCTGTGGGACCCCTGAATGAGACTATATAATTTCCGAAATTTGGCTTTCTTCCACCTACTCAGTCAGTAATGCGTACAAAGTATGTTTGGCTGAGCGGAATAGCCGGTGTTCCCCACTTGCTCGATGATTACGTCTCTTGTGGGTAAACGAACCGGAAATAGTAGGTGTAACGCGACCTATTTTTGCTGGTTGTGAGTTCGATTCTGGTTCGCGCCGCGATTGCACTCTTTTGCTCTAGCCTCAAACTCGGACCTTTCTAAGTCTTGAATGACATAGAGCATGTTCGATGAGCGCCTTCTTTATCAGAGTATACCATAGACGCTGGTCATCACAGCTTCATATGCGTTCGTATCACGCATCTGATGTAATGTTGCACATGAAGGAAAGATGGTTCAGACATTTGGGTAAGAGTCTCGAAGGTCAAACGAGTACAAAATCAACACGGCAGATCCTGGGGCTGATTCAGAATACCATGAAACATGCAGAGTTTTGTTTTGATTTGGGGGTATCATTTCAATTTTGAGGTTGTCCGCTATTAGCGGCTTGCTGACTGTGGATTGATATCATTCTCCGACTCTCAGAGCCTCGACTTACACTGAAGCGTGTTCAGGTTGCTCTCTCATCTCAGATGACGTTGAACTGCTTTGAGAACGTCAATCATGTCCTTGCGTTCCCTCTGGACGCGCTCCAATGCGGTCTGAGCTTCGCGTATAAGGTATATACCCTTGGATGTTTGATTGGTCAACGCCAAAATCTTGCGGCTCGATTCTTCGATCTCAGCAAGTACAGTCATACGAGATCGCATGACCTTGGAAATGGCATGACAAGCATCCAGAGCCCGCTTCTCCCAGAGGGACATACTTTGGAGAAGTGAGATGTCGTTGGCAGTGGCTGTGTCTAGGTCCATCGATTGAGCCTGTCTGCCCGCCGCCCTTCTGTAGTGGTTGGCAAAGAAGATTCCCATGCGATAGGATCGCCACAACTTGCGGATCTGTGCCTTCTGAACGCTTCCATTTTCCTTGTTTGAGATGGCTTCAAGCTCAGCAAAAAAGTCATCGAGACCGTTGTCTTCAGACTAAAACAGCACAGAGTTGCCAGAAAAAGCGAAAGCGTTTCGTTAATGCGCACTTACCTGCTGTGGATGCTTAGTACCATCGCTAGCTTGAGAGAAGGGTGTTGGCAACTGCACATTGGCATGTTGACTCTGGTCTTGAGAGCTGGATGATGCGTCGGTCATAGTGGAAGATATCAAGATATCGATGTGTCTGTGAGGCTGTTGATGGAGAGCTTGTTGTAGGAAGGTCTTCTGAATGACGGAAACAGACTAGTTTGGCAGAAGAGGAGAGTGTTGACCACTAAGCTTCTGTATCGTGTATGTTCAGGTATAGAGTGAGGAGTTCGGTGCTCCAAAGATAACCCCAAGCTGATAGAGTGGGTGTCAAGTATTGCTGTGAAACAGTCTTTTGTGATGCAAGTGAAAGCTCGACGGTAGGCCGATCTAGAAATCGGAGCTGAACATATAGTAAAAGAAGGGGAAAGAAGAAAAGGAAGGAAGCGAAGTGATTGGTACCAGTCCTCGATGTCATAGAGTTGATGGGTGGGGAGTGGCGACGTGATGGAGTGCGATATGTTGGTGAAAGGTTCGTGACGACCGACAAAGAAGAGTACAGCAATCAGCGGACGTGCGATTGGTTCCAAGTCGGGTTGCGTCAAAGCCCGGCCATAATCCCCTGGCGTGACCTGATGATCTTCTCTGCAACGTCTTTTGCCTCCTTACGGATCTCTCGTGCTCTGTCATCAGACTCCTGAACAAAGTCATAGACCTCGCTGTCGCCGTGTGTCGTCCAAGCCTTGACCTTAAGCCTGACTGTCAGGTACTCCAGCTGGTCGATCATCTCTTTGAGCAGCCTGATGCGATCATTAATCACGGACAACAACTCGCTCTCGGCCTTGTCTGCTTGGAGCATGCGGTTCAGTGCATCGACGTGACCCAGGTCAATGTTCTCGGCGTCGATTTCCCCTGGCTGGGTCGCTTCGAGACCACGCTTCAACCGGGCCAGGTGGCGCACAGCAGACAACCAAGCGTCGAGCAAGGGCTGAGAGTCGTCGGCGAATCGTTTGATCTCTCTGAACAGATCCTCCGTTGCCTGTATCATCTGAGCAACAGAGAGCTGCGTACAGTCAGTAAAAGATCAAAAATCTGTCGTCGACGATGGCGATACCTCAGATTCGGCAGCGACAGGTTCGGCACCTGGGTTCTGGGAGTTACTGTCGGCCATCTTGTCTCAACGAGTTTCAGGGGTTATTCTATCGTGATCAACGACAGTTGTACAAGATGCAGCAGTGTAGGACACAACACCGTGTGTAACTCTGGTTGAGTTGCGATATTCTGGGTTGTTCGACCTCGTCTTCGTTATGAGGCTCCCTCACTATCAGCAGGAAATCCGTCGGTCAATGCTCATCTTCGCGTCAACCTAAATGTTAACGAAAGAGAGCAACAGTCAATCCTGAACTAGACTTGGTTGCAGAGAGCATTCCTAGGATATGGAAGGTTAGTAACCCAGCTTGTTGATTGCAGATGGCATAAGGTTTATCCGAACATAATACCGATGACGGTCGTCAAGCATCTCGTATGTTCTATCGTGGCCATATCTGCTGTATCATTGCACAAACCTCTCAGCATCTGACAACCGTCCATCGAAGGCATAAGCAAAAGAAAAGGAGAATACTGCCTGCCGGGTGCATCCAGTTCTGCTAATATGTGCGATGACTGTCATCACGGTGCACGTCAATGATGGCTTTTCTGTCACGCAAAGTATGGATATATGCCAGCTGCCTGGTGTCGAACCCGGCTATATGCTTCTACTAAACCGGAGAAGCGCCCCAAGACAACTCATCCCAGATCCATCAACGCTGGATGAGTAGCATGAGTATAGTCAGGGAAGGGGCATCAAGATGTAGTTCCCTCGTCCCCGTGTGCTAAAGACAGTTACGATGTAGCTATAAAAATGCACAATACTTTCGTGTAGAACATGACCTTTACAGAGAGAACCTTGATGAAGGCTATCTCAATGGCCAGACTTGGATTCGGATCGTGACTGTGCATTTTGATAGCTTACTATAACCCTTTAGCTCGGGATGGAAGAGGTCAAACATTCTCCTTTTGAGGAGCTTGTAGCCTGTGAGGAAAGATATATACCTGGGGCAGCATGACACTCACTACTATCAATTTTGAATGGTTTTCTCCGATGCAACAGTGCAACATATTTGACTATCAAAATGCAAAGTTGTCTACGAATAGCAAAGCTGTCCACAGAGACTTCGGCAAAGAGCAAAGACCAAAGGGCTTTCTGTGGACAATTTTAAGTTTGTCAATCACTTTCTGCATTTTGATGGACTGTGGCAGAATGCATTGGTTTACTGGGGAAGCTACCTGACAAACAAGATTCATGTAAGGCAATGGAAATTTCTTTGTATAGGTCTATGGAGAGACAAAGAAACACGTCTTTGGTATGAGTTGTTTATGACAAAGTGACATTCGTGTTCCCCTAACCCAAAGATGTTTCGAAACGGAGACGCAAATTGTTCCTCCTCTGATCGGACACGACGTCAAATGGATCTCTCTGCCGCCTCCAAGATATTCTGGCGATCGTCCACCAATGCAGGGCCTATGCCTCTGAGACACTGGCGGGCAGCGGCGGATGTAACCTTTCCCTCGTTCAAAAACTGCTGTGTCGAGTCTTCTGGGATGAAGTGTTCTTCACGAAAGGCGAAAAGCTTCTCTGGGGCCTCTATAAATGCGTACATTTTCTTGTGTAGTTCGTAAAGCTCCCATGTTGCCTCGCCGGCCTTCGTTTCATACTCTAGAGCTCGGTGGAAAGACTGAAGTTATTCTGCAGATATCATGTCGAGATCGATGGTTGAAGGAATGCCCTTGATTCTGTTGGCGTACGATTCCTGATCATAGATGATGCTTGTGCGCAGACGAGCATGTTCGGATAGAAGATGTCTAAGATCGGCTTGGTTTTGAGTGTACTGTTCCTCGATCTCTTGCAACTGTTGTAAGATTGCTGCAACTTCTTCTGGTGATTTGTTCTATACCCTGTTAGCAGAGACTGAGTGTAATGAAGAAGACTTCACACCTGATAGTCCTTGAGGGATCGGGCCAAACGTGACTGTCTGGTTTCCTGAGTCTCTACCTCATTGCAAGTAGAGGGAGAAGATTCTGCATCGTTCAAGGCAGTGTTCTCACTCTGCGGCAGATTGCTTGCGTCGTCCATGATGCAGCCCTTGTAGAAGGATATCGTGCTTCGAGTGTTGGCAAAGGTTGAAAAAAGAGGACTAGGTAGATGGTACAAATAGTAGGGCAGGAGGTCTGCACTGAACCTCAGAGAACAGATATCGGAGAGAGTGAAACAGAGAGACGAATAGTCTGGTAGTCTTGTAGTTCGGGAGTGAGAAGTAATAGGAGTCTCTGCTGAGCGATATGAAAACAAGTAGCTGAGTAGTGTGAGCGACACTAAGATATTCTTGGGGTGAGAGTTGTTGTAGTTAGGTAGAAAAGCATTAAGAAGTGATGCTAGCTTGGAGCAAGAAGTCACAGGTGGAGGCTGATGCGTACGAAGGAGTGATTCATGAGATAGATTTTGGGATATAAACAAAAGTGGATAGCAGCGAACCGCGACTTCAATTGCCAGAGCGCTCAGAAGGGTGGAATTTTGGGAGTCGCAGAAGGGCGATAATGCGACCCGAAGCGGCCACGATCAAGCACGGCAGGGACAATCCAATGCTCTCAGGAAAGCTCTTCCAACAACTCGAGCCAGGTCTCCATCATCTGGGTACGAGTTTGCTCCAGCAAAGCGATTCTTCCTTTCGATTCTTGTAATTCGGGATGGTCTTCATCTCCCTCCTTCGCGATACTGCCCAGCAACTGCTGGATCTCGATCTCCGTCTCCTTCATTTNTTCAATCAGTCCGAAGTATGATTTCTGTGCATCGTAGAAGGCGCGAAGTGAGATAGCTCTCTNTCTGTCGAACTCCAGTAGTTTCATGGCTAGAAAAATCTTTTCGGTGTTGAAGTGATTGATGCTGCCGTCAGGACGGGTGAGAATGAGAGAGCTGCCAGCGCTGAAGACGAGCCTGTATTGGGTGACTTGGAGGTAATGGCAGTTGCAATCGGCGAGATGTTTGTTGACTTCGATCCACTTGTTGACCCTTTGGTCGAGGTTGTGGATGTTCTTGGCTTTCAGATCGTTGACTTGGCGAATGATATCTTCAGGCGTAGTCGAAGCGGCTTGATCGGGATCATGTATTGCGTCAAGGTGGGCATCAGTGGTATGCTTTTTTGGAGTGTTTTCAGCCATCGAGATGGTCGGTTTTCAGCCATCGGGATCTCAATTGGTATATGAGTTGAGCAAAAGTCAGATTGATAGCAAAGCGAAGAAGATTTGATTGAAGGAGCAAGCTTTGGTATTAGATATAGGATGAGAGCGGAGAATTGTACAGAGTGAAACATCGAGTGAGACATTGATATGGCCTTCAGTGAACCGCTCAACCATATGGTGATGCGATGACTTGTGATGAAAGCGGGATGTGGATCTAACCAATCATCCAAGGGTTTGGATCATGTTGGCGAGTCTCTTGATAGTCGCCTCCCAATCGGTTCTAGGTTTCTCAAGTCCCTTTAGGACGTCCGTGACGATACCCAACTTCTCGTTGTGCTTGTCGATCTTCTTCAACTGATCGACAGCTGCCTGGGCCTCGTCCATCAGCTTGAGAATTTGCTTGTAGTTCTCCTTCATGTTGGCATGAACTTGTACGATGTAAATGTCGTGGTGCATGAGAAGTTTGCTGCAGTCGAGTTGATCATTGGCTTTGGCAGCGGAAAGGTCGATGGGGTCTTTGAGATCTGGGAATTCTTCTTGCAGGCGCTTGGTCAAGTCGGTAAGAGCAACCCACGAGGCCATGTTGGATCTGATCTTGGTTTCTTCGCTTCTAAGAGCGGCAAGCTTGTCGTTCAGGAATGCCTGTAGATGAGCAATCTTCTGCTTCTGGAATTGATCAGCAAGTTACCTCAAGTCAGTAAGTCACAAACTCACATCCATGCTGGCCATCGCGCGCTCTTAGATTCTTCAACAACCACCGCGTCGTCTAGATGTAAGAATGTCGATGTGTGTCATCTATGTGTAAGGATGAGAAGTTGCGCGATGAGAAAAAAAGTCAGAACATCAAGTTCCTGGCCGTCGACGAGGCAGCTTTCGTCTTCCGGAAAGATGAAGAAGCTGCCGGAATCAATGTACGAGAAGAAATACTCACCCAAAGAGGGATGAAGCAGATCGTGTTCGACTTCGTGATGTTGCCGAGACGAACGTGAAGTACAGAATAGAACGTACTCCCGTCGATGATCCTCTGCTCCTCTCATTTTCTCCATGTGCTATGCCATAAAGAAATGGAAAGATGCAAAAGTATGCAACGCCGAGTTCCATGTTTACTGATAGAAGTAGCCCGCATTATACTCCCACTACAGCAGAGAGTAGATTTGACGCTATCAAAATGCACAATCTTGTTTGGAAACAAAAGATGGCCAAAGAGAGCTAACAAAAGATCGACTCTCAGTGGACACTATCTGTTTGCTGACAGTATTGTGCATTTTGATAGCTAGCTTGTTATCCACCTTTGCGTTCGGGGATGGACGTGCTGCCCGAAAGGAGAGCTCGTATTTGTTCAGCTTCTCTGGACAAACATACTTGCCTGAATGTATTCTGCATTTTGACGAACGTCTTTGTGCATACTTGTCATGTTGAAACAAAGCCTTGAAGTTTGCTGTCAAAAGATCTAATGTAGTCATGTTTGTCTGAAAATGTACGAAAGAGAAGATTCAAGTGCTTCTGTGGAACCAACTGGAATGCCAATTGGACCGTGCATTTCGGCAGCATGATCTCCTTTTGATATCGATAGGGAGAGTAAGTAGAGACCAATGTTAGGCACCAAAAGAACAAAACACACACAATGAAGTCAAAGTAGCAACAGCATCTCTCTGGAAGAAGGTGTTTTATGGATCAAACTTTGCATTTTTACAGTCGTACACTGGCATATCATTCATGCCGGGAGCACCAATTTTCTAAGCAAACCCGCTTAGGGGCAGTCGAAGATAGCCTCCGTTAACACACGTTGAAACTCTCCCAGCTGAGCCCTGAAGCTCACCCAGTCTTGCATCCACTCAGTAACCTCCTCGTCGTCCACATCGAGACCCATCAACTCGACTTTCAGGGCCAGCAAACTCAATGCGCTTGCAAGCAAGCGGGAGCCTTTCTCCAGGGCCTCTCTGATCTTGGAGAAGAGCTCAAGCTTCTTTCTGCCGTGGTGGATCATCAGGTCCCTGCTACGTAGCTCTGCAGGGCTGTAGCGATGACCAGGAGGCCTGTGGGAGGCTTGGTGGTGCTCCTGGTAGATGATCGTGTGGCTGGCCAGGCGATCGGAAAGGCCCACGATATAAGCCGTGATGATTGGACGCAGGTTGGTGGCTAGCACCAGACGGGCCTCAGTCTCCTGCAGGCGCTCATCGATGATCTGGGCTTGATATGATGCACGAGAGTCATCTGAAGACTTTGGGTTGGAGCATGTATCAGCAGGTGCGTCCGAAGATAGGGAGGTACAAGTACTAACATCGGAGTCGGAGGTATCAGAAATCCCATCGGTGAGTTCGGGTACATCTTCCAGAGGGGGTATATCTGCCATGATGAAGAAAGGCAACGATGTTTAGCTGTGATTGGTTTGCGAGAGGAGAGCTGAATTTTGGCAATTATTTTAAATGCTGTAGACTCGCAGGCCACCGACTAAGCGGTTTGATTCGTTTGATAGAGCATCTTCCGGAACCTCTCATTCTTGGCCAAAGGCTGCCCTGAGCATTATTTGTCCAAGTTCTCTTATCATCTCTCGTGCCTTCTTCTTTTCCTCCGCAAACCACTTGATCTGTTGAGCTTCTCTCTCGATTCNCAAAAGCTTGTGATACTGTGCGAACACCTCCTTCAAAGCTTCCAAGAGGTCAAACAACTTGCGTTGGAGCTGTGTTATGCTCAGTTGAAGTTTGGCTCTACGAGTTTCGAGAGCGAGCAACTCAGATGCCTGTTGCAGCTGAGCTGTGTTGCCAATGTCCAAGACAAAAGGCTCTACCAAGCGTCCCATCTGCTTTTGCAGTCGAAGGTAGCGCCGATTGCACCTGAACCATTCTTGACAGCGAACGCTGCCTTCAATTGTGGTTCTGCTCAACTCTTCGCTGGTCATATCTCTCTGCTGATCCAGTTCTTCGAGTCTCTCCTTTAAACCTTTGGCNNCCCTGATGACGGCTGGATTGAAGGTGAGTCCTGAGACGTTGTCAATTCGACATGTTCTCGGCGTTTTCATGTCTGAATGACTTACATGATGACCATTCTGTTCGTCCTCGGCAATGTTCCCTCCAGTTGTGGTATCGTTCATGATGTGATGGCGTGTTCGGCAAGGATGCAAATCTAGAGGTTGATCGCAGATGTGCCCTGGAAGATCTCCAGATGTAAGTAGGATCCCAAATCGTCGAGCAAAGATCTTACAAACTGATGGTGTTACACGAGAGAAGGTAGCGGATGGTCCCAGTCGGTAAGGCGTTCCAGAAAAGGCGGCAAAGCGGTAGAGTAAGAGATCTTTGACGTGTTGTGTGTGTTCAAGCGTGGAAAGAGTTGAGCGGCTGGGACGGGATCTCAGAGGAGAATGGTGTTATATTAGTTGAGACAAGAGAAAGAATTTTATTTCTGCATTTGAAGAATCTCGTGATGAGAGAGAGAAAGAGGCAAAGTCCTCGAGGCAGCAGTGAGGTCAATGTCAAAACTAGTGAAAGTGAGGCAAGAGCAGCCTTTTGTCCCACTCCTTCCTACATTGTCCGTTCCGCTCCAGTCATTACCGTCGTCATCTTCACGTGACTTTCCGTGCCTCGTGCCTTATGAACATCGACGAACCGCCTTTCTGTCAAGCTCCAGTGATCGATTGTGTATTCCCAACGTCTTCTCCGACGTATGGACAAACCATTCTCCCTCTCGGTCTTGAAGCTTTCCAAGTTCAACGGCATGGTTGTTCGTGATCTCAGTTTGCAAGGCGATCATTTCAAAGAGTCCAGCGACGAGCAGTCTCTTGTTGGAGACAAGCTCTGAATGACATCTCAACTCCTCATTTGCAAGCTCGAAAAAATGATAGTAGTCAGGGAGAGACAACGACTTGTCCAAGTCGACAACGTCCAGATCCAGTTCCGCATTTACCATATGCATCTTGACTGCCCCAAAAGCTCTGAGTTGATCTGAGCCAGCAAGCTGCAACATGGCTAGTCTTTCGCTGACCTCTTTTCCTTCTCCTGATAGGTATCTAGGAGAGTGGCGAGGGCTTTACTGATGGGACCCCACTAAATGTTGTGTCAGTCTCATTCCCAGGTTGCCTCGAAAAAATTCGATACCTTGTCAAAACAACCTTCCTTGCTCTCTGTGATTTTGGGATTGGCCGATGGGTGCTTGGAGTTTTCGTTCATGGCGATGGTTGTAAGAACGTCGTAGAAGGTGCTGTGTTCGAACAAGTTGGAATGCAGCGCAGGTGCGGTCAACCAAGACACGTCCTGAGAGGTGTTGGAGGATTGTGTACCTCTTGTTTATATTATTGGAAGATGGAACAGTCGTAAAAGAAGTATTAAAGGATTGCTGCTCATACAATGGTATGCTTTTATACTTGTTCGTCGAGGAGCCGCAACCACGAGTGACAGCCCGAATGAGCGAGTAATACCTAATGACCACGGGAATCAGAGTCTCAAGGTGGAAGTGAAAAAGATGGAAAGCAGTGAAAGCAATCGCGGGTGGAATCTAGTAATGAAGAACAATTCACTCCCTCCCAAAGTCCCAGAGCACTTGCGCGTGTATAACGAAGCCTTCGCAAGGCACAGTGTTGTAGTGATTGATGAGATTACCCAGTGAAACACTTGACAATCCGACGATCGAGAAGACTAGGAACTTGCAGGAGCAGTTCTTGCAGCAGCCAAGATAGCACGACAACTCTCGAACATAGCATTGCGATTGAATGCCAGAATTCTCGTCACCTCCTCAAACCGCTGCACCATCTCAGCCTGAAAATTCTCCACCAACTCAACACCAAACCTATCCCTGATATTTCTTTCGATAGCGGTCAATTCCTCCTCGCGTATGATGACATCACGAGTCAGGTGATAGATCTCAGGAAGGTTTTGCAGTGCTGCATTGGTGAGACGCAACCATTCGTCATGGTCGTCAAGAGAATCCAGGACATCGAGGTTGATGGTGTGCATGTCGACATTAGAGGCTTGTTCATGGCTGGAGACAGCTGCAAAGTCGACATCTGCGATTGCATTCAAGACGTCTCTTTTGTAGGCGACCATGTCGACTGCGTCGCAGAGACTGAAGAATCTGGTCAATTCGGCCAGCAGAACTTCGCTGAGGTTGGGGTGCTACAATCGAGCGTTAGCGGNGCAGCCATCGACGTGACTTCTGATAGATCTTACCTCTGGGCGAGCAGCAGAGTCTCCATCAGGAGGGGAGGCAGCGTCCTGAGTAGATTGGGCAGCGTTTGCTTCGGAGATACCATCAGCCATCTTGAGTATGTTGACCGGTGTGTCGTCGTCCTCGTCGATGGGAATCAACTTGGTCGTGCAAAGGAGAACAGAGAGAGACCACGGGACACGCTGTAAGCAGTTGAGGACGTACGTGAGGCACGATCGCGAATGCCGAGCAATTCAAACGGACCTTGATGCCTGGCAAACATTCCGGTACTTTCTTTGAGCTGTTCTGCAAGCAAGTATACTTTTCAATCGTTGACCATGGTGCAGAGCTTCGACGACGCCCGGCCTGCTTGTCGGGTGCATTTCGACGAGAGGATGTCAGGAGGCCTCAAACTTGAAGTGATCCATAGGACAATGACTGCAAGAATCCAGCTTTAGGAGGAAAGAGCAACTTCTTAAAATACCGAAAAACGAGAAACGGGATGAACTTGAAAAATAGGAAGACGTGAAAATTTTTCTACCAGAATATACGCTGTAGTTAATCTGGGATTAAAGCAACAAAGAACAGAGTATATCTCCCCAAACCCTTTGTATTCCACCAACGCCAGACACATGAATAACGAACCATGATGAATGCAAGAAGAGCACCGTGAACATCCCCATTTACCTGCTTCTGGTGCTGCCGTTACCACGCTTACCAGCAGTGAGCCACTTGGCGAGCGAGGCAGTTGTGTGACGATCACCCTCTCCCTGTCTGGCGCTGCGGTTCATCTTCTTCTGTCCCAGCTTGTGCAGACGCTCGGCCTTGGTGCGGGCAACCTCGTTAGTAACACCGTCCTCGCGTCTGTTCATGCGACTAACACTTCGAGTGCGAGACATGGCGCGAGAAATGCTGTTGCGGTGCTTGGCGGGTGCGTCGCCACCATCGACATCCATCATGTCGGCGTCTTCGACAGCCTCTGAGCGACCGCGAGGACGAGATTGCGAACGAGCACGAGCACGCTCGGAAATGGATGTGGAGTCGTGGCCGAGAGCCTCGAGACCTCTCTCCATCTTCTCGAGTTGGACGGCCTTCTTGCTGCGGGGGATGACAGCGCGGTTCTTGAGCGACTTGCGCATCTTGGCTTCGTTGCGGATGAGCTGGCGCTTCTCACGGATGAGCTCTGCCTTGTATTTAATGTCTGCGTCGTCGGCGTCCTCGACCTCGTCCTCTGATTTGTCGTAGTAGCCCTCTGCCTCGAGACGGGCTTCCTCCTCTTCCAAAGCGGCGAGCTTGGTCTCGATTTCGGGGTCGACAAAGTCGTAAACGTTCTTTCCGTCGAGGAATTCGGGCATCTTGTCCTCGCGCCAGTCGGGGTTCTCGAGCATCCACTTCTCCTTGAGGTTGATGTTGAAGACACCAGCACCACCGTTCTCCTCCTCGATGTCGCGCATGAGGGTAATGCGGTTGGGGTCTGCCTTGTCGTACTTGACTCTGGTCTTGACAACGTCGGGAACGAAGGTTTCGCGAACAACACCACCCATGGGTTGGGCGACGTGAATACGGCGGAGAACGTCGTTGAGACGACCAGTGACTTCACCAGAAGCGTTGGTACCAGCCTTGAGCTTCTGTGCGTTACGCTCGGCGAGAAGACGGTCGCAAGCGGCGTTACGGACGTTCATGAGACCTTCGGTGGTTGTGCAGGAAAGTTGGAGCATCTCAACGTTGTCGGACTTGCACATCTCAGCAAGAGCTTGCTGGGTCTCGGGGTCGAGGTCCTCGGGGCGCATGGCATCGATCTTGTTGATGACGACGAAAACGAGTTTGTTGGCGAAAAGAGGCTTGATGGACTGGAAAAGCTGCATTTGAGCCGAGACAGAGTAACCACACTGCTCAGACAAATCCATGAAGTAGAGAATGGCGGAACGCAAGTGAGCAATAGCAGTAATCGACTGCATTTCGATAGTGTTCATCTCTTCCAGGGNGTGGTCCAGAATACCGGGAGTGTCGATGGCCTGGAAACGCAGCATCTTGTAGTCGAAGTGACCAACAAACAAACTCTTCGTTGTAAAGGCGTAGGGCTGGACGTCGACATCTGCGCGGGAGATGTTCTTGAGGAAACTCGACTTTCCGACGTTGGGGTAACCACAGATGAGGAGAGTGCGGGTGTTGGGGTCGATGGAGGGAAGACGACCCAAGTGCTGGCGAACCTGCTCGAGATAGAGAAGTGGGTCCTTCAGACGCTTGCAGATTGTGGCCATGCGACCGAGAGCAGCGCGCTTGAGCTGCTTGCACTGGAAGAGCGACTGACCGTACTTGACGAGACGGACATAATCGCGGGCGACTGTCTCGATCAAGTGCTTTGCGGTGGACAGCTGACCGAGGGCAATGCGGAAGTGGTCAGCATCGTAAAGGGTGTTGAGCAAATCCTTGTGGAAAGGGTGGATGTCGGCGAGACGAGGGAATCCATCGAGGACGGCTTGGATCTTTTCGGCAAAGGTTTCGCAGGTGAACTTGATCTTGCGCATGTAGAACGCNNTATGAATCTGGTTAGTCTTGCGTTCTCATTGTTGATTTCTTCATTCTCGCGTGTCCACCATCCTCTGCTTCTTGTCCGATGCTCTTGCGTGGTGGCTCAAGCCAGACCACCTGAAATGTCCTCCATCCTGCAACGAAAAGTGGCACACACCTCTGATTCTCGAAATCTTGAAACCCGCTCTGATCTGAGTCGGCAATCTTCTCTGGGTTCTGCTCAGGACAATGTCCAAGAACTCCTGCGACGTCGGCACAGGCGCGATATCCTTCCACGTCGTCTTCATCTTTGCGGTATTTGTTGTTGTGGTTTGGGTTCTTGTTGCGAGAACTGACCGAAATCCTTCTCTGCTGCGACGGCTCCTCGAAAAATCTCGCCTCCAGACTTTCAGACAAAGTTCTGCCGGAAAGGCGGTCTGTCTGCGGGAAGCTAGAAGGGACTTTTATCGCCGACCTCCGCGATTACTTGGAGAAGCGCCAAGGCTGATATTCCATTGACCTCAGTCCATGCCTCTCAGTCTGGCACTCTTTTCCCGCTCTCAAATCTCCGGTCGCCAATCTGCCTGTTTACCTGCGCATTTCCTACTCTTCTTCTTGCCTTGCATATATTTCGCGGTTCCGTATTTCCGGCAGCGCTCCAGACTCGGCTTTAGACTCGCTCAACGCTTCAGCGTCCGTGCACCCGCCACGAAATCTCTTCGTCGCATCAAAAACATATACCTCCCTTTCTACCACCTCTTCATCAAGCCCCTTTAGCTCAGTTGGTAGAGCGCGGCACTAGTAATGCCGAGGTCGCCGGTTCGACTCCGTCAGGGGCAGTGACGCATACCTTTGTCGGTATACTATGGTGAACATCTTTTTTTGGTGGATGCCAGATGGTACGGACCCTTGAATTTTTTGGTTTGCGTGGGGAGACCCTGACGCTGACACCTTCGACGAGGCCTTGGCTCCGGACAGGCAGTCGCTCTTGCTTGATGACTTATGCGACTGATAGTATTTTGTATTATCAAGCTTCCAATTGCCTGCTCGGTGTTACTTGATGAATATTGTGTGAGGTGCAGAAGAATCACACACGAATTGCTGTGCAAACCCCCTCCTGTGCTGGAGTCGAAGGTCACTTTATATTCGACAGACATCATTTTCCTCCACAACAGTCATCGTGATGAACTTTTTTTCGCGGCTAATATGGCCATAGACAGATCAATTCTCTAGATTCTGAAACAGTCCTGGTGGTTGCTTTCCTCTACAGTACCAAGGAAGTCACGGCGCATCCAATTATATGTTTTATGAATACACATACACACACACACAGTCCAGGGTTGCTCAATGATGTTTCCTTCAATAAGGTCTAAAACAGATGCGGTTGTTATATGCCGAACAACGAATTCCAAAATCTTCCTGATGCAAATACATCTAGCTGGTCTGCAGAGCAGCCTGCTTAACACCCTCAGTAACCTCCTCAACCGCATCACCAGCCTTGGGGTCCTCGGCACCGTCCTTCTCAGCAGACTCGACAGACTTGCCGGCCTCCTTCTCCAACTTAGCCTTTGCTCTCTCGGCCTCCTTCTTTGCCTTCTTCTTCTCCTTGTCTGCCTTTTTGGCAGCGGCCTTTGCTTCCTTTTCTGCCTTGGCCTTCTTGGCTTCTTCGCCACCGAACATCTCGCGCCACTCCTTCTCCTTCTCGGGCTTGATTTGTTGGAACAAGTGGGCTGAGGCGCCGAGCTTGTGGCCAGGGGCGATGCTGTCTCCTTGCCAGTCATCGGGGATGATCAGGAGAGATGTGTTGAGCTGTTCGAGGATGGAGGTGGTGGTACTGGGCATGTAAGGGGCAATAATCGAGGCGAGCAGGTGCACGTGGTTCAAAGCAAGACCAGCAACGGCAGCGCAGCGCTCGGGTTCTTCCTTTGCGAGTGCGTTGTCCAGCTTGTTGTCTTGGAGGAACTTGTTTCCGAGGTAGGAGATGTGCATGCCGGCTTGAAGACCTTGACGAATCTTGACGGCGTCCATGGTGGCCAAGTATTCCTTGAGCGCTTCATTGACTTCCTNTTTGTGGGCAGCAATAACACCTTCTGGGTCGCTGTACTTGGTGTAGTCGGGGACGACACCCTCGAAGACAGGCGAGTTGACATACTTGACGATGCGGTTGACAAAGTTGCCAAGGTTCTTGAGAAGCTCGTTGTTGTTGGAGTTGATGAAACCAGTCCACTCGAATTCAGTGTCACCAGTCTCGGGACGTCTCGACAGGAGGTAGTAACGCCAGACATCCGAGGGAATACCAGTCTCCTTTGCGTTGTTTCCAAAGACACCAATACCTCTGCTCTTGCTGAACTTTCCCTGCTCGTAGTTGAGATATTCGGTGGTAGAAAGGTGGTTCAACATGGTCCACTTGTCGCCAGTACCGAGTTGAGATGAAGGGAAAACGACAGTGTGGAAGGGAACGTTGTCCTTGCCCATGAACTGGTACAGACTGACGTTCTCGGGGTTGTGCCACCACTTCTGCCACTGATCTGTGTAGTTCGCAGTGATTGAAACGTAACCAATGCAGGCATCGAACCAGACGTACAGCACCTTCTCGTCGTAGCCAGCCAGGGGNNGGACTTTAGTGCCCCACTTCAAGTCGCGAGTGATACCTCTAGGCTTGAGACCCTCCTGCAACCAAGAGTTTGTGATGTGAATACCGTTCGACGACCATGCGCCCTCCTTGCTTGACTTTGCTGACCATTCCTCNNAGACCTTGCCCTGCAGCTTGTCCAGCAGCAGGTAAATGTGTTTTGTCTTTCTTGCGACAGGGGTTGCGCCGTCGAGCTTGCAGCGGGGCTTCTTCAATTCGAAAGGATCGAGCAAATGTCCACACTTATCGCACTGGTCTCCTCTTGCATCCTCGTAGGCGCACAACGGGCACTCTCCCTCGACAAAGCGGTCGGCCAAGAAGGAGTTGTGTGTTTCGCAGTAAGGTTGGGTTGTTTCCTGCTCTTCCAGGAAACCGTTGTTGTAGAGTTTTGTGAAGATGTCCTGAGCGATCTCGGTTTGTTGGGTGGTGGGAGTGCGGCCGAAAATGTCGAAGCCAATGTTGAACCATTCGTAGACCTCGGCGTGCAGCTTGTGGTACTTGTTGCACAGCTCTTCCGGTGTGCACTTCTCCTCGATAGCCTTGGTCTCGGTGGCGGTTCCGTACTCGTCGGTTCCGCAGACGAAAAGAGTGGGCAGGCCGCGTGCCTTGCAGTATCTGCGACCAGAACGTCAACCATGTTTGCGCAAACGTTGCTAGACCGAGACTGACCTGGAGAAGACATCGGCAGACAAGACACTACCAATGATGTTGCCCAAGTGAGGGACGTTGTTGACGTAGGGGAGGGCAGAGGTAATGAGGATATTCCTCTTGCCCTCCTCGGGAAGGATCTNCTTGCGCTCGCTCATAATAAGGTGCTGGTGTGTTCGTCCTGGATGCGATTCAATTGATGCGTAGCTGCGTAGAACAGGCGCTGCTGTTCAGTGGTTCAAGAGGAATATGGACGTGACAATGGCGTGTGCTGCTTGTCGGTCAAGTTTCAGCTTTGGAGGGGTCCAAACTGGTGCTGAAAGTGACTCAACTGCTCGGCTGCACCCGCCATCCCACCTTTGCCATCGCCCTTCAGCCCCACCGACATACCAGAACTTTTGTATGAAACACCGAATTGATATCAAATTCGCAACAACAAGAACCCATCTCACGACAATATTCAACCATCTCTAGCACACAAACACTAGCAATTATGGCAAACCCACAACCCGATGACTTCGACTCCCTCTTCAACCTCGAAGAGGAATACTACACTGAAGGCTATAATCTCGGCGTAGCAGACGGTTCTCGTGCCGGTCGCATCGAAGGCCGCCTGTTCGGTCTCGAAAAAGGCTTCGAGAAGTTCGCAGCGATGGGATCGCTGGCTGGTAGAAACGCTGTCTGGGAAGCAAGAATTTCTGATCAAGATTCTGCTACCACCGAACAAAGCGAGTTTAAATTGCCCAAATTGTCCGGAGGGGCCAGGTTACAGAAGCATTTGCAGACTCTGTTTGCTTTGACAGAGGCCGAAAGTCTGTCTACCGAGAACAATGAAGATTCGGTTTCTGATTTTGACGATCGCCTCAAGCGTGCTGAGGGAAAGGTCAAGGTCATCGAGAAATTGGTTTCTGAAGGTCCTCTGACCCTCGAGGCTTCTCAGCCTGTTGCTTCAGGAAGTGGCGTTGCACAAGAACGACGTCAAATCAAGATCAAGAGAACAGATGCTGGTGGTGAAAGCAGCATGGAAGATTTCAATATTCGCCATGCTCGCTCCTAAAGCTTCTCTTTTGAGTGCTTCGAAAAGGATGCTCTCCCTATTGCTACCAAACCAAGGATACACCATTGTCCCATGCCAGCAAACACCAGAACCCGGAAACCTATCATACTCCACAAAATGCGCCCAAAAGTTTACTCTCATACCACTCCCAAACCGAACAAACGCCTCGCTCCATGCCTCTGCGATACTCGGCTTTATCAAGCCACGGCTTGTGTCTCTCCACTGGCTTGTTGTGGCTCCGTCACAATGTCAAGCTTCGGTTTCTTGGAATCACTAGCCCCGTCGGTTTGCTGAACATTGCTCATGTCGGCGAGTGGTGGTCTGCTAGCAGCATTTTCTGCTGGCAAAGGCCTCTTCATTGCAGGAGGCTTGTAGGCACTTCTATTTGCCAAGGGACTCTGCTGCATTCCACCTGGCATGCCAATACGTCGACTGGCATCCATGGCAGGATTGACGAAGTTTGATCTGTTAGCAGGCGCTGCTCCATTCATCATAGGTTTCGGGTTCGGTATTGGTAAAGTCGGGGCGCCAACCTCAGAACGCTTGATCGGTGCCGACTTGCGAAGGTCAACTCCATGTGTACGTCTGATGGACGGACTCTCGTGGTGAGGGTCAAACAATTTGATTGGAGGCATGGCACCTGCTTCAGGAGGTTGGACCAGAGCAGAAGCTGCAGCCCCCGAGACAAAGCCAGATGGTACGTGTGCCGGTACTTGCGAAGGTGTGACTACCGAGTCGGAGGTGTGCTCTGTCTGCCATTGGTAGTCGTTGACTCCGAGGCAGAGGATGGGTTTGAGCGAAAGCCATTCTGATTGTTACCGTTGGCTTGTTGAGGAGGAGGCATCATGCGATTCGGCGGTTGATTGTTCGTGTTGTTGGANGTTCTTGAAGGTCTGTGATGTAGGCTGAGGTCGTGCTTGCTGGCCATTCTGTTGACCATTCTGAGGACCAGCAGAAAACTGGCGGACGTTGGGCATGGATGCTACCCTGTTCGGCTGTTGGCGATTTAAGGCTTGTGCTGAGACAGAGTTGGCAGNGGGTCGAACTGGTGTCTCGACAGAGACTTCTGTAATAGAGTTGTCCAAATGTACCTCATCAGGATGGCTGAAATCCACCTCGTCGAACAAATTTCCTCCAAACTCGTCCTCAAACTCCGAAGTGTTTGATTGAGCACTGGGCATGCGNNGTGCCGGCGGCGCTGCAGCAACGGTTGTAGAGGTCGAGGGGCCTGCAAGGGCTTCTTTCTTGATGGGAGCATAATCTGGGTGGCGGTGTAGATTGTCGGCGTCCCATTTAGACGGCGCAACTCTGACTTTCGTTACTCTCTGAAGATAGTCCTTGTCGTATAGGCAATTGCCCAGGACGTTTCCGAAATTGCGCAATGATCGTTTCAACGCGTCAGTCACAGCCTCTTTCTTTGCCTTTTCGAAGGCAGCTGCTTTGCCTTTGCAGTTCTCGATGTGACCATAGCCAATGTCNNCTACATTGTGTCAGCTCGAGTAGGGAACTCGTACAGCGAGTAGGTGGCCTACCTCGTGGAATGTGCCATCCTTCAAGGAAACGCGCACAATGGTAGACAGGCCCAAGTTGATCTTTCCTGTTGTCGGACTCTCATCGCNACTATGAAGGTTAGCATTACAGCAAGTGGGCAGAGTGTCAACAAGACTCACAAAGTCGATTTGGACGTCTCTGATGGCACTGCTCCATCCGTTGAAGCCAAAGACCTCATTGGCAAGATTGATGACCTTCTCGGCAGCGAGGTAGTGAACCTTGCCTCCTCCATTTCCTGGACGTGTTGAGATGTATTCTGGACCGAGTTGCTTGTCCAGTCGACTCTGCAAGGTGGCTATCTCCTGCGCCGTGTATTCATTGAGATGGGGCTTTTGTTCTTCGTACGGGTTGCTGAACTTGTTGTCCTTCCACTGGTCACCGGGTCTATTGATATTGTCAGCAGCTTCATTCAGCCATCACAAGGACACAACTTACGCAGGCATGTTCGGGCATCTGTCTCTGCAACCAAAGTGGCAACACGGACTTGTTTTATGCTCGAATACAACTGCGCTTGCCTTGGGGGCGTACGCGACGATCCGCGACAATGACGCGCTGCACGTGGAGCGCCAAGCCGACCCTTCTTCGCCCGAACCAACGCAACTGCCTAATGTACACTGAACATGATTCGTTTTCTGCTGACTGCCTAGGTAACAACTTCGAGCTCGCTGGCAGTAAAACTCGTGATTGCGAGCCAAAATCGATCGCAACCTACTCAGCATCTCCTCTAGCCTTGACGTACTGATACATCACTCTCGAGTCTAGGTCGTAGAACCTCGAATCTCCACTTGCATCTCTCCATGCCTCGAGACCTGCTTTTCCAAGTACAGGCTTCGAACCCAAACTCTCAGCCAGGCTAGTCGCGAGGCTGTAGTCTTTGAGCATCAACTGGATCTTGAAGCCACCCTTGTAACCTTTGGATGATGGTGCTTCGGCAACAATACCAGGCACAGGACACCATTTATCAGATATTGTGTTCTGACCNNCCGTGCCCGCGCTGAACACTTTGTAGAGAACTTGGGCGTCGACACCGGCGCGTATGCCCATGTCGAAAGCTTCGGAACAAGCTATTGTGATTGTGCCAGAAAGGTAGTTGTTACAGAGCTTGGACACTATGCCCAGCGAAGGGCCTCCACACGGAATGATCTCTTTGCCCATGGTTCCTAGTATGACTTTCAATGTCGGAAGATTCGGATCGCTTTCATTGCAGCCCAGGAAGAATGCGATCGTTGCTTTGATAGCTCCCAGGACTCCTCCGCTGACAGGTGCGTCGTAGAAATTCGTTCGAGGAAAGTGCTGCTTTAGATGATCCTTGACTGACAGTGTGGTCGCGGCATCAATGGTGGAACAGTCTATCAACGTCTTGCCGTCCAACTGTGCCGAACAGATGTTCTGAGGTCCATCGATGTATACGGTCCTGACATGCCTACCTTCAGGAAGCATAGTGATGATGAAGTNCCTGGGTCTAATGAGCCTTAAAATACAATGTGGAAGTCAGATACGTAAGCTCACAGCCTTGTTCGCAACATCCTGAGCCGACTGACAGGGCGACACACGATCTGGCGCAGACTCGCATACTTCCAGCACAGCAGACTCGACTAGATCAAACACGAATAAATGCTGGTCGGCTTCAAGTTTTGAGGCGAGGTTGATAGACATTGGCTTGCCCATCAAGCCAAGGCCAATAAACCCGAAGGTCTTGATATCCTTGCTCGATTCTATTGCCATGTTATTGTCAACGAAGAGGTTAGAAGTGTTAACGAATTTTCAGCAAGTCGCAAGAATCAGCCATATGAGACCAGCTTTTGTCTGTCGGTCGTGAGGTTACATTTCTGTTGTCGAGAATGGCTTCCAGTTTGCCGAGCAGCAAACTACCCCTCATCTTCCCCCTCCTCGTCACCAATCTCACCAACCATCGACCAAACTACAAATTGCTGTGTCGCCCCTTAGATTACAGCAATTATCTTGTATTAACGCAAAAGGAAACGAAAACAACTGTTTTGTCAAAGCTGACCGTTGTCGTTTTTGGAAGTTCTGCTAGAAAGTCACCACCAGCCGCTCCTCAACCTCACTAAAGCCATGAGATATGGGAGCCACGACAATTACCCTGCACGCACTTTCCACAGGTCACTTCACTTTGCCTGAATATCAATTCGTGGCTCCAGTAGCCGAGACCGCGCGTAAGACTGTTCCATCGCTTGCATTTCTGATCCAGCATTGCGATCGGGCGACAGGACATCTGACTCGAATCGTCTTCGATTTGGGGCTGAGAAGAGACACCCAAAGATATCCTGCACCTATTCAGAAACACATAACAACAAGACAGCCTCTGACGACCGAACCAGATGTTGTCAGCAGTCTAGCAAAAGGAGGCCTATCACCGAAGGATATTGATTATATCATCTACTCACACGTGAGCAATCCCAGACCTATATGCGCATATAAGAAGCTATGCTGAAAAGCTCTGAGNGTCCATTGGGATCATGTCGGAGAGCCATGCGACTTTCCAACTTCAGAATTCATAGTCGGACACGGTGCGCTCGCTCTACTCAATGGTACAACAGCAAAATCTCGTGGTGGTCATTCGTTCTTTGAGCATGATCTGCTGCCAGAAGGTCGGAGCGTTGAGCTTCCCGATCCTGATGGTGATCCACAGGATTGGCGAAAGCAACAGTCAGCAAAAATGGAAGGCCTTGATTTGACGCAAGGATGGCAGCCTTATAGAAGTATGCCGAAGACATACGACCTGTTTGGTGACGGAAGTCTGCTAGTTGTGGACTCACCAGGTCATTTACCAGGTCACATCAATCTGTTGGCCAAAACAGGTGAAAACCAACTTGTCTATCTTGCAGGAGATGCTTTTCATGATCGCAGACTCTTGACTGGAGAGAAAGGCATCGGAACGTGGCATGACGCCGAAGGACATGTCTGCTGTATTCATACCGACAAGGAAGCAGCAACCGCAACTATCAAGCGAATCAGAGAGCTCGAGGCTGAGGGCGTAGAAGTAGTCGCTGCTCACGATCCGGACTGGGAGAGAGTGAACAGCCATCGATTTCTGGGTGTCAAGTGATGCTAAGGTGCATACAGTATGTACTTCGCTGTGGACCGCTGGCAGCCATCTCTTGCTGTGCATCAACGATGTTCTCTCACAACGCTTGCACCTGTATCAGCTCGTTGTGAAATCAACGGCAAGTTCGACAATCCTCCAAGGTTGGTCCACAGTAAGCGGCCGGTTCCATCTCTCCTAGGCGACCATAAAGCAACCATCCATTCCAGGGACCACCTTCATCGAAGCGAACACACACCGGCTTTTCAATGCTTTGGGCATCCAATTTACTGAACTTCTGGCTGAGTGCGAATTCAATGAATCCGACTTCTGACATTGTTGCGCAGTTTGGTCCAGCCGCATAATACGCATATGCGATCTGGTGAAAGTTTCCAGAATCACAGCGGTGGAGTTTGTGTCGGAAACACCTCTTGGGTAACCCTGATCGCCCTCTAAACACTCTGAAAAATCCAGAGTATCGTCGCAAGTTGTTGTATCATCGAACACATCGGATCGGCCATATGCGAGAAAGCTCTTCCATGGTCCGTCATCGTTTAATCTCAGACACATCGTGGACTGGATGAAGCCTTTGCCTGGCATGCTCAGTGCCTTTTTCAGTGCTGTCTCGATATAATCCAATCTGGTCGCGGTGTGGCAAGTTCCTCCAACGGAGGCATGTCTGAAACTGATGCCGGAGACGCTACCTGCAGTCAAACCACAATCCCCTCGGCTTGCTTTCGTATGGATGAGTGCTGCCATGGCCTGAACAGCCTTGGCCTTGTTTTGTGCCATGGCAGCAACAGGTACAGATGTATGTGAGGCGCTTTCACAAACCCGAATCCGTGGTGTTGCAGCTATGAGACCTGTCGCAATGAGATAGTCCGAGAGGTCGGTTATTCGGAGAATACTTGCTGTGAGAGCCACGAACGCACATAGCAGGATGGTTCCTGTTCTCATGATGGCCAGGAGATATCGCAACCAAGAGTATGAGAGGAGCACTACAGCGACTTACAGTGCTTTTGAACTCATAGTTGTGATTTGAACTACCGAGTTTGAGCCGACATCTTCGATTAGCAGGGACCTAGGGAAGTTGATTTATCAATCGATCTCTGACATTCGACTCCACTATCATATACACGGACAGACAAGGTCGAGTCACACCGCGAAAGCCAAGCAAGACACTATACTCGGCCACTTGGCAATCTGACCTCGCCTTATTTCCGGGCAAAATGTGGGTCAAGTCCAAAGCTCGACTAGAGCCTCACGTCCTTCTCTCGAGTCAGATTGGCAACAAAGCCTACAACTCTACAATTCTCCAAATCACGTACAAGATGCTCTGTCATATCGGTTGCCAAAACACATCTTCGCCATGCCCATCGTACCGTGCAATGCTGCACTCAATAGTGGGCTTTCACATCTTGAAGCTGGGAGTGGAACCATAGTACATAACTTGATATTCGTTTGGTCCACTAGGACTAACAGACCATCCATTTGCTTTCTTACTCAAAGACTTGACCATCACGGATCAGTCACGCCTTGGGGGCATTGGTCTCGATGCCAGTGTAAGCATTCGACCCAGGCAACTTCACCCAAGGCGCAAACACATTTGTCTTCTTTGGTATGACCGCAGCCAGTTCTGGGAAGTGTCTAGCCAACACGTCCTTCATACCAGTATTCTGGACCCAGGCAAAGCCTTCCTTGGTATACATCTTGGTGTTCCACTGTCCAGCTATGAATCGATCACTCTTGAGTCTTCGGCTAGCCATGAGAATGAAGATACGGAATGCGGTCTCGCTGAAGCCGAATCCTTTGATCATCGGCTCGCTATGTGAGCCTACAAGTGCGTCAACCGTCTCGATGTCGCCATTGTAGACCTCGCTTAGTCTTGCTGCGAGCTCTTTGTCGCCGCCAGTCAACTCCTCGAACGTCTTGGGAACGGACATGCGGAGAAGTCTTCGGAATTGGCAGTAGCGTGGCACTCCTCGTTCGCGATCATGGAGAATGTCGACTGTGGCCAAATCACGAACCTGGCCATCTGGAGTCGGAAGATTCCTCATCAGGTTGGCATAGTTGTTGTTGGTGATAGCGCCAGGATAGTTGATGCAGAACGAGTAGAAGGCATCGCCGAAAGATACTTCACCAGACTTGAGGGGCTTCACAGCATCCTTGAAGGTGACATCGGCTGTCGGGATTGTGGCTTTGTGCTTGCCATCGTTGACGTTGAAGAATGCGATGTTATCTTTGATGGCATTAGCAGTCAAGTCGAATCAAGCTACGAGACTAAACTGACCTGGTATAAGCGAGTGCATTCTATACACCGATACGAACTCTTCCGTAAGAGAGTATGGAACACCTTGATGGTCAACAGTCGAGCCTGGGATACCACTGATGGCTTCGCTGGTCTTCGAAATACGGCCGACAATCTTATTGAGGGTCTCTCCTGCAATGCCCCNACCTAGGGGGCGTCAGTAATACGTTCGAGCAATTCGATCGTATACTTACCAGTTTGCGTTCATACCAATCTCCAGCGCTGGATGTGCTAGGATGGCAGGCGTCCATTCNNACTACAATCACACATGTTAGTTTGGAGTTGTGATTCTGCGGGTACCAACTACTTACACAGTGTGGATCTTGGCCATGAGAGCGCAATTGACGAGGCGAGCTTTATCGAATATCTTGTCACTAGGCCGAGTCAGCATCAATGACAGTGACCACAATAGAAAGATGTTACCNNCAGTCCAATCAGGATGCGCTTCTCGAATCTTGTCGCAGATTGCATTGTGCTCCAAGGCGAAAAGAGTGTGTAACAACTCCATGCCAGTCCACCAGTTGTCTGAGAAGCCGGTCTTAGGGTTCCCTTCAGTGTCGCGAGGAAGGAAGGTTTCTTCGTTGCCTCTGGTTTCGAGCAGCAGTTTGCCATCTTCGTGTTGGTCTCTGAGTTCATTGGTTTTGGCTTCGCTTGAACCGTAGATTTGAGAGCCATCCCANNCCTAAGCAGCCAAATTAGAAAGAACGATGATGAGAAATCATGCTTACCACGCGGTTGAAGTGTTTTTGTAACCAGGACACTTGATGTCAGATGCATCGAGCACATCGTCAGGCTTGGTACGGTAAAGCTTCATCTGGCCATGCCAGTCATCGTTCGGGAGAAGAGGCACATCGTATGTCTCCTCGCTCTAGAGCCAATGATCAGCATTTATCACGTTTAAAAGCATTGGCATTGCACATACGCTCTCATGGAACACCCAGTCATGAACCTGGAATTGGATCCAAGCAGCCGCAAGCAAGTTCAGCGTAGTTGCCGGCTTGAACTCTCCAGGCTTTCTGGACATGAATGCTTCACTGACCAATCTCGGGTTCGGCGTCCAAAGCTCCTGCTCAGATGGCTTTGTGCAATACTTCCGACCGAAGTTACGACCGAAGCGCATTCCAGAACAACCCATCTTCGGCATGGTGAGAGAATTGTCCTTGCCTTCGGAATTNNCCCTTGCAGCAAGGAAGCGTTTGTCATCCAAAGGAGTATCATCGGTGTTTCCTTGGGCGGTAGCAGATGCGTATCCGTCATGAAGATTGTATTGACGTAATTCAACACGCAGAGCATCGAGGTTCAGTGCACCGATGACGCCGGGAAGTCTATGCCATGGAATAAACAGATTGATAAAATGGAACAGACCAACAAGAAGTCTGTCCATCAAGCCTGGTCGAAAGTTTGGTGGATCCATGGTGAAAGATTAGTATGAGTCTCGAAGCTGGTGATTGAGAAGTTCGAGGCTCCTGAACTGTTTCTACGAAGGCGAGAGATGCCTGGAATCACCTGGAGATGGATAGCGGCGGTTATTGGTGGGCTGTGCTGGTATACGACCACTATCCATTTTGGTAAGAGACGTATCCTAGCATTTTCACATGCGTTCCTGATCCTACAAAAGGGTGGCCTTATACCCAAAGTCAGCCTTCTCACGAGCGTCGCAAGCGATCTGCACAGGTCTCCCAATGTATCTCAGACCACTTGTTGTAAATCTAGAGACGCGCCATTGTACAACCACTCAAACATTTTCGTCCCTGAAGGTATACATGCAGTTCTCAGCTGGTCTCTGGTGAGCCAGAAAAAGTTCATGTTGTTGTTGCGTTGCTTAAAATTTGTCGTATGCATGTAATTAAGCTGCATGTCAGCACTAGCAACCCCTATGAATCCTTCGCTATACTGTCAATCTGACATGCTTCGTGATCACATGCAGGCACGCGCAAGGCTGCATCGCAATGAAAACATTGTCGAGCTGAGAACGATATCCAATGCTTCATGGTACCACCAAGGAAGGCGTCAGCTCGCCTGAAGCAGGTGGGTAAATTCTATGCCCGACATAGCCATGTTATCTTACTCGAATGTTCGTGTTGAATACAACACATTCGCCTCGTTCCCAGAATTCTCTGTCGAGTCTAGAGAAAATGTTTTTGAGACTGACTGATCTCGCCAAGGGTCTTCTGAGCGGTGGTGTCTCAGCAGGAAACAGTAATGCACTCACCAATTCGAAGGGTGGTGACCATTACTACGCAAGAGGCAACATCACCGACCGTGGCCCCTGTCCAGATTTGAACGCTCTGGCAAACCAGGGTTATCTGTTCGTTAACCAAAGATCTCATCTGCGACCAATACTGACACACACAGCNCCTCGCGACGGCAAAAACATCACTATGCCTCAAGTCGAAGAAGCTCTGATGGCAGCTTTGCATATGGACAAGGCATTAGCAACAGCCATAACAAACGCTCTCCGGTCTCTTGTTCGCAAAGACGGGACCTTTGATCTGGTCCTTATGCGCCAGCATAATGTCATCGAACACGATGCCTCCTTCACCCGCTTGGACTTCCGCGAAGGCGACAACTACAACTTTCAACCTACTCTTTTCCGCAAAATGCTCGATGATGCCAACGGCGGTCCTGTTACCATCAGCAGTCTAGCTCGCACATACGTGAGGAGAAACAAGGAGAGTAGAGATGCAGGTGCTCCTGCTCTACCTTGGAACCTTTGGTTTGTCAATCTTTTGCAGAGTGTGAGTTTGATGAACACAGCAAAGATGAGTGGAGAGTTGAGCAGAGAAGTCATGACGACTTTCTATGAGGAAGAGAGGTTTCCAGAGCAGATTTTGGAGAATGGGGAAAGCAGGACTTTGATCGGGTTGGTAGGGTACGCGGTGGCTTTGCTGTTCTGTATCGTGTTGAGAATCTGAGTGCACCATGTTTTGTTACAGCGCGAGGCAATCTTACCGAGACATATATACTTCTTCAGTTGCTCTGAGCGACTTTGCCCAAAGACACATCGTACACATTCCAGGAGGCCTTTCTTTCCGACAGATCTGAGAGCGGAGGCGTGTCGATGGAAAGGCGGTCGTGGTGTAAAATTCCTTGCGTGCCCAATGACTCGTCGAACAGAATAATCTATCGTCCGGAGTGATCGATCAGTAAAATCAGTAAGAGACTTTCGATCTTCAGTTTTCATGAAGTTCACAGTTGATTGTGTATATGCGACACGGACAGAAACTGGGAGATTGATGGCGAAGCAGTTTACAAAATGCGGATCGATTGTGGTTATCAGAGACATATATCGATGATATAGAAACACTATCAGCAAGCTGCTGTAGCTCAGTGGTAGAGCGTGGGATTGCAGTTTCTGCAGTTATCCTAAGGTCCGTTGTTCGACCCAGCGTAGCAGCTTCGTTTTTGTAAGTTTTTTGCTCTTTGTGTGGGGGCTGGCTTTGCCCTCGACTTCAACCTGCACGCGTTGACGTTTCACGAACTCAGCCTTCGCAAATAGAAGCGAAGTTACCTTTTTCTTTTCTTGTATACGAGTATTTTCACATGCTCGCAAACTCCTTTTCTCTTAGCTCGAGCTGAGGGACATGCTGACAGCAGTCTCGTGCGACGTGCTTGTATCGAAGCTATGAGGGTCATGCAGTGAGCTCGTAAACACGCCAAAGCTCAACCTCATTCGACAACACTGCCATTGCTCCAAGCGAGGCATTGCATCTATGCCCTTGGAATAGACGTCAATCACAGCTCAAAAGACAATGCAGGTATAGACATAAGTAACATGTAAGCAGTGCATGATGCGATCAAAAAGCTGAGCCTGTTTCAGCCATTTCAACCAGTACAGTCAACAGCGCGTCGAGAAACATATCTGTCAGTGCGTCTTCATGTGAAAGTCGTATGGTACGAATCACCGCGTTGTCACTGAGAACGCCGAGCTGAAGGCCATGCACGAGGTTGAGAATACGACTGGACTGTTGAGCATAGCCATCCGGACGCTGGCAGACAACAAGTCGGACAACTGCAGAAGCCCACTTGCCACGCAAGCATCATTTGCCATGTTAGGATATAGCAGAATTGCATTGGTGAGAAGCCTTGTACAAGCACCACAACTTGACAGAGCAGCAACTCGAAGAGCATCGAGTGATCGTTGCAGGTAAGACGACGAGAACGATCAACAGCTATTTCCAAGCAGACACTACAAGTATACGTATAGACTTGACATGCTGGAAAACTACCCAAGCGGTCAAATTACCTCGACGTTATCACTCGGACCATTCTACTGCAACATTCCAATTCATTGCTTTACCATCATATCACAAACTTCCTGCTTCAATCCGCAATCAGCCAACATGCCTATCCTTTCCAATTGGAACGAGGAGATCAAGTTCCTTGTCCCAGACGACAAATTCAAGACCCCGTCTTCAATCTCAGAAGTCCAGACCATCATCAAAGATGCCGCTCAGCACAAGGAGAAAGTCAGAGTCATTGGTGCTATGCACTCAACCACTCAATGCATGGTTGGCAACGGCATCACCATCTCCATGAAGAACATGACCAATATCTTGCACGTTGATGAGGAAAACATGACAGCTACTGTCCAAGCTGGCGTGACCATTCACCAACTGTGCGAGTATCTCAAGCCGTGTGGTTGTCAACCTCCAGTCATTCTGGAGTATGGCAACTTCCAGATCGGTGCTATCAGTGGCACTCAGGCGAACGATAGCTCGCTGTCCGATAGTGCTCAGTTTGCTTATTTCGTTGTCGGTGTCAAACTCATCAAGGCTGATGGAGAAGTAATGAAAATCTCAGAGACACAGAATGCAGAACATCTTCATGCTATTCGTTCTCACTACGGTCTCTTCGGTGTGGTTTGTGAAGTCACCATCCGCATCTGGAAGACCAGACACTTGGAATTCAGCTACGAGATGACTACTCTGGATGCCTTTTCCAAAGACGTCATGGGCAACGTGAACAAATTGCGTAACTCCTACGACCAAGCCTTCGGTCTGCTGTTCCAAGCCGATGGAAAATTCATGATCCAGAAAAGAAAGTTCGTCGACAATGATACTAAGTCGCCTCACCCTTTGACCAACAACCTCGAAGCCAAAGCCATAAACCTCTATGCTGACCTCGTGTTGCCGCTCGCCAAAGCATCCGGCCAACTCAAACTCCCAGCGCACCAGCAAGAATGGCTAAGCACTACATTGGTAGACTTACCTCTACGTGCCCTGAGCCACAGCACCTACATAATCAACCCCAACGACCGCGCAGTCCCCTACCGCGAAAACCAACCCCACTTCGACTTCTTCGACTGGGTATTCCCCGAAGAAAACTGGTCAGCAATGGCAAACGCCTGGATATCCCTCTGCAACAAATTCGAGACGGAGAAAAACTTCGTCTTGACTTTGCCTTGTTTGGTCTATTCCCTCAAGAAGGATGACAATATGTTGCTTTCGAGGTCCAGAGGCGGTAACATGATGGCTATTGATCCAGAATACCAGGATCCTACTGATCCAAAGTGGTTGGAGTTTCGTCTTGCGTTTTCGGAGGTGGCGAGGAAGCATGGAGGTATTCCTCATATCAACAAGACTAGGGATGGGGCGATCAGGTGGTTCGCTGAGGCTTGTGATCAGGAGGCGTTGGGGAAGTATCTGGAGCAGAGGAAGGAGTTTGATCCCGAGGGTATGTTTGTGAATGAGTTCTTTGCAACGATGTTTGACGGTCGCCTGTAAGAGAGATATCTTGACGGAAGGGGATGGCCGCATCTTCAGAAGCGCGAGTGTGGTTACAGGACTTTATGCCGGAAATTGTGAAGCAAGATGCAGAATGCGATTGGAGGAAGGAAGAAAGTAGATGCATATATCTCTAGAAGAAATGCAATGAAACCGCTGTTGGGAACAAAAGAGTATATGAACAACAAGAACCTTCTGCTCTCCATGCATAAGAACCAATACTCATTAGTCTAATTAGGCCTGGGACTACCAAGGCCCAGCCCTCCAGCAGAAGCAGGTCTTTCTTGTGTTGGCGACATCATGGCGAAACTGCCACTACGGCTGTTATGCACGCCACCCTCTTGCGCTTCTCTTTCCAAGAATTCGGACCAAAGTTCGGCAAGTGATTCTTTGCTGCCTCCCTGATGGTTGTCGAAGGTAGAGTCTGACAGAGATGGCGTTGATGGAGTGCGGCGGAAAGGCGATAGTGGGATCTTGAGCAGGGAATTAGAAGCACCTGGTCGTGCCAATCCTGCTTGCTCTCTTTGTTCTGTCCGGCATGTCAGTAACGATGCTAATATAGATGAAATTGAAACGACATGAAGGAACTCACCCTCTGTCCAACCAAGTAGTGCAGCAATCAGCTGCAGGACTTGGAACTTCTTTGGATCACTACGATCAAGGATCAGGAAGTGCAAGAAATGGTTGGTCACGATATGACGATCCACATTGTCCTCCGGTTTGCCACGTTTCAAGAATCGCAGAGCTTTTGTGAGGTGGTCGTTGAGAATGACGGCTTCGTGTCGCAGTTTTCCGATTAGCAAGTTCTTCTCCTTGACCTCTTTTTCGAACGGAAGGGCACGCTCGAGCTCTTTCCGTGTTTTCTCGAGCTCTTCTGCTGCCGACGCAGCCGAGGCTTTGCTTCNTTCAGTCTGGGCGCGCAGAGCATCTAGCTGAGATTGTGAACTTTCGACCATCTCGCGCAGCTCTTTCTTGCGTGCATCTTGAATATCTTGCAACGCCCGTTGCAGCGAGTCGACGGTCGAATTTTGTGTATCTCTTTCGCTCGCGGCCCGTTCGTAGGCCTCTCTCTGAGCGTTGAGTTGCTCCTCGATCTCTATCACACGCTCACTGAGTGACTCGCGCAACGATCTTTCTTCCATAGCCAGAACTTCCCAGTCTTGCATAGCTTGTCGAGCGTTCTCAAATTCTTCACGAGCAAACGCTTCCCTGCTAACCAACTCATCACGTTCCTTGACCCAGTTCGACTGGCTGACGTTGGTACGACTTCGAAGTGACTCGATCTCGCTTTCGTGCTCCTTGCGTTGGGTCTCGAGTTGATGAATGGTGGATTGAAGTTCTTCTTTGTTTTCGCGAGCGGATCTGCTCTCTTCTTGAAGATCCTCAATCTCGGCGCGAGCTTTAGAGAGTTCTTCAGCATCTGCTTTCAGACGTTCTCCCAATTGCGACTTGATGGTGTTGACCTTGCCCAAAAGTGTGCGGTAGGCGCTCTCGGCATTTTCCTTACCCTTCTGGGTTTCTTCAAGTTGTGCCCTTATTTGATCCAGCTCTTCACCATCCGAAGTCTGCTTTCCAGCTTGTGCTTCTTGCGCTTGCTTCTTCAAGTCTTCAACTTCTTTCTGATGCTTCTCTTGTAGAGACTCCAGTGACTTGCGTAGCTCTGTAATCTCGGTATTCTCCTTGGTCGCTTGTGCTTCCTGAGCCTCCTTGTTAAGACGTTCAATTTCCTTTTCGTGTTCTGCCTTTACAGACTCCAATGATTGGCGCAGATTGGCGATTTCGGAATTGTTCTTGTCTGTCTGGACATCTTCTGCTTGCTTCTTGAGATGGTCGATCTCGCTTGCGTGTTTCTCTTGCAGAGATGCAAGCGACTGGCGCAGCTCAGCTACTTCTGCGTTGTCCTTGGCGGACTGGGTGTTTTGTGCCTGATCCTTGAGCTCTTGTATCTCCTGCAGATGGTTCTTCTGCATGGACTCGATTGAGGCGCGCAACCCAGAAAGTTCAGCATTATCTTTGGTGGTCTGGGCTTCCTCAGCTTGCGTCTTTAATTGGTCGAGTTCCTGCTTGTGCTTGTCCTGCGCAGACTGTAGCGACTTGCGCAGGTCCTCGATCTCGGCATTGTCGCGAGTATTCTTGTCATCCTGAGCCTGTGACTTGAGTTGTTCCGTCTCTTTTAGGTGCTTCTCTTGGATGGCTTCGAGGGACTTGCGCAACTCGGCCAATTCTTGACGCAGGTCATCTCGTTCCTTGGCTATGGCATCCATGCGGGCAGTACTTTCTGAGCGAGCGTCATCGTCCGGTCGGGTAGCAGGCTCGGATGTTTGATGAGAATCATTGAGTGGCAGAGGTTGTGGAGTGGTGGATTCGTCGAGACCGGCTACCGACTGTTTCCGGCTTGTGTCTTCGTCGTCGTCAACATCATCGTCTTGGTCGTCGTTCGTGCCGTTAACGTCTGGTGTTTCTGTGGAAGATTTTGTCTTGTCGTTGGCCTTCTTCTTGTTCTTTCTCTTCTTCTTGGAAGCTGCAACGTGGCCGCGTCAGCTCGCTGTAGTCAAGCGCGTGAAAGAGGATGGACAAACCCGATTTGGACGCTGCATCAGCATTCGACACAGCAGACATGATCGGAATGCAGCGCCTACGGTGCTATAGCTAATTGATTGTCTACAATGTCAAGATCGGGAAGGCAGCATGGACACAAGCAAGCAGGGGCTCCGTCCTTCCCCACACTTTCCCACGCTGCAGCCCGCTGCCGCTGGCTGCCGCAGCGAAAGGCAACCACTCTCAACCACCATCTACTCCAGACAACCCGCTCGTCTATTCTGAACATCTTCCTGCCCTTAATCGTTCCTTCGATACCAGTGACCAAGTCATCTCTCATTCTGAATCTTGGGCCAAGAGTGCTGCAGATCGGTTCTGGTGTCACATCCTGCAGCTATCCCTCAAGCCACCATCACTAATCCCGCCTTTCCGTATGGCCGGGCATATCTCGCTGATCGGAGGACCCCTCCAGAACAGCCATCAACCGCGGGGAACCACTGAGCTATCTCAAATACTGCTCCCTGTTTCCCGCCTGGCTAAGAGTCTATCTTCTTCCCCACCTACTGATCTGTACAAACATGCCCAGAAGGAACGCACCCCGCACTTGGTCTAGACCCATCCACCTAATCTATATAGATCTTGATTCAGTCTGGTAGGTCTCTGCTAGATCCTGGTTCCATCTCCAGTTGGACTGCAAGAAACATTGTCATCATGTCTGAAACTGTAATCGTCGATCGTACCTCCAAATTGACTGTTCACGAAGCTCCAAACAAGAACTCCAACGATATCCAACATGAAGATCTTTCAGGTCGGAACTACATTCGTTGGGATGCTGAAGGTGTAGAGAAGATTCCAGATGACGAAGAGGACGATATCAATGCCGTTGCCGAACAGATCAACCTGATCCAGAAAGCCCAGTGGAACATTCACCGTCACTGCTACAGTGGTACCCATGCTCGCACACATGGAATCGTCAAGGGCACATTCATCGTCGACGACAACCTGCCTAAGCATCTCAAGCAGGGCGAACTCTTTTCACACGGAGGAGAGTACCCTATCGCTGCAAGATACAGCACAGAGCCTGGTGACCCGGGCTTGGACGTATGACTCTGTATCACCTCTTCGATATTCGACCACTAACGCCCTTGCAGNGATCGTATTCCCGTACCTCGAGGATTTGCCATGAAACTCTTCGGTGTCAAGGGCGACATGTACGAGAATTATCCTACACACGATATCGAGTTCAACAGCACTCCAGCCCTTGACCTTGCCACTGCCAAAGTCACCCGCGAGATCATTGATCTTCGTATCAAATACGGGCACGACCAGGAAGAACTACGCAAACACCTCGAAAAGCGCAATGACACAGAACTGCAGACTGCGCGAGACAAGGTGCGCAACACCCACTTGGAGAGCACTCGACAGTACTCACAGACCGCCTACCGCTTTGGAGATTATGTTATGAAGTACTGCCTAGTGCCTTCTGGTGAAACGCAGCGAAAGCTCTACGAAGAAACCGTACGCCCTGAGCACGGCTCAGATGTCCTGCACCGCTGGCTGCAGAATTTCCATGCCTCACACGATGCAGAGTATCTCTTCCAAGTCCAGCTATGTGAGAATCTGGAAGACCAACCTGTCGAATATGCCGGTAAGATCTGGGATCCTGAAAAGTACCCCTGGCAGACCGTGGCTACCGTCAAGATTCCCAAGCAAGAGAGCTTCGACTTTGAGAGAAAGACTTTCTGGGAAGATCATATGAGGGTTGATCCATGGCACGGACTCAAGGCATACCAACCTCTTGGTGGACCCAACAGATTGAGAAAGGTGGTATACCCCGCATCGAGTGCGCTGCGCCGCAAGATGAATGGCAGAAAAGAGGTTCACGTCACTAGTGTGGACGATGTCCCTAACTAAGATGATGATTGATGCTCTCAATAGAGCGAACATGTATCACGAATGTATGTTGCCTTTGTATAGCTGTATGTAATTAAGGTTATTGTTCATGAGATAAACCCGGTTACTGCCCCTGTTTTTACCCCTGTGAGCACTCTCCGGTCACCCTCCCATGCTGTCCTAGTATGTTGCATTGCTACATCACATTGTAACCCAAAGCACTGTTGCCGAAAAGAGTTTGATTCCTTCACTTGTCTATGAACCCAATCACTTCATCATCTTCACTGTTCGATTAGCTAAGCGGCGTCATGCCACCACGTCTATAAAATCTGTACCATCGCACGTGACGTCGTCCCTCAACGCAATTAAGAATACCTTTTCGTGAGTCCTTCCAATAAACAAGTGTATCAGCTAGCGAACAAAGGAGATGCTAACATATACAAACCCCAGGCCTCACCTGCCTCTCACCACCACAAGCCACCAACAATGTTCACCACCATCAAGAACTTGTTCTGTCACTGCTTCTGTTTCGGCTGCGATGCTGAAGATCAGCAGGAGCCTTCTCCTCATCTCGTCAATGTAAGTATTTTCGCTTCCCCTGAACTTGTCAAGAGCCCAGGCTGATGGAAATAGGGCTAGCCATCTGACTTGAGAGGGGTGGTGTCTGTTGTGCAGGGCAACGAGATCCGTTCGGGCTTCATCGTTACTCCTTGAGAGTTGTCAGAGTAATTTTGTAGGTTAAAGAATGGGAATCGAGAATGAGGGGATTCAGTATCGTGCCTGTGCCCTGCGATTGACGTGACTATGAGCTTAAGGGGATAGTATCCCCAGCGACAACATCAAAATATCTGGGCCTGTATCTTCTGGAGTCCCATCGTTCCGAAGGTCCTAAGGTCAGGTAGGTGTTGCTTCTAGATTCTGTTCATATTCTATGCTCAATGGGCTTCCGTTATCAAAAGAGTCAACGCAATCCTGGGCAAGGCCTACACGGCAAGATCAAGACCTTCACAATGGTCACACCAACTCGCCCGCTCAGCATGATGAGCACAACTCTCGTCCCGTCCTCAACATGGGCATCTACAGCAAAATCGATCCCAATGTCCATGACGACAACAACTCACCTTCGGGCAGTCAGAAAAATCCTGCCAGAGTTGTAGGGGCACATGAAAAGGGAACTACAGGAATGCAGAATCAGATAGGAGGCACAGTGCAAGGAGAAGGGTGATGGTGTATCTCCATTGGAGACACAGCCACTGAATTATGATTGCAAGAGTGCATGAACTCAATCGAGGGATAGGGGCACGTCAAAGAGAGACAAGGGGTAGGATTCATCTAAACAAAAGAAAAGGAAAACATAAACATAAACATAACTCCATGAAACAAGTATCTAATACTTGTTGTTCGAAATCCAGAAACTCTGACACTTCCTAGCACCAAAGACCTGCATACCCCTACCACGTCCATCTCCCTGCGCACAAACCTGCCAGAACTGTCTCTGACACCAGTATTGAGGGATCCAAACATTGCTGTTGGAATTGATGCGGCCATCGCCCCAGCAAGGGGNGTTGACAAGGACAGCAACCTTGTTGTGGCCGTCGAAGGTTGTTCCTATAGAAGCTGTCGCGCCTGGTATGTGGATATTTTTACCGCAGAGGTTGTCGATGGCTTGGGCGATGCGCCAGTCCTTCTTGATGCAGCTGAAGTGCATGAATTGGTAGTCGGCCTCGGAGTAGGCGACAATGGGGGTGACGAAGAGAAGGGTGCAGAGAGCTGCTAGGAGCAGTGTGAGCCCGGTGAAACGGACCATTGTTGCTTTTGTTTTATTGTTTGTGGATAGATTGTTTGTAAATGATCAGTCGTACTGCAGACGACTGAGGAAAGATGATTTGTAATGTGGGATCGGAGAAGAAAGCGTGTGTTTCTGGAAGAAGGAAATCGATTTGATGGGCGGGTAGTCGGCATCTATTTATCAACTATAATGGTGGTCCTGGATGGACAAAGAAGACATCAATGCTGCATCTTATTGAGGACCTGATCCAGCAATATCTCAACCATGTCTTTGACCGAAGACAAGAGCAGCTGTCAGAGATAAAGAAAGCATTCGTGTGGGGAAATGTTTCTCAAGTAGTGGCAGAGAAGCATGACAGGAAAGAGATTGATTGTGGTAGGCACGACGGGCCTAGGCCGATAGACCTTTGAGAAATTTGAGGCTTCACAGAGACATGCCAACACTTTTGAGAGTCACTGTTTCTGCTATACTGAAGCCTAAGAACAGCTTCCAGTGGTCGAATTTGATGGATATGCCGTCCCTGAAGCTACTATAACGGTTAAGCGATGAGCATGTATCTCAAAGACACCTTGCCAGCCTACATCCGGACATGACTATCAATATAGACACAGGAGTAAGCCTCAATCAGACTCTTGTAAGCTGCAAACGTACAATCCACGCAGTTGATCTTCCGATGGTGAAGGCTTCGTTTGACACGGCTTTGGTTGTTATTCAGAGCCAAAAGCAGCAGACGTCGTCGCTCTTTCCCCATCATCGACGCGGCACATTCCGTTCGTTGCACAGACCATCCGCAAAGCAGAATAAAACCTTTCATCCTCTCGTGGCTCTTCTTTCTCCTTATTAAGTTGATAGCTAACATACCCTTACTGCCTCCTTCACCTAGTGAACAGTGGAGGCTGTATATTCTTCGTTAGCAGTGATCATATTCCAGACCTCTTTAAAATCCGAATTCTCTACATCTCTACAGAGGGTTTGGTTCGCTTGAAGGTTACATCTCGTCATTATAAGCCAATATTCGTGATTCTACAAGGTCTTTTGACGCACCAATCATCTTTTGAAGCCCCTCGATGCTCAAGCGAGCAAGCGCATGAATGATGTACGTTTTGTTGCCTGCTATGTCACAGACATAAAGAGCAACGCTGCGGGCGTCCAAAAAGGCCATATGCATGTTCGTGGAAACACACGCATGATGCTGGAACGTATACATGTACGGGAGTCACCATGCTTAGATGACATTACCCTGGCATGGCGTTCTGTCCACCGTGCAGGTGAAGCACACAGCTTCAAGTTTACAGAAGATGCTGGGTGAGATCCCGAAAGCATTGCCCACTCTACCGTTCAACGCATTCACGATCAATCTGAAGCATTAAACTCTTCGAGTCACTCTTCATGTGCCAGGGAGTGGACACAGTGATTTCACGAGGACTAGCAAATGTTCTGCGGTCAACATATCAATCCTCGGGCAGTCCTTTCATATCATCAAGAGTCTACTGCATCGGATTTGATATTACCTAAAGACTAAAGGTGTATTCTTCTTCGATGGTGAAATCCAGAAGGACGCTCGTCGCGCTACGGTCAACATACCAATCCTTGATGGAACGCTGCAAGCAACTGAAGTTTCGATGCATCGGGCTGCCCAAGAATCAATTCTTAGATGGCGTGGAGAAGAAGGACACAGTCGATCCGCTACGGTCAACATATCAAATTCGGAGTAGGCGCGACAAGTGTACCTTCCTCCTCTGAGAAAAGAGAAATTTGACTCATGCTCCCTTCCACTTTCCCTTCGACCTTCAAACCCACGCCTCTCTCTTCACATTCTTCCAATCCCTTCTTCACCTTTTTCACTCATGGATGACCCTTTTGATCCAAAGAGCCTTGCACGCTCTGCCGCTCGAAGCAACTGGACCCAAAAAGTGAATTCTCACTTCTCAGACACCCAACTCGGCTCATTCTTCGATGTCGTCGAGGTACTTCTCGAACAAGGTTTCACTGGCTCTCCAAACCAAGTGCAAAGAATGACGAGGAGTGTGCGCACAGTTTTCATCAAGGACCGGTACATCCAGTACTGACAGAGTTTCTCGCTTCGCTTCGCTTCGCTTCTAACCTTTTAGTAGCAATCTCACTGTCGAACCTGCCTCAAATTCGAGCCCCGGCCCTCTTCTACAAGCCTTAAGAGCCGCTCGTGCTGGTGCTCCGCCTGCACCACCCACGCGCAGTTTCGTCGTACAAGCCCTCGAGAATGCGCAGGACCTTCGCCCTGAATCTCAACTGCCAGCCGAAGAGTCTCCAATCACCGCTACCCAGCCTCGGAATCCAGCCGAAGAGTCTCCAACTGCCGCCACTTAATCTCAGATCTTACCTGAGGAGTCTCCGTCTCAGACTACGGTCAACATATCTCCGACCGCTGTCCATCAATTCCAGACCCCATTTGGTTTCATCTCAGACTCTACCTCAGGCTACGGTCAACGTATCCGTTACCACTGCTCATCACTCTGGAAGTACCGACGACGATGATACTCAACTCTCCACTTCAAGCGCGGTGAAAAGCGTCGAAGAGCTGTTTCATCAGATTCCGAATCATCTGATCCTTCAGCTTTTCCTGAGCCCCTTCTGCGCCTGCTTCCATATCAGCATCTGGACCTTCAACTACTCCTGTGATTACAACTACCACCGTCGCTGTATCTTCATCTACTGCTTGTGCGCCAGCCACCAGACATTCTCCAATATCAAACAAGCCCATTAATCGCAGAACCGCCAACGACTATGCGGGGGTGCGAAATGGAGCAGTATTCGTCTGTCCATTTCCTGACTGTAAGCATTCTATTACAGCAGCGTGGACCATCGAGAAGTTCTACAAGCACATGGAAGATGTTGCTCATACAGCATACCTCTATCAGGAGCAGCACCATTGTTGTCCCTTTGGCTGCCAGAAGGAATTCCTCAACGACTTTGCTCTACATCGCCATATTCAAGAGTGCAAATGCGAGAATGTCGAGGATTTCTCCCAAGAGATCCAGAGCTGCAAGCACTGTCATGCAACCTTCCCAGATGTTATTGGTGCTCTTAACCACTCAGAGCAAGCTCATAATGCTCTTACGGCAAGTCACGCTTCCCAATGCCGCTTCTGCAACATCGAATTCCTAGTTGAAGAACTCTATCGGGGACATATTGCACTTCAGAGCAAGCGTGGTGATGCACATCCTATGGTCACTAAGGCTCAAGGTCTACGGTACCCGCAACCTGAATTGAGACAGGTGAGTTAATGCACTAAGAGCTAACGTAAGAGAAAGTAGCTTCTATATTGCTTGAGATACACAATGAATCTCATCTCAAACGCATATTAGAAATTTCTATGGTGCACATATAACTTGTAAGTACGGGACATTATAACAATATTGACTTTATCTAGCAAAACTACTACTGCATGATCTATATGTCGACCGTAGTGACCGTCGTCATGGCAGTGCTGACTGTAAGTTCTGAACTATCTAAGGAAAGCATGAGACGTGCGGCCGATCTAGAATTGAGAACAACAGACTTCTGTTGCATGATCCATATACTGATCGTTAATGACCGCCATGATAGTACCGACTCCATGGTCTGACAGATCCAGAGGAACGCGAGAGAGAGACGATTCAACAACACAGTATCCGAAAAGATCAACTCTCGTTTCACCTTTCATACGTCGACCGTTAATGACTGGCACGGTAAAGCTAACTTCACACGTTCAGGAAAACGACAAAACCAACTTCGCAAAGTGCAACATCAAGAGAAACCTTGACATGTGTCGACCATTGTCTATTGACACAAGAAACTTGAAGATATTGAGATTGAGGAGAGAAACAATCATAGGGCTGGAGATTCTCCAGAGGTGGCGATTGCTGGCGCTGGACTCCATAAATGGCCGGGTGCGTGTACAGTTCTTGTCACGATCAAGATATGGGACTCGATGGCAGAAGTCTATGTTAAAAATCACCTATGGTACCTTTCGCATGCAAGAATTTCTGGAAAACTTGCATGTCGTTAGTTACGGGCAACATATGGAATGCAACCGGACAGCAAAAACCTGAAGTATCATAAGTCGAGAACATAACTGTTAGGCATTAAAGAATCTAAGGGTCCAGATCTTTACTACGGTCAACATATCAAAGTCATACTAGAGCCTCTTTTGCACTCGCTCTAAATCCGTAATGGAGATAAGTAAGCCACTTGGTGCGATGGAAATGCACAGTAGTCTTTCAGTTTCAGACATTTTCTTTGAGGATTATCGCTTTCACCGACTTTCTTTAGCTGAAGTCTATCAAATGTTTATGCATTTTCATAGTGGAGCAGTACTTACAGTTTATTTTGTTTGGAAAACCTCTAGATATTTTGCATATTGGTCGGCAGCAGAGATTACATCAGGTCCTGATTAACGTCTGTGTAAGTGCTCGATGGTCATAAATCGAGAATGTTGCTGCTGAACATCCACAGCGGGCCTGCAGATACCCGCTTCCCACTGCTCTCTACAGATCAGGAATCATACTGAAACGTTGGTAAAAAGATTCTAAGAGAATCTAAAGAACAAACTTGCCGTGTTCAAATGTTACGAAACCAAAGAACAAAATACTCGAAGATGGATAGGGCACCCCATTCATCTTCGAATATGAGCGCCATGAGCGAGGGTTGAACTCGCGACCTTCTGGAAATGCCTAAAGGCATTCCAGATGTGCTCCCAACTGCACCACCATGGCTTGTACTTACTGGGATCAGAGATCTCTGCGAATATAAGGGTTGAGTGGAGATTCTGTGAGCAAAAATGCTGGTAACAGGGGGATTGGTTACGGGACGACGGTCGTATGAGGTAGTTTTCGCAGTCAGCAGGCTTACGCTTCGGAGTCCTCGATATATCGGCAGGGAGCGGTCATGAGCTTTTCGAGAAAAGCACTGGTTGATGACGAACTCGTACTTTGGATATCGAGCTTGCTCGTAATATCTCAAGGCCCGAATGTTTGTTCTTGCCGTGGTGCTGTGATGGCTATATCCGGTTGCTCAATTTGTGACCAGGATCTTTGAGTTGTTGACAATTGGTAGTGCATTCTCTATTGGCGCACTGAAATGGGAAGTCAGATCCGAGTGTGATTCGTGCTTGTCTGCCACCAGATAGAATCTCTTGCTAACATGATTAGGAACGTGGTAATAATGGCATTGGCGGTATTCGGGTCGTAAGGTCTGAACAGAAAGTCAGACAGACTGAAGACGATGGAGATATTGTGGTATATCTCTGGCGAATCGTCCGTCCTTGGTCTGCTGTGCCCCTGACCTCAGATGATTTGTATTATGCCTCCTTCACGTTGGTGTTGGGGGCGTAATCGAATCTCTTGCAAACAAGCATCTTTCGGGTGTATCGATTGATCATGACAGAGGCGGAAACACCAACATGCTGGCTGTCCAGTGTTGATACCTCAGTGCAAAAACTTCGTAATGTCAATCACTTGTTAACTTGAAGTCAAGAGACTTCAGAGGTGTCGTTGTCGATGCCAAGCCAGAAAGAGGCTCTCAAATTCACATGCCACCAAAAACAGATACGTCATGGGGAAGTCGCGATCACGAAGAGGGCGTGATATCACCAGGCTAAAATATGGGTGCTTCTTCCTTCGTAAAAGCAGGGCGGCATCTCGGCCGGACGCTGAGGGGGACAGCTGACCTGAGGCCGCTCTTTCGGGAGCAGTAGATAGATCAGTCGATCAGGGTTCTTGTCCAAAATAGCTCTTTGTTTTCTATTCACAACACCAGTACATTTCTCTCCAAGATACCTAAGATTATCCCTACAACTACAATTATGGATGAACAAGTAGAAAGATTGGTTAAGAAGACATGGGCCAAATTTCAGGAAGTGCCCAGGTCCAAAAGACTGATGATTGCCGTATCTGGCATCCCAGGTTCAGGTCAGATAAGCACTTCTGCCACATGGTGTCGCACAAGACTAACAATTCANTCAGGCAAAACAACTCTCGCATCTGTTGTCGCAAGTCGATTAAATGATCTTCATCACGAACAATTCCCCGGACTGGCGCAGAACGACGAACCCGCTGCCTTTGTCCCAATGGACGGCTACCACTTGTCGCGAGCCCAGCTAGACGCCATGCCCGACCCCACTACCGCCCATGCAAGACGAGGCGCTGCATTCACCTTCGATGCGCGTTCGTTCTTGGAGCTGGTCAAGAAGCTCCGAAAGCCCATCTCGCCAGAAACAAAGACATTGTACGCACCATCTTTTGACCACGCTCAGAAGGATCCCGTCAACGACGATATTCCGATCCACCCAGAAGCTCGTATTCTGATCTTCGAGGGGAACTACTTGAGTCTGGGCACGGGTGCACCTGAATGGAAAGAAGCAGCGGAACTCATGGATGAGCTGTGGTTCGTCGAGGTCGAGGAAGACGTAGCAAGGGAGCGATTGGTGAAGCGTCACATCGAGGCTGGCATTGCCAAAGACGAGGAGGAAGCGCGCAAAAGAGCCGACGAGAACGATCTTGTCAATGGTCGCGAGATCGTACAAAACAGACTGAGCGTGCACGAGGTTATCAAGTCAAAGCACGACGGCAGCTGGAAGCCAGAGAACCAAGGCATGGACGCTGCCGACGTGAGCAGAGAGGCATAGACCAGTTTTGTAAGACTGATGGCATGATGCATTCATGATTTAGAGAGGCTTAGAGTTCCAAGTTAGATGAGCGCAGAGCGAGCAGCTGTGGCTTAACGCTTCTTTCACTTTCTGGATTGGTTTTCCATGTTTTGCGACGTTTTGGAGCATCACGATCTCGCAAGAGCTTGTGGGTAATGACGCCCTGCTGTGGAGAAGCTTGCGAAACGCATACCGAGCTCGGCGTGAGGGAATACAGCTATGTGCTGTCCAGCTTTCCCGATAAACCTTGTATTTCGTTAATGCAGGCTCTCGTGCTGTATTACCCAACTCGATCGTACTCGGTTGGTCTAGCAACTCGCTGCAAAGGAGTTTGTGGGAGTCGGGCGGAGCAGGGCATCAACAACACAGTCGTGGAGAAAGCGGGACAGGTTGGTCAAAGCGGTAGCTCTTTCCAGCCACAAACACAATGACGTGGGATACGTCACAGCTTTTGGCATGAGCGAGGCGTAGCACCACTTCCATTTAACCTCGTCTCCTGCGCTCTTTCCGTCCATCTCTCCCATATCCATCTCCAAACTCATCACATCTTCAACTTTTCACCACAAAAACCACACACAACCATCACAATGGCCACTCTCTCCTGTAAGTCGCTACTGATTGTCTTTTCCTGCGCCTGTCCGCACCTCTTGGAGCTCGTTTGAGCTATGCGTGTGTGCAGCTCAGGGGAAGATTCACAAACATCACAATTCAGTCACTAATCCTTCACTTTTACAGACCTCCCTCCCGTTAAGCCTTCGGCCATCGCTGTCGGCACTGCCTTCAACCACCTCGCCTCCCTCGCCATCCTCGGCCCCGTCTTCGGTGACACCTACCGTCAGGCCCAGGCTGCCAACTCCAAGGAGGAGTTCTTCAAGTCCAAGGAGACTGCCTCGGCTGCCGCTGCCTGGGGTACTTCCCTTGCCGGCTCTGCCCTCCAGTCCTACGGTGTCGGTGCTCTTCTTAACGCCACCGGCACCCTCTCCTACAAGGGCGCTGCCTACCTCGGTGGCCTGATCTTCGCTGCCTCTTCCGCTCCTTCCGTAAGTTTGCCCGCTCGAGATCTTCTCACACGAGCATGTTCTAACAGACCCCCANNGTTCATTGCCCAGATCTTCACCGAGAAGCGCCCTCTTGACACCGTCGCCGTCGGTGCTCTTGCCCGCGTCTTCGAGACTGTCGGTCTCTCCATGTTCCTCACCTACTGGGGCACCCGCACCAACCCCTTCTCATAAGTTAATCGCTTAGAGAGAGGTTGAGTGTTATTTGTTTCATGCCATGACGATTAAGGAGGATGACTTTTAATCAATTGAACTCCATGGGCGTTTTACCAGAGAACAATTGCCCTGCTGTACCATTAGCATAGTTCGAAATCAGAACTCTACTACAACACACATTTCATGACTTTCGTATCAACGTGATCGCGTGCTGCTGCTTGACTACATCTTGAAGATCTATCACACCTCTCACTCACGGCGCCTAGAATAACCGAGGTAATTTGTTCTGCTCAATGGAGGATAAACATGACTGAATACTTCATCCTCAAAGCACTGCAATAGTTGTTGCGAGAGTACCAAGTAGCAATTGAGCAAAAATAGGACGATGTCCATGTAGTCGCTGAGTACATTGATGGTTCATCTTGCAGCTTAAAGCCCCACCATTTTTTCTTTTAATCATTCTTTTTCTTCTTCCAACCACCAACATTTTCTTCCCATCCGTTGGTGACAGCCCACCACCACATACCACCTCACCCGCCAACATGTCCGCCGAAGCCGATCCTTTCCTCGCCCTCGACGTCTCAAGCGACGACTACGCGACCACAGCAGCACACGACCAACAAGCCGGCGCCGACGCAACAGTCGCAGCCGTGGAAGCAGAAGACGACAGCGACGCCGAAAGAGAAAAAGCAGGAGCTGCGCGCGCCGCTCGAACGCGATACACCGAAGACGATTTTCTGGCCCAAAAGGCGAGCTACACTGCTAGAATTGACGAAGGTGGTGTAAGTGGTTTACTGCAATGTGGCTCAAAGAACAAGGACTTCTTTGACTGATTGTTTGCATGGATTAGNATCTGGAAACAGTTACTTGCTTTCGAACCGCCGTTTCGCCCATCTGAGGCTTTTGTCTCTGCTGTGCATGCTGAAAATGTGGATGTACCTACTTCTGCTTCTTCTTCGTCCAGAGCGGANAAAACCAAATTGGACAAGAAACACCATCAAACCATCCAAGCCGCTGTCTCCGAACTCTACTTTTTGGAAAAGTATCCTGCGGTCAAGGAGATTATCACTTGGGCCAAAGACAACTTTGANAAAGACAAGAAGTGGGATGTGCAGGTTGCGAAGTGGGAGGCTAAGATTGAGACTAAGATGCAAGTGGTATGAAGGATGAAAGAGATGGAGATTACAAGGACGACCATGCTCGTCCGAACGGTGGACACACACATACACACACGGACTCGAATCGGCGATGATTAGACTGGCTGCTTGCGAGGCCAGCACTTTACGGCCTCGTTCAAGCTCTGGTCATAGCCTTTGTTCGAGAAGGACATCTTTCCAGCTCTCATGGACTGGCGACCTCCTAAAGCATTCCGACCTAAGACACCAAACGTCAACGCCGCAGCCGCGAACAACGATACCAACCGCATCTGCTCTGGTCGAGCCCTCGACGCGCTCCCAACACCTTTACCTCACCAAAGACGCTCACGCTTGTTGATGACTGACAGCGACCAGACCGCTGCAACTGTTAAGGATGAGCTGAGAAACATCTAAAGGGCCTGTCTGTGGGATTGTCAGAGCCTTGCAATATGGATAGGTCAAGAAGATCGAACTTTGCAATCTTGGTCCGACCAGTCAGGTTCAGGCGCACGTAGCAGAGAAACACGGTAGAGGATGGACCGAGAAAAGCTGGGCCGAATGCATCATACAAGTATTTGTATCCGCTACTGGGCACGATAGTCAGTATCGGGGACATGTGATGGTCATTTGCGATATGTTATACTCAGTAGGACACCACACCTACACCTGCATTCAAATCATTCATGACGGAGCATTGGACGCGAATATAGACAAGTCACATTGAAGATGATATGGTTCGTCTCGATACACTGCTTACTCAATCCATATTGAAGAATTGATGGGCAGGTAGCATGGCATCAGAAAAGACACAACACAAACAACATGATACCAAATCAATATTGAATGAACCTAAACACAAAACGCTTGCAATACACTTGTACATTTTCTCTTTCCTCTCGAGATATCTACAAATGAGCCTTTGAGTCTAGTCACCAAAGCCCCTTGACAAGCTTCATAACCCTATCATACAACTCTCCACTCTCAGCCCTGGTAGCAGTCTTTGTAATCGTGTGTGCCTCGCTCTCGTCAACCTTATACTCCGTCAACGTACTCTTCAAGCCCAACTCCTCTACAAGTTTGAGAATTGCATCTCCAACAGCTTGAGCGTCTTNTTGATCATCTCCTGTCTTGGTGACTCCAACAAAAGGACACAGACGAGAAAGTTGGGAAGCTGCAGAGGCGTCGGTGGATGCTTTGAGTTTTACTACGTGGCCTAGAGTCATGCAAGAAGTTATGCCATGAGGAATACTGTAGGGAGAACCGAGGGCATAGCCAAGGGTATGACTGAGTCCAAGCCCGCCCTTGACATTCAAGCCCAAGAAGCCAAGAGAGGCATAACTCGCCAATTGGAGTTTGGTGATTGTATCCTCGTCCTTGGGGTTGGACTTGTACTTAGGGAGGTAGGTGAAGAGGTCGTGGGCAGCCACCAAAGTCATCTGGCGACAAGGAACCTCTGTGCTTGTGGGATGGTATAGCAATTCCACTGCGTGGTCCAACGCTCGCAGTCCAGTGCTCATCCACAGTTTCTCAGGTGTCTCGAGGGCAAACTTGGAGTCGTAGAGGATAGCATGAGGGGCACATTCGGGATGCGCAACGCCAGTCTTTTGTCCATTCTNTTCGGTGTACCCAGCGTTGAAGGTGCATTCTGCTGCCGACAAGGTGGTAGGGATGGCGATGTGGTGCAGGAAACGACCGGACTTTTCGTTGAGGCGGTAGGAGATTGCTTTTGCGCTGTCGATGGGAGAGCCTCCTCCGATACTGATGATGGTGTCGATGCTGTTGTCTTCGCGGACGGCGTTGGTTGCTTTGTCAAGCTCGGCTACTGGAGCGTGTTGCTTGATATTCGAGAAGGTGCCGGCATGTCTCGATCCCAATTGTGATTCGACGGACTTGATGAGGGACGTCTTGTTTGCGAGCGAGGAGCCGGTAATGATGAAAGCCTTGGAGTTCTCGTTCGGAAGGCACTCGAGCAAATGCTTGGATACGCAATCGGGGCCGTAGAAGAGCTGCTGGAGATGGGTCGGCTTCCAGAGGCCGGAGAGTGGGGATTGGCTTGATTCGGTCATTTTGGACTTGTTTCTGACTTGCTGCAAGGTGGTAAGGTACGTAAAAGGAGAGTGTCTAGGAGGTAGCGGTGAAGATGTGGTTGTTATTCTTCTCGTCGAGGATGCTGCCGGCAATGAGCCCCGCCATGACGAATGACGCAATGTGCAGTTCCGAAAGCATCCTCGAATGACAGATGGAGAGATGGTGTTTCGCGATAGGGTGGACATGATGGATCTCTGGACGTACTACACCTCTGCCGGAGTTCTCACCTTGTCAAACTAAAGCTCAATGCATTGGAAGTCGATGCTTGGTCGGACAACCACCTTGGTGTCGGTGGGGAACTGCCGTCACTGGTAGGACGGTCCATCCCGAGCATGCGACACGACATGCATCTTTATCAGGCATTCCAGCCATCTTGATCTCTCCTCGTGTCAGCGTAGTACTTTTCCAAATCTTGTCTAGGCATGGCAAAGCATCCAATGCAACCACTGTTCCGTGTACGGGTTGTGTACACCGCTTCCCTCGTTCGGCACTGTCTATCTTGTGCATACTTGCCATGCCGGGTTTAACGGGACAACATGAACGTAACAGAACTCAAGACATGCTCATGACCTGTGACCACTGCCGCCGGCTATCGTCCAGAGAAGTGACATTTTCTCAGTTTCTGCCGCGACCCGTCAACGTTCTTGCGGAGACAGATGAGACAAGAGGCGTCCTGGAGCAACCGTCGTTGTGAACCCGTCGAGAACAGCGATCTGTATTTCGCAGACCGCCAATCTCACTTTCGTCCTTGCACGAGTGCGATCCAAACAGAGGACAAGAACAATTGAGAAGGAAAAATGGCACACAAAGCCATGCTGCTGCTCCCCGTGCTTGGTGGCACAAGACTATCGAATTGTAGTAGTATTTTTAGTCAGAGTTGCGCGAAGGTGGAAAAAGTTAAGGCCCACCTCACGCGTAGAACTGCACGCGACTGCCATCACGGACCACTCTTGCCCTCACGACGCGAGAAACAGTTCGACGTCCATCCATGGTCCTGACAAGCCCGTTGAGCAAAGCCAATTGAGGGTTTGTTTCAAAAGTTGTGATAGACTGGTCGTACAGGCGATGATGGAAAAACAGGCAAGTGGCTGTGTAGATCAACAATGAAAGAAGGCAGGCGTGGAAATATCAAGGCCAGCCAAACAGATGGATAAGATAGGTCGGGATATGCATGCACGTCGCGTAGGAATCAGGATGGGAGCAGGGTTCCGAGTTGCGGCATTGGTGGAGACTCAGCCCCTGCTTTGTGCATCCGAATCCATCTGGGCTTGCAACTTTGCAAAAGCGTGCGCTGTACCGAGAATAGCAATGACGTGCAGCCATGCCGTCTGCCGTGCAAATCACTTTTGTATATAAGAATAAGGCCATGCCCCCATGAGGTTCTTTTTGTTCCATCAATCGCGACTTTCTCCAACCAACGCCAATACTATCTGAGCATCGATCAATTCAATCTCACATCGATTTGCTATAACAGATTACATACCATCAACGACAACAAGACTTTTCACTTGACACCAAAAAACAAACGCGACAAACACCGAACACCTTCAAGATGCTCTTCTCCACCATTTTCACAGCCGTCGTTCTGCCTCTTCTCGCAGCAGCCTCGCCAGTTCAGCTTGAACGTCGTGCTGGAGGACCTGCCATTGTCCCTCTCGCCGACAACTGCACCCTCATCAACCCTCTGCCTCACGCCTCTCTCCACCCAGGCAACGCCAGCATCTCCGGCTACCTCCCCTCATCCAACTTCTCAAGCTCCTCTCACCTCTACACCTGGTACATCCCTCAACCCGACTTCGAGACCCAGAACGCTCGCTGGTCAAACTGCATCCAGCAGTGCAATGGCTTCCCCGGTTGCGTGTCTGCATTCATGGCCTACAGCGCTCCCTTGCCCAAGGGATGGCTAGGTCTGCCTGGCGGAGAATTGGAGGTCGGCTGCTTCATGTACAACCAGACTCTGTCGCCGCTGGACTTTGTCGTTGCTGAGAAGGGTCAGTACGTCAATGCTACCGCTGGTAACATCTACTGTCCCAAAACTGCCCCTGCAACCGCAAACGCGAGTGCAAAGTCGACTGCTTCCAAGAAGAAGCCTGTCAAGGTTGTCGCTTAAGCGGCGTCCACGACGAGTGCCGCCGAAAAGCACAGCACATTTCCTTTTGACCTCTTTCTCTTTTGATTGAGCGATCTTTTATCATTTCCTAGCGTCATCTTTCCCACAAAGCATTCTCATCTTTTGTCTGCATCTGGAATCTGGATTGAGCGTGGTTTGGGTATGGGGAAAAAGGCAAAACAACTTTTACGACATCCGCATGAAAAACATGCATAATGATTAATGGTTCTTGGGGTTATGATCCGGCGTTTTCTCTTTGGAATTTTGGATAGATCAAAGCATCTTTAACAATGTATCTCGTATCTACTTTTCTCATCTTACACCTTATGGATTTCTAACTCTGCGCCTTGTTCATTGCCATTTCTGTTATGATTCATGCTCGTCTCTCCTCTCTTTGCCATAGCGAACGAGCAGAGGTTACTCGATATAAAGCCTGTGGAATGGTTGCTGGGTTGTGTTCTAACAATGTCGTATAAGAGTTTTCTCATGCAACTAATAGCTACACGCCATGGTGCGTTGACTATGAGGTATAAGGGATGATAGCATCACTCTGATCATGAGTATGATCGTAAACATCATCAGCAATCTTGTGTCTGTTCGGAGGCACATAATCCACCAGTTTGAAAAACTCAGCCATGGCAGGATGTTTCGCCGCATCGTTGATATTGAAAGGCAGACTTCCTTGATAGATCGCTCGAGTAAGAAGGTTGTCCAACTTCTCCTTTCTTCGTTGGGCGGCTCGATGTGCGAATGCAACTGCTCGTTCTGGCACAGATCCAGGTTGAGGAGTGTGGGTTTGAGGTCGTGGACGAGGTAGTTGTGGTGCTGTTGCTGGGGCGGTGGTGGGTTCGGAGGGAGTGGCGTCGTTCATGGGTGTATCGGTCTCAAGCCCGCTGTTCCAATCGCGTACGTCGTCTAGTGGTGTAGACAACGATTCATGTCTGCCGGTTCCAAGTCCGTCTAGCAGGGTAGGCAACGACATGTCGAATTGTCTCCTAATGGGTGTTTGCTGCTGCACATAGCCACCTGCCACACTTCCTACATTTCCATCACTTGCTCCTCCTTGGCTAGTTGTTCTTCTTTGCGGTCCATGCAGGAGTTCCTCGGGTACATCGTTCATCTCTTCGTTGTTGGATGCAGCCAACTCAGCCACGTAACGATTAAACTCGGGACATTGTTGTAGATGTTTTACTTTNNTTCGACTAGCGACACTGCGGGCAAGACGTTTGTTCTTGCAGTGTCGGCATTGTACCATTGTTTGTTTTCCTGTGCTTTCGACTTGGTCGAATTGCATGGATGCGTAGCCTTCTGGTCGTGGCATCTTGACAGGATGCGCTGTAGGCTACCAGCGGCGCAAGAGCAGTCAATAAGGTATAGATTCCTGTACTGAGCCATGAGCAAAAGACCTTTGTTATGCAATTGCTACATAATCATGTGCATTCATTGCAGATGGTCATTCATAACAGTGCCACTCGACAGCTGCTGGTCGATAACGCACACATCAAGTGTGTCGGTCATCTACAAGACCAAGAACTTTGCAATGTATATCGGAAAGAGCACAAGGAACGATCAAAACTTACAGAATTGGAGTCTCTGGTAGGCGACCGATGATGTCGACGTGGAGTCGTGGACGGATGTGAAGCAGACACGTCCGCGACGGTGGTGGTGAGATGTGATGGTCGTTGACGACGGGTTCTCGACAAGCGACATGTTGGGAATGACTTGCTTGGTCTCACAGACTTATGTGAGAGGGATGACCCTGTGCTCAATAAACATTTCTCCAGCATTATTGCGAAGAACGAATTCATTCACGTCTGAGAATGCAACTAGAAGAGTGACCAGATGGACACTTAAGTGGATGACCCTAATACAACCGAGCCTTTTGACCAGTATGCTGCAATGAGATTTGAAGCGAGACAAATTCAAGAACCATGAAGCAACACTCATATATTTCCATACCAAAAAGTCGAGCACCACACCATAATCACGAAAGCAAGACGGAAGCATTTCAGAGTCATAGAGTAAGAGGAGAAAGAGTCAGGATATGTGCCATCGCAATCATTCCATTAATGTCTTCTTAGAGGGGTATCTCATGTAATCCTCCAATCCTTAATCTCCATTGCGGTCTCCAAGGTCATATCATATCGGTCGTAAAAGGTCGTGCAGTGCTCAGTCCAAAGCGTAGGTCGACTTGTCGCTGCTGCTCGTAGCTGAAGATGTGTCGCGCACTCAAAGAGCAAAATGAGCGCATTGCTCAGCGGAAGCAGTTGAATTTGCCGAGAGAAAAGCGGAAAGGAGCGCGACGAGGTCCGTTCTTGTCGATGATAACACCACCACCTGAAGGAGAATCGTCAGTAAAATGGTTGATGGAGGATGAGCGAGGATATCAAGCTTACCGGCGTGCTTGCCGCCCCAGCCCTTGGTCCACATGAAAGGCATGTTGACATGTGAGAATTAAGGTTTGCTTGATAGTTCTGCTTTGATATCGCAGTGTGGATAGTCGAGTTATTGGTTTGACTGGGATTGTTGCTTGTGATGAGAGTGAAGAATCGACGAAGCTGCTGAGATTTCTTTGAAAACAAAAGTAGGTGATTATATCAAAAGGGTCGGGATCACCAGTTTTTATCTGTTGGACAAAAGGACCTTGCTTTGCTATGTTGATCGTGAGGCTGGGTGCAGAGTGTGCTGAAACCAGGGACATTTGTGGCTGTGCGCGCAGCTTGGCATCGTCATCAGATCGACAAACGTCAGAGGCTTTGGGAGGTTGTCAACATCGACCATTTTGGTGTTTTTTGTGACTTGGCGAGTTTTTGAAACCAGCTTCTTTCTGACATCGATCTTGCGTCTGGGCTGGTGAGCTGCAGCCATCACACTTTCAGATGAAGCGACGGTGTCACAGGGGTTCTTGTGTCGCCCGATGGTCTCTTGTGGCTTACGACCATGGATGGGTTGCATGATGTTCATGATTGCAACAACAACATGATGATCTCGGCATCGGACTGTCTGCGCTACTCTAGAGATGAATTCCAACAATCGTACCTTCACACGTCCTATGCCCAAGCCGCTTTGATGATATCAGCTGCCTATACCAGAAGTTAGCACGAGTTCCGACTGCCATTTGGAGAAAACCTCACCTTCTCAGCAACAGCATAAACACTACTACTGCTATGTCCAGCCACAACCATAGGGAAGACACCTGCATCGACTATCCTCAACCCTTTCGTACCGTACACCTTTAACGCAGCATCCACAACACCACCCAACTCTCTCTTCATCATGGCCGTCGTAGACGAAGGATGCTGCCACGAACTTGTCGCTGCGTTTCTGATTGCCTCTTCAGTCTCCGCATCAGTCGAGACGTTCCTACCTGAAGAAGTCTCGACAGTTCCCAGAGCTTGCATGGGTGGTGAAGCAACCCACTCGCGGATCTTCTTGACTGAAGCGATTGCGACGGCCATGTCCATGGGGTGAGAGAATGTGTTGAAGTCAACAACAGGGGCGGCAAAAGGGTCTGTGGTGTTGATGTATATGGCTCCTCGACTGTATGGGCGGATCATGGCGAGCGGGACGGTATCACCNNAGTCAGCTGACAGAAGCAGGGGCGAAAGATCTGGTAACGACGTGGAGTTTATGAGGGAGCGGTACTGCGATGTGATGTTTTGGAGAGGGAGGAAGGCTACAGTACTGCCACCCAGGTAAGGTATTGTCATTGGACCNNTGACGTTCTGTATTAGTTGTTACTCCGGAGCTTCAGGCCGTTTTTTCTCTCTCTTACCTGTGCGGTTCTCGTAGTAGATCCCCAGTTGCTCGGCAGCCCAACTCGCATTCGAGAGAATCCAGTCCGGAGTCGGAAAGGTATAGTTACCATCTTGCTACATCAGCATCACTCTGTCACTCGCCATCACAACATGACTTACNNAGCTGAATTGCATATACAGCGTGGGTTGATCCTGGAAGTTGCTACCCACTCCTGGCAAATCCACAATAGTTTCGATGCCCAGACTTGATAACAGCGGCTCAGGTCAAATGCCCGAAAGCTGCAGGATCTGAGGCGTACGAGCGGCACCTGCTGCCATGATGATCTCACGGTCTGCTCTTACCGTACTAGTCTCATTGGTAACTCTGGAAATGAACTACTCACAGATGGTCAGCACACAACGTAGCGGTACATCATTAACGCAGCAAGCACAACTCACATCAACAGAAATAGCCCTGAGCTCTTGATCGAAATTGATCTTCGTGACCAAGTGACCAGTAACCAGATGCAGATTCTTTCGCACATTGGCGATAGGACGATAGTAAGCATTCGAAGCATGCGACCTGGACTGGTTCTTCGCATATGCAGATATTGTGCTGTAAAAGGCACCGGTAGCCTCTCCATTGTTTGGCTGAGGGTTTATGGCTACACCAATGCTATCCCAACTAGCGAAGAAGTTNNTTCTGGTTGATGGGGAAAAGAGAATCAGCTTGGTGCCAGTCGTTGATGCAAGAGAGGAAGCATCTTACTGATAATTCGAGAAACTTGATCCTACAGGACCATCAACACCATGAGGCTCAAGATCCGTCGAGATGATTCCAGGAAACATTTCCTGTACTTCTTCAATCGGTGGTGTGAATGTCTCGCTCTGCAGACCGCATTAGCTCTCGGTTCACAGTATCACACTCACGAAGAAAAGACTTTTTTTNNTGAAATAGGGCAGCAATCCATCCCATCCCCATCCAGGATTGCCTAGCTGTTCCCAGGCACCATAGTCGGCTCTGGCTCCACGAGCAAAGAACATGCCATTCACGACCGTTCCACCTCCAACCACATCACCAGTATACAGAGGAGCAGTACGGTTATTGAGACCAGGCTGAGGGATGCTCGTATCTGTATTGAGGTACTTGGTAGGGACAGCCAGACCTGGCACTGTGGTTCCGTTATCCTGGCCATCNNACTGCTTGAAAGTCAGCACTCCTGATCAAGGGAGAAACGAAGCGAGGACTGACAGGTAGCCACGCTCAATCACCAAAACACTGATGTGCGGATTCTCAGTCAGGCGATTTGCGACAACAAGACCACTTGTACCACCACCGACTATAACATAATCGTAGCAGTCTTTCACTTGCTGAATATGATTCAACACGACAGCATGTGGAGCGTGATGACCAAAAGGCGAGCCATCGCAAGCTGCGGTCCAAACCAGCAACGCAGCGACTTGCGCGAATGTCCACATTCTTGATGTTTAGCTTTGAGAGAAGGTGTTTAAAAGGTTGTAGATAGCGACGGTGGTGCTACTTGAATATCGGTGGTTATCATTCCCGCTTCAAGCAAGGATTCATGCATGCTGACTGCATGCATCAAGGATGCAAGCTTTCTGAAGCAGATCGCTCAATGTCTTGATACATGTGAAACCATGTGAGCATCTGGTTGGTGGATCTCGCAGGCACCTGTCCTATTCTGCTGATACGATCATCTCTGGTGTTCATTCTGTGGGCTTCCGCTTTATTGATCGAGGCTGTCTGTGTCTTGAAGACAACGATTTCGAGTAGAAAACTAGATGTACAGAGAAACCATAACATGCTTCGAATCTTCAGGTACAGCAGAGCAAAAGATCATGATATAAGTTGTCGTGCTTGTGGTTTCCAGCAGCAGAGGGGGAAAGGATAAATGTAGAGGAAGCCTACACGAGACAAAAGAAGAAAGAACGACCGAAGGAGAGAAGACAACTTCCACGCGAGCCTTCGCAGAAAGGAACACGAAATAACAAAGCCAGACAGAGAACAAGTGACAGAAAGAGAAGAAGAGATTTATTTATACAAAATGCATCAAAATACAAGAAGTTATCGCTCGCAAAACGCACACAAAACACCTGGGCCGACAGCTTCAGGTTTTACACCAGCCGGCCCCACCATCTATACATAGAAAACTAGAAACCAAAGATCTAGTCAGAGTCGTACTCTTTATCCTTGTCTTCCTTATCTTTCTTGTCCTTCTTATCCTNTTTCAATTGCTGCTTCCACATGTTGTTTGCTGCTTTGGCGTCGACGCCGGGGAAGACAAGGTCAAAGACTTCGTTGTACCATGCTACTGGTCTGCCCTCAATACCTTCCTTGATGTTCTATTGGGATACGTTAGCGACTGCTCAATGAAGTTTTGTTTTAGTGAGAATAATGCTTACCTCAGGCAACTCAATCCAATCACTCAGGTTGTCCTTGGGGAAAATAACCATCTTAGCTCCAGCACGTTTCGCTGCTACTGTCTTTTCTCTGAGACCACCAATTCTGAGGACCTTGCCAGTAACAGTAAGTTCACCAGTCATGGCGACAGTCTGCTCCAGACTTCTTCCGAGAGCCAGTGAGATGAGGGAGCAAGCCATGGTAATACCAGCACTAGGTCCATCCTTCTGCACAGCACCCTCAGGACAATGCATGTGTACTCGGGCATGCTCGAAGAACTTGTTGTCAGGGAAGCGTTGAGCCAAGAAGCCCTTTGCGAATGAGTATGCAATGGAAGTCGACTCCTTCATTACTGCCTTAAGATTACCGGTACGTTCGAGAGAGGGGCGGGAATGTGCTGATAATGCGGATTCGAGAATTGTTTCGACGTAGAGGGCTGCACCGCCCATAGATGTCCAAGCGAGACCCATGGCAACACCGGGAGGGGTGGTTTCGTAAAGGCGATCGGCTGTGAAGACTGGGGGACCGACGTAGTCCTTCAGGTTGTCCTTGGTAACGCGGACATTTACAGATGATGGTACGGAAAGAGCGACACGTGGTGTTTCTGTGGTCTCCTTCTCAATGTCTTGGGGAGTGTCCTTAACGTCTGAAGTGTCCTTTGCTGCTGCTTCTTGTGCTTCTTTGCCTTCGGGTGTGAGNNGTGCCTTTTCCTCGGCGAAAGCATCTTCACCGAGGTCTTGGATGATCTTGAGTGCGGACTTGCGGTACACCTTCTCGATCTGCTTCTTCAGGTTACGCACACCAGATTCGCGGCAGTACTTATTGATGAGTTCGGCGATGGCTTCCTTTTCAATCTCGACATCCACGTCCTTGAGACCAGAGAGGTCCTTGGCGGCTGGCGAGAGGTAGCGCTCGGCAATTGCCATCTTCTCATCTGCGACATATCCAGAGAGCTCGATCATTTCCATACGATCCAANNAAAGAGGACGAGGGATTGTGTCGGTCATGTTCGCTGTGCAGACGAAGAGGACCTTGCTAAGATCGACAGGGACGTCCATGTAGTGATCGAGGAAAGAGCTGTTTTGTTCGGGGTCGAGGAGTTCGAGAAGAGCTGATGAAGGGTCGCCTTGGTGGCCACGTCCAATCTTGTCAACTTCATCAATAAGGATGAGAGGGTTCTCAGTCTGGCACTTCTTGAGAGCTTGAATGATGCGACCGGGCAAGGCACCAACGTAAGTTCTGCGGTGACCCTTGATTTCGGCGACATCAGTCAGACCACCAACACTGAAGCGGTAGTACTGTCTGTTCAAAGCGCGAGCGATCGACTTTCCGATACTGGTCTTTCCGACACCAGGAGGACCGACCATACACAAGATCTTACCCTCGACAGTGCCACGTAGCTTGCCGACAGCAATGAACTCGAGAATACGGTCCTTTACGTCCTTCAGACCGTGGTGGTCTTCGTCAAGTACCTTCATAGCATTCTTAATGCCGAAGGTCTCAGCACTGCGCTTGCCCCAGGGAATCTGAGTCAGCCAGTCGAGGTAGTTTCTTGTAACGTTGAACTCGGAAGCAGCAGGCTCGAGGTGAGCTAGCTTGTTAATCTCCTCGTCAAAGACCTTCTTTACAGGCTCGGGCATAGCCAATTTTGTAGCCTTCTCCTTGAAGCCCTCGAGCAGCTTGTCCTTGCCGTCGCTTTCGAGACCGAGCTCGCGCTTGATACCCTTCATCTGCTCCATGAGCCAGTACTCGCGCTGACGCTTCTGGATCTTGCTCTCAACATCCTTGCTAATCTTGCTGCTGAGCTGAGCGTTCATGTATTCCTTCTTAATGATCTCAAGAGCCTTGCTGAGTCTCTGCTCGATGTTTAGGCTGGTAAGAACTTCTTGTGCTTCCTCCATCTCGCCACCAGAAACGGCAGCGGCGAAATCGGCGAGTTTGGCGGGTTCGTCGGCGATGTTGGCGGCAGATTGCGACATGGCGAAGGCGGAAACGTGATCGCGGAAGAGTTGGTTGACGCTGCCAATCTCCTTGCAAGTGTTGACAATCTCGGAGATCAGAGCGCGGATGGTGGGAGCACGCTTGTCGAAGGGCTCGTCGGCGAGGTTGTCGACCTTGACCAAACTGACCTGCCATGTCTTGAGGAAGTCGGTAGGCTCGTACTGAGCGACCTGCTTCTTCTCGCCAGGGGTCTCGACGTGAGATTCCTCGAAGCTAGCGGTCACGTCGCCCTTGGACTCGACGTCGGTCTCGGGTTTCTCGGCGGCCTCGATGGTAGCGGTGGCAACAGCAGGAGCTTCTTCAGTAGTAGTCTCGCCCTTCTTAGGAGGCATCAACTCGGTGAGCTTGATTCTGCGGTGAGGGTAGAGGACGGCCTGAAGGGCCTTCTCGTCACCGTGACCGGCGGGGAAGGCTCCGGTGATCTGACAGAAGGTACCAACATCGTAGACTTCGCTAGGGTCATTGATGACATCTGTGTTGGAATCGGGATCCTTTAGCAAGAAGGCACCAACGTAGCTCTGACCACGCTTGAGCAACTCTTGCACAGCGGCAATTACATTGGGGTCGCGGATGGTGATGGCCTTGTAGAAGCCAGGGAACAGCGGTCGTTGTGCAATTGGGATGGCGAGGACTTGAGGGTAGACATCGGGTACGGTGGGCTTGACGAGGCCCTTCTCGCCGCCCTTGCGCTTACGTCCGCTGCCACCACTTCCGCTGTCGCCGCCTGCTGGTGCTCCGTCGCCTCCTGCCGAAGAGGCACCTCGGCCGTCGGGGATGGGTGTAGGTTCCTTTGCACGCGAATCTTCCTTGATAGGCTCTAGCGAGTCCTTGCGATCCTTGGTGTCCTTGTTCTCTTGGTCTTGTACCTCCTCTTCTGGGTCGAGTTTCTTGGATGAATCATCTTTCCTGCGAGAAGGAGTAGTGTGAATCGAACGCGATGCGGCGAGGGACGAGTGGCGAAGAGACAGCGGCGTCAAGGGAATGCGACGAGGAGCGGTCGAGTAGTTGCAAGAGGCGGCAAGATGGTATCGCGAAGTGGCGTATAGACGCTGCGAAGACTGCAGGGCTGCTCTGCATTGCCGGTTCAACATGGTGTGTATGTGAGAGAGGATTAGAAACAGAAAGGACAGACTGGCAAGTCAGCCAGAGTTCGCGTCTCAGAAGTCAGAACGCCTCTCGTGTGATCAATGCTCGGTCGTGTATTACAGCTTCAACTAACTAATCGCCGCATCTCTTCCATGACGTTCTCTTGTCTAAGCATCGCACGACATGCACTAGCCCGATACCGCAGTTGACCCGGTCAAATCCGTCTAAACTCCGTTTTCTTCTTCTCCTTCCTTTTCGGCCATGAGACTGTCGGTTCCAGATCGAAATGCCCATGGGAGAATATGTCTTCTACATAGCCTTCTCACATAACTTGAAGTGGGCGAGATTGTGTTCTTTATGCTGTGGCTATTTCACTCAATCGAGGATGGCAGTGGTCGTACATCTTGATCGTGCTTGTACAAGTGAACCACCATTCGCTTCACGTTCACATGAAATCCATCGTTCTCAGCTCTAGAGATGCACAATGTTCTCTAGGAGAAAGCGAAATTCATGAAGAGAAGCTGTTCTAGGATCTTGCCAGTCACTACTTTGGTTCAAAAAGTTTGCGTATTTGTGCAGCGTCACTGTTAGTGAAAAGTACTGAAATCGTGGTAATTCTTCCTTCCGTTCGCAAGTGAAAGTGAAGATAGGAGCACAGCAGCGACTTTTCACTTCCATGTCTTCATCTCTTGGCTCTTTCCCTTCCCTTCCTTCCAATCTACAGCAAGCAAGCCTGGTCTTCTCACAATTCGCATCATCACCTCTCGACATCCCATCAGCCTCACCACACCTCATCTGTCTTTTCCATTGAGCATCACCGTCTACTACTACCTGCACCGCCATCACCATGAATGAAGACGGCGCAGCACCTTCAATTCCTGGCGTGCCATTTGACAAGTTTCCTTTGGAGGTACAATCACAGATCGCCAACTACCTTGACAGAAACACACTTTTCAGCGCAATCCTTGTCAGCAAGGAATGGTTCCTGCGCCTGATCAATCTTCTCTGGCACACGGCATCTGTCAACCAAGTCTTTACGGACCATTCAAGAATCATAACCAAGAGCCGGCGCCAGTTCTATGCTGCCAAAATCCGCATAGTCAATTTCGAATCTTGGTTTCATCCCCGCTTGCACGAGAGTCTGGAGTTCCAATCAATCCAGCGTCTCAATTTTTACGGCTCTGAGATTGCAGATGATACCTGGCTTGGCCCCTTTCTAATGCCTACACTACAGTCATTGAACATTGCCGCAACTTGCAACATGAACACGAGAGTACTCAGTTCGCTGCGGCGTTGTACTCAGCTTCAGGAATTGTCTATCGGAGGGCTTGTGCGACCTCGAAACGAAGAAGAACTAATGGCGTATCTGCGCGAAGCTCCATCTCTGCGCACAGTAATCCTTCAACATGCATTTTCTGAACCACTGATGTACGGCGACGGTACATCACTTGTTACCAAGATGCTGAACCAGCTCCTCAAGCGCGGAAACCTTCATGATCTTACGATTCAGAAGGACTTGATGCAAGACTGCTTGGCCGAGCATTTAAGCACGTCCGCCGAACCCTTGCCTTTGAATGGCAACCTTCAACGACTTCATCTGCAAGCATGTCCTCCCGCAATCTCTGTTTGTCTGTCCACCGCCGCCGCTCGCCTCGATTCTCTCACACTAGTCTTACTCGATCCCGGACACAATGTCTTCCAACATCTTCCCAGCTTTCCGAATCCATCGAAACTCTCTCTATCGTTCAGATCCCGAAGAACAGGAGTGCCTATCAGACCTTCGCACTTGGACCTTGACATGCTCTGCATGTTAAAAAGCTTACCGATCTCTCCATCACGTCAGCTTCCGCAAATCTTCTGGAACTAGAGTGGGTGACAGATAGATACTTCGACTCCTGGATCGCACATTTTGGCCGATTACACAGCTTGGACTTGGCTTGGAACTGCAATCTCGCACAAGCTGCCCTTGTTTCGATCGCTCGCAGCTGCCCTCGTCTCAACCATTGCGTGATAGGATGGAGAGTGAGCTTGCATGCTTTGAGCTCTTCACTGAGCATCTGTCCTTTGTTATCACAACTTGAAAGACTTTGCCTCTTCCAAGTTGACGCAATCGTTCCCAGCAGGTAGGTACAGACCTCACTCAAGGTACACTTGTATGCTGACCATGTAGTGATCGCTCGAGGGTGACTGGAGCCGCAGCCCGCGTCATCGTACCGACGATATATGCACTGTTCCCAAACCTCAGAGATCTGTTCATTCTCAGTGAGATACTGTAGAATGGAAAGAGAAGCGCTCCTCTTGAATTTTGTAGCATGGTCCGACGAATTCTCGACACTTGCCATTCTTGACATAATTAAGACTCAGAGTGAGGGAACAAGTACCAAAGAAAGGCAAGGAAGGAGCGGAGACACATAACAAGGTTGCACGACTTAAATGGGTATGCAGAATTGGCAAGAAGGGCACTAGCATGATTTCGCAGAAGATCAGCCTTTCAGCAGATCACCTTCGTAGAATTACAACTTTCTCTTCTCACCATCTCGCCATGTGCCTAAGTATGCAACAAAAACATGCAAAGCATAATGATCAGAGATTCGGGCAGTATTTGCTAAACAGCAAACAGCAAACTGCTTCTCTTTTAACTACGTGCCTAGCCTAGAAACTTTCTCACCCCTATGACGATTAAGTTGTGTGAAGCAAAGCGTAAGGCTTACAACTATATATTTTCTAGGGCAGTCTATGCTGCCTAACCGAAGAGGTATGGTGGCCAAAGCCTAATTCTTCGACTGAAAGCGTGATTGGTCTATATCGGAACTTTTCCCTCTATCTCCCCTCTCAATATTTCTACTTGGGCCCAAATACTCTCAAACTGTGCGTGAGAAGGTAAAATGAGTCATATACTATGAGTTACTATATAGTTGCCTTTCTATCTGCTTTGATTCAGTTTTCTCTTTCTTAATCCATCCCATCCCATCAGGTATCTCCACGAAAAGTATCTCACGACCTCATCTGAATCACCCCCGCAAATATGAATACAAGACATCTCTACTCACACCCGCAAGACTCTGCTGTCTCCACCGGAGTGACCTCGAATGAAGGAGAACGACCCGCAAAGCGAGTCAAACGCAATCAGGCTGCGCAAACCGACCGCCTTGAATCCCTTGGCTATCATCGGATACCCTCGAAAGATTTGCAAGCTGCCCGCCCTTACCTCGAAACAGTTCAGATTCAAAATGACATCTCTGACGAAGGTCTCGATGATATCTTGTCACCTCCCTTGTTCCTTGTGTTCAAGAACAAGATCAAGCTTAGTGTATCCGCTATCAGAGACCTGAGCAATTGCGACCGACTGATACATCTTGCTTCCAGAAAAGATGTGGAGGTAGCCGATCTAGAAGCATTCATAGACTTCATAGAGATTCATCCTTGCCTGAGGACGATTGAGATTGGCGGAAGTATTCACGCAGAAAACCGATTTCGTCAGGACGACGAGTATATGCAGGTTGACAATGAAAGGTTAGCCACCGCAGAAGTATATGCGCGCCTTCTCAAACACGACCGTTTGGTCTGGCTCGACCTTGGAAACTGTCCGACCTTACCCGATGATGAGGGATGACGACGAGGACGCCCAGATTACTCGCAAGATGATTTCTGACGTGGACGAGACCGAAAACAATTGCTCCACTCACAAGATGACTTCTTTAACCATCAAAGGAGAGCATGACAATTTAATCCACTGGCTTCCACGCGCACCGACTACGATACAATCCTTGAAAATTCTTTTCGCGGGTAAAGAGGATGACAAACGCGAGCCTCACTGGGATGAAGAACGGGATTGCGAACCTGAGGACTCTGGAGAACACAGCATATGTCAGCATATCCCACGCTTTACCAACCTGAGAGAGCTCCACCTGGATATGAATGAGTGTACATACCTGTACAATTACGAACTGGATTTCTTCGGCGTATTTCCACACTTGGAAGTATTGAAAATCACGAATGGTTCACGGGACAAAGATGACTATGGTGAGACTGTTGAAGATACTGATTATCCTGCTGCTGGCGAGCTTGGTAGCTGGCTAGCAAGACTCCCGAAACTGCGTGATCTTGAGCTGGGGCGATGGATGCACTTCCGCTCGCCATGGCGCAATGAACAATACGCGAATCTCGAGAGATGCAAAGTAGGATTGAGTCAGGTCTGGGAAGAATGGGCAGACCTCTCGCGAACAAGAACAGACACGCAGGTATGGTTCCCAAATCTAAAGACTCTGATTCTATACGGCGATGATGGCAGAAAGTAAGTCAAACTTCTTCGTACTGACTCTCCCGGATTCATATGCTAACAATTTGACCAGCGATTTAAGACGCAACCAAGAAGAAGACGAGTTGACAAAGGTTGGCTTTGGTCACTTGATGAACATCCTGAAAGTGGCACCTCGTCTGGAGAAGCTTGAAATACTGATGCCGAGAGGCCCAGACGTGGAGTTTGTAATGTCTGAGGTAAAGATGGCCATGGACCTGGTCGAAGCCTACATGTCCAGAAAGCCTGGCTCGAAATTGAGCCAAGACTTGGTCATGAGGGTTGCAAGATAAGAGGAAAGAAAATGGCGGACTGGCCAGAGGTCACCCAGGATCTATTCTTGGATTGGTTGGATGGATGCGAAATCTGGGGAGCACGATCAAAGTTGGCGGTCACTGAGATGAAAAACTCAAGTCTAGACAGTAATCCAAAAGCAAAGGCATTTGGTATTGAATGCTGCGATACTGTCACAGTCATGCTCAAGAGCGGTTCTCACAAAATCTTTTCCTCAACACAGTTCTGTTCTTTAATCTTCGCAATGACCTCTTTGTCCAAATTCCAAATACGAAAATTCTTGTACTGGGCTTCGGTGAGCGATTCAAGGCCCGTTCGTATTGCACTTATATTCCCATCATCCGCCTCCACAAGACAAATGCTTCCCAAGTGAGGAGCTAGCTTCAGGATAGTGTTCAACTGTATTAGTCCTCCCCGCGTTAACTCGTCATCCGAGTCATCTTCCCAGGTCCTATGCGAGCATCAGCCAAACGTCAAAGAATGTCAGCTATCCAGCCAAATGTCTTACGAAAGGTCATCGACACTCTGTACGCCGAGACTCGTCAACTTTGGGAACAAGACGGGCGTCTCATCCACGAGAGTTGTCCATGTATCGAGGTCTTGTGTCCAACCCAGTGTACATCGCTCTAGCTTTGGACATGACCGGCCAACAGCAGTCATGGCAGGTGCACCAAGGCAAAACTGTCACACAGCAGCTCCAACTCACGGAGCTTAGGGAAGTTCGAGATCCAAGCGCTGAAGGCGTCGTTGCTCCCCCACTGAGATCCTGGAAGACGTTCTGTCCAGCACGTAGTGATCTTGAACACTTCAAGATGATTCATTTTCTCGAGCGCTCCAAGGTCCTCGGTACGCAATTCTTGATCTGGCCACATGTACAGGCTAAGTTCTGTCAGGTTCGTAAAGCGTAAGATGTCCTCGCATATGAAGTGGTCAGACTCTTCATACTCTTTCAAAAGGGCAATCTCCAGAGTCCGGAGCGAAGTGGTAGTATTCATAAGAAACATGTTGAGTGCATCATGATGTCCACCGATGCTTAGAAAAGATAGATCCTCATTGCCAGGGAGAGTTTCGTCTATCAACTTAGAAACCTCTTGGACATCACTCTCTGATAGGCCTTTCCCAAGATTAAGCCGTCTAAGACGTCCATGTTTGAGCAGACGTGCGAAAATCTTATTGGTCAGTGTCGCTGAATCAGAGAAAATGTTTCCGCCTAGCTCAATTGAGCTTAAACCAGGAAGTTTATCCACAAGATTCATGAATGATTCCAGACTAGGGACCAACACATCTTCTTTCACCTCCAAGTGTCTAAGTCGAGTACAAAGGCCCAAAGATTTGATCACGGACGCGCTGAGTTCAAACGGAAGCCTAACCGACAAAAGCGAGGGCCGCAGTAGCGAACACAAAATGTAGTCGGGAGGTGTTTCATATCTCTCAACTCGCAGATCCTCAAGATACGGTATCTCGCATGTTGACAATACGTTTCTCCAGTGTAATAGTAAGTCATTGTCGAAATCATCAATCGCGCAATCCAGAGTGAACGTTCGTATCTTATTAGCATAGAACTGGCGCCGACCACCTTGCTTAGCAGGACACAGCAGAGCATCCCGCTCTGGCTCATACCATAGATAATCAATCAATTGATGGAACCAACTTTTGTTAACACGAATCGCATTGAACAAGGTTCTTCTGTCATCCTTGAGAAAGCTGTGGATGTGGACGCGGAGCTCCGACGGCAGCTTGTCGAAATCGAACTTCGACTGTGATCGAGTGCGCATTGTTAGTCGACAAAGCCTGTACGAATGTAGGGGAATCTGGCCAATTCCACGAGGATCCGTCGCTGAGGCTGAAATGCAGTACGAAGAAGAGGAAGTGGGGAGTCCGCCAAGGGCAAGATCAGACAGCGGCTTCAGAACCTGACTACATGCGACTTCCTTTTGGGACCAGTGCCTCTGAGCTATACATATTCGTGCTTTCCTACAACCAACTCCAGAAAACCGAAGCTATTATTTGCAATAGCTGCAGGGAGTGGGAAATTAAACCTACATCTTACGCCGCTTGATCCCACTGGATGTAAAAGATGTAAGTTCTTTGAATCTTTACATAGGCTCTATTACCTCATGCGGCAAGAACCAAAGGGAGATAGCGACGACAAACGCTGATTATTTTTTTTTCTCTAACAGTTGAAACAGAAAAAGAACAATACAAAAGTTAACCATGTGCTACAAGAAGGGTAAAGGTTGGAGAGCCTAGAAAAGCACATCTGTGGTTTATGCCCTACATGCGGGCTTTTACCATTTAGATATGCATACTAACTCCTTTCTCTCTTACCCGTTCTTGCTCTTCCACACCTGGTCGCCAATGTTTCTGACCATGATCCAGCAAGAGGAAAAGAAGAATATCAATACCGATCTCGTGCGTGCCAGCAGTCACCACGAGAACAAGTGATACCTGCAGCATTGTAACCATTGCATAGTCGCCTCATCTTTTCCTCGCGTTCTCTCTCCCGAGCCCGTCGCCCTGGTGGTGGTTCATACACATCCCAACGTCTATGCCGGATATTCAGGTCTGGCACCCATCCGCCTATACAGATCTTGCTCAGATTCGGCATCACTACGCGATTCTCAACCAGACCAAGTAAAGCCTCCAAAGATGGGACCAAGGAAGCAGTACACTCAGTCAGATGGAGCTCCTCCAAGCCGGAGGGAAGTAGCTGATCGATCATTGGGTCCGGCGAAAATGAAGTAACATATCCTCACTGATGGTCAAACTCCTGAGTGCAGTGTATTCGACAAGAAATCCATAAGACTTGGAGTAATGGTCATCAATTGCCGCCCATTCATCTCGGTTGTCGGTTTCAACCTCCCAATGAGCCCAAGCGAACAAGTCCAATTGAATAGATTTGAGACTGGTCCGCTGGGGGTGCAAAGCCTTGCTGAGCTCATGGATTGGCCAATTCGATTGTGGCATGTCGCAGACAAGAATCTCAAGTTCGATGCAACGACTCATCACATCCTGCAAGACGCGGGGATGCACAGCGCAGTATAAGAGCTCAAGTTTCTTCAGGCTAGAAGAGAATGATCCGTCGGGTGCGAGCTCTTCCAGAGTATTGAGCTCGAATGCATGTATGATGTCTGCGCTTCGGAGTGAAGGTAAAGCAAGAAACAGAAGCAGAAAAGAGAATGGATATCCTTGATAACGCTCGAGATCGTAGTCATCCAGTTCATAAAAACGTTCGCCGGTGTAGTTTGGTCGCACACATATCGAGGTCAAATTTCGTAGGAAAGAGTTGGTCCCGACGATTCGAGTAAAAATGCGGCAGCGAGCTGGGACACTTGAAATACTCCCAATTCGGCATGATTAAATTTAGTTCGTCGAGATTGTTCGTTAGCGAGAGTAATAGCGTGATCTCTGCATCTTCTTGACCATCTTCCAGCGCACGATACCATGATCTTCTCTCTTGATCCGTGATAGACAGCTTTTCCAAGTGCTCCCGATACAGAGTGAGCAGTTTTCGAGATGCTTGACTGTCATGGCTAGGTTCAGTACCAAGAAAAGCCGCGAATGTACCATCGTCCAAGAAAGGTTCTCTCGGGAATCTGTCTAGATTGAACCATTGCCAGAACTCGGGGTCATGGTCAGTAAGCAGATGTTCCAAAGTGCCAGGCTGGAACCATGCCTTTATACACGCGTTTCGAACGTATCGTGCAAGGTCAGGGCGCTGTAGCAAGGTCTGCAGGTAGGCATGGATATTTTTCACTTGGAGAGGGGCCTTGATTGTGTTTGGTTTGATGTAAGTCTGGTAAAGCAGAGGCTCTGCTATAGAGCGTAGTCTTCGTGATGTCCGGCATAGGCTGACAAGGTCGGAGCAAGAATGACGGAACTCTTCATCCTCAGGGGCTTCGACATAGATATACTGCATCCATTCTGATCCAATTGCTAACTCCTGGAAGATTGACGAGAGTATCTCCGTAGGCAGTCGTTGGAGCATGTCGTCGGTTAATCTCTATCTCACTAGATGTAAGATCACCAAGAGGGCCGGATAACATGCGAGGAGTGATTCAGATGATGATCAAGGAGAACATGAGTGCTGAGGACTGTCATGTGAATTGTGATGAATGGAGAGGCTGAAGAGGTGGCACCGTACTCATCCATGTATGCGCTCTGTCGACATTGATCACCTATAAGTACTGTTGTCAATCACAGGATTCGAAGAATTGCTCGCTCTTTCTCTGAGCTTCCAAAAGCTCATCCTTGGTCGCTTTTCGTGACTCAACCATTGAGTAGCTCAATCTCGGCGTCTCGGTTCCAATAGATTAAATCGTGATGCTAAAGGCAGGAACGATCATACATAGGGCTTTCCGAATGGCTAAAACATCGAATTCTGTATAGTGCACTGCGATGAATGGCTGGCATTCTGTTGTTGTCGCTGGTATGTAATGACTTGAAGAAGACAAGTCGTGTTGCAACACATTTCACGAACGAACCTGCCAAATTGGTTGGGCTTGGCGTTCCGTGTCTGCTACTTCCTTGTTTTTTCCTCTCACAATCAATTAATACAAGGCATTAAACATTTGCAGCACGAATGGCGGGTGGAGGTACTTGGAAAAATCATCGTACAGTCAGGGTGTTGAGACACCAAAAGAACTATGATTGAGAAGAATGAAGACGCTGGAAGCCACACAAAAATAACAGTAGGTCCCTCCTCTTTTCGCACCATGATCATGAAGAGAAATAAAACACCTTCTTCGGAAAAAGCCCCTTCCTTATATTACAAAATCTTTTGAGTTCAAGCTGGTGGTACTACGGACTCTTGACTTCCCAATGGTGGCGCTGTTGCATCAATTGCCTGATCTGATGCTGGAGAGTCGGTGACAGCTACCCCATTTAAGATGCTCTCCTTGTCTTTGGCTGATACGCTATCTGTCAGACTGGCTGCAGGAGAGATGTCTCTTGGCTGGTGTACTTTGTTGCGTTTTGTGTAGTCGCTTAGGCTCAACTTCTTCCTAGCAGGGCTGGGGTTCACTGCCGCAGAGACGGATGGCGAAAAAAGGGGTATACTAGAGAGACCAGGCGTCATGGTGGCAGGTGATTGTGTGACAAGTGGAGGTGAAGTTGCAGAGTTCAGCGATGGAGGCATGCTTATATGCATCTCAGGGTGGGTAGGTTTGAACTCTGGAGAGGCAGGATGCACCTCACCAATACTCGGTGCTTCTTTCTGTGACCATGGTGGCGGCGGTGGGTCCATTGGCGGATGTGAAGGAACGCCTGGTTTTAATGTGGAAGGACTTGCTGAGCTGTACGACGACACAGGGTCTTGGTCATTAGGAGGTGTAGCGCGGCTAGGCTCACCGTCCATATCCTGCATATCGGCATCTACTGGACCAAAAGCGGGTGACAGCGAAGCAGGACGTGCTTGTGCAGCCTCGGTCATATCAACATCGGCGTGTTTGATGGACACAGGTGACAGTGGAGTGGCTTCAGAAGCGGCACCGACACTCTTAGGGCTGTGTTCAGCGTCGAGGTCCATGTCCTCGTCCGGGTGGACTCCGTTGGTTTGTGTATCGTCAGGCGTCTCGCTCTCGGCCTTTCGCTTGAGGTTGTTCGAGGCGCACCGTCGAAGCAGGCGTTGCGTCACTGACAAATACTGCTTCTTCTTTGGTGGAGTAGGCATTGGTGGCCCTGGAGGATCGTCGTTGTCCATGTCGCATTGAACGGACGAATCGACGTACACTGGTTTTGGAGTGTCCGAAGATTGCTTGCCCGACTTCGCAGGTTTTGACGGCCGCTTGGAGATAGTGCCGCGACGCGAAGAAGAAGGTTCCGAAGATTGTTGTTTCGAAGATGACAGTGTACTGCTTTGGGGTAGCAAAGGAGTGGCACCACTGTGACGCTTCTTTTTTGTCGACCACTTTCCTCCTCTTGTCGTCGGAACATCTCTTCCTCGCGCATAAGCTTCTTCTTNTTCACGTTCAGACATCTCAGGGACAATGGCTGAGTAATGTGTGCCGGGAGTAATGTCTCGACTGGCTGAGCCTCGGAGAGAACCAGACACAGATCGAATGTCTGTCATGTCTTCATCGACTTCGACTTTTCGAGCCTCACTACCAGAGCGGCTATGACTGTTGCGATTCGGATCAGCCGGTGAAAGATTGTTGTTCGTCTTCTTGCGTCGAGCCTTGGGAACTTTGACAGGGGCAGCAGCAATTTCGGCGGGCTCCGCAGGCTGAGGTTGACCACGTCGATCGAACCTTGCCATCAGACAGCCTTCGCCGTTGCACGCGCAAGGACCGCAATTGGCGAGTACGTTGGACACCCACATGGCAATAGCATATTTGATGTCAGCAGGCACGTCGCCGTGCACAACACCTCTCTCGGCATACATTGCCTTGATAGTGTCATCTGTCTGCCAAGCGACGGTGATCTCCTCGCCAGACTGAAGATCTTGGGTAGCCATGAAACAGAAGTGGTAGTTGGTACCATCGGTGATGATGGTCTGAATCTCGGTGTTTGGTCGGCAGCTGCGGCGAACATAGCGGAACATGGTACCCTCTTGGCGAGCGTCGATGTAGATGGGAAGTTGAGGATGGANAAAGACGAAGGGTTCGGCATGGCGCAACGACGACCAACGACTTTCAGGGTCGTTCATGTATTCCTCCTTGTACCCGATGTGTCCACGAAGCTCGCCAATGAAGGTACGCTTTGATATGTCCTGTTCAACAGTCAGGCAGGGCCATTTCGGAGGCTCAGCCTGATCGGTGAAATTTGAATCTGCTTCCCAGTGCAAGGCAACCTCAGGTCGACCAGGCATGTCTTCGAAGGGTCCATCCCAGCGGAGGAAGATGTCGTTCTGACTGAGACCGTTCGTGTCTTTCTCGACAACGACAGGATTTTTCAGCCATTCAGATAATGAGTTTGTAACGGCAATGTTGTTCATGAGGTTTGTTTCTGTTTCAACGTGCGAAGAGACTTGAGAGTATAACCGGAGGAATTCTTCTGAGTACCAAGGTATGATGGGTCTCGACGGGTCTGGTGACGGACTGCGAGCTGCCGTTATTGTACCGTTTCTCTTGCGACTGTTCGGAGCATGGTTGGCAGCTGCAGAGGGGCGGTGACCTGTCTTTGGGCGTTTAGCGGGAGGTGGTTGGTCGCGCGGACTGGCACTCTTGCGGTCGCGACCTTGTAGCAGGGAACCATTGACAGCAGCTGGTGACTCCTTCTGCTTTTTACGATGTTTCGGGCCGGGTCGTCGCGAGTCAAGAGCTTGTCGCTGTATTTGTTTTTTCTGTCTCTCTTTGGCTTGGTCTGCATCGAGCCATCGCGGTTGACAGTCGAAACAATAGTGTTTTTGGTGCTCACCAGGACGATCTGCCTCGGTAGGATAGTAGCAGATCATGTGTTGCCAGTTATTGCAGGTTTCGCATTGCACCGAGAAGCCGTCGTCGTGACGCATGCCGCAAATACAGATGATCTCTCCATCGTCCTCTTCGACACCGTCGTCGATGGGCGGTTGTGTTTGTCGGCGCGAAACTGTGGGAGGGACGGCGAAAGGTTGAGTCGACAGAGGGAGGTGGTGCTGCTGCTGACGAGCAGCAGCAACTAGTGCATTCAAGGGCGGCGGGACGTCTGTCATAATCCAGCTACCTGTTGTCGTCATGCACAGATGGTGTTGGAGGGTGTTCTATGTCGTGCGCGGTGTCGGATCGTGTCTGCAACGCATGTCGCTGAGGGCCAGGAATGTCGAGGCTGTGGACAGGGATGGTTAATTCACACAAAGGCCTGGCGCGATACTGCGCTGGCTTGAGAAAGACTGATGAAGTCGATCAACACTGACAGAAACCTGTTGACTACAGAGGGAAGTGGAAAGGAGAAGGTCGACTGTGTGCAGACGGCGTTGCTGGTCGAGGGTGGGTCAGAACAGAGACGGGAGGGTGAGAGATCGGAGCCGAGTTTGGCGAAAATGGCTAGCAGAAGTGTTGGACAGCGACGACGAGAAGCGCAACGGCAGAAAGGGAATCAGGCGACGGTCAGAAGCATTGGCGACCAGGTTTGAGAGAGTGAGAATGGTGAGAGAGAGGAGTTGTGCACAGCCAAAGGCAAAGCCCGCACCACAGACCACTTTGGACGCGCTTTCCTGCTGAACTTCACCCTCCTCAAAGCACGTGATTGACCCTTGCATTATTCTTTTTTCTCTCCCAACTGTCAGAGAAAAATAATAGTCGCTGTTTGCCTCTGGTTCCTGCCGCCGCTCCCTCTGCGCACGCCTGGCCTGTTGAAGACCTTGGCTTGAGAGAGCTGTGACATGAGTAAGGCTTTGTCGTGATTGATGAAAGTCGTCGCGCTCGACGGCAGCAGACAGCAAGCACTGTGAGAAGCAGCAGAAGCAGCAAGCGCAAGCAGGGCATCGCGAAGCAAGCAGCAAAGTCTAGCAGAGATAACGCGGCAAAAGCCAAAAATGTCGCACTAACCAAACATGTCTGCAGTTTATTGGCTGTTGCCCTTAGCCTCGCCGCGCTAGCTTGCGCCAAGCCAGTCACCTTCCTCCTGAGCTCGCCCCCCTCTTCTGCTTTCCATCGGTTCAGACACTCTCATCTCCTGAGGCATGTTTTTGCAGCTGAGCCTCACAACATCTGCGACGTGGATCCATTTCATTTGTAAACGCCTTCCCGACACGCCCGAGACATAATCCCAGCGAGGATTACCGGCGCTCCATTCGAGCCGTGCTAGGTGAGCACGAGGGTGACGACACTGTGACAAGGAATTCCCAGCACCCATGTCTCGAGTCCGAGTCGTCCGCGGCCGGTAGCGTGCAGCTTCTCCGCTCCTGTCCCGTCTCCCGGCGCCCTGGACTCTGTGTGTTCACGGTCTCGTTGCCAGAGGAGGTTTGTTGATGCTGACAAGATTCGCATGTGCATATGTTCTGCATCTTGTCGGTTATTGTAAACATCAGGTCGGTATGGTCTCCTTGAGTGAGAAATGTGTATTGTCTGTGTTCGGTGTCGCTGTAACGACGGAGAAGCAGCATGACACCACTGCTCTCTTGAAAACCTGCTTATCGTGTTCACCGCACTCGGAGGGTCAGCGGCTGCATGCGTCCTACAAATACATGTTTATTGTATCGTTGTTGCTGTGCAGTAAATCACAGATTGGTGAGACAATGCCATCCTTCACTTGAATTTTGTACATTGATGGCCAACGGATCTCCTCGAGATCGTGCTTGCAGACGATATCGTCGTCAAGTACGCCATGAACAGAGAATATATACAACCTGGTATTGTAGATGAAGCATAACTTTTGGGGTTTGACATGGTAAGCTCGCAACCAATACTGTTGTACGGTCGGAGATTTTAGTCATGAGCAATGGTCTCAACACGAGGAGTCTTGGGTCCCTCTGCCTCGAGCGTCTGCTGGATTCTATGCGCTGGCAACCATTTCTCTGCAGGGATCATAAAGTACGAGACGATAGCAAATATCGTGACGATCGCCATGATCACTGGTGCATAGTTCAGGTTACCCGCCGTCACAGGGAAAGCATACGGCGAGAACAAGACAGCAACGACCCAGCCATTCCAGAAAATGGCGATGAACTGGAAGGGCTTGCTAAACTTCCCAAGGCTCCATCTGGGCTTGGGAAATGTTTNTGGCGTGAGCACGAGTCTCGAAAGACAGATCAGACCGTATGCGGCAGCGGAAGGAACGCCAGCGGCTGAAACCAGACTGGTGAACGCAGTGCTGGATGGAAGGATTGTGCAGGTGATAATGGCTGAAACGACCCAGACGACAATCACAGCATTTTTGGGCTGGCCATTCGAGACCTGAGAGACCCATCCAGAGAAGGGAAGAACGCCATCTCTTGCGACAGCAAAGACCAATCTCGATGCGGCGAGAACAGCAATTGCAGTGTTGAACCAGAGGGCTACAATACAGACAATGTTCATGACGACATGCCCGCCCTGGCCAAGGACCACAGCATAGAGTGGTACAAATGGCTGCTCAGAACCAAATTGGAAGAACGTGTCTGCATCAGGNNCTGGACAATTGTCAGAATTTTCGCAATACACCAGAGAAGCAGCATGACTTACCACACAGAACAAGAATAGAATAACCACAATGAAACCGCCAACACCGCTAACCACGGTACTCCAGAAGATACCTCTGGCTGCGGTCACACTCGCGTTCTTTGTCTCCTCTGCAACATGGCCAGAGGCATCGAAACCGATCAAGATACCAGCAGTAGCCAGGTAAGACAGGCACCAATTCCAGCCAGCAGGCGCTCCGGTGCCGTTGTACGTAGTCATGAAGGCTTCATGCGCAGTACGGAAGCCGTAAGTTTGAGCCACTCCAATAGGCAGCCAAACCATGTTGAGCACAAAATCCAGCAACACCATACCAGAAGATGCGTAGAAAATCCAGCGGAAATACTTGGGAGGGAGTAGATTGACGATGCAAGCGACTGCCAACATGGCCTCGGTAACGGCCCATTGAACAGCGCGATATTTGATGTGATCCGAATTCGATGGATAGTCAACATTGAAGACCACAATTTCGGCCAGAAGGTAGTTGACAGCACCCTGTGTATTACTCGCGCAGAAAGTCGTCCAAGCAGTGGTAGACCACCAAGCCACAATGAAGCCGAAGAAGCGACCAAACCTAGGTCCTCCTGCCTCAGCAGCCCAAAGATATATGGATCCAGCAAGAGGTAGGGATGAGCAGATCTCTGCGATGACAGCAGCAGTGATGAAGGTGAAGACGCAAGTCACGATGTATGACGTCCAATAAGCGAGATTGCCACCAGCGCTGATTCCAGTTGAAAAGGTTACGCGAACACCTCCCACAAAATACAGCGCCGCTGCCAAAGGTGATTAGAAAAGGTGTCTCAACTCCGAGGCTTCCTGGAACTCACCGAAAGTTGTAGAGAAGTTGTGGAACAGCGTATATGAGCGATGNNCCTTGTAGATCATGAGATATGGCGAAAACAGAGATGTACAAGCAACTTACAATACTGGCTTGTAGCCTAGGTTTTCCTGCAATTGACTGTCAGAACCATGATTCGCCTTTCATTGTGTCAAGCGAGTATTGAGCAAGTAACAGCCTAGAGCCGACCTTGACTCGAATCTTTCCCAACCTGTTCCTTTCCATCTTCCCAGGACCTGTTGACTATAAGGAAATCTTCAGAAGACGTACCAAAAGTTCAGCATCCGAGTCGGACTCGCTTGCTCGTAGACGAGCGACTTCATCTGCATATTCCTGGCTGGACGGATCCTGTTGCATGCTGAACTAAACAAGCAGAGATTGTTCTGCAGTCGATTAACAAAAGTAGTAAGTATTTGGCAGAATGTGAGGTGGTCAAGAAAAAAATCCAAATGCGAGGCCAAACAGGCAGGTGGCACGGCAGGAACTGGCGTCGCGGGCAAATTGAATCCACCGAGTAAGTGACGCTGCACCTCTCACCTTTTCATTCAACAACTTCGTCTTTCATACCTTGAGCTCCATCTAGAGCTTGATCGCAATATCTCATATCTCTGCTAATATTCTTTTGCAAAACGCCTCTCGACTCCGTTCAGAAATCAGGTAGGCGAGACGCATTGCTATGTCGCCATTTAGCCGTTACTTCTGGCACCCCCAACACGCAACAACTTGGAAACCGCCCGCGAAACACACTGCCTGGAGAATCACTTGGCAATAATGGATCTCACCTGGCAAGTCAGATCAAGACCTGTGTATGGAGGTTTGCGGTGTCAGGTACTCACCAACGAAGCAGAGTGGACATTGCGTGGCGCACGACCATATCACCTCCGCCTTCCTTGGTCAGATGCTAGATACGAGCATGTTGCTGCCACAGGGCCAAGTTTGTGCAAGTTCCCAGGTGAGCGGTCACTAAGAACAACGAGCAATCGTTTGCTCTCCCATCCAGAGCTTCGAACTACGATCTGATCAGAACAACCACGATCAACCTGGTCTATACTACTCCCAATCCATGCAGAACAACCTGGCAGGCCATGCGGCGATGCCGTCGTGCATCTGCATCAACTTCATATTGGCAGGCTTCACTGACCTACCATCAAGCACATGGTTCTGTGGTGTAGTTGGTTATCACTTCTGTCTAACACACAGGCGGTCCCCGGTTCGAACCCGGGCGGAATCATCTCTTTGCCGTTCTGGTGACCTGTGGAAGGCTTGGTATGGGTGTGGTGAAGGACAGAATATTTTTCAAAATTTTTGGGAAGGTACGTCGTGACTTCCGTTTTTATTGCCACTAGGCTTCATCCTATTGCCAACCACAATTTTGAACAACAACGGGTGAAAGTCCTACGTGCTTGGGTTCCCAAGTGTGGCATATTGATTGTATCTCCTATGGCGACATTGAGTCTGATGGTGCTGTAAATATGCAGAAATGCTTCCGCGACAGAGTTCTGTCCATGGAGAGCCCATCAAAGCGGTCACTCTCTAATCCTACTGAAGAAATGCCAGGATGATCGCGCCGAGCTAGGTCACAATTTTGGACCTAGAAACGCCTCTTGTGATATGCCCTCGAGCTTCGCAATTCGAGATCAAGTCTTTATTGGCAGTCTTCGAGCAGCTGATGATTCGAAGAAGAAAGTCGGATACTGTTCTACTGTCGAGACAGTCAGTTCTGGGCGCCGTTCAAGAAATCCCTGACTGGTTGCGCCGAGTCATGCCGCAATTCGTCGACTTTGTTGGAGTTCTTCACAAGCAAGACCTTTGTTGAAATGCGCTTCTCGACGCCATGAAAATCGCTCATAGAGAGTATCGAGGAACCGAGATGGCTTCCTTAGCAGGAATCTCGAGAAGCTGAGATCCGACTACCTTGTGGACACAGTTCTGGATCAAGAGGTGGCCAAAACTGCTTGAAGAGGTCGAAGCCTACTGCGCAAAGCAAGACGAGCAGGAAGCAGAAGTCCAAAGACGCCGTACAGCTATCGATGACGGTGAGGTCGAGATAAATGTCGATCCTGATCAAGAACTTCCTCCAGCGCCATGCCCCAACCTCCTGGACTTTGATGCTGCTGGCGAGACAGCCGATGTGGACTTAGGCTCAGGGTTCGTCGTTAAGGTCAATGTCGACGAATTCAGCATGCCAATCCGCACCGATCAGTTTGGCAAGAAACCCAAGAATTTGCCTCGAGAAGTCCATAACTTGGTTAAAATCATATACGCAGCTCCGACAAACAGTTACAACATGCCAAAAAGAGCTTAGCTAGCAGATCAATACCCCGATCAATTCGACAAACGCGGGAACATTTGCCATGATTCCTGCCCACGTCAATACTCGATTAAAGAACTCGGCATGGGACAGGATGTGTGGGATTATCTTACAGCTACCAATGCGCATCAGGATTCACTTGCACAAAACATCGCTAATGCAAAGAGCAACGGCGAAGCAAGACTGCGCCGCGCTAAGGAAACTAAGCAAGTAAGTGTTGGTAAGGGAAGTTCTCAGAATCGTGGGACCTTCTCTAGAAACGAGCGCTCTGGAGCGGAGAATGATGATCCTGGTGCCAATGGAGGTGCCTCGCTCATTCGCAAAGCCGGTATACTTTACGCAATAAAACAAGGAAGACCGACAACAGGTGATCCTGGTACTGGTCGTGTAGTACTCTCAGCTAAGAGCAACATGCATTGAGGCACTGTAAAAGGCACAATAGTCTTCATGTTCAGAGGAGGTCCAGTGAAAGCCTGCTAAAGCACGACTCTCAGTGGAGGTCACTCTGATTCGAAAATGATTGTGCACTTTGATAGCTGATTTAGTACATACATCTACACGAGGAGAGAGCGTACAACAATTGCCTCCTCCTGTGCCTGGGAAACAGTAGACATGCACAGTATGATATTTAAGTGGTATCATTTCATGTCTATGCCAATCTTCTATGATCATAACTCCAAATCTAATGCCCAACCTCTAATTCATCCCAATGTCAATCATTAAACCAGAATATATATCGACATACAAGCCCAGCTTGAGATATCTAAACAGTCTCCTTCTGAACAGCAAAGTCGGAGCTCTTCTTATCAGCTTCGTTCTCGACGTGCTCAGTGATAGAGCCTTTGCGGACAGCAGTCTCGACTCTTTCGCTGAAGCGGCTCTTGACTTGATTGCTCTTCCATGGAGGGATTCTGGCGTCAAACAGAACGTCAATCTCCTCCAAGGTCTTGGATTTTGTTTCAGGATACGTGAAGAAAATGTGGAAGGTCATGACGAAGCAGAAAACACCGAAAATGATGTAAGTCTTCCACTGGATGTTGGTGAAGGCAGGAGCGACGAAGTATGCNNCTTGGAGATATTAGCTGTGTTCGGGTAAAATGGTGCAAGGGTAACTTACGAGAGCAAAGTTGAAGATCCAGTTAGTAGCAGCAGAGAGACCGACTCCCTGAGCACGGTACTTGAGAGGAAAGACCTCGGAGCTGTAGATCCAACCACAAGGAGCCCAGGTAAATCCGTAGAAGCCAACAAAGATGTAGCTGACGGCGATGATGCCCTTGGCTGCAGTGTTGTTGTCAACCTGCCATCTGAGGATAGTGTTGCCATCGATAGAATCCACATGGTGTCCGTAGCTAGCCATAAGTCCAGCAATGGTGAAGTGGCAGATACAGCAGGCGATAGATCCAGTCAGGAGAAGCAGACGACGAGGGATTCTGTCGATGTAGGGCAGAATAACACCAGTGGTCACCAGGAAGATGACACTAGACATATTATTAGCTTACATTCGGCTTGAGAGAACCGATATGGCACAAAAACTCACTANTTGGATGATGGATGAAGTAAGGGTTTGATCGCCGAGACCAGCCATTTCGAAGACGTAGACAATGTAGTACATGGCGACGTTGCCTCCGATCAGTTGTTGCCACATCTGAACTGTGGTGCCGCACATGGTTCGTCTCCACATGTTCTTGCTGAACAGTCCGAAGAAAGTGACGCCCTCAGTGTTTTGAGATGCAGCGACAGCTTCGCGGATCTCCAGCAATTCAGCCTGAACAGCAGGGTCGTCCAGGTTTCCCTTAGCGTGTAGGAGGGCAAGAGTATTTTCAACTTCTTGCCAGCGGCCCTTGGATCCAAGCCAACGAGGTGATTCCGGGANAAAGAACAAGGATCCGAAGAGAATGAATGCAGGGATACCTTGGATGCCCCAAGCGATACGGAAGGCTGAAGGACCACTGACTCCCTTGGCACAGCCGTAGGCGATCAAAAACATGATAAGGATACNCCTGTTCAAATTCAGTAATCATTCAAGAAGTTGACATTTGACTTTTCTTCTTACCCATTCAATGGCCCATTGTTGAATGCCTACAATTCGGCCACGAATGCGTGCGGGTGCAAGCTCAGCAAGATACACACANNACTAAAGTCTTGTTAGCACCAGTTGGTTTGTGGTCGTACTCAATATGATCAAAAGTCTCTCCCAGCAAACCATCAAACTCCTGATTCTAGACCGGAATGACATCTGAGCACCCTGAGTAGGCAAGTGCGTTACTTACACTTGAGAAGACGTGATACCAACAGCGAGACCACTGACGAGACGACCGATAATCAATTGAGCGACATTTTGAGAGCTGCACTGAATGGCAGCGCCGATAATCCAGATGATAGATGCCAGCATCAAAGATCTGCGACGGCCGATAGCATCACAGATGAATCCAGCAGCAAGAGCACCCAGGAAAGAACCACCAGACATAGAAGCCGTGATCTGTACTTTGGTCAACAACAACAGCCTTCAGTCATATACAACATGCAAACTCACGCCTCCCTGCAAGTTCGAGTCAGGATGGTTGAAGTAGTCGAGGTACTGATCCTGGCCAATCCATGCACTCATTGACGAAACATCAAAGCCGAAGAGAGCACCGCCAATCGTGCCAAAGGCAGCTAGAACATAGATGTTTGAGATGGTATACATGGTGGTAGATGTCCAGCCTCATGTACTGGGACCTCGTTCTGCCTTAGAGTATCAACATCAGTCTTATAGGGGCTCCACTGCCTTTATATTCTAACACCAGTCCACACATTATTGCGGGATACGAGTTTGGGGCCCCAGGAGTCGAAGTCTCCACCGTCGGGGAGACAGACCATGACATCATTTCAGTATGTCTTTTCGAATTTATCCACCATCGTCGGATGAAGAAGTTGGAGACAACGTCCAATTCATGGGCAAGCGTTCGACTTGGCCGCCGGAAGAGTCCTCAATTCTGCCGGCCTTCTCGGGGTTGTGCACGCAAATGCTGTGAGAGTATCCACATTTGTTTGACAATCTTTTCGATATCAGGTTTAGAGTGCGAAGCGAGAGTCCGTGGGACTGCCGCACTCCGGTGGTTAAAATTTCTATGGAAACGGGGACTTGAGCAGCACACGCCATGTTGCTGCAAGACCACAAAGAACGCAGGTACGTACTTAGCCGGCACTTCCGGCACTCGTGAAGGATGTTTTGTGTTTTGAAAAGCACATATAGGTTGCCCTCGTGCTCACATACGTATGTGACTTGACTGCTAGAAACAGTCCACCAAGATTCAGACGTTCTTGTTCACAGGGTAGCTCGAAGGGAGCGGCAGAGGCGCAGAAGGGTCTTGGCTGAACTCTGTCTCGGTCCAACAGCCAGTCGGCAAGTTGTGCTCCTACAGGACCGCCGCTGACGAGATGGCACGCCGCACGCGTCAACCCGCGAATTTATTGAGAAGTTCTGTCCGTCGCGTCATCTTTGAGATGAGATCTTCACCAGGTATCTTTGATCTGAACGGACCGCAGCAGGTCTTGCATGTTGCAAACTTGCCCTGTTGTGATATGCAGCAAGCAGGATTGACAACGAGCCGCATCTGCCATTGTCAGGCCATATCAGTAGATTTTCACATGAGGCACGCCCACGGAGCGCACAAAGCTGTCAGCACTGTCGTAGTGAAAAGGCAATTCTTGAAAATCTCCATGTGTCTTGAAGTGGTTCGGCGCAATGGAACACACTCCTGAGTCCTTACTCGAGTGCTTTCAAATAAGCACGGAACACAGACCCGTGCCGGCTGGTCTTGCGGATCGAAGTGTGACTCTCTCCAATGTAGTCTCAAAACATGGGCCACAGACAGAATCTTGTGGTTTTTGTAGAATGCTTCATGGTAGGCAGTTGAGACTGCTCTTCGAGTCCCTACAACTTATGCATGGAGAGTTCAATGCCAAGGGTCCGTCGCAAGAGCCGCACAGAGACGACCTTCAGATCGACCTCTTGCAATATCACAGGCTACACGGACAGGCTCACCCTCATCATGGGGCAGTGACCCATCTCCGAACCTCTCAGTCGGACGTCTGTGTCTGTTCGTATCAAGCCTTTGGTAAAGACATGGCTTTCACATGCAAGTGGACCGATCGCACGGTATCGCCGATACGAGAGTACGTTTTGTTAAAATTCATAATTGTGAGGAAGCTTTCGTTGTGGGCACGTTCAATCTTGGTATCTCCTGTGCGAGTCAGTAGATCCCACTGAGCGTGACAGACCGTGTCATGATATATCACATCGGCACCATTTGCACGTCTGATAGAAATGTCGCGTTGCTGCTAAAGCAAAGAGGGAAGGCTTGCGAAGACATCGTACGTTGATTCAAGCAGTACAGACTCTTGAACTTCAACATTAGCAAGCGGAATCGACGTCTGGACTGCCAGGTGACGGCAGAAGAGATTTACGCTCCTTCCTTGTTAGAAGCAAGAGAGAACACAGAAATTATTCCGGTGGAGATGGTGATTCGTCAGCGAAGCCATCCAATTTATTGTGCTGCAGGTGAAATTCAAACTTCTACATTTGTACATTGCATAGCAAGACTTCGATAATGATCAACTTAGCGAAGGGCAAATCACCGTCTTGCTGTGACGCCGTGCTTGGAGGTGGTTTCGAGAGACGTCTGAACGCCATGACAAACTGTGGTTCTTCCTGATGCGAACATGCCTTGAGCATATCAGGGTCTCAGGGTCAATCTCCATAATCTGGACGGACATTTAATCCGACAACATCACATGCAAAAGCACACATGCTCAAAAATGATAGTTAGTGGAGCCCATGCAAGCTGAGGTCAAAGGAATTCGTGATATGTCAGCTACAACCTGTTAGGTAGGTAGTACGGGCGTATCGTCTGCGACTGTCCTACTTTCCATCTCCTTCCCCACGCCGCCTCGGCAAATCTTGTGTTTCGAAGAAGGCGCGAGCACCTTTACAAATTAATCGCGCCCTCATCCTTGCGCCGGTCTCATCTAGTCCTGGCTTAGCTACATACAAGCCAATAACTAGAACACTCGGGGCACCCGTGATAATTACTGAAGGCGGGGCGGCACAATCAAAAGCGTGCTCATCGGTGCTGTGCCCACAGAGTCGGCATATCTGCGGATCCTTCGAGACCGGGACAAAGCAAAGCCCGTTTCCACGCCGTTGAAACCGTTGACAGATAGACGCAGAGGACCTGGCCATTCCGGATCTCTCCTCCTAGAGCACACCTCTTGTCTTGTGTCCACCTCTCCTACAAACGTCTATCGACGGCACACTCCTTTCGCGCCTGGTTGCTTGCCATTCTCATCAGTATCTCCTGACATCTCGGGACCTCGGTGGCACGTTCCAGCTTCAGCATACAGCGACAAGTGGCCAGTGCCTCCCCACCAAATCACTTGTGTAATTGGTGTATGCGCGGACGGGTGTCCTTATTTGCACCTCACGTCCTCGCGAAGGTCTACTATGCGTGGTTTCCCATCCGAAATTCCAGATAGCCCTGGGCAATCAACTTAATACTGCTACACGATGGCCGCTTTTAAACACGAGAACGGCGGCGCGTCGGAGGGTCGCGAAACAGGCAGCGCGCAGGCGGGCAGCTCTGATGCGTCGAGGTCAGCCCGGAAGAGGACGAAAACCGGATGTCTCACCTGTCGAAAACGCAGAATCAAGTGTGATGAAGGCAAGCCCGTATGCAAAAACTGCATGAAATCAAAGCGACAATGTGAAGGCTATAACCAGCGAGTTGTCTTCAAGCCAGCCGATTTTCAATATCTACCACATGGTGGTGCAACGATAACTTTCGATGCTGGACTTTCTGGTATGCCTAACGAGCACAGCCATCACGGAGTATATCCTCCTCCACATCCTGGTTCCCAGCCACGTTCGCTCTCGGTCGCGTCACAAATGTCGCAACAGTATGGTCCAGTTGGAGATCTTATGGATCATCAGAGATCACCGCCAATAAATCAACATGCAGGTTTCGACCCAATGTTACATGGCATGTCGCAGCATCAAGCACGATTTGAGCAATCTCCGGATATGCAACCGTTCATGGAAGGAAACTCGACATTCTCTCATGGAATACCGGTTGACAATGGTCCACCAAATCCAGCTTTGTACCAATCTATCCCGGAAAGTTCACCATATATGGAACAATATCCTACCACCGGCTGGCAGCAGGATGTGCAAGGCCACTTTACGCCAGTGCTCTGGTCCAATGCATATGTCAACGATGATCAACAGCCGATAGGTGTTCCACATCAGTGGCACGGAGAAGGCTTTGTCAGTCCAAATATACCGGAACCAACTCCGACACCTCCAGGGGCATTTTATGGTTACGAGACGACAACAGAGCGAACACATCCAACACAGCACCAAATACCTCCACAAAACATTCCTGTCATGGCTAACAATGCACCCTTGCAAACACAGCCTGATCGTAGTGGAATTCTAAATGAGGCAGCTATTGAAGTCCATGACGAGGACTACTATGATGTTGATACTGAGGACGAGATGTTTGATATGGATAACGAATTCGAGGCACAAAACATCAATGGGGGAAAAGCACGCACTCACGGCTATTCCAAATATGGACTCGATGCAGCCAAAATGGATGCCCGGCAATTTGACACATTTGTGTTCAGCGGCGCCATAGACAGCTACCGACCCGAGCATGTTGCGAATCCATTGAAAAATCCAGCCACGGCCAGGGTGTTTGCTCATTTCATGTCAGAAACTGCGACGATATTGACCACTTCGGCAAGACAAATTTGGCGACTAAATCCATCTTCTTCCGACAGCAAGGCTATGCCAATGGTACGGAAGTGTATTTGGACACACACTTTACCCATGGCAGCGCTGCATCACCAAGGTCTTTTGCAGTCGATGCTTGCGATATCGAGCTTGCAAATAGCAAAAATACAGGGTGCTTCCGAGACACCCTCACTCAAGCACTATGCATACGCCCTCAAGAGGATTCACAGTTGCGTTGGCAATCCAAAGAAGAGACTTTCGGTACCCGTCCTCGCGGCATCACTATTGCTTGGTTACTACGAATGTATGGCTGCCAACCATGCTAATTGGCAGAGTCACATTAATGGCGCTCGACAATTAGTGGTGGAGATAGATTTCGCTGGGATGACCAAAACTTTCAAACAGATGAAGACTGTCAAGGCGCGGCAAGACCAACAGATGCCGCGATTTTCGGCTACTGGCATCCCGCAAATATCTCCAGATCAATCGCCACAAGACATACTGCTGGATCAGATGTACGAAGCTGATGAGAATATTGTTGGAGCAATCTGTGGCACTGGAGTCAGTTACGATAGATACGGTCACATTGGCGAAGCGATGCCACCTCCACAGCCTTTCAACCTGGAGACTTACGACACTCTGAAAGACTTGTATTGGTGGTATTGCAAGAATGATGCTTACCACAGCTTGATTAGCACTGACCCTTTGATGTATGCACTCAACTTCATATTTGTGCTTCCTCATGCTAACAATCTACAGNNGATGGATTATAGTCGATATACTGACTGCCCACCCCGAGCACCACTGGGCAGAGCCGATGCTCCCTATGGTTCATTTGATCATGTTGTGCTACTTCTCGCTCGAATCGCAGACTTTGCTGTTAGAGACAGAAAGAGAAAGCTCAAAGTCGAGAAATCGAGTATGGGATCCCCACTTGATAATGGGAGACGCACATCAAGCGCATCCAACAATGCATCAGCAACGCCACCACCGAACATGTTCTCTTCACGAGGAGTTTCACACTCACCAGCCAGCACGGCCTCCCACACATACGACAGCATAGATTTGAATCTTGCAACTGCAAACGCTCTTCAGGAATGGAACAGTATCAAAGCAGCCTTGGACTTTGTAGCTTCCAGTCTCGGTCCCTACTTCCAGCCCCTGGATGCCGAGTACCAGCCTCAAATCCACACACCGTTCGGACCAGCTCTCGTCTATCGCTCCTACGATATCAGCGCCTTCTGGGCAACTTACAATATGGCCATGATAGCAGCTCTTCGCAATCACCCAAATATGCCTCCAGCCGCCCACGTCGCCGCTGCCGCAGCAGCAGAACAAACAAAACCCTACGCCTTTTCCATTGGCCGCATATCAGCAGGTATGCAGACCTCGCCTGAAGACCAGCCGCTAGATCCTAGGATGGCCGCTGCGATGATCGATATGGTTATCCCCCAATTCTTCGCCGGCATCCAATACACCGATGCCTCTCAGCGTGCCTACCTTGTCGAACGCTACTTTGAAACAGATCGACGTATTGGCTGGGCTACTGCCAGTATCATCGCTGAAGGATGTCAGAGTGGCTGGATCCGCGCCGCAGACGCAGGACGGGGACCACCCCATGTACGCGTGAGCAAAGCCACCTTCTCCGACTTTAGAATCGGGCGGTATGGAAACGCTCAGGCGCAAGCTAGTAAGCAGCGGCTTTCTGAATGGGACGCCGAGAACGACAGGAAGTTTGTCAAGACAAAGACTAGCGCGCGTGTACATTGGGCTATCGGGTTGATGGGAACGGAAGAGGATGTTCCTGAGGAGTCTGACTAGGCGATGTTGTGCAGTTTGGTAGGACGAGATATGGATGATGATGAAGGAGGGAAAAATATTGCATTCACCACATTTCTCAACATTTTAGCAAGCTGCATCTTTCTATCGTCATGAGCTTCAAAATTACATGGTTTTGGCTACGTGGCCAGGCTTCCCCACTCAAGGATTGATGCTTCTGCTGTACTTTCATGCAAGTTTTACTCGAGATAAGCAATGCGGGCCCGATGCGAGTGGGGAAAGGATGGATGTGAAGAAAGCGCATTGACGATTAGCAAATCTATAACTCTCAAAACGCCATGGGAAATACAGCCACCACTTCTTCCAATTCACAATCACGCCTTCTGCTGAGCTTCTAACTCATGAGCCTGAGGACTAACTTGACTCCATGCTTTACCCAAGTGTCCTTTGGTAGCTTCTCCCTCGCCAATCTTTTGTCCTTCGAAGCCAGTCTCGCCCAAGTACTCACACTCGAACACGCCAGTCAACTTGACGCCGTCTTCCTCGAATCTGATGAATTGAGTGGCATTTTCAGCCTCGACTGAGATCTCTGAGTCCGAGGTCTCACGGCCTCGCCACTTGTATTGGAAAGTGCGGTTTTCAGCAGAAGGAAGTTGGGTAGGCAAGAGATCAAAGGAAGTGCGCGGAGTAGGATTAGCTCTAACAGTTGTAGGAGACATAAAACGGATAATGCCTTGATAGAGACCCATGTTGAAAGTAGCCCACAGCTGGTAGGTTCCCAGACGTGCTTTTTGGGCTTCGGTGAGTTCGGCAGAGTCGGGGAGGTTGTCGTCGGTGATGGTTGCGGGAGACTCGTCGTCGGTGTCGTTATCGCTTTGGGGTCGAGTTGGTTCGAGGTGGATTGTGAGGGTCAAATCGGGAGATGAGGAACCGAGTTGTTCGGCGATGGCTGCGCAGGAGATCTTCCAGATTCCGGTCGGGTCGACAATGTCTTTTTCTGTTTGGGCTGATTGGGCTTGTTGTGAGACCCAACTGGCGATACGATCATCCTCGGTAGTTTCTTTGGTGGTTTCTTCGGTGACAGGCTGCTCTGTGCTTGTCTCCTGAGGCAGAGCACCTGACATCTTGGGAGTTGTCTCTTGTTCCCTAGGGTCCTTTCGGAAGACTGGTCTTGCTGGTACATCTTGGCTTCTGAGAACACTAAGTTGTTTTGCAGCCTCGATGTCCGCATTTGGTAGATTTGTCTGAGCAGCCTTGGTGCTGTTGTTGCTGGTTTTCTTCGAAGTGTAATCAATAGCAGGCAATTGCTGGCGAACGTCTTGCTGAGCACCAGGCAGCATCATCTGAGCCACGGGGGCTCTTTGTTCGCGAAGAGAGGGATCAATCAAGTCAGCCGGATTCTTAGGCTCGTCAGCTCCAGCATCTGCCTCGCCATCGTTCTCGGCCTCCTCTTCGGCTTCTTGAAGCTGTCTCTTGTTCTGACGCTGAATGTCTCGAACTTTGCCAGCAACCGCCATCCTCGAGGCTACTCGACCAAGAACAATCCAGCTCTCAGTTGGTCCATCCTTGCGTGCTTGTGTATCGAACATTTCGACATGCAGACCCATGGCATCGGCCTTGGCCCACATGTCACGTCTCGTACCCGGAGCGACTTTGAGAGCTAGAACGTCTTCCCCATTCCCGAGAAACTCCTTCAACAGTCTGGTCGAATTGATCCAGGCTTTTGCTTCGGGAGTTTTTGCTGCATTCCATTTGATGTCTTCGCTCCTGAGCTTGAGCCTTTCTCTGTCTGCAGCAGTGGTGACGACGCGCTTTTTCTTGACGGCTCCATTGGCTCCAGCTGGACCAGCAGCGGCCTTATCCTGAGGGGCCATGCTAGGTATGAAACTCCAAGATCTGTGACGCGACACAACAAAACTTTTGATAGGATGCTTGGATGGGGAGAATGTTGGAGTGCAAGTTCGCGTTGTTGGTTCGGTGACCTTGGAGGTTCGCAGGCCTTTGCCGCAACGCCAAGCCCTACCTAGCTTTTACCCGGCGTTAGATTAGTATTCCGAAGCCGACGACGATATTACTCGAGCACGAATGCTTTGATGCTTGAGATAACTCTTGTAATCATGCGTGGCGAGTCTCCGAGGTGTTAGAGGTAGGACGATGGTGCAAGAGTTTAGTTGTCACATGATTGCAGAAAGAAGGGGGAAGAATTGGAGGATTGCAGAGGATCACAGCAATTTGTATGCAGCTTACCACTTCGAATCGTGGAAATCGAAAACTCGGATACCTGGCACCATCAGAACTCCTCAACTCACCAGACTTGGGGAAAAGTCATTCTAAGAGCATATGAAAGCACTACAGGTCGTATATATACAACAAAAGAAAGCAATTCGGTGCCGACCACCTCGATTATTAGCAGCCAGGGTGATCAGAGTAGCATCCGTGAACTCTAAAAAAACACAGCTCGGAGGTCAAGACTCGACTGCTCTGCCCAGCGAACATGCATGAATATTGACAGAATCGATATCTATCGGCAAAGCACTGTTGTCCGTATAGACGGCTGATTTAGGATGATGATGGGCGGTGTAGACGTTCGAGGAAGCTCTAGGGGGATGATAGGCTAACGAACGGTGAAACAGTCACTGGTTATTCTTGATACGACTCTTACGTATGGACATCGTCGACTCGACGGTGTCTTTGATACTGTTGGGTATATTTGAGAGACATTTTGCGAATCATATGGACAAGCGCAAAGATGATAGTGGTCGAAAGAGCCATGTTTACTTCTGTCAACAAAGGTTGAGTTTGCAGGAAGCGGGGAAAAACAGTCAGCGTCATCAAGCAGATGGTTTGATCGGACGCACAAGGGTGAGCACGCACGCCTTTTCGCGGGTGCTCTTTTGACAACGAATGTTCAGCGGAGGTGATAGAAACGGATGCAACGTTGACCCTTTACTGCCCCTATTCTCAATCAAGCTGTTAAAGACTTGGACTCGACTCTGCAGTATTTCGAGTGGTTCAAGAAGAGCTGCAGGACAAAGCGATTGTTGGAGGGCCTTTGTTGATCAAGCGCGTCAGTCAACAAAACAGCACGTCCGTCGCTGACAGCGTCTCGAGGCCTGTTTGATCCAGACCCAACAAATCCACCCATATCGAGCAGCCGTGAGGAACAGACGTTATCAGCATCGACAAGACTCTCTAAAACGAGACAGACCCTACGACCAAAGCAGAAAACCATCGATATTCGCTGAGGTCGACGAGATCAGGCCTGCTCTCATCCCCACGCAAATTTGCGGAGGCAAACTCTTGGCCCGCTCTTGAGACGCGATCGCTTGCGGCTTTCCACCATCCGCTTGCTTTTTCCCGTCACTCCGACATCACAGACGCGACCCAGCGACGTCTCTGTCAACACAACCTTCTTGTTATTTCTGCAGCACACATCACACAACACATCACCATGCCGCCGTCGAATCGGCGCACAAGACCGGCGCGCAAGGCCGCCGAAGTGGCCGCAGCAGCCACCGCTACCGCAGCCGACGTGTCTGACGCCGACACTCCCGAATCCATCGCTACACCCTCGCGCACTTCTCGCAAGAGAGCGCGTGCCAACGACGCTCCTACTTCCAATGGCCGCGCAGCTACGCGCAGAAAGGTCACGACTGCCCGCGCCAACGAACGCGAAGATACCGAAGGCACCGAAGCAAATGAACAATCCGACGCAGAGACAGAACCCTCGACCCCTTCCGAGGTCGATGTCATCTCCAAGCTGAAGGTCTCGGACAAGCAAGTAAACGCGACACACGACTTCTCCAACGACCTACTCGAGGGCAGAGAGCACGTGCCTGGCTATGGTAAAATCGCCGGTCGCAACTGGACATACATCATCCAAGGCGTCGAGATCAACATCGGCCGTCCCGAGTCACACGAGAAGGCCGAAACTCTCAACTCTCCCATAATCCAGTCAAACGACCCTTCGGCAAAGTCGAGAATCTCCATCGATCTCGGTCCCGACCGACAGGTGTCGCGCCTCCACGCCGTCATCTCATACGATAGCGAGCAGGAGAAGTGGTTTATTACTGTCAACGGCCGTAATGGCCTCAGAGTTGACACACAACTCCTCAAGCGTGGCAACCGCGCTGCTTTGCGTTCTGGTTGTGTTATCGACATTAGTGGCACTCAAATGGCCTTTATTACCACTGCTCGCCATGAGGATGATGGCCCCGTTTTCGCTGATGCGATTGTCCGCCAGACCTACACATCCGAGGAAGAGGACCACGAAGCCGACGGCCGCAACGGCAACCCTCCGCCAAACCCGTCGTCTCACATGCCCGGTCCGTCCTCGTCAGTGCGTCGCCCTGCCCATCCTTCATCTAGCTTCCCCGATGGAAGTACTGGCCACCGCGTACACCCTCATTCATATGCAGGTCTGCAATCACAGTCGTTCCCCATACCGGGCACTCCGATTCGCAACCACGGCATGAATATTCCTACATCACAGCGTACTCGACCATCTCCTCTCTCCACTGGAGGCTACTCTCGCGGCGTCATGCTCGAGTCGACCGAGTCTATCGATTACTCTGCAGACAGCGCCAAAGATCTCAAACCTCCCCACTCGTATGCCCAGTTGATCGGTATGGCTATTCTTTCTACTGGTGAACAGCAGATGACGCTCAACAACATCTACAAATGGATCATGGCGAATTACGCCTTCTACCGCTACAGTACCAGTGGCTGGCAGAACTCGATTCGCCACAACCTCAGTCTCAACAAGGCCTTCGAGAAGATTGCCCGTCGCACCGACGAGCCTGGCAAGGGTATGAAGTGGATGATTTCGCCTAAGGAACGTGACACTTTCCTCAGCCAGGGCATGAAGGGCTGTCGCAGACCNAATCCGCTGCCTTCTGGCATGATTGACCCGTCGAGTCCTGCTCAACTGCATCCGCCTTCTTCCGCTCATCAAAAGTTGAATGGCGCTGTTCACGCTGTCCCTAGTAAGACCGAGAAAAGCGACAGCCCTCCTATGCACACCTATCCGTCCTCGTACCCGACCGCAACCGAGGCTTACACGCCTGATCGAGGTTCCCGCCGTCCCGTCAAATTTGACGAAAACGACCCAGAGCTTGTTTACCCTCCTTCGGCGAAGAGTACTCTTAACCACCTAACTGCTGTTGCTAATGCTGCTGGTTCTCCGCCTTCGCTTTACATAAACGATGACGGTCGTATTGGACCGCTTGACACACCTTTTCCAGTGCGCAGCAGCCAAAAGCTGGCGCCACCTTCAACACTTCAACGTCCTTCGGCATTCATGGAGTTTTCCTCGCCCGCTCCTTTCTGGAAGTTCGGCTCAACTCCCTTGCGCCCACTTGCAGATATCAGCCCCTTGAAGGCAACACCATTCTCGTCTTTCAAGCCTCTGGGGATGGGAGCTAACGTGAAGATTCTTGACGAGGATGACAAGAGTGCCGTTGACAAGAAGAGCATTCTGGACGAAAAGGATGATGATATGCCTGCTATTCAATCTAGCTCACCTCCTCGCGCATCAGGTGTTCCTGATCGTATCGATGGCAGCCCTACTCGCAGTATTCCAAGACCGGCAACGAGCCACAGCCGTTCAGCCAAGCTCGAGTTTGACTCGGAGGAGCATATCGGTACCAGCATGGCTCCTGAGAGCAACGAAAGAACTTCTTTCGAGCGCGAGACTTCTCAATCGCAGAAGAGAGAACAAAGCGTCATGACAAATCCGTCTTTCAATGCTCCTCAGCTGCAGCCTCCTCAACAGCAACAGTCTGAATCTGAGCAGCAGCAAGAAGTTCAGTCAGGTAGTCAGCAGCAGCAAATGCAGGCACAGTCGCAGATGCAACAGCAACACGAGCAATCAAGCATGCCTGCACCTAACTCTATGCGTCCTCCTATGCAGACGCTGGGTAATGGCAATAACCAGCAGCAAGCAGCAGCTGCGCCCAATACTAGCAACATTCTCAACAGCCACGCTTACGCGACAAACAATATGAACGGCATGCAACAGAACATGGGTTCTCTCCGTTATGGCGCAGATACCGACGATGAAGCTGGCATTGATCTTGCTAAGTAAGGATTATTTTTACCAAAGTGAGAGATGACGAACTAACACGTATACAGGGGCTTCCAACCTATTGGCACTTTCCACAAGATCGGAGCAGCTAGATTCGGCATGGGCATGGCAGGTCGTTAGATGCCACCTGAGCTACACAGCTGGCAGCAGCATCCAATGTACCGCACAGCCAACAGTGGAAAAGGTGGTACGAAAAAGCACACGCAACTTTGAAGAAGCGATGAGATGTGAACGACGAAATGGAGGTACATAGGTAAAGAATAACGTCTGGGCAGGAGTTCTATTGGAGGTTGGTTGATTCGAGTTTTGTTTCATGGGAAGCACAAGATGGCGTTTTGGTAATTCAAGGATCAGGTTTCTGTTCTGTTGGAGAACAGAAGTATAGAAGGTGTAGCTCTGGAGAGCTTAGCATGACAGATTCAGCAAGATTCGTAGGCACGATGTACGAAACCATGTTTTTCTTTGTGATACAGGTCCCTGATGGTGGTTTGACAGATGGACGCTCTGGAAATGACGCGGCAAAGGGTCCAAATGGTTCGCGCATGGTGCCAAGGAACAAACGGCCCAGCCACATTTTGGGATTGGGGGGACGGCTTGATTACGATATACGGAGTATCGTTTCCAGTCTTGTCGTTGATTGCATCTCGCGACGTGTCGTGTCTCATACGGCGTTGGGCAGCGATTCTTGTCGACCATCTCGTCGAGCGCAGAGAGTCGTCGAAGCAGGCGGCAATCTATATCGCACCGCAGGCTGTCATCGATCCACAGACGACTCACGCCATCTGTCAGCCAACATGAACGCGCTCCGCCAGAAGTGCCGACCGAAACATCAGGTTCTGATCCTGAAGTGCTACCCCAAACTACCCAAGAACCCGGCAGGCAATGCGAGCGAGGCAAAGCCGAACGGCAGCGAACTCAGCTACCTTGTCTACTACGCGTCGAGTCGCAGGGCCAAACTCACAAAGGTTGGCAGTTTCCTGGAGAAGCGCACCGCCTCAGATATCTACAAGGGCAGGATAGGAGCAGTCCACGTCACCCTGGGAATCTTGACCGCCTTCCTCAACTCGTCCAGCATCTCCTCAGTCGACACCTTCCCCCTGTTGGCCCCTCATGTCCTTACCATCCTGCAAGAAGTGCTGGGCCACTCCAACGATACCGGTCTGATTGAAGCATGTCTCCCCGTGTGGGACGCTTTCTGTCGTGATCAGGACCATGCTACGCTCGCCGCCGACGTTCAATACCGCCAGCAATTTGCCGATGTCGTCAAGAGATGGACAACATATGCCGACAAGAAGAACAAGGAGGCTGGTGGATCCAGCGATGCTCTCAAGCTACGCAAAACTGGTCTCGAGGCATTGCGCAGTATCGCCAAAGCACAAGCCCTTGCCAGCGAGCCAGGTCGCCAAATCGCCGTCTTCCTACCCGCCGTTCTACGCAACCTCTACTCGCAGGATGCCACGTACCTGACCACCCTCGACGAGCGATTGACCGAGCAAAAGCATGCTCAGCAAGGACTACGTCCCAGCATGCAGACCATCCGCAGTACAAACACAAAAGAGGAAGGAGACCCCCGTGCTGCTGGAGGCACTGCTCAAGAGGCTGATCGTTTTGCCGAGGAAGAGGCTGGTGTACTGGCTATGCAATGCTTCAAGGCATTATTCGACGTTGACAATCGTGCCCAAGTCCGATTGGCAACTTTGAGTATGCTTGAATACATCTCTCAACATAACGCTGGTCATGCCTGGTCTGTTGCTCTGGTCAAGCTGGCATGCGAATGCACTCCTGTCCAGGATCGCTTTGTTGTCTTGTTCACTGCTGTCGATATTCTGATCCACAGCCCTATCGTTGAGGATTCTCTCCAGCAACAAATTGTCCTAGCTGTCATTGTCGAGCAGATCCTTGGCTCCAACATCAACCTGATAGGCTTGTCAGTCATGGACATCCTGCTTGGCTTAGTACAACACGTTCTTCTAATTCTACAGCTTGGTACCACTCAACCCAATCTGAACGGTTCCAGCGAGAAGCCGAAATCCCCTGTTATGGAGGTTGTCAAGACTCCTTCTCCCATCAGAGTCGAGTTGCTTACTCACTTGCGTCAATGCATTGTCAATCTCGCAAAGCATGTCTACTACACAGACCAAATCTCGGACATGGTTTCGGCCCTTCTACTCCGCCTGAAGCCCGCATCTGCTGGCTCCAACATGCCCGCTGCTACCGCAAATGCTATCGAGGACCCCACTGGTGCTTCCCACGAATCTGCCGCTAACAGTGGCTTGAAGGAAAGACCTAACACTGATGGCTTCTTCTCCTTTGATACCGCTCGAGAGGTTGCACTCGACTCGGTTAAGCGCATTCTCATAGTTGCCAACAGCAACGATCCTTCGGCCAACGAGTCTACCAAGAACCAGAATCCTGTCCCCATCGGAGTCTGGGAGGGTACTCAGTGGCTCCTGCGTGATTCATACCGTCCAGTACGTGTGGCTTATGTAGACGCATTGTGCACATGGCTTGACCTTGAAACTCGTGCATCGGACTCGAAGATCGAGGAAAAGACGACTTCTGAGAAGCAGAAGCGGGACAATACCAACGGTAACAACATGGCCCGCAGAGCAGTATCTAATGCATCAGCACGTGGGCGCGGCTCTAGGAAGAGTCGCTCCTTCTTCCTGCAACTCCTCCATCTTGCAATCTATGAAGATGCTTTGCATCTTGCCGATCGTCCCGAGGCGGATCACGAGTTCTTGCTTCTGCACTACCTACTTGCATCCATGGTTGCCAAACTCGGCATCAATGCTGTTCGATCTGGTCTTCCCATGGTTTTCCGTCTGCAAGAAGACATTCAAGCTATTGAAAACCCCAAGGCCAAAGTTCGACTTGGTAGCTTGGTCCATGGTTACCTGTGGGCAGTAGCGCATAAGTTCAACTTCGAGCATTCCGTCGTCGGCAATGAAGTGCAATCCGAAGTTGTTCGTAGACAACAAGCTGGAATCTGGGTCCATGGTCTTCAGGTCCCTGCTGTGTCACTGGCAAGAATCGCAGAGGTGGCCGCATCTGCTCCTACACAGTTGACAGCGACTACTGTTGAGTCTCAAGCTCTGAAACCCTTCGACCATCGCGAACAATTTGTCGAACGCATTTCAGACACTTACAGCGCAAGCGTCGCTTCACCTCCAGGTACACCCGGTAGTCCCGGACGCAGTTTCTCTCTACCTGCCTTGAACATTGCACCCAACGACTTCCTGGCCGCTCCTAGCCGATCCAAGGCTGATCTTCCACAGTCATACATTGATGAGCTTACAGCAGTCTGGACGAAGGAAGAGCTCCTCGCAACCGTCGCAGCTGCAGCACCCAAGTCGACATCCTTAAGTGGTTCGCGTGCTGGCACTACGTCTGCACACCCATCAGGCACCAATCTTGTGGCCTTGGGTGATCATCGCCGTCTGCTCGCCGCTGCAAACACTTTCCCTTACCAAAGTCCTCGCAGCACTTCCGAGACTTTCGGCAATGGTGGCACATCGAGATCTGGCCCTGCGAGAACCGGTACTAGCCACTCACAAGTCCGCAGTCGACTCGTCAGCCGAAGCCCTGCAGGCCGTCGCCCCAGTAATAGCACATCTGGCCATGGCGACGGTGCCAGCAGCGTCACAAACTCAGGAGCCATGCGCATCGAAGAGCTGAAGCGCGTCCTCGCCGGTCAGGCACCGCCTTCATCCGCTATGTCCATGCACCGTGCAGGCGCTGGCGACGACTCGAGCGAAAGCATGATGGATGTCGAAGACGGCGAACTCGAAGACGACGCTAGTGATTATAGTCCTCCACCTCACCGCCAAGCTACCCAAGATACTGTGCAAAGCTCGAACACAATGCAACCACCACCTGCACCTGCTCTTAGACTCAACAGTGGCGAGGTAGTCACCAATGGCACTTTGCCTTCAGCACCTGTCTCCGAACGAGGTCGTCAAGAAAGTCTAGTCAACAGACCTGCTAGCCGAAGAGTCGCCAGCAGAAGTTCTGCCAGAGGCTTTGGCGGTGCCGCTAGCACACACGGCAAGAAAGACCTCAGAGACTTGTTGTCTTCCATTGGTACGGAAGAAGATGTCGAAGGTGGCGAGGGTGTTAGCAGAGCACCGTATTAGAATTTGTTGCTGCTGTTTCGAAGGGAAGTTATAATGGGAAAGGAAAGTGGATCATGAGAGAGAGAGTTGTGTGTTGTTTTTGGATACCCCCCACCTGGACATTGGTTTGTGTAGCGAGATTTTTGTTTGAAGAAACTAAAGTATATAGTGATTTTATTGCGTACCCTTTTTATATTCTGTCTTAAGTCTTTTCCTCTGCTCTTTTGCTGTGAGTTGTTTAGAAGACTGCTATGAGTCTGCGCAGAACTTCAATATTGGTGTTTGTGCAGATTGATGTTGAAGCAGACAGAAGGCTTTGTAGCCATTCAACAAGAGTCGATTGCATTGCCTTTCCGAAAGACTAGTGGATTCTTCTGGTATCCCTTTCTAATACCAATATTGGTTTCAGCTGCTAACGTCTGATCTCTTGACGATCGCCTTTGCTTGGGCTTTGTCGTGACAGATCACTGCTTTGATTCAGAAGGAGCGCTTGTATAGCGAGAGACTATGGCGATGAAGAATGTTTTGGCTTGGTCAAGAAACACGCCTTTGTCTTTAGAGATAGGTCTCCCACTTCAACGAGCTAGGGGCGATTCAGATTGGGTGTTCGAGGAAATGTGAGTTTTGATTCTCATGAGCTACAGTTTTTTGTCCTTTTGGTGTTGTTCTTGTCTTTTTGCTTGTGGGATTGTGTGGGTAGAGGTACTATGGGAGGGTTTTGGTATATATGGATGTTTCATCTCCAGCTTTTGGATGACAATGCTTTAATGGTATGCTTCCCAGTCTAGACGTGTAGTATGGTAGTGTTTGAGTAAGGAGTTAACATTGAGAGCCAGGTATGTGAACAAGCATCAAAAATGCACAATAGTTGATGGGAATAGAGTGAATCCACTAAGAGCACAACAGATCGTCGGCTCTCTCTGGAAACCTATGATATCAGGATATATTTGTGCATTTTTATAGCTTAGATATAAGCTTTGGTTCATTTGGTAGCAACGAGAAACAGCCATATTCGTATTAAAGCTAAGCTAAGGAGAGAGTAGAAAAGCAGAAAACAGCAGTCATCGGTGAGGTGAGCATGGATGTATATCTGACATATGACTTCTGTTCGCTCAGATGGGACATCCATGTGGCCCATCCCAATCAACATCCCAAAACGTACATTCTTTGGCCGCACCTCTTGAACCAGCGAACACTGGACTGATAGCTCCCATACCCATCTGGTGTACCTCAGCTTCCAAGGTCTCCAGCTGACTTCCAAACACTTCCTCAAGCACAGCTCTTAATACCTCATCATCTGTCGATTCTCCAAATGAAACCACATCCTGAATGGTTTCAGAGAATCCCCACTTTTNGGGAAACGGCATTCTGATAGTTGCCTCCAGAGCATGTTTCATTGCCTCAAATCTCTCTTCTCTGGATAAGTCGCTGCCGCTGCCGAGAGTCTTGTTGTGATAACTTCTGACTTCGTCATAGTGCTCGCATTCTTCCTCTAACAGAAAAACGGAAAAAGCAGCTCGGTTGTGGTTTATGGCTATGAAGAGGCGGTTATCGAAAGAATCATGATAGATGTCTTCGCAGGATGCTTTGATATCGTATGCTGTAGCTGCGGCGTTTGCGGACAAGAAGGATGGGAGGCCTAGTCTTAGACCCAAGGTTGAAGCTGCTGAGCTTAGGGTGTTCGTATACGTGTCGGAACTCTCCAGGGGTACCGGGCTTGCAACTATAACGTAGCCAATTGGTGCTTCGAGGTATGCTTCTGTTGCTGTTTTGAGGGCTTTGAGCATCCAGAGTAGGCATTCAGCTTCTGGAGTTGGCGGCGGTGGTGGCTTTTCTGGCCATAGCGAAGATACATAGTCAATGGCGTTCTGCAGATCTTGAGGGAGCACGTATTTGGGTGATTTAAAAGGTGGAGGCGGAGGTCGAGGGGATCTGTCGTTTGTGGTGGATAGATTACGCATGATTTCTTTATAGGAGGCTCCTCCTTCGATTTTGACGACGTCGTGGGCAGAGCCATTTGCGAAGTGTATACTAGCAGTACTTTGTATGTGATGCATTAGTCCCTGTCGTATACTCGAGTATCTGTTCAGTAAAGTCTTACCCATAGTCTAGTTCTAGATTAAACCCGACTCCAGCATCCAGATACCATGCTGATGTTGTGGAAGCAAAGAGAAGAAGCAAGACAAAGCATGGCAAGTATCTTCTCGACAAGTACATGGTGAATGAAGACTGCTCCTGCTTCTTACAACGGTGTGTTGTTGATGTATCTTGCTGATGGACAAGACAGTAAGGATGACAAACGACGATGTTAACTCAAAACATGAAGAAAAGTTGCCGAGATGATCGCAGCTTTGCATTAGATTATACAAGTGTTCTTCTTTAGCAGAAAAGAATGACAGCTGTTTCAACTTCTGTGGTTGCCTAACACCTCGAGTCAAGCGTTGCACGCGCGCGCTTGGAATGGAGCGAAGCGCTGCTGAAAGCCTGAAAAGTCCACTTTCTGACACCTCGTCTGATGGCTGTACAGGTCCTGATGGATACGCAAGTGTGTTTTGAAATTCTTCTTCAAGAGTCCAATTGGTTTGACCAGACAATTCTTGCAAAATGGTACTTCAAAAAAAAGTAAAAGCTTGCGCAGACTTCCATTGTAGTCAATATCAAATTCGCAATGCTCCAGCCAGATGCTGTTCGTTTAAGACAAATAACGAATAGGGTAATAGAGACTCGCTCGACCCGCCAGATGGAATCTCGCTCGATCAATGCTTGAATGAGGACTCTGACAAGTCCGGACTTGGCAGAGTTGGTTGCTAGGATCCAGTCTGTGACTCAAACATCATCAGATACAACAATATGTTGATACAGTCATACGAAGGTGATTTTTCTTCGATAGAAAGTGTTCATGATTGTTTTTGAAAAGAGGCAAATGCTCGTGCTCATCTGCAATTTCGTTATACGAGAGAGCTCCACACGTGACTCACGGAAAACAGAGCTCTCTCCAGATTTTGTGAAAGCTCCTTCCACCAAGAAAAAGCCTCGGCCGTTTCCGACCTGCCATTTTGAGAAGAACACGCGACTTCTTTCAATTAGGCCGCTGCTGCAAAACTTCTATCATCTCTGTGAGACAGATGAACAAGGCCCTTTCTTCTTTGTTCAAAGTCTTCGCCAAACCATCAGTTTCTGGACCTCCGAAACTTACTGCAAGCTCGAGGACGTTCGCAACAATGCACAAATCCCCCGCGGCGATGCTGAACCGCCCTATCGCGGATGATGTGGACATCTCGATCCATCAGCCTAGAGATCCCAACACATTGAGCAACTACAATGTCTGGAGAACCAAGCATGTGACTGCAGATCTGGAGCTGGAGTTTACCAAAAACAGATGTGTTGGTACCATCAAGCTCGAGTTGGAGAGGCTCGAGAAGGGCCAGGGAAGTGGAAAGGTTGTTCTTGATACCAGCTTCCTCGATGTCCACGAAGTCAAGCTTGCTGGCAAGAAGGCCAAGTGGAACCTTGGAGAGAGATTCGAGCCTTATGGAAGTCCTCTTACTATCGAGATCCCTGACAACCACTCTGGAGATGCTGAAATTGAGGTTACCATGGCTACTACCGACAAGTGCACCGCTGTCCAGTGGATGACACCTGAGCAAACCTCCAACAAGAAGCACCCTTACATGTTCTCTCAATGTCAAGCCATCCACGCTCGCTCGCTGTTGCCTTGCCAGGACACTCCTGACGTCAAGTCGACCTTCACTTTCAACATCCGCTCGCCTCTTCCCGTCCTCGCCAGCGGTCTGCCTACTGGAAATAAGGACTTCCGTCCTGGTGAGGGTGATGCTCCCGGCACCCTTTTGTACACTTTCGACCAAAAGATCCCCATGCCTGTGTATCTCTTTGCCCTCGCGAGTGGAGATCTTGCTTCTGCTGCTATCGGTCCTCGCAGCTGCGTTCACACTGGTCCTGAGGAGCTCCTGGCTTCGCAATGGGAATTCGAACCTACCGAAAAGTTCATTCAGGCTGCCGAGAAGATTGTTTTCCCTTATGCTTGGACTCAGTACAACGTGCTTGTTCTGCCTCCCAGTTTTCCTTACGGTGGAATGGAGAACCCCATCTTCACCTTTGCCACACCGACTCTTGTCTCTGGCGACCGTGAAAATGTCGATGTCATTGCACATGAACTTGCCCATTCGTGGTCCGGCAACTTGGTCACCAACTGCAGCTGGGAGCACTTCTGGTTGAACGAAGGCTGGACCGTCTACCTGGAGCGCAGAATTCAAGCTGCTATCCATGGCGAACCTCACAGAGACTTCAGCGCCATTATCGGCTGGAAGGCCCTAACAGACAGTATCGAAGGCTACGGAGCTGAGCACGAATACACAAAACTGATCCCTGACCTCAAGGGCAAAGACCCCGATGATGCATTCTCCAGCATTCCCTACGAGAAGGGCTTCACTTTCCTCTACTACCTTGAGAAGCTTACTGGCAAGNNGGAGAAGTGGGACAAGTTTATCCCCCACTATTTTACCACCTTTGCTCAAAAGTCTCTTGACTCGTACGAGTTCAAGGCTACTCTCCTGGACTTCTTCGCAAAGGACGAGAAGGCCACCGACAAGTTGAACTCTGTCGACTGGGACACCTGGTTCTACAAGCCTGGTTACCCTCCCAAGCCTGATTTCGACACCAGCATGGTAGATGTCTGCTACGACCTTGCCAACAAGTGGGAGTCTCTGAACGGCGGAAACTCGGACTTCAAGCCCTCAGCCTCGGACATTTCGTCCTGGTCAGCCAATCAGTCCGTCGTGTTCCTTGAGAAGATTCAGACCTGGAAGACACCTCTTTCGCCTGCTCTGGTCGAGAAGATGGGAGAAGTATACTCGTACGCTGCTTCAAAGAATGTCGAGGTTGTCAGTAGATATATGATTGTCGGTCTGAAGGCAAGATGCGAGAGTGTATACATTCCCACCACGGAATTGCTCGGCAGAGTTGGTCGCATGAAGTTTGTGCGTCCACTCTATAGAAACTTGAGGGAGTGTGATGAGAAGCTGGCCCAAGAGACGTTCGAGAAGTACAAGGAGTTCTACCATCCCATTTGTAAGGACATGGCTAGCAAGGACGTCTATGGAAAGGGTCGCGGTGTGGTACGAGCGGCTCAATGAGGAGTTCCAGAAATAAGCTTGCTGATTATAATACATTCTACGTTGCATCATCAGCTGGTCATCTTAACGCCATGTCTCACGATAGACTTGGGCTTATTCTCATCCCAAATCTCGGATTGGTTAACAGATCTCGCAAACATACGGTTATTCGCAAGTGCGTCTGACGGTGGAAAGTCCGAAAAGGTTCAATTCTTTATGTAATACCGAATGTACGAAAGGAGTAAGCATGAACCTTGATGTGGACTCCTCGCGTATAACAATGTGAGGATCGGCAACGTGTTGGTTCCCAAGGTCAGACAAGCCTTTTTCATGCGGAGAAATTGCTTGATCTGGGCTTGGCGATGTTCTTCGCAGTCCAGACCGATGGCCTGATTTGACCTCACCTGTTCAATCAGCACAAAGGCCAGTGATTCTTGCGAATACTGGTAGCCGTGTTCAAGGCAAGGCCAAGGGATTCAGGTCTTATTAGAGATGCAGCTCATTGTTTTCGTCGGACGTTTGCGTCTGACTACGTCTAAGTTTTGCTGGATTCCGCACCACTCCGCGACGTTGGCGCCGCATACGGACGCCCAAAGCCTATACCGCGCGAGTGTACAGATGAGCGCCGCGCGTCCAGTGTTGTTGCAGCTTACAGGCCACGCGTATACGGAAGGCTGGCCTGGCCGGGTCTGCGCTTTCCTCGGACAATGTTTACATTACACGTGGGATGTCGATATTTCTCGATTCGTAAATGCCTCTGATCGAAATAGCTGAGAGTTTTGTCTGGCAGTCACGCCTTCGATGGTGTCACTTGCCTCTGTACTCCCATAACTCCCTTTACATCTCCTCGCAAATCGATTGTTTGCTAACCTAACAACTTGTCAATTTATTGCACGTCACTCGTTTGACCTGATCTTCGCAGGACCTGTTGTACAGAGGAACAGTGGCGCTTTAGCGGCCCCTTGCAACGATGCCATACCTAATACCACACCCTTCCGACAACAAACCGAAGATTGATTCACGAATTCTCATAGGAGATGCACCTCTGGATGTCGAACCGATTGCACCAGCATCAGTGACGACCCTTCCACAACTATTTCAACACAAAGCAAGAACACAGCCCAACAGCATTGCCTACTCCGTCCAGACCGAAAATGGATTGCACACCATAACATACGCCGAAGCAGACGCCAAAGCCTCATCACTGGCCAATTGTATCGCAGCACTCTCTCAACATACCGAAGATAACAAAGCACCGACAGTGGCCATCTGGCTAGAAAAGGGGGTCGATCTCATTCTCGCCATCCTTGCAACAACATATTCAGGTGCCACATGGCTTCCGCTGGATCCCGATGTCCCTGCCGAGCGTGCTGCTGTCTGTGTTGTCGATGCTTCAGTCTCTCTGATCATCTCTGATGCTACACACGCTGATCAAGTCCGAGAAGTACAAGAACGAGTCGCAACAACGAATCGGGATACTGGAGTACCTAGCCTTCAGTGTCGCACTATCTCTGAACTGTCTACAGAAGCACAATCACAACAAATTCAGAATGCAGCTCCAATACCTGGTCCCCGACCACAAGATGCTGCCTACCTTATCTATACTTCAGGCACTACTGGAATGCCCAAGGGTATCGCCATTCCACACTCTGCTGCACTGATGTTCTCTCTCAGTGAGCGAGAAGTCCTGGAAACAAGCTCGAGTGACATCGTCTGGAATGGCTTCAGCCCAGCCTTCGATATGTTTGTCGAAGAGATGTGGGTGACTATTGCGGGAGGAGGTCATCTCGCTATCGGCACTCGTGCTGAATGCAGAGACGTACCTGCTCTGCCTGCAGTCTGGGCGAAACGTGGTGTCACGGTTGTCAATGCGGTACCGACTCTCATCGGCATCATGAACATCGCACGATCTGACGACGGTGACTCTCTTCTTCCGTCATCTGTCCGTCTCATCAACCTCGGTGGCGAAGCTTGCCCACCCGCACTGGTGAAGAGCCTCGCGAAGCCTGGCCTTCGCATCATCAACACATATGGTCCAACCGAAACTACCGTCACTGCCACTTGGGATGAACTCCAACCCGATGTTCCTGTCACCATCGGCAAGCCGCTGCCCGGATACCACGCCTGTCTACTACCAATCTCTGAAGATGGTCCTTCAGCTGCTCTCGAACTCCTCGAGTGGCAAGAAGGTGCTGAAGGAGAACTTGCCATCGGAGGTCCTTGCGTTGGCCTTGGCTACGTCGGACGTCCTGATTTGACATCACAGAAGTTCATCGCTCACCCTCTAAGAAGTGAGAACTCAGAGAAGATCTACCGCACTGGTGACCGTGTACGACTGCAGGCTGATCGCAAAATCATCTTCCTTGGTCGAATCGACACCCAGGTGAAGCACCGTGGATTCCGTATCGAGCTTGGTGAGATCGAATCGCGGCTCTACGACGTACCGGATGTGCAAGCTGCAGCTGTCATCCTAGCCAATGCTGGCTCAGAATCTGCTCGTCTCGAGGCTTTCGTGGTTCTCAAGGACGGTGCTGCTCGTGATACCGCCACAATCCACCAGATCGCGTTCGACAGTCTGCCAGCCTACATGCGTCCAGAGGAAATTTTCTTCATCGAAGCGGATGAGATGCCTCGGCTACCCAGCGGCAAGATCAACGGCAAAGCTCTACAAGAGGTCTCGAAACGTATCAACGCCGAGAGGGCAGCTGCGCGTTCAAATAACGATGAAGATGACATCTCATCTTCTCCTTCCTTCGACGAGATGGACGGTGTGCTGGGCTTGTTGTTGGCTACCCTGTCCCCATTGTTCCCTGGAGCCCGCGTTCGACCCGAAAACGATATATTCACCGATCTTGGCGGACACTCGCTGATAGCAGCAATTTTGATATCGCGGTTGCGACAGGCGAAGCTTGACGGAGATGAAACTCGTCCTTTCGCTTCCATTGGACTTGCGGACATTTACGAGCTCCGTACACCAGCCAGACTTGCAACTCGCTTCGAAGTTGTAGAAAAGAGCAAGGAATTCTCCATCGATTTGAAAGAAGTCGAGTCGCTTGACAGTGAGTTTGAAGGTACCGGCTCATGGACCGGTGACTACTTGCCTGTATCGCAAACAAAATACGCCCTTTGCGGTATAGCCCAGATCTTGCCGCTACTGTTCATCTTCTTCCTACAATCTATCGAGATTCTGGTTCCTTATCTGTTGTTCGACTTCCACGCAATTGCTGGTCGCATCGGCTGGGCCATTTTGACAGCCTATGGCGTTTTCGTGGTCATTCCACCTGGCTTGAGCATGGTGGCTATTGCAGGCAAGTGGTTGATCCTTGGCAAGTCACAGCCTGGCGAGTATCCTCTATATGGATTCTACTACTTCCGTTGGTGGTTTGCGGATCGTCTGACCTCATTGGCCAACCCAAAGCTGATGGCTGACTCTGGGCTGTACCCGATCTTCCTTCGAGCTTGTGGTGCGAAGGTTGGAAAGTTCTGCCATCTTGGTCCACTTCAGGTCGGACCGTGTGCTGATCTCATTGAGATCGGAGATGATGTCGTGATTGGTGGCGATGTTGTTCTAGGTGCCTGTGTGGTCGAGAGAGGACGCTTGATACTCCGAAGAGTTGTCATCGAAAATGGTGCAACCATCGGATCGCGCTGTGTCGTTGAAGGTGGCGCCATCGTCAGTGAGGAAGCAGATGTTGCATCACTCTCCCTGGTACCCTCTGGCATGATCGTTCCCAGTTTCCACAAATTCCATGGATCGCCCGCACGTCTGGACAAAGTGAAAAATGCTGAAGATTCTCCTCGGCCACAAGACACCAGACCTTCGAAGGCTCGAGCGACAGCCATGCTAATTGGCAATTCGATCATTGCATTCCTGGTACTTCCTCTGCTTTACTTCGTGCCCCAAATTCCAGGTTTGATGCTCTTCGACGTTCTCAACATCCGCTCCGTCAGCGGTTGGGGACAAGTGGCCATTCTCTCTGTGCCGATTGCTTTCGCGTACCAGATCATTGTCTTCTTGCAACTGCTGGTATTCCGCTATATCTTCCTTGGACGCCTTGAAGAAGGTACCTACAGCACCTACAGTGTGTTTTACCTTCGTAAGTGGTTCAACGAGAGACTGATGGATCTTGCCCTGGATGTACTGCACCCTGTCTTCGCTACACTCTATATTGTTCCCTTCCTCAGAGCTCTCGGTACCAAGATCGGCAAACGCGCCGAAGTCTCGACAGCTCGCAGTGTCAACTTTGGGCTGCTCGAAATTGGCGAAGAGAGCTTCGTAGCTGATGCGGTCATCATGGGAGAAGGTGTGATCAAGAACAACCAATTGACTCTGAAGAAGACAAAACTCGAGCCTCGTGCTTTCGCTGGCAATGCTTCTGTTCTGCCTCAGGGTACTACGCTCGCATCTGGTACTTTGCTTGGTGTACTTTCCATTGCTCCACCAGCAGATACCCAGATGGCCAACAACAGCTCATGCTTCGGTTCTCCACCAGTACTAATGCCTAACCGTCAGCGCGCTGAAGGCCATGAGGACAATCTTCTCTTCCGGCCATCTGCCGGTCGCATCGCTGCAAGACTGCTCATCGAAGGCCTTCGCATCGTCGTACCACGCGCAGTTATCATTTTCGGTCTGGGCTTTGGACTGCAACTAGCCCACGATGGATACCACAAGATTGGTGCGGTCTACACTCTACTCATGCTGCCCTTGTTCTATGTTGTGCTATTCGCAGCACCAGCCTTGTTGTTCACAGCTCTTCTCAAATGGATTCTTGTCGGACAGTACAAACCAGCTGAATGGCCGCTCTGGAGTCTCAATGTCTGGCTCAGCGAAGCAGTGACCAGCACCTGGGAAACTCTGTGCGAGCCACTTCTCGCGGCACAATTGGTCGGCACTCCATACATCAACATGTGTTTCCGCCTCATGGGTGTCACTATTGGCTCACGAGTCACCATGCTGTCCTCTGACATTACCGAATACGATTGCGTCTCTCTGGGCGATGAATGTATCGTCAATAGAGCTTGCGGTGCTCAAACCCATCTCTTCGAAGATCGCGTCATGAAGGTCGGCAACGTGAAGCTTGGAAACAGGGCTTGTCTGAAGCCGTTCTCTGTCTGTCTTCCTGGTAGTACCATTGAAGATGAAGGTCAGCTTGGCAGTTTGAGTTTGCTTATGAAGGGAGAGGTTTTGCCTAGAGGCACTGCATGGGAAGGTGCACCTGTTGTTCCTCGCGCGAGGAGATAAAAGATTGCGAAAGAGGAGTTCCCATTTATTTTGAACTGCTGGGAGTTTGGGAAAGGGGGAAAAGAAAGGGTATTCGAAATGTTGTATCATTAAAGTAGCATCCGCATGTGTGGTTTTGCTTTGGGCATTGCTTGAGGGTGTTTATGGGTTACTGTATACACATATATTTAGCATCATAGGTCGCGAAAGACATTGCATCATCCTTTTCCATTTGAATTGGTTTCTTTGTCTTCCCGTCATGTGCTTTCTTTTCTGTTCTTCTATTGCCTGAGCCATGTACCGTTAAGCTACCTCTTACCCATGTGCTGAAGACAGTCACAGTGTATCTACAGAGACGCATAATAGTTTTGGAGAAAATATATCATCCAGAGAGAGAGACCAAATGAAGGCTATCTCAGCGGTCAGTCGCATATTCGGGTTGTGACTACGCATTTTGACAGGCCAATACTCGAAATTGGAGAAGTGATTAATTGCAAAATTGTGACTGTCTTTCACACGCGGGAAGGCTGGAAGTAAGACATCGTACTGATACTAGACAGAGCATTAGATGAGTATATAAAGGTCTGGTGTTAAGGAAAGTGACGATGGCGACTCTTACTTCGCGACTTGCTTCGCAGATTGTGTAAGATCAGGGTCGCACACTCGACAATGCCTTTCTGTAGTTAAATTAAGTATAGGAAGTTGCCTCTAGGTTCGATGTTCTTGTCCTGTTCTCTTCACAAGCATATGCGTGAGGTGAAGGTTATGTAGCTACACGTTTGGAATGGTTTAACACACAAGGAAGTGTAGAGCACTCGTATAGCAGCTTTGCCACAAGTTCTGGATTAGGGCGGGAAGCATGCTAGGTGAAGTCGGATGTGTTGAGGTGAAAACGCCTTGTTCAATGGCCTTACGTATCGTCTGGGTGTCGCCAAGCTCTTCGTGCTGAGCTGTGTGCATACTCATTGGAACCGCATTTTACTTGATATGTCATGTCTTTTCCTTAAGACCATGCTAGACATGTCGATGCGTCAACAAACTTTGTGCGCTGCCTTGGTCATCTCGACGTGTAGATGGACTCGGCGGTCCGAGGTAATCGAGCTCGATGGTATGTTCGTCAAATCCATGCCCTTTGTCAGTATGAACCGCCTCTTTCTTCCCTTTAACTTCCACATCGTCTTGTTCCTTCCTTGCCAGACACTCATCGCAGATGTTTGCGTCAGGATGCCGGCTCTTGAGGAAATAAGCAACAATGAAATTGTACAATGACCACGCCGTCCGCAAAAAGACCAAATCGGCAACGAGGATCGAGACAAAGATGTTGAAACCAGGTTTGAGTTGAGGTTGTTGACACATATACGTGGTGCTGATTGTTGCTCGCGAGGTCAAGTTACCTGGAGGGTCTGGCAGCGTGCCTAACTTGTATTCGTCGTCTATCGGCAGTGCTTGCTGGGCATCATAGTCCGTCACTGTAACAATCTGTTTCATATATGCGATATCCATGTCCACAGGGCTTTGCTCGACAATCGTGGACAGATTTCTGCTCCAAAAACGTAGGTCGTCGACGTTGGAGATCATGCTATTCCATTGTGGGTCAGAAGGGAACATGCCCAAATCTAGGTATACGTTGGAAATGGCGGCTTTGGCGAGTCGATCGACTGGTGCCCAGATCTGTGGCCATGCCGTGCTGTACACGTAGCTTTTGCTGGTTTCGTCGTACTCGGCGCCGACAGTGCCTTGATATTTTTCGTTCGCGACGGCGTCAAAGAAGACCCATGATGCCTTTTCAAAGTAATGGTCTTCCCGCATGGCTACTGTAGAGTCCGATCTGGCCAATTGCACATAACCACCAGAGAGATTGTGTTGCGATACCGATTTTTCAGAGCCCAGGAATGTGTTAGTTTGGTTCATCATAGCGGTGATGGTTTCCTGCCAGAAGGCCAGCATGAGCACCTGCGCCCACGTCGAAGCAGGATTATCAATAGTACCTATATCCCACGCAGGCCTTACGTCCATTCCACCATTCTGCAAGCCACTGATGAGGTCGATTTGGGTCTGCAAGTTGAACCGTTGAGGAGAAACAACGCCATGATATCGGATATCACAGTTGAGATCGACTGTGACAACCAAGCCCCAGGCGGAGATGTTGATCTGACTGGCAGGTCTATCATNAAAGGTCGAAAAATCAAGTGTCACTTGATACGGAGAGCACCAATCAATCAGCTCGTTATGATAGGTCATTCCAGAACCTCCAATAGGAAGTCTAGGGGTAATCTGGTATTCGAAGATGGATTGATTTGTCCGAAAGCTGGATCCAATAGCAAGGACGGCATCGTCGCACTTTGGTTGGATTTTGCTCGCGAAGAAGTGCGCATACGACCCTCCATATGGGCCTGATTCGATATCTTTTGGGTCATTGGTTGTGACAGACACCATGTTGTAGGCCGTTGAAAAGAAATTGATAGCCGAAANAAGTGCTGTCAATAACATGCCTCCGAAGATGGCGGCGGGTGTAAACCATTTGTAAGGATAGTCTCTGGTGACATTATAGCTGAACTTTGGCATCGATGGCATTTTGTCGTGTGTATTCTACCGAAACCAGGTCTCCGTGATGCATGACCAAGATACCAAAAGGCTTGATCTCTCCTGTTGGGCAGTGCCATCTTTATCCTGGACCGACGTAGGATTCGTTAGAAAGAGCGCTTAATATCGCCGGCAACACTTGGCACACAATTAATTACAGACCTGTTGGGTATCGCGCACATCCATGACATTGCATGCACAGCCCGCACTTTTTCGAACTCGAAACACGCAGTCTGTAAACCATGGATCAAGCGCATCCGCTCCCATCAGGCCGAATCATCGCGGAACAGATTGACAGACTCCATAGTCGACGAACCGATCGAAAGTCGATCAGGCGGGATGTAGGGCATTATTGTGGTGGTTTGATGCATGTCTGGGGGAACGATTCGTGTGAGGCTCTCTGAGCAGGCCGGGTTTGGCGTCGATCAGCAATTGCAAACCATCTGGCTCTCCAGACAGCTGCTCGTTGGTAAACACAAAACATGTCCCCTCATTTTTGGATCTGGGTTGGCAATTTTCGATGCCAAAATCGCTTCGTGAAAGAGATGATTGATGGTGATTATGGTCACAAATAGCAAGAAGCTCAATCAACTGCCAGTCGCTCCTTCCGAGATCACTCCACATGCACCCAGACAATCAAAAATCACACACACAAGAAAGGGACAAGGCTCAATGGGTCTAAACATGAAGAGTCGGGTATATTATGTGCTAATCATAATGAAAACAAAAGATGTCAAAATCGCCCAGTCTGCTCGAGGAAGGAACCCCTGCGCCAGCATCATCGGAAGTCGTAACGCGAAATATAAAACCATAATACAAGCAACACATCCTGCCAAGTCATCATGAGCCGTAGGCTTCGTCAACCTCCTTCTTGTACTTTTCAAGAATGTTCTTGCGGTTGAGCTTTTGTGCTGAGGTGACAAGCTGGTTCTGAGGAGTCCACTCATCGGGAGCAAGGACAACACCCTCGATGATCTCGATGCCTGATAGACCGCCCTTCTTGCCAGCAGCTTGCAACTCCTTCAAGACAGCTGCGTTGAGCTTCTTGTCATGGCACATCTCCTCGAGATCTCCCGAGTTGCAGCCATTCTCGGAAGCCATAGACTTGAGAGCAGGCTCGGCGGGGACAATGATGGCGATGGGCTTGCTCTTGTTCTGGTCTGCGTACACACAGATGTTGCCAACAACATGACTGGCACGGTACACCGACTCAAGCTTCTCAAGAGCGATGTATTCGCCGTTCTGGGTCTTGACCAAGTTCTTCTTGCGATCGATGATCTTGAGGTTACCGTTCTTGTCAAATTCACCAATATCACCGGACTTGAACCAGCCGTCCTCGAACGACTCCTGGTTCTCCTTCTCGAGATCGAGGTAACCGTCAGTGACCGAATCACCGCGGATCCAAATCTCACCCTGAGGAGGGTTGTTGGTCGAGTAGTAGCCAGCATCGGGGAAATCAACAAGCTTGACCTCGATAGAGGCGGGCAGACCGCCAAGTGCATCATCGGTCCAGGCAAGAGGGTCCATCAAAGCACCCATAGCAGCAGTCTCAGTCAAACCATAACCACTGATCATGGGAGCAATGGCCATGGAAATGAAGCGTTGTGTATCCTTTGCAACGGGACCACCACCGTTCAAGCAAATTCTCAGTCTGCCACCAGTAGCCTCCTTGATCTTGCTGAAGACGACAGAGTCCATAACACTGGTGCCGATGCCGGTGAAAGGCAGACCAGAGTGGTTCATCATGGTGCTCTTCGCGGCCATACCAGCCCAGAAGAGCTGCTTGGCGATACCTCCAGTCTTGTCGACCTTTGACACAATACCCTTCTTGACAGTTTCCCATACTGCAGGAACACCAACCAGGATCGAAGGCTTGAACTCGCGGATGTCACCGGCACAGTTGCGGACGGAGGCGTCGGAGATGGTTCTAGGGTTTCCGTAACCCATGGTACCACCCCAGTAAAGACAGGCGCTTTCGAAGACGAATTCGAGAATGTGAGCGAGAGGAAGGTAGGTGAGAAGACCGTCACCAGGGCCGAGGTAAGGACCGACGATCACGTCAACACCGGCAACTGNCGATGGGTCAGCTAAGTTTGCGAGGGAATAGGAGATATACTCACTAGCAGCAATGACGTTCTTGTGCTTGAGGAGCACACCCTTAGGGGTTCCGGTGGAACCAGAGGTGTACATGATACAACAAAGGTCTTCGGGCTGGGGAGGAACAGGCTCAACCATGTTCTCTTCACCCTTCTTTGTGAGCTCATCGAAGCTGAGGATGGTCAGGTGAGGGTGGGCGTCCTTGAGCTTCTTGATGTCCTCCTCCTTGACTTCCATGTGGCTGTTGTAGACGACATATTGGATATCCTTGGCCTCTTTGAGNNGGGGGTTGATGAGCTTTGTGAGGAGATGGGGGTCGAGGAAGATGAGCTTGGCGTGTGTTTGCTTGAGGGAGTGCATGAGACCCTCCTCACCAAGTGTGTCGTAGGCAGTGACGATGGGCATGGACTGAGTAGTGGCAGNCTTGAAAGCCATGTTAGAAAGCGAATTACTAGAGTGTATAGGTGTGTGCTTACCATAAGCAGAAGCAAGCCACCAAGGACTGGTAGAAGCAAAGATGTGGACGCGGTCGCCCTTGTTCATGCCAAGAGCACGGTAACCAGAGGCAACCTTCAAGCACAGCTGTTCGTACTCGACGAAGCTGATGTATGTGTAGCCACTGAGCTCAGAGTATTGCCACTTCTTGTCGACAGTAGTCTCCTTGCCATCAACGACCTTCTTGATCTGCTTGACCTCATCGTGAACCTTGATCAGCTTGCGGTAACCAAGGGCCTTTGCGTTTCCGAATTTCTTGGAGCTGCTGCGAAGGATGTCGTAGATGGTCTTGACATCGGGAGCTGGGGTGCTGATGAGACCGTCCTTTGCTGCCGGGTGTACGCGAGGGATTGTCTCGCCGTCCTTCTTCTCGTAGCCCTTGGCCTCAACCGTGTAGGGGCCCTTCTTGTAGGGTTTGGGTTGGGGGACCAACTNTTTGAGATCTGATCGTTGCATGATGTCGCCCATGTTGTAGATATTTGTGATGTTAGGCAGACTGTCAAAAGACATGAAAAGTAAAAGGGCAAGGACAGAGAGCCTCGTTTTGACAGGGAAAGAGGTTCTTGCAGGCAGGAGCGGACTGGTGATGACGGCGCGCGTTGAACCCTCAGAAACACAATTGGTTGGCTCCACACTCGCCCACAACCAATGACGCACCGCGTTCCCGTGCTTGCGCCACACAAAGGCCAGAGCTCCGGACGCTGGGAGATTTACTTCTCGTTCTGCCTCTTGTACCGACTCATGTCTTCTGTCTTGTTCACACCCTCCTCGCAAGCTGCTCTTTCTACAGTCATCCGGAGCATGAGTGACGCACTTCTCTCATAAACAATCTGTACATGTACACTTGTCATCCATGTCTCTGAACTCCTTCATCACCCAGCTAGGTGCCGAGATCGAGGATGCCTCGNNGAAGGTGATTGCCTAGAGCCCAAGCATCAACACTCCTCAGCATGGTAACGGTAGGTCCTATACAGAAACATTTTTACTTTTCTCCCAAGACATCCCCTCTCAAAATCTTGGCATAATCGATTCAAAAGCCCCTCTCCTTGAGCTGAGTATCGGGTCTCGTGACCTCTCCATCAAGCAATCCCCCGCTGTCCTCAATTCGGCACGAGGAGGTGGCACTACTGGTGCTGTGGTCTGGAAGGTTACCCCGAGGTTTGCCGAGTGGTTGATATCTCCCGGCAACATACTAGCACAACACGGCATCATATCTCCAGAGTCAAGCGTACTTGAGCTGGGGGCTGGCATTGCTGGGATCGTGCCCTTGACTCTAGCTCCACTGGTCCAGCAATACATTGCTACAGACCAGATATACGCACTCAAACTTCTCAAAGAAAACATCGACCAAAACACTACATCCACACAGGCTGGAACCAAGAACAAGAAGCCTTCGAAAAGAGCAACAGCCGTGCCAAGCTCGAACATACAAGTCGAGTCTCTGGATTGGGAGACTGATGATGTAGACTCGTTTCTTAAAAGCAACAATGCATCTGAGGGCGTCGACTTGGTCATTGCATGCGACTGCATCTACAATTATGCTCTGATCAAGCCGTTCGTCCAGACTTGCGTGGATATCTGTCGATCAAGAACAGGCGAACAACCAACAGTCTGTGTGATAGCACAACAACTTCGACAGCCAGACGTGTTCGAAGAATGGCTTGAAGAATTCAACAAGCACTTTAGAAGCTGGAGGCTTACAGACGATGTGTTGACAGACGGTCTGAGGGAGAACTCGGGGTTCATGGTTCACATCGGCATACTCCGTGAAGAAGAGTCGATGGCGGTGTGAGACGGCTAAAATGAAGATTGGGATGCTGGGACAAGCAACATGTGCATGTGGTCAGCACAGACTTGTGCTACGTTGCGTCAGATCACGACGCTCGACAGCTGAAGCAGCAAGACATGGTGATACAATAGCGTGGCATCGGCAAGGGGTCTATGAGGCTCGGGGGTGCGGAATGCAGTTGCACACATGTAACCGACAGATCAAGTTCTCGACAAGTCTGCTGGTTTATTCGGAACCCCATTTAGATATTTGATATGTCGCAATTTGATGTGGATTCAGATGATGAATCAACAGTGGTTTCGTTACACAGAACGGTGTCGGAGATAGGGCGGGGCTTAGCTTCAGCAGATGGCAGCTGCGAGCAAGCGCAAGAGCAGGAGCAGGCGACCTTCTCCAAACAGCCTAGACACAGACCGGTCACTCAATTCAAACTGGCGCTTACGAATTCAGTCAGAAAGCAGTTCAGCTACAGATCCCTTTTCCTCCTCTCACTCGCCCTCGTCCTGCTCACAGTGGCTTTCACACGCATCGCCTCCCGTCTCAGTCTTCTGACGACTCACTTCACCCCGCTAAAGCTACCCTCCGGTCTTGCATCCACCCGAAACATTACCTCAATGAGCATGGCTTCAGCAAAGTACCAGAAGCCTCCCCAGGCCCCTNNCCCCCTCTTCACCGCAACCACCGAGTCTCTCGCCAAAGACACCAAGCGCCTGCTAGACCAGTCCCGCCGCATCCAAGACCAGATCGTCAAGGACATCACCCCCGAGTCGGCCAACTTCCACAATGTCGTCCTTCCAATGGCTCTCGACGACAACAAGATGGCTATCGAGTCACACATCATTGGTTTCTACTCTGCTGTTTCGACAGACTCCAAGTTGAGAGACGCCTCAATCGAAGCCGAGAAACAGATGGACGAGTTTGGCATTGAGGCCAGCATGCGCGAGGATATCTTCAAGCTTGTTGATGCTGCTCTCAAGAACTCAAAAGATCTGGACCCAGAAAGTCAGCGCTTGCTTGAGAAGGATCACAAGGGCTTTGTCCGCATGGGTTTGAACGTTCCTGCTGGACCCAAACGCGACCGCTTCAAGGACATCAAGAAACGTCTGTCTGAGCTCAGCATCACCTTCCAGAAGAACTTGAACGAAGAGCAGGGTGGTATGTGGTTCACCGAGCAAGAGTTGGAAGGCGTGCCAAAGGATGTTCTTGACGGCCTTAAGAAGGGAGATGGCGACAATGCTGGCAAGCTCTGGCTCACCTTCAAGTACCCCGACCTCTTCCCTACCTTGAAGTACTGCAAGAACCCCGACGTTCGCCGCAAGGTCTTCACCTCGAACGAGAACAAGTGCAACGAGAACGTGCCCCTCTTCAAGGAGGCCATCGTGCTACGCGACGAGGCTGCCCGCGTCCTGGGTTACCCCAACCACGCCACCTTCCGCATTGAGGACAAGATGGCTAAAACTCCCAAGACCGTTGATGACTTCCTNGGTGATCTCCGCACCCGTCTCTCGCCTGGTGGTGTCGAAGAGCTCAAGAAGCTGAAGACGTTGAAAGAGAAGGACTTCAAGGATCGTGGTGTTGCAGAGCAGAACGATGGCAAGTACTACCTCTGGGACCACCGTTATTACGACACTTTGATGCTTGAGCACGAGTACCAGCTGGAGCAGGAGGCCATCGCCGAGTACTTCNNCCCCCTTGAGACTACCATTCGCGGCATGCTGCAGATCTTCGAGGAACTGTTTGGTCTTCAGTTCGTTCAAGTGACTGGCAAGGACCGCGATTCAATCAGTCCTACTGGCAAGGGCGACGACATCATCTGGCATCCCGATGTCCAAGTCTTCAGTGTCTGGGATGACGAGGGCGAGGGCAGTGGCTTTGTTGGATACCTCTACCTCGACTTGCATCCCCGTGATGGTAAATACGGCCACGCTGCCAACTTCAATTTGCAGCCTGGTTACATCGACGAGGACGGCAAGAGAAGATATCCTGCCACCGCTTTGGTCTGCAACTTCTCGAAGCCTACACCGAAGAAGCCTTCCTTGCTCAAGCACGACGAGGTTGTGACTCTCTTCCACGAGCTCGGTCACGGTATCCACGATCTTGTTTCCCGCACAACATATTCTCGCTTCCACGGTACATCTACTGCTCGTGACTTCGTCGAGGCTCCCTCTCAAATGCTCGAAAACTGGTGCTGGACCGCTTCTCAACTCCGCAGCTTATCTCATCACTACAGCTACCTCTCCGACAGCTACAAGGCTGCATTCTCAGAATCGAACAAGTCGGGCAAGCAGCCTCCAGAGACTATGCCCGACAACCTGATTGACAGCATCATCCGTACACGCCATGTCAACGACGCTCTTTTCAATCTGCGTCAACTCCACTTTGGCATTTTTGACATGACTGTACACGAAGGCAAGTCCCATGACGAAATCAAGGGCCTCGAAGTCAGCAAGCTGTACAACTCTCTCCGCAAAGAGATCTGTTCTCTCGACGGCCCTGAAGAGCTAGGCCAAGGTCTCGACTGGGGACATGGTCAAGCCACCTTCGGTCACTTGATTGGTGGCTACGATGCTGGCTACTACGGCTACCTCTCGTCTCAGGTCTACTCTGCAGACATGTTCTACACCGTCTTCAAGAAGGATCCTATGAATGGCAGNGAAGGTAGACGTTACAGACACACTGTTCTGGAACGTGGAGGTGCTCAGGATGAGATGCAGACGCTTGAGGACTTTTTGGGCAGGAAGCCGAGTACTGAGGCTTTCTATACTGAGTTGGGCTTGAACTAGACGGGTATATGATACGTTGCAATAAACATGAGATACGTTTCAATGAACATGAGACTGTGCAGCAACTCAGTCACTCGCCATGTTCTTGATGTTGCCTCTGTCTCGAACACGTCTGACAAAGATCAACAGCCAGTTCCACACATAGAGTGCAACGTATAGCACAAGCAAAGCAGCACAGCTTCCAGCCAGCGCTATCAGAGTCGCGATCGCGAACCGGTATGATCTGACAGATACTGCGGCCGCTACATCATTGACACTAGTCATGACTTGCATCGCCGAAAGGGCGACGGATACCAGCGCAAACAGTGCGACCAGTGTCATGTAATTGTCGCCGAAGTAGCTCGAGTAGTCGCGATGGACATTAAAATACGACAGTCCTAAAAACTTGATGCGGTAAATATGATTAAGTCGGCCGAGTCGGAGTTCTCCATACTCGTAGCGGTCGTGGATGTTACGGTCGGCGAGGTGGTGTAGGACACTACTTCGGAAGGTCTGCCACCTTTCCAGTCGATATCCTTATTGACAAGTCCGTGAGTCTTTGCAATCTCAAGATCGGAAGGGTATGCGATCAGATGTGCATAAGAAAGCAGAAAGCCGCATGCTGCTTGGTAGACTGTTTCGTCACTGCACACGACTGTCGAAAAGTAGTGCCAGTCTAGGAGTTCATCATCCAAGCGCTTGACATATATGGTTTTATCAAACCAGATAAGGTGAAGTTGTGCTCTTTCGGTAAGGATGATGTCTCTGCGAATCACTTTTGGTGGTGTAAAGGGCTAATGTTGCCTTTTCTGCCAGCGTACCACAGTTGTTTGTGCATTGATTCTAGTACTTCATCTTGGAGCGTGATTCGTAGCCGCTTCTGCTCGTCGAGAACATCGCTGGGAGTGATTGTGTTTGCTATGAGTTGACAGTCGAGCGCAAAAGGCGTTGTTAGTGTGGCTTTCTGAGGGGCTTTGCCACTTTCTATCAAACTTGTTACAGACATTGGGGGTGGAAGGTCGGAATAACAGGTGATGTCGAAAGCAACATATTCCCAGAATCTGCTTTGCTCTGTGTTCGTACTGCATACCTATGTATACACAGCCGGCGGGCTGTGTCATGCAAGCGATATTTGCGAAGTCGTGGCGCAATGGGTTGACTGCATAGTCGGCCCCAAGTCTGAGCCATTTACAGTTGGAGGGCCTCAAGACTTTGTGCCGACTACGCCCATATATAGGTCATGCGGCTTGATAGCAGACCTCGTTGCATGTTGAAAACGCAGCCACTAGCTAGTGCGTGGCTTGCTTACTGCTCTTCTCAATGTCGATGATACCTGCGAATCGTTGTAATCTGTGAGTATGCAGGCATGTGAATTTGCAGACGAGGAAATATGCTCGCTATCCCACTGATCTAGAGACACTCTATGCAGAGAGCATTCTGCAGCTCCACTAGCATCATTATGTATGACAGACACCGACAGAGCCAGGTCTCGCTTGCTTTGGAAACAGAGATTGGCGTGTTTTGAGGGCAGCTGATCCTTCCTGCAGATGCTATGCATACCCGGCAGACGGAAACGCCAAGGCCTACAGGCTCAAGCCGCGTCCGTTAAATAGTGCGTGGCTTGTTATGTGCGTGCTTTCCAGAGGCTGTGTTGCTACCCTATGCACTAATCTCGAACCCCACTATCAGCCGCTTACTTGAATGGTCATCAACCAGTGATAAACATTCCAGAGCGCTCCCGCAGATATCTGGTGCGAATCCTCACGTCCCCACGTTCAAACATCGCTTGTTCGTTTCGGGTCAGGAAGTCTGAAGAGAAGCATGGCTCCACGTCACATCGTGTATAGAGTCCAAGGTCCCGCGCTCACAGTTCACCAAAGCGACCACGACCTCTGCTCAGCGCTGAATTTGTACATCAGTGGCCACCTGAGTGACACCGAAAAGCAGAGTCTGAAATTTCGGCATACAGATTTTGCCATCATGCACTGCAACAAAAAGGAAGCTGGCTTTAGTGGACTGTGAAGGAGGCTCTTTTGAATTTCTCTCTCCCCTCGACGATGACCCACTGGACACTTGGGATGATATTCTGAACGGCAAGGACATCAGTTTCGATCGGCATTTCCATGGCTTCACTCAGCTCTATGCACCAGAGGCGCCCATTACTTCAGAGTTCGTGCCCTGTTCCATTACAATTTCTTGAGATTTACATGAAAAACTGTAGTATAATAGCCATAACAGGCCTAGATGGTCATGCTTATGGCTCATGGGCTGGCAGAGGAAGACTTCACCGGATGTGGCTTCGTCACTTTCTCAAGGAGGACCTTCCAAGCTGCCGTACAATGACATATGGCTACAATTCGAAGCTTGTCGGAAAACACAGTCAGAACACAAGTCGAATCGCTGATTTTGGGAAAGAGCTTATGGATTCGTTGAGGGGGTGCGTACGACAGCAGAGGTTTGTGACAGACCTTAGTCCATTGGATCCGTTCTAATACCCAGCAGGAGAAAGAGAGGCCGTTGATCATCATAGCCCACAGTTTTGGTGGCTTGATAGCGGCGCATGTATGTCCGAGACCTATCTGAGGCCCTCGACTCAACTAATTGTCGTATAGTGCTTAATTATGGCAGCTACCTTGCATAGGGTTGATGACTCGATGCAAGGCAAGCTTTATCGAGCCATAGATGCAATCATATTCTTCGCTGTACCACACAAAGGTATACTTTGCGACGATATACGGGTTATGCTTGCCGATGGTACAAGCCACCCACGGCATGCATTGCTCGATGAGATCGAGCCTCAATCTGCTGTTCTGAACTACCAGAACGCAAGCTTTCGAGATCTTATCCGGGATCGAAAGATAGTGACTTACTACGAAGCAGGCCAGTCACGGCGTCTGGTAAGGGTAAGCATGTTTACAAGCTGCTGTTCAAAGCCTCTGATACTGATACTGCGCAGAAACCAGACGGATCCTTCGAACGAACCGGCGAGTACTACACTGCAGTTGACCCAGCGACTGCTACATTGCAGCTTCCATCTTCACAGGAGATAACCGTCAAGTCTGACGCGGATCATGCACACATAGTGAAATTCAACAATGACAGCACGTCCGGATACACAAGTGTGAAACATCTGCTCCAAGGTTTCGACACGGAAGCGGCAACAAGAGTCCAGAATCGGTTCGGTACGTTTCGCCACATTGGCTTCTCGTATAATGGCTCATATGTGAGCTAACTTGGCAGAACTGCAGCACCTCCTCTACCACAAGGCGATATCATAACATCTTTACGCCAATCTGTTCGCAACCTTCAAATACCCGAGGATTCCTTACTTCCTAGATTCGTGAGGTCATTCCATGTGTATGACTACAAGGAGCATTTCGACAGTATCTACCGAGAGCATTTTCATACGACCTGCGATTGGCTGGCCCAAGACGAGGACATCCATTGGTGGTGTTCGAAAGACGAATCCGCCATCCTTTGGATCACTGGTCCAGCAGGGACAGGAAAATCAACGCTTTTGACTCATCTGGTCAAACATCTTCGCCAGAGACCACATGACCTCGATATCGGACGGAGCAGCTTCGTGACGTATAGCTTGTGTAATCAAAGGAACCGAACCGCAAAAACCGTCATTGCCATTGCGATACACCAGATACTTGAGCAGGTTCCAGAAGCACAGCACGCTGCGTACCAATATGTCGTGAAGAGCTTTCTGGGTCCCGACGCAAATATCGAAAGTTTTGAGCAAATCTCATCACCGTCATTATGGGATCTCTTTTGCCATCTGGTCACGAGCATCAAACGAGACCAAACCTTCCTCGTTGTCGATGCTTTGGATGAGTGCGATTCGCAGACCCAGATCGAGCTGTTGCGACTCTTCAGCAAAGTCATAGACAGGTCACCTTGTATCAAAATACTTGTCGCCACGCAGCCGCCAGAAGGCTTGGGCTTGTCCCAGCTTTTGAAGGATTTTATGACCGATTTCCTTTGGGCGTCCGCTCGAGCACCCGCCAGCTTTAGACGTCACAGACTTCAAGACCGTGAGGACTACATCAATGCCGACATTAATGGACACATCGAAGGCAAGATGACAGTACCACCGAGGGACGACAAAGAACGTGCTAGAGCAGTGGAACGCGAGAGACGTGAGAGCCAAAGAGCATCACGGACAACTCAGACGAGGATGCGTGACCAAGACAGAAAAAGCGACAGAGACAGGTCGTACTCTGGATATAGTGACGATAGCGATGCCGAGTTGAGACAGGAAGCAGAAAGGCGTAGGAGAGCTGCCGAGGAGAAGGAGACGCAGGTCAGAGTGGACCAAGAACGAGGAGAGTACGAACGAGAACGGCCGTCAGGTCGAGGATACATTGACTGTTCCCGCATGGAAGAAGAAGCCATGGCCCACATTGGAAGGGACAAACGACCATCACTCTCACGCAGCGCCTCGACAGCCAAGACCAAGACGTATATTGACCGCTCAAGTCGATCTACGCCCGCCTTCGTGCGCCGATACTCGGCCAAGCCCACGTGGGCAGAGTCTTTTTTCAGCCAAGTCATGAACGTGACAGGAGGCCGAGCGTGGCCGATATTGACGAGTCAGTGAACTAAAGTCCTTTACTACTGAAGAGGCGGACCAAATCACAAGACGACTCAAAGAAGGAACGCTCTGGAATGTTCCTGCCCGTCACTTTGTTCTTCAATGAGATAGTGACCGGCGGAACACGTAGGGTTTCTGAAATCTTGCAATCGAACACTAGAGTAAGCATCTCAAGTGGGCAGTCTCGGATTCGAAGGATAATGTCACTGAGGAATTGAAACGACTTCTGAGGGAATTCATTATTCTCTGGGACTCCTCCTCCGACGACGGCTTTCGATATACCATAAGCTCTTCTTGCCGATTCTCAATGAGCCGCCAAAGGAGCAAAGCGGTGACTGTTTTCGAAGTTTTGAGTGGTCTTGGTCTCACCACCTTCTTGGAGATAGTTCTGGGTAAAAACACGGAAAAGCATGGCGGCCAATCACCCGCAGTCTAGCACGCGCTTCTTCTTGCAATTCATGGTGGTCATGAATCGACTATGGATCTGCTGATAGAGTTTCTTGAGATCAGCCCTCTCGACGAGGAAAAGTATAGGACAGTTCTGTGAGATTCGGTATGGAGCCGTCGAACAATTATGGTTCTGAAGATCCTGCGATTGAGGAGGCCGAGACTCGGAGAATTGGTTAAGGCCACTACGGCTGCATTCGACACGGGAAGGCGAGAAGCTCTGGATGAAATCACGAAGGTTGGCCTGGTCTTTGAAGAACACAGTCATTTCGGATGGACCGTTCTGCATGAGCTCATCCTTCAGAATTTCGCCATGTCAGAAATCAGTCCTCGCCGCGCCCCAACATCAATGAGGCGCATGTCCCCGGATTCACCGTCCTTCATTACGTCTGCTGGAGCATAGAGCTTTGTACGCAGCGCTTGGTTGAAGACCTGATTATGGCTGAGGCTGATCCATTTGCTTGCAGCAAGGGAGGTCTTACACCTCTACACTTTGCAGCTCGTTACGCCAGATTTCCCAATGTCATTGAATCTTTGCTCCGCTTTACTCGCCGTCAGATATCCAACGCTCAGTCTAAGGGAGGGATCACCCCTTTGCACTGGGCTGCGGTGCGTCCGGCTCGTTGGAGAGAAGACCTGGAAGTAATCAGGCTTTTCATCATGGATGGAGCGGACCCCTACCAAAAAGATCGCTTCGGCATATCGCCAATCCAGAAATCTAGTTGCTCCGCAATGTCCCTTGAGCTGCGTAGTCAGTACAGAGCATTAGAGGGAATGGATCGGTCTACTTGAGATGCTTCTTGACTGTTCTCCCTAGTCAGCCTCATCTAGGGGAGGATCTTTTCTTTACTGAGGGTCCGACTGACAGCCTGTACCATTTCTGGCCACAAAACCTGTCCTAGATATTGGAAGCCAGTACTATACAAGACAAATAGGCACTTTTGGTTGAAGAATTTTGCCAAACCCACCTCAACTGGATTCACGACTTTCTGATCCGATGGTGGTCTGGGCAGTTTTCTGTGTTTCCAAATTTGTTCAAGTCTCTGTGACTCCACGACACGTAGAAATCATCATATCCGAGCAGACGGACGGAAAAACATATCTAGAAATACTCTCTTTGGACCTGAGTAACTTTTGTGGTACTATTCTGCATTGTTGCATAATCATTAAAGTGTTGCTCACGTTCGTGAGAGCGTCGAATTCTGGGCCAGCGCTTTGATCGGTCTTATTATAATGCAATGACTGGCTGGATCCACCGTGTGCTAAAGACTGTCGCCTCTCCCCGTCCCGAGACACAAGCGATTATAGCCTATCAAAATGCACAGTTGGATCCTGAATACGAGTCTGACTACTGAGATATCGTTTTATGAGGCTCTCTCCGTGGAAACCGCATGGCTTCGCAAAAACCTTTGTGTGTTTCTTTAGGTACACTGTAGCCGTCTTCAGTTCTCGGGGAGAGACTGAAATCAAATTTAGAAATTCTTCTCCGTTAGATTGGAGTGAACGCCCTCTGTCCAATCAGCTATCTGGGCATTGTATGCTGCACCTTGTCCGCTGCAAGAGAATGAGCAGCCTGTGTTGAACTCCAGCTTCGTATGTGCTTTGCGCTGGACTTCATACCACAGCTGGTCTCCTCTCCAACAGTCTCTGCGTACTCTGTTCACATCCTCTCCCCAAAGAAGTCAGTTCAACCTGCTCTCCACGGGGTCCGTTCCTCTTCTCAGTATCAACCACAAGTCCACAATCGCCATCAGCATTATCTTCACTCCTCTGCTGTAGTACACACCCAAGACACAAATTCGCCTCCTTACACCTAGTCTTGACAAAATACTCAACCACAGAATTATACAACGACCAAGCCGCCCTCAGCAAAACCAAATCCGCAATCAGTACAGAAATAAACACGTTAGCTCCACTCTTCATTCTTGGAACTGGACAAGTATACGTAGCTGCAAATACAGAAGGCGTGAGAGTCAATGTGTTGATGTCGGTATCAGTGTATTGTTGCATTTTCATCCATCCATAGCCCAAAAGTGTGTCTTTGTCTTTGATAGTGCTGGATTCCCATATGTGACTCAGGTTTTGAGACCAGTGAGATAGGCGATCAGCAGAAGAAACAATACTCCAAACCGGCAATTCCCAATCTGGTGCCGAAACAACGATTCTGGCATTTTGACCTAGGTCGGCGGATATAGCTGAGAACATTGCTTTGGCGAGGTGGTCTGCTGGTATCCAGATATTTGGCCATGTTATATTGGAAGCATCAGTCAAAGTCTCGTAAGGAGTATTTAGTCGACTGTTGAAACTGCCTCTGTACGGTGTTTGTGTAGTGTCGATGGGGAAAANAGCGTGTTGGCCGGCGGAGAAAAAGGATGCAGACTCGATATTTGTGGATGGACGTCTGAACGACACATAACCACTAGATAGGTTGAATTGCGGGATTGCAGCATCAGTATCTGCGTCTTGGGTCGTTTGCGTGGTTATGGCCTGTACGGTCTCAGCCCAGAACGCCAACAACAGCGTCTCAGACCACAAAAATGTTGGTATAGATGCATTAACGCGGATAAAGCTAGAAACACCAGGTTCCACAGAAGAAGCCAAAGGATCATAGCTCGCGCGCAAATCCATCGTTTTGCTGAGAGAGTCCTTCTTGTCTGGGGTATTACAGGTGATGTCGGCACTGACACTGACACCCCACCCAGATCTGTCCATCAAAGCAGCTTGTCTCCCATCACTCGTCTGGAAATCAATCAGGATCTGTGTGACTTCGCAATTGCTCAGGCGCTCGTTATGATACGTCAAAGCCGGAGAATTTTGCACGCGAACAAGTTGATACGCAAGTGCTGTTTGGTTGGTATTGACACTGGAGCCTATTGGTATAATCGCATCCTCGCATTTAGGTTGTATTTTGCTGGTGAGAGAGCCAGGCACTTTGCCAGACCAGTGGCTGGTTTCGACTATATCTGGGTTGTTCGTCGTGATGCTGATCATGTTGTAGGCATTAGAGAAGAAGTTGATGGCTGAGAACAGGACGGTCAGGACTATGCCACCGATTACTGCAGTTGGCGTAAACCATTTGTAGGGATACTGTCGAGTGACGCTGTAGCTGAAAGAAGACATTGTAGACAGGAAATACTCTTAGCAAGCATCAATTCAATTCTAGTCGCGTTATTGTGATTTTTCTGTGCTTGAATTTATGGTGTTATAGGCGGTTGACAGCAGACCCCTGAACATAAATTCGTGCGGCGAGTCATGATCCTGAACTCCTGATATATCAACAAGAGATCAAAGGTCGAAGGATGTCGAAGGATGAGGCAGTGCTTACAAGGATCTGCCAGGGAAGTCTCGAGGCTGTGCCACGTTTAGCGTCGTGCATGCGACTGCAAACCACTTGAAACGTGTATATATTGGATTACCTTTGACACTCGAAGAACTTGTTCCTCCTAGCCTCAAACAGCGGAGCAAAAAAATGGTTTAAGTGTTTATTCGCCTGCTTTGCATCAACACACATGGTAATTCTCATCTTGCAGCCTTCTCCCTCCATTTCCTATAAGCACTGGCGAACCCTTGACTTCTCTCTTCTCTCCCGCCAAATTCACCCACGCATCCCTGCATATCCCCGCCATCACCGCCCAGATGAACCAAGGGTACCATACTATTCCTGCCATGCGCGCACATAAATGGAAACGCGCAGTTTGCAACCTCCTCAATCAATCTTTGACATTGCTCGAGAGTCAAGACATCGTTGAACATGATGGCGCTTCTGCAAGCGCGTGAATTCAGGAGTTGTAGTATTCCTTTGGGACAGGAGCCTATTCGTTGCAGCCATGTCCGGTTTGTGTCTGCGTCTGAAGGTTCGAGAGGTCGAGTGCGTATGCTGCTGCTTTCGGCGAGTGTATAAATCTCGCTGCGGAGAAGCTCGATGAGTAACCTTGGCTCTGCTTTACAGCGTTCGGATATGCCTGGTGGTAAGGTCAAGATGTTCAGACGAGGTGGTTCTGGCGTGTGCGAGTTGATGTCGTAGAGGATTCCCCAGTTTGCAAAATGTCCTGCATGAACTGTGAACATGGTCTCTTCTTGCAATGGTATCTGGAAGCTCAACGGCTTATCGACTGGAACTGTCTTGACACTTGATGTGAAGCCAATATTCGATTGGACTAGGGCAATCTCTCGAGCTGGCGTACAGAGCTCTTCGAGCAGTTTTTCGAGGATGCAGCGTTCAGAGGCCGCGTGTTGGTCCACCAACACCAGCAGTTGTCTGGCATGATCGAGCTCTTGGGACTTTGACCCTGCCAGACTTGGTGTCTTCATTAAAATGAATTTGTTGTCAACTTGCGAGATGACCTGTGCAAAAGCCAATGCAGATTTTGACAGTCGACTAACATCGGGAGGTCCAGCATGTGGAAACAAGTCAGCCACCGAGTGCTGCCAATGGCAGTCATGCGATCGGCCTACTTCTTGTTCGAGCCCACCAAGACTGATCTTCGGTATTGGTTGTTCAGGTTGCGTCTCAAAGACTGGGTTCTTCCAGGTTTGTAAGAATCCTTCCAACCAAGGAGCAGAGGTTGAGGAATAAGAGGTTGCATCAAGTGTGGTTGGTACATGACCCTTTCTTCGCTCCAAGACAAGAGGCCTACCAAAGGATGACAAGCGCACATTTGCAGCAGCAGCAGATCTGCTTGTAGACGCGTCGCTGGGAGCTGGTCGATGCACTTCATCCCGCATCACAATGCCAGTACGCGCATTGATACGGTGTTTCCTATTCGTCTTCGGATCGATCCAGTCAATGTAAGCCTGACCAGACTGGTCCTGGTGAAGAGCAGTCTGAGAACGATCTGGTTCTAGCAGCTCTGTCGTCTCATGCGAGGCGTCATGCGCAAACCCAAAATGGTTCGTATCCACAGCTTCAACGTTGATCGTGGCAGGCGTGTCCAATGAGCTTTTCGCCTGTTTGATCGGATCGCTCGGCGTGGGTCGCGTAGACGGTCGTGCCTTGCACTTCCACATACTGTCGTACATCTGTGGTCGAGCACTCTTAATTCGGCTCCAGTCTGTGAAGGGCATCGTTGGTATTGCAGCATCTGCTAAAGTCCTAGACCGTATCCTCTTAGAGCTGCAGTGATCTGTACTTGAAGTGTCCCCTGGATTCGTGACGCGAGATTTGTCACCGCTCGCAGGGTGCAATGAAGCGGATGAAGTCTGGTTGTTTGGGATCGGCGACGTAACGTCAGAGATCGTATGGTATGCCTGCTCATCGTTCATTGTCTGCTTTCGCTTGCGTTGTGACTTCTTCGGCTTAAAGTTGTTGGCTTCCAACCAATGCAGGGTCAAGCTTTCTAGAACATTGGCAATGCTTCTGAGGCGCATGTCGCTGAGGTCATCCATTTTTCGTGGGTTCTCGTCCGATCTGAGATCTATCCGGAAGTAGAATCTCGGCCAACGATCTACTCCTTTTCTGCCTCCTTGAAGTTGCCTGTTCGTAGGACCATCTTTTCTATATCGTCGATCATGCTGTCGACGTTTGATCTCCGCTCCATCAGGCTGCGGGTCTTCATCTATGTGGCCAAATGTAGACTGATTGAAAAGTCGATTGACTGTGTCATAAAGCTCATTATGCCTGTTCTCGTCCAGACAGGGAATTATACCGATAGACATGAACTGAGCATTTCTACTAGGTGCCGGCTCGAGCGATATGATACCTTTGACAGTGATGGAGGAAGTCGATGCAGAAACTGGTATCCAGCTTTTCTTAGAATCGATCGAGATGATACCTGATTGAGATAGAATACTCAAGACAGTGCCTTGGTCAAAACCTGACATTTTCTTGTTCAAGGCGTTCAGGTTTCTCTCGCTGAAAGCGTTCGGTACAAATTGTGCTCCAGTATTGAGAAAGAAAGTTCTTGCCGGATCTTCTGAGTCTGTGACTTTGACCACGACGCGGCGGTTCCATGGTAGAAGCAAGCCCACTATTCCAATTTTCAGAGCTTGCCATTGCCTCTCTGCTTCGGCTCCTTCTTCGGCAACGATGGCTCGCTGCTTGACTCTCACAGGCATGTTGCCGAACAAGTCCCTGACGGTTACGCGTGTGCCATGACCAGTGGTGCCACGAATCTCATGCTGAGGCAGCGTGGGAGTCAACCTGGAGATGACTTTCGACCGATGCAAGATTAAAGTATTATGAGAATAGTGTTGAGCATGTCGAGATGTGATAGTGAGAAGCGAGAGCGCTCCCACCGAGGCCAGAAATGTTCCTTGGCCACCATGATTTTCGGGTCGTGCGCTCTCCTTCTGTTTGGATGTGTGGTACAAGCGACCGAGACCGCCTGTTGCACGAAACTCTGAGGGCAAGATACCGATGCCGTTGTCTTCGACGGTGCAGCCACCTCGACCGTGGTCAATGATGATGTCGATCTTTGTTGCCTGTGCATCCAAAGAATTCTCAAACAAGCCAAGGACTACCTGATTGAGGCTGGTGATTGTGGTGGACGATTTGATTTGTGCGACAACATTCTCAGGAAGCGGCAAGATAGCGGATGATGTATCTTGTGGTTCCCGTCCAGAAGTATATTTCATATTGGTGTTCATGTTTGTTTGCGCCGCGCCAAGCCAAAACGTGTCGCTCAAGGTGGACGCCACTTGAGTTTCGTAGAGTCGCTGTTATCCAAAGAGGCGAACATTGATACTCCAGTGGATAAGATGCCGATGCGTGACGGCACAAACAATTTCTTGTCCAGTGCAGAGAAGAAACGCAGAGTGGTCGTAAGAAGGTGCAAAATGGCAGCAACCACGACGTCACCAGAGTCTTGGCATATGACCGCTTCTCTTTATCTTGATCCTCTTCTATCATCACATAACACGAATTGAACTTTTTGAAGATAGCAGCGGTTGCGCCCTTGCGCCCTTGCTTTCGCATCTGTGGAATAATGTATGGATGTCACTGTCGCTATGTACAGCCTTTCGGCTGTGGAACCTTACGCGTCCAGAGACTGAGACCCATTCATGCTCCATGTCTTGAGCCTCGCCGCGCAACTTCCGTCTCTGGACTCGGAAAATCTTCTATCACGCTCCCAGGTATAGCAATTCTGTCATCAAGCTCCAAGTCCTCTACGGCCGATAGGAAGGACGTAGTCCCAACGACACACTGAGGGCAAGTATAATTCTCGATAGTAGGTTTGGGCCCCATGACCGACAAGTCCACTTCGTCTTTGACATTGCAATCCTTCCCATGACTCGCAACGAGTGTCCAGTCAGGAGATGTGAGTCCCGTGCTTGCGAATCCTTGTCAGGCGTACCATATCACAGATCCTGCAACATTTCTTTCATGTCCGTCTTTCATCATCGACATCCCGCTCTCACTATACCTTTGCAACTCCGAAGTCACCAAGCGGCTATAATGAAGTTGGTATCCTGGCTTCAGCACCACTGGTGTCTTTACATCTGCTGGCTTATACAGTTTCCGGCGATATGTTGTCTAGCTTTCATGATCGTCCTCGCGTCGGTCCTTGGTGAGATGTCTCCTTATGGAACTGAGTACGTACATTCATCCATAATCTACCTGTCTCACCGCTAAATACTGACGCTGCTTTTCAGAGGCAAAATCATGCTCGGTCTCTGCTGCATCACGATCCTCGTTTCTGTCTACCAAGTATTCTTCTATTTCATTCACCGCTTGACTGCCACACACATGCTATGTATGCAGATATTCGAGAGCACGTTCATCACATATCTCGGTTTCTACTTTCGTAGATGGATTTTCTCACTACACATGCCACCTGGAACTTGGTCGCCGTTTGCTAGAGCGGTTTGGTTGGGACTGCCTATCATTCTGTAAGTTCTTTTCCTGTCTCTCTCACTTTGATTTTCATAGAGATTGATATGGTGTATCCAGTATTACATTCTACATTCTACTTGCCAGAAGTTTTGTTGTTTGGCATAGGATCCGCAAGAACAAGGAGAACTCAATGCCCGGAAACGATGGAGAAGAACTGGAGAATCTGTTACACGGCGAAAACTACGTTTAGAAGAACCCCGAAAGCAAAGCAAAGCGAACACGTAACACCGTTTCTTCGTGTCCACGCGACAAGACATCCAGTCTACCGCAAACCCATCTCTACCTCTTCTTCAGCTCCCATCTCAAGACTTGGTCCACCCGTTCTAGTCTCTTCTCGATTCTTCCGGCAGATCACATAGCTCCTCAGCGTCAAGATATAGACACTCGCCCTGCTTCACAATCAGCCTTTTCGTCCTTTCTCGAGATAGTGGCATCTGCGAGAAGGCCCACGACAGGAAGAAAAGCATAAAGACCTACGTTGCACAACAGACTACTCCCAAAATCCAACCTGAATATGCCATCTCAGCGATGAAATGGCCATATCTGATGACGGCGATGCTGCAGACGACGCTGGAGTACACCGAACACGCCAACACCATCGTGTTTCCAACCCTCCTGGGTGTATCGTGGAGGTAAACCTGCAGCCAGAAACCAGCTCCCATGATCCAAATCGCAAGCATCATGATCTGGTCTCTATTGTTGGTTTCGTTTTAGCCAAGATCTTACAAAGTACACTGCAAGAATTAACTTTGGGAGAGAAGGAAGAAAGAACTTACGCAACAGATATCACAAGAGGCCCTTCGAAGGGCCCGGGAAGGAACCATGGCACCCAAGCAGGTGGAAAAGCAGCGAATAGCATAGGTAATGCTTGTGCAAACCAGCAGAGTTTTAGGCATAGGTCTGATTCGATCCATGCTATTAGACGTTGTTGAGGGACTCTAGACATGTTCTTTTGTTTTCTATCCGATGAATCGCATGGACGAGAGAAGAATAAGAAATAAGAGGAGTTTGAAACGAAAGCAGAAAAGAAACTTAGTTACAGTTTTGCTAATCGGCGAAGGATTTTGGGATGCCTGAAAAGCCATCCTCGAGTCATCAGTTGTGATTAGCATGGTTTTGAAATTTCAGCGCTTATGATTTCTGCTCTATCGTGATAAGTTGAGTTTTGCTGTATCTCCTTGGTATGTGTTTTCTGCGGCACTCAATAGCACCCAACCTCCTACTCCTGTCTGTGATCTGACAGCAAGCGAGTCGCACCCTCTTCTTCTCCATATGTCTTGGGTACATCGCTTCGCCAGACCAGATAGCTTCTCAGTGTCAAGACATAAACACTCATCTTATATCTCATCAGCACACTCCCTCGTCCCAGAATCAAGAATGAAAAGGCAAAACTTACGTGATGAGAACCATGAATCCAATGATCCAAACAGCATCCCCCCTTTCAGCCAAAGCAGGACTGAACCTGATGATTGCGGCAGAGCACACAAGACTCTCATATACAGTATTCGCCAACATTACTGAATCCTTGAACCACACTCTTGGGTACTTGGCAGCCTGGACCACAAAACTGCATCCCATGATCCAAATCGCAAACATAATGGCGAAATCACTGTGGTGTTTGGTTTAGCCAGATAATCAAGCTCTTGATACAGGGGGGCGTGCAGGATACTTACAAGTTGTTCAAACGGGGTCCGTTGTTGAATAGGAACCGAAAGATCAAGGCGAACCAGATAACTGGAAAGGCCATAACTGCCATGGGTAATACTTGAATCTTCCAACAGATCTTTAAGCATTGTTCTGATTTGATGTAAGATTTGATGCGAGCTATGCCTTCGGTGGATAAGAGCTTCGGCATTGTTGATTCCGAGTTGACGTTCTGTTAAATCGTTCAAGCAAACAGGAGAAATAGATGTAGAAAAGGGAGATAGGGAAAGTGGAAGGTCGATATCAGCTTTACTTCTGTTTCTTTTGTTGTCGTTGAGTACTAAGGCATCGCGTGAGATCCATGACAAAAAGTACCAATCTATGTATACAAGTCCTGACTCGCGACAGAAAGAACGGTGGAAGTTGGACAGGCGGGGAAGTCGGACAGCACTTCTTCCCACCAGAATCAAAGAAAAGCTATGATTTACAAACTTGAAAACAACTACCACTTTGTAGCTGTGGCTATCTGAAAGATTAGTGCATTATACAAAGATACTATTTTTATCTTTTGTATACAAAAAGGCCGAGATTGGCAAAGTGACCGTGCCTCCTTCCTTCGAAGGAATCTACCTAATTTATTTAGGCGACCAGTTCCTTCCGAGCAGGACCTTGAGTTTCCTGACGTGACAGAAGTAAGAACGAAAATGCTCAACTCATACGTATCTTCTCCATCCCACCGAACAACCAACATCAACAAAGAGTAGACAAAGAGACGATAGCACCCGAATCAAATCAGCGAAATACCATTACAAACCCCCAACCGGGAAAGGATGTTCAGAATTCCGTCCACCCAAGACCACATCTCGAACATAAAAACATGGCTACAATCCCACAGCTGCCTCAACCTCTGCTGGTGCATCCAAGGTCTTCCCATGACATACATGACCATCCCCTTCACCTGGCCAATGCTATTCATCAGCTTTCCATTCGAAAAGGCTGCTATAATAACCACTTTGTTCGTTTGACCATTCCCTTCTTCCTTTCACATCTGCCTCAGTACAAGGCTATCTCTTCCCAGACACCAGAGGCTGATGCAATAATTCTACAGCGATGTAGTTATTGTCGTAGCAGCTTGGATCATGGCCATATCTTTCTGGATACAAGTCCTGCTTTATCCTTCGAGATTCTACTCACATAAGGTTATGTTAGGGAATATGGTATACTCATCTATAACCACTACAACTGGAACCATCTATTCTTTTCTGACATCAAGGAGAGAAATTATTCTGTCCTTCTTCTTGCTGTCATGTCTCTATTCCTGTAAGTCCAAGCTACTTCTTGTTCCACTGATCATTGGTATTTCGGTGTACTGGTCTCGCCAAAGAAGACTTGAATGGAGATGGAATAAGGACTGACCAAGCTTTGAACAGGGCTAGTGTATACGTCTTGACGATAAGAAGTTTTCTGATCTGGCGAGGAACGAATACAAAAAGTGCTGCAACAAGAACAGAGCAAAGAGAAGAACAAGAGGAAGTGCATTCACTTCTCTCGCAGCTGAATCCGTGCTCGTCAGAAGTTTAAATTAAAGTCTATCATTCCGAAGAATTCATGGATCTCGATACAAGGATAAGGCGACAACCAGAATCAACCTTGCTCACAAAGCCATCTTTAAAATCTCAATAACCTGCTCTTTCTCCTTGAGAGGAATAGGATTAGTCTTACAACAGAAATCACTAAGACTATTCTCCGCAAGCATATCAAACTTATCCTCTGCTACACCGACATCTCTCAACCTCCCAGGAAGACCAAGTTCCTTGACAATAGCCTTAAGACAATCTCCCAAATCTGCTGTTTGCTCCTGCAAACCATGGTTCTGTAGGACTTGTTTAACAACATCGTCTTGCCAGAACACGTTTCGGACTTTGGATTGTTGGGAGGGGTTGGTGTGGGCGTTGTATTTGCAGACGGAGGGGAGCATGATACAACTTGTTTCGCCGTGGCCGACGCCTAGGGGACCGAGTTGATGACCGATACCATGACTTGCCCCTAGTGGTGCTTTGTCGAAGAAGACGGCACCAATGGCATCGATGACGCCTAGTTGGCAGGCAAGTCTGGCATCAAGATCGTTTGCATTGGCTTTACAGCGTAACAAGCCAGGAACTAATGCTTTCAAGCCTTTGGTAGCGCGCTCATCGGCTCCAGGATTAGACTCCAATGAGCACATGGCTTCCACACAGTGGTCAACGGAGCGGATACCAGTAGACAGCCAGATAGAATCTGGTGTTGTGGTCGTAAGCTGTGGATCTAGAACAACGAGAAGTGGTCCGCGACTGGGGAAGAGCTGTTTGCGGTGATTCCGGTCGTCGGTTGCACCGCCTGGTCGTGTGTATTCTCCACCAGAGAGGGAGGTGGGAATGCTGATTATGGGAACGGTAGGAGCTTTCATGTCCGAACGCTCGTCACCAAGGCCATTGACGTGCATGTTGATCAGATCATCTACTGTTGAGACATCGTTCGCCAGTGCCTGGTTATACATGTTAGCTACAGCAATAGCTTCCATGGACTGAGGAGAAATTCACAANNGAGCAATAATCTTGGCGGCATCTGTCAAAGATCCAGCGCCGCAGGTAATGATCAGATCTGCTCTAGCTTCACGAGTGTCGTGAATAATTTCGAGGACCTCAGAGCACAAAGTATGAGGCGTCATGCCATGGCGGATGCCCACAACTTTACCATCAAGTGCTGTTTCGAGCTTCTTGATGTTGTCTGTTTGGCGAGACAGAGAGCCGGACGCGATAATGTACACACGCTTGGCATTGAAGGTCTCACTGACGTGTTTGGCGCATGACTCGTGGAAGGGGATGCCGTAGCTGATGTGAGGAGGGGAATCTGGGAAGGCATAACGGTAAACTTCTTGGTTTGGCGACATATTTGTGTTACTTCCGTGGTGTCGCAAGAGTCGAATTGAATCAATTGATGTGATTTCTTGAGCTGCAAGGTATACGTATCTTCAACGGCGTGGGAAGGATGCTCAATGCGATCGTCATTCTAAACACCGGAATGTCCGTGTGGGGTAGTGGTTTTGTCATATCAAATTGGTTTCTTCAGAAAGAGCTTCTACTGTTTGTCAGTGAGAGTTTTCCGGCTCATCATGTTCGAGTCAATCCAAGGAATCAAGTCAGCATTGGCTGTCGGTAAGCGGGCAAAGCGATTGTGCCGTTCTGTGGCCCGGTATGCAATGAGGATGTAAGGTTGGAGGATTACTAGTTATTCGAAAGTCGTTATGGGGGTGATAGGAGTACTATGAAGAGGCGTTTTTCCTGTACGAGACCTTCTCGACGGCCACATTCTCAACACCATTCTGGTCCTTGCGAAGCTGGTATACGTAGAGGACGAGGACGTCTCCTTGGACCTGCTCGGGATGATCAGAAAGGTCGACTAGGTTAGCCCACGATGCGTGACGACTCACATCCATAAGCACAAAGCTGGGCGTTGACACGGCTTCACCTTCCGAGTCGAGTTCGGCATCTGGTGACCAACTGACAGCACCCGTCGCACTGCCTGGGTTGACGAAGAACTTGCCCTCCATCTCGTAGGCTTCAAACTTGCAAGTACCACCCCAGCACAAGACGTCGACATCCATCTGTCTTGCAGCTATCAACAAGCTGTCCGGGTCGCCGGGTGGGACAATGGTGTGACCATGTGTGAAGCCAATGCGCAGACCGCCATGTGTGACAACTTTTGAGAGAGCTGTGGGAACGGGAATCTGGTCGGTGGGAGCAGCGTATGCAGCATTGGGATTCGGAGGAGCAGAAGTTGATAGCGAGATGTCGAAGTCACCCTTGACGAGCTGAAGATCGGGCGCGAGATTCCGGAGGAAGGTGTAGACGCTTGGTGATGTGAGGTTGCCTAAACAGAGGATCTGGCCAATCTTGCCCGGTGTGAGAAGTTTCTTGAACTGTTCGAATCGCGTTAGAGTCCGGATAGAGGGCGAATGGACGGTCGAGAAGGAGTCACAGTACCTTTGCTGGAATGTCCTGTGACGTGGTTAGCTAGGGAGCGTGTCGTGCGAGAAGTGTCGACTTACATTGGCGCGGTCCGGGATGAAGAGGTCGCCCAAGCATAACACGAGTCGGGAAGTCATGATGTATTACGCGCTTCTCGTTGCGCCTGTGTCTGTCGTCTCCTGAGTTGAGTTGTGAGTTCTGGGTTGGTTGCTGTTTGTCGCAATGCGACACGGAACGACATCAGCGGGGCCAGACAGCGGAGATGAGCTCGGGCCGCCAGCATCCCGACCTCCTTCGCGACTTCCTTCTCCTCGTGCTCCATCCCCTGACCAAAACTTCCCTGGTATACAGAGCGAGATGCTCTTTGATTTAGATCTCGATTGAAGGGCGATTATCTGGTTGTCTCTGTATCCATTCCCTATGGATCTCGACAACTCGCTGGATTGACCGATAACTCTCTCATGTTATGACTCTAGCATGTTATGCGACTTTGGGGACTACAGCGTAATAATTATTAGGATCTGACTCACTGTAGGTATTTAAAAACATAAGAGGGTGAAGTATCACGGTGTTTCTTTCCTTCCCTGCAACAAACGTATCTCATCACAAAAGCCCAAGTTTGCAGCCACAGCTGTTCTTCAAGCATAACTCAACCAACATGTCAGCCTACAAGACAAGCATCCAAGCGCGCTATGCTGCCTCTACCAAAAGAGCTGCGGAGATGAAGCGCCTGCGTGCACCCGAAGTCGTAGCCATGAAGGCACGCCATACCGCCAGCCTCAGAGGACCGACCTTGGTTAAAGTCTACGTTCCTCCTTCTGACCCTACGAGACAAGTTATCCCACAGAAACGCGAACCAGAACTCACACCTTGGAATCCTGTGGATCTTCCTGTGGATCTTCATGACGACAAGCGCAGAAAGACTTCTCCCACGACCTATGTCCGGGTGTCCAAGGATGCAGCCAAGTTGTGGGATGTGGAAATGGACAAGATTGCTGATGTCTTGGCTGGCATGTCTGTCAAGTCTGAGATCAGGGCTCCTGCTATCACTCGCATCATATCAGCGACCTTCGAGTTCGAGCCCAGCGCATCTATGAAGATGGTCAACGCTATCGCCAACATGTCTCCAATGCCAAACAACAAAGCAAAGTCGCGCGGCCTTAGATTCATGCGCCAGAGTCGGGCACTTGTTTCGGTCTGAAAATCTCCTGTCATATCACGTCTGCTGTTAGATATTGTAGATAGCCATAGTAATGCAATTGTCAAGAGATATTAGTAATGTCGAGTTGTCGAGTGGCTGTCGGCGGTTTCGGAGACCCCAGGCCAAGAAATGTGGAGTTTGGCGCGTTGGCGATGAATGGCGGGCAACGGCCGAAATCGCCCAAATATTTCGCTGGTCTACAGTCATTTTGCCTTTGTGTTCTCTGGTTGTTCTTCTTGTTATACACATCAGACATAATGGGGGCTCAATTATTGCGTACGAGCAGATTGCCTGCAGTCAGGGTATGCAACTTCTTCGATAATTGATGGTTATACAAGCCATGACTAACTCGTCGGCAGTCACTTGCCTCTTCTGTTGGGCGACCCTCAGTAGCGCGCCGTCATCTGGCTACACAAGCCGATGCCTCTACCACTCCCTCAGCATCAGACCTGGCCAGTCGCACCCCGCCATACCCCAAACTGCTGAAGAAGCTCCACGAAGTCCGCCGTATCCTGCCCGACCGCCCTCTCACCCTCGCCGAAAAGATCCTCTATTCACATCTCGAGTCACCTGAAGAGTCACTTTTGACAGGAACAAACAATGGCGCCGACATTCGTGGAAAGGGCAACCTCAAGCTCAAGCCTGACAGAGTTGCTATGCAAGATGCCTCTGCTCAGATGGCCTTACTGCAGTTCATGTCGTGCGGTCTGCCCTCCACTGCCGTCCCTGCCAGTATTCATTGCGACCACATGATTGTCGGAGAAAGAGGTGCAGATGTCGACTTGCCCCAGTCAATAAAGGGCAACAAGGAGGTCTTTGATTTCTTGGAGAGTGCTGCAAAGAAGTACGGTATCGAGTTCTGGCCTCCGGGTGCTGGTATCATCCATCAGAACGTCCTCGAGAACTACTCTGCCCCTGGTCTCATGATGCTCGGAACCGACTCACACACTCCCAACGCTGGTGGTCTCGGTGCTATCGCTATTGGTGTCGGTGGTGCCGATGCTGTTGATGCTCTGGTCGACGCTCCCTGGGAACTCAAGGCTCCCAAGATCCTTGGTGTCAGACTCGTGGGTCAGCTCAGCGGCTGGGCCAGTCCCAAGGATATTATCCTCAACCTTGCCGGTCAGCTCACAGTCCGTGGTGGTACTGGCTACATCGTCGAATACTTCGGTCCCGGTGTCGAGACTCTTGCCACAACCGGCATGAGCACAGTCTGCAACAGTAATTTCCCCTGTTTCTACAGCTACTAAATCAACTGCTAACATGTTCATNNAGTGGGTGCTGAAATCGGCGCAACAACCTCCCTCTTCCCCTTCACAAAGGCACACGTCCCTTACCTCCACGCAACTCACCGTGGCCCCATCGCCCTCGCTGCCGAGACCATTGCCAGCTCCCCTGGTCCCCATAACCTCCTTCGCGCTGACGACGGCGCTCACTACGACAAGGTCATCGAGATCGACCTCAGCACTCTCGAGCCTCACGTCAACGGCCCTATGACCCCCGATCTTTCCACTCCCCTGTCTTTGTTCCGCGAAACCGTCAAGGCCAACAACTGGCCCGAGACTCTCGGTGCCGGTCTGATCGGCTCATGCACAAACTCTTCCTACCAAGACATGACCCGTGCCGAGTCGCTGGTCAAGCAGGCCACCGCTGCTGGTCTCCAGCCCAAGGCCGACTTCTTCATCACCCCTGGTAGTGAGCAAGTTCGCGCTACTCTTGAGCGTGACGAAACTCTGAGCACTTTCAATGATGCTGGTGGTGTCATTCTTGCCAATGCTTGCGGGCCGTGCATAGGCCAGTGGACTCGTACCGATGGTGTTGAGAAGGGCACCGAGAACGCCATCTTCACCTCTTACAACCGTAACTTCCGCGGTCGCAACGACGGAAACGTCAAGACCATGAACTTCCTCGCCAGTCCCGAACTCGTTACTGCCATGGCCTACGGTGGCAGCACAACCTTCAACCCCATGACTGACGCTATCCCCCTTCCTGACGGTGGCGAGTTCCGCTTCAACCCTCCTCAAGGTCGTGACTTGCCCAGCACTGGCTTCGCTCAAGGCAACCCCGAGTTCCTCCCCACCCCTGGTAAGCCCGATGCCAGCGTCGAGGTCCAGGTCGACCCCAACTCCACTCGTCTCGCTCTCCTCGAGCCCTTCGCCCCCTTCCCTCAGAGCGAGCTTGAGGGTCTCCGTGTCCTTGTCAAGGTCAAGGGCCAATGCACAACTGACACCATCTCTGCCGCTGGCCCCTGGCTCAAGTACAAGGGTCACTTGCCCAACATTGCCGAGAACACCCTGATCGGCGCCATCAACGCTGAGACCGGCGAGACCAACGTCGTCTACGATGTCAACGACACCGAGTCCCGCAGCAACGGCATGGGCATTCCCGCCCTGGCCAAGAAGTGGAAGGAGCAAGGCAAGGAGTGGCTCGTTGTTGCCGAACACAACTACGGCGAAGGCTCTGCCCGTGAACACGCCGCTCTCCAACCCCGCTACCTCGGCGGTCGCATCATTCTCTCCAAGTCTTTTGCCCGTATCCACGAGACCAACCTCAAGAAGCAAGGTGTGGTGCCATTGACTTTTGCCAATGAAGCTGATTACGACAAGATGGCTGCTTGCGACGAAGTACGCACTGAAGGTCTTCTTGACGTACTTAACTCTGGCGGTCAGGGTGAGGTTACTCTTGTTGTTAAGACTAAGAGTGGCGAGGAGATTAGAGTTGCTACTAAGCACACTCTTTCGAAGGACCAGTGTGCCTTTGTGCTTGCTGGGTCCGCTTTGAACTTGCTTGCTGCTAAGGCTGGTAAGGGAGCTGCTGCATAAGCGTGATGAACAACGATTTTTGAGAATTCTGCCTAAGCCTACAAAAAGCACAGATCGGAGTTTTCGGCATGTTATTTGAATCCTTTTCACGTTTTACTGTTGTATATATCCCATGAAATGTCTGAAATGTTCTTCATCTACTCTTTCACGCACAAGAACCCTTTGTTTCCAATGTCGATGTCTAAGCTAAGTCTAGGTATCATGGAAAGCTGAAAATAGTGTTTAGCATGGTTGTTTGTGCATAATCGCGGTATGGGCAGGTGCGTCTATTACCAACGTTACTGCCGTTCGGCAAATAAGGACATCCCGTGTGTAATGTTTACATGATGTGCTTGCCTTCCTCTTTATTCGCGTGCTACGGCATTATTTCTTTAAGCATGGATACTGCTCTTATTGCGTGCCGGTAGACTATGTCAAAAACCCACATATGTGACTCGGTAACCAAGACGCATATCGACTTCGACAAGCATAAACACACACTTAACAAAAATGATAAGGACAGACCAGCGCCGACACGTGCAAAGTACAGTATGTTTCATACTCGCCGCAATGTATAAAGTCTAACTTGTACACATACCCCGTCGACCAACTCATACCTGGTCTAGACACATCAGACGCTATGCAGATGCTCCTTCCACAAAATCTAGCAATCTCCTTACTTCCTCTGCATGCGCGTGTACTTGTTTGAAACTGAAGAATGTCATCTCAAGGAACTTTCCCGGTGTCTTCGAGCCACTTTGAGGAGTGGACTGCTCAACCGGATTGGCGTCTCCTGAGTCTTCCTCGACTTCTTTGATATTTCCGGTATTGGGCTTCCCAGTCGATCTCCCGAACGTATCTGTGGCTGTGCTCTTGACTGCTCTCTGGGCTACTTTCCCGACTGCTCTCAAGGCTACTTTCCCAACTACTCTCCGAGCTGCTTCCCCACACGCTGTCGTGATCGCTTTCTGTACTGCTTTCCCATCTGGGTTTACGGCCCCTTTCCCAGCTTCTTGCCCGGCCACCTGGTACGAGGTCGGCCATAGATTCAAGAGGGGTCGAGCCGTTAACGTCTGGATCTTCTATATCAGAACCGGCATGTAAAAGCGTTTTGACGACAGCGAAACCCATAGTCGCGTAGTGCAGAGCTGTCCTTCTCCGATTGTCACGAGCGTGGACATCGATACCGAGATCTAGGCACCTCCGTATGATGGAGGCCGACTTATACAGCGCGGCCACATGCAATGTGTTCCAACCATCTTCGTCTCGTTGGTTGGCAGTGTCTGCGGTGAAATATGGCAGCAAGATCGATAACAATATCTCAGTCCGGTTGTCATATCGGCGCAGGGCATACATGAGATTTTCCAGACTTACAGAAGCATTCCTGTCGAGTAACAGCTGTATGGTCGTATAGTGATCTGTTTCCAAGGCTGCAGCTAGTGCGGTCCCGTGTTCACCTCTGGCATCGATATCTGCGCCATTGTCAAGTAACAGTTGTACAGTTGTATCGTGGCCATGTAGTACAGCCTGTTGCAATACAACCCCATCTCCAGCGTTCACTTCCGCACCTGCGTTGATCAAGAGCTGAACAATTTTGTTGTGTCCTCTTTTGGAAGCCTCTATCAATAAAGCACTGCCATTGGCTATCGCACCTGCGCCTCTGCCCACTAAGGGCCTAACGACTGTGTCAAGCGAGGCTTCTTTGAACGCGGCAATACTACGTGCATCAGTCACATCTGCACCTTTGTCGAGCAGCAGCTGTACGGTGGTGACATGACCATTGAGCGCAGCTGCTCGTAGTGGACTGTACAAAGGATCATCCCTAGCATTAACATCCGCACCCTGAACATCTGTGCCCTCGTCGAGAAGATCTCTCACGGCTCGAGTTAAGCCATTGTAGCAGGCGTAACAAAGTGGGGTTATAGGCGACATCCAATCTCTGATCCTAATGAACAACATGGAGAAGCGGAACACTTCATGTTGCTCTCGGAAGAGATTGAAGACCGATTCCACAAGCTGTGGTCTCCAGTATCGGCTCTCTGAGCGTGAATTGCCCAGTTTCCAGCAGAGTAGACGCAGAGAGGGAATATTCTCTGTGAAGGCCCTGGAAATTTCCGTCGATTGGGCCCCATCATGTGGTAAGCCGCTGTGAGATACGTTAAGCATAATCTAGCCAGATACGTTCTTGCTACTATCTCATTGAACGATGATTCATAGGCCTTTGAGACGTGTTTGGACGTTAGATATTCCTTAACGGAGAAATGCGCAAGTCCAACATAATCACTGTCGTCCCATAAGACTCTCACGAGACTGGAGCACAGTTTGAGTACCTCGCGCGGGACTGGCATCCTGTTCTTTGGGTCAAATCCGGGTCCATGGTCCAGATCGACCGCGACAGCGTCCACCAATTCGTTGATACTGACAAGAGGATCTTCCGACCAGATCAGAAGATTCAGGATCGTGGTAGCTTGATTCCTTCGCTCTTCAGGTATCTCCTCCAGAATTCGACTATAGGTCTCGTTGAGCGTCCTGGGAAGATTGTACAAAGTCCGTCGAAGTCCGGGGTAGTCGATGGGCGCCTTGAGAGCATCGAGCTGGCAAAATACCCAACGGAACCTGGTTTTCTTAGCGACTCCTAGAATATTCCAGACTGCAGGAGTTATGAAGCGAAAGAATATCAGACTTACATTCCGTCAGCTTTCTTTACTAGCTCTGATTCTATCTCATTCTGCACATCTGGTCTGTTTTGCCATCTTTCCAGCTCACTGCTGTTTCGTACTGTGTGACTGATATATGCTCTTATGTCTCCATGGATATCGCGCTCTTGGATGTTTATCCTGTCTTCAGGTTGCGTCCAGCGTCGAAAGGCTGCCTCGATGTCTTCTTCTCTCCTAGCAGTAACTAGAATCCGACAACCGTATCCGGGTTCAAGAACGTTTTTCAGCCAGGCGATCACTTCACTCCTCGTGGTTGACTCATCTAGGGCATCTAGTACGATGCTGGTATTGTTCACTGCTTTTAACAGCGCTAGCAGAGTTGCGCTCAGTGATTGTTTGGACAGATGCTGATTGCCGTTTCTGTGGGATTTCCAAAGTTCATCGACAGGACCTCGAGCCTTCGGCTGTTCTTGGTATAGTTGATTTGTAAGAGAACGTAGCATGTTCTCGAGAGTTTGCTTGTTCTGATCGTTGAAAGCAAAATAGAAATAGAGCAGCGGTTGATTTGGCTTGATATCACTCTTTAGGTGCTCTATGATGGTGGAGCTGAGAACAGTCTTTCCACACCCAGGAATGCCGTGAAGCCAGAGGAAGGAGTTAGGTTGCCTTTTCCATCTTTCGAAAGCTTCACCGTGAGTGAACCATACTCCAGTCCCCTCATGTCGCGTCTCCAGCGCGGTTGAGTAGTTTGTTGAAGGGTCTGGAGCTGACAACCAGTCTCTGATCTCCTTCTGGTGGTGGTCAAGCTCCATTTTGTCAATCTTCTCTCGAGCGACCTTGAAGTTTGTGTTGATCTCTCTGGTATCTTTGGAAACNNTGCAAGATTGTCAATGTCACATCGAACAATGATATTCGGAAGCATACATAGATTACTGACTTTGATTCAAGACCTCAGAGGCTTTCGGAGTCCTGGCTAAAATTTCACTGTTTACAAATCCCAGAAACTCTTTGGCATAGGCGGCGGCGGTGGCTGCAGCGTACTCCTGCCAGGCGTCATTCTTGTGAGAATCAGCATAGTCACAAATGCCTCTTATGACAAGACACGGAAATGAGTTCATTAGGCCAGCCGCTTCCATTTCCAGGCAGATACAAGCTTCACCGACCATTTCCAATATCCTATCTCTTTCAGCAGCATCTTTGAAAAGTGTGTTTCCTGACGCTATCACACCATAGTGTACTCGAGGATTTGTGGGATTTGAGCGCGGTGTGCGACTAACGATCTTGGCAGGGTCGCAGTCGTCACAATTGGTGCCGCTGGTGTGTACATACGACGCTTCGAATAGTCGATCGTTATCTTCTCCTTGGTAGATGTACGCTGGCTCGTCGTACTCAACCTCTGTCATCGCAGGATTCTGCTCTTGCATCTCCTTGATGTATTGGGCTATCTTGGAGCCTTTCCTCTTGACTTGCGCTCGTAAGGAAGTCAAAGCTTTTAGAAGAGCCTCAGGAGGTGAGTTGAGATGGCCGACGCGTTGTTCGCCGCTTGCGCGGCTCTTTACCAGGTCATACTGGATCACACCACCTGACCGCTCTTGTGGTAAGCTGACAACGACGTCACCGAGTCGAATGTCACGCTTTTGTTTTGGTCTGGCTATCGCCGCTCCAATGCCAACCATCAAGCCGACCTTGATGTTCTGGAATGAGGACAGCATCTGGCTCGCTGTCACTGCGGCAGTCGTTGTGCCATACATCCCGTCTGGTAGCGAAGCTACAACAATATTGTGAACACCGATGCGGCCCCAATAGTAATTATTCTTGTCGGAAGAAGGCTGTACAAAGTCTGCTGGTTTGCCGTGTTCTTCGTCCATCATGGCCTGGGCTGCTGCCAGCTCTTTGTAAAGGGCAGCAATCCAGCCGACCGTATAGAGGTCACTGCTCTCCAGGACTGTAAGGTCGTCCATGATAGTAACACTCGCAGGGTCGAGATATATGCAATGAAAAGATGTGCTGAGCTGCGGAAGAGCAGATAATGTACTGTGATGGATCTCGCTAAAAGGGCGCTGTCCAGGTTTAGGACCGAGATATGCAAAACAGATTGATGTGCTGAGCTTTGAAGAAGCAGCTGGTTTGCCGGGACAAGTCTCGCTAAGAAGGGACCGTCCAGGTTCTTATTGACAGGTCATGCGCACCTTCTTGCTCATGAGGCTGAGCTCCAACCAGGCGCCTTCCTTGGCCAATGCACATGGGTTCGAGATCGGTCAAAGCCAACGACCGGGATCATGTAATTCCTCGAGTCCATTGGACAGCGATACGTTCATGCATCTGTGTATGCAAGAGCTGGACGAATTAGATGCGATCCCGAGTCCCCGGGAAGCGGTATGCAAGGCTGGAAGCGCCACGCTGTTCAGCTGCGGGTGAACATCAATGATAAGCCGTCGAGGGGCGCGATAGTAGCAGAGGCAGATATAGAGAGGAAGCTTTTGTTCAGTGCAGACGTTTGACGATGGTTCTGGGATGTTGGCGATGTGTGAAGTGAGTGTTGATTGTTGATGTTGACAGAAATAAGCAGCTAGCTCTTTGCGAAGGAAGCGGGGCAAGAGAACCATGCATCGCTTCTGCCATTGCCTGCTTTGACTACATCCCGCGTCAGCGCCGTACTAAATATTAAAGGATCAACCGACGGCAAGCATATGTTGTACTCTGATAGACTGATACTTTGTAGGCAAAACATGACTCTCGATTTCACCCACTCAAGCCTTGGAGATATGTCTAGCATCACTCTCCTGCCAAGGGTATTGCTTTACAACTTCATCAACCAATTCCTCGTGCTTCTGACTTCTCGGGACAACACTGACTTCGAATGCCTTCGGGTACGCAACGATACCACCCATAAACTCATGCACCGGTTCCACGACCTTGCCTTCCTTATCGACTTTCTTGTTGACGTCAAACACGGCAAGAGACTGTGCCACAGTCAAGAACAAGGACGCATCAGCTAACACACGACCAGGGCAGATTCTACGCCCAAAACCAAAGGTAAAGGATGTGGCGGGAGGTTCGTTACAAGGTGGCAGGAAGCGTTCAGGCTTGAAAGCTTCGGGATCATGGTATACGGCAGGGTCGCGGGTGAACCACCAAATTGCCGGAAGTAGAAGAGAATCTTCTGGGATGCGGTAGCCGTTAATTGTGTCTTCTCTGTCTGCAACGTGGGGAAGTCCCATGGGAGCGATTGGATGCCAACGTTGTGCTTCTTCGACGATGGCGTTGATGTAAGGAAGATTCTCACGATCAGCATGGGCGGGCAGACGAGAATTTCCAATGACGCGATCGATCTCTTCTTGAGCTTTGCGTTGGACGTCAGGGAACATGCTCATAGCGAGGAAAAAGGCATTCATGGTTGAGACTGAAGTGTCAGCGCCACCCAGGTACATGGATGCTGCCGCCCATTTGATGGCATGCTCGTCTGTTGCGCCAAGCGTCTTTTCATATTGCGCTTGTTCAATGGATTTCGTGACAAAGTCTGCGTGACCGTTTCGCTTGTTTTTGCCCTGCTGCTTGGCGTAATCATAAGGTATGTCGGCAACCTTCATGAGAGTCTTGTTCCATGCTGCTGCAGTCTTCTTAAAGCTAGTTCCAGGCACCCAGCTGGGGATGTGCTCCAGGAACGGGAAGATATCTACCATCCATCGGCCTGGGACTGTTGCCTCGCTGAACTGTTCCATGGCCTCGTCGACCAAGTCGACCAGAGGGTCGTTCTTGAACGGCTCGATGGAGTAATCGTAGACCACTTTGAGGATCAGTTCGCCGGCTTCGGTTTTGAGGTGTTGAGTCAAAGCAGATCCCCTGTCTTGTCTAACACGCCACAAGAAGCGACCAACAGCAGTTTCCTGGACTTGATTGTGTCGCTCGACTGAAGCCTTTGAGCCCAGCTGTTGATGTGTGTACTTGCGATACAGCTTGAAAATGGAGTTGCATTGCTGTCCAGCCATTGGTTTATTCCATCCAACCAAGTCGAAGCCGAACTTCAACTTCGGTCTGCCGGAGTGGATATTCGCACGTTCAACAAGAAGCTCGTGAGCGATCTTTGCGTCGTGGATCAAGACCATGGTTTGTCCTAATACCGTAACAGAGCTGATGGGTCCATATGCATCTTTGTGCTTGATCCAATGCTGGTACTCGGGTACGCTGCCGTTGGGTAGGTCTGTCAAATTTCCAAGTAGCGGCAATCCTTTGGGTCCAGGTGGTAAAGGTTGGTTGTTCCTCTTACGACTCCAATCATAGAGTGCTTTGGTGAGGACAACACCCACCAGAACGTACGCAATCAGCCACGGCATCGAGGCTGTCATATCGATCACAGACATGGCGATGAGGAAGTGAGAAGAAGAAGGCTGGCAGGATCAGAAGACAAGTACTTATGTGCTTATGGTAGGCATATCCAGAATTTTGGAGCTGACACTCGTTAAGTGTCAGGATCATCGCTAAGGCATTGGTGAGTGGTATTCATAGGTCGGAGGATGCAGATTAATATGTATAGCGGCCTTTTAGCGCTTACAGGGTCGTGCTCGAGCCAGCAGGTAGTTTCGCTTCAACTCAACTGAATCCTTCAGAAGTCAAGGGGTCTTGATTGGCTATACTTGAATCATGCGTGCAGAGAGGGATGATTTTGGCAGCACAAGAAATCATTGAAGTGGTATCGAAATTCGAGTTCAACTCTCCCTTTTACTTCGGTGGGCAATTCATAGCAAGCGGATTGAGCCTGACTCCAAATCATCTCTGAATCATGATTTTGGACGTAAGCAAGCATTGCCATTGAGATGATTGGGAAAGAGCTCCCAGAAGTGGGAACACAAAGGTAAGCGCGCTCGGGAACGCCAAGATGAGGTTATGCTCGCGACCGCCCGGCAGTACCGATAACCCAAAAATTATCTGACCTTGATCTGCACATAACCACTCTCACACAAACTCGAAAGTCGCAATCATGTTCGCCGTAAAAGGATGGTCAGTCGACTCGAGTGCGCTCAAGACNCAGCAAGCCGCTCAGCCCGCCGCCAAAAAGCCTGAAGATGGCGCAACTGGACCCTCGGCGCAAACCAAGAAGAGAAAGAGAGGAGGCAAGGACAGAACTCCTAGAGATGTCAACGACTCGAACGTAGGCGACCTCTGGGCTACGACTATCGAGGGCAAGAAGGCGCCCAAGAAGCCCAAGATTGAGAAGAAGGAGAAGGTCGAAGCACAAGACGAGTCTGCTGCAGCTGGCGCAGAGTCTGAGAAGCCTGCAGTTGTTGAAGAGACAGAGAAGCCTGCTACACAAGAGAAGGAAAAGACATCAGACAGCAAAAAGGCAAAGAACAAGAAGCGCCAAAAGCAAAGAGAGAAGAAGGAAAAGGAAGCCGCCTCAGCAGATGCATCCAAAGCCGTCGCCAACACTCCCGCCGCTCCTCCCTCCCTGCCCGTCAATGCCAAACTCACACCCATGCAAATCGCCATGCGCCAGAAGCTCATCTCTGCCCGTTTCCGTCACTTGAACGAGACCCTTTACACCGCTCCCTCGGCCACCTCGCTCGCCCTCTTCGCAGACAACCCCGAAATGTTCGACGACTACCACTCTGGCTTCCGCCAACAGGTTACCACATGGCCCGAGAACCCCGTCGACATCTTCATCCGCTCCATTCGCGACCGCGCAAAGGTCAAGGTCTATAATCAGAACAAAGCCTTCCGTGACGTTAAGAGAGGAAAGGTTCCTAAGGAAGAGGAAGAGCCAGCACTTGGTGAAAAGGCAAACCCGCTACCTCGCACACACGGAACTTGCAACATCGCAGACTTGGGCTGTGGAGATGCAAGATTGGCTGCAACTTTCCACGAAGACGGCAGTGGTACTCGCTACAACTTGAAGATCGCATCATACGACTTGCAATCACCAAGCAAGTTTGTCACAAAAGCCGATATTGCAAATCTGCCTTGTGCAGATGGCAGTATGGATGTTGCAATCTTCTGCTTGGCGTTGATGGGAACGAATTGGATCGACTTTATCGAAGAGGCATACAGAATCTTGCATTGGAAGGGCGAGTTGTGGATCTCTGAGATCAAGTCGAGATTTGGAAGAGTTGGAGGTGACAAGGGCAAGGGTGGTCAGAAGGTCGTCGAACACAGTGTGGGTAACCGCCGTAAAGCTGCTGCGAAGGCAAAGGCTGCAGACGCTACACGCGCGAAGCTCACCGCTGAGGAGGAAGAGGCCGCTCTGCGCGAACAGGTTGATGAGGTGGTCATGAAGAATGAAGAGACCGATGTTTCAGGCTTCGTCGAAGTTCTGCGACGAAGAGGATTTGTGCTTAAGGACGAGAAGTCTGTGGATTTGAGCAACAAGATGTTCGTCAAGATGGAGTTCATCAAGGCTGCTGCACCCGTGGTGGGCAAGAATGTGCAAGAAGCCGGTGAAGAGAGGAAGGGCGAGAACGGAACTTGGAAGCCCAAGTTCAAGAAGTTTGTCGAAGAAGAGACCAAGGAGGTCAGTGTTGAGGATGAGACCAAGGTGCTCAAGCCATGCTTGTACAAGATTAGGTAGAGTGCGGATAGCGAGAATGCGTTCTGGCATCGTAATGATCTTGCATTTCATAGCCGAATTGACGATAACTTTTCTATCTAGTGCTTCTCTTCAATCACTCATCTCCTTGATGACTTGCTCGAGATTTTTGATGTCGTGAGCGAAACGTCCCAGGAACAGTCCGTCGACACCTTCTCTCAACCTGTCGTAAGTTCCTGGACCAGCACTTCCACCATACAGAATCCTTGTCAGGCCTTTGCGCCCTTCGGCCATCTTTCTAATTTGCTGTGTGACAGCAACGACATGATCAGGATCTGCTGGCTCACTCGCTCCGATAGCCCAGACAGGCTCGTAAGCAAGAATGAGCTCAGCATCATCCGGGATAGCTTGCAGAAGACTCATGACTTGTGGCCTACACTCCTCAATAGCCATACCAACAGCCTGAGAAGCAATCTTGCCATGCATCTTTTCACCGATGCACACTAGAGGAACCAACCCATTCCTACACGCAGCAGCGGCTTTCTTTGCTGCCGTAGCATCGGTCTCTCCAAACAGACGTCTGCGCTCCGCATGTCCCAACTCAACAATACTCGCGCCAGCCTGCTTCAACGTCCTACAAGAAACCTCTCCAGTGAACGCTCCAGCATCCTCCCAAAACGCATCTTGAGCACCCAGTTTGACATCAGTGCCTTTCAACGCATCCTTGACAGGCAACAAAGACACAAAGTCAGGGATGATGAAGAGATCAATGTTGTGGTTGGCAGCTTGCGCAGAAATGGTTGCGAGGTCGGCGGCATAGGACAGGGTTTTGGTCAGGTCAAAGTACATCTTCAGGCTCGTGCCCACGATCTTTCGGCGGGGTCCGACTGCGGATGTCGATGACATGATTTTGGATTTCGTGCGCAATGACTGTGGGGTTCAACGGAATGGGGTGGGTGTCCCGCGGGTAAGCGTGTCGATATGGGAGAGCTCTGAGTTGTAGGAAGACAGGAGAAACACAGAAACTGTAGGAGATAGATGGTGTACGTCTTGAGTATTTATATTGGAAAGAACCGGGATACCTGTTTAGGAAGGGGCCAGTTGGAGGAAGGAACTGTGTGTTGTTGTCGTTGCTTGGGGCAGGAGCTTGGCCCAGCGAAAGCGGCGGCGGGGAAAGCACGAATGGGCCATCTCATCAACGCACAGACCAGGCCCTCACAGAAACGAGGGCCCTCGCAGTCGTTCGAGATTCGAGAGCGTCATGCACTTGGGAAAATCTTCTTTCCTCTCTTTCCTCATTCCACTTTCCATTCACTTTATGTCTAGAGTGCTGGCCGATAGGTGGGCGCGCAAGAGATATTTCGGTTAGATCGATACATTCCATTGACTTTCTTTTCTGTTGCAACAAAGGAGGAACAAACAGAAATACTGGAAACGAGAGAACAATCCTAAGCAACGTAGGTACCAATGCCCTGCCCATTGCAACAAACAATATCACGACTTGCACGACATGCGCAAACAAGAGAGACTTGCCAGCCATGGATCGAGTCCCAATCTTCCTTTTCTTCGTCATCTTCTTTATAGCCAAACGACTAATCGCTCGCCACAGACCAGTCCAACGCCGCGTTAAATTCGCCGTCGATTGATCCAACAATACACCTATACCTATACTCATCACCGCCAACATGCATATCTCAGCGAAGCTCCAGGCCGCCGCCAAGGAGAAGAAGTCAACCTACTCGTTCGAGTTCTTCCCTCCCAAGACGGCCCAGGGTGTTCAGAACCTCTACGATCGCATGGACCGTATGCACAACTTCGGCCCTTCGTTCATCGACATCACATGGGGAGCAGGTGGCCGACACGCCTCGCTTACCTGCGAGATGGTCAAGGTCGCTCAAACCGTCTACGGTCTCGAGACCTGCATGCACTTGACTTGCACCGATATGCCCAAGTCAAAGATTGATGATGCATTGAAGGAGGCCCATGACGCAGGCTGCACAAACATTCTCGCTCTACGTGGTGACCCTCCGCGTGAGAAGGAAAAGTGGGAGGCTACCAGTGGAGGCTTCAGATATGCCAAGGATCTCGTTAAGTACATCAAGGAGACCTACGGCGACCACTTCGACATTGGTGTCGCTGGATACCCAGAGGGTTGTGATGACAACGACGATCCCGAGGAGTTGATCCAGCACCTGAAAGAGAAGGTCGATCTTGGTGGTACCTTCATCGTTACTCAGATGTTCTACGACGCCGACATTTTCCTCGACTGGGTTAAGAAGGTCAGAGCTGCTGGCATTGACGTTCCCATTGTTCCTGGCATCATGCCCATCTCTACCCATGCCGCCTTCCTACGCCGCGCCAACTGGTCCAACATCCACGTCCCTCCTCACTGGCACGAGGCTCTCGAGCCTGTCAAGAACGACGATGCTGCTGTAAGAGATGTCGGTACTGGTCTCGTTGTCGAATTGTGTCGCAAGCTGCTCGACAACGGCATCATGCATTTGCACTTCTACACCATGAACCTGGCTCAGTCAACTCGCATGATCTTGGAAGAGCTCAGCATCACTCCTTCGCAAGAAACTCCCCTCGAGAAGNNCCCCCTTCCCTGGAGGCAGTCTCTTGGTCTCAACCGTCGCGACGAGAACGTCCGCCCCATTTTCTGGCGCAACCGCAACCGTTCATACATTGCCCGCACTCAAGATTGGGACGAGTTCCCTAACGGTAGATGGGGTGACAGTAGATCTCCTGCTTACGGAGAGCTCGACACGTATGGTATTGGTCTGAAGGGTACCAACGAGCAGAATCGTAAGCTTTGNGGAGAGCCTAAATCCTTCCGCGATGTGGCCACTCTCTTCGCCAACTACATGCAAGGCAAAGTCGAGTCTCTGCCTTGGAGTGAGAGTCCCATCACTGACGAAGCCGATGCCCTTCGCATTGATCTGATCGATCTCAACCAGCGTGGTCTCCTAACTATCAACTCGCAACCCCCTGTCGATGGTGCCAAGTCTACCCATCCCGTCTACGGTTGGGGTCCTCGCAACGGTTACGTCTACCAGAAGGCCTACCTTGAAGTCTTGGTCTCCCCTGAGTTGATTTCTGAGCTCATCACACGCATGGAGCGCAACCCCAACATCACCTACTTCGCTGTGAACCAGCACGGTGACTTGAAGACCAACTCTCCTGATGAAGGCCCCAACGCTGTCACTTGGGGTGTCTTCCCCGGCAAGGAGATTGTGCAGCCCACCATTGTAGAGACTGTATCATTCCTTGCCTGGAGAGATGAGTTCTACCGCCTTGGACTTGACTGGTCTCGTTGCTACGATGCCACTTCGCCTTCCCGCTACGTCATTGATGACCTGATGCAGAACTGGTACCTCGTCAACATCGTTAACAACGATTTCCGTGAGCAGCGTGGTATCTTCCCTCTCTTCGAGAATCTCGAGGTTCCTGAGTTGGACAAGGAGGTCACCGCTCCCGAGGTCCCTCAGAAGGTCAACGGTACCAATGGCGACAAGCACGACGAAGAAAAGAAGGAAGAGCCCAAGGTTGGCAACGGCGACGTCACCGACACTAAGATTCCTGACAGCGTGCACAAGAAGCTCGAAACACAGATCAATGGTGCTGACGAGAAGCCCGACACCGAGCCCAAGGATGCACCTGCTCACAACACCGGTGCAGGTCCTTCTACCGATGCCTAAGCGACCACTATCCTGACTCACCACACATGTCTTGACCAAAACATGACTAACAACCAACACCATAAACGACGATTTCCTTGCTTCTGTCTTTTCTTTTACTGCACTTTGAGAGTTGCACAACCAAACTTCTCATTACGATCTTCTTCAACAAGAAGATATTCAACACCCACCAGACATTCAAACGAAACCAGCATTTCAACGGCGTTCCTATCTATGTTAACGAAGCATGACAAAAAGCGAGAGATACCCCCATTCAACCGGGATTTGATTTTATACTATATTGGCGTTTTGTTCTACAGGGGAGGGACAGATGGAGATGGAGAAGAGGAAGACTAGAACTGACTTGAATCGAATCAAATGTTCTTTCCTCTTATTCTTTGATTTGAAGACCTTGGACATTAATGTTTTATTCCACCTGACGTTGATTTATTCAACAGATCAGCTTCGTTCATTCTAACCATCAACAGCAATTATAAGAAACACAATAAACATGTCGCTGACAAACTTCTGTCGCCATCAGTTGTACAACAAGAAGTCGGAGATGCACCTCCGCACGCACCCCACGGCAAAGGAAGGGCGATCTGCATTCCCGATGCACGCTTCCATCATTCAAACATCATGTCTTGACTCGCAATACAGGCCGAGGAACAGAACCATGTCCAACACCTATCAAACATCGACATGGTAGAGCATGTCGGCGCGGCACGTCGAGTATGCTGGATGACGTGCACGACTTCTGTGTCGCACCTGTTGAGGGGTCGGACATCTGGACTACAAAGAACTATTCGAACCTCGAGCTTTGTTCCTCTTCTACGCATTGAGCTTTTGACTCAAGCATCGATACAATGCGTCTTACGGTCTCCTTGTTGTTGACAGCTGCTGCATCAGCAGTGGCCCAAAACACCACCCAAGTCTACGACTATGCCATCGCAGGCGCCGGCACAGCAGGACTCCTCTTAGCTATCGTCCTCACTGAAGACCCTTCTATCAATGTCGCTGTTCTTGAAGCTGGCTTGGATGGTCGCACCAACCCGAACATCACTATTCCGGAATTGAGAGGCGAAATCATCGATACGGAATATGATTGGGATTATTATAGTACTGTTCAACCTGGTCTGTATGAGAACAGAAGTCAGGCTGTCAACAGAGGCAAGACGATCGGTAGGTTATACAATCAATTAGTTGGAGGCATTTTCTGATGAAAGAGCNNAGGTGGAACTAGTGCTATGAACTGGATGATCCACAACGAAGACTCTCGCGTCCAGCTTGATATCTGGGAATCGCTGCTCAATCTTACTGGCTGGAACTGGGAAACTCTGTCCACTGCCTTCAGAGAAAGTGAGATGTTCTTCGCTCCTCCGGCCAACGCATCCTCTGCTGAACACCCAAACCCTGCAAATCATGGATCTTCTGGGTACATTTGCTCGACTTTGCAACGTAGTGTCCTGTCTCTGCTGTCAGACTACGTGACCCCTGCCTTGCTCAACGCTGGCTATGCGGTACCTGGAGACCGCAATGGTGGCAATGTTACTGGTGCTGGGTTCTTGCCTCTTGCTATCTGTCCAGGCAATTACACTAGAAGCTATGCTGGATCTGCATATACTGCTGTTCAGGATAGGCAAAACTTGCATCTCTACACAAATGCTCAAGTTACAAATATCAGCTGGGCCTCGACAGCATCTGGCAACGTTACTGCTCGTGGACTCAACTACGTGGATACTTCCGGTCGCACTTCGAATAACAGTCTCTCCATCCACGCCGATGAAATCATCTTATCATCAGGAATCGCAGGCTCGCCCCCAATATTGGAACGCTCTGGCATAGGCAATCCAGATATCCTGATGCCACTCAATATTACGCCAGTCGTAAACCTCAGCAGTGTTGGCACAGGACTCAGAGATCCACTAATGATGCAATATCAACCACTCCAATACAACTTTAGCGTTGAGTTTACAGGTGGCGAGTACGCTCAAAACTACATCGATCTGCGACCAGCCCAAGATGTGTTGTCGGCTGCTGACTACAATGCTGCATCTACGTGGCTCAATTCCACTGCCTCAATTCCTGGTCTTGAAGACGCACAATTTACTGTGTTCAAGCACCTCTGGTTTACACGCCAACCATTGATCGAGATGGCCTGGCAGTACAGCAGTACACAATCTATGCCTTATACTCTGGTTCCTTTGAGTCAAGGCACCGTACACATCAACTCTTCCGACCCAATGGCTGCGCCAGTGATCAACCCCAACTACAACTCCGTCACTGCAACCATCGGCAACGAGACTGTATCCTGGGACATCTGGCTACTATCCCGCGCATCGCAATTCTACGTCACCGAACTTGCTTCTCATGAGCCATTCTCAAGCGTTCTCACCAAGACCGACCCTGATCACAACCTCTCTCCAGCAGCCTACCAACAAATCGTCTACGAACGCTCAGGCACATCCCAACATCTCACCGGCGGCCTCCCTATGCTGCCTCGTTCTGCAGGCGGTGTCGTAGACGCCCAAATGCTTGTTTACGGTACTTCCAACGTGCGCGTCGTGGACGGAAGTATTTTCCCCTACCAACCTTCTGCTCATCCTATGGGATTGACTTATGCTGTTGCTGTGCATGCAGCGAAGATTTTGCAACAGATTAAGGGCAGTAAACTTACCTATACGGAGGTTCCTGCCATCAGTAATGGTAGTTCGAATGCGACGGCGAGTTTCCCGAATGTGAGGCCTACGGTTACGTATGATCCTAGAGGGTCTGCTGTTCCTGCTTCTTCGTCGGTTGGTGTGTACACGGGTGGAGTTAAGAAACTGGAGATGTCTGAGTGGGTGCTAGGGTTTGTCGTTGTGGCTTTGGGATGGAATGTTTTGATGTAGATTCTTTTGATTGAGGTAAACCTAATCTGAATGAGTCCGGTTCAAAACGAGAGTATGAAGAATATACACTTTTGCCTTTATGAACAAAGAAATCTACAAGCTCTAGGTCTGCTTGAGTCAAGGTCCCAACACCGGCATCTCAGATCATGAAGACATGAAACATTGCGTCAAATCAGGAGTGATAAGAAACCAGCCAACATCAATAAGCCAACCACATTAACGTCACATCAACAGGCAAAGCTAATCACATATCCCCTCCCTCGCTTTATATACCAGCACTTCCTTCACCCCTCCACCTACCACCATCGCTTTACCGACAAGCGGTGGATTGGCCTAGCGGTCTCACGCCAACAACCTTCGTTGGTGACCCCCGCTGGAAGGTCTTCGGTTCGACTCTCGCAGTCGAACTGTTAGCTTTATTCTTGAAATGAAACCAGTGTTTCTGGTGGCTTTCTCCCCGCTGATAGGCTTTTCTTCGACTGAGCCTTGGTAGTGGGGATTTGTTTTGCTGGGACAGTGGGTGAGAGTCTTTTGTTCAATGTGATGTCTTGTTGCTTTTACTCGTAGTTTGCTGTGATGTGGTTTTTTCTATCGGGGTAGCTCTGTCCTAGACAGAGTTTGGGATGCCTGGAGGAGGTGCAAAATGGAAGGAAGCACAGAGTGATGAGTTGCTGAATCGCTCTTGCCAAGTCCCTTGACTTGAATACAAACATCAAGTTCAGCTTTTGGTGATTTGCGCAGGATCCGGCATCTCTGGTGATCCTTCATCTATGGAATTAGAGTCTTGTGCTTGTGTATTGAGTTGTCTGATGCCGGATCATCGATGCTCTACCAAAGACTTTGCACTCAAGTCAAAAAGCTGTGCTTCGATGGTTGATACAAGTCATCATGTGTGCGGTTTATCGCGACGTACTCTTCCATCTTGGGGCTAGGTGTATAAAGAAGACATAGACCACCGCTCTTAAAAGTAAAGAAAGTGATGTTTTTATGTCTTCTCAAGAATCAAACCCACACGATAATCTATGGCCCCAATCGATTACTTTGATCTTCGGCCGAAACATAGTTTGCAGGTAACCAAAGGCAGAAATGGCTCAATGGCTAGAGCGCCCCTCCCGGTATCTATCAAGCTTCTTATATTGGGACTACGAAGTGGGACAAGTGAGGCTTGGAGATGCTGCAGGATTGAGTAGAGATCGGAGACCGAGTCTTACTTGCTGCGATGTCTCGTCTTCTGCTCTTTGCATATGTCTGCAAGAGTGTAGTAGAGTAATTGGAGATATACGACGGCTTGAGTAAACTTGTTTATGCTTGTAGCAGTGTGTTAAGTGGATGTGAAGGTTTCCGGTGCCATGAGCTCTTGATCATATGGCACCTGCTCATCAGTCGAATGCTGATGACTTAGTCAGTGATACTATCGGGTGAGGAGTGGTTGTTACCCACACTCGAGTTCTTTGTAGAAAAGTTTTATAGGAAGGCATATGCCAACGCAGCGGTATTGCAAGAACCTATCCGGAGTCTACAGCTTATACACCAGCCTCCTTTTAGTTGAGAAGATATAGAATGCTCTCTTACTCCGGTCTCGTGCAATGGCTGTTTTGCGTTTTCAATCTTTGGTCGTTGTTTCCTCTTTGGAGGATTCACAGAGCATGATTGTTGGTAGAGTGCACGGCAGCAAAGCAAAACAAGATTCAGGAATATGTAGAAACCACAGACTTGCGCACTGAAAACATAGAAAGTTTTTGGAAATAAAACCCGAAAAAATTTCGTAGAGCATCTCTATGTACAATTCTACGTCAACAACCCCCTCATATCTTTTTGTAAAGCAAATAACTCCTTGAACACCATTGAAACACCATCCATTCAAACTTCATAACTCGCATTCTTAAGTACCATTATTCATCTTTTGGTCTAGACCAATCATCACAAGGCATTACTGTTTAGGCCGAGGTAGCCAGAGCGCATGCAGAAGCAATGACCGAAGCGGGGTACTTTGTGAGAGCAGAGGGAGTGGCAGTAGTCTGGCTCTTATCGTTGGCATTAACAGTGGCGAGGGTGTTGGTGGCAGTGGCGGTCTGAGTAGCGCCGTTGCTCAAGACCGAAGAGCAGTAAGGCTGGAGAGAAGCAGAAACAATGGCGGACTTGGCGGAAGCGACATTGCAGGGGTATCTGGGTTGGCCACCGTCGGTCGAGTTGGAGAAGGTGTACGAGAAGTCGATGGTGTAGTGGTCAGAACCAGAGTAGTAACCAGTGTTCTTGGCGTATGAAGAGGACCAGGTCTGGTCGTACATGGCGCAGTATTGTCCAAGAGACGTACCGTTCTTGTACAGGATATAGGTGTTGAAGAAGGAACACATCTTGTTGAACGAGCCGTCAGCAGGAGGGTGCTGGCGAGCATAGCTGGCCTGCTGGTTGCAGGCAACTGCGCAAAGGTTGGCATCAAACACACCGTTGCCGACAACCTGTGGTTGAAGGAACGAGTTATCACCAGTGCAGTCGAGAGGGGCGTTGATGGTAGCCTTGCCAAGGTAGACACCAGCGTTGTAGCCGGCTGGGGTTGCGATGGACTGGTTGACATATCCGTTGGATCCAGCAATCACAACCTGGAACTGGTTGCGCCATTGACCAGCGTTGTTGGCATTGTCTTTGGTGACAGGTCCAGACCAGAACACACACTAGAAGATCAAATCATCAGCCCTCCGTCAACAAGAAAATCGTGTTTTGATATTCACCTTGATGTTGGTTGTGCTTTTGGGGTTCTCACAACCAGTACCGGGGTTCTGACTCGGGTCACGTTCGTAGTAGATATTGAATGCCTGGCATCCGTTGATCTTGGTGCACTTGTCTGCACAGGTCTGGGCCTTGTACTCGGGCAAAAGTGTATATCCCATGTAGCCGTAAGCATTGTTGCTAGCGTTCAGGTTGCTGAAGGTGTTCACGTAGCCGCTAGGAACAGCGCTAGGAACAGCTTCTGCGGCGGCGGCTGAGGAGAATGCGGGATATGCCAAGAAGTTAGACGGAGTGTCGGCATCACCGGTAGGTCCAAGAGGGACTCCAGTAGGCTGAGCCTGGCAGCCGGTAGTAGCAGCACGCTTGGCAATGGCAGAGTCCAGAGGAGCGGAGTCGCTAGGGTTGGCGACCAGAGCGGAGCTGAGAGCAGCAGCTGTCGCTTCGCCGTCGTAAGAAACAGTTGTAGCAGTGGCAGTGGTGGCTGGGGCAGTAGCGTAGACCACAGGGATGGTGACATCAGGAACGGGAGTCAATTGGGAGACTAAATCCCAATCAAGGTCCTGAGCCTGAGCAAGGACTGCAAAGGCAGCAGCGGCGATGTAAGAACGCATTGTTGGAAGATAGAAGAGTCGAGAGGAGATTACTCTTGATTGTTGATGAGGGAGTTGAGTGAGTTGATGTTCGAGATACAACGGGCACCCAGACGGTATATATATTCATCCATCGGATACATGAGGCTCATATTCCTTTTGAACCTAGCCAGGTCCCAGAGTCCCATGTCTACGCTTAGCTTCGGGGGCACCGAGCTACCAAGGGCGCTTGAATCGTGGAAAGCCACAAGACTCGAGATGCCCGAGACTATTCCAGGTGAACAAGATCCCAGACTCCGAATCCACTGTTAGCGAGGTTTGTGGCGCTTGTGGGCACACTGCATGGTAGTCAGCTATGGCCCAGGGGCAGGGAAAAGTTCCGGGAGAGTCCAACGGGATATCCACTTGGTGCAAACAAAGTGCCNGGAACGTTTTTGTCCAGAGANGACGGTGCAATCGAGATGAACCGCTCGTTCGTNGGGGGAGATTTCCCCAAAAATGCCACAACGGCCTCCCAGGATGCACTACAAACAGCAACCCCTAAACTGATTGAGTTAATGGGTAANAGCAAGAGACATCTGGCGGGACGNAAAGGAGCAATCCCAAGCGCAGAGAGGCTTGGATCAAGACTCAGCACGGACTGCCGTGCTTTTCTCTGTNNTACTCGATGCGGACTCGGAGCACGGGTTACAAGTATGGTGTACCGCACGGCATGACCGAGAAGAGAATTGNNCATGGCATCCAAGCGACACAAGCAGAAGTGGTTCTTGNNACATGGTCTCGGTTTGGGTTGCTATGCCATGCATGATGCGAACATGGAAATCGCGGTGAAAAGCTGGAGATGCACGGTAGCTGTCTCAGTTTGACGGCTTCTGGACTTTTGCGCAGCTCGCCAAGAAAACTCATCGATTGGTTCGGACTTCGACGACATGAGACGAGCAGACAGCAGCTGAAGAGGACCGCGCACTGCTTCAGGTTCCTACAGAAGACCGGTGAGACACCAAGAACGACAAGAAGTCTTGCGGTGATGGAAAATTCTTCGTTATGGTGTGACTCTGGATTGGTAAGGAGTTGGTGAAGCTTTGATTGCGCCGAAAGCCTTCGGCGTCGCCTATTCAGCCACGCAAACGAGTCGGTTGTGGCCTTCCGACTGGTATAGACGGTGTGCACGGCGTTGACAGTCTGATGCCCAAAGCGATGCAATTGTCCCAAATCAGGTGAAAGGTCTTGTAGCAGCTCAGCTTGATGTGCGAGTTGTTGTTGTCGCACCTTCCTCCCAAGACAGATCTTGGCACCGCGACATATGGCCAGATACGCAACCACGAATTCTGGCCAGCTTTGCGTCGCGTCATGTTGGTGCCTTGCGGGCGCGTCGCTCCTGCCACTTCACAGCACCTTCTCTTCAGACAGTCTTGTCCATCCACATACTTCCACTGCAGCAAGGTGTGTTCGTTGGCAACAGTTCGTTAATACCTTCAGCCGTCTTGTGGCCGGACTTATCAATATTCTCTTCGGAGAGGATACGTTTTGTCGCATCACCGCTGTACGTAGGCGCAAGCTGTTGTTAGTCTTCACACTGATGCTGTCGAGCTTCCTCGCTCATCTCCTCGTTTTCTCATTCCACGAGTCAGGGCTGCTCACAGTCGACAAAAGCCCGGGTGGGAGGGTTTCCTGATACTCCAACGTTCAGGGGCTCTCAACTTCTAATCATTAGATCTAGCAAACACGCTGCGCTCTTGAATTGACATGGCGGCTACTACTTCTGGTAATGCTTGGAGATGCCGCAGAGTAGCCTTCGTGCAGAGCTCTGATCCAGACAATGGTTGCCGCTGTCAGGTTCGCTTCATGCATCATAATCGTCAGGCCTCGATATCACTCCAGTTGCAACATGCTGCCAGTCTGGTCGGGGTCGATAATAATCCACCTCGACACGTTGTGCTCCACATACAACCTTCGATCGTCGAATCTTGTTCTTTAGCTGAGGAGACATCGCTGTCGCCATTGCTGTTGAAATGTATACCTACCTCGCTTGCAAGCCCATCTGACGTCTTGACTGTTGCCCTCGTTCTGAAATCTCCTGGTGCTGTGCACTACCCCAAAGAGCTGACGAGCGTACGTCCGAATGATTCGTCTGATATCGACTTCCGATCATTCGTCGATTTGTGTCAAGCGACAACCATTTATGTACACTTTGCCAAAACCCAGTTTGATCAACAAGAGAGGCCGAGATTGGAACAGTTGGTGATTGGGTTCGGTGAGGGTAACTTGGAGGCACCGCCACTGAACCTTCAAAGAGAGGATCGTGGCAGAGGCTTGCAAGAAGGCACATGGGAGGTCTTCAGCCCAAAAGCCTCAGGGTCCAGCCACACTGGGACATCATCGAGGTTAGGCAAGAGATCAAGACAAGGTAAGTAACATCTCAACCAGGTATGCTGAGCATCTGCTATNGGTTGGCCTCTCCTTGGGCACACACGATGTTGGTACAACATCCTGCATTGCGATGGCTTCAACTGAGATATGTAAACTGTCGAGATGCTAACTTAAATGTTGTCAGCCTCAGTGTCTTCTCCTGATGCGCCCCTCAAGCGTTCTGCCCCTTATATATACACCACCCCTCCTCCCTACTCCCCGACTGAAGTCAATACGACACCTACCACGAGGTCAGGTCAATCCAACGATATACGACCGACTGTTTTCACCCTTCCCCCTTACCGCAAGNNGGAGGCAACCTCTCCCAAGGAAGATACCCAGGTCACCCTCCTTGCTAATATGCTTGCGACTGTCCCTGAGCATGTGCTTCGCGAAGCAATCATCAAGTCCGGGCATGGGGTCATACTGGGCCTAGCCCCTGACAGTGCCCTGCCTAGCAAGCGACAGGAGCCTCGTGTCCGTCGTTTGTCTAGCCCTGGACTCATCTCTCTGGTCAGGGACCTGTTCACGACGGAAGTAGGAGCCCGGATGAAGTATCTCGTGGAGTCCGGACTACCTCTTCACACAAAAGATGCCATTGAGAAGATCATGGACGAATATCACAATAAATTCCACGTCGACTGCCAGGAAGCGGAAGCGGCCATACAAGAGACGGTAGAAGACGCCTCGCTGGAAGTGAAAATGGCTCTCGAGGACGGCATGAAAGAGATCGAGGAATTGGTTGAGGAACACCTTGAGAAATTGGCTGGTGAGCACGAGATCTTTGATGGTAAAGCTAACCTTGAACTCGACAACCTTAGGTGCTGGTTCGTCAAGTTCGCCCGCACACTATTCTTCGAAGGTCGGGCAGACCACGTCTCGACAAGAGACCTTGCAAGATGCACCTCTATATAGAAGCTCCGTATTCAATATCGACTGACCATTGCAGACTCGGGCACGTCTCAGCACCGGCAATGGTTGTACTTGGAGGTTGTTATTGCATCTTGGTCAACCTGATCTTCATCAATGGTTGCGTGGCCCAATGGCAAGGCGCTTGACTACGAATCAAGAGATTCCAGGTTCGACCCCTGGCGTGATCATTTTTGATGTTGTGTGCTAGAGCTCTGCTGGTTGTTGACGGAGAATTTTTTTTGGTGGCTGAAAAGTGCACAGACAAGACGTTGTCGGTTGCGCTTTCCTCCGAAATTCAGCCCGTCCATCGAATGTCCATACATCGAACCATCCATCATCGTGCATGCAAATGATCTATAATCAGCTCGAGATCTATCGGTTTTCTGTACCTGTACCTGAAAAGCATCCATGTCCTCATGGTCCACTTGTTTGTTGACGGCTGACATCAAGCAACGAGCGTCTCACGGCTGGCGCAGTGTCATTAAGCCATCATGCATCGGATGAAGTTGGAGAAACGCCGACAACCAAGCCCGCAAGACTTCCTCCACGCATGGCAACCATCTTTTGCATCTTTCTCGTATCTGCGGAGCTCCTATAATGGCCTAGATGTATGGGAGAGCCTTGATACCACGATCTTTACTCGTTTCCGCCACCCCTTTCCCACTCGTTCGTTGCTGTCCCAGCGGTTAATGTCAATAGACAATCCTGAGCGCAAACCTTCCTGACTTTTAACACCCTTTTGTGGGAAGTGTATTCCGTCCAGCCCTGCGCCACAACCAAAGTATGTTATTCCTGGCAGAAGAAGCAAGATGTCCGAAATCTTGTGTGTCCCCAGGATGTCTTTCCCTACAGGGCGTGTTCGTGCGAGGGTTGGCACTTTGGTTGCATATCTTGGCGTTACCTTTTGCGATAATGGTATCTTTGGTTCGCAGCTCGTATGGCTAACAGCTGTTCCTCCCGTATACTGCTTTAGCAAATGTGTTGCCAGCCGTCATCTGACGATTCGCTTGCGGGTGTTCCTGCATGCATGATGTGTGTGGATGGTCAGCCGGGTACCTTGCAAATCCGGCGCGTACCTACTCTCGACTGCTTATTCTCACCTCAAGTCTTCCTTCAGCTACCAGCAAACAGAACTGTTATCTCTGCTTTCCATCCTCGCGGTCCAGGCCATACACAAACACAAAGTCTACTGAGCACGATCTAATCAATCGTGGCTCTGCTCTGTGCAAGCGGCCCCTGTGCAGAGAATGCACCAATGCAACTTAACCTTGTTTGCGCCGTCAGGGCTATGGCGCTTAAAGACCCGCTCTGCACGCGCAAAAAGTGTCAAAAGATCAAGGTGACTATTATACTAGGCCCAGAACAGCTTCGACTTTCTTTTTTCGCTGCGCAGACTATCGAAATCTGTGAGTTGTACCAGGGCTCGGTTGCTTGCAAGTTGGCGACCAAAATCGATCATGCAATGCCTTGGGACCATGGCCTCATGAACTGCTCTCAGCTCATCGGATGCACCGTCAATAGACATTCTCGTAAAATCCTTCCGCAGTGCATTTGTTGTGCTTCTGTTCAGCTGGCTGGGCAGCGGAGCATCCGAGATCGCGATTAAATTGCGACAGCTGTAGTGTGTGGGCCGGCCGCTGCCAGTGCCACGGTCTTGGTATTGTTCTTCAGCTGAGCGCTGTCACAATCGCATTACTGTAAGATTGAGGTGCTGGGGTCATCCGTGCGTGTGAGCATCGTATTGCTGCTGTCATTCCAAATCGGTTGTTTCAGGTGCTCTTTGGTTGATGTTCTCGTAATGGGGTGGCTGGGGTGGTATAGATGGCTGGGGACAGGGTTGTACCTCTAACAAGTGCTCAAAAGACCTTTTCGTATGCATAACCTCAACAACATATTCTTATGCTCTAGTGCTCTTGGAAGACACTCCTTATATATGCTTCGAGAGATTGTGAAGCTTTGAAGATCATGCGATCTGAATTAGAGGCGCTGTAAGAAAAGATAAATTGCTCGTAACCCGATCAAAAAGTGGCAACCAAAATCTGTGTGAATGGCATCGCACAACTTCTAACAGGCATGTTCATCCAAAATGTTGAGCAAACAGTCAGATACATGGCTCAATTTGATCACATACTCTATAAGATGGATCGAGAAAAGTATTGAATCGTTCCAGAGGAATGTCGGAGCTGGATGGATGGAGAAGTGGAAGAACAGGGTGCTACCGGCCGCAAGATATCTTGGCACCAGGGTTGCGCTCCCGACATCTCACCACGTCAAATCCAAAGAACCAAAGCTACCAAACAATGGTCTTGCCATCTTGAGTTGAGAGTTAATCAGATACCATACAGCTCAGAAGATCTGTTCTATATGAAAAAGCCTATGCATATGTATTGGAAAGCATACAATCACTCTCCATCATGAATATCTCTGCAATTAAGGCTTTACATAACTAAGAAACAGCATGCCATGTTGTCGGCAGTACACCCATTCCTTCTCGAGAGAGGCAAGAATGAGTTGTGTGTCTTTATACTAACAGGACATCTCATCTCTTATTATAGGTAGAAAAGGTACAGTTCACCACTTTGCGTCAGTCTTAGCGCTCTAGATCTGTGTCCCAAGTAAGGACAATACGAGAGCTATGTGAATGATGTTGAGCTGTTCCTGCATTTACACTATTACAGGAATGTGGCTGTGGACTTGCAAGCATCTTGTGCATTGGCGTGAAGAGCTCTCACACCCATAGTGAAGAAAACATCTGCTATAGCCGAGGTAAGATGTCAAGAGTGCTCTGGACTCCGCGAACCTCCATTGTGGCGGAGCTTCAGGTCGCTTGCTAGCTATTTGAGACGTGATCAGTATATAGAGTCTCTTATAGCAAGCCCCCGCCCGGGTGCGAAGATATTGGACCAGGCGTTGAGTTCATCTTGAGTGTGCTAATCGCATCAAGTCATCAGCAATCTGCACAGCAAAACCTTCATCGTTGATGTCTCTCTCGTCATTAACAATAGAGATGCTTGAATCTTGCAGTTCAGAGACGACGGTCTCAATCAATGCATCATCTGCATCGCGATCCTCGAAAGCACCTCCTGGTGTAGCGATCATGCTGACGCCACCTTTTGGGAAAGTGATTTGCACCATCTTGGGGTTGACAGCGAAGCGCTTTATCTNTTCCGCCATAAAGTTGCCGATGGATACGCACTCGTCTTTTGTTGTGCGCATTAGGGTTACTGTAGGATTGTGTTCAAACAACTTTCTTTGCTGATATTTCTCGGGCACTGTTGCTTTCGGCCCAAAGTTGACCATATCGGTAGCTCCAAGGGAGATGACGTTTGCAATACCTGCTTTCAAGGCTGCTTCGAGACGGTCGGAGCCAGCGCTCATATTGCCGCCCATAAGGAAGTCGCAAATTTCGGTCGTGGTCAGGTCGAGTATAGCATCGAGGCGACCCTCTGAAATCAAACGCTCCATAGCCTTGCCTCCATGTCCGGTAGCGTGGAAGACGTATGTCTCAACTGCATAATTGGCTTCAAGATGTTCGCGGATTTTGTCAACGCAAGGAGTTGTGACGCCGAACATTGTGATGCCAACCCGTAGTTTCTGAGTCCCTTTACTCTGTTTTGACCCATCTTGAAGCTGTTGCTCATAGGCAGCTGACATGCCTACCATAGCAGCAGCCGCATTATTTAGTATGTTTCTGAGGAGGTCGTTAGTGCCTGCTATGTCCACCACGGAGTACATCAAGGTAATATCAGTTTCGCCAACAATCGGACCAGTATCTCCAGAAGCGACCGTGCTAGCGATGAGTTTGGGCAGACCAATTGGCAGAGTTCGCATTACAGCCGAAGCCAAACTGGTGCCTCCGCTGCCCCCNNCTGCACTGACGATGCCATGGATTGGCTCCTTTTGGTGTAGCTCTTCAATGCATGAGGTCGTGCAGCGGATCATATATTTGATGATTTCACCACGCGGTAGATCTTTTAAAGTATCTCGTTCTTCTTTCGTGCCGAATTTCGTGACCAAGTCATTCTGGGATATACTGATGGCCGGATTGTCGACAGGGCTACGGCCACAATCAATTACTGTAATCGAGGTACCAGATGGAGATAGAGCCTCCAGTCGAGAGTGAAGATGAAGTATCTCAGGTAGCTTCGTATCCAGCGTACCCAGCAAGACTATGTGTGGCATTGTGATGATAGAACTCTCAAACAAGTGCAGTGCGTCTGTACCAAATCCATTGGAAGTGTCATAGAATGGAGGATGGCATCGCGTCGCGTCGGAGGAGAGGTGCGGGAGGCTGGTGATGTCGTGGGCATGCAGCGTTGCGTCATGCCGATGAAACAGCTCGACCTCGAATTTTGACCACCTTCCTTTTATCGAATCTATCAATCACCACAATTTTATTGGAACCATAGGACCAAGCAGTCGAACTCATCATGGCACCTCCAACAGATCGCAAGCAAATTCTTCAAAACTTCCGCAAGCAAATTGATGCTGGGAAGCCTATCGTCGGAGCGGGCGCTGGCATTGGCCTATCAGCCAAGTCGATTGAAGCAGGCGGCGGCGACTTGATCATCATATACAACAGTGGACGCTTCCGAATGGCCGGTCGAGGCTCTTTGGCTGGATTGATGCCCTTCAGCAATGCCAATGATGTTGTCGTTGACATGGCGAAAGAAGTGCTTCCCATCGTCGAGCACACCCCGGTTATAGCTGGCGTTTGTGGTACCGATCCTTTCAAAGACATGCCTCGCTTTCTGAAGCAACTCAGTGACCTTGGATTCGCTGGTATTCAGAACTTCCCCACAGTTGGTCTGATTGATGGCCAGTTCCGTGCAAACCTCGAGGAGACTGGTATGGGCTATGACAAGGAGGTCGAGATGGTACGACTGGCCGCAGAGATGGGAATCCTGACAACGCCGTATGTCTTCAATGTCGAAGAAGCGAAAGCTATGGCCGGTGCCGGAGCGGACGTGGTCGTCGCACACATGGGTCTCACCACCAGCGGTACGATTGGCGCACAAACAGGCAAATCTCTGGAAGATTGTGTCAAGGACGTACAAGCCATCAGAGATGCTGCGACTGGGGTCAAGAAGGATATCATTGTCCTTTGCCATGGCGGACCGATCGCAAAGCCTGAAGATGCGAAGTTCGTGCTCGGAAGAGTCAAGGGCTTGCACGGCTTCTTTGGTGCCAGTTCGATGGAGCGTCTGCCGGTAGAGGATGCCATCAAGGGTGTGACGGAAAAATTCAAGGACATTGCCGTACAGAAAGCATAAGATTGTCTGGTCGCCATGTTAGTCAAAAATACAAGCATCATCGTCCATCAAACTCGAACGATGTTCTGGGCCATGTTTGTGGGCGCGTCCCGGTCGTTGCAGAAACCATAGACCAAGATGGCCCTGCTCCAACTGAGGAGCATCTCGGCATCCCCATGCAATGTACAGTTTTCTTACGCAGAGGATTTGACAGGGCAGAACCAATACTCGCCTTACAGAATCTTTCGTTCAGGTGTATCGTATGTGATGACAGAGAGGTGGTGTGACTTCGATGCAGATTGGACGGACATTTATTTGCGGTGTTGCCTGCTGAAGCTGATAGGTATCAGCCTGCTCTGCGGGATAGAAGGAGCGCCTGCAAGTGCGCAAGTGGTTATGGGGCAATCTCATTGAACGACGAGAACGAACGGCATGGAAACAACTGCTTAGCATTCTTTGGCTGCAATGGCTGTTAGCAGCTTCCTAAGCTCATCCGCTTAGCTCCACGAAGGCACTCACTGGGGTCTTCTTGCCCTGCACAAAATCTCGAAACATGCTAGGCGTAGCTTGGTGTTGGGAAAGAGCAGCTCATGGCTTCGTAAGAGATGACTAATCCAAATCTCCGCTTTGGCTTCGCTCTTTCTAGTTTCTGTCTTTGGAATTCTCGTCGGCTGCTTCCTCTTCTTCTTCTCTTGCCTGATTCGACGGCGGCCATCTTCTTTGTTGCTCTCGGTTGTCCCACAAGATTGACTTCGCCCGAGCATCATTTTCATCCATTGCTGTTTCTCGACTGTAAACAAGCCTCAGCGTTGTTGTCCAGAGACACAGTATCTTGTCTTTGTCCACTTTGAGCACTCTCAAGATGCGGTAATGTAGAGTTTGAGTTATCGTGATAGAGACATCCGGGTCCACCAGCTATGGCTCTGGGTTGAGGAAGGGGCGCTCGACGGCTTGTTGGGCATGCTCGGTCCTGCCCAAGGTGGTACGCCTTTCTCCAAATTGGACTTCGTTCTTTCCATATGGCTCCCTCCATCGCACCGTCAGTCTTCTACCGTTGTTTCGCCCAGTTCGTCTGCTAAGAAATTTTGCAAGAGGTTGTTCTCAGGTTTGGGCCGTTTGGGATGGCAGTGCAGGCGTTGGCCTTCGCCCGCGCGGTGTCGATCGATCATAGTCGTTCTCTTGTCGTCGAATTGTCATCCGCCGCACCAACCTGGTATCACTTGTCTTGAAGAGATATGAAGTGGTGGAACATATCTGATGGATGGCGCTTATTGTGCGGTCTCTCTGGACAAGCCTGCTGTCGAAACATCATCCTGCCTTTTTACTGCCCAACTCGACAGGCATTGACTCAATGGGAGTGCTACCGCATTGTCTGAAGGTCTGTCACAAGGTGAGAGCAAAACCAGGGGCAGTGGCAATCAAATGTGCTGTATAATGTCTCAGAGACTATTGGCCAGCTGGAGTCGGTAGCGGGCAAGAGTTCCGGTATGGTTCGTCAAAGTAAGAGAGGCAGGAAATAGGTTGAGAGGAAGATCAGGTGCGGGTCAAAGTGGCCATAGTGGTCGAGGCAAAGAAGGTAGTGCTTGCATTGGTGTCGTCCAGAAGCGAAGACAGTGAATAACATCGTAATGCTGAGCAGCAAGTTGGTGAGTTTCGTAGCATCACTGCAGAGTGTTCGTCAGAAGTCGACCGCCACAGACCTGTTTGTTTGCTTTCCCGTCGGAGCTCATTCGTACACAAAGTATTTTCCGTTCTCTTAAACATCCTTCTCATTACACAACAAAAACAACTCTGAAGCTCGACAACAACCACCAAGATGCCACCAACAACGAGATCATCAACAAAGAAGGCCACCGTCGTCGACGCAAGAGAGATCGTCTCCTGGACCTCAACCGTAACTGGTGAGACGCTGTTTTACGAGCGTTTCCATGCATACGATGAAGAACAAGAGATACTGTTTGTGCAATTGCGCAGAGACGAGCAAGGAGACTTGGTCCCTTGGACTAAAGACGAGGAAGATGGTACTAAAGAAATTTGTCTGAAGAGCATGGCATTGATGCTGATAAGATGTAGAAGACCAGGATCTTGACATGGCAGACGACGATAGTGTCGAAGAGGGAGAGGTTGACCCAGACTTCGTCCCAGAAGCAAACCGCACCACCGACGAAGACCATGTCGGCGTGCAGAGACTCGCCCAAGAGGCACAAATGGCACCCAAGCAGAGACGCGCACCTACAAAGCGCCGTCAGACCACCAAGGTCACCAAAACCACATCTCGTCCCGCCAACTCTCTCCCTACCGCTCCTCTTCCCGCCCCTCTGGCCGTTGGCATGACTGACGACATGACCGACCTCGTTCAACACGAGTCCATTCTCGATTTCGTTGTCGACCCCTTGCCGGAGGGAAGTTCTGCAGTCAACCTCGCAGAAAAGCCTCTCAAGCATGCTCAGAAACTTCCGGGTCGGCGACCTGTCAGAAGTCAATGGAGCAGGGGCTCACGCAATCGAGAAGGAGACCTACGATTCTGTTCGCCCAAGCAAGGTCATCAACGGTAGACGGGTGCTCGACCCTCGCCCAGTCATCTTCCGTCCGACCAACCCCGCCTACAAGGAGATCGTTGATTTGGGTCCGTTATAGATAGGCTAGAATGCCGGTGTGGGAGACAGTCGTGTAGGATATACAAAATGGAGCAACAAGACATCACTTTTCCACAAGCCCACAATATTTGAAGCAAGTTCTGATACCTTCGTTGGAACCGCTCATTGAATCACATAAATTGGTGCCGTTTGATAGATAACGAACCTAGTGGCATTAAATTCGGAACAGTACGCGTTTCCTAAGCTTACTACAACTCAACGACGGAATGCATGCATCGCCCGTTGCTCCAGCAGAGCATCGCTGAGGTCTGAACCGCTGTCAAAATGCAGGATTCTCATGAGATGTGCTTGCTTTCCACTGAGAGCCCTGATGAATAAGGCGTCTCTCTGGCCAGCCATGAGAAGGTCGTTTAGACTGTGCATTTTGATAGCATAGCATCAACTCTATTGCCTCTAGGAGATGGTAAAGGAAGCTCCTCTTGTTCAACTCTCCGCATGGGTGCAGCGGCGATAACTATACCTATCAGAATGCAGAGTGCCATTGGTTTGAGAGTATTGTCCCGTGAGAATGACCTGGTAACTGGCTCTCAAGGGACTTTAGTAGTTGATACAAAACTTCTTGCCTTTTGATAGGGTATCTAGGAGCACTGAGGGTCATCTGGAGCTCCGAGAGGAGGCCAAGAGGATAAGTGAAAGTTCGAGGGGTGTTGTGCTCGTTTGTCTCGTTTGTTGTACTGTGAGCACCCAGCTACGAATCACGCTCGAGACTCGACCATTGCGTCTTGTTTTCTTTTCACGCAACCACAAGAGTTCTTCTCTCGCGACCATAAGCTTTCTCACCACACAACCACAACACAGACAACACCAGCGATCGAATCAGACATGGCGTCTCGTTTTGATGTAGCTGTGCACCGCGCCAGGCAAGAAGATCTCTCAATCTTCTTCCATCACCACAACTGGCTAACCGACATTAGACTGCACGAGCGCTTCCCCCGCGGCTCGGATTATCAGACAGCCAAACCTGCTCTCAAGTGGTACCGCACTATCGATGGCCGTGTGGCTGTAGCTTTCGAGGGCTTGAGAATCACTGATCTGTGGAACGAACAACTGAGTCTGATCGATCTCCTCAGCAGGGGCGACATCTTCAGCATCATTCCCACCGAGTTGATCACCAGACCTTGCAGACTCGCTGCTATGATCATGCAGGTTTGTGCAGAGGTCTCTCTCCAGAAGGCCAGAAACTTTCACACTCCCATCACTGAAGAGGAGATTGATGTCGGCACCTTTGCGCACCCCTACCAGCTTGTGCTTGTCGCCGACGATGACATCGACCCTGCTGTCTGGATGGATGCCTACACTCTCGCCCATGACACCGGCGTCAAGCTGTCCACCCCCACCATCAACATCACTTACCCTGGCGACGAGTACCAATACCTGACCAACGCCGATGTCGTCTTTGCCAGCATCGACCGCATCAAGAAGCTCGTTGGCACCAAGGCCATTGGCTTGTCCTGCGTCCGCCGCATCATTGTTGATGAGCCCCTGTACATCAACAAGACCACCTGGGGCTCTCTGGCCATGCTGCTTCGCCACCCGGAGATGAACCCCGAGGTCGGCACTTTGTTCGTCGGTCGCGCAGCTTCTTTGGAGCCGGAAGTTGTCAAGAAGATCCGCGACTTCACTACTCACACCCTGCCCTACTGGCACGAACACACTGCCGAAAGCCGTGCTGAAGCCCAGGCCGAGTGGGACGCCTACGAAGCCACCATCTAAGCAACGCTTCACAGTCTGTAAGAAACACCCTACCTTACCCGTACTTACGAAGATAGCTAACACTTATCTCAGACGCCCGCCTGTCCACATCTTCGAAGAAAGGAGGAATAGGAGGAACATCTCGAAAGCACGCTTGTTGCTTAATCAGGAGGACAGTGAAGAGAACTCGGCCGACAGACGAACTGTGCAGGCGCACGAATGAGAGATAAAGGAATGCGCATATGAAAGAAAGGTGAACTTGAGGTTTGAACCAGGAAAGCATGGGCTCTCACATCGACAGGCAGGATCCGAGGATGCCATAGAGTCCTCCTCCTTCAATACCATCGTGGCCGCTACTCTTTGTGCCTTTCTTGTGATCCAGAGTGTCATGTTGAATGTCAGATCTTTTCTTCGACTCTATCTCGCTGCTTTGCTTCGAAGGCATGCCGTTACTCGAGAAACCTTGCTTTCTTTGTGCCTTTGTCAATCGGTCGTCTCGATGCATGCGCATGTCGAATAGATCCTTCAGAATTGTAAGCGAGCATGCTATCTTCGCTACAGTGCTCCAATGCGCTAAGTCGATTTTCCTTGCCATCAGCCTCGCTGAGGGAAGTCGTAGGTCGGCTGGAGTCATTCACTGGTCCTTCCCTCTTGCTCTCTCAAAAGCTTTCTCTCGCGATTTCTGATCGACGAACTGGACCTGTTCCAAAAGGTCGCTTTCATGTGTTTTGCAGGAAGGACATGAAGTCCACGATCAGATGGCCCACCCCACTTCAAAGCCGCTGCCTGGTATGGACGCTCTGGTGCTTGCGACACTCGCACTTTTCCGACTGATTACCTCAGAGCCGCAGCTGAGAACCCGTGGAAAGATACTGATGATCTAGACAACCAAGTTATCTGCAAGCAGTGGATATCGATGCCGCGTGTCTTTGCGCCTTGGATGAGGGCTCGTTGCGCCCGCGTGGGCAGGGTGTCCGACTTGCCGTGGGCGCGATTAAACACTTGGAGAACCTTCCCAAAACAAAAACCTGTTCGAAATTCTGACCTGTCGCTCTTTCACCCTTGCTCACAAACTCGAGGAAAACCGTAGCGACCGCCAATTAGATGCACCAGAATTCGAACGGGCCGAGAAAATGAAGTTTACATTCCTCGGACAGGCCGACCGACAGGCATTCCCGAACGACAGCTCCGACGATGCCGAGTGCGCTGAGAATTGCGGGCGCAGTTATATAAACCCCTGGACGTGCCTTCCTCGACAAAGTCCTCCCGACCTTTGCATCTCGCAACATTGACTCGGGTTGGCCTCGGTTTGAACCATGACAGGTCATGGCTGGCAATAGGTGTGCAGCCTGCCTGCGATGACGGCTCCTAACACACCCTTCGCAGGGCAGGATAGAGCCCTATGATTGGTTACAGCAGCTTGTCATCCCTCATCGACTGGCTTGCTGCTGACGTATACCATATTGACAACAATGCCTTGCGACAACTTACTTCTTGCAGATCACCTACCCACCAAGGACGAAAGATTTCGCCAGCGCCAGAGGAATGAATCGCGATCTCGTTGCCGCTTGGCATGCCAGGGGGCAACCTTGCAAGCAGATGTCGAAAAGACCTGCCTCTTTGGGGACTCGGCCGAAGATGGCTCGGACGAAGACAAGCAAGGGAGGCAGCCTAAATCTCCATGCGACAAATCGCCTAGCATGGCCTCTCTTCTCCTCGAATCAAATACAAGTATGAGACTTAAGAAGCAACATTGAAGACAGATTCAAGGATGTATAGTCTTGAGTAGGTCTGGAGAAATGGTGAGGATATGACAATGTTACATCTGGAAGCACGCCATGCGAAGGAAGACCTTGGCCACATTCCTGCAACATCCGCCCTGCAGCAGAGCCGACTGTAAACTACAGCGCTGTCAACTCTGTCTGACTCGCGCTTTAGCACAATGGAGCCCGACAAACTGGCTAGGTCGGCAAAATATCCGCGTGGTGGAATGAAGAGCCGCACTCTGGGAACTATGAGCGTGATGTATGCCAATAACAAATCCTTTGCTCCTTCTTCTCCTTCTTTCTCCAGGTTTGCGAGTGATTTTTGTTGGTTCGGTCAGAACATGGTGCGCTTGTTTTCTTCCCTACTAGGGGTTTCCTGTCTTTTCAGAGCGAGCATAGCGCAATCATCTTCAGACCAAAACGCAGATTCGACCTCGAGTGTTTGTACTACCACGACTGGATTATACGCTATCTACACGTCGGATTCGTCGACGTATCTTATACAAGATGGCGCCCGGACAGGGCAGGCGGTGGCGTCCTGTCCGGCAGAGGCCACTTCTACGGTACTTGAGATCTCAACTGTTTGGCAAACTAACGATGTTTCTACTGTGTATAGGTCCTCGACATATTATGTTTCCAATCTCTCGACCATCGCTTGTGGTCCGAGCAGCATCGCTAACGGATCAATCGTTTGCCCTCCGCCGGCCACGATAACATTACCCGCTTCGGCTTCAGCGCTATCATCTGCCAGTATTGCCCAACCAAGCGTATTGACTGTGTTTCAAGAAGGGCCTTGTCCGCCCAACGCCAGTACCCCTATCACCATCATGTCACTTTCGTCGAACAACCAGTCATGCCCAACTTATCCTTCGCAATCTGGCACAGATCTATATTCGTGGCTGCTGTCGAACCAGTCTGTCAGTTGCTCGACCATTGCGAACATCTCAGCCGTCGTCACGTCTAGTGTGTCAGGCTCGCTCGTGAGCACAACTATCTACGGATCTGGAAACTGTCCGATAATTTTCGACTCTTCACCCAGAACTGGCTTTGCACCCTCGGTCTTGACCGCTGGATCCGAGGCCTGTGTCAGCATATCTACCATCTATCCGAGCGCTAGCTGCCAAACTATCAGCACGCTTCCGCCTGTCACAACATCGATCTATTTACCAAACTCGAAGTGTGAGAACTCGACAGTATTCTCCACTATCTTCCAAAATGCCTCTACTCAGATTATCAGCTCGATTTTGCCTGTCACAACCTCCATCTACTTGCCAAACTCGAATTGTTCAGGTTCGACTATAATCTCAACCGTTTTTGAAAGTGGTTCAGCAAGCAGTCTATCTGGTTTCGACTCAAGCTGCCCTACTTGTCCCTCCACTGCACTGGCCAATGCAAGCACTATCACTTTGAGTCAGAGTTTTATCTCGACGATCTATACCCAAGATCCTTCATGCAATCCAGTAAACGCCTCGTCAATGTACATGAACTCGGTAATCTCGGCTACCCGCTATACAACTGTATACGGCTCAGACGTGACAGTTACGATACCTGGCTCCTCCTTCACCACGATGTCCCCTGACGATTATTGCGAAACATGTCCCGATTCATGTTATGTGGATTTCAACGACGATGGCATCCCGGATGCCGAGCAAAACAGCACTGTTCCTACCAACTCCACATCTGGCTACAATTCGACCAACCCGACGTCCGTGCCAGCACCTGTTGTTATAGCAGATACGAATTTCGAGAATGGCACAGGCGACCCTCTGGCAAGTTCGGCATCGAGTCCCAATGTTACTGCTGTGATTGCGCAGAGTAATGACAGCACCCCTTTGACAGCGCAGAGTGGACAAAGCTATCTGTGAGAGCTAATAACTATCTTGCACAAGAAACACAACTTGCTGACCTCAGACGATAGATTCTTAACTTTCAACAGTGGCTCCGGGTCGCAGCAGCAGCAGCAGCTCCTCCGTCGTCAATCATCCTCAAACCAGCCATTGGTCTATAACGCTTCGCAGACCTTTCCTACAATCGCCGGCGATACCTACAATGTGACCGCATATGCGCAGCAAGCTCAAAATGGAGCCAACCCTCCTCAGTGCTCGATAAGCATCTGTGTCTACAACAGCTGTAGTGCACCAGCTTCACTCGTGACAGGAGTCTGGCAACAGTACTATTACCTCTATCTGGCGACTTTTGATGATGATTCTGCCACGGCGACATTCAGTATAACTTGTGTCGGAGATGCGTACGTGGGTCTAGATAATGTTGCAATCATCGATATCCCCCCTCCCGATAGCTCGACCTCCGCATCGCCGACGGATGGCTCCAACTCTGGCTCAAGTGCGCCCAGCGGTAGTTCCGTGTCGTTGACCACTCTTCCAGGCGGCAGCGTAAGGACAGTGACTAGAACGATCGTGCGCACGAGAACCACCTCTGCAATCGTGTCCACCGCAGTCTACTACACCACGACCCAAGTGTCGTACGTTGTTTCGACATATCAGAGCGATAATACCTATACCACTTATCAACCCACCACTCTGGTCTCCACAGCGTATGCCACCGCCACGTCTCTTCAGAATGTAACCGTCTCTGCAATTGTGACCAGCACGAGTAAGTGACTTCGTTCTTTGTACCTTATTCATAAAATCTCGGACTTTTTCAAGATATCCTGCGTCATCAGAAGAGATTGACTTTAGGCTCTCTTCATGTAGCTCAATGGCTTTCTTGCTTCCAAGATGCTCGAAATACGATCTTTCTAAAGAGAGGTTCTACACGATAGCATTCTGTTTGCAGGAATCGATCGAGAGGTGCATCTAGCTGATCAAGCCATGAATAGCCACCATCACGCAAAATCAGACCTTCACGCAACTCAGCACTGCTTTCATAACCGCCACGGCCACAGCCACATCTATCCAAGTCCAGACGACCTCTCTTCAACCCTATACCAGTTATGTGAGCACTACGATAGTCTCAACAGTGTATCCACTAGCAAGCACGTATGTGACTACGGCCAGCCCGATAATTACGACGATATATTCGACAATAGTCCAAACTTCGTTGAGCTTGCAGCCGACTACGATCATATCGACAATCTTTTCTACGCTTCCGCCGCAAAATATCACTGTCGTAGAGACGACCAGTTTGGCACCATACACCACGACGTTCGTGTCGAGCTATTTGACGACATTCTACATCACCCAGACTGGCCCAACCCTGATTACCACGCAAGAGGCTTCAACATATTACACGACC